TTCGCCCAAAAAGGACCAAATCCTCATGTGACCGCCTGCTTGGTAGATTGCGCTTGCGAGCACTGCCGCCGGAGTTTCGATCAGATTGAGTCTTATCGATCCCATTGTTGCGGTCCCAGCTGTTCTACTGGCCGGCCTGGTCCCTTAGTCACGATTTAATATATCGTAAAAGGTGAGCATCGCGAAGAGCTCCGGCGCCAGGGCTATCAATCCCAACCGCGGCGGCTGGCCCGCCTATCATTGCCTAAAGCGCCCTAGCCCTGCGGCGCGAGAATGACAAATACCTTATTTTGCCCACCAATCAGCTCCCAAGGCTGCGCCCTGGCCCGTCACGTCATGCAGTGTCGTTCAGGGGTTCGTGCTTCTACCCTATTTTAGCCCGGTCGTTTAGAGGGCTGATCTATCCAGATGACGCTGGTTGTTTGATGATTTGATTATTTCTGGGACTCGATATTACTTAAAGCTGCATGCCCCTTTTTAAACCCGTTTGGGAAAGAAGAAGGGCAGGTCAACGGCCCTGTAGCCCGGCGTGCCTATCCTGCCAGTGGATTGTACCTGGAACTAGACCTAAGCGAAAGCAAGTAGGAGGTCCCCGATAGCCCGGGGTTTTCTGTGTGACAGATTTGACAGTGCGAGTTACCCACTGTGCTTTAGCTCTATCATGCTAGGGCGGGGATCATCGGCTGCTCTGTGCTGGGGCAGAGATTTGTCACGGATGAAAAGTCTTTCATGTAACTATTGGCCTCGGCTATAACAAAGCCAATGTGTATTTCTGGGAGGCGCAGGCGAGACCACCTGGGAGAACACATGGTTGGATCGATCCCATGTCGACGTCGTCACCAATAGTTCGTGTGAGATGGGAGGTGATATACATCCATACAGCCCTAAACCTGAGGGATTCGTCGAGGCGCCATGATGGATCAGATCGCACGCATACAGAGTTATTGACTACCCTGTGATAACTACATTTGCCGAAGCTTATTTTCCCACTGCCCATGGTCTTGGTACCCAGGAAGAGGGGAAATTCAGATCGTCCAACCACAAAAGCTCATTTCCGATCCATCTCAAACGATCGGTAGCAGCGGTGCCAATCGATGGAGGTCACCGTGTGGGTACAAGGAACAATAGTCGGCTAGAACTGTTTCTGATCCATATTTTGTATTGTCTTGTATGGTAGCTTTTAGCTTCTTCTACGCCTTGCCGGCGCGCCTCGTTCTATGACAGCGGGTTTGTCCGGCATAGAACCATAACTCAATCACCTAAGTGACAGAAGCTACTTACGTAGTCATGTAGTACCGGGGAATTGGCTTTCCGATCGAATGCAGATAGTCGATGATGCAGTTCGAGGTCCCCGACCTCCCCGATAAATCACACCTATCATTCATGCAGGAATCCTTCGAGCTGGCACTGGCGCCCTGGAATACAATGGGTCCGTTCGTTGGTTACCTGGAATGTATGTACCTATGCACATACTACGGAGTACATCCTACAAATGCATCCCGTACAATAGGTGGAGGTTTTTTTTTTTGACTCACCAGCAGTTAAGTTACGACACGCATACTCGCCATTGTGGATACTGAGCCCCAGACATGAGAAAGGGGGAGGAGAAGGCTTCGATGGATCTATCAATCTTCGACTGCATTTCCGACATAAGCGAGCTGGTTTTGGACCCAGAATCTGGACAGACCCTGCAGCTAAACGTGAGTCAGGATCGTGAACATTGGACGTTGGTTGGACGGTGAGGATGTTGGAGTTTTTTCTTTTTCTATATGATCATATTTCAATACCAGCCTCGCTTGTTGGATACGGACTGCGTCTTCTCTGTATGCACCCGGACAAATGTAGGTATTGTCGTATAAGGATCTATACATTCGTGTCGTCGGCTGCCAGATATCACGTTATGGCGAATGTTGCGCACACGATGCACATTGGCAAAGAATTCCGCGGCATTGTTTTATTATTTCGATTCTGATCAGTATTGCTATCGCTCGACCCTAGCGTATAGAGACATTTCTACTTAGTGTGAGTGTTTAAATGATGAGTAAACACATTTTACCAAATCCGCTCTACAGCACCGACACAAGGGTACTCCATTCCAGATCAGCAATTGCGTACGATCTCCATGTCGATCACAACCCGGAGCGGTAAAAACAAAGCCAAAAGATTTCAAATTGTGAGAGGGCCCTACTCCGTCGATGGCCCAGCGCCAATCATGGTCCCCACACAAACGGTTCATGCCTGGGAGACTGGGTAACGGCCCACGGGGGGTGGAGAGATCAGAATAGGGTACAGAGCACCGCGCAGACGAGTTTCTGTGTGGGTGGAAAAGAGGTGGATGGCTGGCTGAGGACTGGAGCCTTGCCATCGATTTTTGTTATTTTATTTTATTTTATTTTTTCGAACACATCATTCGGTTCTCCATCATTCAGGCGGGTCGTGTGCTAAAAAATGATTGAAAATAATACTATGAATGATACTCTAGGATCAATTCAATAGTCCAAACTCCCAGGTCCTTGGGCATAGCACACCACATATCATTCTCGGCGTAGGGAGGCGAGAAGCACCAGTAATTACCACCTTGAACAATGCACCGCAGGGTCTGTCATGGCCGACGACCGACCCAAACATGGATACCGGCTGATGCTCCATCGCCGGTGGATCCCGATTCGCGGTTTCCTGTTTGGAGGCCTTTCCAAGGCGCTTTTCCGCTGCCCTCGATCTCGGCACAACTCCTCGACCACCCACACCAGCAACCTGACACTAACCATGTTTTATCGGCGGGAACTAGATCCTTTTTTTCTTTTTCTCTTTTTCTTTTTCTTTTTCTTTTTTTTTTGCCCCTCTCTCCTCGACACAGACTCCAATGCACGCCTGGTCGTTTCTTCCCCTTGCTTTCTTCCCTCCCCCCCCTTTCCATCATTTTCCATCCTAAAACCATGGCACAGCACTGAGACGGCCCCAATCCAAGAATAACTCGAGTCATAGGAGAATTCAGTTGGGCTCCGTAAGCTGTCCGCCTTGTCTTTTGACTTTCCTAATTTACCTCTGCCAGACCGTTTCTGCCGCTCCCGTTTTCCTGTCAGGGCCTGAACTTAGACGAGCATGGGCCAAATCACCCAGAACCAGTAACCCACTTCTTACCCATCGGTTTGGTCGATGAATCGCTCCTAGTTCACGGTGGCCCGGGATGGCGGTAATTGGACGACGCGGGTAGTGATCGGATCTTATTTTCTTTTCTTTTTTTTTTTAACTTGTTTGATCGGTAGCATGGAAGACGGAGATGCTCGCCCATTCCTTTTTTCTTTTTCTTTTTCTTTTTTTTTTTTGACTTTTCCTTCCGTGTGTGTAGGCGTGCGTCAATCCCGTATATCATTTAATTTATTTTTCTCGCCCGACTGCTGCAACTAATGGTCATTGCCATAGCATTAATGTTGCCTTTCTTCTCGTTTAACCCCTGATTCTATCCCCACTACTTGCGCACAAATATGTACCGGTGGAATGGGAAACGGCAAGATTGCCTCTGTCAAGCCGGAATAACAAATTCTATTTAGACTATAGGGATATGTGAAGATCCTTGCCCTCGACTCTGCTATCTAGCACCCCAAAGTGAATATAAATATATAGTATTATGTTCAGTAGTGTAAGTCCCATGTTGTGCATTACGTAGCACTCTGTACCACCTTGCTAATCCAAAAGGTAACCCGCCTTGCCGCGGAGCCCATGGAAACCACATCGCGTTTCTGTTTCTTACACAATATATCGCTTTCCCCGAAGTATATGTCCAGGATCCCCGACGGGAGTCAATAAATAGAAACGAGATGTACATCCAGTGTTTCACACATCCAGCAATAGTACCACTAACATCCCTGCTGCAAGACCGATCCGGTGGTAGAGTCAGTCACTATAATCATATAGTGGCAAATCTCCCCCACGATCTGTAAACACCAGCTGCAACAATTGATAGCTAGCCCTTTTTTTTTTTTTTACTTTTTCTTTTTCTTCATTTTTTTTTTTCGAAGGAGGGTCATGGGTGCTGGGTTGTGGTTGCTTCGAAATTATCCCCCTGTCAATGATGGATCTGACTTATTCCTAAAAGAGATACTGCATACTAGTACGGTAGTATCTTTCTGAGGTTCCCCACTTGTGTAATCATTACGGCTCAGGTTGGTCGAGTGGTCTCTGGGCGGTAATTTTGTTCATCCTTGACCACATTAAGCATGGGATCGGGGACTGTACGCATAGGCAACCTACGCGTCTGCAAAGTGGGCAGTGACCAGGTCGCCAGGTTAGCGTGTCTAGGGATAATCCCCAAGGGGGGTTACCTTAGGCAGAAGGTACGTACTCCGGAGTAGGTAGCACTACCTACTGAGATACTTCGGTAAGGTAGTGAGGAAAGTGGGCGAGCATGCTGTCATAATCCATGGATATCGTACCCGACAAACACGGATACAATACAGCTATACATACATACGGTACGGGATACTTTACCGCCCTTGTTAAATTACCGAGTCGTAATGAGATCCACCCTGCCAGAAAAATAAAATAAAATAAAATAAGAATCGAAAAATCATTTTTCTTTTTTGATTTTTCGTTTCCTTTATTTTATTATTTTATTTTATTTTATTTTATTTTTTTAATTATGATTATTATTATTATTCCTCCGACAACTGTCAGCTCCGAGATCTTGGATCAGATCTTCTCCTATAGCGTGCTCTAGGTGTGGAGCAGTTGCCATTTTTCTCTGACCCGTCTCCCTGGTCATTGTATTCTTCTGCTGCTGCTTGTTGCTATAATAATTGATCATAGCCTTCATCTCCATCCCTTCTCCATGTCGCCTTGTCCACCATCTTTATAAATCCCAAAGTCCTTGTCCTCCCCCTCCTCCTGGTCCAAATTCCTCCCTCAGGTATATCTACCACCTGGCGAGCACACCTTTGGAACCTTAAACTTCATACTCTCAACCTTACTTTCAACCCCGTCTTCGCAAATTCCCAAGTACCTGGTTGGATTGGTCACTGCTTCCTTACTATTCGAATCCTTTTGTTCTTCAGACCACCCACGCAAAACATTGTTCGGACTTCGTGCGGTTCAAATCCCCTGGGTCTACGCTAAGCGTTCACGGTAAGATTCAACTTTCCTTCAACCGTGTTTATCCTCCCCGCCCACCTTCTGCCGTTGCGGTCGTTCAAGGTCAACCCGTGCCTGAGGCTTTATTGACTTCACCATTACTTCCGTACCACCACCCATTTACCCTTACCTCATCCAGACTTCACTTCCTCCCCCCACACAACATTTTCTCTTTATTTTTCTCTCCCATTACTAATTTTCTTTCTTCCTTACTTGCTTCTTTTCTTCATCTCCCTGACATACTTTTCTAACTTTTATTATTAGAAACTAAAACAAGAAAGAAAAAGAACTCGCAAATTTATTTGAACTCCCATTTCATCCCAAATGGCTCCCACTCATCGTCGAGGACCTTGGGTCCCTGAGGAGGACCAGTTGCTGCTTCAGTTGGTTCGCGAGCAGGGCCCCAATAACTGGGTCCGCATTTCCCAGCACATGCACTATCGGTCCCCCAAGCAGTGCCGCGAGCGTTTCCACCAGAATCTCAAGCCGACGCTCAACCGCGAGCCCATCTCCGTCGAGGAGGGGATGATGATCGAGCGCCTTGTGACTGAGATGGGCAAGCGGTGGGCTGAAATCGCCAGGCGGTTGGGCAACCGGAGCGACAACGCAGTCAAAAACTGGTGGAATGGCAGCATGAACCGGAAGAGAAGAGGTCTGCCTACGTCAGGCACACCTCATCCCGGCCGCACTTGCAACGGCCGAGTGGAGGCTCCGTATGCGCGGGCTTCGATCAGCATGAGCAGCCCAATCAGTCGCTCTCGGTATTCATCCATCTCCCACGACCGGCCACTCACTTCTTGGTCGAAGTCGCCTTCTCGAAGAGAATCTTGCTCAACCACGTCCATCGACTGCCCCCGGCAGTTGACCCCGATCTACACACTCCCGGCTCTCAACCGCCCCGTCGAAACTCCCTTGACCTCGCCTGCTTTCTCAGAAGTCTCCAACACCCTCTCAATAGAACCCCCCTCGATGGTCTCCGACCATAACTCAGTCTCCTCTGCTTCTCCACGGACCGTCTCTTCCCCGCAACTTCTACCCTTCCCGCTTGACCCCCGCCAGCAGTACGGCGATTTGCGCAGACCCAGCGCACCACTCCAGCCTTCAGAGGACGTCTACTTCTCCGATCTATCGCTGAAGCAGCGATGGGCTTCCGATCGTCGGTCCTGGAACCAACCCTCTTCTTTACTACCGCAGACCTGGTCTATGTCCCCGGAAAGGCCTCGACCGGAATCCTTCAAGGGCGAAGCTCCCCGTGATTCCCGCATGGGCCTTGATAATTTGCTCAATTAATGACCACACGACCGTCTGCTTTATGTTCACCTGTCTTGATATTGGCTCCCGAAGATGATTTTCTGGAAGCGTCTAATGTATATGTGTGCCCCGACCGATGTCTCTCATTTTGACACTATTCTTTCCTTTGTATCTATATCCTGTACATCTTTGATGACTTTCCCCTTTCCAATTCCACCACGTCGGGTCACGTGGTTATGGCTGGCTTTTTTCTTCTTTTTTTTTGGGATCGAATCGTTTTGGCGGGTTCAGCTTTCCCTTTCTGAGTTGGTGTTTTTCTGCCTTTCATAAAAAGCATTTGATGGAAAACGGAGTTCTCTGATTGCGTGATTTCACAACTACTGCTGGGTGATCCGGTGAATGTTTTGGGCTTATAGAAGGAGGTCTTGCAGTGGAGAATACTTCCGGATTTTGAATTTTGGCTTTGCATGTATTGGTTATTACGGAATTTTTTCGTGCTTGGATTTAATAATAATACCCCTATGGCTTTTATTACTCTTACATTGTTTTGGCTTATTCAACTGATTGAATCTCAAACAACAACTGTCTTCTAGTATTGGTATCCTGCTATTCGGCCTAGGCACATGCAGATGAAAAACAACGGTGGCCATAAAGTGGCAAAAAAAGGACGTCCACCGTTCGACATGAAAGGAGGGCCCACAGGATACGACCCAGCTTATCCTCCGTTGTTGGTGGCTGGCTGTCACCAGCTCTTCTCTCCCAGTGAAATGCCAGAGACTCACGAGGAATACGCAAGGGGTGACCAGAATTTACGAAGAGGAAGACCAGACCACCGCTGGCCCCATCCCCCTCTCTCAAATGAGGAAAAATCACAATAAAAAATAATCAAAGAAATGGAACCAACGAAAAGGCGTGGACCAAGTCCAGCGTTCGCATGCATGGAAATCCATCTGGGGAAGTTGGGATCGATAGGTCAATTTGCAATCCAGCTGACGAGTGCCATCCATACAACCCCCATACAACCACCGATCCATCGCTTCCCTCTCCGAGCCTTCCAAGCAGTCAGATCATTGGGGCGGCAGTTCATGCATTCCTGCCAGTAGCAGGGACTGCGTGGATGCTTGGAGCTCCGCTCAATGGCTGACTGGGGAGGGGAGGGGAGGGGGCAGAATTCCGCATCGAACCTTGATGGGCAGTGGATTCCCTCCAGCTATCATCGTCGAGGTAAGTAAGGTTGATACCTAAACCTAATCCTCCACCAACTCGCAGCCGGTTTCCCCCCTCCTTCCTTTTGTCTGGGCCATTCATTCTGCCTCGCCCTTTGACTCTCGATCCCCCTTGGGTCTTGGTGCATGATCATCAACGGTTTGGAACGGGAAGATCAGCTCGGCTCATCTTCTCTTTCTCCTATCTGACTTGCTTAGCTGAACTGCGGTGTTATCCTTGATGCGCGTCTTGGGATCTGTGAAGCTGGAACATATGCATCTCTCCCCTCGAAATCCTGCTCCTTCGGGGTCTCGTACTTTGTACTTTGTGCACTCTATACTTGCCAAAGGGATCGGCCCCGCGGGGATCAACCAGTTCGAGAAAAAAGGCAAAAAAGAAAAAAAAAAAAAAAAAAGGAAGTCGCCGCCACAGGAACCGGTGTCCGACGCAGGCGTGGCCGTGACCTTGGCCTCCAGCCTCGACTTATCTGCGAATCGTATTTCCCGGCCTCCTATTAGCAGCTGGCTACCACTTCTCCCCTACCTGACTCGCCACAACGCTACGGATGCAGAAGCCACTTACAGGTGTGCATATAGTCCCTGCAAGCGTGCTGATCCAGGAATTGGCGTCAGCGAGCTGCGATTGGAACACCGAGCCCTGCGGTATCCAGGAAGGACTATTGTCGCCATCTACGTGCTAGATATGGGAGGAATCTGCCCGTTTCAGCCAGCCTTCATCCGTGGCCACACATGCTTACATATCTTAGAACCTAGTTACTAGTTGCGTTGCCGGTCAGCTTGGGAAGCTGGACCCGAGAAAGCGACTCAAGGAGTGGCTTCACGAGGACAAGAATGCCCATCGTTAGCGAATTATCCCAGAGCCGAATGTTTGGAGGAATATCGGTGATTGGGCTGTTGTTGTCGCCGTACTTCGCATTGCTTCAACCGATACACGCAATACCTACCTACCAGCCAAGCGTACCATACCAATAATTACGGACTACCTTACTGGGCTGGACCATGAATGATTAACTAATCGGCATTGACATGGAGTGCAGAATTGACAAGACCATTATGACTACAGGGGTGTTCAGCACCAGCCGAGTCCAAAAACTCTTCAGAAGCCGTCTTGCATAGACGAGATGATCCGAGAAAATTAACCCACGATCTTTTTTTTTTCTTTTTACCTGTGATTTGGAATACTGGTCGCTAGCGCGGGCACTAGATTCGATTAGTTCGTCGCTACTCGCGCAACGTGACGTATTGCCGGTTCCGATCGATCGTGATGATTTTGATTTTCGAATTTTGCCATGGCCGTCGTGGGTATCGGCTCGGCGTGTGGAGCCAGACCGTTACAAATGTGCGCCGTACATCGAAAGCGACTCGAATTTCACCGAGAGCAAACACGAAATGACAATCTTATTGTTATATTGCTCTCGCCCCGGCGGGTTTAATGATCTACCCCCTGAGTTACATCTCCAGACCCGACATCCCTGCCGGACGAATTGTAGGGGGAGCGATTAAATTAAACATAGATTGGGGGTTAATTAATCCGTCCACCGGCCTCCAACCAAGCAATATCTGACAGTTGAAACGCAGCTAGCTCGCCTGATCGGCCTCAGCACTTAATATCCAAAAGGGGGGCATTTTATTTATATCCGCGCAACGAAGGCCCCCAACAGTTGTCGCAAGATCTGCTTTTAATCTGCTGCAAGTGGAGAATGCGTGTTGTTGGGGAAGGTGAGTGAGAGGGTGAAGCTCAAGTGACTCTCGGACGGTCTGGGAATGTAACGTCAGGATTCAGGAGTCATAACGACACTACGGATACTCCGAATAACCAAGCGCGATGGGTCCTCGTTTGGAGCATGTTGCCAAACTACCCCATGGAGTCTAGGCGTGCTGTGCTGTGTAAAGACATGCATCGAGGATCACAGCCAGGGCGACCGTTCCAGATAGATTGCCTGCGCATCTCATTTTCGAGTCCGATCATAATAGCAACCACTATATACGGAGACCATCCCCAAACACCATGCACGTCCCCCAGCACGGTCAGGGAGGGGAGAAGGTTGCACTTGTCTTACTGTGTCGCAACTGTGGACGACTCGAGCAGCACGAAGCGAGAGCGAGATGATCGGGCTAAACCACGGTCCTAAAAAAAAACCTGAAACTTGGCTTGACTCGACCCTCCGTATTCCTGATTAGGAAAACGCAGGCCCCGTAGGCAAGCCTTACTCCGTAAGTCTAAATCCGTCTAGAAGCGATGATCTGCCCATGGCCCCTGCTCGCCAGATAAAACGCTCCAACCGACCCATGCCCAAGGGTCGACTAGCGGCGAAGCTGAAACGGCCGCGCCCTTGAGAGCCCACGGTCTATCCAGTGGAAACCTGGGGCTTTTGGTTTTAGTTTATTTGGATTTTGCTTTTTGCATTTCTCCGTGGGTTGACTGACGGAGTTATAATTATAATAATAATAGTAAATAAATAATAATAAAGAATAGTATTTTCTCTGCCCCTTCTCTTCCATTCCATTCGTGTTCTATCCGCCCACCCATCGGTTATCCCTGATGGAGCCACGGGGCTTGGACTAGTCAAATCTCGTCTTTTGTTTGGCTCGCTACACGAGCGCAGGTTGTTGGTTTTTTGGTATAGGCACAACAGCGGGAAAATCACCCTACGTAAACGATGCTGTTCGGGGTGGAGGACGGGGAAACGTATTCCACCCGAATGGACTCGAACAGGAGCAATTGGTTCCCGACTCCCAGGACTGACTCCAGGCAAGTCTGTGCGGTACTACTGAATACCACCCGGACAAGCTCGGGGGGTGGATCGCGAACACCGTACGCAGACGGAGTAGACTGAGGAACATTCATTATTTTTTTATGCTTCCGACTATGACACCAACCCCGTCATTATTTTTTTGGGTTTCTCTAAAAAGTCGTCGACCTGCAAAAAGAGCCTTTTGGCATTTGTCCCAGGGGATCGGGTACATCCGATCCAACATAACCGATGCAAGGCCAAGAAGCGTCTTCCAACGGATTCCCAAATTTTAGATTTCCCTCCCCGACCGTCAACGCTAAAGCCAGTCGTCAGCGTGGATACGACACCCGACCAGTCAGAACCGTCCAAAGGGGGATGGAGTCGGAAAAAAAATAAAGGCAAAAAAGAAAAATTGGTTCTGGCTCGCCTCCTCCCCCCCGATGCCAAAAGAAGCAAGATCCAAATAAATTAATTGATTGATAGGGAAGGTCTCTCCAGTCTCCAAAACCCATATCATACTCCTTAAAGTGGCCGGTCCAGCTTCTCCTGCGCTACGCCATCGTGCTCCATCTGAAATAGACTACGAACTCCACCATCTCGAGCCCAGCTTTTCCGGGCCCTCTCATTGGCGAGCGCCCGTCCAGACTATTTAAATTTTAATCTGCGGAAGAACGGAAAATGACAGGGGTCAAGAGGGCGATGCATGCTCTCTCCTGCCTCTGCATATGCAAGCCCTCAGCAATAAACCTGAGGAAGGTACTGCTCTTTGTTTCGAGCAGGCAACGGGGCGAGGGTAGGTCAGGTCGTACCTCATGGTCGCAGCAAGGTCAACCACCTACCATTTGGAGCCACCGACATACATCCAGAGTACGGGCGGGGAGGTATTCTGTACGACGTTATACGATCGTGTAATGCGCTCAACCCCTAGGTACTCTTTTTTTTCTTTTTTCTTTTTTTTACCTCCAAAGCCGGGTGGATCCCAGCTTGATTTAGTGCGGGCCGGTTGATCAATGCCAGCCTGAGCAGGACGTTGAGATCAGACCTCCCCGGCGTGATGATTGGCCGACGGAGGATCTCGGGGGGTCCGCTGATCTGCCAAACCATTTTGGGCCTAGGGTACCCGCCCTACCGGTCCGCCCGTGATCAGCGGGAGGCAACTTGAAAATCGTAATCCCCGTACGCCGCCCCTCCGTATGCACGCCGTATCGCTCCCCCTTACCCGCCCGTTACCGCACTGCCCTGGTATGCATATTTCGTCGTATGGAGTATGCCCGGGGAACGGTGTTCAGGGGTTTCGGGATCTTGGCATCGGAGAACTCAGCCTCATGGGCTTCACTTGATTTTTTATTTTATTTTAATCTACTTTATACGGAGTGCATCCATACATTCATTCGAGGACCGTGGCCAGCTGAAATGATGTCAGGCAGGTCCCTATCTAGGGATGTGATGCATTTTCTACACATCGCGTATGGAGTAATACAGCGAACAACTGAGACAGACAGCTTGTTACCACCGACTTTCCTTTCTCCATCTCTCGTCCTATCGCCCGTCACCACTTGCCTTCCCCTCTCTTCTCCCTACCCGTCGGGGAACTGAAAGTCATGTTCACCGAGAACAAGGATGCCACTCCACTGACCGAGAGTCGGTGTCACCCCGAGCCCTCGCTCAGGTCAGCATGGGGTCAGTAATTTACGTCAGGGTAATTTTTCCCCGCTCAAGGAGACTGGAGAACACACAAGCCAATTCCCTCTTTGGGTGCGAGTCAGCGAACGTCCAATGAGGCCTGGGCGAGAACGCTGCCTTGCCCAATGGGGTATTTCCACTGTCATTGGCGACCACAGGGAAACCCGTACCTTACCGTACCTCATTCTTGGCCTCGTCCCTCGTCCCGTACGGTACCCGTATAGGTCAGGTCGGGTACCTCCCGTACGACGTACGTACGCAATACATACGGCAAGCAACCGCCAAACCGGCCCTTCTCGATACGAGCCCTGACCAACTGGCTCTCACCGTCCGGACCAGCCCTTTGCTCGGCCATGCCACTAAACTCTGCCGCAGAGGCCAAAGCACAAACCATTCCGGCACAAGGGGTTCTTGCAACCCACGTGGACTTGTCAGATACCAGCCGTTGCGACTCGATTACAGCACCATACCACGGTCTGTCCGATACCTTGGGTATTGGGGTACGGTATAGGCTGTCGGGTATTGTATTTACTCTCTCCTTCCAGTTTCTCCAAGGCCAGGTCCCTTGACCTTCGTCTCCCTGATTCGCGTTCCCTTCTAGCAGGGGGCATCCAGTTAGCACTCCGTCTGTTTTGGCCCCCTCCTTCCCTTCCCTCGTCCTCTGCCTTCTTTGGTCCTAGTCCGCTATCTAGACCTTTCCCCGTTCTCTGGACACAACGGTTTTTGGCAGCCATGACTTGCGCAGTACGTCGGGTCGAACCAGACTCTCAAATGACGATGCTCGTGTGCGTTCCATGGCGCTGACCCTGTCGCGTCGACGGTCACAGAGTCGATACTAATCTTGGAACCCGAACATGGCCGGACCTGCCGAAGAATTTTGATCGATCTGGTTTGAAACGGACGCTACGGAATAGATGCTCATACGGAGTACGGAGTAGAGGATAATAGGCATGTACTTTACTTGACTCCTTTTTTTTTTTTTTTTTTTTTTTTTTTCCCCTTCCTTCCAGCTTTGCCCACCCGGTGGCTGTGGCCCATGTCAACCCAAAACCAAAATTTGGTCCCTCGCACTTCTTAACTCTTTTCTATCCTTATTGACCTGTTCCATTCCTGCGATGGTATGTGCAGGAATGGCTTCATGGGTTCGATTCCTACGTACCTGCCTGATTCGGGCGGATTTTTTTTCTTTTCTTTTTCTTTTTTTCTGACTCAAACTCTCCAAATCAGACCCATCCATCTACTTCTCTAACTCCTGTTCCTTTCTACCTATCGTTCTTACCCCTGAATTGGGCCCTCCCGTGCAGTGCAGTCGATCTCGACTCCAGATAAGCTGGCAAATACAAATACACCCCTGCGTGTTTTTGCCTGTTGCTCCACTGGATTGAAGGTCCACTCGGGCTACGGAGTAGTATCTTACTGACTTGCACTTACGGCCCGACATGCCTGGTTTTACTTGGCTTTTGGTTGTTGATATCGAGGATTTGGGCATTTAGGACTGTAGGAGGCACTCCGTACATACTCCGTAGTATACGGACATGCAGACTAGGGCTGGCGGGCGGAGGCGGCTAGATGGCTGGTTGCATTTTTTTTTTTCGTAAAAAAATAAACAAAAACCCCTGCACCCTATACGGAGTACTCCGTACACGGAGAGGCGAGAGAACAGTGTGTGATGTGAATGAGTGCTGACGGCTGAGCGCCGGCTAATGCAAGTTCCAGGAAGATTAACTGCATACACATCCACCGAGGATAAACCTCGGGACGAGAAGTACCGAGCCATCTTCCTGGCCATTATCACCGTCGTTATAATAATGATTATTATTATGATTATTATTGATCTGAATTTTCGTCCTCGATTTAATGTATCTGTCCATTTTCGACGCACCCCAGTCACGATCTAATCCGATGTCAGCACTACTCGAACAGGGTCAGCTGGGCCCGAAGAGCTTCTGAAGGCGATCTTCATCCGTAAAACGCCCGCGAAAATCATGGATCTGAATCATCTCTTTCTTTTTTCTTGTTTCTTTTTTTTTTGCCCCCCTTCCCCCCCCCCCTCTTGAGTGACAAAAGTACCTACTCCGGAGTACGGAGTACTCTGGCTTGCTTACATCTGGTCCCCGATTCTACTCTTCCAGCGACACCGGCTCTGTCGTCATCGATCTAGCCCTCTGCATCGATTCCGGGTTTGGATGCTTCTTCTCCCCTTACTCTGTACATCCCTGCCTCTTTGCTTCTCTTTGGTCGGTTGCCGAGTCAAGCCGAGTCGAGTCCTTTTTTTTTTTTTTTTTTCGTCAGACCCCAAACTTGCCCTCGGTGCTTGTACTAGGCTAGGCCTTGGCTGACGGACCTAGACAAGAGGATACGAATCCACGAGAATAGTCGAAGCCCGGCGGGCCAAAAAACCCCGGAAAAAAAAAGAAAATAAAAAAAATAAAAATCAACTGACCAGACAATGCATCTAGGTCCTCTAGCAGGGGGGTGTGTTCAAGTCTGGAATCACCGGGAAGCCAGAGAGAGAAACGGAGAGAGAGAGAGAGAGAGAGAGAGGGAAGCTGACTCGATCTGAGCGGTGGCAACGACAAGCACAGAAGCCAGAAACCAAACCCATGAGGTCGAATGGTTTTTATTTTTATTTTTATTTTCAGCGACCGCCACCGCATTCCTTTCGTCGTGAATAAAAAAAGAGGGTCAAGAGGAATTGATTCGTTCGAGATCTCTCTCCCCCACCCCCCTCCCTCTCTCTTCTGGTCCTCTTGCATTCGAGCTTGGAGGGGGGAAGCTAAGAATGAGACCAGACCAGGTTGCGAAGTCCGTTCATTGGATTGATCACAGGTGGACAGGTTAAAAGGGAAAAAATAAAAGAGACCCGGAGAGGACAAGGAAGAGGGGAAATTTGACGCTGTGAATCCTGACTCGACATGATGCCATGAAACCCTCCTTTCCTTGGGAGAGGGGTTCAAGGAGAGAAAAAAATGGCAAGGAAAAAAAAGAAAAGAAAAATGATAGAGTCCAACCACATCCTCGAAAAGCCAAATAAAAAAGAAAAGAAAGGGAAAGAGGAAGGGCTCTGGCTCAACGAACAGAAACGGGCTTCTTCCTTGTCCGAGCGATTTCAAACCGTCCGGGCCAGGACCAAGGACTGGGTTGGAAATCCGTCTCTGCCCTTCTCGTTCCCCTCTTTTCTCTTCTGTTTTTTTGGTCTCTCCCTGGAGGGTCATCCAGCAGGTCGTCGTCATACCCTTTTTCTTTTTTCCCTTTTCTTTATCAATCAATTCTGAACCTGGCGTTCATGGGGAATGAGGGGGTGGGCAGGCGCCTTATGCGCGGGTTTTCTTGTCCTTGCGGCTTTTTGGGGGCGTGGTGCGTATGCTCTTGTGTACACCGGGTTTGGCCATAGGTTGGGTGGACTGCTCATGTCCTTGGAAGTGCTGGGATTGTCGGATCTTCAGAGATTAGAGTAGTTGAGAGGTTACCATTGTAGATTGTATGGCATGGGTTGACTCGTAGAATCTTAGCTTGGAGATGTCTAACAGCGTCTGCCTATGCCTATTGATATTATTCACTAAGTCTATGTATATGTACTTCTCGGCTATACTACTAACACCCGTGTTCGAAGTACTGTACACACCTGATAAGCGCTGCTGACCTTTTTCTCGAGTCTTGATATGAACCTAGCGAAGCAGACGACTCAGGTACATCCATGATTCTGCAATACCTCAAAGACCAAATAAATGCGTTTAACAAATTAGCTATCTTGCTATTATTGCCTCTACCTGCGTTGAAAACATGATCTCTATCTCGGAGAGATTAATTGAATACCAGAGATGTTGCCCTAGGGGCAACATGGCATGGACATGCCTTGCATGAGACCCTCAGACAGAATCGACAAGATACCTCCGCGCCTTCTCACCATCGTCTTGTAAGCTGCATCATCTGGTACATTACAAAGGCAGATCACATAATGCCAATGCTTGGATTTTAATCGATTTAGGTGCTGTGAGTTATACGTTCCCTGTCTGCCCTGGCTCCCTGGCTCCCCCGTAACAACTTACAGGGTGAAATATCCTCTTTCTTGATCTGAGTTTCGTACATGAATACATTGAGCTAACTTATATCTCATACTTCTCTAGATGGACAAGCATCTATTCCTCATGGCAGCGACCACGACCACGACGATAGCCGCGAGACCGAGAACAACCACAAACACGAGCCCTGTCACCAGTATAGGCCGGATTATTTGAATCGAATAGGAATTGAGGGAAAACTAAAATTCAAGATCCAGATTCAGTTGGTTCTAAATCTTTCTGTTAAGAAATAAGAGACATGTCATTTTGGTTATGGGTTGAGTCGCCTTTCGAAATGAAAGAAAGCAGAGGGGCTCCGTGCTCGCTTTCAGCGGAACATTCATATCAATATCTTCGAATTGGAAAAGCCTACGATAAATGAATGAAGCAGCCGGTGGAAAAGAACAGATTGCTCAAATACATTCCCTTTAACTGGCAGTTGCTACCTAAAGGGATGCTCCTGGACCTAACAAGGCATGAATTTTGGTTCTTTAATGCTTGAAGGCCTCACATTCCATAAGAAAGAAAGCTAATTAAGCTAATTGACTGCTATGATAAAGAATGACAAGTACGAGTAATGCGCGGATCCTGCAGTGTCTTACCAGCTCCATAGACCGTAACAGTTTCCAAATAAGATAGCAATGGATGCAGTTGACAGTGTTGTTCAAAGAGCGTGTCGAAAAGGTAACAAAAAAGAAAAGAAAAAGAAGGAAGAACATTCAATCAATAACTCCGTCTCACGAATTGGACAGTCCCCGAAGAAAATAACTGAAAGATAATATCATCCCTGGCTACAGACAAGTCTCAGTAAGATGAAGATGACCATTTGGGCAATCAAGCCTAGGAGTGCTTACTCGTGCCCGTCACAACTATACCAAAATGCCAATCACCTGGCAGATCCATTTCACTGCACAGGTTTCTCTTTAGGCTCAGTATTGCCGGGTTTTATCGAATCGTTTGGAGGCACCAATGGGGCTTTTTCTTTGGCCGATCGTGCCTGTCTCAAGGATCGATGTATGCTGATTCTCTCTTTGGCTCTGGGATCAACGAGTTGAACTGGTGGAGGACTGCTTGGGACATTTGTCTTATTTGCAGGCGGCGGCACTGCACCACTCGATCCTCCCGGGGGTGGCTTTTGAGACTTAGTATATGCAATTGAGCCTGCACCGATGAGTCCTAGGAGAAAGGCAACTTTTGTGAACCGGGTGAACCTCGGGCGCCCCGGAGACGTAGGAGGAATGTTTTGGGTAAAGGGTCCTCGTTTGTGGCTCGCATGGAATTGGTGGCCATGCCGGGGAATCCCAAGCATTCTCGATGAGAGAGCACCGTAGAAACTCGGAGAGCGACGTTGATAGAAGCGAATGACGTTCATAATGATGGTCAGTAAGTTGATGATGAATGATGATGAATGAGTGGGAGAAGATGAGAAGAGATCGTAGAAAAGAATAACCACTAACTTATAGAAATGAGAAAGGAAGGAGTGATTATCAAGGTTGGAAGGTAGAAGGAAAGTGCTCCCTATTACCGAGTGGAACACACACCCATTGAAGCACTGAAAGGCTCGTGCTACCTTATGTTCCCAATATCCACAGCTTGAGCCTAGTGTTATGGATCAGTAGTGGTAGAGTTAAGCTTCTTATGTTCATACATTTTGTCAGTAATTATAATCGTGATCACTCTTTCATCACGTACCTCGAGCCGTTGGAAATTGGCAAAATCCTGCATTCTAGCAAGGTGTGTATCGGCTTCCAGGTCGAATGGCCGGTGTAGAATATCTCATAAAATAACAAACCGAGATATAATCCGACAAATGGGGAGTTGAATGGGGAGTGAAGAGAAATGGAGAGGTGGGAACGAGAGAAGAGAGGTGATATCTAGTCCCGGGTCACATGTGTAGGCAGTCGCTAGTAAAGAGCAGAAGCGAAGTACCCCGATTTATTTTCGAAGGGACGCAATAAGATAAGAAAGCTGCCCATATTGGCTTCTGAACCTACTTCTACATTGAAAATTTAATAGGAGTTTGTCAATTTGAGGCTTCCTAAGCGCTAGTAGATAGATCATGCAAAGACCCAAACTCGGCTACAGAGACAATCTAGCCCTTGATGAACACAGGCATCGAGTCAATTGGGCAAGCAACCTCGACCTCCTGCCCTCCCTCGTGAGATTTGTCTTCTCCCCAGAGCTTCCACGATGCGCCTTTGGGCAGGTAAGCGCTGATCTTGCGCTGTCCTGCTTCCAGCACCGGCACCACGAGATACTTGGAGCCATACATGTACTGAGTCTCCACGTCCCAGGCTTTCTTGTCATCCGGGAATTCATAGAACAGAGTGCGGATCACCGGGGTGCCCTTCTCATGAGCCTCCTTCATGAGGCTTCTCGTGTAGTCCCGGAGCTCTTCACGGATATTGATGTACTTCTTGCATATCTCGTACACCTCTTCTCCGTAGGACCAAACTTCATTGTTGGATCCGGAAGCAGTAGGCTGACCTTCTGGTTTCGGCTCACGATCGCCATGCAGACGCATCACCGGGCAGAAGGCACCCCATTGGAACCATCGAGTGAAGAGCTCCCTGAAAGCAGGATCGTCGGGATTGCCTCCGTGGAATCCGCCAATGTCGGTGGTCCACCACGGGATTCCGGCCAGTCCCATGTTCAAACCGGCAGATAGTTGACTGCGGTACGCACCCCATGACGATGCAATGTCACCGCTCCATACGAGGGCCCCGTACTTCTGGCTTCCTGCCCAGGCAGACCGGAGCAGGTTCACGATGTTCTTCTGCCCTTCCGCAGTCATGCCTTCATAGAAACCCTTGGCATACTCTTTGGGGAAAATGTTTCCGATCTGGAGGTTGCTGCCGGCATGGTAGCGGAAGATATCAAAATCATAGATGGAATATTCTGGCTCGGCTTCATCAAGCCAGAACACTTTAATGCCCTTCTCATAGTAGTTCTTCTTCGCCTTCTCCCAGACATACTTGCGAGCTTCCGGATTAGTCGCATCGAAATGCGTAATGTCGCCATCGCACTGCATCGCAATGCGCAACCCACGATCGTGCCGAATCAACAGCCCGCGTTCAAGCATTTCTGGATAATTCTCGGATAGGTTCTCGACGGTCGGCCAGACGGACACCATAAGCTCAACGTTCAGCTCCTTAAGCTCTTTCACCATGGCATCTGTACGTTTAAAAAGAATTCTACGTTAGCTTTGAATGCCTTGGTTGGATAGCTCAAATGACTTACCAGGATCGGGCCAAAACTTAGGATCAAAGCTCCATTCCCCTTGGTGCTTCCAGTGGAAAAAGTCGATGACAATCAGATCCAGAGGCACCTTTCTTTTCTTGTATTCCCGCGCAACGTCAAGGAGTTGCTCTTGGTTCCAGTACCGTAGCTTGCACTGCCAGAATCCCAGGCCATATTCAGGCATCATGGGGACATAGCCAGTGACGCTGCTGTATGCCTCCTCAATCTCAGCCGGGCTGTCGCCGGCCACCACCCAGTAATCCAGTGTCTTGGTTGAATAAGCCTCGAAGCTCGTGGTGTTTGTTCCGAAGACCGCCCGTCCAATACCGGGGTTGTTCCACAGGAAGCCATAGCCCAAGGAAGAAAGAGCAAAAGGCACACTGGCTTGGGAGTTCCGGTGAGCCAACTCGATGTCTGCTCCTTTCAGGTTCAGATTTGGCTGCTGGTATTGACCCATTCCGAATATCTTCTCCTTCGGATCCAGCGATTCAAAGCGCAGGGTGAGGTGAAAATCGCCGCCCAGGATGGGTCGCAGCTCGCGAGCCTCGATCTCCAAGGCACTGCATTTCGGGTCCATCGGATCACGACGATGACGAGCATATTCCTCCAGCAGCTTTTCCCCCTTAGAATTGTAGATGATCAGCTTGCCTCGCCGAGAGACAACCGCCTTGATCTTGCCGTTGGAGATACTTGCTTCCTTCCCCTCGGGCGTCTCGACCGTTGTGTTGCTTGTCGCAGGCTTGGTGGAAAGAGCCCAATCTTCATCTGGCATCGACGACAGCTTCGTAGCCCTGACACGGAGGGCATTCTCGCCCCATGGTTGGACCCAAAGGAGGTGGTCGTCGAAACGGAAGACCAGCTTGTCGCTTTCAGCGTAAAGCATTGTGAACGGAGGGAGTGGGCGAAGTATTAATTCAGAGGTTCGAGTTGACAGAGCGTCAGAAGAGCACAGTCGGGGGGACAATTTAAGTCACGCAGGAATCGCATGCGTCATTGTTTCCCCTCATCGTGAACCTCCCAGCGCATCGCTTCCACCATGCAATGCGTGCATCCAGCAATGCGACAACAGGCTAATCCATGTCCACCGTTGCCAATTGAACGACCCACGGTGTCACCCAGAGGGAGCACAAAGACCACAGAAGCCCTTTCTGTTGGATGAAGGAGAGTTGGAGTGGGGGCAACCCATTGATTGTCTCACGATGCGTCGACACGAAGGAGCCAAGGAGAAATGCCACCGAAGGCGGATCTCAATTAACCGGCGGAAGCGCCGTCTTGGGACACCCAGATTAGGCTAAATGGAAATGCATCGCGAGGCAAACGAGAAGCGGGGAAACTTCGACTTGATCCTGGTCGTTCTTAAGTGATATTGTATTGACCTGGTGATGGCCATCTCGTCCCATCGTCTCTTGGGATCAACCCTCAATTCATCCTCTCCATCACCATCTTGAGAGGAAGGAGATATTTACTTCCGCGATGCCCTGAACGGAAACCAGATAAAAAGGCTTTTTTCTCGCATTCTCCGGACCCGCGCCACGGATGAAATCCTCCTAGGCCTCATGATGTCACAAACCAGCGGCCTTCTGACCTCGTGATAGGACGGTGATCGGGATCTAAGGAAGATCCAAGAAAACATAAGGTCTGAAACCAGTGGATAGGATTCTTGGCCTTGGAAAAGGCGAGGTTATCGGCAAAATCCAGGCTGAGCGATCTGGTATATCATCGGCGACAATGAGATCAATGCGGGGTATCGAAGATGACCCCAGAATGACCCCAGAAATTGACGATGATCCGAGGGAGATGTGGCTTGCTTGATTCCAGATTGGGAATTGGCCGGTTGAGGTTAAATATGCCGTGTTTCCCTTCCAGACCGGAGAGATTCTACCTATACTAGCTCTTGACTTCCTTTGTGTCTGGGCTAGCATTGAATCCCACGATGAAGACCGACGAGATCAACAAAGAGCAGACGGCTCACATCGAGCATTCGTCGCCGACTGCCGAGAACAAGGAGGCCCAACAAGCCTCGGCCGCTGAGCGTCAGACCACGTTCTGGGAGGCCCTCAAAAGCAACCACAAGGCGGCGCTATGGTCGGCTGCCATTTCCCTGACAATCATCATGGAAGGCTATGATGTCGGTAAGTCCTCATAACGAGCTCCGATTCTCTGGGTTCCCATTAACGGTGATCACCAGGCCTCATCTACCAATTCTTCTCCTATCCGGCCTTTCAACGGACATTCGGGGCATACCGTCCAGAGCAAGATGGCTACGAAGTCTCCGGGCCCTGGCAAGCTGGTCTCAGCAACGGTGCCAATGCCGGTATAGTCATTGGTGGCTTTTTGAACGGATACCTATCAACACGATATGGATACAAAAAGGTCCTCTTAGGCTCGCTCTTCTTTATGAATTGGTTTATCTTTATCCTGTTCTTCGCATCTTCGGCGCCGGTGCTCCTCGTTGGACAGATCCTATGCGGATTTACCTGGGGAGTCTTTGCCACGACAGGACCAGCTTACGCGTCGGAGGTATGCCCGCTGGCCCTGCGTGGGTATCTGACCTGCTATGTGAATCTTTGCTGGGCCATTGGCCAATTCATCGCCTCAGGGGCTCTTTACGGGCTACTAAAGATCGAAAACGAATGGTCCTATCGAATTGCATATGCCCTGCAATGGATCTGGCCCGTCCCTCTGTTCATCCTGATCTTTTTTGCTCCGGAATCCCCCTGGTGGCTAGCCCGGAATAACCGGCTGGACGATGTCTACAAATCACTCGCGAAGCTCGACAATCGCGGTCAGGAATCGCACCAGAAGACGTTGGCGCAGATCCTACACACGCTGGAGCTCGAGCAGAAGATGGAGGCTGGCTCGAATTATCTAGACTGTTTTCGAGGAATCGATCGACGTCGCACCGAGATTGTCTGCATGAGCTTTGCTGGCCAAGTCTTGTCGGGCTCTGCTTTTGCCTACACGCCCACCTACTTCTTTGTGCAGGCGGGAATTAGTACGGACAACGCCTACCAGATCGCCGTCGGGGGCACGGCCATTTCCTTCGTCGGAACGGTGATTTCATGGTTCCTGCTCGGTCGCTTCGGTCGTCGCCAGCTATACGTGGGCGGAATCGCCACCTTGACTTGTCTACTGCTCATCATCGGCATCATTGCGTCGGCATCCGAATCCGGCGGCGCCAAATGGGGGCAGGCTGCTTTATGTCTGGTGTGGCTTTTCACTTATTCCACCACCCTAGGCCCCATTACTTTCACCATCATCTCCGAGACGTCGTCCATCCAGCTGAGAGCCAAGTCCGTTTGCTTGTCGCGGAACGTCTATAACATCACGCAAATCATTGCGAATATCATTGAGCCGTACTTGATCAACCCGACGGAGGCTGATCTGAAGGGCAAGACAGCCTACTTCTGGTTCGGCACGGCGGCTTTGACCACACTCTGGGCCTATTTCCGTCTACCAGAGTGCGCCGGCAGGACGTACGATGAGCTGGATGTCATGTTTCATCAGAAGGTGCCGGCCAGGAAGTTTGCCAAACACCAAGTCAACGTTTATGATGCGGATGTACTGCAGAAGAAAGAGTCCGCAGAGAGGGCAGTGGACAACAGGGAGTACGAAAAATGAGGATTGCATTTGGTATTTGCTTAGGATTATATTTGGGGGTGTATGTACGCAGTATGTAGTTAGAAGCATCCTCCCTTTCAGGCAAGACTTTAAGGCCACCAAGACTCGGGCGGTGTACTTGGAGGACCTCAGGCTGCCAGTAAGGCTGCCCCTGTCAGGAAGTGATAGCGGTGATCTCATGCATGACATTGCGGTGAGGGCACTTCCTTTGCAACGTGTCACATTCCACAAATTGTCGGTCAGCGTGTTCTCAGAAGCAGCAGTATTATGATTGTTCAATGAAATAAAACACATACCAGGTGCAGGGTTCCATTCGAACGGAATTGGTCGATTTTCTATCATCACATCCCAGACGGTACGACAACCGCCGTGAACAAGAAACAGAAGGGAAAAGAAGATAAATCAGCTGCAGTGCGCAATGACAGGCGAGATGTATGTTAGACAACTCCCAAGAGAGCACTACTTAGCCGAAACGTGGTGGCAAGTCCGCTGCGACCCAGAAGTGATATGGACAAGCTGTGTATCTTTGAAGGCCCTAATGATGACAGGTCAAACGAACCACACGAAGCAGCACAAGGCTCAACCGTTGACAATGAAGAAAGGGCCGTGGCTTCTCAAGGAAGGAGGAATGGGGACAAAAGATACCTGCTCAGCGAGGCGGACATGTTGAAATTGAAGGAGTGGAACGGATTGGCGCCAGAGCAAGTGGACCAGTGCTTGCACACTTTAATCGTGGAGCGGTGCCGGGCCCAGGAGAGTGCCCCCGCTGTGTGCGCATGGGACGGCGAGTTGACATACGGTGAGATGGATGTGTTGTCGTCGGCACTGGCGGTGCACTTGAAGGAGCACGGCGTGGGAATGGAGATGTTCTTGCCATTGTGCTTCGAGAAGTCTCGCTGGACTTCTGTGGCCATTCTAGGAGTCCTCAAGGCAGGGGCTGCATTTGTACTGCTGGACCCGAAGCAGCCACTCTCGCGGCTGCAGGAACTGTGTAGCACCGTGAATGCTGCACTTGTTCTGTCTTCTTCAGCCAACCAGTGTCTCTGTGAAAAGCTGGCAGGTACTGTAGTGGTGCCGAGCAGCGTCCTGGAAGCCCCTTCGTTGTATGGGCCACAGGGTTCTACTCCGACAGCCGTTGTCCGGCCACATAATGCTGCCTATGCCAGCTTTACTTCCGGGTCCACGGGGCGGCCCAAGGCAGTCGTTGTCGAGCATTCGGCAATTTGCTCTAACGCTCTGGCTCACAATGCCAAACTACACTTGCATGAAGCGTCCCGTGTCCTGCAATCAGCTTCATATGCATTCGGGGCCAGCATTCTGCAGATGGTCATGACCTGGATAGCTGGGGGATGCGTCTGCGTCCCTTCGGAATCCGAGTGTCGAGACAGCCTCGCAGCGGCAGCCCGCAATTTCAAAGTCAACTGGGCTTTTTTTACGCCTTCTTTCTTAAGAATCGTTCGACCACGGGATTTGTCCAGCTTAAAACATGTCTTCCTAGGGGGAGAGCCACCCGCACGGAGCGACATTACCGCGTGGGCAGACAATGTCCAGGTCAGTGGAGCTTACGGTTCTGCCGAGTGCTCTATTCTCTGTGCCATCGTCGAAAACATGAGGTCACTCTCGATCCCACAATCAATCGGTCAAATGACCGGGAGTGTTGGGTGGGTTGTCGAGCCTGACGATCATCATCAATTAGCTCCTCTGGGGATGGTTGGAGAGTTGCTGGTGGAAGGACCAAGCCTGGCCCGCGGCTACCTAGGTGATTCAAACAAGACCGCCCAAGTATTTATCGAGGCACCGATCTGGTTTTCGGAATATTGGGAGCGGTTTAACAAGACGATACGACGAGCTGGCAGAATGTACAAGACCGGCGACCTCGTCCGGTACAACCCCGACGGCAGCCTGACCTTCGTGGGACGGAAGGATACACAGGTCAAATTGCACGGTCAGCGGGTGGAGTTAGGGGAGGTCGAGCATCACATCCGGGGTAGCCTGTCTGGCAATGACGCTCCGCCGGTCGTGGCTGAGGTGGTGACGCCGTGTGGCAGCGACCACCCGCTGCTGGTCGCATTCATCGCAGCTGGCGAGACGTCCAGAAGCCCCGACCCAGCGCAGGCCGCGCTGAAACGGTGGGTGCAAGGCCTAGGGGACTGGCTGGCGGAGCGACTGCCACGGTACATGGTGCCGAGCGCGTATGTGGCCATCGACACGATCCCATTGACGGCGACGGGCAAGACAGACCGCCGACGGCTTCGCGAGATAGGAGCAGCGCTGACACCGGAACAGTTGGCAGACCTGCTGCTTCCGTCCCGAAGTGCTCTGGACGCACCGGCAACGGCGATTGAGAAACAGCTGCTTGGTCTGTGAGCTGGCGTGCTCAATCTCCCCCCCGACAGGATCAGCACAACCGACAATTTTTTGCGGATTGGTGGTGACTCTATAACGGCCGTGCAGCTCGTTGGAGCGGCTAGGGACCAGGGACTATCGCTGACGGTGACCCAAATCTTCGACGCGCCCCGACTCTGCGACATGGCCTCTGTTGTTCGGGCAGAAGGAGACGCCGAGGAAACCATCTTGCCCTTCTCCCTGCTCCGGCCGGGAACCGACGTGGATCTTGCCCGAGCGCAGGTAGCGTCCCAGTGCGGTGTTGAGCCGAACCTGGTGGAGGATATTTTCCCATGCACCTCACTGCAAGAAGGCATGCTCGCCATAACGGTCAAGCGACCTGGTAACTACGTTCATCAGGCTGTCCTCGAGATGTCGGGCGACGGCGACACCGTGAGGTTGGAGCGAGCCTGGCGAGAGGTTGTCGCGACGATACCGATCCTACGAACGCAGATCGTGAACCTGGCAGGTCAAGGGTTGGTTCAAGTTGTGATTGCGGAACAGGACACGTTCACGGTGGGCTCCGATATTGGGGCGTATCTGGAAGCAGATAAACAGGAGCCCATGGGACTCGGCACGCCCCTTGCCAGGTTTGGTATCATCGACAGTCCTCGGAGTCAGCGCCCAGTAGTCGTGTGCACGATACACCACGCACTGTTCGATGGCTGGTCGATGTCCCTCGTTCGGAAACAAGTCGAACAGGCATATCTCGGCCGTCCCCGAGACCGTCTGGTTCCGCTCCAGGGATTCGTTCGACATATTCTCCAGAACACCGAAGGCGCGAACGAGTATTGGCAGAGCCAGCTCGGCCAGTCCGAGGCAGTGCCCTTTCCAAGTCTGCCATCTCCCGGCCACCAGCCGGAAGCGGACGACGTGCTTCAACATCAGATATCGGGACTTCAGTGGCCACAGAACGACATCACCCCATCGACGGCAATCCGCACGGCCTGGGCGATTCTTCTAGGGCAATACACCAATACGGCCGATGTGATCTTTGGGGCCACGGTAACCGGACGGCAGATGCCTGTCCCGGGGGTGGAGCGCATGGCGGGTCCCACAATTGCGACAGTCCCCGTGCGAGTGAGGTTGGACTGGGAAGCGGATATTCATGTTCTCCTCCAGAAAGTACAGGCACAGGGTACGTCAATGACGCCGTACGAGCAAATGGGTCTCCAACAGATCCGGCGGATCAGCCCCGACACAGAACGGGCCTGCCAATTCCAAAATCTCTTGGTGGTTCAGCCCCCAGCTCCAGGGAACGGGAGGAACGATCAAGATACACGGTTCAAGCTCAGCACGAAGACGGAAAACGAGGGTGGCGATGCAACATGGAGAAACACGTTTAACACATACGCCATGATGGTAGAGTGTTATCTCGAAGAGGACGGGACGATGGTCTGGATCAGTTTTGATTCACGGGTTATGGACAGAGTCCAGATCCAGCGAATCGCAAGGCAGCTGGAGCATGTGCTACACGAGCTGTGTGCCCAGCAGCGCGGGCAGGTACAGACCAGAGACATCTGCGGACCGAGTAAAGGGGATCACCAGGAACTCGAACAATGGAACAGAAAGGTACCGGAACGGGTGGACCGTTGCGTACACGAATTAATCGCGGAACGGTGTCAATCCCAGCCTGATGCTGCAGCGGTATGCGCGTGGGACGGCGACTTCACCTATACAGAGCTAGACAGGCTATCGTCCGTACTAGCAGCACACCTATCCGAACTTGGCGTTGGTCCAGAGGTGTTTGTGTCACTCTGCTTTGAAAAATCACGATGGACCACGGTAGCAATACTGGGGGTGATAAAAGCAGGCGGTGCGTTTGTGTTGTTGGATCCATCGCACCCACGGGCGTGGCTTCAGGCCATCTGCCATATGGTATCGGCCCGGGTGACTATAGCGTCTGTAAAGCAGAAAGGCATTGCGGCCGAGCTACCAGGGCATCCAGTACTCCTTGGAACGGAAGAGAACAAGTGGCGCGAGCATACCCAGGCAGCAATTTCACCAGCCCGTCCGGATAATGCCCTATATGCCGTGTGCACCTCCGGTTCGACTGGCTCTCCGAAAGGTACAATCATTGAACATGCGAGCTTCTGTACTAGCGCTTCCTCATACAGTCGAGCCTCCCACCTGACCTCTCAATCCAGAGTCTTCCAATTCTCAGCTTATGCCTTTGACGCCAGTATTATTGAAAACCTTACAACACTTTTGGTAGGAGGCTGCATCTGCGTCCCGTCAGATGGTGCCCGTCAAGACCATATTGGGGCTGCAGCTAGCCAGCTCGGTGCAACATGGGCGGAACTAACACCGTCGACTGCTCGTCTATTGCAGGGCGAAGATCTGGCGACTGTTGAAACGCTGGTCTTTATTGGCGAACCGGTCACGGCGGCTGATATCACACGGCGTGGAAAGGTCAAACTGGTCAACGCATACGGTCCTGCAGAATGCTCAGCAATCTCTAGTGTGCAATCGAGTATCCGAACCCAGGATACGAGAAATATCGGGCAAGGAGCGGGATGCGTGCATTGGGTTGTTGATCCTCAGGACTGTGAGACATTGTTGCCAATTGGGGCAATAGGGGAGCTGGTGATTGAAGGCCCAGTCGTGGGTCGTGGCTATCTAAACAGCCCAGAGAAGACAGCTGCCGCCTTCATTGATCCACCAGCCTGGCTGCGGAAATTCCGGGGTGATACCTTTACCAGCCAAGCTAATTGCGTCTATAGAACAGGTGACCTGGTGCAGTATGCCGCTGATGGATCGCTCCGCTTCATTGGCCGCAAGGACACCCAGGTTAAGCTGCGCGGTCAGCGTATTGAGCTTAATGAGGTTGAGGTCTATACGCACCAGTATTTCCCAGGGGCGCAGGATGTGGTCGCAGAGGTAGTAACACTAACCGAGACAGGACGGCAAATCCTGGTGGCTTTTGTATGCCTAGATATGAAGACCAATTGTCATGAGAAGGGGATCGTTGCTCCGCCTACTGACATCTTCCGAGCTGCTATACCCACCGCTGAGGCCCGCCTTCACGATGTAGTGCCATCCTACATGGTACCAGCTGTGTTCCTCCAGCTCGCAGCGATACCACTGACCACCACCGGTAAAACTGACCGGCGTCGCCTGCGCAGCTATGCCACAGCTCTCTCGGAGATAGAATTGTACAGCGTTGCCGCGAGTGTTAAGCGTGCACCTACTACGGTAGCAGAGCAGATTCTACAGCGACTCTGGACTCGGGTGCTTAACGTATCGCCCGACGCCATTGGGGCGGATGATAGCTTCTTCCGTATTGGTGGCGATTCCATTACTGCCATGCAGTTGTCAGCTCTTGCGAGAACCGAAGGGTTTACCTTAAGCGTTTCCGATATCTTCCATTACAAGACTGTCGCCGGTCTTGCACCCTTGCTTGACATGAAAGGTCAACAACCCTCGCTTGATGCGGAGGAATTGTGCGATGTCCTCTTCGAGCTGTCGCCTATCCAGAGTCTCTTCTTTGAGACTGTGCCAAACGGCGCCGATTACTTTAACCAGAGCTTCTTGATCCCATTGGCAGGACCAGTCGCCTCCCACGAACTGGCCTGCGCCATCCCAATGATTGTCGACCATCATCCTATGCTGCGCGCTCGTTTCAGTCAACGCAGCGATGGCACCTGGTATCAGGCTGTCTGTACCGATTCAGATACCAGTTACAGATATCACCATTCCGTGGTCACGTCATTACAGGAGGCAAAACCGGTGATGCAAACCAGCCAGCAGAGCCTCGGCATGCGAAATGGCCCTCTATTCAGTGTGGACCTAATCGATATAAGTCCCGATGAACAGCAATACATCTTCTTGGTAGCGCACCATCTCGTGATTGACCTTGTGTCCTGGCGAATTGTACTAGGAGACCTGGAGGACATTCTGCAAAACGGCCACGTTTATGGGATTAAACCCTTCCCGTTCCAGGCCTGGTGCGAACTGCAAGCGGAATATGCCCATAACCATCTGGGCCCTACGGAAGCCTTTCCCTCCAGGTTGCCTCCTGCGGTGCTGGACTACTGGGGAACAAACACACGCCAGAATACATGGGACACCGCAATCCATTGCAGCTTCACTGTCAGCGAACGTATCACATCGATCCTGTTCGGAAAGGCCAACGATGCTCTCAACACACAATCGGTGGACATCTTCCAGGCGGCGCTCTAGCATGCCTTCGTCCGAACCTTCCCTAACCGTGCGCCTCCCACTATATTCAGTGAGGGTCATAGACGGGAGCCGTGGGACCCCGTCATTGACTTGTCCCGTACGGTCGGTTAGTTCACCACGATGTGGCCGATGTACATCCACGGTTCCGACAGTGATTTCGTCGATGTGCTTCGCCAGGTCAAGGACTCGAGGAGACGGACCCCGAGCAACGGCTGGGCATATTTCGCTTCGCGCTTTCTGAACCCGGGGGGCCAGCAGGCTTTCGACACGCACGGTCCGGTGGAGATCGTTTTTAACTATTTGGGCCTATATCAGCAATTCGAGCGGGACGGAGCTCTTTTCTGCCCTCCCGCGGCATCGGTAGATGGTGTGCCTGACATGGCAGGAGACGTACCGCGATTCGCACTGATCGACGTGTCCGTAGGCGCTGAGCGAGGCCGTCTGCGCTTTTCTTTCATTTATAATCGACACATGCAACACCAAGAGGGTATCCGCCGGTGGATTGCAAACTGCGAGCAAACCCTCCTGGGCGCTGCAGAACAGCTAGCGCACATGAGTCAGAGGTACACTCTGTGTGACTTCCCACTGCTCTCTCTGACCTACAATGATCTCGACGCCTTCGTGCGGAAAGTCCAGGCCCATATTCCATCCCTGGAAGTGGAGGGAGCCTACCCGTGCTCACCAATACAGCGTGGAATTCTGATTAACCAGGCGAAAGATGAACGAAACTATCGGACCAGGTTTATATGGAAGGTCATTGCCGGTGAAGATTCGCACTCGGTCGATCTCGGTAGGCTGCAGCAGGCCTGGCAGCGAGTGATCAACCGACACGCTATCCTACGGACAATCTTCATCGATAGTGTATCCGGGGCAAGTACTGACCAAGTGGTGCGAGGCTCTGCTCTCGCGGAGGTCGACGTTGTGAAAGGCACCGTCGGTGACCCAATTGCTGCAATTGAGGAACAGCTCAAGGCGACTGGCGGAGACGGGCGCCTTCTCCATCGACTCTTACTATATGCCGCACCCACTGGAACCTTCTGCGCCCTTGATATCAACCATGCTCTGATCGACGCTCATTCAGTGCAAATCTTGGAACGCGATCTACGGTTAGCATATGATGGAAAGCTTCCCACTGGGCGGGGCCCGCTGTTCAGCGACTACATTGCCTATCTTCAGCGACTACCAGAGGCAGGCGCCGAGGCATACTGGAAAGCATATATGAAGGGTGTCGAACCCTGCGTATTGCCTACCCTCTGTGACCAGAAAGCCGAAGGGGAAGGTCGTTCCCAATTTGTTGCTTCCGTGGACCTTGGGTCCGGGGCCCAACTCCATACATTCTGCCAACACCACGAGGTGACACTGGCAAACCTGTTCCAAGTGGCATGGGGACTACTGCTCCGAACATACACTGGTTCTAGTTCGATTTGCTTTGGATATCTGAACTCCGGTCGAGACGTGCCAGTACCCGAAGTACAGGATACGGTCGGTCCATTCATCAACATGCTAGTATGCCGGATGGAGCCAGCATCAGACACGTCCCTTCTGTCACTGGTGCAGGGGAGCCAGAAGCAGTACCTAGAGAGCCTCCCGTATCAGCATTACTCGTTAGCTGACGTTCTCCATTTGGCAAGGATGCCGTGTGATGAGTTGTTTAACACCGTGATATCCGTGCAACGCCTCGGGACTGGTCACCAGGAGGAAACCAGCATTGGGCTCGAAAGAGTGAGAGGATACGATCCAACCGAGGTAAGTTACAGCCGGCATCGGCGTTGCAGGCCTCGACGGGAGCTGATACGATGATAGTATGATGCCATGGTTACAATTTCTATCGAGGATGAGCATATCAGGATTCACCTCAGTACCTGGACAACGAGCCTAAGTGATAGGCAGGCTCAAAGGGTTTCTAATGCATTAGGTCAGCTAGTATTTGAAATAGTGGAACGGCCCTATTGTACGGCAAGTCAGCTCAATCTCTTGGGTGAGAACGATAGGAAGGAGATCTACATGTGGAATCGAAATGTGCCAAAGCGGGTGGATGAATTAGTCCACAAGCAGATCGAGGAGCGCTGCCGCACCCAGCCAAACTCACCCGCCGTGTGTGCCTGGGACGGTGACTTTACCTATGCGGAGCTGGACCAACTCTCTTCTGCCCTAGCAATACACCTGATGGAATTAGGGATCAGACCGGGGGTTTTTGTTCCACTGTGCTTCGAGAAGTCGCGGTGGACCACCGTGGCGATACTTAGCGTGATGAAGGCTGGTGGAGCATTTGTCCTACTAGACTCGTCGCATCCGTCGGCGCGACTGCAGAGGATCTGTCAGGAGGTGTCAGCCCCGGTGATTGTGACATCGGTGCTGCAGAGATCGAGAGCTGAACAACTAGCGGCGCAGGTCGTGGTCGTGGGCGACAAGGCAGTTTCATGGCAGAATAGGAGCGATCCGTCAAGAGACTCAACGGTGGCCCCACAAGATCCACTGTACATCGTGTTTACGTCCGGCTCAACAGGAAGGCCAAAGGGCGCGATTGTCACGCATGCTGCCTTCAGCAGTAGTGCCCTCCGGTATGGTAATAGCCTGGCACTCACCCAAGAGTCAAGAGTCCTCCAATTCGTGTCGTACGGATTCGATGTTAGCATATCCGATTCTCTGACGACTCTCTTGTTTGGCGCCTGCATATGTGTTCCATCGGAAACGGTACGGATGGAGGATCCAGCTGGCGCTATAACCGCCTATAAAGTCAACTGGGCTCTCCTAACCCCTTCCGTGATAAAATCGATACGGCCACAAGAAGTGCCAAGTTTGCGATCAGTGGCACTCATTGGAGAACCGATGTCAAGAACTGATGTGGCAACATGGGCTGCACACGTTCGACTCGTCAACTCCTATGGTCCGGCCGAGTGCTCTGTGGTCAGCGCTGTTCATGGCGGTATTCATTCTGAATCTGAGGCACAAGTAATCAGCCGTGGAGTGGGTTGTGCATGTTGGATAGCTGACCCGGAAGACCATGAGAGGTTACTCCCTATCGGCGCCGTGGGTGAGCTCCTGATTGAGGGTCCAATAGTAGGTCACGGCTACTTAAACGACCCAGTTAAATCAGCAGCGGCGTTCATTAAACCGCCAACCTGGCTACGCAGCTTCCGTGGCAGCGACGCGACTGAAGACTGTCTATATAAGACTGGGGACCTGGTACGGTACACTGCGGATGGGTCGCTTCAATTCATTGGCCGGAGGGATACTCAGGTCAAGATCCGTGGGCAGCGGATTGAGCTGGGCGAGATCGAGCACTACACGCGTCAATGCTTCCCAGGAGCACAGGACGTGGTTGCCGAGGTAGTGACACCGACTGAAGTAGGACGCCCGCCGATGCTAGTAGCGTTTTTGAGGGTGGACGCAAAGGACGTTCGCCATCTTGATGATGATCTGAGCCCCCCTACTGACGCCTTCCGCGCAGGCGTTCTTACCGCGGAAGTTCGTCTCTATGAAGCAGTGCCGGCGTATATGGTGCCGGCCGTGTTTCTCCCGCTGGTGGCCGTGCCTCTGACAACCACTGGTAAAACTGATCGACGTCGACTCCGTGACCGCGCCGCGGCTCTCTCCCGGGCGGAGATCGAATCATACAGGGTTGCCGCAAGTGCTAGGCGCATGCCCGCTACGACAGGGGCGTGGACGTTGCGGCTCCTATGGGGCCAGGTCTTAAAAATGCCACCTGATACAATTAGCGCGGACGACAGTTTCTTCCGCCTTGGTGGAGACTCTGTCACTGCTATGCTCCTAGTGGGCGCCGCGCGCAAGGCCGGTCTCGCTCTCTATGTCACTGACGTGTTTCAATGCCCTCGCCTCTTTGAAATGTCGAATAGGCTCGACTTAGCGGACCGTAGTGCACAGAAAGAGCCTTCCTCTTTTGTCAACCGAGTTGGCATGTGAGTCGCGGTGTGCAATGCCACGTCGATGAGAAACAGATTACCGGCATCTATCCTTATACAGCCTTGCAGGAAGGTCTCATGGCTAGTCGGGGTCGGACCTGGTTACCCAGTACTGGGGCCCCAAATTAGGTAGGTGACAAGCAGAGCAAAGATAGTACGAAGAACTCGAATGGTATAAATTATGCATTCTGTAGCCGTAGATCTGAGTGTTGGCATTGTAGATGTGTTTAAGAAGAAAGCAGGACGTCAGGTCTACGGAAAGGCGAATGGCCACCGCGGGCGGTGTACCTGGAGGACCTCAGGCTGCCAGTAAGGCTGTCTCGAGAAGCTTCGGCGATCAGCTTCTCTCCGGTCCTCATCGCTTCTTCCTCTCTTCCTCTCTCTCTCCCCTCACAGGAGTCTCCTTTTCTCGTTCATATATCTTGGTACACTCTTGGGAACTACAATTGCTTGAATCTCGCTTGGGTCTGGTCTTTTCGTCATTGTCTCTTCATTCCGTCCTCATACACAGCCCGCTCAAGTCAATCCCTCCGCATTGGAGGCTGTAAACACCTTACAACCGGAGACCACCGCCATGGATGTCTCCATGGATATCGACATGGACCTGGACCTTGGTCCAATTCCTGAACCTGAACACATTGGCGCCGTGAGTCACCGTCACCATTTCGCTCCCTTCAATCCTGCGGCTCTTTCACTCTAACCTCTCGCAATTTTCAGGATCCCGCGACCGCGGATGCTATGGTACAGGATAGAGCGACGGACCACTTGACCGAAGAGGCCCAATATGAAAAAGTACACATCAGAGGAGTCGACGAATTGACTACGGATAATATCAGGCAATTCGCAACCAGTCACTTCGCTACCGAGGAGCCTGCCCGCATTGAGTGGATTGACGACACCTCGGCGAACATCGTGTATTCGTCGTCGGACGCGGGTCTGCAGGCTCTCGCGGCCTTCACGCAAGTCACCGAAGAAGAAGATGCGGCATTGCCGGCTCTGCGCCTCCGGTCGGCGAAACTCCTATCCTCCCACCCCGACTCCGTCCTTCAGGTGCGATCAGCCGTGAAGACCGATCGGAAAAGACCCCGCGCGCACGAGGCCAGTCGGTTTTATCTCATGCACCCCGAGCACGACCCTCGCGAACGATTACGACGGGAGCTGTCGGACAGACGGCGGCAGGGAGGCGGGGATACCAGTGACGGCGATTACCACAGGAGACGGTTCGACGGACTCGAGTTGCGGCGACGGAGGGATCGTGATGTTGACGAGGGCATTACTGCCAATATGTACGATGACACGCGAGCCCCCAGCACCGATTATTCCGACACCGATAGGGATCGTGAGGGGCGAGGACGGCGAGGGCGCCGAGACTTGTTCGATGACGACGGAGGCCGTTCTTCTGGTCGCCTGCGGAACCGCAGTGCATCTCCGGGTCGAGACACTTTGATGGAGAGTGGATATCTGGATCAGGATCGGCCTGGTTCACGCAGACGGTTCCGAGAGCGGTCCCCTCCATCAAGCCGCCACAACGAAGGCAAAGAGCTCTTCCCATCGTCCAAGTCTTCCGGTGCCACCTCCAGCGATCCGCATGCGCGAGAACTATTCCCCAACAAACCGACGACCAGTTATCTCAAGAAGGAGCTTTTCCCAAGCAAGGTCAGCAACCACCGTCGATCCGACGCGATCGATGTTGCGGACGAGACGGCGGATCTTTTCTCCCGCCGTATTTCCATCCCGCTGGTCGATGGCGCACACGATCAACCGCAGCGCAATAGGAATGTTGAGCTCTTCCCCGACGATGCAGAGTCAGGCGATGTGAGCATCCGTGGAGCGGCCGGGCAGGATCAAGGCATGTCAATTCGCGGCTCCGCCAACGGCCTGTCGATCAAGGGACGAGGGTCCTCGGTGCGCGAGCTCTTTCCATCCAAATTCCACAACAATGCCGGCAAGGAACTCTTCTCCGAAAAGATCGAAGGCCGAGGAGGACCACGTCGGAGAGCGGAGGACATGTTCGGTTGAGGATCCGAGGAGGAGTGCAGGGACAAGTGCAAGGAAGAACAGTGATGTGCATGGAGATTTAGATCGGAGATGTGCCCCCATGACGCCATCCAATTTGTGATACCAATCCCCTCTTTTTAAATAATTACTTCTACCTATCATAATTCATGGTTGCATGTTTATATACTATTTTGGTCAATCGTAGAGGCCGTCTCAGCCTGTGGCGTTCTTTTTAACGAGTGTCCGACCTTGAGTAGTTGTATATGTACCTATACGGACTTGAACTTCTAGGTCTACTGTAAACTGCTTCCATATCACGAATCACAGCTCCCTGAGCACTCCGGACCTGCTCAATGGGCAGTCACGTGTACTCGGTGGCCCAACAATTGGGGGCCAATTCCTAACCAGATCCGCTGGAGCGAGGTGTGTCTGTATCACCTCTCTTAGTTTTGCGGCTAGAATACTCAAACACCATGGGTTTTCAATCCCTCCCCAATGAATTATTGGATAGGATCGCGTACCATGCCGATCACGAGTCACTGCTGAATCTGCGACTGGTCTGTCAGTCCCTAAGCGATATCTGCAGAAAATGGCTGTTCCAGTATACCTGCGTGGTGCCGACAGATGAAAGCTGCGAGAGATTTGAGAGCATCCTCGATCATCCGGAACTCGCATCATGCGTGACAAAGGTATACCTGGACACTACTAAATGGGATCATGTGAGTTTCATAGTCGGTCGAGGGACTCTGACGGTAGTGCTGACAAGCGACAGGAGATTGAAATTGAAGAGTATGATAGCGACGACGAGGACATAGAGTCCGATAGCGACGGGGACGAAGAGTCTGATAAACACCACGTGAATGAGATCTGGATACCACGATGGTATAGCAATCTTTTCAACCGGTTGGAAGAATTACCCAGACTCCGCGGGGTTGTGCTACGTTTTCACCACGAGTGTCAGTCGCCTTTATGGGTAGAAATGATGACGGATATCATTCCCCAGGAGCCAAACTTCCGTCGCTATGTCTTAAAACTATTCATGGAATCTTTGGCTTTACTGCCTCAGCCTGTCCGGGAACTGGGTATCCATGATCTGCAAAATGTCAACCAGAGCAAGGAACATATCGTCGAAAATATCAGGAAGGTCCTAGGAGGGCTTGACACACTCCGACTAAATATCGCGAACGAACACAGCAAATACTACAGGCCGCAGGATCTGCAGGTACGACAGTTTATGCTGCTCGAGTATTTTAATTTTTAATACTGACTTGACTAACTATATTATATTAGCAAGACGAGCCCCACCGGTTCTTCTCGGAGCTTCCATCATTCTGGTTGAAGCCGACGTTGGCAAACCTTGAACATCTCACTCTCAACTCGAGCAACTACTTCGGCTTCTATCCGAAATTCAACCCGACAGGGTTACACTTTCCCCGAATTAAAACTCTCGCCTTCGGGCGTCTTGCCTTCATTCATGACTCGCAACTAGACTGGATTTTATCCCACGCCGATACGCTCACGGAGCTGTACTTGGACAACTGTCCAATTTTATACGAAGTATTAATCCATGACAAAGAACGAACATACCTGGACCCAGCCTCGTTCGCTTCTAAAGAAGACCTGGGTGACAAGCACTACGCGACATACGACAAGCGTTGGTATGACTATTTCAACGCCATTAACGTCGGACTACCGCTTCTAAAACACTTCCGGTTTGGACGCTGCCCGTATTGGCGGGATGGGGAATCGACTCCCTTCGAACAAGAACAATACATCAAGATTAGCGCGCCGAGAGATCGATACATGGTTTTTTGTGATGGGGGTGAGTCTTCTCCGTATATGGAGACGACGATATATCCCGAAGGAGTAAACCTAAGGACGCCACGTCCTGACTGCTATGCCGAGGATCAGAAGGCGTTAGAGACACTGTGTGCGAAATTGGGACAGCATGCAGAGTGTGATCCCATTGAAGATGAATTTCTACATCCGTAGAAGATCATGGTTTATGCAAGTTATTGTAGTGTAACCGCTCTTCTCCTAATAGACTAGAATATCCTGGGATTTAACCCCTATCTGTATTATTACCTGCGTAATCTACATATTAAGATATTATGTATTTACCTATTTTTGCCCATAATCATTCTCTTTAATGTTGCAGCAATCCAGGTTGCGCGGAGTTGCGGTGGTAGTCTCAATCTTCTTGCCGCAGGGATCTGACATCTTACTACTAATGAATCTTGCTCACTTTGATCGTCAAGCCATTTGACTACTGCATTTAACAATATTCTTATAATAATAGTTACCTTACAAGCTGGCCCCTTAGACCGTAATAATTAATTACATATAGATTAAATACATTAGATTTCCAAACAATAAATTAGTTATAAAATATAAAATTATTCAGTTCCTTCGGGAAAAAAATGCTTAATTTGGCCCTGCTAGTATAAGAAGGCCTGTATCATGAAAAAAGACGAGCTGATTATCTAGATTTTGCAAGAGGCGCCGGAATACTCGACGTTCTTCCACTCGACCTGGCTAGAAAATCCAGTGCTATATATTCCCTCAGCTGCTCCCCTCACCCGCGCCTGGCAGCTGATAGTTCCCGCATTCAACTTTCCTCTTAACCAGCCAAAATGCCGACCGATACACGAGACCCCTCACTCGCCAGCATCCTGGTGGCTCGCTTTCTGCGAACAAATAATTACACGCAGACTCTGCGGGCATTCATTCAAGAGGCTGGACTGCCCGCCGACGCGGGACACGTCGGCCTGAAAAAGAACAACGATTCGAGCAGCTGGACCATCGAAGGAGTCATCGAGGAGAAACAAGTCTATGATCAGAGTGTGAAATTCGAGCGATACGGTGATGGCGAAAAGGATAATGATTTATGGAGTACCCCCGGTAAGCCATCATGTTGGTTAAATTCCATCCTCAATGTCGCTGATGTATCTGCCCAGCCCCGTCCTCGCCGACTATCGTCCAGATCCCAACATCCTCAAATCTGTTGGCCTGCTCGGTAGACACTTGGAAATATGATGAGAACGAAAACCCACCACCCTCGTCGGCGTCACCGTCTTACCTAGTGGCCACCGGCGCTGACAGGCAACTTCATCTCATCGACACTGCGCCGGGCAATGGCATCGTCAAGTCCTTTGCAGGCCACTCCGAGTCTCCCATCTTGTCTTACGTGTCTATCGAAAATGGGGAATACGCCCTCCTGACCAACATGTCCGGCCAGGTCCTTCTTCAACGCGGCGCGGAAATTCTCGACCGCAGAAGAGACCACACCAAATATGTCGTCAAGGTAGTCGCATTCGAGGACGACAGTGACCACCCTGACTCGCCAGGGAAGACAGTATGGATCGCCACGGCGGGCTGGGACTCCAAGATCTTTCTCTACCGTCTACGCATCGGCGGTGCCAGTGAATCCCAGCATCTAGTCCTCGGCGAACCCGTGGGATATATCACACTGCCATCGAACCCAGAGTCCATGCTCTTTGTCCGTCACGTCGACTCTCAGGAACTGATTCTCCTCGTTTCCCGACGAGACTCGACGCATCTGTTCTATTACCAAGTGCAGAGACCCCTCTCCTCTGCGCCGGCTTCTACTCCCGCTGCTACCCCCTACGAATGTCGTCTTCTGGGCAAGCAGAACCTCGCCCCGCACTCCAACGCCTGGGTCGCTTTCTCACCGTCCTGTCTGGCCCTGAGCCCGCTGGACCCGGGCCTGCTGGCCGTGGCCACCTCGACGCTGCCGCATATGAAAGTCATCGTCGTCCGACTGCTCTTCCCGTCCGTCGACAGCCTCGATCTCGTCACTTCGGGACCCGTGACGGGCGACTCGGAGCCTGAGACAACGACGACGCAAGCCACGCAGGCGTTCGCGGCCCTGACGCTCCAGAATCGCGAGGACGCGGCCATCATGATCCAGGCGAATACGTTTGCGCCGCAGACGGCGTACTCGACGCCGCAGGTGGCCTGGCGGCCTGACGGGTCGGGGCTCTGGGTGAATGGGGATGACGGAGTGATTCGCGGGGTGGAGACCAAGACGGGGAAGGTGGTTGCGATACTCAAGGATGGGCATGAGATCGGGTGTAAGGTGCGGGCTATCTGGGCGGGTTGGGTGGATGTGCCGAGGGACGGGGAGGTTGTCAGGGAAGAGTGGTTGGTGAGTGGAGGGTTTGATAAAAAGTTGGTGGTTTGGAAGAAGGGAGATTTCTAGTATATAATGACCCTTGAGGGCTTGTTGAGCATTTTATGTATCGAAGTTGCATATCACGTTTTGCGAATTGCGATATAACCGAACTGAATGGGTTTCTACGGTAAACGATTGGATTGGAAAAATTCGGATATAAATATAAATTCATTTCAAAAAAAGATTACGAGATGTAGCTCTCCTTCCATGCACCCTTTCGCCACGAGAAAGAGGAAGGGTGTTTGGTAAGATGGAGGGCAATTGCTCTTGGCACGTTGAAAAATCCTTCAGCAAGCGCGCATAAAAATGGCACGAAGCTGTACACACATATGCCTGAGACTCCGAGATCATCAAGACTCGAGAGCCGAAGAATGCGAAACAAAACAAAACAAAAACGAAATCTACTTGACCGCACGGAACAAGGGAAGATCAGGACAGAGCTTTCAGGCCATGTCGTGGAATCGAATCAAATTGCTTTATTTAACAACCGTCGCGCGGAACCAGCCAGGCATTTCCGACATGACGTGTCTGGGTTCATCGCACGTTTCATATAACCAACTCAAATCGCTCCCGTTCGTTTTTCGATTTTGGTATTAGTTGATTTATGCGACCTCACGCTTGCCCTGGTTCCGCTCCTTCTGTAGAAATTATTAGCCACCTGACTCTGGTCCCGGTCTGAGGCCCTTCCCGGGGTCATCGGGAGAAGACCGAGGAGAGTGTTCGTCAACGTACCAGCGCCTTCATGGTGCCGTGCAGAGCATGTCTGTGGTTGCGGCGGAACTTGGGGTCAACACCCTTGAGGGAGGGGTAACGGTGGGTCTTAGGCTTCTTGATACTGTTGAGAAGGAAGACAGATCAGCGACGAGTTCTTTCTCAAGATAATTGATCCATCTGTCGTCGGTGAAAGATCCAAAACGCCGTTGAAAGCCGGTGAAAAGATTCGAAGTCGTGGGCCATCGCTCCAATCCAATATCACTCCCCAACCTCCAACGCCGTGATTTGTGTTCCTCCCCGACCAGACATTTGGAATCGCAAATGAGGGATATCGGTTGGTACGAACCCGTTACGGTGAGCCTTCTGGCTGTTGTGGTGCTGAGACGCGTTCTTGGACTCTGTTGAAAAAAAGATTGTAAGTCAGTGGCTCTGGAGAAAGACCGTCGAGTCCGCCATGGATGGGAGATGGATTCCCATCTTATTTTTGCAGAACTCGAGATGATTTCAGCGGGAGACGCCGCGGGAGGTAGCACGTACTGGCCATCTTGTCGGATTTGTCGCAACTGGGAGACGGTTGACGATGAGTTGGCGGGTGAGGTTATCCGAGAACTGAGCAGAAGGCCGGAGCCCGGGCGACTTGGACTAGGGCTTCCGCTTTTGTGTGGGATTTCGCTTACCGGCTGCGCCTCGCGTCATTGGCCCGTGTGGCTTGGACCGCCTTCGCTTTAGTATTCTATGAAGTGTACTACTGCTACGACTAGACACGTCTTCTCCTGACATCATTGCCATCTGAAGAAATTGGACTTCATTTCATGAGATGACCAGCCATGGTCCTAATCTTCGCCATATGTCTTGAATGGTCACCATCCATTTCCAATTGATTTGGTGCTCGACTCGGACGATGTCCCGTGATTGCTGACTAACAATGTGGCTTGTGCGCAAAGAGTCGGATTCTCTACAGGCAAACAACAGCCAAATAACAACTTCTTGGGAGATGCCAGGTAAATGACTGTTGAATGAACCACCATGATATCCACTTATCGGTCCATTCTTAGTGTCATTCAAAATTTAAATAAAGATCCATTTCGGTGGCGGAAGGCAAGGAGGACAGAAGCTAACGTCCATCACGTGACATCGAATGAGGAACCCGTGGTGAATGCTCCGTATGGAATGAAGGTGTGGGCGAATGACATTGCCGTTATGAAGTAGTGTTGCTGTTATATCCCCAGTAGTGCATTATTCCAATCGAGTATACTCCGTTCTGAGTGCCTATCGAACCGAAGTCGAGGCGTTTGGTCTGAAAGAACTTCGTTGATCGGAAGTGTCTGGCCAGAAATCATGTCGTAGTATGAAGACGGATGGAATGGACAATCCAGTCCCAGCGACATAAATATTCCGCAGAATTCCAGTCCTGGCATTTACTCCGTAGACCCATAGGCTGTTGGGAAACCGTTCTTGTTCACCAAGTCCCAAGTCCCAGTCCCGTGCCGGTGCCCACGTGACCGGCTGAGCCGCTAGGGAACAACCGGCATCCGAACTTCGACCTTTGCACCTCAACCCAGGTTCACAGAGGGATACCATCACCACCTTCCCCCGTCCATCCATTGCAAGATGAGCTCTCTCCGCTTTGCTCGCTCTGCTTTCAGGGCTCGTCCCTCCGCCTTCCGCGTTCCTCTCCAGCGCAGAGGTTACGCCGAGGCTGTGTCGGACAAGATCAAGCTTTCCCTGACCCTTCCTCACCAGGTATGATTCCCGAAGCCACCGAGACTCCTCCCTTTTTGCGCGCGTACCTTGGTGTCAATGACTAACAATCAATCTTCTACTTAGACTATCTTCAAGTCGACTGGCGTGTACGTGCTTCCGATCTCTGGTTTCCCGACACCGTGACGGGGGCCCTGGCCTTACCGTCATTTGTTCCCGCCCGTACTTACCATCCTTCTCCCAAATTTAGTGTCCAGGTCAACATCCCCGCCGAGTCCGGAGAGATGGGTGTCCTCGCCAACCACGTTCCCTCCATCGAGCAGCTTAAGCCCGGTCTCGTTGAGGTCGTCGAGGAGGGCGGTGCCAACAAGAAGTTCTTCCGTACGTCCGACCCGTGTTGACACCCGCGCAGGATTGGACTGGGATGGCTCCTTCCTATACAGTACCGAACAGAACTGACCGGGGGAATGACCTCATGATTCTAGTGTCTGGAGGCTTCGCCGTTGTTCAGCCCGACTCTCAGCTGAGCATCAACGCCGTCGAGGGATTCTCTCTGGAGGATTTCAGCGCCGACGTAAGTACCCGGGATCGCCCGCAGTGCGACCAACCACTTTGCTGATTGAAAACCTTTGCAACTACAGAACGTCAGGTCTCAGATCACCGAAGCCCAGAAGATTGCCAGCGGCAGCGGCAGCGAGCAGGATATTGCTGAGGCCAAGATTGAGCTGGAGGTAAGTCAAACTCCGCAAGTGGATCGAGTTACTTGGAGACCAACTAATTCTTCCAATAGGTGTTGGAGAGCCTGCAAGCTGTCCTTAAATAGATACCTTATGTACATATCCACTCGCGAACTCAACCCTGATTGTGTAGAATTATAACAATTCTCCGAAATGATTCTCCTACCCATCCTTTTCTTCGCCTTTGCACCGTGAAGGCTTGTATATCTAATGAAAGCACCTCGGACTTGCCCGTTCAGCAGATATCGGGTAACTCCTTCCTCGCATGGCGCCTTCCCGCTATTCATCCTCTCGGAAATCACATCTGTTTACCTTGTCTCTCTCTCTCTCTCTCTCTCTCTTTTGTAGGACCCATGATTCTCATCACCAACAGTTCTAGCTCTATATCATTTGACGCGATCATATCATTATTCTCGCGACGCTCACTTTTCAGTCTACCCAACATATTCACCATTACCATTATATTCTAAATATCCGGCCAAATGTGTTCATTTCGACCAGCATCACCTATAAAGCGGCAAAAATCGGAGGAGTTCTTTGAGATGGATGATGTTGAGCCGAAAAAGGCGCGGGCTGCATCACCGAAGACAACGGGACTAGTTGATAGTCCTATAAAACTGGGTGCCCGTCCTATCCAAATACCAGATCCAGCAGATTCCGGGACCAGATCCTGGATTCCAAAACATCCATCTACGGGGTACACAATGGAGTACTTCGATAAACTGTATGGGACTAGTTACAGCTCCGCACAACCTCCCAGCTCCTGGAATGACTATGAGCTCCGTGATCCTCTTGCGAAACCTCAAGGCCCAAAACCTCAGAGGGACAAAGAAGAGAACTTGCTACTTGGGGTGGGCGACATCTTTGCAGGCTCCGAGCCCAAACGGAGAGGATCCACGAAGGCAAAAGCCACCACCATGGAGTCCTCACTCTCACCACTGGGCTCTTCGTCGAACCAACCCATCCGGAGTCTACCCCGTTTGAACAGCACCAGAGGCCGGCGCAGAATTTCGAAAGAGGAACTCGAGGTGGTGCTAGGAAAGGCCGGTACCACCAGTGAAAAATTGACCGGAGACTCAGAGACGCGGAGCGAGACCAAGAATATTCGTCTTCGCACTCTGTCATCCCCGGCTGGTCTGCGCCAGCATGGTTCAGGCGATAATTCAGGAGGTACGTTTTGCCAATCAAAGCACCGACTATGTTACCGCTGACGGAATTTCTTCGGCCGTTGAAGAGAAACCAGATTCGCGAGATGACACCGGGTCAAATGAAGGCGAGACAAATCCGCGAGAAGAAGGAGATAAATCAGACGAGGGGGATAAGCAAGACAAGCCACCTGCACCGGCAGGCGGTGGTGGATCAGACCCGCCAGATGATAAAGATAAACAACCGCCAAAAGACAAAGGCAAAGACAGGGCGAAGGAATCGGATGATGATGCAATTGAGCCAGAACACGATAAAGACAAACCAGGACCGTCAGGAGACAAGGACAAAGGCGAGACAGAGCAGCCGGATGATGATGATGAAATTACGCCAGTACACGATAAAGACAACCCAGGGCCGCCAGAAGACAAGGGCAAAGGCAAGACAGAGCAGCTGGATGATGATGATGAAATTACGCCAGTACACGATAAAGACAACCCAGGGCCGCCAGAAGACAAGGGCAAAGGCAAGGCGGCGGCGGAGGAGGAGGAGGAGGAACCACTAAGTGAAAGTGATATCTACAGGCCACCGTCTGATAAACTCAACAATCTGCCTCCTGCTGAAATGCGTGAGATGCCGCCTCGTCTGGAGGGCAATCCCTATTTCCCCCAGCCGATAGTCAATCCTGCGAACGTGCATCGTCACGTGCGTCCTCCAAAGGTGGCGCCTGAGCCCAACCCGGAGTACGCTCCTCCTCCACCGGAACCCCGGTTGCGTGCTGCTTGGAATGAAATACGCAGGAGGCAACGGCATGTGGTTGCTCGGGTTTTGCATGGACCAGCCCCTGGTGACGGCCTTATGCGTGACCCTCCATCAAAAATGCCTCCCAAAAGGCAGAAGCCCAAGGTAAAAAAGGACAAAAAGGACGATGAACCACCTCAGCCACCACCACCACCACCCCCCCCGGGAGGCTCGTAAGGGGGATGTCTATTTGGGATGTGCTTGAGCGTACGGTCAAGAGCTGCCCTGGCTGGGTAAATAGATAGTGGTTGTTGTTGTCTTGTATGTTCAGATCTTTTTTGCCTCTTATCATTATTACTAGTACACACAAATTTAGGAGAGAAATGCAAGTGGCACTGACCGTGCGATATCATCATGGCTGTGGTCTGCAAACGAACAATCGAGTCTACGTAAAGATCGCGGAAAACAATTCAAATCAATTGCACCAGTGCATATAGCCAGCTACTAAGTGACATTGCATACATTCAAGTCGACATATTACTGATATTGAGTATCGATCTCTGCCCTATGTTCATTCAAACAGGCAGAAAGAAAACATCACAAACAGAAGTTATAAATTGTGTTGCAGACAGGAATGAGCAGAAGTATCCAGAAAGAACAAGGTCAAGTTCAAGTCCATACCAATATGGCCTGTCTGTCCTTCTCTTTCCATCTAATATCATCCTTTTTTCCGGGGGAGGGGGGTTTTGTCATGGAGCAGTTATGTTTTGGTATGTTCATTGATTGGAATTTAACGCGCATATGTTATCATCAGGATCAATATTGAACATTAGAACATTGGAAACATCGGAAACATGGTGCTGTGTGTGTCTTCAATTCATAATTCAGGGGCAGGGGGAAAGAATCAACGCTTGCATTTGCATTTCATTACTTACCATTTCGTTCCGTTCCATCGTGTTAAGGCCGGGGGGTAAAAAACAAGGGATTGGGGGAAAAGAAAGAAACAAAACAGGAGAAGTACAACAAATAACTGAAGTACAGAAAATTCGTGACAAATGGGGGTGGGATGGGGGTCATAGATGGTCAAGGGGAAATTGAGAATCAAGTATACCACAGGGAAAAGAAAGTCAATCGAGTTTCTATACAAATTGCGTGGAGGGTTCGCAATAGCAAAGGGGAAGGGGGGAGGGGGAGGGAGAAATTGAGCTCAAAGGACTGGGATAGTTTCATCAGGTGAATTCCACGCTGTGCTGCCTGTCCTGGCGGGCGCGAGCTCGCTCTGCTCGTCGTCGTCTCCGATTGTTGGCGTAGTCGCCGCTGGCTTCCGTGCCGGTGTATGTGCCTGGCGAAGTTATACTCCCGGCGCCATAGGGCATACTTGCGGGAACTGGAGGCGGCGGTGGAGGCGGCGCATAAGAGGCCGGGGGCATAGTCCCGGACGGAGCGGCGGCGGCTTGTTCTCGTCGCATCTGCTCTTGTTGCTCGCGCTCTAATTCCTCCACACGACGCCATCGGTCATAGCTTCCCTCGCCGCCTGATAAAGAGCTGGCACTCCCAGCGCGACGGCGAGAGTTTCTCCGCTCTCGGCGTCGGGCTTCTCGATTGGCGGCAGCCTCTTCCTCGGTTAATCTCCGGAGAGTGACGTGTCGCCCGTCGTCATGCATCTTCACCTTGACGGATACCGGCGGGGAGTCCACGTGGTCGTCTCTGCGTCTGCTGCTGCTGCGTCGACGGCGATGACTGGACGGCACCCCCAGAGCGGACCCTGCAGCTGCACCGGCTGCAAGGTCGGATGGAGCGGGCCGTGACGGATCAGCGCCTGGGAGCTCCGAGGTCAATTGGGTTGGAGGCACAGGGGGCATGTCTGAGTGGGCGCCATCGACTGGAGCAGAGGCAGTAGGGCCTCCGGTAAGAGCAGACTCTCCGAGTGGAGGACCATGTGAAGGGCCACGTGGGGGACGTGTCATGTCCGATGACAAGTCAGTCGCAGTGTATGAATCGGCTCTGCGTCGTGGGTTATATCCGTATCCATCTCCAGTGTAGCGTCGTTTACTGTTTGCACGCTGGAGGCGCTCATCTTCCATCTCTCGACGACGCATCTCTTCCAGACGGCGCTGGTCCGGGTCTCCCTTACCGCGCTTGAACATGTTCTTGAGGGCTGCGAATGCGCCCGCACCCAGGAAAGCATTGCGAGCACCATGGGAAGGCCTGGCAGGCTCGTTGCCGGAGAGGTACGTCGAGTCATAATAATATGAAGAGCCTGGACTTTGAGGTCTGCTTCCCGGTCTGCTCGGGGGCCGGCTGGGTGGGCGATTGAGAGGGGTTTGATAGCTTGGTGCAGGCCTTCGTCCATCTTCCAAGCGACTCAGGCTGTCTTCCGTCATGCTGTCAGTTCGAGTGTGGGCGGGCCGATATCGTCCGGATTCACGGTCACTCTCTTTATTGCGTCGTCTATCGAATAGCTTTTTGGCAAGAAGAGCACCACCTCCGAGGGCCCCTATTTTGAGGAATTTATCTGCCCAGCCTCCGCGGCGGGACCCCTCGTCGGAGTACTTTTCCTCTGTGTAGGATGCATGCGAATCGTCGTATCCGTGATCCCTACCTCTGCTCCTCGAGCGCCTCCTGAATAGGGAGGCCAAACCAGCCCCCGCGGCTCCTGCTGCGGCCATGCGACCAAAGCTGTTGTGGCGGCGGTCGTCGGGACCAGGGGGACCGGAAACATAACTGTGCCGACCATCGTATTCGGATCCTCCTGGGTGATACCCTTCCGTGTCATATAGGTATGATAGGACGAAGAACGTTACCAAAAGAGCGAATACGGCGACCGAATACAGGATGAACAAGGACTTCGGGGATCCCCACAGAGTGAGGCCTAGAGGTATCTGGATAAGCCCCAAAATGGCGAGGGCACGACCGATCCATCGATGGATCTAGCATCAGACGTTAGCTTCGAAAGATGCTCGCAAGAAAGAAGATGTCGGCGCAAGACTCACGACTAGCTTGAAAGGAACATGATAACGCTGCCTCTTGCTTTCGATTTTGTGGACCAGCCATCCCCAGAACACTTGGAATATGACCATCACATAGATTGCAAGTCCAATGCCGTGGTGTGGGTTCGACAAGCTTCTCTTAGGGCCGACCGCAAACCAGCCCAGGACAAAGACGACGGTACTCAATAGGAGGGTTAGGACCTGGCACCACACATGTAGTTTGAAAGCCCAGAACGGACTCCAGCGGGAAAAGTATCGAACGGTTAGGATTGACATTGGCACGAGGCCTAGAAACACGATGGTTGCGATCACGCCGTGAGTGATGATCAGGGTACGGTATTGCGGCATTTCTCGAAATCGATTTCCCATTCCTATAATCCGCGTGAGCGCCAGAAACCAACAAACTGAGCGATGCCAAAATATACCCACCATTATAGCGCATGGTATCAAAATTGAGTCCCATCAGATTTGGCAGAAGGAAGGTGTCGCGCCCGGTGTCCCATGTGCCATCCCCGACGTGCAAGGTGTTTGAGGCATACGTGCTGCTCCCGGGAGCCGTGAGATCCGAGTTGGACGACATTATCTTCGATTTCCCTTAACGTTCTTTCTCTCCAGCGGCGATATCAAGACACTGGAATGTCGGAAAGACCGAAGGAGATCTAACAGATCCCCCACTCCGAAGAATGCACCATGCGCAGAGAAGGAAAGGCGCGTGAAAATCGTAGCGAGCGGATGCGGAGGACAGACTCGGGGCAGCGCAAAACACAGCTAAAGGACTTTGGGATATTCGAGGTAAGTGAGCTGCGACCAGAGGCTTGTTGATGGAGAGTTGTTTATGACCCCATGCGAGTGAAGTGACGACGGAGGAGTGTGTACTAACCGACGCAAGGGTGGGGGAGATGGATCGAGACCAAATGAGGGTTGTCAAAGGTGAGTCGGGGCAGCGACCGGAGGAAGTGAAAACAGAGAAACAAAGTCAGCGAGTCACCAACCGGAGAAATTGCGACGAGCTCTGCAGCGTCAGGCCTGGAAGCGTCTGGGGCGACGACGAGCCCTCGAGGTATCAACTGTTTGCCGTTTCCGGTTTAGCGTGCCAGCGCATATCCCGGACAACCAGCCGCTGACTCAGCGCCACCGCCCCCCGACCGCCTGCCGTTCGGGGCATATCGCGTGCTCGTATCTTATCAGTCGTCGAGGTCCCTTCCCTCCTGGCTTCACCTCTCCTCTCCTGTTCATCACTTTGACTCCGTTCGCTCATTTCTCACTTCCGTTGCCATGGTCTCCCAGCTGGAAATCTTCGTGAGGGCTCTGTCTCGGTACGTGTCGAACAACTGGGGTGTCCAAGCCGTGGAGACTCGAGCCAACTCTCCTGAACTATAATAGTACTGACAAGTCTCCACTTAATGCAGCCTGTTAGGATGGATCTAGTATGTCTTCTATGAACTTTGGCTTCGAAAGTCGCAAGCACGGCGGAATCGGGACTGACGCTGTGTGTCTTAGCACGTTGTGTTGGTCTGCGTCCTTCTATCCCCAGCCCATCAACAACTTCCGCCGGAAGGCAACGACTGGCCTGGCCATCGATTTCCCAACGATTAATGTTCTAGGATTTATTTGCTATACAGCCTATACTTCGGCCTTCATGTATTCGCCCGTAATTCGAGGCCAGTATGCTGCTCGTCATCCGCTGTCGGAGGAGCCAACTGTGCGCTTCAATGATTTTGCCTTTGCCCTCCATGCCGTCGTTATGAGCACCCTCGTTTATAGTCAGTTCTGGCCCCAGATCTGGGGCTTCAAGGTTTCACGCTTCCAAAGGGTTAGCAAGCCAGTTGCAGGCCTTTTCTGGGGGTCGCTGGTTGCCGTTGGCATTATAATTACCATCGTTCTTGCCCGGAGTCCCGATAAGGGTTACGAACCCTCGACATGGGCGTGGATTGACGTAGTAAGCAGACAGACCAGACCGGCTTGCAAAGGCCTCTCTCGTTGCTGATATCAAAGCTTCGCGCTAACTCGGATGATCCAACTGTCAGATATACACTCTTTCCTACGTGAAACTGCTCATCACCATTGTGAAGTATGTGCCTCAGGCATGGGTCAACTATAAACGCAAATCCACAGACGGCTGGAGTATCGTCCAAATCCTCCTGGATCTGTCAGGGGGCGTGCTGTCCCTGATTCAGCTGATACTCGATTCAAGTTTCCAAAATGATTGGAGCGGGATCACGGGGAATCCTATCAAATTTCTCCTGTCGAACGTCACAATCGTCTTCGATTTGGTCTTCGTCGTTCAGCATTATATTCTGTACCGGGAGAAGGACGAAGGCAAGGACAGACGCAGGAATCCAGATCTCATCACCCCTCTGCTGGCAGACCCGAACCATCTGCCCAGAACTGCTAGTTACTAGATTATCGTACCCAGATGGATAGACTGATTGGGGTTTTGGCATATGCTTTCTTTTTTCTTCTTTTTTTATTTTGGGATCCTTTCTGGACATTCAGCTTGGGTTTGTTTGAACTGGAGTCTGACCACGTAATGGTGGACCGCGGAATTTGAGTACCAGCCGCCCATAGATTAAACGAGCGAGGGGAAACGCAAGGCTGAAGATGGCTTCAGCTGAACTGGAGACCGGGCGGCTTTCGCGCAATCGAACAGAACAAACCCGATATTCTCGAAACTCCGTCCACACATTCGTACATTCCGGCATCGCTTGATACCACATCATCTATTGCTCTCCACCTCGTTCCGTGAATATGCAGCGATAAACGGCATGCAGTAACGACACCGCTCTTTCGCAACTATCATGGGGCTGAACGAGATTTGCTTTTTCGTGCCTTGGCTACTCCTACCTCTGCATTGCCCTGGGCGTCTCAGGTAAGCCAGCAAATGACGTCGAGAATCGAGCAACGACTGCAGAATGGTGGCACATGAGGCTTATAAATCGTGCGCCATGGAGCCACCAGACTGGCTGGATCTTATGTCTCAGCCATCACCGACAGTGTCGATCGCTTATCTTCTTCGGGGCTAACAGGCTTGCGTGGGGGGCCTGACCGGACTTGCAGTCGGTGTGCATACGAAGGATTGCTCTTTTTCAACGGTGAGAAGGGGGTTGTCCGATGGGAGAGAGGGGCCTTTTTTTTTTTTTTTACTTTTTAATTGATTGCCCTTTTCCTTGGTTGTCCTCGCACCTCGCCTTGACCCCTGTCCTCAATAACCCCTGGTCGACTAGTGCTGAGGCTCTGCTCCCGACGATGTGGACAAACGGGATCACGCAGAACCCGGTCAGGTCATGATCGCCTCAGCCAGTCAGCATCGATCGAATCCATTCGAGAGGTCATTTTGGGCCTTGTCAAGAGACAACGTGACCGATGACTGTTTATAGGACTCTTCGCCATGCACAACGACGCCGTGTCCGCTCCGGCATCCCCGTGGCACCTCAGCCCTACCAGTTTTAGTGTCGAGACTCGAGAGAAGACATTGGAATACCTGACCAGGACCCCGACAATAGCGGCGTTACCAAGACACAGACCAACGCACCACCGTCCCGGTCCTGGGGTTTTCTGGTAATCCGAACGTCATCGGCTACCAACCCCCCCAAGTCCAATAAGACAGCGACGAAATTGTCTTAAAGTCGCCCCTCAAATGCCGATACATGCGATTATGATGTCTCAGCTATACATGGGGAAGACTTTCGACGCTGTCTATTCGTCTACTCTTTGTCTGAGCTGCTGATCACGTCTCAAACATCTGCTAGAGAACGTGACTGAGCTGAAGATCCTTCAGTTTCACTTGCGAGGAAAGTACGCGATAGTGACGTTAAACTTTCAGTCAAAAATAAAGTGATATAAAAAAAAATAAATAAAAAAAATAAACGAGGGAAAGCGAAAAATAAAGACAGGCGCAGACTACAGACGACCAAGAATAACCTCTCACGAGTGACTCGGTTGAGCGTTTCTACCATTATTTTCTAGTCGTTGACCATCGAACACGAATCAGTTTCTAGAACTCTACCTTTTCAGAGAACCCTGTCAATCGTCAGCTCAGAAAAATTGCATAGCCACATCTGACATGGGGAAAGTCGTTTTGGAAACCGTCTATACTGAAGCCTCAATTGCTTATATGGCCTGAAACTCCCCCAATCTATCTGGAAGCAACGATTTGGAGACCAATAAAATTCTAACGACCTCAACTGCGCTGTCATCTTTTTTCTATTACTCATGAGTATTTTTGTCTCTCAGTCACAACTCCCCATGGACGCTTATCGTTTGTCCGGAGGTCACCCCAGGAGGCGATACGGGGAACCCAGACAACAACCGTTGTTCGATGCCATCCCATCTACTGACACCGGCTCTGCATTCGGCATGGATTCATCATCAACGGACAATAACTTCATCCCGCTATCTTCTGCAGGATATACAACCATGCGATCGCAACCTGCGCAGCATCATCTTTACTCTTCGCCACCATCGTACCTTCCCCAGCGCTATACGACCACCAACCTATCGCCGCCGGTTGATCAGTATCATCTCGCCCGGTCTCCTCACACTTCGACCGCGGAAGCAAATATGGACCAGCTCTATCTCGCAGACCAATCTATCCACCAATATTCACGATCCGATCTCGACCTTTCATCCCATCCGTCCCTAGAGAACCCCGGATCTTTCGACGGCGTGCTCCCCACATCCGGAGGTGCTGCTGCCTACTTTTCCCTCGCAGAGCAGTGGTACCCTCCTCTCCAGGCCCAATCTCACCATCAACCACCGTTCTATATCACCTCCGCCCCTGCATCTTCCACCTCTTCGCCACCTCTCCCTACCTCACACCCCGCATCGCTCTTCCCACACGGAACCCCGTGCCCGGCCTCTAGCTCCCAACTCTCGCCCCTACCCCGAGAACACCATACCGCCGCCAGCGTCGCTAGCATGACGGACGACGACGGCCACGATACCCCGACCAGCCAGCCCAGCTCGCGGGACCTCTCTGAATACGGCATCCCCAATGCCGACGGCAGCTGGCGATGCGCGTATCCAGGCTGCACCTCGCAGACCACCTTCCGTCGCGGCTGCGATCTCCGAAAACACTACAACCGCCACCGGAAACACCTGTTCTGTCGGTACCCGGAGTGTGCGCAGTCCACGAGCGGCGGCTTCTCCAGCAAGAAGGACAGAGATCGACACGAGGCTAAACACAACCCCGGGGTGCCGTGCGAATGGCCCAACTGTCGCCGTATGTTCAGTCGTGTCGATAATATGAAAGATCACGTTCGAAGGGTCCATCGGAGACGAGAGTTTTGATCCTTCCCTCTCCCCTTCTTTCAAATCGCTGTTTGTTATATTATCGTGGCTCATGTTTTTGGGATGGCATACACGACGAGATGGTTGTTATCAGGCTATTTCATCTCCCCCCCCTTCCTTCCCCTTTGCTGTTTCCTTGGCTCTTGTTGCTTCATTTCGCTCGCTCTAGGACAAATCATGTATATTAGAAATAAACTTGCAAACGCAGGACGTGTAGGGATTTCTATCTTTTGTTGATTTCTTTTCTTGGAACAAGCACTTTTTATTCAAGAAACCGTGATTCATTCATATTTAAAGCCATCAATTTTTTTGGTTTGGAAAGAAGAAGAAAAAAAAAAAAAAGAAACGAATTTCATATCGCTAGAAAACACAACACGCCTTCGTAATCATCCTGTGAGTAAACACCGAGCAGCATGCTACATGAAATCGGTATCTGCCAAGGAAGTCACAGGGAGGAAATAAATAGATAGAGGAAAAGAGGAAAAGAAAGGAGAGGAAAAAAGAAAAACACTTAACGCCTTGTCTGTTGGGGAGGGAAAAACGAATCCTGTACTCCTGTACAATTCCCACGCTGCACTATAACTGTGACAATGGCGGCGTATATGCAAACATAAAACGAATGACAGAAAAGAAATCAATCAAGGATGACTCTAGACATTTGGTATCACAGACTGGAACAAAATGAACAAGATGAAAGCAAAGCAAAGAGACATATCAGGTTGAAAAAGATATAAAGGGGGATAAAAAGAAGTAATGCAATAGTTCGTAACGCATGTGCAGTATACAAGGAGGTGGGGTTGAAATGGGCCTTCAGGGGGAACATTTTCAAGTTACCTGGTTGAAGATGCAATTCCCGATGTTGTTGAAGTCACCTTCCAACATACTAAGATACCCAGATCGAGGTTCCAGGCAAATATACTATTGAACGCTTTGTCGGCGACGTCGACCGCGTACACTACCCTCGGGTCTCTGAGAAAGCACTTGACGAAGTGCCGGGTCATCCTTGCTTTTATCGACGTGGTGGACTCGCACATGTCTGTTTGCTTTACGTCAGTACCGACCAGTTGCCTGTCAATTGTCGAGTAGATTGGCATACCGTTGGAGATTGTCGGGTCGTGGATATTTATGTTGCTGATCCGGACAAAAGGGACAAACGTAACCCGGTGAGTTGTGAACGAGACCATGCCGTATCATCTCATTTTTGCGCTTGAATCCTTTTCCACCCGGTCCTCGAGCGCACCCTTCAATTGCACAGAAATGAGGCCGTTCTTGTGAATGGACATTTGCATGGGAGCTTTTTTTTTTTTAAATTGCGTAAGCCGTCCGTTCTTGGCATTAAATCTGCAGTAGGTGTGTGACTTACTTTAACAAGTACTGCGTTTGGAAAGGGGGAGCAGTACACCCTGGCCAGCCACACTTGAAAGCACCGGTCGGGACGAGAGCGCCGTTGGACTGTGTATGAGCGCTGTATGGTGTTCTATCGCAGGTGCTGGCAGGGGTTTGATCTGTAGGTGTTGGATAACTCGTCGCCGGACTCTTGGCCGCCGAGGGCGGAACGTCATACGGGGAAGTAAGGTAGGATATGTCGGATTTGACAGACCGCCAATGAGAGTTCTGTGACGCGGGTGAAGACACGGCCGATATATCCCTGGCAGTTGTACTCGCAGGTGACCAATGCGAATACGGACTGGGAGGAACTTGGGCGGCGAGAGGTCCCGGACGTTGTTGCTCCCAGATCGGTTCACTTCTGAGACCAGGCGGTGATGTAGCTGTAACCGGTGGAAGAGAATACGGGGACGATCCGGTAGGACGTCCCGGATCCTTTGACACGCTGGGCAGCCCCAGCGCTGTTTGAAGGGACGGCAATGTATGGGAATTCTCCGGTGAATCAGGAGCCAAAGCTGGCAATAGATTCTGTGCCTGAACCTCCGACGCCGGTTTGAAAAACTGGCTGATGTTCGAGTTCGCCTCCGGGGCTCGTTTGAGGGGATCATGATCCTCAGACGAGAGGAGTTTTGGGATCAAATCATTTTTCGGACGACTGTCCGTGGCCTCCCCGAAGATCAAACTCCGACCTAGAGCCTTGGGTTCAGGCTTGGGGGACTCATCAAAGAGCAGTGAAAGAGCAGTTTTGGCCTTCTCGCCCAAATCGGACGGTTGCTTGGGAGACTCGTCCGCAGCCAACGGCGGGTCCGGTCTCCTTAATCTGTGTTTCTTTGGCGGGTCCAAGTCATCGCGCAGAAGATCCTCACTGAGGGGGTGATTCCTTTCGAAATCAGCAATGTCAGGTCGGCTCGGGTCTAAATGGTTGATCAGCACCGAATTACCCTCTGTTGTGCTGGGCTTGGAGGGTATCTGGCGCTTACGGGAACAGTCCTGAGATGTTCCCTCGTCTGCAGACTTTTTGGCAGGATCGCTATCAGAGCCCTTGTCGACGACGGCAAATGGAGGTGGTGACTCCTTGGGCTTATAGTCGATTTTGGATGTCTCCAGCCCGGGAGAACGAGGGACGTCGTCATCAGCATAGAATTCCATGGAGGCGGCGGCTTCAGACGCATTAGGTGCGCCACACCCTTGGGAATTTCTTGCGCTTTGCCTTCCCTGCTCCCGATGCTTCAGGACACGCGGGCAAACTCAAAATGCCAATTCGCACGAGATGGAAGGGAGACGGAAAAAAAGAGGGGGGAAATAAGAAAAGAATAAAGAGTCAAGGGAAATGAAGACGAAGGACAGAAACTGAGTGGGGCAAGCCGGTCAGTGGTAGCCTCCAGGAGTCCTAGCATTCCAATCAGTTTGTCTGTTATATAACCCATTTTGAAACCACGATCGGGAAGGTGCAACAAGGCAAATTAAGGATCCAAGATCAAGAAGCGAAGAAAGAAAAGCAGAGAGCTCAGTAGAGCACATGACAGTATGTCGTGCAATGAGAGCGGGAAAATCTGTCGCCCTTGCGGCTCTTGCAGCGCTCGAGCCCGGGGAAGGAAACGGGGATGAAACAAGATAGATACATGTGGGCCAACCAGACTCCTGACTGGAACCCCAAGCGGTCTGTTCCACTCCAACTACCGCTTGACTTCCTTTTTAAGGGGATGAAAGGCGCTGGTGAAGGAAACCAAAGTACCGGCACCAAGTGGGAAAGAACGAGGACGAAGGAAATTTGAAAGATAAGAAGAAAAAGAGGAAGGAAGAATATCAAAGAGAGGAACGGCAAAGGAAAGAGAAGCTTACCTGTTAGATGTCATCAAGACACGGCGAATACCACCGAAGCCAGGCACCAACCGCACTTAGAGATGAGGCTCAGTCGGAGCCAATTCACACGTCGCGATCAAGGACAAATACGATGCGCCGACCGCATAGGACCGGAGTCGCAAGCTCAAAGAAACGAAATCGACCAAAGGAGCGAGGATCGCCGATATCAAAATATTAATAATATGGGCTCGATAGGAAAGAAACCAAATAATTAGGGAGGGTGAGAATTTGCGAACGTGGAGGAATGACAAGCGCGACTGCGACTAGCAGAGTAGTGACAGCGGCAATGATGATAGGTAGTAAGCTTGAGGGGGGGAGGGTGGGAAAAAAAATAAAACGGGGATCGTGATGACAGGGAGTTCAGACGCAGGTCGGCTTCCGATGAAAAAAGCGGAGGAACAATACCCAAGTGGTCATAAAAAAGGCATGGTCTAATCATGCGCAACAGCAGTAATGATCATAGGGAGATGGGGACCGGCCAAGAGTTAGAAGGGCCAGCCCGAAGTCCGAAGTAAGAACAATGGCAGCGGTTGTTCAGAGACGGGGTCGGAGCATCAGGGAGAAGGACCGTAGAATTTGGCCGGGATGAACGTATCCAGGTCGTAACGGTAATAATAGGCAGGATTATAGGGATGCCAGCGGTCCAGGAAAGAAAGGCCCAAAAATAAAAGAAAAAGAAAATAAAACAAAAAAGAAAAAGAAAATAAAAACCAAGTCCGTGGTGAAGCAAGTGTTCGAGCAATCAATCAATCAATGAAGCTAACGAGTCGGCTGTGATGACGCTTGGCAGGTGCAAAAAGTTCAGGTCAGACGGGGAGCGGTCAGCAGGCGGGCTGCGAGCGATGGCAGAACCGAAGCAACGAGGGCGACACGGACGACGGACGGACGGATTGGATGGATTATTAGCCTGGTCGGGGGGCACAGTAGGGCAGGATGCTGATTTCTGATTGAGGAGGGAATCCCAGCGATGCTCCACCACCGGCCCAGCTGGAAAGACCGAGTGGAGAACAATCAGGAAGCAAGCACTGTCAGTCGGATTCCGTCCGGCGAGAAGTGGATATGAATGGATGACGGATGGGAAATGAATCGATGGAGGGATGATTCGATGGTCTCGTCGTTGTCGTTTCGCTTGCCTATTGGGTGGCCACGACGGAATCAGTTTATCTCCTCCCGCGATTGAGGAAAATCAACGACGGCGACGACGATAATAGGCGTACTAATTATTTCCCTCGCGGGACGGGGCTGGAATGGATTCGACTTCCAAGACCGAAAGGACGTTCGCGCAGGGAGGCGGAGGGTTAGAAGCTGACTCTAGAGACGCCACACTGCAGGCAAACACCAAGTGGGGGGGGGGGGGAAGGAAGGGGAGAAGAAGGCGAGACGGAGGGAAAATCCAGAGAGGCTCAACGGGAAGAAGGCATCCACCGCCATGGAAGATCAGGGGAGAACGACGGAGGGGAAAGAGAAGAGGGAGGGAGAGGAGGGGAAGCGAACGAGGGCGCGAGGACGAAGGCGAGGGCGAGGAAGAGGGGGACCAGGGACGGTCTGGGATTTCGCATCGACACTCCTTCCTGGTCCTGATTCGGATTACTGGGTATTTACTTGGATTACAGTATTATCTGGATGATTGATGGTCCCATAAACCCATTCCACGAGGCCCGACAAGAGACCAGACATCCGCTAAACCCAAATCTCGTGCGGCTCTCGCCCGGATCGCCCGTGATTGGCCGGCGGAAAACGAGGAGGCTGAACTGTTCATCTGCATCGAATCGCCGTGGAACTTTGCCCTTCAGTGAGTGCTGGTTGGTAACTTCGGTAGCCTCACCGTTGGGTTGACCTCTTTTCCTCCGAAAACCCTCACGCCTTCCCTCCCTGCATTCCGCATTGCCCACCCCCTCTGAAATCCCCTCCTAGTCGCTCCGGCGTTGCATTGTGCGTCCCGATGACAAAGAGGGCTTAGAGCTTTAAATTCAATCAACATGAAAATAAAAATAAACCCCAACCCAACCACGTCACTCGTCATCCCACCAACCGAATCCCACCTGAGGGTTCTGGTCAAGACTCCAAAAGGGCCGGGGTATGGACATGGGGCTGACGGGGGCTCGATAAGGAAAGGAGCCAGAAAAGCCAAACTATAGAGAACTTTGTACGCAGTGGGGGAGTACTTCTCCGGGGAGAAGCAGGGGAGAACGATCACGAACGAACAAGAAACGAAAGGAAAGGAATAAAAGAATGCAAGAATAAAAAAAAAATACAAAAAAATCCGCACATCCGCAAATCCCGACCCGTGATCAAGGAGAGGACCGCCTGTCATCTGCAATCGGTTGATATTTCCGGCCTTCAGTTCCAATGCGTTGAACTTTGAGGATCCGCACCGGAGTCTCGTTGTGATTGCGACCAGGCTCAGCAAAGGCAGACAAGAGTCAAGGGGACGAATCGGGTACGCACCGTTCGACGAGGGGGAGACCGACGTGCAAAGTAGGACCAGAGATTCTGAAGAAATCATCGTTGGAGAGGGGGGAAGGGCCAAGGAGGGTCACTCAGTCCGTAGTCAAGAGGCTAAGAGAGCCACCCAAGTCTGCAGGAGAGACGATCAGCCAGCAGATTGTGGCCCCACGTTCCCCTCTCCCTCCACTTGTCCTCCGTGCAACCGCCTCGTCCTCCGTCGCACCGCTGCCACTGTCCACTCCGACCGTCTCGGGGGGTCGATCTTCAGGGCCAGCTCAGTCCGTCTGTCCCAGCCTCCGATTATCGAGCGGAGTCCCCTAGAGTATATCATGATTATCATACTACTCCGGAGTAGACAGAGTGTGAGATGGTATGAGATAGTATGATCCGGTGATGTGATATTCAATGTGGGAGCTCTCCACATCCGGCTTACACCCTAGTCACCAAATGTTTGTCCGCTTCGATTCAACCGTTCTCCCCCAATATAATCAATAATCAATTGGTTTCTGGCCCTTCACCCTCCTTGCTGCAGTGTGGATATTAAACCCAGCAGCCTATATGCTGTAGAACATGGGTGTGTCTCCTCTTGTCCAACCCCCGGGGCCATACCATTCCCCCCATCGTCTTGGTTCTGCAACCCTTTCGCCCCCTCTCACGCTCTCTCTGTCTCTGTCTCTCTCTCTCTCTCTCTCTCTCTCTCTCTCTCCCCCCTACCTCCTTCCCTCTCTTGTGCTGGCCGTTGCCCAAGCCCTAATTCTATCTATAGTCACCCTCCGATCAGTCAGCCACCGTCCAGGGAGTCAACTAGTTAAAGTTTTTCCTCTATGTGATTCCATTGTTTCTAGGAGTAATGATTTTCAGCTTTCACTATTCTAACCCGTAATCGGAATCCCGCCGAAATTCAAACAAATTAAATTCGAATCCATCGGAATCGAGAAGACCGATCATCAATAGACTGCAACTTCGCTGACGTAGCCGATGTCGAGTCGACGCCAGAAATGAAATCATCGCGAACAGATCAGTCATCGTCTCCAAAGGTAAGGTAGCAAGCGGCCCGCGCCGAAGACATCTTGCCGTACCAAGTGCTAACATTAAATTATTGTTATTATTAATAGTCTTAGTTCACTGCGCTTTACTCCGTCGGAGTTGATGGTTTTATTTAGTACGGAGGTGATGGTTGGTACTTTCGCCTCTTCCCCTTCATCCACGCTATCGGCGGTGCGGCAGCAAGTCGATGCTATGACATTGTCTACAGCAAGGCTAGCCTTCTTTCCAGTAAGCTGTAGGCTGATCGTCATAATCAACCTGCGCTGGTTGAACGGGTTGTTCACTCGGACAGCCGTAAAACGCTAATAAGCCGCTAGGCTGCAGGGATTCTCTTTTTCTTTTCTTTTTTTTTTCCCGGCCTTTCTGTCTCCTTTTCCGTGATGATTGCTGTGGTGTCCTTTTCTCCCGTCAGGATTCCCGGTTTCCCTGCCTTTTTTTTTTTTTTTTTTTTGTTTCTTTCTTCTTTATTGTTTGGATCTTCATCTTTCGATTCGGGGGCCAGGGGCACGCCGCGGGACCACTCCGTATTCTGGTTACTGGAATTGCATTGTGTGGAGAGCCAGATAGACTCTCTTAACCCAGGTAGACCTAGGTCGTGAATCCTTCAGTGCACGGCCCGAGAAAGGATTGTGTGAAGTTAGGGAGGTCGAGGTGATCCTGTTGAAAATTCTTCGTGGATTTTCCGGCCGGCGAAAAGAAGGGGGAAAGGTCGGAGACTTTTGGAAAATAATAATAATAATCAAAAATTAAATAAATATAATCAAGAAAAAAAGCATCATATGAGCCGCACCCAATTATCTTGTATCCAGGCGGCTCATTGCTGACACTGCGCTGGTGATCGTTCACTGGCCCGGGCTCTTGCTAGTTGCATGTTTCGTGTTGTATACGAGACTACCTATCGATCGCCCTCATTCCGAACGAGCCCTTGCCTTGCTGAGCAATCTACCTGGGTTGGGTGGTATTTGGTACTTCTATCGTTTCCCCCGTATGCTTGCATACATCCTCGGAGTCGGGACAAATTGGCCCCTCCCCCTTGTTAGCCTTGACAACTGGCATGCTTACGTTCCATCGAACTTGCCGGGTTTGCTAGTTCCTTTCGTGCTTCTGGCCCCGACATTGGCGAGAACTTTGAGTGATTTTTTCCTGGTAGAGAAAAAAAATTTAAAAAATTAAAAAAAAAAAAAAATAAATAAAATAAAATTTAACTGCGTAGATGACTCTAGTCAACTAACAACGCCAAGTGATTGACAGGAATATCAGGATTACACGGAGTAGCCGAAGATCCAAAATCCTTGCGGAGCATAAGAGTAAGACGACCCTAATCTCATATCCACCAGGGAGTCAACGGTTTGAGAAATCCTGCGTCAATCGTTATGCTTGCCACATTTAGTAAGAAGATTCGGCGGCCGCAGGCGGCGCTGGGCCGCGAACTATAAAACCCCAACTCCACAATCCCACCCATCCCTTCATCCTCATTCCCCGAGAGAACAGAGCCAGCGCGGAAGGAAGGGGGGGGAGGGCAACCGGGTCGGTGGTTTACAATTTGCCTTTTGGGGGCAATTCGGCTTGCACTTGTCGGACCCGTTCCCACGCCCCCAAAGCAAGCGGCACGGTCTTTTGGGCATACTCCTGCGCCCTAGCGCTGCTAGCCTGTCTCAGCGCATACCGAGCTTTGATACCCTGCATGATCACGGAGCTCCTCCACGAAAAGAATGCGTCGCCCCAAAGTATATCAGGGGTCGGGTCCCAACCCGCCAGGTCGCGATACCACCGCACGCAGTCATCACGCGTGGGCAGGCCCGGAATGGCGTCGGGTTGGAACTCCTCGGTCTTGTGATCCGTACCGTCCAGGAAATACGGGCTCGTGAGATTGCACAGGTCCGACAGCGGGTGGCCCACCGTGGCCATCTCCCAGTCCAGGATGCCAATCACCCGCGGCTCCGTCTTGTGGAAGACCATGTTGTCGATCTTGTAGTCGCCGTGCACCAGGCTGCCGCGGTCCTGAGGCTGAGTGGCCTTGTTGGAGAAGAACTGTACCATGTCCATAAAATGCGGTAATTCGCCCACGGGCTCCTTGCTTTCGACGTCCACCGCCTGGGACTGTGCCCTGGAGACCGCTGTGAACGTGGCAATCTGCCGATCATAGAAGCCCGACGGTTTCCCAAACCCCTCCAATCCGATCGATTTGGGAACGACTCGATGAAACTTGGCGAGCGTGTGGACCGCGTCTTTCCATCTGCAGGACAAGCAAGGGTCTTAGCAACTGGGTCACGAGGGCGGGGGAGGACAGCATAGGGATGTCACCCAATCACGGCAGACATACAGTGCATTTCTCTCCTCCGCGCCGACTTCGGGCATGGCCGGGTCGGTGAATATTCGCCCGTCCAAAAATTCCATGATATAGAATGGGGTTCCAACGACGCTGCTATCCTCGCAGAGGCAATAGGCTTTCGGTACGGGGACGTCGGTCTGCTCTAGGGCATGAATGACCTTGTATTCGCGCTCGACTTTATGTGCCGTCTTCGACAGTAGTTTGCCGGGAGGTTTCTTGCGCAACACATATTTCTTTCCATCGGCGGCGATCAGCTGGTAGGTGGGATTCGATTGTCCGAAACCGAACTGTTGAGCCGTTGGTTAGCCCGAGCTCAGGGTTCGCTCGGCGACATTGACCACGGATGCACCTACTTGCTTGATCTCCAACGGAGTCTGTATAATTGGCACGTTCTTGTCGATGTAGCGCTCCAGCGAAGGAACGTCGATCGGCTGACGTACGGCTCCAGCCATGACGAAACAAGCGGATAGGGGGGATCAGGGCGTGTGTCGGACAAGTGCGAGTCGATGCAGTGAGAATTGGGTGATGTCTAAGTGAGTAAGAAACTTGGGGTGTAGTTGAACAGTAGACCCATGGTGGATGATAGGTGGTTCGGTAATGAGGACAGGGCGATCGCGATGCTCAGTCCAAGTCGTCGCACCGGACCGAGGCTAAACTGCGACGGCCTGGCATTTGCGGGGAGCGCCTCGGTTTACGGGCCTCTTAGTCATGCCCTGCCGTCTGATCTCATCCATCTGAACTTCCCCGGCCTCACCCTCGCCATGTGAGCTTCGTCGATTGCATCGTGTGGAAGCTAGGATATTCGATCTACTAATCACGCATCAGAAATGCTCATGCAGTGTTGACGGGCGGTGCGAAAACCCGTCGGCAGTTGGCGACAAACGCAAACCTGTCCAGTCGTCTCTGGCAGCATTGACCAGGTTACCAGACTGCTGGAACCAGGAGCACCAATAGTACTCCAACCAGAGATTTTCGCAGTACAACCAAGCTTTTAGACACCTGCTTTCGAGGCTCTCTCCAGCTGCGACTGAAATACAACACAGGTGCTGGTGGCCGACGCAAACACGTTTCACATGAACAATGTCCAAGTATGACTACTGCCTCAACCAACAGCACGTACATGTCGCCCACAGACATGAGACGGTTGCCACCAACGATGGGGTCACGAGGAACTCCACTTTCTTTTTGATAAACCAAGCTGTCAATGAACTTTGCGCGAGTTTCCTCCTTAGAGTCATACTGACAACACTCTCCAGTCTCACCCGAATGGGTGCATCCTGACTCGATCTTAATTGGAGACGTCGAAAACGGAGTACACAACACACTCCGCATGCCGTTGGATCCACAAACCAACACTTGTGAGTGCAGGCATTGGTCCCTCGGCCTCAAGCCGGATCCTGGTAGATCATCTGGGTAGTTTGTTGGGAGTGTTGGATATTGATTGGATACGGTTTATCGAGTCGATGTATAGGTAGGTACTACTAGCAGGGTACCAATCAATGTCTGTGCGGTCGCCGAATGGATGTCAATACTGGATCAGACTATGACCGGGAATTTAGAGAACTGCCATCCTTCTCCAGATGATACCTGAATGCCACTGACTCGATCGATCTACTGGCTTCGGAGGCGTGTCTTTTCGGCCGAGGAGTCGGAACTTTTATTCTTCGGAGAGGCTTAGGACAGACAAATAACCAAGGGGGGAAATCAAGAATTATCTGTCTACTCTGTAAAAGCTCCTCAGATCATCCGAATTCCGAGATGTTGTGCATCGACTAGTATTATCCCCGATCGACTGCGCTCCCATTAAATTTCCTAATTCGGTTAAACCTCAATTTTCAACGACCCCCGATGAGGGCTTTTGATATTTATGCTCTGAGACCTCGACTCGAAGACAACAATGGATACTATGGCCCCATTTAATTCCTCGAGTGCAACATGCCATCTCATCGTGACCATTAGTACTTTGTATAGTTGTGTAGAGGCAGCCCCACCCATTAAACGCGGTGCGCGTCTCACCGCCAGACGCGTCTTCCCCTCGCACTCGAAAAAAAAAAGAGTGAAAGTAAGGGCCACTCATCACGATTTACACCGCAATTCAACTCAATTCCTCCCTCTACTCTTCTTCTCTCCCTCCTCCATCCCCTCAATCCACTCACCAAACCCAATCCCAGAAATATCATGACCAAGGAGTCCACTCCCCCTCCCACCGTCGAATCCACCACCACCACCACCCATCAACCTCCCTCCCTGCCTGCTTCTCCCATCGCCAAACGCACCAAGCCCAACACCAACGACGCCGATTCTACTCCTGCCGCCGCCAACATGACCGTCCCTGCCGCCGCTCAGCGTCTCCCTCCCCTCCTCGTCAAGAAACTCACCGAGTCCGCCCGTGCCCCGACCCGCGGCTCTGCCTTCGCCGCCGGCTACGACCTCTACAGCGCCAAGCAGACTGTCATCCCGGCCAAGGGCAAGGCGATGGTTGACACGGGTATCTCGGTTGCTGTGCCTGAGGGAACCTGTGAGCTTTCCCATTGCCCTCTCTCCGTTCCCGCGAAGAAAAGGGGGAAACAAAACAAGTAGTTTGGCGTCGTTGAGGACCGGTTTGCTAACGAGGCATTTCCCAGACGGACGTGTTGCCCCTCGCAGTGGTCTCGCCGCTAAGCATTTCATCGATACCGGCGCGGGTGTCATCGATGCCGACTACCGTGGTGAGGTGAAGGTGTTGCTGTTTAACTTCTCGGAGGTCGATTTCACGATCAACGAGGGAGACCGTATTGCGCAGTTGGTGTTGGAGAGGGTAAGTGGTTTCCAGGCCGTCTGCTTTGTGTTCTGCGAAGAGAGGTGCTGACTTGGTGGTTCTAGATCTATACCCCTGAGGTTATGGTTGTCGAGGAGCTGGAGGAGAGTGTGCGTGGTGCTGGCGGCTTTGGAAGCACTGGCAACTAGATGGAGATATGGGAGAAAGACAAGAAAAGAGCACGAGGATATGAATGATTTTATGGCATGCTAGAAACTTATTTTGGGATGGGTGGCTGGCTATATAAATGAAAATAATGAGATTTTATTCTGCACAACTATGCATGATTAGACATGAAATTCGACCGTTATAAAGGACTATGGCTCATCACACGTTTTATCATCTACTTTGGTAGTCTATATATATATCTCACCGAAATGAATAAGGATTGATGACAGGATTGGGAGCGTTTATCGAAGCTGAGCGGGGAGATCCTCCGTCCGCCACTCCTGCACCTTGAACTCCACAACCGGGTTGCGGAGGTATTGCACATTGCGCACGAGTCGGACCTCGGCGGCTTTGGTGTGTCGCAGATGCTCCTGTTTTTGCCTTTCTTCGGCGTCAAGCTGCTCGTTGACTTGGCCGGAGGTGGCCACTAGTTCGGCATTACGCGCCTCCATGGTCTTCTCCAGCACGCTGTGCATGCTGGCTAGTACTTTCACGGTGGTCTGGGCGAGAGGAAGGTCGGCGGCTTTGACGTCGTCCGGCGAGACCCAGGACTTGGTCGTTCGTAATTGAGGACCGGCGGCGAAAACGGCCTCCCGCAGCCGGGCGACAGTTAACGCGGCGAACATGTCTCCGGTTCCGGAGAAGAAGCAGTCTAGGGCAGGGACATCGACACGGAAGAGCCGCGGCGACCCGTCGGATTTCGTGGTGGAGCCGATGACAGTCAGGTTGTTAGGAGACTGGGCCGCGGCTGCCGATGACGATTCGGGGAGTTTGGACAGTTGGACAGAGGTGATGATGACGTGGGGGACGTTGTAGGTCGCGTGGATCACGGTGATGGCTTCGGCGAGGGTGCTGAGAGAGGTGATCTTGATTCCGGAGAGAACTCTGTAGGTAGGCCATTAACGAGGCGTCGCAAAGCAACAGATCGAGCTTCCGACTTACTCTGCCTCGAATTGATTGGGGAGAATCAAATCGGCATGTTTGATGGTTTTCTTATAGGCCGGGACCACATCATCGTTGACGTAGAGGCGACCCAGGTCCCCCATGACCGGATCCAAAACTGAAATTGCGGTTAACACAACGAGAAGAGCTGCTAAAGAACCCATTAAACCTACCCCAGAAGAAGGAGCCGGGATTCTTCTCGGCCTTGCGCTGAAGATCTTGCCCGATGGCTCCGACAGCCTCGACGGCGGCGGCGCTGGGTGTATATCCCGACAACATGACATCAAAGTCCGTTAGGTGACTCTGGCATAGACCTTCGTATAGAGCAGTGATCTCATCGGCCGTGGCTCTAGTCCCCTTAAGTTGCCGGTAGCCCGCATGATTGCCTATCATGAAACGGCCGTTAGAGTGCCCACACGTGCTGATAGATGCTGGCCACACAACAGGCGGGATGACTCACTGAAATGAACCGTGTTCAAGGGTGAGACGTCGCAGCCCAAGGACTGCATCACAAGCGTTGCCATCTTGTTGCCGACATAGCTGGAAGTTTGGTCTGTCAGCCAGACCTGGAGAATTTGGAGTTGGGATCATGTCAAGATCTGCGTGTAACATAGACCAGCGAGAGGTGCCTCAAGAATCAAGAGGACACCGACTCGAAATGGAGACGAAATATTGGAGTACATGACATACCCATAGACCACCTATGTGAAACCATCAGTTTATAGTCCTCGGAACAGCTAGATGATGATGTGGGGTATCTAAAGATCGGCTCGACTTACATGACTTGCGACCGCCAGGACCCTCGTCTCGGGGACCAATGGGTCTGCAGACATGACGGGTGGAGATTTGCAGGGACCGGTAGACAGGTGCAATAGATGGAAGCAGATATGCAGGCCCAATATAGGCAGGATGGCCGGGGACGAGGGGCAGCGACGGAGGGGTTGACGGCAGATCGCAGATATTATGATATCCATGGATTCTTGGCTCGTCGTTCGGATGAGGTAACCATCCGGTCCCGATCGGGTTTAGCGCCGGAGTGGGAACGCGTGGGACCTCCGCTGCGCGCTGATTGGCCAACGGGGCCGCGGTGGATTTCGCGCTTCCGTTCGCTTTCTCTCGTACTTTTAACTTAATCTTCTTTTTGCTCCGGAAGTCTGCTCTGGTCAAGGAATGGCCCCGTCAGCCTGTCCAAGCGCCCGTGTCCGTGTCATGCGATGGCCTCGCCTGGATTCTTCCATCATCTTCCTTTCTCTCTTTTGTTCTGTCTGATCTTCCAATGAGCTCTGTTGCTGATGCTGACTTGGTAGCGATGTCCTCCCGGTCCGTCTCCTGCAAGCATGAATAATGGGAGCACCCCTGGTCCGACATGACTAGCAGCGAGCTAGTGCCTGGACCAATCGTGTCACTTCTAAGAATAAAATCCAAGCCCGAGGCTGCTTGGCCCGGTCCAGAACACTCTCGCTAGAGTCGCTACCATCCGGCCAGTCTCCCTGACTGGCTGTACTTGACTGGGGACTGGGCCCTCTCTCCCATCTTGATTCCTGTACGGCCTCAGGTTTTTTTCCCTTTCAACCCTTCTGTGTATATACCACCCCCTTTCTTTCTTTTTCTCTCCCTCCCCTTCTCACCCCCGTGGTGCCTATTCCTTGCGTTTTGGATGGACGCGTTGTTCTCTCGTCCACACCACGTTTAGTTTCTCCCAACCACCGCTTATGCCCTCAAGCAAGGCAGTGATTTTGGCCATGCCCCTTCAATAAACATTCTCTCCTTTTCCTTTCTTTTTAGACCTTCATTCTTTATCTTATATGCCGTTGTCTGACAGCGTCGCTCTTTTTTTATTTCTATTGTTCATCATGATCACTTGTGTCCGAGCGTCGGCATCCCGACCATCCAGTAGTTTACATGCTTCTCACCAGCGTCCTGTAATTCCCCGTCTCCTTCTATGTGTATGGATTCTCCTCGCGATTCCTTCCGTTGTCGCTGCATCCGTTCTACCTGCAGACGCCCGATCGGAACTCAATGCTTTGCGCTCTCTACCGTCTGTCTCCCCGTCGGATAAGGAGCTTGTCCACGATGATCTCGAAGACGTATCTCATTCTCCACAGGAACGTGCTCAATGGAACCACGTTCTCCGCCGAGATGTTACCCTCGAACTGGATCCGAGTCTCAGCGACATGGCCGCGTCGCTCCCGATTCTCGTCGCCTCGGACGACCATGATCGAACAGGGGGTGGTGAACTATCCAGCCTGGTCGGACGGGCAAATAGCAAAGACATGCCTGAACCTTTTGATACCAGCACCAGAACCAACTTTACGTCCAGCACCTGCGAAACTTTCGTCAACGATTTCCTGTCCAATTCCACGTTCACCAACTGTCATGCTATGTCCATGCTCCTTCGCAACTCCCACTCCTTCTTTCAAACTGTCCGCTCCGCCACGGCCCTCTCGCACGTCCTCGACATCTCCTGCAGTGCGGACGCTGATCAATGTTCCGCATACATGACCGACCTTGCCGGCCGTCTCCTCAAAAAGGATGCCTGCGGTGAGGACTACGAAGAAGGGAATACTATTGTGACGGACGCTTACACCAATATGGTCGCTTATGAGCCCATCTACCGGGCCACCTGCCTCAAGAACCCCAAGACATCCGACTACTGCTTCGTGGACGCCGCCACCAGCAGCGACAACTCAGCCGACTACGGCGTATACTTTATCCCCTTCGACGACGCCATCACTAGCGCCCCCTATCCCACATGCAACAAGTGTCTCCAAGCCTCCATGGACCTCTTCGCCAAATTCGCCGAGAAGGACGGTCAATTTCTCGTCCGCTCGTACCTTCCCTCCGCCCAGGGTGTCAACAGCAAATGCGGCTCCGACTTTGCAAATGTCAATATTACTGTGGGCGAGGATAAGCTGCTCAGTTCAGCTGCGTCGTGGACTGCCGGCCGTCCGGGCCTATCTCTGCAATACATTGTTGCATTATGCCTGGCTGTCATCTTCTTAGGGTCGCTATAATCGCTTCCCCGTCTCTCCACTCCCTCCCTCTTTGTACACTTCCTATATTCTCTCCCTCTCCATTCCATTCATTCCCTTTTCCCGCGTTTATAGACCGCTGCAGATTCCCCTCGTGCTTTTGTTTTAGTTTCATTCTATCCCTCTGATATTGCCTTAATTTTCTTTTTAATTCTCTTCTTCAATGGGACCTACTCATCCAGGTCATGGCTATTTACGGGTTACGACAGCGACTGGCTTTTGCTATTTTTTTTTTTTTTTTCTGTTGACATTGCTTTCCTTGTCTGTCTTGGCCTGAACTCATGGCACGGTATATATGCTGCTTGCTCTATTATATCGCTAGCCAGTTTACCTTAATGTTTATACTTAAATTTAATTATTTTTTAACTGATGGCTTTGTCTCTTTTCTTTGTCTCTTTTATCTTTTCACGTTCCGCATGATGACATGTCATACATAGTCAATTAGAATGTCGCACATGGATGATAATAGGTAAGACACAATGTGTAACATTGCGGATCATTGACATGGAATGATAAGACAAGAAATGAAAGCTACAAATGACGGCTAGCTGCGATCATCCATCTATACCTGTTTGACATACCCGGTAGGAAATGTAAATGATCAATCAAGGTCTATCCAGCCTAGACTCAGAGGAAAATGGAAGAACAAAGAGAAGAAAAGAAAAAGACTAAATAAAACATATAATATGGGAAATGTATTTTCTTGAAAGGAAAAAGAGAAGCAAAAGAAGAAGATAAATATCTGTCGTAAACAGTCATATCATGATCTGGTTTGAATTCTTTCAATATACTAGAAATACTGAATGCGGGTGTCGGTGGAAATGGAAAGGAAATGGAAAAGGAAGAAAAGGTTCGTGCAAGTATATTGGCGCCATCCAGCGGATAGGTGTGATGAACAGGTGTGGTATGTGTCAGGATGTTATGTATAGGATAGGCGCTGAGGTCGAGGGAGCAGAGGTTCAAGGAGGAAGATGTGTTTGATGAAGAACCGACCGTACAGATCAACTTGGTCTCGGTATACCGCTGCTGCCCAGCGCGACTCCGACGAGACTTTGGGGCTCGCCGAACCCCGTTGCCGTCGTCGCCGTTTCGGGGAGCGAGATCGGGCTTTGCGCGCTTTCTCGCTCCCGTTTGACCCGGAAGAAGGCGAGCTTTGCAAAGCGGTTGAGCTGGGACCAGAAGTGCCGACCTGCCGGATGAGCGGCGATCCGTTCGAGCAGATCTACGGTCGCTTCGCGCACAGTCTGATCGGAATGGAAGAGACCCATGCTCAGGTAGAAGAGGCCGGCTTGGCTTTCCGGGGTGACGGTGAGGAGCTGACAGATGCCGGCATAATCCTTGACTGCGTGGGCAAAGGCGATGTAGATGGCCCCTGCCTCCTGGGCGGGGAGCTTCAGGGCCCGCAGTCGGTCATGATGGTGGGCCAAGTCGGGTTTTTGGATTGGTCGCGCAGGATAATACATGGCGGCAATGTCTTGAATGAAGGAGTAGTAAGATCGCGTGGTCCGCCATCCCTCAATCCTGGAAACGGAAGCCAACAGTTCCCGTTGCTTGGAACCCTCGTCGGGCCAGACGTAACCATGCCCGCGCAGTGTGGTCGGATCGAGAGGATCGGCCTGGAGCCCGCTGGGGCTTTCGGGTGACAACTCCTCGTTGGGACCGATTATGTGCAGATTGGATGCACCGTAAACAGTCTCCTCGAAGGCAGCAGCCACGCGCGCAAACTTGGTGATGTAGGCGCGCCATTTCGCTCGGATGGCATTCTCCCCATACCGATTGGTGATACCTCGCTGCACATCTTCCATGAACAGATTGTCGCCCGTGGGATCAGTTTGGGCGTTTGCAGGATGGTAGTTCACTGTAGTCTGCTGTTGGAAATACAGCAGACCTTCGGTGACCGGCGCCGGCTCAATATGGCTACTGATCTTCATTCGGCCGGTCGGGAGATCGCAGAGGAGATCCCACCACTCGGGATGGTTTGCAAAGGTGGGATTCGTCACGCCGGCGATGAAGCCCGGCACTTTCAGGAGGTCATCAATCTTGGTCAGGTCAGTGTAAGGGAAGGCATGTCTTGTGAATCCACGAAGAATTCCGCCTGAGGCGATGGCACAGGCAGCCAGCACGGCCTCCGCCACCTCTCCCGAGGGACGATTGTGACCCAGGAATACCACCCGTTTCTGGGTCAGCATTGCGTTCACGAGAACGATGATCGGATGAGTATAAGGGCCACTGGTGGTGAGATGGGGGTGAATCGGGAATGGCTGGGGCGTCGTGGAATGAGGGCCGGAGAAGGTTTGGACGAGCTTGATCAAGGAAAAGTCGCCGACGATTTCGGGCCAGATCACGGTCGGCACTTTGACCGGAATCGGGATATCGTTGTAGACGACTTTGGATTCGTACTCATGCGTATCTCGGGGGAGCGCATACCGGGGCGGCGCTGGCCTCTTCGGGGACGGTGGAGATTCGAGGTCGTAGTCAGGCCGGCCTTCGTCAGCCATCCGCTGCTGGACCATTTGCTCGAACTTTTCAAGAAATATGTCTTTAGAGTTACTGGCCTGCAATATTTGTCGTTCCAGGAGAGACATTTTGGGCATCAACGAGAGGTCCATGTTGTTCACAGCATCGTACAGCGAGGCCAAGGTTTCGGGATAGGGGGATTTGAAGTAATCTTCTAAAGCCAGGAGGAGTAGGGGCTATTGAACCGCAGTGTCAGTTCTTTTTGTCTCCTCCAGAATACAGGACGGGTATAAAAGGTACCTTATATATATGAAGAAACGAGTGGCGTGTACATATGGCCATGGCCTTAACCACCGCACCTCTGTATGGATCATCTTAGCCATACCGATCAAGCCGCCACAGTTGGGAGGGAATTATAATCACATACCGTTTTACCGAGTTATCCTGCTTCGTATTTACAAGATTGAGGACATACATCAGAGGCGGGCCTTCGCCACCCTCCTCCTCGTCACTACTCTCCTCGTCATCGTCGCTGGCCTCGTCGACATCCTCATCCAGACTCTCCAGGTCGCCATCGACCGGAGACCGGTCCGCCTTCTTTTTCTTTTTCTTCTTCGGCTTTCCGGTCACGGAATCGTCATCTTCGTCGGCACTCGTATCCTTGTGAAGGAAGAAGATCGTCCAATCCTGGCTCCGCACGTGGGTCTGATCCGGAAGCATCAGCTCTGCCAACATGCTTTCGTCGCCGCTAATGGGAGCCGGGTACTGGTGCTCCATGATCGGACCCCGGTCAATGTGGAAGGAAGCGACGAGGATGTATTCGACATGGCGGTCGGAGGAATCACGAGGGTACTGCGACTTGTACCGCCGAGGTTTGGAGCCCGGGGCCGAAATGCCGGCGACATTTTCCACGGAGCGCTGTCGCAGGAAGGAGCGGGAATCGCTCGGCGTACGGGTGTGTGAGATGGAGGGAGACGGGGATAGGCGGCGGAGACTGTTCGATTTGGAGAGGCTGATCGGTTTCGATAACGACTGAGCAGGGTCGTCGGAGGGTCGGAACGGAAGTGAGAGGCTCATCTTCTTTCGAGGGGGGCTTAGAGGAGCGGAGGACAGATAGGGCTCGGGCAAGAATGCGAGGGAATCAATGACTGGGGACGAGCTCGTGGCAATCGGAGACAGATGATAGGGTCGACGACAATTGGCACCGCATACTCCAGAAGCATGCACGGGATCGATCAATCGCTCAATCGACCACTCGATGACACCGAGGGAGGGAGGGAAGCCAGGCAAAAAGTGGAAGAAAGAAATTCAATCAATGGATTGACAGTCAGTCCATTGGACGACGCCGCATCAGAGGAGCATGGCGGAGAGTCTCGGAGGATTGGGAGGGCTGATCGACGGATTCAGGGGAAAAAGAAAGGGGAGGAAGTGAAGCCTCCAAACCGCACGCACCAGATCTCCACAGCGGGGAAAATCAATCGGCGGGAACACCAGCAGTCCTTGGATCCAGATCGATTCGCCGAGGCCATTCCGATCCAGCGGACGACCATCGACCAGGGGGGAGGTGGGACTTGACGAGGCTCGTTCTGAGGCTCTGACAGCTCGAATGATTGAGGAATGGACGGTGGATGAATGCAATGCCAGACTGAAGCATCGCGAGCGCAGGTGGATGACTAAGCGTGGTGTTCCAGCATAACTTATACTGCGTAGGTGTCACTTGTACAGTACAATGGACAGGCAGTTAAGAAGAACGAAGGAATGTCGGTCAAGACGCAGACAGGCAATCGGCAGTTTTCCAGCAGGCGAATCCTTCTAGAAGGCGACTCCGTCAAGTCGTGGGCGACAAGTCAATCCCCACACGTGCTCGCTCGGGCCGACTTCCGCCGGTGTTTGTTTGGCTGTTTGTCTGCCTTCCTGTTGGGATTGTATACTCCATCCTCGGATCATCGCCTCACCCTTTCTTTGAATTACAGTAACCATGGTAGGTCGCTGCCATCTGGCTCAATCCCCTCGTCCCGCGCTCACTCTCTGTCCCTACCGTCCAGGTCACTCCCAACGCTCCGTTTCGACCCTCCCCGTTATCGTTTGGCTCCCCGCGAGCATCGCCCTTTCGTCGACCCTCCACTCCCAACTCGCCTCCCTCGCAGGGCCGTCCAGTGACCCCGGGCAGCTCCCCCGGCCGATATACTCCCGTCCAGTCTCCCAGCAAGCTCAATCAGTCCTACACCGTCGAAAACGAAGATGTGTCGCCGCGCAACAGAAGCCCCATCCCGCAGCCGCGGTTTTCTCGTGATCCACCCTCATCGCCGACAAGAGGAGCGAGTTCACCCGATACGTCGCCCCTAATAGGTACCAAGACGACCAACATGATGGCCGCCTCGTCCGATGCAGCGGCCCAGTTGACCCCGGCGCAATTGCGAGAGATCCGAGAAGCATTCCAGGTGCTCGACCGCGATAACGACGGCTCGGTGGATAAGGAAGATGTGGCAGATGTGCTGGTTAACATCGGTGAGACAGCCCCGTTCTTCGACACTGCCATGTGCATCGATAGAATTTAGGATGCTAATGGGCATGGAAATCAGGCCAGGACGCTTCGATGACATCGCGATTCTTTCCGCCCACCGGACCTCAGACGATTAACTTTCCTACATTCTTGAATATACTATCCAGTCTACTCGCCCCTCTCTCGTCCCGACAGGAATTATTGAACGGACTCGCTGCCTTTGACGAAGACGACAGCGGCCAGATCGACGTGGCGGAGCTGCGGGATGCGCTTCTACACACGGCCCCGGAGGCCGGCGAAGCGCCGTTAACGGAACGGGAAATCAACGAGGTTCTGAACGGGTTCACCGGACGCCGAGTCTTTGGAGGGAAAACTGGACAGATGGGAGGCAAGAGAGGGGACGTGTTTCGGTACCAGGAATTTGTTGACGGCGTGATGGGAGGGACGGAGAACGGACGGCGCGAGAACTGAGGGGAATTCACGAGCATCAACGAGTATGAATACTAAAGATGGAATATGATATGGGATCTGGGACTCGGGATTTGGCGTTTAACGGTCTAGTTCATAGGTCATCGGTCATAGTGACCGGATCAACTTGCTATGCCCCTCTGGTTGTCTGTTTCTTTGTCTTGTCTCAGCGCTGCGGGTCCACCGATTGGCCGGTGAAGGGAAGAAACTATTGAAAATCGGCTCCATGCCGTCGCCATAACCATAGCAACTGCAAGCTAATCAATTCCATTCTCCTTAATCCAAATTAACTGCAGTTGCCTGCAGCGCGTCGCGTGTCCCCGCATATCCACCTGCGAGAAAAAGACTGACAGAAAAGAAAAGAAAAGAAAAAAAAAAAAAAAAAAAAGACAAAAAAAGGAGACTAACCCGGAACCTGCCTCCTTACTCAAGTCTCAAAGATTCATGAATCCCTCGCCTGGGCCTCGTTGACCCGCTTCTGTTTCTCCCTAAATCCCCAAGGACCAGGAAGATGGTTGGTTCCTGTGGCAGGTTCATGCAGGCATAAATCTCGACAAAGCCAGCCCCATTCATCATGTCTTCCTCTTCCTCCTCCTCCCATCCCACCCAAGCCCAGCTGAATCTCGCCGCTCTGGCGGGGTCACCTTCGCCGCGAACGATGCGAGGTCTCCGAAAGATCCAGTCCCACCAGATTCTCTCCTCGAATTCCTCGTTTGGCGCCCCGACTTCTCAGGCGTCGTCGACTGGGCGCTCCTCCGTCGGTCCCGACGAGCTGCTTCCCCAGCCACCCGCTCATCTCGACTCGCCCGTACGACTACGGACCCATCGTCGTGCAAGATCCAACAGCGATGCTAGCACTCGTGACCCGCCGGCTATAGCAACGCAAAGACGACCAGGCAGGAAAACCGGCTCGGGATTCGGGTTGAAGAGGTCGGCGTTGGAGACGCTGCTACGCGACGGCCCTCAGCAAGGGAACATTCGGGAGGGACTGCAGGAGTTGAGGTATTTGGTCTTGTCTACGAGGGTGGAAGCAGATGGCGATGGCATGGTATGAAGAAAAAAAATGAGGCCGACCTCATCCTACACAATAACTAAAAGGAGAGACAACGAACTAACCGCCCGACAGTCAACGTACCGGGTCTACCTCTGGTTAGCCCTTCTCGAAATCTCCCCCGTCCCGACCGACGAGTATCTCTCTCTCATCCATCGCGGCCGATCCCCAGCCTATACGAAAATCCGCAACGATACCTTCCGGACGCTGGCCACCGACCCGCTATTCAAACGCCGCGTCACCGAAGCCAGCCTCATCCGACTCCTCAACGCAGTCGCATGGAAGCTCCATGACGTCAAGAACCGGCATCGTTACAAGTCCCGACCGTCGTCGCGACGACGCGAGATGGAGCTCTTGATCAACACGCCCCCGAGCATCGCGGAAGAAGACAGCGACCCGAATTATTCCACGCCCAGCAGCAGAGGCGGCTACGTCACCAGCGACTCGGCGATCTACGTGCAGGGCATGAACGTGCTGTGCGCGCCCTTCCTCTACGCCGCCCGCAGCGAGGTCGAGGCCTTCGCCCTATTCCATTCCTTTGTCACGCGCGAATGCCCCGGTTACATCCGCGGCGCCATGGACGGCGTCCATCGCGGTCTTCTTCTGGTCGACCGGTGTCTGGAGATCGTCGAACCCAAGCTAGCGGCGTATCTGTTCTCCAAGGGAATGCAGGCCAAACTCTATGCGTTCCCATCCGTCTTAACCCTCTGTGCCTGTACGCCTCCGCTGCCGGAGGTCCTCCATCTCTGGGACTTTCTCTTCGCCTACGGGCCCCATTTGAACATCCTGTGTATCGTGGCCCAACTGATCCGGATGAGGGACACCATCCTGGAAAACCCAAGGTATGTTGTTTTGTTTTGTTCTATTTCTGGCCACCACGAGCAACTCGGCAGAACCAAGAGCAAGAAAGCCGAGGGTCCAATCGACACCTCATATCTACGCATCACAAACTGACCCATCATGTTTTTGCCGGATTCTCCAGTCCCAACAAAATCCTCCGATCCTTTCCTCCTCTCGACGCCAAAGAAATCATCGCCTTGACCGTCCTGATCGTCCGAAAGATCCCGGAACCCTTATATGCCGAACTGATCGACCATGCCAAATAGTTCGTGTCGTGGTCCCTGAGCTCAGCTCCGCCTCCACCCGGCCTAGTCCTGTCCAGCCCAGCCTCAGCCTCCACTCAGCTCAGCTTGGGGCCCTCAACTCGACTTGACCTGGGTCTGTCCTCTCTCCTCCCTCTTCCTTATTCCTTATTCCTTATTCCCCCCGCTATTTTTACGCACTACTTCTTAAAGACCTTTATCAAATTCACTCCCATAGAAGAAGTGATCTATTTACGTGTATGATGTATGGATATATGGCAGATTGCAAGACATCGTGTTATTGCGTTATTGTTTTTTTTTTTTTGTTCGGGCTGATTTTACTCACCGCAGCTGAACCTCTGATGAAACTTGCTCTGCTGGAACTTTAATGTGGCGTTTTTCATATTTTTTGCTATTTTTTTCTCCGTTGATGATGTACTATTTATTTCCCACGCCTTTACTGACGGATGACGGATTGACTGACTGACTGACTGACTGACTGACTGACTGACTGATTGTATTATTGATGGATGAATGACCGCATGATGAAGATGATGCGATGCGATGCGATGCGATGAAGAAACCAGGGAGAAACCGCGGGGGAGGGTTTGATTTGCATTTGTATTTGTATTTTGTTGATGTTGATTTGGTAGATGATTGATGAATTGATGATGTGCATTCTTTTATCTTCTGGAGCTTCGTTATCGGATTGCTCTGGAGATACTCAAGCGGAGGGAGGGAGTATTAAGGTTGACTTTGGGTCCTAGAGTTCTAGTTCAGTTATCTACTCCTATGCTATGTCTGGCTGGTTTTGGTTCCTCTCGACGCCGATTCCCCACGACAACGATAAAGAGAATTCATTGGAAATGACAATAATCAACCGGGGAAAAACAAAAATTCAAAACATATTCTCGCTCTGTCTCTCTCTCTTTTGTTTTTCTCGAGAAATTAGTCCGGTCCTGTTCCGTCACTCCCGTTCCTGGTTTCTCTCACCATCCATGTAGACGATGGTGTTGGTGTGTGTTTAATGTACTACATTTCTATCCCTCGCCTGGAGAAGATAAGAAGAGAGATGTATGAGAAAGAGCAAGCAAGCACGTATGCAGATCAGGCCGTTACCGCTCTCCGTCCAATGCCTGACCCGTTCACGACCAACGGTTGACATCGGTCTATCTTGGGCAAGGATTCCCGTCGTCCGCCAGCGCCGGGGGACGTCCCTGCCGGAAGAACCGGGGAGACCTTGTTTTCCTCCGCCGGGCCCTCCGGGGCAGTGGGAGAAGAAGGAGTGCCGGTACTGGCAGTGTTGGCAGCATCGTCGGGTCCGGGGGCGGCCCGCGGCGGGCCCTGGGATGAACTGTACGCCACATGAATGCTGCGGTCGATCTTCACGCGGATCTTAGCCCCCATGAAGATGGCATTGTTGTACCGGGCGACGGCGCGCTTGGCCTCGTCGGCGTGGTGGAACGTCACTCGGGCGAAGCCCTTGCAGCGGCCCGTCTCGGCGTCCGTGGGGATCTCGCTCTGCTCGATCCCGGTGTTGTTGGGGCCCTGGAGGAAGTTCTCCAGGTCCTTCTTGGTGGTCGTCACGCTGAGGTTTTGGATGAAGATGGTTCGCCGGGAGAAGGGCCGTCCTGTCGGGCCGGGCCCTGGTGCTCGGCACGACGCCGGCCAGATGGGCGAGTTGGGGTTGAGACTGTGTCTATGTTGGATGGGGAGGCCGTGGATGGGCTTGGTGGGACGGTTGTTGCTGGCGGTGCCGCTGTTCATGCGCATGGCATTGAGAGAGGCTTCGTGGAGAGGGTGAGGCATGGGGGGCAGCGCGTAGGGAGGGAGAAAGGCGAAGGCGAAATTGGGGTCACAGTACGATGCGCGAAGAACGGGAGATGGTGGAAAACCGGGCATTGTGTGGGTTAGAGGGTCTGCGAAGATGGGCATGAACGGCTGAGGCATTCCCATGGGGCTCATCATCGGCGCTCCGTAGTCGGGGGTTTGATATGTCGGGCTATTCGAGTTTACCGGCCTGGTTATTTGTTAGGGCTCGGTGGTCGGTAGTACATGGCAGGATGGATGACGTGCAGATCAGTACTCACTCTGGGGTCATGGGAGATGGTGGAACGGCCAAATTTTGGGTGACTCGCGGAGGAGTCGAGTAACCAGCCACATAGTTGGGAGGGATCACGCAGGTTGGACTCTTCGTCGGCCCGGCAATTGGGCGTGTGGGAGAGCTGGTGCGAGCCAGCGTGACCACCAGACTCTGTCCCTCCCAGCCGTTGGTGGACAATCTGTCTGGAAGCGCGTTGCCTCGTCAGTCTGTACTCTGCTGGGGCTTGTGGATTCTGCACAACATTACGCACGGTAGGTCCGCCATGCCTCGTCTTCGTTTTTCACGATGATCTGACCCAGTCCTGTGGGAAATCCATGGTTGTCGTCGTACACCACCGCTTGTCGGATATGCAGCGCGGTCTGCCGGACCATGTCCTTGAGCTCTTGCCAGCGACAGTGGGCTGGAATCTGTTCTTTCAGTAAGACATGCCATCTGGAGTTTGCAAAACTACGGTGAGTGGATCCACGACTTACCCCCTGGAGGAAGAGGACAAATTCCTCGTCTGATCCTCGAGACTTTGTCATTCGCGCTTTCTGGGGAGCTGGCATGATGTCGAGAATAGTTATCCGCCTTGGAGGGTAGCTTCAACAAACTAACGTCCAGAGGGTGATGATGCGAAGTGGAGAATTGACGATATTACAGAGGACGACAGAGTTGCTTTCGCCGAAGCTTCAAGAGCACCTGGCGATGACTTGATAGAGTTTCAGGTCAAGGTCTGGACCAACTAAGAATAACGAGAAGAGGAAAGTAAAACGGGAGAAGCAGAAGAAGAAGGGGGAAAAAAAGATGCAGCGTGGCCAGTCGAGCAAACCAGATCAGGTAGTTGACGAGTCAATCCGTCAAATCCAGACTCCTGCTTCGCCTCTGGAGCTTTACAGACGGTCGCGAGAATAATGACAGCTGCTGTCTCATGCACGACGGTATACCCGATGGCACATTCGAGAAGGAAGAATTAAATCGCTCGCCTTTTAAAGAGAGGGGAGGGGTGGTGGATGAGTCGAACGAGAAACAAATAATTTCAAAAGTCACAAGAATAGAAATCAGATTCGATTCGATGCAAGCGTATCGAGGATCGGCCTCGCACTACCAAGTCCCGCACAAACGAAGCGAGGTTGGGGAGGAGGAGGGTCGTTGGTGCAGAAGTAATAGTGCAACGAGGGCGTCGGGAGGGTGAAAACGAAGGACGGCAGCCACTGATGCACCAGCTGACGAATAATGCAATGGGGCTTTGGAGGTGAACAAGTGGACTGGCGAGGACTGGATAGAATTCTGATGCTGGGATGTGTCAATTTGTCCCCAGTCTGATGGATATGATCAAAGTGGATGCGCAACAGCCTGATATGTCATGCGTCAAGATCCTGGTTGGTACTTGGGGTTGTTAAAGGGAAGCTGAGGAAGGGGTGGGAAAAAAGAAAGCAAAAAAAAAAGAAGACCATTCATGCTCTGCATTACTTTCCCCCCCTCTTTTATTTTTCGGGGAGGGATTTATTTTCTTTTTCTGGTTTTCATTTCGTGTTTTCCCTCCAAAGGGGGTTCCCATGGCGTCGAGAAGGCGACAGATCAGAAGCGATTGATAGGCATGTAAAGGCCCGATGCTCACCAGCCGACGGAGGGAGACCAAACCGCCAGAAATAGTCAGAGACATTCACAGCCCTCGAGTACGTAACTCTTGGCACGTTCGGGGTTACACCGCCAGATCTCAGGGCAGCCACAGCAGAGGCGAAAGAGGGGAGAGAGCGCGAGAGGAGAGGGAATGAAGGCAACAGCTCCGGCGGCGAGTGGAGCATCAGCCCTGCGTTGTTCCGGTAGCATCACGGCTGCATTTCCGAAGGGCATTGTGTCGGCGTGCGTTCAGTCCGGATTGATGGGCGACGAGGACGGCAAAGCACCGAACGACGAGAATCTAAACCCCAAGAAAAAAAACCAATCTCCAATCCGATCTTCCAGTCCAGATAGATCTCATGGGTCACGGCGACGGTGATTGGAGGAGATGCAAAGCAATCAATAGGAAGGATCCAGCGGATCTTTGCTTATTTCGATTCGCATGCAAGAGAGGCGAGAGGGATGGATTCATCACCCAGCTGGCTGGATGCATCATGTCTGATAAGCGGCGAGCTCAGCCTCGGGTCACTGCCAGGTGGTTATTATTAGTCTTATAGCAGACGCCAGTGTACGGACGAGGCAGGGGCATCGCCGCCGGGCAAGAAAAGCAACGGGAATACCTCGTCGTGGTGATCATAACGATGATTATGGCCGGGTTATTGGGGCAAATTGACCAGAAGTCCCAAGTCAGCTCATTTTCCCGGAACCTGTTTCAGGAGCGCAGGATCCTGGCATCGTGCATATGAGCTGTCAACGAGTGAAGGCCGCTGCCCGAGACACCGCCAGAGCTGGCAAAGATACGTCCAAAGAATGTCGCACGGCAGATTCACCGGTGGAGCTTCCCCTCACGAACCCCTTGAGAGAAATAAGATCGGGAATTGCCGAGTCAACTATGATTTTATTTTATTTTTTCTTATTCTGTTTGTTGGTGGCGATGAAGGATCGGACGGGATCGCAATGTGTCGAGAAGCAATAGTTTGGCCGTCGGGCGAGGGCACTAAGAGGAAGACTATCGATCGCCCTTCCTCCACCGTGCCAGGTCTCCGGTAAGCCATGATCATCCGCTAGTTGGTGACATTCACCGTCAGCATGGCAGCTTCATCTGGACCGTAGTCCGGAGGACAGTCATCATCGGGTTTGGCCGTGTTTGAGAACTCTTTCATCTACTGCTTCACCAACCGACTCCGTAACTCCAGCGTAGTTGGCTCACTGTCCATCGTCAGTCTCCTGTCAGGGCCCTGGGACTCTTACCACCCGAGCACCTGTCAACCAGACAGATCATCTCCGGTCGGAGGAAATCCACGGGCATTTTCGGGGTCGAGCATGTCCTTGGGAATAGCGTGCAGTAGAGCGCACGGATGGAGGTGCAACAAACAAGTACGTTGTAGGTATCTGGAAAGGACTGGTCGCATGTTATGCATGCCATACTATTATGATCAGAATAATCCCATTGACAGGCGTGGCCAAATACAATCACATATCGGTCAAGGATATATCTTGAGTCCTGATCTGTTCTATCCCTACCCATATCCGATATTTCTCCTACGGAATATGTAGGTACAAAGTATGATTTACTACTATTGCACTCCGTAGAGATCTCAGAAAATCCAATTCATGCGCATCCTGCGACTCATTCAAAGACGGGGAAAACAAAACAAAATCAAATCAAAAAGGTCAGGCACAAAAACCTCAAACGGCCAACCCGACGGAATCCACCTCCTTACGAGTCCCCAATAAGCGACAATATAGATTAATTAACCGTGAAACCCGACCTTCCAGCCCAATCGACAGTTAATTCGACTGAGTAATTCCCTCAATTTCATTTTCCACCGCGCGCCGCAGCCCATGTGGAGTCTCCTCCCCTAATTATCCCAACCCGCTGGATCCTCATGGGATGGCAAATCGTGAAATGAAAGTGAAACCAATCGAGTCGGACGCCAAAACCGAAACGTACCAGAAAAACCCACTGATCCGCGACTTTGCACTCTCCACAAACTCAAATGGGCTTTAGTTCGAGAAATCAAAAAGGGGGAGATCAGCTTGATTAGGTTCCTAGATTGTTGATGTGGCGGCCAGGTGGCTCCTTTTTTTTTTTTTTTTTTTTTTTTTTTTGGCGCGCTTCTCTCGTGTCTGTCGAGCGTCGATGTACACAATTGTTAACCTACGGAGTAAAGAAAAGAACAGATCTTTACGCTTTCTTGCAGGTGGGTACCTACTTCGTAGTTATACTACCGTGTAGGTGTAAGGTGTAGCAGTATGTATGTGTTCATCTAATACGTGGCAACCTACTGGCTCAGGCCCTCGCTGTCTGCCATCGCAGGGATCATTTTGCCTCGTCGAGGCAGCAGGCCTCGGTATCCTGCGCATAACCGTTTGGACATCGTACCACCTCATCAAAGTACGGAGTACTCCGTAGTCAGTTAGAGCAAACGATCAAGTCCGGATACGTATTCCATCACCACTTCCTCCGCCCCCCCCCCCGTCGGCATGTAAGGCACCCGGGAGGCGTGCGATGTCAAACCAATCGATCTCGTTCAGGGCTGTAAGGGGGAAAAGGAGGGGTAGTCGACAGAATGAAGAGGGGCTTTGGAGGTCGGGTTGGTTCAGACTAGTCCTGAGGATTCTTGTCTAGGATCTAGTGGTGCCACTGTTCGGGAGGGCTCAGTCAACGCTGGCCTAACCGCTCGGAATTGTCCATCTTTCTCTCGGGATTCTGGAGCTGCCGAGCTGGAGTTCCTGGTCGGGGACTCGCTAGCTTGGTTAGTCGGCGACTAGGTTGAAACTAGTCCGTGTAAATCGTCTTCTCGATTTTTGAGCCGGACGTGGAAGGGGGAAGGGGGTGTGGATTGGTCTACCACGTAGTTCGACTAGGTCTGGCTTGGTGTTGTTGGACTGAGACTGCCTGATTGTGTAGTGTGTACTAGATAGTCGTTGCCTTGCTCGTCCGGCTTACGTCGGGATCTTACGATGTCGCCATCGATACGGGTGGTCCGGAGCAGGGAGAGTATCCTCCCTACGTCGCCCAGGGGCAAGTGCTGTCTCTGACAACGGCAGCTGGAAATGTCTGCCAATAACAATGAGGCTGCGTGCACATGCATGTCAATACCTACCTACTCTGTATTAGACTTCCTTTGCTCCGACCTGGCAAACATGTGGTGATTCTCGAGCTGCCGTCGATCGCAGATGGTCGATCATCCCGGGGGTGAAGCAGCTACACAGTAGGTTTAATTGCGATGGACAGAGACCGCCGGGGAGAGAGAATAGTGCGTGCTATCCCGGGATCTGATTTGGCGTGGGTGTTTACTCCGTACGGGGCTTCCGCTTGGCTTTGGAATGAGATGGATTTTTGCAGGATTTAAAGTTAACATAATGTTTATGCATGTTATTCATTTCTGTGAGTAGAATGGATATGCGTAAAAAGATTTCGAAACCGCCGATGCAAGGCTCGCTGATGCTTGAAACATGATTGGGTATTGAGCAAGTAACAAGAAAAGAGAGAAACATAATAGAGAGAGGTGACTGATGGTCTAAGAATGCTTGCTGAAATGGGGTTCAGAAAGGGAAACAAGAAGACAAAGAAAAAACAGGATCTCGAAACTTCTATCGGCCTAATCCAGAAGTGGCAAACAGTCATAAAATCAAGATCGCGACATGTCTTCCCGTATACCCATGTCACATGGAAGTGCTCTGACCCTTCGTCGATCCGTAAGATCCTGCTAAGCCTCATATGTCCCGAATACCTCGAGTCGCCCTCCGCCCGTCCCCGGCGTAATTGTAGGGCGCTCAGGCGCAACTGTCGGTTTTATCGCTGGCTCGAGATCATGCGAAGAGACTGGTAAAAGGTCCGGTGATAAATGGGCGCGAAAGCAGCACTATCCGTTGTCTTGTTTCTCGGAATCCAAGGGCCAGGTTGGCGATTCGAGTCCGCGCTCGAAAAGCGAACTTTTATCCTGTGCCAGCACAGTAGGTAAAAATTCATGATCCGGGTCGGGGGGAAGACATTCGTCGGAGCGAGTGACCGAAAAAGTAGAACCAAGTGTATGAATCAACCACGTCGTCCGTCGGCGACTTCACGTGTAGGATGTTGCGGCGGTAATGGCTAGCAGCGACACGGCGAAAAGGGTGTGTTCATCATGATGCTTATTCCGATTTTCTTCGTTGCGTGGGTCTAGTCGACGATCCAGGCGGGCTTCAGCGAATGAAGCCGACCATGGAGGCACAGCGGCTGCAGTAGTAGGAATTCATGCCGAACCGGACCACCCCGGGGGAGGATTCGTTCTCGAGGCTCATGGAGCGCTGGCACCGGGAGCAGCGGACGATATCGAAATTCATGCCCTTGGGGCCGGCGTCGGGGGAAACGACTCCCTTGGTGGAGGGTTGCGGTTGGACTTGGACGGAGGGGGAACTCATTTTCATGTGAAGCGGAAGAGCACGTCGTGGTTGGTGAGGGGGGCGACTCCGAAGTCGCGGCAATGGTAGATTATCCCAGAGGTGGTAGGATTCGGAGGGTCGACGATTAATTCGGTGGTAGAGAAATTGGAAAGAAAAAAGGTCTCGAACAAGAGAGAGAAGAAAGGAATAAAGAGGGCTGAGTCAAGGCTATGCAGCAAAGGAAGAGCGCGGAACGCGGAATAATCTTCCTTTCTCCGGGGACTGCTGGTATTGGATTTCTTAGGCAGAAAGAAATCGGGCCGCCGTAGAACCAAAGAAGAGAGAGAGGGAGAAGGAAGGAGTAGAAGGAGAGAGATAGGAGGTGGCGAGAAATTATGGTGGTAGTGGTGGACGGAGGGTAGGATGGGCAGGTATTAATTGGGTTAATTAAAACGGAGCGGGTGAGGTGGTAGCAGAGAAACAGGGCGACTGGAAGAGACAAGGAAGTTGAATAAATAACAGCAGGAGAATGGAGCAGGGCTGGAAGTATTCTTCCATCTCATCCCAGTGCCCGGCGCCAAGGGTAGGTTGAAGGGTCAAATCGGTCCACTTTTCCCCTGTTTAGTCTGTGGATAATAAAATAAAATAAAATAAAATAAAATAAAGAAATGATTTTGAGATAAAAAAAAAAGAAGAAAAAAAAAAAGATCAGGAGATTGACACTAGAGAATGCATTACTTAGGCGGCGCTCTAGTTTTTGATTCATTTTATTTGATTTACATTTCCGAAATTATCCCTATAAAACTGAGGTCGACTACCATACGGAGTAGTGATGATAAGGCGAGGAAAAGAAAATAAAACAGAAAAAGAAAAAAAAAGCCATCCTCCGTACAGCCATCCCCAAACCCAAGGGGCAGCGATAGGGCACCCCAATGGCATCCTCCCTCGCGGAATGTGGGCGTCGAGGTTTCAGAATGACTCCCCGTTGTCAACCACGGGCGGAAATCAAAGTTGACTCTGATCGTGAATCATCCATGGATCCGTCTGCCAGATTCCTGACGGAGTACATCGGTCCATCGTGGACGGTACGGAGTATATCCTCGAGTCGAGCGGAGAGACGAAGCATTCCACCCTCCAGAGGAACCCCCTCATGCCTCCCACGGGATGAGCTGCAGCGGGCGACCTACATTATTACCTCCTCATTGCGTGTCGAAATGCAGAATCACTTCACTAAATGTCGCAGCTCCGATGCAGCACCCCCGGCGACCCAAATCCGGTTTGGCTCCATGCATTCCATCCCCGTCCATCGCCCTCCTCCGCGGCCCATTCGCCTGCTGGGCAGGTCGTGTCGTCATCATCCGGTCGAGGTGACGGCGTGCACTTCGCTCGCTCTCCTCCCTTCAGGAACGCTCGTCGTCAATTGTCGTCTTGTTATCTCGGCCAATTCGGGCGTGTCTCGTCCCTCGTGTGCGCCAATCCACCCGGCAGGGTTGGTCACCCACTAGTGTGCCGGGTGAATTTGGAACTATTGGATCCCAAACTGGAACCCAGCAGGAAATCACAGAGTCAAAATCGTTATTACGGAGTAATCAAGCAGACGATAGCCGGGGCGGAGCATGTGGCTCTCGGGAAGGGCCAGTGGCTGCCTGCCATTCCACTCGCCCCGTTGACAGTCGCCAGAGAAGAAGAACCATTCCTGCTGCCGGGGGTTCGAGCGTTCCACACTTGGCTGTCGGCCTGAGTGGGCAAGTCGCTCGGTTGATCCTCAAGGTCGATTGGTTTTGGTTTCGTTCTGCTTTACAGGGTATTTGGCAGCCATGTGGAAGTTCACGATCAAGTGCCTTAGTAGGTAGTATACCTAGGTACAGTAGGTATAGACTAGGCAAGAGTATACCAGAGTATACGCAGAAAGTACTTGCAAGACAGGTACCTCGCACCATCCTCAACGCTGTGAAAAGACTTGGCCCCGAAGTCACGATACGGTACGGTATCGGCCCTTCAGCCTCGTGGACGCCGAACTGCGGCTGTGCAGCATTCCCAATTCCCAATTCCAATTCCAATTCCCACGTCCCAACGCTAACGCTAACGTTCTGGAGAACGACAAGACTCCACCCCGGCCGTTTCAGAATCTCTGCCTGCGACCGAGCGAAATTTCTCTTCGACGAAGGGATTGTGCCATCCCAGATCGTGAAATCATAAGGTATGCCCATGATGTCTACTGGCTCTACTCCGTCCTCTGTGTCCATTCTCCCGGCCACGGACATTCCGTGATCGCCCACAGGCTTCTGGTCACCAAAAAATCAGCCACCTCGGGTCGTCGGCCTGTGCCGGACCCTGGTCCCGCTCCCTGAATTGCCCCTTTGGGCAATGCTGTGTTTAAATCGGGGTATACGGCATCCCCCCTCTGCGACTAGACACGAAAGACCGCCAGCATCATTTCGTTTTATGCACCCCGGGTTGGATTGGCGCTTCGGCCATTAAACGCATGGGTTGACCCAATAATGCGACCGGTCGGTCTGCCTCCTCCCCCCTCCTCCCACCCCCACTAAACCCCGTCTGCGATTATCACCGGCCCTGACTGGTGTCACCCTGCCTTGGCCGTGAGCGTCGCTTACGAGCTAGTTGCAGAAAGTGGTGCAGCCAGTGGTCCGAGGAAACAAAGCCGAGAATGCGGGCTGTTTTTAACCAAGACAGCAGCCCGCTTGGTCTCGAGAGGGGGAAAGGAAAGGAAGGCCTCCCTCTACTCCGTCCTCGGATCAGATCATGATTGACAGCAGCCCCAAGCCGTAGATCGATAAGCTGGGAAAGTCTGGTGTGTCTCCAGCACAGGATTCAAGTATCACGCAAAGTCAATCATACGGAGATCCTACGTCCTAGGTAACTAAGTATCGGACTTCGGAGTACGTCACCCCGGTCCTGCATACACATTCAATCTCTGAGGCTTTTTTTTTTCCCTCAATCTTTCCTCACAAAAACATCTCTGCCTAAGTACTGCGTATTATTCTCACATGTACGAAGTAGGTCCATGTACAATGTTCCTCGCTATGAATGGTCTTTTTGCCGTTCCCTCCCTCCCTCCATGCAGTCCATGCAGTCTAAAGATGCCACCTACATCTTTATTGCTGGCTGCACAGATTAAGGTCGTACGAATTTCCCACCCTCCCCTGTCACCTTGAAGAAAAAAAAAAAAAACAAGGCACGGGATGCTGGAGCGGGCCACAGATGTCACATCCCATCTCCAGCGACATATGACAGGTGGAGATTTAGTCACTGGTTTCATTGGCGCTCTTTGGTGGTCGGGAACTCGGAAAGATCAAAAGAATGGATTGTCTGGCCTCTGATCTAGACTCTGGTTAGATCTCCGGGAATTCGGCAGTGGCAAAACCAAATATACACTGTTGACTATTACAACAGTGTACTTTGTTGGCTTAGTCGTAGAGTGCATAACTAAATGTAGCAACGCCCATTTCCTCCGCGGAATGATAGCATCGTGACCTATGAACAAGGGTTCAGCGCCCCGACATCATATGGTAGGACGGGTGTTTGCTATCGAAGTACCCCATACAGAGGATTCAGATCGATCGCTGCCGTGGGCTCGCCTATTGGCGGATTGGCGGATTGGCGGAAGGACGCGAAGTCCGAGAATCTTGGAAATGATCAACTCTATATTGCGAGATTACGAATGATTGAGTTACGTGCTGACAAGACCTCCGAGTCAGTAGATGCAGCGCCCGCCGACCATGTGAGATCAGGATGATTCGAGCGCTGACATCAAAATTGCACCATGTCATCTGTTCCTGTTTCCTGTGGCCCTAATGGGAATGCTCAACCGGACGACGGTGGTCTGTGCCTGCGAAGGTCACAGGCGCTGGATTGTTATGATTGGGATGCAGTGCACGGCTCGTTGCATTCCCCATCATGGTTGTCATGCGTGGCATCCTCCTTTACCTGGACTTCGTGGGATGGATCATGGCAAGCTATCTGTATCGCAGATCCCGTCCCACTTCTCGACCTCCTTACTAGTTACTCGACAGTCTACACTGCCGGGCTCTGCTCTGCTAATTATAGCATAAACAATACCCTTTCTTCCGGAGTATGAATCGTAATGCTGACAGCCAAGGTCGACAACCCGGCAAGCTTCGAAGATCACTGCGACTAAGAGGGTGACTGGTAGCCATAGACAACAGGTACATATACACTGCCACCCCGCGACCGTTGGGCGGGTCGGCGTGGTGCCCCTACTAGACTGGGTAGGGTGATCAAAAAACACAAGATCAACGATCATGGATGAAGCATCCAGGACGGGTTGTTAGCATCATCTAGTCTGGTGGGTCGTTGAGTCGTTCGTTTATAGGCATAGTAAAACTGTAAAAAGTCTGGTGGTAAGAACCGTGGAGTCGACTCTATCCCGATGTACCGAACCTTTTCCGGTACGACGGTGCCGTCCCTCCGCTCGAGAGATCGCGGCTGCAGTAGGCTTCATGCTTAACGTTGGATGTTAAGATGACTGTCTCAAGTCCGCATTTGCCTGCCTAGGTTGCCTTGGGAGATAAGGACGAGAAGGTGGGGGAAATGACCGATTCTCCCCAAAGTGGTCGCCGACGCCGGGGGCGCCTGCACGATGTCGTAATCCGACAGCACCGAACGGACCGCTCCTTCGACGGTGCGTAATGCACGAGGCCCAAAAGGTTAAATGGCGATGCTCGCGGTGCTCATCGTGGTCAAAGGGGAGAGGAGGAAACGAGGACTGAATGACGAGGAAGGGAACGGCACCGCTGACATCATCGCACATGTCGGCTGGTTAAGGGGACCTTTCGTTACAAAACCACGCCATTGCCGACACGCTGGGAGAGGATTAGGGAGATATCCGGGGGAGAAGGAAGGAAAAAACGAATTTAGAGGGTGTACAGTGAAAACAAGAAAATAAAAACAAATCTAGAGTCGACACCTTCTGTTCCCTTCCCTGAACTCGAAGAGGTGCTTCTTATCATCCATTATCAGCTTGGCTTTCTTTCCCCTTGCGAATTTAGTCGACATGACGACGTCATGCCCTCATGGCGATGTCAGTTCAACCAGCTTTCGGTCTCCCCCGCCCACAGAACACGCCTTCAACAGAGACCTGGAGACAAAGCAGAGGAGACGTTCTTTTCTCGTTTGCAAATATCACCGAACCCAGTCTGACCCGTGTGGTTGATCCCTGACTGAAATCACCGATTGCACCGGTGGGTTGGAATCTCGGCAGGAACGGAAAAGGCACGCTTACCTGGCGAATACTTGCCTAATTGTTCTGGGCGAGTGGATTGGTTCTCCGAAACCACGAGGAAGCCAGTAGGCGATCTACTGTGAATTTCCCAGCCTCTACTACCGAGACTATTTTACTCTAAGAGGACTCTACTCCTAAGGAGACAGCAAGTCGTGACGGTGCCTTGCGACCTACTCGGCCTCTGCCCCGCCACCCCACCTTACCTCACAGCTGTTGACCGTCATTATTCTCTCCCTCTCCCTTTCTCTTTCTCGCTCCCCTCCTTCAGTCTCTGAAGCCGCTTTTTTCCCTCTTCCCCCTTTCAACCCCATCTCTGGCATCTGCCTCCTTCCAAGAATTTCGATCCCACAGTCCAAATTCTCATCCATCATGGCCAGCCCAGCGCCCAACCTCTACAGCTTCCCCAACAATGACGAGCTGGCCAAACAATTACGGCCTTACGTCCTCCGCAACCAGAATGCCGCGCTGAGCCGCCACGAGACCTTCCGCATTGCGGTCTCCGGGGGCTCCCTCCCTACGGTTCTCGCCAAAGCCCTCCTGGCTCCCGGTAACGGAACTCCCGAAGACACCGCTCAGTTTTCCAGCTGGGACATTTTCTTCGCCGATGAACGCGCCGTGCCTCTCGACCACGAAGACAGCAACTACCGCCTATTGAAGGATGAGCTGCTGAGCAAGATCCCGGCGGAACTGGGCACCCCCCGTGTGCACACCATCGACCCGGCCCATGTCAACGACGAAGATCCCCAAGAGCTGGCAGATCTGTACCAGGAGGAACTCATGCGCATCTTCGCGTCCAAGGACAGCGTCAAGCTGCCCGTGTTCGACCTGATCCTTCTGGGTTGCGGCCCGGATGGCCACACCTGCAGTCTCTTCCCCGGCCACGAGCTGTTGCGCGAAAAGGACTCCTGGGTCGCTGCCATCAGCGATTCGCCCAAGCCTCCTCCCAAGCGTATCACGCTCACTCTGCCGGTCGTCACCCACGCCGTCAACGTCGCCTTCGTGGCCACTGGAGGTGGAAAGAAGGAGATCATGAAGCAGATTTTCGATGCGGAGGAGGGTCGCAGCCTTCCCTCGGCCCTGATCAACCAGGGCGCCGGGGAGAAGGTGAGCTGGTTCACCGACCACGCGGCGGTGGACGGAGTCGCCTTCCCTCGACGAGGAAGCCTGTAAAGGACCGGAGAAATTAAGCATCCCACGGGATGGAAATGCTAAAATACCTGGCGGGACGATTATGATACGAAAGGCTCTGTCTGAAATTTCTTGCGCAAGTCTCATTAATATGCAGTGCCGCGATGAAGCGAAAATAGTGCCACAGCCGCCCTTGCTTTTTCTAGGCTCGCCGGCTTTGACCGTCCTATTTGATTTTCATCTTGATGTATGACCTAAGTTGTCCGGAGATCGTCTTCAGAAGTGCTTGCCAAAAGTTTGTGTTATCATTATTCTGCTGGTATCCCGGGCGTTTCTAATTGAATGAGAGTAATGATTATCAGTGCGCATCCGTTGTGTTCGTGTTCCGAGTAATGAAGCCATCCTGATAGTTCCGACCAACGTGGTGCGCTCTCGTGGGGAACGGAGAAGCGATCGACTTGCGGATGACCGAACGCTGAGCGGTCATTTAAACTCCGCCCGAGCGCCACGCGGCGGGTTGAACTGTTGATCGAGTGACCGCTAGTTGCCCTCCCACTCAATCTATCTCCAACGACAGACTTCCAGATCTGTATCTTTTCCTGATACTAACCAGGCTAATGAAGGACCGAATGCTCAGCAACAATGCCCATTCCGACGCGTTCCCTTTCACTCCGTGAGCCCCGTAAACAGGTGAGTGGGCTGTATCCACCATCTCCCCCTTGCCTTCCCACTGTCATTTCCCCCAGCCTTGCGACCAGAGGGCGGTCGCTAGCCGACTGTGCCTTGACGAGATTCTACGCCGGAGGAGCTGACCTTTTTGCATCTGAAAGCCATCGACTCTCGGACGCACAAATACAACCAGGGTCGCTTCGACCACGACCTCCTCCGGACCCTCGAATCCTCCCTCGTCGTCTGGGAGCGACAATGGCACCAAATCAAAGAGCCTTTTGCCCGTTCGTGACGAAAGCCGCCCGAGAGCATCGTCTCTACGCATTCCCAAGCCGCAGGACAGTCGATTGCCCGAGCGAGAAACCAAACTTGTCCAGAAAACAGCACAGCAGGACCGACCGGCCGGGCCGACCGGTATTAGTCGACGCCAAAGCTTGATTCGACCCAGTCCGCTCAAACCTACGTCGTCTGTCAGGACTCCTTCCGCCACCACGGGCTCTACAACCCTGACCACCCCGAAAAGAGCTACGTTCGCACCAGGCCCGCCTTCCCCTTCGAAATCGGACGCTCCTTCGAGCCAGAATGGCCGTGCAACGTCACCGAAGAAGTCGAGCATGGCTCCTCCTCCACGACCTGTCCGATCGACTTCGTTGAGGCAGCCGGCGAGCTCAAGCGCCGGGACGGGGTCTGCGGCGACCGCAAGAGGCCACATTCGACATCGTAGCCAGGTCACGACGACTCCCAGCCAGGTCTCGAAAAAACTCGAACCGCCTTCGCCGGCTACCACTACTCCACGGTCTAGAGCCACATTCACAACATACCAGCAGCAGTTGTCGCCAAGAAAACCGGCTGACAAGCCCGCAGTCGCGCAGTCGTCCGGCGGTCCTACGTTGATTCCGGCATCCTGGCCGGAGATTGCATCACTGCAGACCGAGCTGCTACATCTTAGTCTCTTGCACCAGTCTTCCCTCCAACAGAATGTCCAGTGGCGAAACCATGCCGAGGAGCAGCTGCGGTCGAAATACGACTCGGTCGCGGCAAGATACCGGACCATGGTCGTCGAAGAGAAGGAACACCAGCGGCGGCTGAACGGACAGGCATTGAGCGGTTGGCTCAAGAATACCCGGGAGCACAACGGGCGGCAAGGGTTCGAGGAACAAATCCGAATCCTGTCTCAGGTTACGCAGGAGGTGTGTGATTTAAATGATAGCTTGGCAGGCCGATACACATTGGCCGTGCAGGGATTCGAGGACTGGTTTCACAAGGCGAGAGAAATCAAGAATTACCGGCTCGAGCAGGGCGGGGTTTCTGGCCACGTCGTGTTCATCGACCCCATTGACCCGACCTGGAAGGAGGAGGCGTATGCCATGACCATGCAGTTGGAACTATGCTCGAGGCGGCTAGACAGCCTCGACATTCTGGGCTACGGGGAGGTAGAGCGGCTGGAAAATTCCGCCCTCCTTCGAATGGCCAAGGGCTTGGACGAGATGGTCAAATTGATGGTCGACGAACTGAACGCCATCCGTAAGATCGAGGCCGATATCACAAGGTCGGAGCGACAGTGGGTTAGTCAGCTCACGCGACAATTGATGGCAACAAGACCGCACGAAACAAGATCTTCGGAACTGGGAATGTGGAGACAGACGTCCTTGAAGTCATAGCATACTCCGAAGGCTGTGCAGTCAATTTTCACCCAGCAGATGGAGCCGTACATGGCACACCGGTGTCTCCAGCATGCCAGGCCGAGAAAAAACCAAAACCGTCCGAAGCGGTGATTCACCCTGTCTACATGATACATACACCGACACCCGAGGAAGAGCCAAGAAAAGAAAAAAAAATTTTTCCAGAAAAAAAAGAGGGGCCACAAGTTGAGGACAAACTGATATTGGAGGGAAGAGGAGGGGGGAAGAAAAACAGACGGGGCAAAACAGAGGAATGCTCAGGGCCAGTCTCTCTCTCCCAACGCCCATGGAACTCATCTCCGGAGTACTCAGGGACCCCCCGAGACAGACGGAAGGAAAAGCCGTCCAAATCAACTAATGCACCCGGTTCCAAGTTCAGACTGGGACGCAAAACCTGTCGTTTGCAGTTTCATGGGTCCCGTCCCAACTAGTTTTTCATTTCCGCGCGGTCAGTTTGATTGAACCAGATGGATAGAAATATTGGGGCGATCTACTGCCACTAGTCGTCCACATCCTGTTTTTTGACCGTTTGCTTCTTTCTGGTCGACCCTGGTTCCATGAGACAGTTTGTCAGCCAGTCCATCCGACCGCGTGTTCTCCTGTTGTGCCAAACTATCGGTCTGGGATTTCGATCCTTGCCGGAGGAGAGAGAGAGAGAGAGTGTGTGTGTGTGAGGAGAGAGAGGACGGCGAGACGACCCTTGAATGCGACACGAGCGCAGACCCGAGATGCCAGTCGGGCAGCCAGGATCCTGCCCACTTTTTTTTTTTTTTTTTTCTTTTCAATTTTCACTTTTATTTTTGTTTTATTTTACTATTATCCGGGATCCCAAAGGAGCTGGTGCTTGAACCGAACCGGTTTCTGCTGTTATCATGCTACTGAATGCACTAGTATGTGGATAATGACCATACGCGGGCTGGTACAGAAGTACAAGGGCGAGAAAGGGCAGTAAGAATGAAAGTGAAGGTCTAGAAGCGATGCCGCGAGTCGGCCGAGCGCAGGCCATGAGTCATGAGGTGGTGTTCGCACTGAACTTTTCGAATTTTCGGAGATCCGAGTTCCCAAGGGCCATCCCATGGTCGTTGACCCCAGACTTGATACTGGCCGCTGTCCGGGCGGGATGACTCAGCCGCCTTAGTTAATCACTGCCCAACGGAGACTAGCGTCGTGACATCATGACGGCCTCAGGATTAGATCATCCTGCTGCATCGCCGAGTCGCGACCCTTTCAGACTCCCGGCGTAACGTCGATACGGCCTCGTCTCTCCAGTCTCCTCCGTGTTCTACGGCCGTCGTGGCGGTCCCGGAATCCGGTTCTGTGGCAAGTGAGAGTCCAGTTGCGTTGCACCGGGGGAGCCCCTTCTGGAGCAGAGCGAGGCGGCGTTCGGCCGTAGTCTGTACACGGACGCATCATGAGTTATGACAGCCCCAATTCGGCAGGTCTTGGCCCGCCCGATGGAGCAAACGTGGTTCTTTGGACTTCACTTCACGCCGGTTGACACCCGGGGAGGGATCTTCTGGACTCTTGTTCGATGGAAGATCCGGTTCATAGATCATGATTCCAGTGGCCACCGCCCCTCTCTGATTTTTTTTTTCTTCTTTTTTTCTCTCCCTCCCCCCTCTTCGCTCTTTGTGGTCGCTCCCTTGATAGGGTAACGGTACGGAGGGAATACAGTAGAATTAGAAATTAGGTGGAAAGGATCCTGGTTGTTCGCACCAACCGCTGCCCCGAGCCAGGTTTTCGCAGCGTCACCAGTCAAACTCAGGCCTGGACCGAGTGGAGCGTGCCTTCCCTTTCCTGCTCTTGTCTCTCCTTTCCCCCCCTCCGCGGGCTGCCCGCTGCAATTGGTTCTCCCGCGCTGGCGCTGGCTGGCTGACTCTTGCAGGCTGCTCTGGCTCTTCGCTTTCTCTTCCGCGCTTTCTCTTTCTCCTCCCATCCATCCTCAGTTGAGAGCAAAGACATTCTTGATCACGACTTTTGATCTGTCGGATTTCTCTGCGAACTCACGTAACGGTAAGGCTTTCTGTGATCCCCGGAGAACATCGACCGTCCTGCCCATCCGACGGGGAGTATAGACCAGAAAATAAGAAAATCAAATAAAATAAAAAGACCTGCATCCACCGGCAGACGGATCGGCACTATTACCGCGGTCTTTTCGCTCTGCCATCTCACACCTGCCTGTGCTCTTCCCTTCTACCCCCCTTACGCTTGTGATTCATCGCTTCGCTTCGAGCTGCGCTGCATTGTCTCGTGAGAGAGATTCGATCTCCTCTTTTTTCCGTGTGCCCTTCTTTTTTCCTTTTTTTTTTTTTTTCTCCTTTTTTTTGTTTTGGTCTCTCTGGTCTAGCGCGCCCTGACCGACAGTACATCTCGGGTGCTGGCGTCCCTCTTTTTTAAACCTTTGAATTTCTGTTGATTCTTCCTTCGGGATGGGACTGACGTCACTCGCAACAGAAAGAAGTCCGTTCGACAGAGTCTTCATCGCGCGCAATGTTCCCGAACCCGCTAATCTGAACGTACGCCATTTGTCGCCCGCCCGTTGACGCCTTGCACCATGAAGAACTCGCTGTACGACCGCATCTGGCGGCGGGAATCGGGATACGCGTCGCATTATTCCAGTATTCGCAGCATCTATGGTTCTAAGGAATGGGTCGACGACCTGGACATCGTGAACGAGCTGGGCGGCCACACGGGCTGTGTCAATGCTTTATCGTACGTGTGATTGCCGGTCGCATTTCGGGTCTCCGTGCGATCGCGTGCGGTCTCCGCGCCCCTTTTGCCTGGGGGACTTCAGCACGCTGACCTGCTTCTGTAGATGGTCGCGATCGGGCCAGTTTCTCGCCTCGGGCTCGGATGATCTTCACCTGAATATTTACTCCTACCAGCCCGAGTCCACCAGCGCGCCCTTCTCGCTGAGCACCACCGTGTCCACGGGCCACAGGGCGAACATCTTCTCCGTCAAGTTCATGCCTCACTCCAATGACCGCACCCTGGTAACCTGCGCAGGCGACCATCAGGTTCGCGTCTTTGACCTGGAGTACTCTAGCAACAACAGATCCGCCGACGACTCGTCTGCGTTCACCTCGTCGGCCCGAAGCCGCCGGTTCAATAACTTCTTCACCAACACCCGTTATCTGAACGAGGGGAACACTAACGCGCGCATCTACCGCAGCCACGCGGACCGGGTCAAGCGCATTGTCACCGAATCGTCTCCGTACCTGTTTCTCACATGTTCCGAAGATGGTGAGGTGCGCCAATGGGACCTGCGACAGCCTTCCTCCGCCTACCCGAAACCACGGGGCGGCCAAGGCCCCATGGCCTATCGACCGGGGGTGGTGCATGACGATTCGAACACGCCGCCCCCGTTGATCTCGTACAAGCGGCATCAACTCGACCTGAACACTATATCGTGTTCGCCGACCCAGCCGCACTACATCGCCCTCGGCGGTGCCCATCTCCATTGCTTCCTCCACGACCGGCGCATGCTCGGGCGCGACCGGCAGACCGAAGCTGGAGATCCCGGTATTTCCTCGACAAATGGCAGCCCCCGTGACGATGAACTGATGGGCCAGGCGACCAGATGTGTTCGAAAGTTCGCCCCGGATGGCAAGCGTCGCATGAGTCCTCGCACTGGCGGAGACATCACCGCCTGTAAAATCAGCGATGCCAACCCCAATGAGATGGTCGTCAGCTGGTCTGGAGGCCATATTTACAGCTTTGATCTGGTTCGTAGCCCCGATGCTGCGGAATCCGAGTCCATGCGCCAAAAGACAATCCACGAATCGTCCGATTCCAGTCGACGACAAAGCTCCAAGAACAGAAAGCGTAAGCGGCAAGCCAGATCCTCGCTGCCATCGCATGCGAGTGGCAGCTGGCCCCGAGCCCGTCCTCGCGTAGACTACAGCGGCAATGATGAGGATGATGAGACCGATCACGACGACGGCGAACTAGCCTTTCGGGTCCGCTACGGGAATGGGGAGTCGGAAGATATTGCGCTCCCTAATTTGTCGGACCCTTTGTCGGCGCCACCGGATTTAATCGAACAGGCGAGGTACTCGGTATTGAACGATGCGCAGCGACTCAGCATGCGTATTGCAAAAGGTCTCGTGAAGCTTCGCAAGGCTCTTTTCTCACTCGGCGACTCCATGGGCGAAGACAGCGTGCCCTTAACCGCACCCGATTTGACCCCGTACACCGAATCTTTCTCCGATGCTCTGGCACAGGCCTCCACGTACCTGCCGCAGATGGACGAGGTCATGCGCACGTGGAGATACCCTCTCAACCCTAGCCCAGAGGTGGTGAGTATGCAGCAAGCCCTGCGTCGGAATCGCGAGACGGTCTGGAGATTCGTCCAAGCCGCCGGAACGTTAGCGCGGGTTCTGGGAGGCGGGGTGCAGGATCATCCCGAAAACCAAGAACCCGCGATGGAACTTTTCCAACAGGTTATGTTAGCACCGGGGGAGTACAATGCCCTCGACAGATCATCCCAGTTTTGTTACGACTTTATCAAGGCCGTCCTGTTGTGGGTGGAAGGGGGCCGTGAGGCTTTGCTTGCGGGCTTCAAGCGGGACTCCGCCAATCGACGGAATAAGGCACGATTTCCCCTCTCTGAAACTGCGGACGACAAGGCCATCGAGACTGAACTGTTTCCCTACTTGCAAGGGCTTGCGAGCGACACTCCTGTGGTGAACGTCGATGCATCGAGATTCGAACACGACCGAAGTCGTTTTATTAGTCCGACACAACACGACATACTGGCCGCTTTCCGAAATACACTCCACCGGCGGAATATGACCTCGGAGAACATAGAATCCGAGAACGAGAACGACGACTCCCCTCATGCTCAGAATACAAACCGGTCGGTGGAGAGGGGCTTTTGGGCCTTCAAAGTCTGTCGAGGAATCCTGATGGAGGCTGGGTCTGGCGTGAACTACGAGTTTGTCAACCGAGCTTTTGGCGGTGTACGGACGACACTTGAAGATGAGGCCGGAAACGATGGAGAGGTTGAGAGAAGCCAGGAAGATATCGATCCTAACGTCGAAGAGCAACCAATTCGCGATGTGAATCTCACACGGATCCCCGATCGGTCAGCGCCTGAAAGAAACTCTGGATCCAGCGGAGATACGGTCGAAAACCTCGTTTCTTCGGACGCCTTGTCAGAGAGTACTCGGGGAACATCCGTTGATGACGATGCTATGCCAAGAAGCGGAGCCTTCTTTGAACGAGAGAACCATGACGAGGACGACAATACCGAGGACGAGGATGAGGATGATGAGGACGGAGACGACGATGAAGATGATGGGCTGGACGATTTTGGAGTAACGTCAGGCAGCTCTCCGCGCGACAGCGACGAAGAGTTGGAAGCGGAGGAAGCGGAGGATCAAATGCTCCGAGGTTACGGCATCCGACGAACGAGAAGAGAGGGTGTCGGCCTCGATGTTCCATGCTCGCCGCATACGAGGGTCTATCAAGGACATTGCAACGTCAAAACGGTCAAAGACGTGAACTATTTCGGGCTCGATGACGAGTACGTCGTGAGCGGCAGCGACTCTGGGCACGTGTTTATCTGGGACCGCAAATCTTCCAAATTGGTCAATATTCTCGAAGGTGACAGTGAAGTTGTCAATGTGGTGCAAGGTAAAGTCCCTCGTGGTCTTTGCGCGCCGTCTGTTGCGCTAACAATCGACTATAGGGCATCCATATGAACCAACGATTGCAGCATCGGGCATCGACAACACCATCAAAATATTCTCGACCGACCGGCGTGCGCAGGAAGATGCCCGTCGTGGCATTAACATCCTGGATCCTGACAATGACGCCAACACTTTGGGCTCGAATGTTTCGGGGATTGGTGGTCTTCGAAGCTGCAAGCGTATTCACGACAGCTATCGGATCATGAGCCAGAATGATGTCAACCGGCAAGGTGGGATGGGTGAAGCATACATCACTGTAAGTTCGAATGTGTATCCGCTGCAAAGAGGTAGTACTTTATCTGACAATTGAGGATCTTAGCGCGAGATGTTGTCGCGACTAGCTGTCAATCTGCGGCGTCAGCAGAACGCCGGAGGGGTTGAAAACGCTAGTTTCGTCCTGGAAGATAACTGCAACGTAAGTATCCCTTTTGCTCTTTCGTTAGTTCAAAGCGTGTTGGGTGCGTGTGTTTGGATTCGATCTGACTTGATCACAGATAATGTGAGGGAGTGAGTGTTTCGAACGGAATGCTCGGACGAGGACCTCATGACATGAATCAAGAAATCCCCCTTTTGAATAGCTGGGGAGAGTAATAACGAAGGGGGTTTTTTTCTTTTCCTTTCTTTCTGTTCTTTTCTGGTTTTTATAAATAGACTTTTGGCATCCCCCAGTCTATGTTTTTAATTCTCGATCTTTTCTGCTCTTCTCTCTTCTTTGCCCTTTCTCCCTGGCTTCCTGGGCTGTTTTTGGTGTATGGTTGACCTTCCAAAAAAGCGAGGGGATATGCAGTACGATTGTGAAAGCTAATTAGTTCACAAAAAATGACTGAATGACAATCCACGATCAAGTTGTACGACCTTTGTAGCGCAGGCCAAGTAGAGGAAACTGGAGTAGATAAGAGGTGAAGAGTCACCGTCAAAACGAGGGAGAGCAAATTGTTTCGCGCCCTTATCTTCACGTGAGCCTATCAGTCCCCCGCATTTTTTTTTCTTTTTTCTTTGATTAATTTCCCCCCCACTCCCAACTGTCGCTGTCTTTCTATTCCTTCACCAGACTAAGAGGTAGATCAATTGCCAATTCCCTATTCCTGAAGACTCCTTTTTCTACGACAGCCTCCAGAATGCAGGACCTTCTCCAGGGGCGCTGCGAAACCACCGCCAGACTCTACGCAGACCCCCACAATCCGCACCTTCACTACGAAAGAGGGTTAATTCACGAGCGATTGGGGTTCACTGATCTCGCCTCTGCCGATGCCTACCGGGCCCTGTCATTACTAGAGTCGGTGGTTGACCCTGATGGGTGTGAATTCCACGCCAGGAAGAAGGTTGATCCAACCGAGACGAAGGCGGAGCAGGAAGAAAACGCCAATGATGACGAGGACGACCAGGACGAAGATGAAGACGGTGTCCCTATAACTCAAGACGAGTACGATACCATAATTGGAGGTGTATATACATTGCTGGTTCGGAGCTTGGTCAGTTGTGGGTGTTTTCGCGATGCGTACGAGTTCTGCGGGAGGGGTCTCGCCTTGCTCGGGAATGCCTCTGAGGGTTCGCATAATGCTGAGGACGTGAAGGCGCTTCGAGGGCAGATGGATATCATCAAGAAGGTGTTTGTTTCTCGACGGCCTCAATCCGAGTCCACCGGCGAGGTGCAGGTAGACCCGAGTGCCTTGAATGCCCAGGGCCGAGCCCGCAGGGTTCTATATCCATGGAACGAGCACGAGCCGGATCGAAAGGCACCCGAGACCCTGCAACTGCTGAACGAACGATTGAAGGATGTCGCGCCGAAATGTGAGGTGAGAGCCGTGGCTCTGCCCCTGCTACACGGCACCACGGAGGGAGAGGGCGCGCCTAAACCCGACGAGGTCTCCGTGCAACTCGGCCTCTTCGCCAAAGAAGACATCGCCCCCGGCGACGTCCTCCTGCACGAGACTTCCCTCCTCACAGCGACAAACCGTCTCCATGACGATCTCTGCGACGCCTGCAACGCGCCTCTCCCGGACCTCGCCTCCGAGAATCCCCCCGTCGCCTGCACCGGCTGCGACGACACCATCTTCTGCTCCCAGGCCTGCCACGACATGGCCCAGGAGGTCTACCACGGCGCCGTCTGCGGCCTCATGGACGGCCTCGAGTCCATCGGCAAGGACATCCCCGACCCCAAGGACAAGGCCGACTACCTGTATCTCCTGCTAGTAGGCCGCGCCATCGCCATGGCCGCCACCCAGGACGTGCACCCACTCGACCTCCCCGAGATCAAATACATCTGGGGCGACTTCCACGACCTGGACCTCTCCTCCTCCTCCTCCTCCCCCGCCGACGACGACGAAACCGCCACCCTCCCCTTCTCCTTCCACCTCAACGTCCTCCAACCCATGCGCATCCTCGAGGAAATGGAACTCGACCCCTACCTCACGCTCCCGCGCTACGACACCTGGGTCCTCAACACCCTGTACGCCAAGTTCCGCGGCACCGCCTCCGGCCGCCTCTCGACGTGGGACGGCGGCCCCGAGCTCTGCGCCGTGCACCCGCTCTGGTGTCTGGCGAACCACTCGTGCGACCCGAACGTGCGCTGGGAGTGGGGCGGCGAGATCACCTTCCGCGCGCGCTCCAGCGACGAGCGGCCCGTGTGGACGCGCAAGACCGCAGACGGCCTGCTCGAGGAGATGCCGAAGACCGCTGCCGCCGCGCAGGGCATCCGCGCTGACCAGGAGATCTGGAACCATTATTGTGATATCGGGCTGGATGTCAAGGAGAGGAGGGAGTGGGCGAGAGGTGCCCTGGGTGGGTTGTGTCAGTGCGAGAGGTGTGTTTGGGAGGCTGGGGAGCAGTAGATACTACTATTGGTAGTAGTAGGTCGTTACGCGGGTTGAGGTTATATATATATGGCGTGGTGGTTTGGTTTACGATAGAGAAGATAAAAGATACCCTTAACTAGAGTTAGTTGATAGAATCTCCCGGGAGAAACATATAGACGATGATAACCAAAAACAAGAAATGCATAATGAAACCATGAAGTGTTCCTTTCTAGTCAACTCAACTATTCTCCTGACTCTCAGATAGTAATGTATAAGTACACCGGCAGATGGAAACAAAAAAAAAAAAAGAAAAAGAACCCCAAGCCCCAAACCCAATCGACCTTTCCTTTCCACAAAACGGAATTAAACTGAACTTTCTAATCATCAAGACCTAACGACCGGCCGCTCTTCATCATCTTTGCGCGGCCGAGTCTAGGCATAATCGGCGGCACGAGGCCGACGGGGCGGGCTGCGGGATCGGTTTTTGTTGCTTCGACGCGGAGGCGAGCGAGATGCGGACGGAGACCGCGAGTCTGAGTATCTTCTGCCTCCCCGTCCATGCCGAGGCGGAGGAGAGCGAGAGCGGGACACCGAGTCCTTCCGGGGTCGGCGAGCGGGCGGCGAACGCGACGCAGACGGGCTGGCGACTCGGCGTTTACTAGCCGGCGGAGGCGATCGCGATACCGATGAGTAGCGTCTGCCTCCTCGATTGCGTCGGGGCGGGGAGAGAGACCGCGAGGCGGACCTCGAGGGGCTTCGGCCTTTGCAGCCGCGGATGCGAGGGGGCGAGACCGAGCGAGACGGCGACCGGCGCGGCGGATATGGGCTCGCACTCCGAGATGAGCGGGAATCGTAGGATCGAGCGCGATTGCGTCGGGGTGGCGTGCGAGAGCGACTGTCCGAGACGGAGCGTCGGCGGCTTTTCGACACGGGGGATCTGGACCGCGACGGGGTGTAGCTGTAGCTCCGGCGCGAGGAGCCCGAGACGGAGCGGCTGTAAGATCGTCCTCGGCTGACCGAGCGCCCACGGCCCCGGGTGCGCGAAGGGGAGCGGGAGTAGGAATAAGAGCGCGAGCGCGAGCGCGAACGGCCGGTGCAGGTGGAACAGGTGGAGTGAGAGCGGGCAGAGCCCGAGTCCGATCCGGGGCTGGCGGCGCGCGCAGGGAGAGCAGGAACGGTGGGTTTGGGAAGGTTCTTCAGATATTCGCGCATGTCCTCCGTCAACAGACCGAAACCGATACTGGTGAAGTAGTTGATGGAGAAGCGGGTGTTGCGCGGGTTGTCCAGCGGGAACAGACCCTCGAAACTGGGACGCAGGATTTCGTCTCGCATGCGTTCGTGCAACTTCGGCATGCCCAGGTGCTCCCCGAGATCCTGGAAGAGAATCTTGATAAAGATACGGCTGCTCGACGTCGTCTCCTCCTCGTTCAAGTGGATGATCGACATAACATGCCAGCCGATGGCGTCGTTGCTAAGCATGTGGCCGAAGAAACGCGCAATGTTGCGCAACCGGTTGGTTTCGTAGCGATGGATGGTGTCGTAGTACTTGGCGAACGCGGCTTCGAAGAGGTCGGACCACAGGCGGTTGATCTTCGAGAATCGCTCACCGATGAGGCCGTAGAATTTGGAGTAAGTTCTTTCTTGCGAGCAACATTCGATGATCATGGACGGGAGTTCCGGCTCCAGGCCGGGCGGCAACGAGATCTTCATCAATTTGTGACAGCATTCTTCGAAATCGATACTGGACATGATGGTCAAGTAGATCGTTCGTCGCAGGTTGACCAGGTTGGTGTTGCTCTGGTCTTTGATATCCATCTTCTGGTCTTCGTCTGATTCGTCGTCGGAGCTCTCGTCGGAATCGTCCTCGTCCTCCTCGTCACTGCCTTCTCCAAGAATTTCTGCCTTGAGACTTTTGTACGCATCTTCGTGTTCCTCCCACTGCTCATCGTATTTGAAGATGTTGAGGCTGTCCTGGGTCTCGATCTCGTCGTCAAGGCCCACGCGGTGCGTGATTTGGTCTTCCTCCTCAACCAGATCAAGCTCGTCTTTGACAGACGGGTTGTCCTTGTACCGATCCTTGCGGACCTGGAACAGAACCTCGATCATGTACTGCACTCGCTTATCGATGTCGGCCTCGTGCAGAATATTGCGGAATTGATCAAACACGGCCAGGGCGATAGGGCTGCTCATCTCCTCCAGATGTTGTCCCACCTCCCGGGTAAGTCCGACGGCAATTTCCACACTGTCGTCCGTGGGCTTGTGAAGCAGCAGCAGAAGGATCTGAGCCGCCAGCATCTCGTGCGCAACCTGTTGGTTGCATAGATGCGCGATGAACGTCGTCGAGGATATGCAGACCGCCTTGTCGTTTCTCTTGAATGCCTTGCGGAACTGCACGATCAGACGATTGAGCAGCAACTCACCCACCTGGGGCAATTTCGTGTTGACGATGGCCGCCATGGCCGCGTAAATTGGGGTGAACGGCAAACTTGCCGCCTGGGCCTTCATGATGCTTCTGCAGAATAGACCCCGACCGCGCACCAGATTCTCTCCGAACAGCTCTGGCACGATAAACTTGATATTCGACACGTTGACCTTGTTGATCAGACCATTGATCGACTTTTTCAGAGCCTCCCATGCCATACGCTGGTATTCCTTGCTGTTTTTGTCCGTGATCTGCGCCTGCAGCGCGCGCAATCGAGCCGGGGGGATGTAGGTACCACCCGAGCGCATGTTCGTGAGCTTCTCATATTCTGCTTTGGCCGATGCCTGCTTCTCTTCCTCCGTCATCGGCTTCCGTGCCGCCTCTTGCTTTTCATGCTGGCGCACTCGTTCCGCAAGTTGGCGCTCTCTCTCTATGGCACGCTCCGGATCGATACGGGGCGCATCTCCATCCTCCTGGACGGAATCACCCGGCGGCGACCGGCGACGGTTCGGCGAAGGGGAGCGAGAGGGCGGAGAGCGTTTTCGAGATGCCGAAGGCTGGGGAGAGTACGAGGCGCCCGGTGGAGGAGTAGGCACTCGCACTGCCGACTGCAAAACGACCGGATCCGTCATCTTGTGGTGTAAATTTCACCGCACAATTGTGTTTCCCCCTGGGTTCCGGTGAGCTGGGATTGGACTCCGGCGACACGGCGCGAAGGCGTTGGTGGTCTGCGTCGGTCAAGCTGTGAGGCGGCGCAGGGAAGAAGGGAAAGTCTTAGCGTCGCCCGGCGCACGTGACCCGGGCCAAGCTGCCACGGCGGCCAGTTAGTGATGCCGCAGGATGAAGCAAGCACCGTCTGGCCGTCCTCAGCGAGTACGAACAGAATCATCTCCGATCAATCACTATGGTAGGGCTGCGCACCGACCGTTCGGACAATGGGTTCTGATGAACTGACTTGAATCGCTCTCTAGCTGGGCCAACTCGTGGGATCCGCCATGCTCTTGGTCGCTACCGCGATCTTCCTCTACTACACGGCATGGACTCTTCTGATGGTACACTACTCACTACCTTACTCTACGTGGCTATACGTGGCTTTTGCTGACCCTCCTGTTTCCAGCCGTTCGTTGACCCTGGCCATCCGCTCCACGACCTGTTCCCTCCCCGCGTATGGGCTATTCGCATCCCCGTTTTCCTCACCCTTCTGGCCTCCGCCGTGGTTGGTACCTTTATCGGGATCGTGATGATCAACAGCAACAAGAAGAAGGCCGCCAAGGCCAAAGCCGCCGCAAAGAAGAAGACTTGAGCCTCTGCGACTGTCTGCAAAGACTGCGGGAGATAAAAGGGGGACGTGTGTCAAGGAGCATCACCTCAGGGGTTGGAACTGAAGACCGGTTTGTCTGGCAGAGTTGTCGTCATTATACCTACAGTACCGATTGTAACAATACTTCTTTTGCCCCTTTCGTTTTTCTTCATCGGGATGTCTTTTCCATGTAGGTTTACTCCAGCGAAGCAAGGCCAGCCGCGAGACGAGCCGAATGACGAAGGCTTCGGTCATTCGGCAGCTAAATTACAAGCTCGGGGGGTCACGCGTTTTGGAGGGGTGGGAAGTGGAGCATTCCTGGGACATCCAAGATTACAGCGACGACCGGATGGCCACCGCGAGGAGATCGGATCACCGGCGTCATGTTTCAGTCACGTCGGTGGCAGCGTGCCAATGACACGTTGGGGCCTTACAGCTGAGGGCTGTGCTGTCCAGGACCCGTGACCGGGTGCATGCCCAAGGCCAGCGATGGCGAGTGGCGGTTAACGCCGGGGGAATCCTGATAAATAAGATCATGACGGGGCAGCCATGGAATGCGCGACGTGCGAAACCTTGGGAAGCCTGCCAGACAGCCAGATTGCAGGACTGCAGCTCTGGAAGGCCTCCCACGGCCAAGTGGTGCCGGGTCTTTGGCTGCCCCGGAGGCGGATCACGTGGCGGGGACCGGTCGAGACGGGCGTTTGCAGTGTTTGGCTCGACCCCTCTGCAGGCGGACCAATCAATAAACGCAGGTTGGCCTGCGTTTGCCTCGTAGCTTTGGCCGACCGTGGACCAGAGAGGATCTTCGTTCTCCTCGTCCTGCTCCCGGGCTGAAAGGTAAGGCAGCGACGTTGACCCCCGGACACTCGACGGGAGCCCGGTTTGACGTGGGACAGAGTTACGTAGGAGTACGACTTGGGTAGGAGGGAGGGAGGAGGAGGAGGAGGAGGAGGAGGGTACACCGTACGGAGCAGCGGAGTACTACGCAGTACCAGTAGAGCACTAGTAGACAGCCCACCGACTACCGAAGCATGTACCCCGTATGTAGGAAGTGCCTGACTATCGAGTGGCTGGAAGATCCGTCCTGACCGGTCATGCTTCAGGCCCTCTCGCCAGGCCAATCATCACTGGATCCCCGTCATGTGGCAGGGAACCTTACGGGCGAGCCAACGCCGGATACGGTACCCTGGCGGTACCTCCACTCCGGCCGCTCGGTCGCGCATCCCCCGGTCACTAGCAAGTCCCTCCGCCGATAACAGGAGAGATAAGTCAGCCCGGGCTAAACCCATGGAGATGTCATCCATGCTCCTGACCTGATCCGCTTCCCCTCCCCCTCTCTCGCTCGCTCTTCCCTCTGCTCGCTGCTGCCTCTTCCTTCCAACTTCTGCAATCTCCCTGTCGACTGTTTGTCCACCGTCTACCCATCTATCTGCCCTTCCCAATCCTCGCCCGAACTTCATCTTTCGTTGATCCAAACAAGACAACCGGTCTAAGCTGCGCTTCCGTGTTGTCCTTATCGCAGTCCCCCCCCCAGCGTATCAAAGGATACGCCACCATCAACAACCCCCCTCCCCTCTTCCCTGTCCGTCTCGGCCGTTGAACGCGCCATCCCTTCCTTGGAATCCACTGGAATATCTTCAAGACTCTGGTAATCGGTACGTATCCCGACCGAGCCCTGTTTGCATCCGATGCGTGGATGAGTCATGTTGATAAGGGCGTGTTTGTTGACCTCCCTGCAGTGTCGCGACGTGGCTGCCGATAACGCAATACCTCGGGTTCCGTGGCCCCGTTGACATACTTGCTGCTTGCTCCCCGTTCTCAGACCTCGTCAAAGGTCTCGAGAGCGGCCGTCTCTTGCTGAAATCCACTTGCCTCGCCAGAGGCAACCCTGTATTTGAATGCCCCCGGTAGCTTCGGACGACTTCTTCCGCCAGCACACCCAGGGCTCCAGTGATCCCAGCCCGGTCACCGACGATTTGCAGCGAGCCAGTCCAGAGAATGAGCTTGGTGGAAAGAGCAAGAAAAAGGGCAAAAACGGGTCAAAGGGGAAGGCCAAAGCCACCAAAGCCGCCCCAAGACCTCCACCTGAACCTGAAGACTTGTAAGCAGATCCCATCCTTCACCCCGTCGATTCTATGATCACTTGAAATCTTTCCTTGATAGCCCGCTGACATGGGGTGCACGATGTATAGGATCCAAACGTCCTCTCCGTCACCGCCGGAACCGTCTTCGTGTCCAGATCCTCCGTTGGAGCTTCACGCCACCAATAATGTAGCGTCGCCGGCCTTGAACGCGTTGGATACCTTTGAGGAGACGCCAGAGAATGATATCGTCTACCGAACGGATAGTTGGGCAAAAGCCATCCCGTTCGGAAAGAGTCCGCCTACTGATGTTCTTGACGGCGAATTGGCCAGTGGTTCTCCCGGCGGGTTTCTCCTGCATCCCGACAAAGGTGGCTTTAGCAATCCCTCGTCGGCATCTCCCGGAACGAGGCCTTTGAGTTATGGGACTGGATATAACTCGTCCCGGCAGGCATCTGCGGACAGGCGTAAGAGCCACTCCGTCAGTAGCCCTTTTAACCAGATACCTTTACCCCATTTGCCCCAGGCCCATTTTTATGGTGCCCCAGAGATTGATCTTCCCTTGTACTCGGGCCAGAATCGATCGCAAACAGAGGTGTCCTATTCTTTCTGTGCCTTCGATACCATCTCAAGTGTCTCCTCAAAGACACCGAGAATGGCTAACAACGTACTCCTGGTCGGCGGCGATGGATTCCTGGAGGTTCTAGCCATCGAGGCCCACAAAACTCGCCCCATAGGAAAGCTGACAGGTCTTAATGGTCGGGTGATTGAAGCAAAGTTGGTGGTAAGCAATTTGACGAATGACTCCTATGCGCCGTCACGGCCCCATGTTGCCGTCACCATCCATGGGCCCTCGGGCCTGTCCGATGACGAAGGACCTGCATCTTCTACTGGCTCGGAAACAAACGAGAACCCCTCGGTCGCCGTTGGGCGGCAGCCCCCTGCTGAAAAGCGGTCAAACAAAGACGATGCCAAGTATTATCAGACTCGGGTTGAGGTGTACTCCCTGAGAAACGGAGACCATGTTGCCACTCTTTTTGCAACCCAGCCGTCACCCTGCTTTGAAAATATCCCTGGTCTTCCAGTATTCGCGCCGTCGCCCTCTGGCAACCTGAAAATTTTTGCCAGCGGAAACCATGTTGTCGTGGCATCTGGCGCCAGTGGCGAGGTGTTTATCTATAGCATGAACGGTTATCGATGTCTAGGAAAAACCTGGACCAGTATCCAAACCAAAGAAGCCCGGCGCTACTCCGCTTCGTCGAGTTCAACGGACCCGGATGGATCGAGGAATGACTCTCCTCATGGGTTCGCCAATAATGACCATCCTATTATCAACATGGAAGGCCGATGGTTAGCGATCGTCCCGCCATCTTCGGCCTATAGGGGATCGATCCGAGGAACGGTCCCTGCATCCCTGCTACGAGGGAAAACATTTGGACTCGAGACTAGCAGCCCGCCATCAAGACCGGCAGTCACCAGTGCCACTGACGTAGGCGAGGGCGAGAGCTTCTTTGATAAAATGGCCCGGGGCGTTACACAAGAGCTCGTGCGGGGTGCGCGATGGATGGGCGATCAAGGCCTTCAAGCCTGGAACAGTTATTGGAACAAAGATCAGGCCCCAAACACAACTGCGCGCCGCTCGCCTAATATGATGGACTTTCCTCAGCAAGGATACAGTCCTTTCCCGCCCACACATGCCCAAGAAACCCAGTCTGCTACAGCCTCGGAGCCTGACTTGGTCTCAATCATGGACTTGAAGCGGCTGGACGAAAGTGGCGAGACCAAGAGCACCTCGTACACCCCGGTAGCCACATTTCAAGTCCCTAACGGCTGCAGCTTTCTATCGTTTTCGCCGAATGGCTTGATGCTGCTCACTGCCAGCAAAAAGGGCGATGTTCAGTATGTCTGGGATCTGATGCAAGAGAAGCACTGTCGAGCAGGGGCATTCCTGGCCGAAGATTCGGTGACTCCCTGCGCAACTGTGCGCCAGGTTGCTCGCTATGCCCGGTTGACCACTTCGTACATCGTGGACGTCATCTGGTGCCCTCCATCTGGGGACCGACTGGCGATCATCACTCGCAAGGGGACTGTGCACGTTTTCGACCTGCCGCGCAGTGCATTTCAGTGGCCTCCGTTCCGGCGAGCTCGGCCGCCGCCGAGCAAATCGCCTGCTCACGATGTGCCTGCGGACGAACTGTCAGACCGGGCAAGCAGTGCCAACCCGCTCTCCGCGGCATTCAAACTTGTGGGGGGCAAGACGCAGCCGATTCTCGCGGCCGTCCGGGGTCGTACTCCGTCGGCGAGCGCTGCATTCCCTGCCGTGGGTGGATTTGGCATCCCTTCTGCGGCGGGAGTTCGGGGCGGGAAGGTTGTCGCTGCCGGTCTCAGTAAATCAGTGGGAGCGGCGGCTACCGGGACAGTCAACACCCTTCGGCATGCTGGCGAAAACCGCCTCCATCTGTCGGGGCTGGCCCGCGACCCTGCTGCCTCCCGCGTGATCTGGATCACCCACAAGGGCCAGCCATTCCTGGGTCTGGTGAGCAGTGGCGTTTTCCGACTGTACCGAGTCCGCCGGTCGCCGTCCACAAACAAGAACCGGCAATTCCAGTCGGTCATCGGCGCCAAGGAAAACGAGATTCGACTGCCAGCCAGTCTGCAGACCACCTGCGGCGCCATGCCTGTTGGCACCTTCAATCCCGAGACGACGATCACCGCGTCGTGGGCCTTGCCGTCGTCGATTCCACGGCCAGCGGCTGCGTCCAAACTCAAGTGCCAGCCACTCTCCCAGGCGGAGATCGAGACCAACGCGCCGTACCAGCCCTTCCACACCGACCAGCGAGTGAACCTCTTTGTCTACTCGGAAACGAGCGATTCCGACGACGCGCAGACGTCGATTCCCACGGGGCGGTGGGTCTTTGGCGACAGCATGCCGATGTCCAAGCTCCATGTGCGCCCGTTCAGCGCGGGTGGGGATGACGAGGACGACCACGACGAGGTCATGCATGGCCAGCACGGCGGGTTCGGCGGAGAAATGGAGAACCTGATCAGTCTGGGCAACAGTACGGGCCACGTCGAGGAGGTTGTCATCACCACGCGTCGCAAGAAGAAAAACTCCTCTCCGTTCCCTTCGGCTGGTTCTGGGGGCGATGACGGGTTTTTCGAAGATGACTGCGAAGTGCTAGACTTTGCTCAAGATCGAGTTTAACATTTTCGCTCTGTCTGTGATTTCATAGGCATCAAGATTATCCTGGAGGCTTGTTTTCCCTTCGTTTCTTTCTTTATTCTTTCAACATTTTTCCGTCTTTCCCATCAGACTGAGAAGAGACTGGGTAATCTGCAACATTCTAGACATTATATTATTGGGATCGGAGTTGGTTTCTTTTTTTTGGGACAGGCTCCTCCACTCTTTTTATTCCTTTCGTTTGGCATCCATTAATCTTCCCCCGAGGCCGAGGGGAATCTATTCGCTTGCATTGGTCTGTACTGCTGATACATGATATAGTTATTATTATTCTGATTCTTATGATTGTCACCCATCAGATGTTACATACCCCACAACGTGACTTGACTGTACTGAGAATAGATAGACAGGAAAGGATGATTTTTCGGACTTGCGTTTTTGTACTGGGGACGGGCAGTTCTAGAGATTCTATAAACCGAAAACATAGACATAAACAATCGATAATAACCATTCCTATTCTCCCTGACTCTTAAATCTCACTCGCGAGCGCCATCTCGTCTTCCCACCAGCCACGAAACTCTACCAGGCGCTGCGTGCGCACTCGGGCCATCTCCCTGCCCGACTGCGTCTTCATCATGCCCTCCAGCCGCTCCAGCTTCTCCTGGAAATGCTCGATGGCATTGCCCATCTCCCACTCGCCGCCCGCCGGAATAAACTGCCGGCCCTGCGCCCCCAAGAAGGTGAAGCACCGGCCAATGCCCACGGCGCCCAGCGCATCCAAGCGGTCCGCATCCTGCACGATCGCCAGCTCCGCGTACCCCTCCTCCTCGTCTAGCAGGCGACGCACCGCCTCGGGGTCCTTCTTCTCCTTCGAATACGACACATGCGACACGATCGTCTGCACCCGCCGCGCTAGCTCCGGCTCCGCTCCGTGCGACACCATCGCCTGCAGAACGAGCTCGTCCGGTCGTATCCCGTCCCCATTCCCCCCAGCAGAGTCCCCTCCGGTAGACGGAGAGGAAGAGGAAGAAGACGAGGAGGAGGCGACAATCTCCATGACCTGCGGCAGGTACTTCCGGTCGCCGACGTCGTGGAGCAGGGCGGCCAGATCGACGACGTCGGCGTCATAGAGCCGGGTCGGGTGGCGGGCTCGTTCGGCGCGCAGGATGGAGCGCGCCAGCGACACGACGCGGTGCACGTGGGCTGGATTGTGCGAGGGGTCGTGGCTGGCCATGCACGTGTTGACGAAGGTGGTTAGGCGCGTGAAGAGAGTCATTTTTTGTTTCTTTTTTGGGGGTTTGGAGAGGAAAAGGGAGTGAGGGGGTGAGTTTATTTTTGTTTGGGTTGGGGTTGAGTTTTGGTTTCGGTTTTGTTGTGGTAAAAGTAAGTAGGTAATGATCGAGGTCAGGCAGGGAAGGCTAATGTTGTGAGATGTTCGGATGGGCGGAGAATGTGGAGATTACCTTGATAATCCCTCGTCCTCTCACGTCGTCTTGATTTGTGCATCGCTCTTTTACCTGTCGACTGTGGGTTGATCGGCGCTGTCAGGTCGTTCCTTTGGCCCTAATGCGATCTTCTGGGCAGGGATGTGATAGGTATCCGTGAAGATATATCAAGGAGGTCAATGCTAGAATACAGACGTGATGGTATTGAAAATTATTATCACAGCTGAGAAAGGTAGTAAAAAACAGAAAAACTATGAAGGGAATAGCCCCGTATTATGTGTAACAAAGTCCCATTCGCATGTCCGTGTCCCGTAAAGCAATCCATGACCTCCTCGCATTAACACCTCCCCCCCCCCCCTGAATTCGCACCTGGTGTGGCCAGTCTCGTTTTCAACGCGTCGCTTCGACTCGTCTACAGAGCCAGAGCGCCCAGAACCAGACCGATGACTCCCGCAGTCGAGACGCCCAGCTTCAGGGCCGCGGCGTTGGCGGTCTCGCTGGCCTCGGAGCCAGAGCTGGTGCCGGTGGCGCTGGCGCTGGCGCTGGAGCCGGATCCGGAGTGGTGGCCAGTGGAGGCTGTGCATTGAGTTAGCATGTGCTTCTTTTTTTGGGATCAGGATGTATGTAAGGGGGAGAGGGAAGGGGGAAGGGGAAGGGGTGAACGTACAGCCAGTGGCGGAGGAGCTGTCGTCGTCGCTGGTGCCGGTGGTCTTGGAGTCGCTGTTGGAGCTGGCGTGAGTGGCGGAAGAACCGCTGTCGCTCAGCTTGGTCGCCGGGAAGAAGTGGCTGCTGTAGCAGCTGCTCTGGCACTTGGCGTAGCGGTCGGTGTCGCTGGGGGAGCCGGTGCCCTGGGGACAGGCGGCAACGCAGCTGACGGTGTCGTTGGCCTGCGAGTCGCTGGGGCAGGGGACCTTGTAGCACGAAGCAACACAGCAGAGATCGTTGTCAGAGCCTGGAGCCGAGATGTTAGTGAGACATTTGAGATTCGCGAGGGATCGTTATCGCGAGTGGTGGAGATCAGATAGATTGCAGTGGGTTGGGGGCAGAGTGGAGAAGATCGCGACGGAGAGATAACCCGACAATGCGACGAGATAAGATGCAGAGGGCAAGAGATAACAACAACAACAACAACAACCACAATCATCAGGTCAATTACATACACTTCTTCGCGCAGGAGGCCTCGGGAGACAGGCTGGTGGTGGCCGACGCCTCGCCGGTGGAGGTGGACGACTGAGCGACGGCCAGGCCCAGGAGGGCAGTCAGAGCGATGAGGTTGAGCTTCATGGTGACGATAGTGTAGATCTGAAGAGACAGAGATAGATCGAAAGTAATCAAAGGAAGAGAGCTCGAAAGAATCGACGGAACGAGTGATCGAAACGAGAGACTGTGCGGAGAGGAAAGACAGGAGGAGAAGGGAAAAGGGGAAGAGACAAGAAAGAGAAAGACGCCGGGGGGGGAGGATTTTATTTACGGCGTGACTTTAGTTTACCAGCGACTGTCGGGATCTTCCACTTTCTTTCTTTCAGGTTTTATTTTTGCCGTCTGACAGGGCAAAAGCAATAATTGAAACTCAGTGGCGTCCTTTCATTAGCGGGGTTTCACTGGTGGCTAATCAGCTTCACGCGCCGGGCTATACTGGGCCTAGTCTGGCTGTCTAGTGTGTTGTTGAAGATAGCAGAGTTGGCAGCGAGTGACTTGGTTGGAGTCTAGCCTGTCCATTCCCTGATGGCCGTCGCGATGCATGAACGATACCACCCCAGCGTCGAAGGGGCGCAGCCGACGAGAGGTCAGATGGTTGGATCGTTTTCTTTCTCTCGTCCATTCTTTCTTCACTTTTCTTTTTTTTCTGAACCTTTTTTTGCCTGACTCCTGTACGCAGTAGTGAAGGCAAACCCCAGGGTGAAAATCTGGGGAGCCACCAAAAATAGCCCTAGCGCCGCCCCTAAAAACTAGACGGTTTGTTGTCCCACCGCGGGCCTTGGAACCGACAAGAAAATGAGAGCTCGGTGGCGAGTCGTACCACTGCCATCAGTCAACAACTCACGCTCAGGTCGCAATTCCTCCGGGCTGTCCGGCCCAACTTCTGCTGGTCGTTTGGTGGTTGGGAACTGGACTGCTGCTGGCGGCCATAGAGTTGTATGCGGTGTAATTCCCCGATCCGACCAGCAACGTCCTGGCCAATCATGGATGCCTGCAGACGGCCGAGGGCTGTGATGAGTTGACAGAGCGTCGGTACTTTCCACAACGCCCGTACTCTGCCCAGGGCTGCTCGAGCGTAAAGTCGTCCTCTGCGATGGACTCGCGGGAAGTCGCAGTGATCGCGACCAATCAGATCGCCCCATTCACCGGCATGCAAACGCGCCAAACACCCGCCGGTCCTCAGCACATGATGTCGCGACGCTGCGACGCGACTTATCAACCGGACTTTTCCCCTCGTCCAGGCTGGTCATTTCACGTTGTCAAAGCGTGTCATCATGTCCGCCTCCGACGAAGAGTTCTTCAGCGACAACATGGACGACTTTTTGGTCGATGACAGCGCCCTAGAGGCGTCCCCGTCGGATCGGGGTTTTCCGCCGCCAGCCAAGAAGCGTCGTCTGGATGCCGCTGGATCCCAACTGTTCGACGACGACGAGACTGATGAATACGGCTCTGGCTCGGACCTGGCTTCTTTCATTGACAATGCCGGCTCCGACGACCTGCCGTCCCCCAGCCAAGCTCACGGGACCACCCTCGCCAAATCGAAGCTCAAGGCGTTTGTCCCCAAGCAGCAGAACAGCAACCAGGAAAATCTGTTTGTGACGCAGTTGACCCAACCTCCCTCGCCTCCGGAGATGCTGCGGGGTCCACGTTGGCAAAAGCCCAAACCGGAGCCGCCCAAACCTGCATCTCCAGCAGCGCAGCTTCCCACCGACGACGACGAATTCGGCAATGATGACGATCTGGATGCTGCCATCGCGGCCTCTTTTCAATCATACGAGGAAGAACAAACTCGTCAGGCCCCTGTCACCGACAAACCGGCTACGCCGTCAACTCGGAGTCTTTCCGGTGACCAGAAGTCGACCAAGTCCACCAAGACGACCAAGTCCACCAAGACGACCAAGACGAATACGAACAATGCCTCCGCAGACATTTTCGATGAGCTGCCAGACGACGCATTCGACGACGTCGATGAATTCATTGCGAATCTTCCACCACCACTGCCCACGCCACAGAAATCAAGCGGACGGCCTTTGACGTCCTCCAACCGTGTCGCTCGTCAATCGACGCTGTTTGATATGGTTGGGCGGAATCCGGCAAGCAAGTCGCCTCCCGGGGAAAGGACTTGGTATCCGCCGGAAAAACACGGCGAGAAGCCGACGCATCACAAGCTTGTCAAGGAGGCTCTCGATACCTGGGTTTACCCGACAAACCTGGGCAAGACCCGAGAATACCAGTTCAACATTGCCCAACGAGGCCTGTACCACAATCTTTTGGTAGCGCTCCCCACAGGTCTTGGTAAGACGTTCATCGCTGCTACGGTCATGCTCAATTGGTATCGGTGGACACAAGATGCTCAAATCTTGTTCGTCGCCCCGACCAAACCACTAGTGTCCCAGCAGATCTCTGCCTGCTTGAAAATCGCCGGCATTCCCAGGTCTCAGACAATCATGCTGACCGGCGATACTCCACCGGCCACCCGAGCGGAGCAGTGGAAAAGCAAGCGTGTATTCTTTCTGACACCGCAGACCCTGATCAACGACCTTAAGCACGGATATGCCGACCCGAAGCGGATCGTCTTACTTGTCGTCGACGAGGCCCATCGAGCGACTGGAGGTTATGCTTACGTGGAAGTGGTAAAATTCCTCCGACGATTCAGCGAGAGCTTCCGTATTCTGGCCCTGACAGCTACGCCGGGCTCTACCGTGGAATCCGTGCAAGCGGTGGTTGACGGCTTGACTATCTCCAAGGTCGAGATTCGTACGGAACAATCTCTCGACATTCGGCAATACGTGCACGCCCGAAACGTCGAGCGAGAGATATTCCAGAATTCAGAGGAGTTGATCCTGTGCATGGAGCATTTCTCCCGTGCTCTGCAGCCGATGCTCGATAAGCTGAGAGAACTCAATGTCTATTGGGCAACTGACCCCCTGACACTCCACCCGTATTCACTCAACAGGGCTCGAACGGATTGGATGGCTACTCCAGCCGCTCGCAGGTGCCAGATGGGGTTCAGGATGATGGTCAACACGGTATTCACCGTCCTTGCCAGCTGTGCCCACGGCCTTGAACTACTGAAGTATCATGGGATTACGCCTTTTTATCGGCACCTGCTGAGCATGCAGTCCAACGAAACCGGCCTGAAAAATGGCAGATATAAGAGAGAACTCATGGAGGATGAGAACTACCAAAGACTCACCGGTTACCTCAAGGCGTGGACGAAGAACCCCGAATTCATTGGCCATCCGAAGCTGCACTATCTCAAAGAAGTAGTCTTGAACCACTTTCTGGATGCCGGGGAAGGACAGGACGGAAATACCAGGGGTCCCACCCGAATCATGATCTTTGTCCATTTCCGAGACAGTGCTGAAGAGGTGACGCGGGTCCTAAAGAGACACGAGCCCATGATCCGACCCCACCTCTTCGTCGGCCAGTCCAAAGCCAAAGGCTCGGGCGGCATGAACCAGAAAACGCAGCTCGAGGTCGTGCAGAAGTTCAAAGACGGGGTGTACAATACGCTCGTGGCGACCTCGATTGGTGAGGAAGGCCTGGATATCGGTGAGGTTGATCTCATTGTCTGTTACGACGCCTCTGCCTCGCCAATCCGCATGCTCCAACGTATGGGTCGGACGGGCCGAAAGAGGGCGGGAAATATCGTGGCGCTACTCATGCAGGGGAAAGAAGAGGAAAGGTTACTCTCGGCCATAGACAACTACGAGAAAATGCAAGAGATTATAGCTAGTGGCAAACGCTTCACCTTCCACAACGACCTGTCGCCACGCATTCTGCCGCCGGGGGTTCGTCCCGCTGTCAAGAAGCAAAAAGTCGATATACCCGCCGAAAATGACACCGACGAGCTGCCGGAACCGAAGAAGACCCGCAAAGCAACTAAAAAGCCCCCCAAGAAATTTCACATGCCGGACAACGTCGAGACCGGTTTCACCAAGGCGTCGGACCTCGCCGCTGGTCGCACGCGAAAATCCAAGGGTACGCCGAAAAAGCGAACACCAACGCCACAGCCCGCGGAAATGCCGGCCGATAAGGATGTTTTGCTGACCGCGGCACAGCAAAGCGAGCTTGACCTGTATTACGGCAACGTCGGCGAGACCAGTCCGCAGTTCATCCGACCTCCTCGCCATGACGCTTTCCCCAAGCTGCAGTCAGTGTCAAGGCCGACAAAGGCCGTGAAGCATGGGTCAGTCACCCGTCGTATGATTGGGACGCTGCAAAAAATGAACCTGTTGGATGGCGACTGCGAGGAACGCTTCCAAAGAGTGTTGAGCCTCGAGTCTCGAAGACCGCCGGAAGATGCACTTGTGCCAAACGTACAACCTTCTAATCACAAGCGCAAGAGACGATCGAATCACAAATCCAAAATCTCCAAATCTCCTCGATCGGTACATGGAGGCCCTAATAATGAGAATCACCCCCCGAAATCCCCGACCCCGTTGCTTTCTTCCGTCGCCGACCATCCAGAATCGGTACCATTCTATGCATCCCAAAAGAGCGAACTCGAGAAGATGGATGACGATTTCGACCCCCCTGATTTCTACACCCTTCTCGGTCGAGGTTCTGAGCGCAGGCCGTGAAAGCAGAACTGGATTGTGTTGGACGAAGACCGCGGTGGTCGGGTCTTTTGGCTATCATGACTGGACGGCTTGTGTTTTTCTTTGGGTTCAGGATGGACGTCTAACAAGAGTAATTCTTTTTTTCGGGGATCAGATCGTGATGCACTGGCATTGCGACCACCTTACTACACCGAGGGGAAATCAATGATAGTAAGCCACTGAAATCAAGCAATCCCATAGTAATAAAAGTAGGCTCTGTAGAACATTCATGGATGCAAAGGTAGTCAGACAGAATGAGTGATCGTCGGAAATGTCCCTACTGGTGCGTGGTGATAACAGACCCGTGCATCAGATAGAGGGCGTACTGGCAACTGCCACATCCTGCACTTCCCACCACGCACCTTTCTCCGGGCTGCGGCCAACTCGAGAGAGCGGGAGATCGCAAGTAAACAGCAGACAGCACCAGCAACTTCACATCTCCAACCATGGCGGACGCTCAATTCGACAGTGCGCTGTAGGTGGCCCTGACAGACAGACCCCTCTCCTTATCCCCGACATGCAGCATCCCCTCTCATGCCAGCATTTCCATTCCACCCAACTTACCCCACCTGGTGCCTATTGCTGACCATCATACCTGTTTCCCAGCGACCTTCTTCGACGCCTCAACCCCCGCGACACCAAGCAGAACCTGCAGGCGATCACCTCCATCGTCCCCGATCTCACCGAAGACCTCCTCTCCTCCGTGGACCAGCCCCTCGAGATCCGCCGCTGCCCCAAGACGAACCGCGACTACCTGCTCTGCGATTACAACCGGGACGGAGACAGCTACCGATCGCCCTGGAGCAATGAATTCGACCCCCCTCTGGACGACGGCACCGTGCCCAGCGAGCGCGTGAGAAAGCTCGAAGTCGCCGCCAACGAGGCCTTCGATGTCTACCGAGAGCTGTACTACGAGGGCGGTGTCGGCAGCGTCTACTTCTGGGACTTGGATGACGGGTTTGCCGGCGTGATTCTTTTGAAGAAGGGTGGGTTTAAGTTCCTCCTTTCCCCCGTCATCCCAATTTATATGGACGAGAAATGCGGTGGTTGTGGTTGAAGCTGACTCGGAATAGGGGTAACGCCGGGTGCGAGGAGCTCGGGAGAATGGGACAGCATCCATGTGTTCGAGGCGACTGACCGAGCCCGCATGTCTCACTATAAGCTGACCAGTACCGTGATTCTTCACTTGGCTAACGCCACCGAGGCGTTGGGAGAGATGGATCTGAGTGGAAACATGACTCGACAGGTCGAGGTGGATTTGCCCGTGGAGTCGGACGCAAGCCATGTGGCCAACGTCGGTCGTTTGGTTGAGGATATGGAGCTGAAGATGAGGAACTTGCTGCGTATGTTTCTTTGCCTCTCTCCCTCCCTCCTTCTCTTGTTTTTCTTGTCGCTGATCAAATTGTGTTGCAGAGGAGGTTTACTTCGGCAAAGCCAAGGATGTCGTGGGTGAGCTGCGCAGTAAGTTGATGCCCATACATGATAATCAGCGTGTTTTGCTTCATGTTAACCTGTCATAGGTCTCTCGTCCTTGTCGGAATCCAGCAAGGAAAAGGCCACCCATCTGGAGATGATTCGATCCATGCAGAAATAATCAGCTCCGGACATCTTCGGGGCTGGATATCTTTAGCGAATTTGTCAGAGCGACTGTTATTTCTACAACTGCCTGTGCTATCATATTGTCTTCTGTGTGTTCCACTGCACTTCCAGTTTCCTGTATGTAGATTTCTTGAGTTCAAGGTTCCTGGAGATCCTAGATCTAATTGATTGAGAAAAGTAGTATCAAACACGTAGTATTTTAATTCTTAACAATTGGTAGTATTTGTCACGTAGGTGACTTTACTTGGGTATCATAAATCACTGCCATTCGCCAGAGAAAAGACTGCCTCACAGGCGATGCTCTTCTCGGTCAAGCAAAACAATCAAAACGCTAAACTTCCGACAGAATCTGCCTGTCCAGAAGCGACGCAAAACCTCAGTTCCCCCATCCTCGAGGGCCAATCCAGCGACATTCAGTCAACCTCCATTTTCTCCTGTTTGCCGCCAGGGTTGCCGATCTGCTCAACGAAGCCGCGTGCGGCAGCCCATAGCTCGGCCTCCTTGTCCTTTCCAACGGTGTCCTTCCTGCTGTTCAACCAACTGATATCCAACGGGTTGGAGGCGCCGGCCGCTGCCCCGCTAGTACCGGCCGTGTCGCCGGCCCTGGAGGAAGTCGAGTCCGGAGCCAGGATGGAAGCCTCCTCCAACGCGTAGACCTGGCGGCGTAGTCTCACATCGATCGACGATAGAAGGGCAAAGTACTGGGACGTTGCTTCTTTGAACCGGGCTTGGTGGGACTGGAGGGAGTTGTCTGTGGGGGAGTCGCCGGTTCGGGCATTGGTCAGGGCTTGGATGGCGAGGCCGGCGGAATGGATCAGTCGAGCCACATCCTGTGTTAATGGGAAATGGATCAGTGAATTGAGATTCTCGAGAGATGAAGCTGGGCTGCTTGTGGGATGTAACACCCCAGCCACTCTCCAAGTTTCGTACCTTGTCTACTTCATTCAGCTGGCGTATGCGATCGGCGGAGGTAAAGACCTGGCCGGGTGCCGAGGTGTTTGTGTTGGTGGCCATGCTGACCAGAGTATCACGTAAATGCAAGGAATCGGCCGGTGTTTCTCGACTGCACGCAAAGACTGCGCCTGTCTGTCTCTCTGTTTGTCGCGAAAGTCGAATGATCATCACGTGCCTCCGCCCGGGGAATCGGCGCTAAGCGTGAAGCGGAATAGCGCCATATCAAACGTGAACTCGCCTTGTCAACCGCGCCGAACATCCCTCTGTTCTGCGGTCCCATCCTTTCCCATCTCCTCCCGCAGGCTAGGTAGGAGATTCCATCTTCATCTTGACCCCAGTTCTTTCTGCGCCATGTCTGCGCCAGGCGGGGCCCCAAGCCCTGCGCCCCGAGGTGGAAGCATGGGGCCCGGAGGTGGAATGCCCATGCCTCCCCAGCAGTCCATGGCGACCCCCCCAGTCCCAGCACCGACTCCCGGTCCGCCGCCGCCGCCCCCAAGCGGCGCCATGTCGCAGCAGAATTTGAATCAGATCGTGAGTTTTTTCTTTCTCTTGTTCGTCGTTTGTGTGGTTTTCCTTTTTTCTTTATTTGAGGTGGTGGTGTCGCGATGTCGTCCATGGAATCGTTGTTCGATGTTTCAGTTTGCCTGGAAGAGCACATGGCATCCTCTTCAATTGCATCGGCCGGGAGATGGTTCCTCCGAGCTGTCATGTAGACAGTCGGATGCTCTTGCGCCTCGCCTTAGCCAGTCGTTGTCGCGGATGCCTGTTGTTCCATGGCCGACGTCACCTGGCTGGCGTTGCATTGAATTCACTACCTGCTATCGGCTTCTTCCCATTTGGCCCACAAGATTCAATTTCATCTCTGCGCACTTTCATCTCTGTACGCTACTGACACGATGGACCCCGGCAAGGTTATCGATTATCTGGCCAAGAAAGGATATAGCCGTACAGAGGCCATGTTGCGCATGGAATCTGCAAATCAAGAAATTGATGGACGTCCTCTGCCGCCTCTTGGTGAGGATGCGCGACCCAAATACAGAATGGGTTTCGGTAAGCTTGGTCCTCTTCATTTGGAAAAGCTGCGATTGGCTGACATGACTTGCAGATCTGCTCAAAGTCTGGGTTGAAGATAACTTGGACCTGTACAAGCCAGAACTGAGACGAGTTCTATGGCCACTTTTTGTCTACTCTTTCCTTAACATGGTGACTTCATTCTACCCGCAGGATGCGAAACAGTTCTTTGAAATCAACAAGAACCTCTTTCTGCCTGAGCACACAGAGGATGTGCGCGCCTTGGAGCCCATCAGCCTCCCTGAGCACGTCCAGGATAACTCCGTCGCGAAGCTGTACCGCACCAACAAATTCCGTCTGATTCTCAGCAATCCGGCTTTCTCAAACCTCATGCAGTTCCTCGAGAACAAGCAGAAGGAAGGCGGATCCGTCATGTCTGCCATCCTGAGCAGCTTTTGCACAGTCATCACAAAAGAGCGTGCCGTTGATGACCGATTCAGCTTTGCTGCCATGCTTGGTCAATCTGGAGGACAAACCTTCCCAGCTGAAGACGAGGGTATTCCAGGCCATCATCCAGGTTCTGCCTATACCGGAGATAACCCCGCCATGGCGGGAACTTTACCCAGACTTAAGCTCGGAAACCTCCCAATGGAGCAGACGCTGGAAGCCGATGTGAGAGGCGAGCTGGCCGACGAAGATGCGAAGAACCCACCGGCTCCGGGCCAAAACACTCTAATCCAAGAGCTTGATCAGATGATTAAAAAGGAGGAAGACGACGAAGCTTTCTCTCGCTCTGATATACCATACCCCCCTTCAACGGCACGTGACGTGGCGATCGAAGTGCAGAAAGTCAAGGAAAATCGCGATAGATTCAGGATTGAAGGCAGAACGGGTGGCGTCGGCCCTGCCGTCAGCGTTTGCATGTTCACCTTCCACAATACCTATGACGGGTAAGCTACGGGGTTTTCCCACTTTGCGCCGAACATTTACTGACTCGTGTAGAATCAACTGCCTGGACTTCTCCGATGACAATATGCTCGTTGCAGCTGGTATGCAAGAGTCATACATCCGGGTTTGGAGCATGGATGGGAAGAGAATCCCGAATACTTACGAGAACGTGGATGACTCGGGTCCATCGAACTCCCGCCGGCTGATCGGGCACTCCGGGCCTGTCTACGCAGTGGCCTTTGCTCCGTCTATCACACGCACCGAGAACGCAATCGCGCCCACCAATGCCCGTTGGCTGCTCTCATCGTCCGCTGACAAGACCATCAGACTGTGGTCTTTGGATCTGTGGCAATGCATGGTTGTCTACAAGGGCCACGACCAGCCTGTCTGGGACTTGCAGTGGGGACCGTACGGACACTACTTTGCTTCTGGAGGACACGATAAGACCGCTCGCCTTTGGGTAACCGACCATATTCGCCAACAACGAATTTTTGTCGGGCATGATCAGGATGTCGATTGTGTTTGCTTCCATCCCAACTCCGCCTACATCTTTACCGGTAGCTCCGATCATACTGTGCGCATGTGGGCCGTCACCACAGGCAATGCTGTCCGCATGTTCACCGGGCATACCGGCAACATCACCGCCCTGGCATGTAGCCGCAATGGGAAGCTCCTAGCATCTGCCGATGACCATGGCTCGATTCTACTGTGGGATCTCGCTACTGGACGACTCATCAAGCGCATGCGTGGCCACGGCAAGGGCGGAATCTGGTCTATCAGCTGGAGCGTCGAATCGACCGTGCTCGTCTCTGGCGGCGCTGACGGCACTGTGCGCGTGTGGGACGTGACCGGACCTTCTCAGGAAAACTCGCAAGGTCGCGTGGTCGGCGAGGGTGGGACGGGATCCAAGGTGGATGCAGGAAATACCACAACCTCCAGCACGCAGGCGTCCAGCTCCGTCGCCCCGGGCATGGGCAAGAAGAAAGGCAAAGACGTCGTCGTCTCGTCCGACCAGATCAGCGCTTTCCCCACCAAGAAAAGCCCCGTCTACAAGGTGAAATTCACCAACATGAACCTGATCATTGCCGGGGGTGCTTATCTTCCCTGAGAAACGGGGATGGAATTTCTTTCTGCACAGTGGCGCCTGATACCCGTTTTCTGCTTATTGCACGGTCTCTTTTCTTTTTATCGTATTTATCTTCACATTCTCGCTATCTCTTCTTGTAATACATTCCACATCTGGGACTTTTAAATGAAAAGAACTCAAACCATTGATAGTCGCACGGGGTGGCAATTTCTGGCTGGGTATTCGGCGGGCGTCCCGGCACGGTTGAACCATGGCATCGGTGTTGGTTGGCAGTGATAAACAGAGGAAAAATGTCTTTACAGCAAATTAGACAGGCAGGTTAATTGATTGAAATTGAACATGGTTGAATTTGCTTTTTTGATCTTGCATACGCCATCAGGCACTTCCCCCGCACACTAAAAGTTGGCGCCGGAGGGTCTCCGGTCTTTCGCCCGAGTTCCTTCCGTTGTCCATGTCAACCCGCCAATGGCCCAGTCGACCATCGACCATCGACACCGATGCAGACAGTCAGACAGTCAAACAGTCAAACACAGGAACGATTTCCCCGTGGGGAGGCCGGCGTTAGTGGATCACCTGACATGCGGGGGGTCGTTCGACACCGTCCCATTCCTGGCCATCCATCAGTCCATCTCGCGGCCTTCCTTCCGCAGCGCAAGAATGCCCTCGTAACACGCCTTGGATGATCGTTCCCTGATCCCTGATACGCGGTCCCAATGCCACCGAAGGAGAATCACAACGACAGCCAGGCCAACGGGCACAATGGACCCTCCAAGCCCGAGGACGATGTCCCTGCCTGCCAGTCCTGCCGGAAGAAAAAGGCCCGCTGCAATCGCGCGCAACCGTGTGACCAATGTACTCGATTCAACGTCTCTTGCGTCTATGACGATCGACGTCTGAAGCCCGGTCTCCGCGCAGGCGCAGTCGACCAGCTCTACCGTCGCATTGAAACGCTCGAGAATATGTTTCTCGGTCAGGAGATGCTCTGGCAGCAGATGCGGCAGGCACTTGGTCTTGATATTGATTTGCTCGAATCTGCGGACCAACCAACCAACTTCACGGAATTGGAGCGGCGGCGAGAACACTTGAAAAGCTGCCTACTGCAAGCTGCGGCCGAGTCGAAGCAAAAGAGGCAGAGCACGTCGCCAGCACAAGATGTGGCAGAGGATGAATCGGCTTCGCGTGTAGCAAAGCGTCGGAGACTCGAGGAGTTGCCTGCGTCCTCGCCTCATTCGTACTGGGACAATGACCCCAGCGGCCTTCTACCGCCCGATGTCATGAACGAATTGGTTGATTTTTACTACTTGAATATTCACCACTGGATTCCGATCTTGCATGTGGCTCGATTTCGAGAGCGGATGGGGTCCGAAGAAGAACGCCCGCGCATTGTTTGTATTCTGCATGCGATAATCGCGGTATGTGTGCGCTTTTCCCAGAACGAGCGCCTATGCGACGAACAGACGAAATCCCGCATCGCGGAGAAAAGTCGACAGAAAGTGATCTTGAACAGCATTGAGACTTTCTCTGTCGAGAATCTGCAGGCTTTGATCATTGTGGCTTTTGAGACGGTACGTGGCTGGTCCTGTGCTTTCATTGTGTATTCGCTCGCAAGGCTGAACTGGTGTCTATTGGTAGATTGGCCGAGGACGCGGTCCGTCATCTTGGTCTATTATCGGAAACATGGTGGGCACAGTAGAACAATTACAGTTGAATGTGGAAGAGGACGAGCTTTATCAACCCACAAACGCAGGCGAGACGCTTATTCGACGCATGCTGTTTCTAACACCATCCAAATCATGGAGCGAGGCAGAGGAGCGCCGCCGGGTGTTCTGGACGGTTTTCCTCATGGATCGCTTCTGCAGTGTATCCACTGGATGGAAGATGAGCCTGACCGGCGCCGAGATCAAGCGTCGATTGCCATGTGAGGGTGCTATATGGGGACAGGAGCGAGAAGTACGTACTCCCTACTTTGGGATCTCAGACTCCAAGGGTCCACCGTCAAGCAGCTCGGCCCTTTTTGGAAGTGATGTACTGTCAACCTCCGGGAATCAGGATTCCATTGGCGGGCTGGCGTATAATATCGAAGCTACGGAGTCGCTGGCCTTGGTGACAAATTTCTTTCTTCACCATGCGTTTGTTGTCAATGACACTGAAAAGGCTCAGTTGTGGATGATGAAGTTCAAAGAGCTTGATCTTAGACTAATCCAGTAAGTGCTTGACTTTATAGGAGATTTCGCAACTTGCTAACTATTGTCGCTGCTTATAGATGGAAATTATACCTGCCATCTAAGTGGCGCGAGGCCTCCGTCCTGAACGCTGATGGAGTCATGGATCCTAACCTCATCTTGGCTCATCTGACGCACAACACCGCTGTTATTTTGCTTCATCAAGGGATTGCATACCCGCCTGCGCACTGGCAGAGCTGTGCCGTGAAGCCGCCGTCAGCATCATCCGCAGAGACATGTCTTGAGGCAGCCTCGGAGACGGCAAGGATTGGTCAAAGATTTCTGGCCTGCTCACCTATATTCACCAATCCCCAATTTTCATTCTGTTTGTTCATCGCGGGTCGGATGCTGCTCGCTCATTCCAGGTATAATCAAGTACCTATTCCACCCGTCCTCGATACTTTGATTGCCAGTTTGCTGGAAATTTCACAACGATGGGCCGGGCCTGGGAAGACGACCGATGACGGAGAAGGCAACCTTGCATCAAGTTTTGCGAAGCGACTGATCGAGGCTCAAAGTAACTCGGCAATGCGTCCTCGTCCAAGCTTGGATATTAGACAAACAGCGTACTCGGATGAATCCAAAGAGCAGCCACGATCGCCCGCCACTGTTGCTTCTCGCAGCGAAACAAACGCGTTACCGCCACGACGGATAAACCCCAGTATCTCACAGAATAATCACCTCGAGACCTCAGCGCTGCAGGACCCGTTCGGGTATGATCCATTCAGTCTCGCCTTTCCACCGCTTCCCCCCGCCTTCCAGCAGGAGTTCCCCTTGTCGGCGTTGGGACAAGGTGTTGAAGGCCAGGCCCTTTTGCCTCTGGGAATGCAATCATACGATGCAGACCCGCTACACATGTGGCAGAACCCTAGTGTCAATTATGGCAACGCGGTGATTAGCCCTGGGGATGACTTGTCCCATTTGTCTAGCCACACACCCAGGTCAGGAAACTGAATCAATCACTATGGAGTGGTATAAGCCTCTATATATCTGCAGTCATGGTCTCTCGATAATATACAGGCGATGATACTCAGAGTACCTTTCACGCGTACATGTCTATGTATGATGGTTAGAGTTAACGAGCCCTCTCGCATCAACCAGTCCCAGTTCCAGCAACATATTTCCGAACAGCAAGAAATAATAGTCCGCATATACCAGCCCATGGTTTGCCCACCGCCTGGGAGCAAACTCATAGTTATTGATCGTGGCCCCGTCCAAAATCGTGTCGCAGGTGCGAGAACGGGAGGAATCGACAACCCCCAAAGTCCCGAATCCGTCACTCGCTCCCGGCGCAATGCACCCTTCTGGGTATACCTCACATTGATTTGGAGAGCGGGTTGTCTGGAAGTGCACGGTGGGTGGATGAAGAAAAGCTGAGGTCGTAGCATCCACGATCCTCAACGCCCCTCGAAGATAGTGGTCTCCCTCGGGCGTGTCCCGAAGCGCCTTGAACAGCAGCAGCATACCACAGGCAGCGATCATGGCCGCCGACGTATCCCGTGGACTGTCGTCCGTGACTGGTGCCAGAAAGTCCCAATAAGGCACCCCGTCAGCCGGCAAGTGCGATAGGAAGTAATCCGCCAGCGCCCTCGCTGTATCCAGGAATTCCGACTCGCCGGTCCACCCAAACGTCTGTGCGAATCCTAGAATCCCCCACGCCTGTCCCCGCGCCCAGCAGCTCTCATCGCCATAGCCCTGGTTGGTGAATTTCTCTTTCACCTCCCCAGAATCCGGATAGAAGTTGACTACGTGAAATGTGCTGTTGTCCTCGCGAACATGGTGCCTCCGTGACGTGCGCGCGTGCGTCACCGCAATGTCATAAAGCTCCGCATTGTTCGTTTCCTCGGCGGCCCAGAACAGCAGATCCAAGTTCAACATGCTGTCGATGATGACGAGGAAGTCCGCCGAGACGTCGGTGAACGAGTAGCGGTTCGTGACGCAGACGTCCCAGCTGCGGATACACCGCGTGGTGGCGTCGAACCGACTGGCGAGAGAATGGGCCGCCATCACCAGACTGCCGTACGCCTCTGGGTCGCGGTGCAGTTTCCAGGCTTTCATGGCCCAGGGTGCGATCATGAACCCCAGATCGTGGGTATCGCGCTTCCGGGCGTTTTGGTGCAGATTGGCTGTCCACCAGCGGCAGAGGTGCTCGAGCTGAAGCTTGTGGGGGAACGTGGTCGATCCAGTATCGCCAGGAGGGAGATGAATGCTTGTCTTCTCGTAGCGCGTCAGGCGCTCCAGAATGAGATACAAGGATCCTGGGAAGAAGCCCGAGGTCCAGAAGTCCAGCGTTCGATAGACGTATGTGCATCCATCGCTGCCGGTATATTCGGGATACAACACCGGGGGTTTGCTCTGTTGCGGAGGTTGTCAATGTCCTGCGCTTTGGGAAGTTCTTCTTTCAGAACTTACTGAGTCCTGGGCCTTGGCTGCCACTCTCCATACTTTGGCAATCACCGATTCCGAATACAGCGCCTTTGCCAGTCTCGCAGCGGAAGGCAAGCTCTTGATGTTGCCTGTGCCGTTTGTACCATTTGTGCCATTTGCAAGCTGAGACATTTTGAGCCTCTTTGCACTCTGCTCCTATACCATGGGTCAATATTGTTCATATCGGGCATAATGCATGAATACCGTTGAAGTTGAAGGTGCGTCATCTAGCGGCATTGTATGTGTGTTTGGGGGAGGTCGGATCGGGAGATTAGACTCTTTGGAAAATATGAAAGAACAATCGTGACTGTATTTATTTAACTTATAGCAATGGATTAGCTTTAATACCCTCGGCTTTTCTCAATAAAACTTCCAGAGAAGCGGCCTGGGCACCGACACATACTCCGTTGGTCCCAAACTAACTAAACTCCAACTCTTACCGACCCATGCGCAGGTCTGTATATCCCGTCGGGGCAAATGACGGAGGCCCTCCGATGGCTGGTTGACATCACCAACACCTGGACTGGTGGTTATTCTCCGACCACTGGATCTGAGCCGTTCAGAGAGCTAAGTTGAATGCACTGGCTTTTGGTAGCCGAGGTTCTCCAGAGACTTCGCATATAAATTTTACCCCTTAATTACTTGAGTATTGAAATCTTATACATCGATAGCAGTATATACCTATCACCGATGTTAGGACATTCTAGGTTGAGAAACCATCATTCATGCAGAACTAGAGAACAGGGCATTTTAAGACGCAGCCACTACACAACAACATAAAACTAATCCCAATCCCTATGCATCCGACTCAATCCGGTACATCAGCGTCCCATGTCCAAACGCATCATAACCGCCAGAATTAGGCCCGTAGTCACCTCCGCCACCCTCGACATCGGTCGAGATATTGCCGTTCACATAGTCGCGAAACCGGATGGACCAGGACGCATTCAGATTCTTGACCCTGGTATAGTGCGACGCGATTGCCTCGTACCCCGGCCGCACGTCGAAGCGCGATTTGGCCGATATCTTGTCCAGCAGACCCTCCCAGCTGGTGTAGGGGACGTAGGGCACCGTGTGGTTCGTGTTGTACTTGGCGACGTATTCAGCTCTAGAGAGTATATTAGCGAGGGTACGTGGAACGATCACACCGGAAACCGGGTTCTGAGGGAGATCGTACGCATTCAGGATCTGATTCCCGTACGTCGCGAACAGATCCACGCCCTGATTCCACGCCTGCTGTCCAATGACCCCCAGCAACGCCATACACAGCATCGCATGGCCTTGATCCCTTCCAGACTCCTGCATCTGCATAAACGGCTTGCCCGATCCCTGCTCGGTGAAATTGGCGATGGAAAAATACGGCAGCGCCCCGTTGACCACGACGCTGCTGTCCGGCAGCCCGTATTGCCAGTAGTGCGTCGCGTAGTCGAACATCGTTCGATTGTCCGTGAAGATCCCGATGGCGAGCAGGCTGGCGACGTTGCACAGGTCCCAGTTCGCGTAGTAGAAGTTCGTCTTGCCGTTGTGGTGCTCGAGGAACGCGTGGTTGTATGGCGCAAACACGCGCTTCAGCATATCGCTGAATTCTGCCTGGGAGTCTGCAGTCCAGCCGGGATAGAGGCGCAGGATCTCCGCCGCGTTGGCGAACTGGTACCCGTATAGGCCTGCGGCGAGGTATTTGTCTTCGGTTCCGTTGAGGTCGCGCAGCTTCGTGCCCCAGCTGTTCAGGATGGTCGCGGCGTGATCGGCGTATGAGGTGTTTCCGCCGATCAGCCACCGCAGTGTGAGTTGGTAGGCCGAGTGAGCGTCGCGGTAGGCGTCGCCGTAGTTTTGAGACGGCGTGGGCTTCCAGCTTGCGTTGGTGCCTCGGACTAGAACCTCGTGGGGCGAGGGTGTCCATGTTGTCTGTGCCAGGACGCCGGACTCGAGGTGCTGCCATGCTCGGTACCAGGGCTGTTCTTGGGCGTGTACTTTGTTTCGGACTCGTTCGATGTCTTTGCGAGTGTGTAGGGCCCCTGGATGGACGAATTGGGAGCTGACGCTCAGGAATAGAGTGGCGCCGGTGAGTATTCTTTCGATCTTCATGGTGATCTTGGTGCTCAATGGAAGTTGTGTTTGTATATTCCAGAGTGAAACGAGGTGCTATTAATGGAGTTGAGTCTTTGGAATCGTAGCATATTTCAACGGTCTAGCAACTAACATCAGCTAGGCTGCCACCACTCTTGTCATCTTTTCCCCGGCCATTGCTCCGTCGGGTTTGAAGCCGTTCATTCCTCCGCTGGTGAGCTCGAAATAGAGCAGAACGAAAATCGCAAATTGGTTTGCCAATGTTCAAGAGGATTTACTCGTTATTGCCAAGCATTTTCTCAGCTTCCTGGCGTCCTTTAGACGGATATCTAACTTTTTGAAGAGTTGTCAAAAGTATGAGAATAGGCTTTGTCAATTAGAAGAATCTATATAGCTGTGAATACTACGGAAGAAACTTCACACCCTCCACATGCTCGTTCATAAACAAAGGAACCATATCGGCCGTCATGTACCATCGAGGCTTTTCCATCTGCTCATGAACCAGCGCCCCGTTGATCCGGAGATTCTCGAACGTCACATTCTCGATCCGACGCGCCGCGTTATAGCCCAGAATCATCGACGGGTTCACGATCTTCGCGTCACGTAGATCTAGAGATAGGTTCTTGATCCGAACGTCGCGGATTCCTCGCCCCGGAGCGGTCGTCCACATCGCATTCTGCATGACGCGCAAGTTGATCAGCTGCCCGCGAGTGATGCGCTCGACCCGCACGTCCTCGATATGAATATCATGGAATAGATTCATGTCTGCCGCGTTGATGGCTATGCATCCTTGATACCAGAGCTGGTTCTCCTCGTGGTCCAGAATGTCGATGTCGCGGATTGTCACGTTGCGGGTTGTTTCCGGCTTCGACGGATCCCCGTGCGTGCCCATGTTGATGGCGTGTGCAATGTCCGGTAGCAGAACGCAATGCTGAATGAGGATGTTTTGGGAGTCTTCGTGCCAGTCCCAGCGGTGCGAGTAGAGGGCGATCGTGTCGTCGGAGTTGCGCAGGAAGCAGTTCTCGATGACAATGTCCCGCGAGCAGAAGATGTCGATTCCGTCGCCATTGCCGGCCGATGAAAAAGATCGATACCGGTCGATGTGCACGTTGCGGCATTCTCCCGCCGACAGACTGAATCCATTCGCTCCCAGCGATGTGACGCCCTCCACTGTGATTTTGCTGGCGCCGCTCATGTGGATCGCGCCGCCGTGTTCGCGGTGTACATAACCCCCTTCGGGACCCAGGATAAACCCGTGTCCTCGGACGGCGCTGTTGGAGTTGTTGATGAAGTTCAACCGGCAGGTAATGAAGGCACCACCCGCCAGATAGACAGTTTTTCCGGACGGCACCAGCAGATTGACGCCGTCGGTGACGTGTTGGTAGGCGGAGCCTTGATTGATGCCCGGACCGAAGTACCAGATGTCGTCGGTGTCGTGTGTCGGTGCATTGGCGTCGATGCCGTTGCTGAGCAGGTGGAGAGCCGTCCATTTAGTACCGTTCAGCTCGAGCATCACATCCTTGGGCGTGCGAAGAGAAAAGGCGATGGTATTATCGTTCAACTGCGTTTCAATGCTCAAGGAACGTGGCCGAATCTCGGCAGATTGTACAGGCCCTGTGTAGGTCACTTGGACTTTAATGGGGCCATCGAAGTCGAAGGATGCGAGCGCAATGGTGTGCCGATTGAATTCGTTAGAGGTGACATTGGCATTGGCCACCTCCACGGCGTAAACAGGAACTGGCCTCCATCGCTGGTCGTTCTCTTCCTTGACTTCCACGGTGAAGTCCGAATGCAGCGGAATGCCGGCAGGAGAGTCGAACACTTGGATTGTCATGTTTTTCACGACTCAAGATTATGCAAGGAGTGAGCATGACTCTCTTCTCGATCCTGAATAAAAGAATCCCCGCTGTTTTGGCAACCGGCGCTCGGGGGATCCGCCGGAGATGTCCCGATCGTTGCGTGAACTCGCCGTCGATCCTCCAACTCGCAATGTCCGGGGGAATCGGGCGGATTTTCGGACTCATGGCGCCACGTACCTTGCAGATAGCACTACAAAAACCTCAGAGGTACAGACAGCTTTGGACTTCGGATCATACCCAGCTACTACTGCACCATGCCCGTGAAAGAAGACGAGATGGGCGCCTCAGTCGACCACGAGGAACTTCGCAAACCCTCGAACGACGCCATTGAACACGTCGAGGCCAAGGAGAAGCCTCATCCTCTAGAGATCGATCCAGGAATTCAGATCGATGCGGCCACAAACAGGCGTCTCTTCTGGAAGATCTCTCGTCGAATCCTCGTCATCCAGGTTGTCACGTACTTCTGCCAGTCATTGGACAAGGGAGTTCTGAACTATGCATCCATCATGGGAATCAAAGACGACGCACACCTCAAGGGCCAAGAGGTAAGTTTCGAAATGCTGCGAAAAGACCATGAACCAAGCACTAACAGCGTGGGTTAGTATTCTTGGCTGGGAACTATTCTCTACCTGGGAATTCTGGCTGGGGAGTATCCACAGAATTTCCTGCTACAAAAGCTTCCCCTGGCGAAGACACTGGCCGTGAATGTTTTCCTCTGGGGTGCGGTTGTGGCCTGCTCAGCAGCCTCGACTCGCTTTGCGTCCCTGATGGCTGTCCGCTTCCTGCTGGGCTTCTTTGAGAGCTGTGTCCAGCCGGCCATGATGCTATTGTAAGCGTCCCGCGCAGTTCCCGGGGAAAGATTCACTAACACGTTTCTAAGAACTGCAATGTGGTACAAGAGAGAAGAACAGTCGGTGCTGAACGCGGTCTGGTATTGCATGAGTGGTGTCCAGCTAATGGTGCGTTGCAATTCCATCCATTTGCCACCAGGTTAGACTGACAGACACAGATCGGCGGCCTCCTGGCCTTCGGTGTCTCCCACTTCACAAACGGACCCATAACGAGCTGGCAATTGCTGTTCCTCGTCCTTGGACTCGCCACCTGCGTCTGGGCCTTTTTCATCGCCGTCTTACTCCCCGACAGTCCGTTATCCGCCAAATGCTTCGGCGAAGAGGACCGCATGCTCATGCTAGAGCGCGTCCGGCATAACGAAACCGGCATCGAAAACAAAGAGTATAAAAAGTATCAAGTGTGGGAGGCGGTCACAGACCCGTTCGTCTGGTGCTGTGTCATGCTCATCACGACGGCCAATCTGATCATCGGTGGCCTGGGGGTCTTTTCCAACTTGATCATTCAGCAGTTTGGCTTCTCACTTCTCCAGACACAGCTCCTCAACATCGCTCAAGGCGCGTGGACGATCATCTGGATGCTTGGTTCTGCATGGGCGGCCCAAAGATTCCAGCAGACATGTGTGGTTATGATCGTAAGTAGCTATCTGCCACTCAAACGATCTCATACCTAATATACTCCCAGCTGTGGGCTCTGCCAGCTATGGCCGGCACAATCGTCATTCTCGCCGTCACGCCCACGGCCTCAAACGCTGGGGGCATGCTCATCGCCTTCTACTGCACCCAGCTTTTCACCGCCGAAGGCAACCTGATCATCTCGTTGGTGACGCGCAACATCGCCGGCCAGACCAAAAAGGGCATCACCATGACCTTGGTCTTCGTTGGCTGGGCTGTCGGCAACCTGATCGCTCCCCAGATCTTCCGCGAGAAAGACGCCCCTCGCTATCTTCCTGGCTTCCTGGCCCATATCATCATCTATGCGGTGTATCTGGGTCTTGTCGTGGTCACCAGAGTGCTTCTCATGGCTCGAAATCGGGCCACAACTCGCGCTTCACCTGAGGTCTCTCATGATCTGGCATTCCATGATCTAACTGATCGTGAAAATCCCAACTTTCGCTACGTGTACTAGCGTGGCCTTGCAGTAAGGAAGAATGTATTTGCTCTGAGGAGCGGCTGAGAAAACCCGGTTCATTCTATGCGATAGATGTCCCCTTCTCGTCATGAATACCTAAGAATATAAAGCTCATTATTTGGCATTATACAGCACATGCCTTTGCCCATCAAAATTCTGCGTCTCACTGGAAACCCTAGTTTCTGGTCATCCAGATAAACGTGCTGATTTGTCTAAGCAGGGAGATATATACACCTAATTCAACCATCTACTACGACTATCTCCCAAACCCGACTCTTACCTATCTGTGCTCTTTTTCATCGCCGCAGACGCCTGTAGATCGGCCACCTTAGGTGGAAGCACTAGTGCGCTGCGGTCGTTGCGCTTGTAGAAGTCCACCAGGATCTGAGCCGTCTTGGTCGGTTGGTCTTCCTGGATGAAGTGACCTGCTTCGGGGAACACTTGGAGTTGGTACTTGCCTAGGGCTGTCGTTAGTCATACCATCTACTTTCTTGATGCCCGAAACACAGAAAACCGAATATCAGAAAACAGTCAAGGAGGAGAAAAGGAAATAATAAACAATACCCTGCATCTGTCCAATCATCAATTCTTTGTCTAGACGATCCGTGCCAGCTAGCAGCAATAACTTGCCGCCGCGAGCCTCAAGGAACTTCCGACTCAGCCCGACAAACCAGTTCTCCCAGAAAGGTTTCGTTTCGGCGAGGTTGGTTCGCCAAACCCAGGGCTTTGAGGGGTCATCGGTTGGGGTGCCCTTTTCATATAGTAACGAAGGAACGGACACTCGCGCGGAGGTGCGGTTGCGAATTGTTCGGGAACGGGTGCTGGAATAGTCAGTTGGTATATGTCATTTAATGGAGTAGAAGACTGGAGTAACAGTGCCTAGGCAGATGTGGATAGGAAAGGACTTACTGCCATTCTATTCCTGAGGTTAACGACGGAAACCGCGAGGGTCGAGTGGAGAGATATTTCTCCATGCTTTGAAGGGCGTCCATTGCTGAACCTATATACCGAAAGAATCCTCGGTGAGCTTCATCTAAGATATCAATATGGCCACAATAAAAGTGCACGTACCTTCCACAACATCCAACACAGCATACGCCAATACCTTGGCTCCCAACTCACCCGTCTTTGCCACGTCGGTGATCACCGCCCCGCCCAGACTATGTCCTACGAGAACGATATCGGGGAGGGTGTCCCAGCCCATGCGTGACTGGGTCTCGCGCACCACGAAGACGAGGTCCTTGTTGAGTGTTGACAGGGTCAAATCCAGCTCGACCTGAGGAGGATCCTGGCCCTCCTGGACCGGAGCGGCGTTCACGGCGGTTTGGCCGTGATCTCGGGCATCTATTGAGAGCATCCCGGCGTTTGGCAAAATCTTTCGGATCTCTGCGGCGCACGTTGCAAAGGAGAGACCAGAGGAACCGGCTCCGTGATGCATGACGAATAACGGACCCGAGGAGCTCGGGGGAGTCAAGTAGACGTGGTGAGTGATGTGAGCGGTGGCGGTAACCTGGGTCAAGAAGAGTTCCTGGGTAAAAAAGTCGGTCCAGGGGAGAGTTGTAGAGGCTGACCTGGGGAGGTTGTTAGTATATCAGACAAACATGATAGAGATAGGGTGGTAGGGGGAGGTAGCATGAACGATCGACACAGAAAGACGGTCACCGCTTCACCGGGCGTCTTATTTTGAGGACATCCAAACTCACCCTCGCGCTGGCCTCGAAAACAATTGCCTCGTGGGCGAAGGCACCACCGTGCCAGCGGACGAGACAGACGAGTTATCCTCGTCTGCTTCCTCGTGGGGTTCCATGCCCGGGACTGGAGGCAGTTCGGACGGGAACTTGGCCAATTTTGCTTTCGCAAAGGACTTTTGAAGCTCACTCATGGATATATGGAGCTGCCTCAACGTCGGAGAGGGACCTTGCTGGAACACTCTTGTCGGAGGGGGAATGATGATCGGGATACTGGGAGACAAACAGCAGTCGATGTGCTGGTGGGGCCGAGGACACTAAGGACGGATCTCCACTCGAGCAGGCCGCCATGAGGGCATTGGACCAGAAGATGGGGATCTGGCGATGCAACTATTTAATCTCATGCTCACGTATAGCAGAGGGTAAGAGTAAGAGTAAGAGAGACACTAGGGGGATGGGATCAGTCCCGTGCATTTCCTCTTTGGGAAGGTCCCCGCCCGTTCTTTCCTTTTCTTTCACTTTTTCTCTCTCTTTCTTCCTTTTCCTTCCTCCTTCCCACTTCCATCCCTCTTTCTCTCTCTCTCTCTCGCCGTCTTCTTATCACCACAATCGATGATGTCGAATCCTCGTCAGTCAGTGTGGCTGCGTCACGTGGCAGATGACCTCACTCGCCTGTTTGCGGCATCTCGTAATGACGTCATTCATTCCAAATTCTCCGAGGCCATACTTTTCCTTGCCCAGATCAATCCTCCTCGAGTCTTCTACCCATCTTAGCTCACGGTCCAGATCAATCTGAACAATCAATCTCGGACAATGGTTTCATTGTGGCATAAGAAAAAGGACAATCCCGAGGGAGGGGATCAGCCTGCCCGTGAGGAGGATGACCACCAGTCCTCTCGATCCCGGCACTACTATCGCGAACCCGACGAACGGACAAGACTCCTTCCACGCGACAATCCCGCCTACTTGAATCCTGATGACCCTGCTGTGAGCTCTTACCCCGGTGTATGTTGTGAAAATCGCCAATGGCCTGTCTAATTATTTCGCAATGCTAGGTCTCCCCCTACAACCTCTGGAGCATTCGTGCTCTGCGAGGCCTGTCCTCGCTCTTCCTGGCAATCAGCTTCATCTGGTGGACCTTTTTGATCGTCTCCATTTTCGTTAGCCCTCCCTTGATGCACACCCGTGGCTCTGGCTTCTTCGGCTTCTCCTACACCACCCTTACTGTCGGCTATCTCGCCATTGGCCTTCTGTTCTTTGCCGTTCCGTCCAAGCCCATGACCATCTGGGGCATTGTGTTAGCAATCTTTCTCCTAGTCGATATGTGCATCATTCTCGGAGTCCCCCAAATCCGCGTCGAGGAAGGCTGGGTGGGCATCGCCTCCGTGGTCTGGGCGACGTTTATCTCGTTCTACAACATCCTCCAGAATCATTTCGTCGCGTGGGGGAAGCGGCAGGAAGAAGAGCGGTTGACGGGTCGCGAGGAAACCCGTCGATCTCTGCGGGAATGGCTGGCTGTACTGGTTGAGACCGTCGTCATGGCGATCCTAGGAATCGTCACCATTCTCTTTACCGCAACCCTGATCTTGCGCGCCCGCGACGCCTCGCTCCCCGCCCCTGGGGATCAGTACTATGTCAACGGCAACAACTACCGCGTTCATCTCGCCTGCGTGGGTAACGTCACGAAGGATAACGTTGATGGCACCGCTTCGTCCCGTCGGCAGCCTACAATCCTGCTCGAGGGTGGCGAAGAACCCGTCGAATACACCCTGCAGCCATTTGTCGACGCTGCCTACAAAAACGGTACCATTGATCGCTACTGCTACTGGGACCGACCGGGCCTCGGCTGGTCTGACAACGCTCCGTCTCCCTATTCAGCCGGAATGGCGGCCGACGCATTGTCGGAGGCGCTGGCGTTGGCCGGCGAAGAAGGGCCCTGGGTTATCGTGTCTGCCGGCGTGGGCGGAATCTACAGCCGCATCTTCGCCAGTCGCCACCTCCTCGAGATCGACGGCCTCATGCTCATCGACTCCTTGCATGAGGACTACCTAGGCAAAGTGGGCTCCCCGGGCTGGGGCTTCCTCCTCTGGCTACGCGGCGTGCTCTCGCCGCTCGGTCTGGACCGGCTGGCGGGCGCCATCTTCAAGGGCCGCTCGCGCGAGGACCGGGTTTATGGCCGCAGTGCCTACCAGACGGGCAAGTTCATCAAGGCCAAGTTGCAGGAGAGCCTGGTGGCCGGGTCCATGACGGCGTCGGAGATCCAGACCGCTCGCCATGTGCAGATTGCCGACACGCCGTTGGTGGTGGTCAGCTCCGGCGTGGAAGTCCGCAAGAGCGAGAAGTGGGCCAAGACTCAGGAGGACCTGACTACCGTGACCAAGAACCTGAAGGACTGGGATGTGGTCCAGGGCGCACCGCATGAAGTGTGGAAATCGTTTGCGGGACGAACGGTTCTGGAGCGAAGATTAGGGCAATTGGCCAAGGGTCAAAAGAAGTAATCTACTTGCGATGCCCAGTCGGTGTAATGGTAAATTGTACCTGATATGGATGTTTTCTAATCTGATGATATACGCCATGTCTTCCCTTTTTTGTACTTTTTTTCTTTGGTTGTCTTTATTTTTATTTTTTATTTTTACCTTGATTCTTTTCAGCTATTATGTTAATGATTGGTAATGTGTTCTTTCAACGTGTTCGAAAGTTAATGAGAGTATCTATCACCCAACCTAGGATTACAGTAGATACAGGAAAAATTCAAGAATCAATGAGAGCGAGAAGGCGACAAAAGGAAAGATTATCTCGAAACTGAGAATGAAGCCAGTTAAGTAAAGCATGCAGTCAAAGAGCGTTGAGATCGAGTGTTGCCGGCGCTGGTATGATATAAGGTAGTAGATAATATACCCAATCCACTACTGGTCCCAATCATCGGCCGAGACGGAATACTCCTGGTCCTTGCAGTCCTTGCCATACCGATTGCCCATGCAAGGATACAGTTCCAGCGAGCAGCCGCTGTGCGTCTTCGCGTAGCCACAACGAGCATTGGGGCCCAGGTCCTCCCAGAGCTCGTCGAAGGCCTTCAGGATGTCCTCGCCGGGGTACAGCCAGTCCTGCATCATGTCGAAGTCGCAGGCAAACGAGGCCTTGCAGCCGTAGCTCGTGCCCCAGCCGTTCTCGTGGTAGATGTACCCGAACGCGGTGGTGTTATAGTACTTGCCCGCGTCGAACTTCTGGTACGCCAGGTGGCACGGCGTCGTATCCTTGCCGCCGTCGCCCATCACATTCTGCCCGCAGTCGTTCAGGTTGTCCCACGACTGCCGGATCTGGCCCACACTGGTGACCAGCGGCGCCGCTGAGATCGTCGACATCTCCACGTCGCAGGTCTTCGCCGTGTTGCCGCCCGGTACCACCATCGACCCGGCGGTTGCGCAGCCCAGCACGTTGCCGGCTTCGTCGGTCGTCGTGTAGCCTTGTGGTGCGGTTGTTGTGGGCCGGGTTCGGTCCACAGTAACCGCCTCTTAGACAAATATATTAGAAAATCTCGCAGTAAATAAAGATCGACAGGTACCGTGTGCCTCGAACTGCCATATCATCGACATCATCGACAAGACTAGGCTGACTAGGTGCTCCGCAACCATCACGTTGTATGGCAGATCAATCGAATCCTCAAGGACCGGTTAAAGCATCAAAAAGCGCACCATTGTGTCTTCCTTTTGGCTAGCCTTGAGCTTTCATAGATAAAACGATATCGCTGTCTAGATTCAAGTTGTGATAAGTTAGCTTTCGCCCCCGAAATAGCAATCAAGCGTGGTGGAGCAGGACTGTGCTTGAATGATTGTTTGGTTTTTGAACCATGGAATTCAATCCAAATGCATCGATTCTTTTTCTTCCATGCTCCGTAGATCCAGCACTGTATAGTAAGTCTATCTCACAATGGCCCCCACAGATCGCCGCAACGGGTTTGTCGGGCCTGGTTTCAGCTTGATAACCAACTGGATTCGCAATGACGTCTTTTTGGATTTGGTTTTTATGCCCGTGGCATGAGGGACCACATATCAGATCCCATGTCGGCGTTTATTTCATGAGGCAGTTATCACGACGTGTAAAAATCTTTTGAATCCATGGTGCGCTCCCATTGGATTCTCAGATTCGGCAGATTACACGTGCACCACATCCTTCAACCTTTTGTTCCTGAATTCGGAACTCGTGTCTGGACAATTCCGTGTGTCTGTCAGTTGAGTCCAGCTGAATTGATATCCCATGCATTCCTCCTAAAGGATCCCACGGCTCCAGTGTTATGGAATTGATTTTTGCCTTCACCACCAGGCAAAACCCATGTCTTTGTACGCATGCCAGACTGAACAGTGTCAAGTGTCCGAATACATTTTGATTTCGTCTCAACGTCTTTCCCCGGACACGCAACTCGGGCCAGGCGTGCTCCGTAGAGGGGATAACAGCCGGATCCTGATTTTGGCCCCATGCAAAAGGGGGATTTGACGATCGTGAGACTACACGTTCAGCAACGCGGATCTCGCGCCGCCCACTGAAGTTAGTTATAACCTCATAGGATGAGGCGGATGGAGGTCATTGTCAGGTCAGGCTGGATTGCCTGTTGTGGGGAGGAAATGAAGTGCATCGCCTTCGTCTGCCGATGCCGCCATTCCACGTGCCCGGCGATCATCTGACAGGGTCCGTCTCATGGTTTTCGCCAATCTTCTTTCTCGCTACTTCATGGATAGATCGATGCGGAAGCCGAAATGACATTCTTGTTCGGCATTCGGGAACCGTCGGATTTAATGGGCGACTTAAGCCCCGCGTCTACGGGATGGTGGACCCTGATATGGAGCCAACTTGCCGTAGAGCAATCAACGAACTGCTTAGAACCCCCAATGCTTAGAAATACACGGTTAGATAACTGTCATCCCACGATCATTGAACTGGACGTAGCAACCAACTCCGTTTCTGTATTTAAATTCTGGGTGTTGCTCACTATTTCCCCATCGTTTCAGCTACTTTTTCATCGTTTTTTCTCCCCAGGTCTTCGTCATGTCCCCATCCAACGTTTGCACCACATCCTTTCCTCTGAATAATGGTAGATATCTGAATCCGTATCTGAAATGGTCCAATGTTAGATGCTTACTACTGTCCTCTCTTCCACATTCAAGGCATGAAGCTTCCAGCCGTAGGACTGGGAACATGGCAAGGTATGACGACCAGACAAGAAGCAGCCCAGTCTAAAAATTGACCCCAAATCCAGGATTGAACAGCAAAACCAGCAACGATGAGCTTCGAGACTCTATCATCCACGCTCTACATGCGGGATATCGCCTGCTAGACACGGCGCAGCAGTATGGCACCGAACCGGTCGTCGGCGAAGCCATACGAGCCTCGGGCATCCCCCGCAGCGAAATCACGCTGGTCACGAAGCTCCCGGGGTACTTGCACGATGATCCGGCCGAGGCTTTGCAGCGCTCTCTCGACGCTCTGGGTCTCGAGTACATCGACATCCTGCTCATGCATTGGCCCAACGCCACGACTCCGGACGGCAGCTCCCCGCTGGGCATCGACGAGTCGCCTACGTTCGTCGAGACGTGGAAACTAATGGAGAAGATTGTGGGACCCCGCTGTAAAGCCATCGGTGTGAGCAACTTCTCCCAGAAGACTCTAGACGCCGTGTTAGCCGAGGCGGCCATCGTGCCGGTCGTGAACCAGGTGGAGTTGCATGCGCTGAACCCGAACCACAAGTTGGCTGCGTATTGTCAGGAGAAAGACATCGTGCTGATGAGTTGGAGGTGAGCTCGTGCCAGTCGTCTCCGTCGGAAATCGAATCCGCTGAACAAATGCTTAATAGTACCCTTGGGGGAGGTGCTGAATTCGCACCTCGCGCCGGAGAGATCCTCACGAACCCGTTGTTCAAGAATATCGCGTCGAATCATGGCTGCTCGACGGGCGTCGTCTCGCTATCCTGGGCGGTGCAGCGTGGCATCAACGTTATCCCGAAGAGTAACTCGCGAACGCGGGTCGAGGAAAACATCAGATTGGTCACTCTCACCGAGGCCGAGATGAAGGAGCTTAATGACGCGCACCGGACGATTGGTCCGCTCCGGATCGCGGACCATATCCAGCTGATGAGAGGGGAGAAAGACGGCAAATCTACGCTCATGGGTTGGACGAACCAGGATTTTGGCTGGGAGGACGCCGACGGGAACTGGTTGCTGTAGCTGTTTGCATGGTTTGCTCCCAGGGTCAGGTGACCAAAACTCTAAACTACCACAAATTTCACATGACCTTGTGGGAGTGGTAGAACTGAAAATAACAGAAATTGTATGGGCTCCAATGCATGCAGGCCTCTGGCGCCGTCAAAAGGTCTAGTAAATATATGAAAATTACGCATCATAGACACAAATCTACCAGCTATCTGTATCTGCGTTTATATTGAATGATCGGATTTTTTGCAACTGTGGGCGCCGATTTTAATGCTGCAGGGGGCTTTGGCCATGTTTCTGGAGAACGAGGTTGTGGGCAGTCGGTCGGGCTCAAGCGGTCAGCTTAGCGTTGGCGGTCAGGCTTGGCTTTAACCTCGTTCTGCCGGGTAATCCGGGATGCGGAGCAACTATTTGCCGGAACGTTGGCCTGAGGCATTTTCCTTAGAGCCATACAGTTGACGCCGCCATGTATAGTCCACCCCGCTCTTTTCTCATCCAAGATGTGATTTTGATTGTGTTCTTCAGGCAGATGAAAATTCTGTGCTACCCCTTACGCTTTACGAGTGCTTGTGTGGAAGCCTATGCTCGCAAAAACACTATGGAATTGCCAACTAACTAGCAAAGTAGCAAGAGTCACATACACCTATTCAACGCACAGCAGCGATGAATTGCGTGGCCGCCGTAGACTTCCCAAAAAGCAAGCAGATTTACCTAACACAATGCCTACTCAGTACCGACTACAGAAAGGAGCCCGGCATTTACCAAATATGGTAGGGGAACAATTGATTTCGTACCATCTAAGACGCGGGCTCTATTTTCAAGGCTAGAATAGGGGCAAAAAACCGAAATCACATGCTGAAACTTATATCCGTAGGCACCAAGCACACATGCAATAGGGAGAAGGGGACTAGGAATTATCGGACTGAACTCTCCAGACAAAGCGAAAGCGAAAGGTAGAGAGAGGGTGGGTCGGGCAGGACGAAGTTCATTCGGGATAGTCTCGGTGACAGTGCCTTGATCGTTCACGCACGAGGGGTTCGGGTACACTCGAAGTGATCGTGGCTAGGTGGGATTGTTCGAAATCAACCAGTCACTCTAGACTAGCTCCCTTGAACCTCTTAGCAAGTTGTTCACTCTCGGACTTGGGAGACTCAGGCCTTGATGACAAGAAACGCTTCTCGCGTTTGGGCACTGCGCGAGGAGGTTCGGCCGAACTTGGCCAGGGGCGCTTGGGGGGCCGCTCACCACTTTCCTGAAGAATTGTGACCAGGGTTGCCCATCCAGGAGAATTGATCAACTGCAGTCCGTCGGAGGGATTCCGGGTGGTTGCGACGCGGCACAGGAGGGCTTCTTCGTCCTTTTCATTGAAAGGCACGCGTTAGCAGGGTATTTAATCGCTGCTCTCATCTGGTCATCTTACCTTGTTGAAAGTCGACAAAGAGTGGAGGAAGCATAAAAGGTGGAAATCGGACACTGCTCGAATCGCCTTGTCGGGATCCCCATGGGAGACCAGCTTCTTGGCCACATGGCGAAGCTCCTGGCTTTCGCCAATCACCTCGCGGTTTTCGAGGGGGAAACTAGTATCAGTGAAGAGAGGTGAAGACTCGGTGGGGAAACCGTGCGTTAAGGTGACCAGAAGGTATTCGACGGGGAAGCTGGGCTTTGCGTTCTGCTGGGCGCTTACGCCGTACTCATTGATCTTGCGGTAGAAAACCTCGGGTATATACCGTGACTCGTTTTCGCTGCCGTCTTCCTCCGATTGCACCAACATGACTGACGGTTCTGCGGAGGGCTCGACAATATCGGCCCGAACCATTTCAACTCCGGCAACCGAAGTCTGGTAAGCGCTCACCGTGATAGCACCCTCTTCATCGCCGCTGAGGACACAGGTGACAAAATTGGAACCAAACCGCCCCGTTCGACTCCATTTCGTTGCTTTCGGGTGCTGCGCTTGCAATCGGGCCGCAAAGATAATTTCCTGGGATGAAAGGTAGTAAGAGTCAATATGCCGTTTGCAGATAACGGAGCCATCGCCTCCTCCGGCATCCAGAAGATCGGTGAAGATCACTCCGATTTTCTCCAGACCACACAGACGGGCAACTTCATCCACCTCCTTCTCGTTGGGCCATTCGTGAAGCGTGATCCCATCAACTTCATCCACTTGCGGTGGTTCGTAGATTGCCTGGACCACCGCTTTCACTCCCAAAGGCACCTCGGTGTACTCCTCGTATGTGCCGTAGAGGAAACCCAGACGCTGGGCGCCAGACTTCCGCCAGAAGTCTAGCAGCGAGTTTATAAGGTCAGGCGTCGAAAACTCCACATGGTCTACCATTCGGAATTCTTGGGGTTGCAGGCTGATAGCGCTAGGCTGGCACTTGGTGCAAATTCCCTCCGGCCACGACGGGTGTCCGGATGGGCAATCTCGCCGTACTCGATAGTAAGGTTCGTTGAGGGGGGGCATGAAGGAGCTCTTGAGTTCGGCTTTGTTGGTAGCAGCATTGATCTTTCGCAGGTATGAATGGAACGACAGGTGCTTGATCTTCTTCTCACCGAGATACTTGGGGTCGTAGGGCTCGAGGGGCATGCAATAGTCGCACATGCCTTTAGGTCCATGCCTGCACATCTTCGCGTCCTTGGGGCGTTTGATCTTTCCATCTTTCTTATCCAATGCGTTATCCAACGGTGTTTGCTGCACCACATCCCAGGGATTCTTGATCGTAGCTGATGGTGAAGCGGGCTGAGGGCGGATCGCGACTGTCTCGGTCTGCGGCACTGGGGCGCCGTTCAAACGGCGAGAGGACTCGGTGGAAGCGGCAGCCTGACCATTGGTCGAGCCGTCCTGCAATCCTTTCTTGCTTTGATAACCAAGGAAAAGCTTGTCGCCGTGCCTAAATCCCAGGAGATCAGCAGCTTCGATCATGGCATCTTTCCCAACCCGCTAGATCCTTGCGACAAACTAACCTTATACCAACTGCCTCGATTGAGACTCCTTGAAGGGAGTTTAAGGGCCGTTCTTCTCCACTAGTCCCGATAGGTTTGTTCGAGAGAACAAGCGAGGATGGATCAACGTCATCGGGGAGGTGTTCGAGAATCTACAGAAAGCGAGATTTTTGATTAGCATCGGGTTACAAATTTTCTGGATCACAGATCCGAAAGAAGCACAAGATAACAGCTTCCAAGACTCACTTTCTGCTCCAGAGATGGAAATAATTCCTGCGGGCTCGCGTTCAACCGAAACTGACCGTTGCGGCTCTCGAATCTCAGAATGATCGGCCGGGACGCCATGACGAGAGCTCACTAAGGGAGTGGGGATGACAAAGGGGTGGTTCAAATTGAAGGGGATTAGCAATATATATCAGTCGGTATATGGTGCATGGATCAGGGGAGCATGCCGGGAGTGAATATCCAGGTCAGGAGGGAGCCGTTTGATGTGGAGGACAGAATGAATGCGAGCGCACGAAGGCAGAGCGCGAGGAGCTCTATCGTCATCGGTCGGCGCTTACGCTCTGTTACCAGAACCCCGCCGAATCCCGCCGAACTTGGGCTGGTTACCGGTAATCCCGTTACAGCGGCAGACCGTCTGGGCTCGCCCAGTGATCAATACTTATCAATGCCTCCTAAATAGCAGACTTTGTTCGATTTCGTTTACTTTGCGCAGTTGATTCTGACCAAAATTGTTCATACTAGTTATGTCATATGGTATGTGATTTAATTCTTGGTTGAATTTCTTTATTATGCTTCTATGCCTATGTAATGTAGTGGCACTCCGAGTCCTTTACGGGTATTCTTCACATCTTAAATAGAAAAAACATCACATCGTAAACCTCCCAAAATAAACGCCTATAGCAAACAAAAACCGAAAAGCAGATCAAGCCAGAAGGCTCCCAGGGTATACGAAAACGATCCGATTAGAGGATGTTGCACTTCTTTGGCAGACCGCAAGGTCCCTCGCTCGTCTCGTCCTTATCCACCTGGGTGTTCTGTCCCGACTGCTGTCCGCTCTGTTTGCTTTGCGCAGGCTTGGAGGTATCCGATTCCTTGTTCTTCTGCTGCTGGGATGCGGCCGCAGAGGTCGACTCGGGTTTGGATTCCTCGCCGCCATGTAGTCAAGCGAAGCTGACCTTGGCGACGTGGCCGTAGAACGCCTTGCCCTGCTCCTCGGCGATCTGCAGCTCGAGGGCAGTGGGCTGGCGGGAACCGTCGGCACCCTGTAGAAATATCCACGATTAGCCAACGAAGCTTGTCAAAGTCGGCGAAAACCGCTCAAGAACGCAGGTTAGTTAACTTACGGCGAAGGTACCGGCACCCCAGGCGCTACCACCGTGGATCTCGTCCAGGTTGGACAGGAGAGGGAAGGTGGTCTTGTATCCAAGAGGGACGTAGATGAAACCGTGGTGGGCGAGGGTGCTCATGGCAGCGATGGCAGTGGACTCCTGGCCACCACCGAGGGTACCGGTGGAGACGAACAGACCGGCGTACTTGCCCCAGTAGCCACCGGTAGCCCAGATACCACCAGTCTGGTCCCAGAAGGCCTTCCACTGAGCAGGGAAGTTACCGTAGCGAGTGGGGATACCGAACAGCACGGCATCGTACTCCTTCAGCTTGTCGGGGGAAGCCACGGGGTAGGCGGACTTGGGAGGAGCGTGCATCTTAGCCAGAACCTCGTCGGACAAAGTCTCGGGGATCCTGAACACCGTGTGTAAGCAATTGTTCTCCAACCAGTCTAGACAGCAATTGGGGATTGCTTACTGGAAGAGCTCGGCGCTACCGCCGGCAGCCTCGATACCCTTCTTCTCGGCCTCGGCCAACTTCTGGATGTGGCCATAGAGGGAGTACTGCAGACATCATCAATTGGTTAGAATGGTCCAAAGCGAGGGTTCAGAGACCGGTGGGGAAGTATAGAAAGCACATACGAAGACAATTGCGATCTTGGGAGCCATGGCGAAGAGGTTGAGCGGAATGGAATCGAGGAGATGGGATGGAGTGAGAATGAAGCCGAGTGAACAGAGGCAGAGAGGGGCACTTATAGTCGATCGCAGAGGAGCAGCAAGCGGCCAAGCTCCCCTCCAGTCATCCACCCGTAATCGATTACGGAGGCAGCCCGGGCGGGGCACGTGGCCAATCAGCGGACCCGCCGGCGGTTTAGCTGATTCTTACGCAGCGGTGACAAATGGACGAGGCCCTGGAATCTTCTGACGGAGCATTATTGATCTCTTATTCACCACCATTTGCCGGTTTGGGTCGCTCGTTTGGGTGGGGATCTTCCTGGCTCTTGACGGATTTACGGAGTAAGACATTTGCAAATGTTCTATTATATCCTAATTACATACTAATTACCAAAGGTATTACATACTATGTAGAGACACGTCCAGACAGACAGTCGTGATGTCACCTCCCACTTGCCTCTTCACAAAAAGACAAAAGTCAATTCCCCAAATGTTCCAATGCGTGTCCCCTAGGCTTCCCGATAAGATCGTAGGTATCGTTGCATGGGTGCACCCCCGGGGGCCCACCCTGATTTTCTGCAGCCTATAGGAGACTGTGAGTCGTACATGATGCCATTCTACGCCGCAAATAGCACGGTATCAACATGCCCCAATGTGGTTAGGAACTCATATATGCTCCGGAGTCCGGACTACGCCTGTCCGTGGCCAGATGGGTCGATAGTGAAACTGCTCCGTATGGGAGGAAAGGAAAAAGAAACTGCCATTGGTACAAATCGCATTGGCTCTTCCCGTGGGTAGGGTTAACTGTTAAATGCCTCGAATAGGGTATCTTTAGATGATCGTAGAAACTTCAAAATTCAACACCAAATGCTCGCCAGAGTCTCTCCGTCTGGGAAAAGTCTTAACCACGTCCTCGTCCCCGGAACCGACCGCGCATGAACCCCCCGCCGCGGCCACGTTCGGACCTCCATTCTCGCTCCCGTTCCTTCTCCCTTTCTTGCTCCTCCCGGATCAAGATCTTCTCGCGCTCCAGTTCCTCTTCGCTCTTCTCGACCCGCACAGAAGGTCGCGGGAGATTCTCGGTCCATCGTGGATGGGCATGGACGCAGGTTTTACCCTCCGGACAGAATCCCGCCAGATAGTACTGGCAAATGCGTCGACGCACATGACGCTTCGCGCATAGAGGTCCCAGCTGACAGTATCCCCGATCGTAATGTTCGCAGGGGGGGAGTCGGGCTTGTTCCCGCACATGTTGGTAGAGGCAATCGTCGCCGTTGGGGCAGTAGCCGGACCGCGAGAAGGACTGACATTCCGGCATCCGTCGAAGGTTGTATTCGTGTAGGTATTCGCATTTCAGGCCCTTTTTACAGAGACCCTTGAGGAAATGCTTGCAGACAAGCGATCCGTGAGTGGTGGACGGTGCCAGTCCGGAGGCGGTCGTGGTGGACGTCGTGACTCGCGACGGTGTGGGATGGCGATCCGGACATGCCGGTCCTAGAGGGCAGTGGCCCTCGCTGTAGGCTTTGCAGACGGGGACGTCGCTGGCGAGGCCGAAGCTGAAGTTCTGGCGGAGGAAAGGTAGGAAGGAGAATTCATCGTAGCTCGGGTCGCGCGCACTGTCGGTGGATAGGATTTGCGCCGCAGTGTGGCTTACATCTGCAGCCATAATGGTGAAGCTCCCAGGAGAACGTGAGAATAGGATTCAAGAAGGGGGATAAACAAGGAATAATGAATTGACGAGAGCGACTTCGAGTGTCTGAAAGAAGGCAGGAAGGTCAAAGAGATTCAAAATGGAAGGCGGTGGCAGCAGGGCAAACAAAGGCTTAGTCATGCGTATTTGGCAGTCATTCTGAGAGACGCTGGAAAGAACTGGATTCTTCTTCTTCACAACATCAACAATACTCTATACAATCAATCCCAGGCAAGGTGATAAACGTGACTTGGGAAGTCTACTGGGAAATGAAGCAAATCAGCTATCTCAGAGCCACTTGGTCAAGAATCTTCCAACTTTTGCTATATAAATGCGCTTAAAGTGATTTGGATGATATAAAAAAACAAAATGCTGCTTTGAATATTGATCTAGAAGCCATGAAATCGCTCGCAAAACTTCCTCCCGACATACTAATGCCTGGAAACACTAACACTGGCAGTTCGCTCAAGACGCTCTCTTGTGAGCTCATCACCCAATCTCGAAATTAGAACAGGGGCCAACTCCGGAGCAATAGACATGATTTATGGAGTCCAAAAGAAATGGCTACGGTGCTACCACATACCTACAAAATGTAGCCTTCTGAATCCGTTGATCTAAGCGAGTATGAAGTCTGCAGCGTCTAACCGACCCAACTTGGAAGACCAAGTGGAGAAAGATCTCTGGGCCAAATTATACCGGAATATCAGGTTGCCATCAACATTTATAGATGAATCAATCTTCGAAAACCCAGTGTGAACTTGGGCATCATGAACGAGTCACGGGGTGATACAGTACCTAGTGATATAGTGCCTACCATAGTAATTTCCGGCTTTTATCGGACAATGCGCCTCATTCCCTTCGTTGTGGATGTGCCTGGAAGCGATCCTTCAACCCCCATGCTATTACTAGTAGACTAGCAGCAAGCTGACCAACGGTGTTCCTAGATCTGGGGTGCAAATTTCGCTAAAGACCGCTCGGTCCTTCCGAGACCTTGAAAGGGGGGGGCTAAAATAACGCTACTAAACTACCCTAAAGTGATGCGACCCCAGTGGTTCCGAAATAAGCCTCTTATATCAATTCTGCTATCGCTTTGAATGCGCAAGGCTCTACTTAATCCTGGGCTAGCTGTCATAGCTGTGACTCACGGAGCATAGCTCTCTCCTTTTAGGGCCATACACCGAGGCTAGCAACTACACTGTACATGAAAGCCTCAACATCTAGTCTGTTTAGGGTAATATGGCCCCATGGTCGGAATGTGATAGCCAGGCAGAGTGCCTAACTCAGGGCTTGCCCTCTAGTCAACGACTTTCAGGATTCGCTATTTACTGCCCGTCTTCCCACTCGTCTTCTTCCTTTTTCCAATCCAAATCTCACAACTAAGAAATATCTGTATCTATCAACTCCTATCCACATCCATCCCTTCACAGTCCACGCAAAATGAGGACCTCTCTTCTTCTCACCGCGGCTCTTGCCGGACTGGCCATCGCCGAGGACACCACCACCGTCGGCTACTTCGCCGCCGACTGGACGAGCATCGAGATCCCCAGGTACGAGAGCACCGCCGCCAGCGTGGCCGGCATCAACGCCGTGGCGACCACCTACGCCGTGGGCTGTCTCAAAGACGCGCCCACCTCCCTCTGCCACATCGACAAGCCCTGGACCCTCATCCAGGGCTCCGAAACCTACAGTCTCACCGGTGTCTACACGGCGGGGCAGACCGGCAAGGAAAAAGACAACGGCGTCACCGTCACCCGTGACATTCAGTGCTCTTTCACCTCCTTCTCCGAGTCCGCCGGTTGCTCCTTTAGCTACCAGGCGACTGGGAAAATTAGCGGAGCTTCCTACTCCACCGGCACGTCGTCTTCCTCTACCTTCGCGACAGATCAGGTCGGCTACTATAAAATGCCTGTGACTGCCGGATTGTCGTCTTTTACGGCCCCCCAGGCAACGGAGACTCCGGATGCTGCGAGGGCCGTCGGTCCTGCTAGGGCTTTGATCACCGCGGCTCCGCTGGCTGCTGCGGCTGCGGTGGCTATTTTCTAGTTCTTTCGTGTTGTTGCTGCTATGGTTATGTTAATTTCATTAGTGGGTGTATGACAGTGCGTGTATAATGCATTTTGCCGATGATGAAGGATATAATGGGTGATTTCTACACCATGTGTTATCGCTTGATAGAGCATTGAGCTCTTAAACGATTGGCACCTATTAATATAATAGCTTTAATCATTCAGGGTATATAAAGCTTATTGTGTCTTATCAGATAACGCGATGGAATACACATTTGTATCTCAACCTTTTATACACTAAGTATCATCCAATTTAGCTTATGTTTGCTATTTTCGGCGAAATCAAGTGGCCTATCAAATACCATTTCCCGCGACTTAAGGCGATCATGCATCTTAGGGGTGTCGATCTTCGATCTTTTATTGTATGTCATTTTTTGAAATTGCCGATATATTGAAGGGGAGATCCGTTCAAAAAGCGTTGTAGCTTGCTGGTTTAGCTGTTGAGCTGGTGTTCCCCACCAGTTACCAGACGAGTGCTTATTCAACTAATACTAGAGGATTTTGAATCGATTCGTAGGCTTATAGGCGTGAGACTTTTACGGCGTTCACTCGAAGTTCGAGAACGACTTGAAGGGTATACTGGGCCGATTTGGGTGAAACACAACGAACCGGTTAGACGACGGCATGGGCGAATCCAAACGAATCCCGACACGGGGGAAATCGAACAGAAATGTATCGGTGCATATTGCGGTCTACATTATCTTACTCGTTTAGCGCATTGAGGCCAGGGAACTGGAATTGGAAACACGGTTGGCATCAATTCGTATTTGGAATGACGGTCGGCAGCATTGAACCAGTAGTACTCCGTAGATCGGGTCTGGTCCACTACGATCTACCGTAGACGTCCTATGCGAGTAAATACGGAGTACGGAGTAGCTCATCTGGCATCCCCCACGTAAGCCATGCCCTCACCTGGAACACGGCCAAGCTGCAGCAGGTCCAATAATGCGATCGTTGCTGGTTGCGGTTGCCCCTGCATACAGGGATCACATGCCCCATTTTCGCAGCCAAAGCACCGGCGAGATGCTCAGAACGGTATTCCGCGACCTGCGGAGGACATCTGCGATACCCCACGCATTCAGTTTAGGTTGGGACGACGGAGGCCCGGCCCTTGTTTGGCGCGGACGTGGCAGAGACGAAGGAAGCCCCAAGAATTGGGGACGGATCGCCAGCGCGGGCGCTCATGGGCTGGGCGATTCTCCCCAGAATTAGGCCGAGACAGAAAAAATAGATGACTTGTACTCCGTATAATTGACGCAAGAGTGATCCTTGACCATCCGAGAGCCAGTCAGGGTGCAGAGCAGGCATTGTCATGCGGGGATGAAAATCGCTAGTCGGCGGCTGCATTTCCCCCCACAAGCTCCCAGGTCTAGCGAACGAGGAAGGAAAAAGCAACGAGCATGAGAAGAAAAACCTTAAGGAGGGATATTTTCGAGGAAGATCCTTTCTCACTTCATTCCGATCTCTCAGTCCGGACCGAAACCATCTTTCAAACCGGGGGATGCTTTTGCACTTCTTCCGAATGTATTGGTGTAGGCCACTTGTTGATCCAACCCAAGACGCTGACATTTCGTGCGGATGGTCTGATCCACTTATCAGCGAGAAAGGGCAGAGAGAGAGAAAAAAAAAAAAAACATATAGAAAAAAGACGAGGGAAAAAAGGGCATCGCCTCCACGCCCACGGATTCTCACCGACGACGGCCCGTCCGAACCATCAAACGCCTCCATCTGCTTAACCCGTAATCATCGACTGCGACCAATATGGTCACGATCTCATCCCTCGTTGGGGGCTTGGACTGGGAGGATAAAGAAAAAAAAATAAATAATAAATAAAAAAAAACAAGGCGGGGTGGACATCATCCACTCGACGGTTAGGCCTTGTCGCGATCAGCAGCAAAGACCGCCTTGGGGCCCTTCACCATTCCCCCCTGCCTGCGTCGTCGACGCTGCAGACAGGCTGGAGAACAAGAAATCGAAGCAGTCAGCGGGGGGCGCCATTTTCTCTCATTGACGGAGAGTATGCGCGTCAGGTGAGGTGCATGACCTTTATGTCATTATGCTGCTCGCCTCGTTGCCTTCTGGTGGATTGAGTCAGCCAGGAGGCATTTTATTTTTGGAGGCGACGATGACGGACGGTCAGTGGCTGCGTCGACGAGAAGGAAGTAGAATCTAAACGAGGACGAAGGCAGAGGATGCAAATCAAATCCAATCGAAGCAAATCCAATCGAATCGTAAAACTGCGCAAAGTACCACACGTGACCCGCGCCGCAATAGGCAGTTGCGCTCATCGCCTTCGCTCTTCTTTTTCCTCTTCTTCCTCCGACTTGCCTCGATCGTTGCATTCTTATTGATCCGGGGGATTGCATTTCCTGGCTCTTCCTGATTCTTCCTTGTCCCCTGGTTCCCTCCCCTCCTTTGTTCACCGCCCCTTATGTTCTCCGGGTCCCTCTTCCCCCACTGGCGGCGTAAGGCCGCCGAGCGGTCCAGTAACAGCTCGTATGAGGTGCCATTCTACTTGAATGCGGCATACTATCCGAATTGGAGAATCTACCGTCAACAGGCTCCTTCCTCGCTCAGACTGGGATTCGTCTCGCATGTCTTCTACGCGTTTGCTTGGTACTAGCCTTACTCAACTGCAGGGGAATCCTTCGCCTGGCTCTGCTTCGAGAAAGATATTAACCAATCTGTGTTCTTTCTCTCTAGGGTCAAAGAAGACGGCACGGTCTATGTGGATCTCCCGCCCACGTCCCTTTCCTCGAAAGGGGCTTGCTTTAGTTATTGGGGTAGGATGGCTTTGCTGACCATGATGCCGAGTTTTAGTTGAGTGATGAATGGGCGGATGTGCAGATGCCGGTTGACGGCACGCAAGGCTGTCTCCGGGCGTTCACGCAACTGAAGTCGCAGTATCCCAAGCTAAAAGTTGTCCTGTCCGTTGGGGGAGGAGGCAAAGGAAGCGACACTTTCGCCGGCGTGGCCCGCAGCCAAGCCGGCGTGGAGACCTTTGCCCGGACGGCCAGGCAGTTGGTGGACCAGTTCGGTCTGGATGGCATCGACGGTAGAATCAGATCCTCTCTACGCCCTCATTTGATCTGTGGTACTGACCCTCTTGCCAGTTGATTGGGAGCACCCGGCGGACCCCCAGCAGGGATTCGATTACGTGCGTCTGCTGGCGCGACTCAGGGAGGCATTGCCTGCGCCGCGATACGTACTGGCAACCTGTCTCCCCGCGGGACAATGGGCTCTCCGGAATATCGACTTGTCCAAGGCGCAGATGTATCTGGACCTGATCAACCTCATGACCTATGACTTTTCTGGGCCGTGGACGAACGAGACAGGCCACCAAGCCCAACTCTACGGCCGCTCCCCGGGAGCGGTTTCATGCCATTCCGCCGTGTCTTATGTCCTGTCTCAAGGAGTCGATCCGAAGAAGCTTCTGCTTGGGATTCCTGCCTATGGCCGGTCTTTCCTTGACAGTAGCAAACCGGGGCAGCGATACGCCGGCTGCGGTGGGGAGGATGGAGTATTCGACTACAACGCCTTGCCTCGGCCGGGAGCTAAAGAGCACCACGATGACAAACTTGGGGCGGCGTATTGCTCCGGAGGGGATGGCGGTTTCGTGACTTATGACACACCGCGCACGGTGCAACAAAAAGCGAAATTTGTCACGAAATCCAAGCTGGGAGGATTGTTTTATTGGCACATCGGAGGAGATGCTCAGGGCTCCCGAAGTCTGATTGAAACCGGGTATAACACGCTCCACGATATGTAAACGACCCCGAGGAGCCATGGAGAAGAACATTCTTATGCAGAAAACGCAGAAACAACCCCCGAAGAAGGGGAGGGACGAAATTGGAGGCTAGTGTTTGAGTAACCGTTTAGGGTATCCCAGTATCAAATGAAAGAATGCATGTCCATTAGCCGTTTTGCATCCTGGACTTTCCCGGTGGATTGAACTGTTCTGTTTCTGGTGTTTACCATAATGGTTAGTTTAACGATGGCAGAGAGGTCTCACTCGTTTCTCTCGCTGGCTCGATTCGAAAAGAATAAGGGAACAACTATGCACAATCATGATGAAAGGTCGACAATCCAAGCGTCCATTCTTCTCGAAGCTCAGCAGGACTCCATAGATGCTGTTCCCGATCGGGTTAGTCCGACGATCGCATACCTTTTTCTCGCTGCCTAAAAATAACAAGTGAACGTCACGCATGAATCCAACGCTGCCATCCATCTAGAAGTCTAGATCAACCCGGGCCGTCTCGCCATGTCCGTCCCATGGAGCTTGGATCCTCCCCCGGCGTATGAGGAGTTGGACCCCTCCCGTCTGACTCCTCCGAGTCATGGCATCGGTCAGAGCCGCTTCTTTCGCTCCACAACCTCCTTGACCCTGGACCCGTCGGCAGGTGGCGACGAGAAGCGCCGATTATTGCTGATCTATGTTCATGGTTTTATGGGCTCCGAGGAGAGCTTTCAGAATTTCCCGAAACACGTTCATGATCTTCTCACCATCTCACTGGGCGAAAGTCATGTAATCTACACCAAAGTGTATCCGCGGTACAAGACTCGCGGCCCGATCCATGTTGCCCGTGATCAATTCAGTCAATGGTATGCAGACCTATATCTAAATGTGTTCCATTGGAAATTTCCTCCTCATCTAGCGAACAGGTTATCCCCCCATGAGGCACCTGACCTTGACATCATCCTTCTCGGCCACAGTCTCGGTGGCATCATCTCCTCTGAGGTCGCATTGGTGTCACGGAATCACCGCTTGAAGCATCGCGTTCTAGGCCTCGTGAACTTTGACGTTCCTTTTCTCGGTCTGCATCCTCGCGTGGTGGCCACCGGCATTGGGAGCCTATTTCATCGCTCCCCGGACGATCCCAGCGATCCTGAGTCCACTCCTTCTCCTGGTGGGTTCAACGTCCCGGATCAGAACCAGACATTCGACCCGGCGTTTTCCAACGATCTTCATCTCGCACGATGGAAGGGCTGGGGCGGGGCCCGTCATTTTATCTCCAAGTATTCGGAAAACCTGTCGCGGTCCCTCGTGCGGTATTTCTTCTCGTACTATGACCATGCTGGGTGCATGAATAACTACCCTGAGTTGATCAAACGGCATCGGAAATTGCTGGAGCTAGAGGCTATTGATGACTGGAACACTCCTGCCGACTCGGGAGTCAACCGGATTCGATTTGTGAATTATTTCACAACGAGCACAGGGCCCGCAAAAAAGCCTAAGAAGGGGTCTGCTCAGGACGAGCATTCACGACGGGAATCGGATACTTCATCCGTGTCGCAAACTGATACCAAATCACTTGAATCGGAGCAGAAACCAACCACTGATTATGATAAGCATGATGGTGTTGGAACTGAACATACTCAAGATCACGCAAGCAACAAAAACAAAGGTGATGGCGATAGGGAAGGCGACGGCGACGGCGACGAGGAAAACTCGCCTCCCAAATCCCTTCGGAAATTCTGCTACCTCCCTAAAGACTCGATCAAAGGACGAGACGACCTCTGGGTTCCCGTATTAATGGAAGGTGTGGACGAGGTGGTGGCCCACCAGTCCATGTTCCTGCCGCGAAACATCTACTACGACCGGCTCGTGGGTGACACGGCATCACGCATCGAATCTTGGATTCATGACGATCTCACAAAACGGGCGGTTCTGGACGGGGAGATCGGCAAGTCTGCCGGCGTGGATGGATGAGCTTATCTCTATCCTCGCGTCACATCTGCACCCAGAATATCTCAATCAAGCTTCATTCGCAGCGAGATTCCGTCACGACTGTCAGTCACGCGATGCCACTTGCGATCTGAAACCTTGATTATTCAGTCCACGTCGATCTCGATTCTTCGATCCCAGGGCCCAGCCTCCGAGTCTCAGCAAACCTTATTCCAACCTAATCTGCGGAAGGGGGCAAACAGATTGAAAGAAAGGGCCCACAAACAATATAATCAACCCTTTGTGACTACATGAAATCACGACTATCTCGCATATGATTTGCCCCGCATTTTCTCTCCATCTAACTACATGCATTAACCTCCATCGCAAGGAATCGAGCGGCGACTGAACTCAAACGATTTGTTCATCATTTACGTTTTTCCCCCTTCTTTTCTAAGGTAAAGGGCCATTTTCGTCATTTTAGTCTAGCTTTTCTGTTTAATTTGGACTTTGGAATAGCCGGTTGAGATTAATATCTATAAATTATTTCTCTTGGTCAAATCTATATAAAAATCTATACACAAATATCAAGACCACCCGTTTATCTCCCCTGTTTTATATACTAAATAGTCTAGATGTGTAAACATCCCCCCCAGAACATAAATCATAATCATACACGGTCGGTCCATCAAAGATATGGACTCAGAAAAGAAGAAGCGAGAGAGAAAGAGAAGAAAATTACGCAACGATCTTGGCAAACGCTGCGCGAATCTCCTCGATGCTCTTCTCCTGCGCCATGAGCAAGCCCAGCAGAATGCGCGAATGGGCAGGGTTCAAGTATCCGCTGGCAATCTGGGACTTGTCGCTGGAGGTCGGGACCTCGCCGTTGCCCGTGCGGGTGCTGACGACGACGGGGATCTGCGAGGATTTCACGACGTCGGTGATGGCGGCGGTGGCGGAGGATCCGATGGTGCCTGCGCCGGAGCCGGCGAACTGTTCGAGCAGGTTAGTTAAGCCCATAGATATTGAGGGGGCGTTTCAAGAACTGATCAGGATGGTTGGGGTGGTGAAGGGGAGGTAAAAGAGAACGTACCACAAGGCCCTTGGCGCCGTTCTCGACGGCCGAATAGACGGTGTCGTTCCTCATGTCCTCGTAGGCGTAGAGGATGTCAACGCGAGGGATGGACTTGATGTTGCTGACATCGATGGCAGTCTTGCCGGTCGGCTCCACGGCCGGGTAGAAGAAGTAGGGGCTGTTGGAGACGAGCTCGCCAAGGTTGCCCATCTCCGGGGCCTTGAAGGTGTCCATGGTGTTGGCGTTGGTCTTGGACGCGTAGAAGGCCGAGACAATGCGGTCGTTCATGACGATCATGGCGCCGCGGTCCCGAGCATCGGGGCTGGACGCCACGGTGGCGGCCTCCAGAAGGTTGTAAGGGCCATCAGCCGAGATGGCGGTCGACGGACGCATGGAGCCGACGACCACGACGGGCTTGTGGCAGTTGACGGTGGCGTCGAGGAAGAAGGCGGACTCCTCCAGCGTGTCGGTGCCGTGGGTGACGATGGCGCCGGACATGGTGGGATCATTGCAGACGACCTCGTTGATCTGCTTGGCCATGCGCAGCAGGATGGATGAGGAGATGTCCTCGCTTCCCACGTTGGTGAACTGGACGGCCGCGACGTTGGCGACGTCGAGCATCTCCGGCACGTCCTTGATCAGATGCTCAATAGGGACCGCACCGGACTTGTAGCCCGTGGTTGCCGTTCTGTCGGCGCTGTAGCCGGCAATTGTGCCACCTGCGACTTTGTGAGTTTGACTATTTCAGGGGAGAAGGTGAAAATGATCGGTCCGCACCTGTAGCGAAGAGGGTGACATTGGGCAGAGTGGTGTTCATCTGGGTGAAGTTGAGGCCATTGGAGTTGGTGAAGGCGTAGGTAGCGTTGGAGTTACTGCCAGCCCGGGGATAGAGGGGAGAAGCTTGGCTGGCGGCCACCAAGGCAGACACGGCAAGAGCTTTGAGATTGAAACCCATGATGAACACTGCCCACGGCTGGAATTGCGTCGAAGAGAATGCTGAAGACGCTTTCTATCGTTGATGCCGACAAAGAAAAGACCAGACCGGCATCGCAGGCATCATGGACCTTTATATAGACCGGGGAGGGACAGCACGAGGGTCCTCCAATTCGAGGCTGTGTGCCATGGCAGTGGACTCCATCGAGAATATTCCGCGATGCCCAGCATCGGATGACGATGGCATCGAAGCATGCAAAGGTGAGGGAATTCTTGGAACGCTGATCATCAGACACCAACGTGGCCCAACAAGGAAAGGTGGTTGGAGAGCATCTCCAAATCGACCGGGGCGGGTCAAATCCATCTGCGAGATAATCAATGATAGACAGAGCCAGTGTCTCGATGGTCAACTCAATTGCTAATAAATTGGGCTGCCAAGTCGGCTAACCGTTGGAACTGATCTAGCACGATCAAGTGCAGAAAGAACCACGACCCGACTCGTTTCCTCATTCTGGTGCAGCAGACACTGCCCCAGAGCGTCGTCCAAGGGAGGTTCCGTGAAAGAATGCCCGTCGTCCTCCTAATCCTCCGCGACCGGCACGACTGGGGAAGAAGATACGGGGAGGCGGAAATGTCTCGGGTGAAGTCCAAAGCCATTAGTCACGGGAATCGAAAAGTCCTGGGCCAGAGTGGATCGAGTGGGCCTCGAATTTTGGTTCTCGGTGGAGGACCCGACAGGAAGCCGGATGAGCTTGATGGCGCATGAAGATTGAAGGAGAAAAACGACAGAAAAGGAAAAAACCGCAATTTCATCCCGGAATCCGGAAGAGACTATGGAGAACAAGGAGAAGAGCCAGAACGGGGCCTGTCGATCGTCAGAAACGGTTGGGATTAATTAGTTATGTCATAACTTATTACTTAAGAGAAAAAACAACAAGACAATCAAATCAGAACACGTTCAGCGTATTCGTACACCGCGTTACACAAAGCCAGGCCGCCGCAAGAAAATCCAGGCCGTGAGAGACCGACCAACACCCTTAGGATAATGCGTCCAGGACATTCAAGTCGACGGTCAGTTTGTTCGCCGCCAAGGCCGCCGCAAAGTATGGCAGGTCCTGTCCGTGGTACACGCTGGAATTGCCGGTGATGTCGACGGGCACGATGTTGTTCTTGTACTTGCCCGTGGCCAAGAAGCCCGCCACCGCTGATGAGTTTACGTTGGCCTTCATATCAAGGGTGTTCTTCCCCGGCCGAATGACCAAATCGTTCAGGAAGGACTGGCCCACGTGGGTGCCTTCGACCGACAGGTCGAGCGTAACGTTGCCCTGCAAAGCGTGTCGGTCAGCCAACAAATTGCGTTCCCAACCAATTTCCGAGCCCGGTGGGACTCGGATTCATTAACGTGATGCAGTCATACCATGGTGATGGTCATCACGGATGGGTTGGGGATCGACACTTTGCCATGCCCGTTGTTTCCATCCGAGTCCTTCTTTCCGACGTGCATCTCGAGCAGCTTGAATCCGTCCAATTTATTCAGACCTTCCGGCATGTCTGTCAGCATCCGACACATAACCCCTCCCGGATAGTCACTTACCCTTCATTGTGACGGTCTTGTTATACGTGATGGTGATCGTAGGCAGACTGCCCTGCTTCAACTGGGGCTTTCCGTAGATGTTCAGGTGAATATCTTCGTTCAGCATCACGGCCTTTGCGAAGTCGCCAAACGCATCCGCATCGCTCAGGTCCAATTTCTGCTCGACGGGAATGACGGTCCCGTCGTTGGCCTTGATTTCGGGCACGCGGACCTGCGCGAACGGGGCGGATCCCGAGAGACTAACGTCGGCGTCGAAAGCATAGATCTTCGGGTGAAAGCGGCTGTCGCTGCCGAGGACCTGCGTCTGATTCAATTGGAAGGATTCCGGGGCGGGGTCGCTGATAACCATCGACGTGATTTCCAGAGTCGAGTCATTGATGTCGCTTTGGGCGATGTTCGGGTAGCCGACATAGACCCTATCCCGGGCAAAGGCGACGATTAGTATTTGGCCGGTTCTGATCAGCTCGTCGCCAACTTACACCGGAAGGACGACCACCAGGACGACCACGATCAAGGCAATAACATGCACCCACCACCACCGCTTGTAATGGGCGGCCACGCGGGTTTTGAAACTGGGCTTGGAGACTGGTGGCGTATCGATCGCGCCCACCTCGGTCACGTCGGGCTTTCCACCTGCCATTGTTTGTGATTCTGGACTTCGAGATGCAGAGATTCTCACTCGCTCGGATCAAGAGTGCCGGATGCAAGCCAGCCCTTGCGTCAGGTCAGCATTTTAAAATGACACGGCCACCGTGCAAAATTTGAGTGGCAGGAAACATACACCAATGGTTTCTATTCCGCTCTCCAAGCTCTCGCCTCGAAATCGAATGGCCTGCTGGACGCGTCGCACTGGAGATGGAAGAGTCAACGATTCTGGAGTCGAAGGAAGAGGGCCGAATGGAATGCGGGGTGTTGCCCCATTAGGTAAAGAAGACTGCAAGGGAAGAGAGACTCACATTTCGCAATGACGACGGGAAGTGGAAGAAAGCAACCAGTCAAAGAGCGACCGAGGATGGAAGAACACTGGGATCCTTTTCTGGTCGCTCAGAGGGTCGGGAACGCCGGGACTAGAGGGAGGATCGAGGATAGGGCAGCCACCACGTCGGATCCCCCCAAAGCTATATCTATAGAGGAACCAGACCGTCCCTTGGGCAGGGGCGGGTCCATCACATGTGGTCAACATGACAGTTAACCAGATCAAGCACCGCGGAACTCGCTTGGGGGTGGAGTGTTTGGGTTCGCTAGACCTCGTGCAGAAAAGAGGGAAGGGGTAAAATAATAATAATAATAATAATAATAATAATAATATCCACTACTCCTGCGGACTGGGAAACGCTAGGAAGGGAGAAAGGGGGCGGAGCGAACGGGAGGGTTTGACCAGAGAAAAAGGAAAGAAAAAAAAATCCGGATGGGAGGCATGACCTCGGAGGATAACCCATTCGTTCAATTGCCCGCAGTTTGGCATGAATTGCCACGATGGAAAAGGCGAAGAACGTTGCGTTTGCACGCCTGCCGAGGCAGGCGGATGGTTGACTTCCAGGGAAACCGAGCCAGACGGCACCTCCTCGCATGCCAGTCGCGGTGATACCATAATATCAGCCAGATGACGATTGGACACGGCGCAGCAACTAAAGTCTAGATGCGCATGGAATGCAACCCCGGACCTGGTCAATTTCCCCAAATTTCCCCGTGGCGATCGTTCCTTGGCGCGAGGGGGTTGCTCATTGAGGGAAAGTCGAGTGAGACTAGCAGCGGCCAATGCGAGAGACCGCCGGGATCCGACTTATTAGCATGATCGAATAATGCGACCATCATGAGTCCTGGACTAGCTCGCACAGTAGTGTGACCGGATGTCTGACTGCTCCGGGCCTTCGTCCGGTCCAGTCAGCGCGTCAACCAATTGGGCGCCATCCATGGGAAACTCTCATTTTATCGTCCCCGGTTTAGGGTCGTTAGCCTGCGTGTGGTTAATATCGCACTGGTTCGAGGGATTGTCAGGCGCACACTCCCCCTCCTTCGATACGATGGCTGGCAACGAATCATGCGGAACCAAAGAGGGGCAACGCACAGGCAAAGCAGATCGGTCGTGTAACCCTGCGAGGAATAGTCGGGATTGAAAATGCAGCACGTTGGGATGGATTTATTGGCAGGGGAAGAAGGGAGGAAAAAGAGAGGAAAGAAAAAGAGAAGGTTTGGCCGGCGGTAGGGTTCAGCCGCACGCGTGACCGTGGCTCCGGCCGGCATACAATAGAGAAGGAAAGGTTGCAGTAGAATGGTAGAATGAAGGTAGAATAATGCAGTAAATGATCCAGAAAACAGACAGATATATACTCTCCAATATACTTGTACAAGATACCATCGAGATGTACATCGCTCCGTGGAAACACGATCCGACTCCATATTTCCATCGGCCTACCGGGACACCCATCCCTGGCCTCCCATGGCTCCCCGGGGTATCAATCCAACCCATCCCGCTGTGTGAGCGGCGGATGGGCATCCCAATTATCCCAATTGATCATGAGTATCATCAGTTATGACCTCCGCAAACGGATTTCAAATGGCTGGCAAGAGCCAAAAGATGTTCCAGATGAAACTAGGAGAAATGAGAAAACAAAATCGCAGGCAAAAAAAATGGGGAATGGCAGAAGTAGCGGGGGAAGAAATGCAAAAGAAAGAAAGAAAGAAAGAAAAGAGATGAAGAAATGAAGCGAAAGAAGGTTAATGAACATTCAAAAGGTACATCACGCAGTGATTAGAAATTAAGGGGTATCCAAGAAATAAAGCCGATGCCCGCAAAGCAAATGGTAACAAGAGTTTTGGAAACCACCTGGTCCATTTGGTTTTATCAAAAGCAAGTCGTCAAGACCTGCTCGATTCCAAGTAGTGCGAAGTATATGAGAGGGGGAAGAAAAGGACAAAAGAAAAAGAAAACAAGGATGTATAAAGGAGTGTGAGAAAGGAGACCAAGAGCGACGGCTCTGGAGTAAAAGCTTGAAAGGTTTCGGACTCGTGACAGTTTCCATCACTGCTGAGACCGAAATCAGGGGGGAAAGTGCAAAGGAAGATGGGGGAAAGAAGAAATGGAAAGCATGGAACCAGGACCGACAGCAATGGCCATGGCATTTTCCGGCTGAACACGGACAAGCATCTCGCTCCAAAACCAATTTTCAGGAATTCAAGCTTCAGCAGCGACCGATTTCTTGCGCTGGAATAAACTGCGGGTCCGGGACTTGCTGCGCTGTTTCTTTTCTGGCGTGCCGCCTTGCCGGCTGCGGCCACGACCGCGACCACGCGATTGAGTATTAGATTCGTCATCGGACATATATTTGTCCTTATAAATCCTATTGAACGGTCCCATATTAGCATCCACGGCGTCGACTTGCTTCAACTAGGACGGATTGCCACTTACCAGCTGTTTCCAACCATGTTCATACCCTTCGCTGCTGCCCGTCGGTAGAATTTGGCCGCTTTCTTCAGATCTTTCTTGCAGCCGACACCTTCGGCATAGCAGAAACCTGCCTCGGCGAGGGCATCGGCATCGCCCCACTGCCCGGCAATCTCAAAACACCGCAGGGCCAAAGATTTATCCTGCTCAATGCCCCAGCCGTTGAGGTGGCTGACGCCGAGCTCGTAGATACTCAGCGCGAACTGGGCTCGATAAGCTTTTTGGAGCTCTCTAGCCCGGGCCGGGATGGACGTGTTGGAGTCGTCCACGAGTTCCACGCCGACCGAGTCCACGGCCTTCCGCAGCCACTGAACGCCCTCCCGCTGATTCGGGCGCATGCCCCAGCCGTGTCGACACGCCAAAGCATAGAGCAGCATGGCCGTGGGATGGCTTTGCTTGGCCGCAATCCGGAGGTGGTAGGTCGATTCTTTCAAAGATCCTTTCTCATGGCATTCGATTCCCTTTGTCACGTGTTCATCCGCCGTGATAACACCAGATGACGACGTCGGCCTTGCTGTCTGCGGCCGAAGAGTCGATGCCGAGTCGGCCGATGAGTTGGTTTCGTTCTTGTCATCCGCGGGGGGCGCTTCCGAGGTCGGCTGCTCTTCAGGTGCAGGGACAGAGGGCGTAGGGTCTGAAGGCACAGGCTCCGCGGGTGCCGGCTCCGAGGGTGTGGTCTTGGGAGACGGCGGAATATGGTCGGATGAGGAGGCCGCGTCGGAAGTCAACAGCCGGCGCTCGGAGGGCGCTTGTTCGTACACGGAAGGGGTTTGCTGCGATGCAATCGAGCCCTGGCGTGAAGGCGGCGGCGATGGAGTTCGTGCCGGCAAGGGCGGCTCCGCATTTTTCATCTGCTCTGGGCTTTCGAACAATGGCTCCTGCCATTCAAAATGAGGAGTCTGCAGACCGGAGAACACTACCGAGTCACGCGACACGTTTCGACCACGAGGAAGGGAGTATTTGGCGTAGATGTATGAAGAGACGGCGGACGACGGATCCTCCCCAAGATAGTTAGCTAGATCGGAGTGAGATGGGACCATGATGGGAGTGGGCTTGTGTCCACGACTCATGGCACCAGGCGGAGCGCCAGACGCTGGCTCCGAGGAGATGGTGGGAGCGGGTGCAGAAACGCTGGTGCTCGACCGACTAAGCGGGCGCGAGAAGTTGTACGACGGACGCGGCAGGTGATTCCCGTTGTTTGAGGTCTCCGAGCTCAGAGATGGCGAGCGAGGATGGGAACGGGCCATGGGAGACATGGGCGAATGGGGCATAGACACGGCACTGCAAGACGATAGCTTGCGTGGCTTTGAAAACATCGAACCCCCGTTAGAGCTGCTATAATCATCGTCGGAACTCTCTTGTTGCGGGACTCGAGAGCTGCTGGATGGCCGCGAGAGAGGCGATGCGGGCGGGGCCAGGCTCCGCGGGACGTTCAGTCGAGAGGCGGAATCGCTCGACGAAGTTCGGGGCGGTCCGGTCAAAGAAACCCCCGGGGGAGCAGCCGCATAGAATCGACGGGGCGGTTCCGGGGCAGCTCGTGCGGGCAATTCTTCTTCGGGCGACTCCGAACATGGCGCTTCAGGGATCACCGGCTCACTCCTGGGGTTCGCGTTGTAATAACTGGCATGTCCGTCGTCGCTGGCGAGATGCGACACGGAGCTGAGGCGCGGGTGTTCAGATTGCGGACGAAATTTCGGTTCTTCCACCTCGGGATTGGCTTTTTGCGTCGGCTGTCTGGACAGGCCTCGTCCTCCCTGCGAGGAATCTCCAGAGGAGGGTGCACGGAAATAACCCGGTCGAGGCTGCGATAAGGAACGAGCAACTGTCGACGGAGGAAGTCTACTCATGCGCCGCTCTCTACGGGCAGACTCCTCCAGCTGCCGGGCCAAAAGCCGACCCTGGGCGGCGAAAGCATCTAACGGGGAGAGCGCCGGCGGAATTTCACCGTCATAGTGTTCGATGCGCGGCGAGTGCGCTCCGCTGCGGAGGGTGTCATTAGAGGGAGAGCGAGTTTCGAATTGCGGTCGAGGGGGGTCCATAGTATATCGCTCAATGTGCTTTTTTTGAATCGAAAGAACTTTTTTGCTTGGTGGATAACGACGTATAAAACGATCACACGGGGGGAGAAAGACCGATCAATTCATCTATCCGAAAATAGCGGTACTCTGGGGAGCGATGGCGACTTTTGGTATCGGGAGTAAGACAATGATTGGGGCGAAATGGAGGGCTGAGCGTTGGGGTTATGAAGTCAGCCTAACGGCGAGAGAACAGGCTATCAGAAAGCGCGAGGTCATACGGAAGCGGTGATTCTGATGAGGATGAAATGGAGATGACGGGCGGAGAGAAAGAAAAAAAATTTTAAGATAATAAGATCAAAAGTGAACGAACAGCTCCCGGCAGCGAACCAGGCTTAGAGGGCCAAAACGGAACAAATTAGATAAAGGAGCGACTCAGTAGTTTGTACTGGAGAGAGGTGAAGGGGGAGGAAGTGGATCGATCGATAGGAGAGCAGCCGAGACGAAAGGAAGAAGGGCGAGAGCCAATCTAGCAGGTCAACGGGATCACAGGCCAAGAAGAGGGACGATGGACGAGCATCGTGGACAATGGAGGAGGAAGAGAAGAGAGAAAGGGAGGCAGACGGAGGAGGGGAGAGAGCGCGAGAGGGGCGAAAGCGAGACGATGAATGAGAATGAATGAATGACAGGAGCGTTCGGGTTGGCTCGTTAGGGAGTCCGCAGTGGTACCTGGTACCCGGCCACAGCAGCGCGCCGGTAGGGAGAGCGAGGTACCAGTGACGGGCCTGCGCCCTGACGATCACCGCACCAACGAGGGGCCTGCATTGACAGTCGCTCTGGGCGTCTCCACGCCGTACGGTACCGTTCGTACGCCGGCCCACGCCTGCAGCCCGCGGCAAGGGCCAGGGGGGCTGACAGTACCGTACGGTCAGGGGATCCGTGGTTTTATTGATTGGGAGGGTTCGTTTATTGAAGCCATCTGGATACATGTCTCTCTCAGTTTCTCACTCTCTCAGATACTAGTCAATGGCTTACTCCAAGTCTTCCGACCGGGCCAAACAGAGGGGGCCATCCCAAACGAAGGCCTGCGAAAAAATCCCCAAGGCCTCTTGGCGATGACGGTTAGTGCGGTTCATCCTGAGTCTGCCGGTGGAGTCCGTAGCCACTCTATTTATATTCGACGCAGTCCACAGGTCGCTGCAATTGTTCGTGCCAAATTTCCCGACCCCGTAAACCCATGGATGAGAGGGCCTGCCACGGCCTAGGTCTGTCCCCCGACAACCTCAGAGTTTTCTCGTCTTTGGGGTTTCCGATCGGGATCACCTGGAATCTGGCGACCGATGAATCTAAATTATGACTGACGATCAAATAAATCACCGGCAAGGAGGCAGGCATTGCCGAATCGGGATCTGGGGATCGCATGATCGCCCAAACCCTCGGAAAGGGGGAATGGGAAATTGGAACTGGTCGACCTTCCGGAGTCGCCTCTACTCCGTATGCTTGTGCTGTATGGGTGGAATCAATTCATGATTCAGGACGGTTCTCCTCGTCTCCTCGTCATCGTCTCCGGCCCGCCTGCTGCTTTGGTCGGCTCGTCCGAACGTCCAGTCGACCGTTGGGGTTCTGGACTCTGTGGCCGCCCGGTGATTGGCGCCGCTCGGTGGGCTGCCTTTGCTGGGCATTTCGATGGTTGCTTCTGTTAATTATTCCCCCATATTAACTCATGGAATCTTCAATCTCGATTTATTACGGAGGGGCACCCCTAGTCTTCCTCGAGAGTCCCTGGTTCCTGCAGTGTCATGCACTCCGTAGAATTCCCATGCACCTGCGCACTTACATCAGTCCCTTGGCATGATTGTGTGATATCAATGTCCATTGATGACATCGCCATCGTCCCGCCCGCAGTGAAGATCGGATCCCCAGAATATTAATAGAAATCCGATGACGACGGACGGCCTGACGACGGCAAAGATTCAAGTGCCGGTGCCAGCTGTCAAGCACCTCGCCCTTTTCTGGCCCGGCATGTGGGATAGATCTGACATATCGGAAGAATCCTTGTTTCCTGCCTTTCTATACAATGTCAGATCAACTCAACTGGGTTTGTCCATAGCCTGACGGAAAACCGCTACTTCTCTTGCGTCTACGCGTTACAGGCTCAATCCTTTACGGCGTCCTCGGTACTTATTTATGTCCCGTTCGGGCGGTTCTGAAGCCGCACGTGCCTCCTGCTGTTATACCCAGCGGTCGGCAATCGACAGGCAGGTATTTGACATGCGCAGAGATGTTCTAATTCATTTCGGACTAGATAAATGTCCAAAGGTCTCCAATTCGCTTTCGGGGTGGGTAGAGCAGGCTGTCCAACTCCGTATAGCCATCCGTTGCGTCTCTCTGCCAATTCAACCGCGTCGGAAATCTCTTCAGCCCGTCAAACTTTCCCCCACAACTAGTCTGACTATTGATACACACTAGAGGTGCTAGACAGGAGTAGCATGGACTGTCTAGCTCAACAAGACCTAGACTGTTGACTCTAGGCAAGAATAAGCATGAAGGCTCGGGGAAATCAACGTTATACTGCGTAGTTAGCGAGCCATCGATATGGTCGTTGGGGTTTTCTGCTGTTTTTTTGTCTTTGTGTTTCTCTTTGTGATGCTAGTTGGAACCTTAAACCGCCCAACTCTTAACCCACGCCTTAAATAGCAGCGCCGCTCGTGTTCCTCGTAATGCCCCATTGACAACCTGAAAAATGACAAACAAAGGGGCATATTGGGGCATTATCCAGTTCTGGTGTTATGGTTCTTAATCAGCCTTCTTCAGTCACGATCGTTTCACATGTCCAGACACGCTAGAGATGTAAATTATACCTCCTTTTCTTAATGGGTTCGTCGCAAAGGGTGTGGGGTTGAGCATTCATGTCCTGTGGAGCCAGTTACCAACTATAGCAAAGTGTGTTGTGTATCAGGTCCTTCGTAGCAGGTGGCCGTTAACAATTCAAAAGTGAGAGTCTAAAATCCATCTCCGGAGTTGTAGCTCAGTCTGGTAGAGCGGCAGATTGCAACGAGCAATCATCTGTAGGTCCCTGGTTCGAACCCTGGCAGCTCCTTTCTTTTTGCTTTTTTCACTTTTCATGTTTATTACATTACATTAATAATATGAATGAAGCTCTTTCTCAGCCTTACTACACCCATAAATCCACATCATACATCTATCTATAAACAAAGAAACAGACACGATCGTGTTAGGTCGGTCTAGGTGGTAAGGAGTGCTGTTCTTTGAAACCCCGTTCTCGTATCATTCGAACCAAAATAGTGTTTATTTATTTTAATCCCACCGATCGATCTCTTTACACGAACTCTGATTGTCCTGCGATTCTGGTAGCCGACCATTATAGCGTAGTACCCGGGGAGAACGAATGTGACCCACCGTTCTTCCTGCTTTTCAAAACCCCCCCCCCCAAAAAAATATATACCCATTATTATAATTATCCGAGGATGGGGAAATTCACCTTCAGCACGTTGATGGGTGTCGATCCCTCGCTCGACCAACGTCACCACTTCGAGACCTCCTGGCTTCTGCCTCCCCTTGCGTTCGCTTTTCTCCGCGGTCTCGTCGCGCTCTACATCTTCGTCACCAATTTCTTCATCTGGGGCTGGAACGGCACCCACGGCGATCGCGATGCCATCGGCCAGAGCTTCAGCTTCTTCACCTGGCTGACCTACTGGGGCCTGGGCTTCTACTCCCTGGTCGCCTGCGTCCATACGGCCTGCTATGCCCTCACCGGCCGTTCGGTCCTGTTCAACGCCTGGCCACGAGGCCTACGCGCCCTCCATAGCTTGTTCTACACCACCGTCACCACCTACCCTTTCCTGGTGACCATCGTCTTCTGGGCGATCCTGTACTCCGGGCCATGGTACAGCGCGACCTTCAACGGCTGGTCGAATGTACGTGTTTCGTTGACTCTCGTGTATCACGCGACGCTGCGGGTAGTGTAGCGTAGTACAGAGAATCCAGTGTTGTGTTCACGGGGTGTCTTTCGAAGAAAAATTGCTGATGATTGCTGACTGACTAACCTCTCGCCGAACCCCCTCGGTTTAGATCTCCCAACACGGCCTGAACTCGCTCTTCGCCCTCCTGGAAATCATCCTGCCGACCACAAACCCCCACCCGCTGCTCACTTTCCCCTTCCTGCTGCTCCTGCTGCTCCTGTACGTCTCGCTGGCCTACCTGACGTACCACACGCAGGGCTTCTACCTGTATTCGTTCCTGAACCCCGGCGCGCACGGCGAGAAGAGCGGCCTCGTCGCCGGCTACTGCTTCGGCATCTTGGCTGCCATCCTGGTGATTTTCGCCCTGTCGTGGGGCGCGATCTGGCTGCGGAGGAGGCTCACGCGCGCGTCGGTGAAGCGCTCTCGGTATGACCGCGAGCGCGGGATGGAGATGGAGGAGGTGGGCGTGTAGGTTTCATATCGACTCGCTGATCTGTTGATCCGGTGGTCCGTGATTCAGTGGTCTGTGATCCCATGGTCCGTGCTGGATAATGGTTCATGGACGCGTCTACCTGCTATGCGCGGGCCCGTCCGGTGGTAGTAATGAATGTACGGGGTATGGTGAACGCAGAGACTGTTCATTCTGTGGATGGTCATGTTATGTATTAATTACAATGATTATGAATGGAGATGAGTGATACGTTATCCAAAAAACAGAACTATGGAGCGGCGGGCTCAAGAAGAGGTGTACCGGTTCTTCGTCATACTCGTTCCCAGCTCGTCTCGCTGCTGCTTCCGCTGGCACTCTCTGCTGGTGTGGTTTGTCCACTGCGGATGCCGAGCATCCACCCAACTAAGCCGGCCGGAACCCACTCGCCGATGATGCTGTAGGTGCGCGCACCTCGTCCGACATAAAAGACGGGCGTCTTGGACTTTCTCCGTCCGAAAATATCCTTGGAAGGTGGCTCCAACGCGTCCATCACCGCATAGTGGAGGCACCTGGCCGGAGAGCCGCGTATCATGCCGGGTCCGGCCGACGCAACCGGCCGCTGCTCAATGCTGGAAAGATACTGGGAACCATAGAGTGATCGCTGTTGCGTGCTCCACGAAAGGACCTCTGTTCCGGTGATGTGGCTCTGAGGGCTGCGGTACTGCGGTCCGAGGTCGACATTTCCAAGTTTCAATTCCACCACATCGATGTTGCTATGCTGCAGGAGGCACAGCTCTCGTCGAAGTGATGTTGCAAAGCCTGCCATAGCCCGGGTAACGGTGACCTCGGGGCCTGTGAATGGAGCCGATAACGAAGATGATATCGAGGGGTAGACCAGAACGATGGTACTATTTGTGTTGCGGAGGGTAAGAAGGGGCAAAAGGAGCTGTGTAGTCAAGATAGGCGACAACAGCCGCGCGTTGATGCTATCGGCCCATGCGGATGGAGGGATCGTGGCGACGGGGCCAGTCACGTAGTTCGGAGAGGGAACGAGGACGACGCCGCTGAGTTGACAGGTGTGCGGCGGCACGCCTGCCATCGGCGACTGCGGCTGGGTTATCAAAGAACGAATGTCATACAACGACGGGTGGAGCTCTGAAGGCGATGAAGGCGACTGTACAGAACGATCAGCAAATTTAACAGCCTCAAAGAGTTGGGTGTCATCTACCATTGTGAGATCAAGCGAGAGGGGTCTAATGTCCTCGGTATTTTGCGACCGGATGATATGCTCCTCTTCTGCCGACGAGACCGTAACGTACACAATGTATCCTCGGCGCTCCAGATCTACTGAAATCGCCTTGGTCATCGGCTCAAGTGGCGATCCAACGACAACTACCATCGCGATTAGCGAGATGATGACAGGTGCAACGGCCACATCATCTGTCACCCACCTATTATTTCCTTCCGGGCACCATTTCCAGCCCTCCTAGCCTTCCTCCGTTTACCACTGAACTTCTTGCTGCCCAGGTATAGGACAGAACTGGTTCCTATAAAGGCGAGAAGAGCTGCACTCCATGCTCGGTGTCGAAGGGCCCAATCATAGGCACGGTCGCTCAAAGACTGGGGAGCACGAGGACGAGGCGGTGGTATCGGTTGGACGGAGGAAGGGAGCCATGATTGACTCGACAACGTATCTTTAATTGTTTTGGCGGCAATGTCGACTTGTCGGTCGATCGAGTCTGCAACCTGGAGGGAATATCTTCTTACGTCATGGGGTATCGACGCGAGCTAGAAATGCAACCACCGATGAGTCTCACGAAGCATCGTGGACGAGAAGTAGATATACTTACATAGTCAAAGAAAAACTGGTCGTCGCTGGTCATTTTGACGGGTGCCTTTTGTATTCAAAAAAATTCCAAGGGCGAGTGAAGAAAAGAAAAAGAGATGCGCCGATAAGTTTGCGATTCATTATCGGCCGGGTCACATGAGCGGGTCGCCGTCGCCCCATCGCTTTGCCTGCAGAACCATCGAACATGCTGGATCTACGAGCTCCTTCACCCATGCGACTTCCTCTCAGTTGCCCGTAAACATCGGCGTTGTTACTTTTGACTTTTGTCAAGCCCGGTCCGAAGCAATTTATCAGTCTGTGTGGCCGGGTCATTATTACTCTTAACCGGAATCAACAGCCCGAGAATATATATCTCCACCAACAGGGCCAATCCTTAATCCAGGATCAAGTTGTCAACAATACTGCGGAATCGCCACTTCACGTGATACGCCGTCGGAAATCTCCTTTCGATTACCAATCCTATCTTACTACGCCCTTCGATTTATTGCTACTCAGTGTCATGACGCGGCCATAGCTGCCTGGTAACCTGGGAGTCTACGTGGAAAATTCTCGAGTTGATGTTTGGAAGCTTACACCGAAGCTGGTTATCTTCAGCAAACCAAGCTCTTTGCTTCTCAGAAATACCAAGGACTGGCCGCTTGTGTACCTGGGCCATGCACTTCCAATATACCAATTTTTGTCTATCCGTTCTAGTCTCTAATCACCGATTCACATAGCCTTTTGGATCGTCAAAATGCATGAATTGGATCCTTTGGTTATTGAATATCAGCATGACAAGCACCGTCCTAGAGAGTCGGAGGCTCTACTGGTGCTTCGAAAAGTCGCCTCGCTGGTTAAACCTATCATGCGCCGGAGAGGCTGGAAAGTGGGCACACTCTCCGAATTCTACCCGCAACAGCGGAACCTCCTTGGTCTCAATATCAATGGAGGCCAAAAGATATGTCTCCGGCTGCGTTACCCGTCCGACCAGCGGCAATTCCTTCCCATCGAACATGTTGTGGACACAATGTTACATGAGTATGACACAAGTTTTCAGATTATGTGACTTCCGGATGCTGATGCGTACAGGCTTTGCCATATTGTTCATGGTCCTCATAACCAGCAGTTCCATGCTCTTTGGAACCAACTACGTGATGAGCACGAAGAGCTTGCCATGAAGGGATACACCGGAGAAGGTTTTCTGTCACAAGGCAAACGGCTTGGTGGTCGTCGGATGCCGGTGGAAGAAGCCCGTCGGCAAGCAAGAGCAGCAGCAGAGCAAAGACGCGCGCTCTCAGCTGGGTCCGGGCAGCGACTGGGTGGTGCACCAGTACTGCGTGGGACCGACATGCGGAGAGTGATAGCGGACGCCGCACAGCGACGTATAGATGTAACCAAGGGCTGTGCATCGGGAGCTGATAACAGCGCTGATCTCGCAGAAGAAGCATCCAGGAATGGTTTTCGGACAAAAGCCGAGGAAGATGATGCAAACGAGCAGGCTATCATGGAGGCTTTCATTGACCTAATCGAACAGGAAGAACGCGAAAGATATGGTCCTTCCTATATACCCCCAAGTCAAAATAATCCGGCTGGGCCTCGATCAAATCTATCTCCCCCGCCCGTGCCCCATGACACCAGACCTCCTGCGCCGGTGCAGCCACAAGAGCCCGTTGATCTCACATCAGATGATAGTTTGTACGAACAACCATGGGCATGTCCAATCTGCACTCTGGAGAACCCGGCCACCTTCCTTTGCTGCGACGCTTGTGCCGCAGAGAGACCTCGGCCCTCGAACACTCGGTCTGTGTCAGGACCGCCGGCGATGAACTCAGCAGCTTCAAATGACCGAAACAAGAGAAAACGACCCGCGAACCACACAGCTGGTCATAATGCATTTAAAAACCGAAGTAGCGCCGTTGAGACTCTCGCTGCATTGGATCGAAGCACCCCCAAGCGGCCTCTGGGATGGGTATGCGATTTCTGTAGCACCTTTATGGAGACGGAATGGTGGACATGCTCCAATTGTGGGACAATGAAGCCATCATCGTAATCCTCTTGGGTTGATTCTACATGCGACTATGATTGACGATTTTGATGACGCATGATGGCGCTTTCTCACAATTTTTCATGGGATACCTGTATTTCTAGGACTTAAAGATAATTTTTCCTTACTCATTTTATTCAATAGCACTCCACTCTGAATCAAGAATCCACCATGATCCATAACTTCCGATGTACTTCTACTACTCCATAGTCCATACTCCGTACAGCGTAGACCAAGACGACAGCATGACTAATGCATGACTAACCACCGGCCCGCCTATTCTGCCGGCCGTAAATCCAACCAACAATTTTCTCCCACTTTTTTCTTCCTTCCGCATCTTCAATCCTCACTCGACTGAACTTGCTCTCAACGCCAGTCCTAATTCCCGGACTGATTCTCAACCTGAATCCTAAATTGACTAACAATTAGGTATGCTTTGCTTTCCCCTTTCTTTATCTTCCCAGTGCCTTCGTCGCAACAACCTCTCCCACCTGTGCTTGAGAGTACAAAAAACAAAAAAGAGGAAAAGACCAATCCACACCTCAACGATCAAAAAAGAGAACATCCAATATGATGAGAACATTTCCAAGAACCGGTATTTTAGGAAGAGCCGGAAGAGGTATGGCGGGATTTTCACCTCAGGTGGTCCTCGTCGTCGGTGCTTATAATGGTTCTGCTGAGTGGTTGTTTTTTTTTGGTCTTTGAGATGTGGATTGGTTCTCTTGGACTGTTGTTCTCTTCCTGGTGGGAAGGTTGTCGTTGGTCACACATTATGGTTATGGCTTTGCTCATGGCATGATGCTGATTTGACGCGTTTAGGTTCCGATTTCGATATTCACTACCGTATGCTGGATCTTTGAGGGATTAAATGAACGTTAGAAGCGATTCGGTTGCTGTGGATTGACATTGTAGATTTCTATAGTTGTCTCGAAAATATACATGGATTTTGAAACCTCCCAACTCCGGATATAGAACTTTTTCAGTAGCAGACAGCCAAGTCAATTCGTAACGCCCGTGATGCATGTACACAAAAAACCGAAAGGCCCCAAGGCATAATCAAACAAATCCTGCCGCTCAAGACACGCTGACGAATTGCCGCTTCTTACCCGTGGCTGCTGTCTGGGACGGCTCTTCCCAGACCTCATCGTCGACGTATTTCTTGTTGCTCTGTTCGCGCACCTGGTGACCCACGAACTGAAGAGCAGACAGGTTGAATCCCATCTCGTCCTTCTGGCGCGCCAGGACCCGACGCAATGTCTTCCGAATGCTGTCCAGCATCGGTCTCATCGTCTTGCTGGCAACGACCTGACGGTGGTGCGTCTTGAGCATGAAAAAGAGGACTCGGCAGGTGAGAGGAACGTTCCATTCACGACTGGCCCAGATGTTGAGGAAGGTGAACAGGGCGGGGAGTTTGGCGAAGGGCAAAACGAGCAAGGCGTCCTGCAGCGCGGCGGCCGGGATCTTCTGCACCGTGTTGAGGACATGCTGCTCGGCCGAAATGTTGCCCAGCGCCATGTACAGGGGGTTGCGGATGGGAGGTGCTGCGTTCGGTTGCGCCGCCTTGACGGCGCGCCATTCACGCACGATCTCCAGATCCTCAATGCCCAAATCTAAAGCCTCCATGATCTTTTCACCGGCCATGAGAGTGACGGTGGTTTGCTTTCCTGCCTCACCGGCCTCGGCCTTCTCGCCATCCTCGTTGTCTTCCTGGTCGAGAGATTCCATGAGAGTGTTGTCATGCATCTCTTCCAGCTCCTTCTCGCGCTCTTCCTCGAGGAAGAGCGGCTCATCGGTCTGCTGCCAGGTGCGGATGCTCTTGTCGTGACTGGCTGTCACAAGGAACTCACCATCGTGGCTGATAGTCAAAGCCCAGATCTCGCCGTGATGGCCTGCCAGCTTCTGGATTTGCTCAAACTTGTCACCATCCCAGTACTTCACCATACGGTCTTTGCTTGCACTGAAGAAATTGTGACCGTTTCCTTCCTTATTCGTGGGGACAAAAGCGACAGACATGATACTGTCTTCGTGCGCCAAGAACGCCTTGTGGCAGTCACCGAAATCCAAACCCCAGAGACGAACGGTCTTGTCAGCCGAGCAAGTGACAATCATTTTGCTGTCATAGGAGACATCCATGCTAAGGACCGGGAGTTTGTGGCCATAGAGGTTAAGGAAGAGTTTCAAAGAGTCCACAAAGAACACTTTGACGGTGTTGTCGAGGAGAGCAACGGCCAGCAGCCGAGCGTCAGGAGAGAATCGAATATTGAGAATGTCATCCGAGACCTTGAGGGTTCTCGCGTGGACCAACTTGAGCCGGGGCGTAGTTCTCTTGGTTCCAGGGATGTCTTCCTGAACGACCTGGAAGTTCCAGAACTTGGCGGTCTTGTCGGCGCTACCACTGACGAGAGACTTTCCATCGGGATGCACCTGAATAGACCATACTGGTCCATCATGGGCTTTGATGGTGTCTAGCAGAGTGGAGGATGCAATGTCGAAGACTTCGAGTTGTCCGTCCTTATTACCGACCACGACGATCTTATCACCAGGAAGGAAAGCAGAGCACAGAGCATAGCCGCAATCCAAAGTACGGAGGCAGCTCTGCGTCCGGATGTTCCAGACCTTAAGACTACCGTTGGAGGCGGAAGCCAGCATGCGATCATCCGAGCTCAGAGCGATCGACCGAATGTCGGTGCGATGACCAGGGATGTCGACGGCCAGGTTTCGGTTATAATCTGATTCCTCCTCGTCCTTGTTCTTCTTGTTCGCCGTAACGACGCTGTAAGCCTCTAGCTGGTTGTTCGTTGTCGCGGCCATGAGTTGGATGCTACCACTGGACTTCGTTCTAATCCAGTCGAACGAACGGACCTTCCCGCCAGTGCGAACGATGACATGAGGGACGAAAACTTCGGTGACCGGTGCAGAGGAGACATCCTCAACTTTGTCATCAGTAGCTTCCTTAGCAGTTCCGTCCGCATTGCGCTGGGCGTCCTTCTCCTTTCTTCTCCTACGCTTTCTCGCCAAGCTCTTTTGAACCTCTGTCTCCGAACGAATGCGCCAGATTTCGACAGCCTTCTCCGACCCATGAAGAGCCACATAGTCTGTTCGCGGGTGGAAGCTGATCCCAATTGTGCGGTCCTTTCCGTTTCGGTAGAACGTTCCCCGGTTTGTAAGAATCTTGCGGTCTTCCGAACCGACTTTCTCCTTCGAGATCTCGATCATAGCAGCCTCATCGATCGACCAAACTTTCAGTTCTCCATCATTACCGGCCGTGATACAGCCGCTCTGGTCGGGAGACAAGCCCAGACTCCAACACTCTCCGTTGGATTGAGCGACATGTGTTTCGATACAGTGCTGCGATGCCAAATCCCAGACCTTGATCAACGAGTCTTTGCCGGTGGTGAGGAGAAATCCTGCGTGGTCACTTAGACCGGCCGCGTTGAGTAATTCCGGGGACGGAACGAGGAAATGAAGGGCAGTGACTTGGTCGGTATGTCCGCGTAGCTTGAAGAGGCCGACTTCTGCGATCAGATCCCACAAAATGATATCGGTATCTTTCGAACCGCTGGCAAGGCGAACACCGGCGCTGTCGAAGGCCAATTGGGTAATAGCGGTTTTGTGGCCATTGAACGAGATCATCACACTGGCGGTTCGCGAATCCCAGAGACGAATGCTGCCGTCTTCGTACCTAAACACCGATAGTGTTAGCGTCGGACTATCCAAATCCTCGAATCCAGGGAGGCCTACCCGACGGCAAAAATATCCTCATCCGTTTTGCTCTGCGTGATCACGGTGACCTGTGCTTTGCATGACGTATCGCGCCATCTCCCCAACAACTCGCCCTTTTTGATATCCCAGCAAAGCACCTCCTCACTGGCACCGACTATACCCCGACCGGAGCCGGTGCGACGTGCAGCACCAGCCAATTCATCGTCTCGGGCCCAGATCGCATTCGACGATGCAGAAGCGACGAGCCCGAAAGTTTTCGAGTGCTCGAATTTCCTGCAGACAAAAAAAGGCAGAATTTAGCAAAGCACAACAGCGAGCAGGAAAGTTGTCGAGGAATACTCACAAGTATGATTTCACCATCGTTGGCGTTTGATGCTTGACACCTTCAACCAACAAGGAAAAAAAAAAAAAAAGAACCGCGACTGCTATCGATAATCCGAAAATGGATGTACGGGAAGCGACAGGAGCCCAAGCGGCCGGAGACTCACCGCCTTCCTTTCCCCAACATGCGGCAACAATAACGTAAGGCAGCAAGGCAGTAAGAGCGTCGTTGACACTCTCCCCCATAGCCTTCTCCAAGCAACAGCTAGCTACATCCAGAACCCAAACTGCAAGAAACCCCTTTCCGGAGGAACGCTTCAATCGTTGATCATATTCGGATTCTTCACGCATCGTTGATGCGACAGCAAACATGCTTCTTCTAGACTACCACAACGTTCTCATCCACACTCTCCTGACGGAGCGGTTCTCTGGGTACAGCTTCCCCCTCTCCCCGCCTCCGCTGTATGCACGTTCGGCTTCAGACTGATACTTTGCTACGTTCGATAGAGCCCCCCCGGCATCAATCGATCAGGTCGTCTCCGATTTCGACGGAGTTACGTTCCATTTGTCGACACCCGAGACCAAGACCCAGATCCTCATCTCCATCAACGTGAAATGCTTCCGAGAACTGGTTCAGTACGGGGCGCAGCAGGTGTTGGAGAGGGAATACGGATCCTACATTGTTGCTCCGGAGCCCGGCTATGACTTCTCGGTGCTAATTGACTTGGAAAACCTCCCCGCCGAACAAGAGGCGAAAGACGAACTCGTCATGCGGCTCGCCCTGATGAAGCGCAATGCTATGGCTGCCCCGTTCGAGAGGGCCTTCGATGAGTTCGCCAAGCTCTCCGAAGAAGCTTCGAAATACACCTCTGAGTCGGCACCCCAGGGAATCAAGGAAGGAGGTGAAGTGATGGCCATCCACTACCGGGAGGAGGAGGCCTTCTACATCAAGGCCAACAATGACCGAGTCACCGTCATCTTCAGCACCGTGTTCCGGGAAGAGACCGACCGAATTTTCGGCAAGGTCTTCCTGCAAGAGTTTGTCGATGCTAGACGGCGCGTCCTGACTCTGCAAAATGCTCCTCAAGTCCTTTTCAGAAACGATCCTCCCCTTGAACTCGAGGGTGTCCCTGGCCTCCAGGACCCCGGTGACGGCACGATGAGCTATGTCACTTTCGGTAGGCCATGATCTTGGACAATCTCCGGTAGCTTGTGGATGCTAATGATGCGCAGTTCTTTTCCCTCGTCACTTGACGCCTCAACGGCGGTATGAAAACATCTCCCATATCCAGATCTTCCGGGACTACTTCCATTACCACATCAAGGCCTCCAAGGTATGTTGAATTGTCACGACCGAATGCATGCGATCGGCTGCTTACCTGACATCTAGGCATACATCCACACTCGAATGCGTAAGAGGACGGCAGACTTCCTCCAGGGTGAGTGTATCCAAGGATTCGCTTTCGATGCTGTACGGTTGCTAACATGTCGCAGTACTCAACCGAGCCCGGCCGGAGAACGAGGAGCGGGAGAGGAAAACCGCCAGTGGTCGTACTTTCAGGGTGCAGGGATAGAGGGACCAAGAATGTACATGGAGTCAGTTTAGTGCGGGCGAGAAAGACGAATTGTGTCGTTCCCAAGCCAACTGTGTTGTTCTACTTTAGGATGTATAGAATTTATTCCATTTTATTCCATTTTATTTTTAGTGTCGAGTCCTGTCAACCGGGATCCAGGAGTCAAGGGTCAGTAACCAGCAACTCCTGTCAGTCCCACTGGAAATAGACTCGAGGAATCGGTGGCTTTGTTTCAGCCGAAAATCGACGTGTCTCGTCTGCGGGCCTTCGCCGTGGTCGATGCATCACAAGCTCTGCCGCCTCACCGCTGCTGCCTTGTTTTTTTTGCTTTCTTCCTCGCCCTGCTTACTCGGTGGTCAGCATCATTCCATCATCATGCTTTAGCCGCGGTATCTTTCATCGCCGTCCTAGGGGTTGATGCGACCCCTATCACGGAGTACTCCGTAGTATTCTCACAATCGTTACAATCCTTACGAATACAATCTGGATTTCTCATGCAGTTCATCACCCCCCCCTCCTGGTCTGTTCGTCCCGTCTGCAAGTCTTCCGAACTAGTCGTCGTGCATGGCGCAATTAAACCTGCAACGTGGTTCTCCTCAGAAGGCTTCATGTCCGATCCAGCGATGCTACCATCAGACCGGCCCCTCGGGTCTCCCGTACATATACGGGGCTGGCAAAAGCAACGAGATGCGAGACCCAACCGGCGGGTGTCCCCGTTCCACTAACCTTCTTTTTGTTCTTTGGGACGGGGGCCTCGCTTGCGAAGCCTGGCATTGCCTATGATCGACGGCTGACCGTCTGCTTCCCGGCATTCATCCTGCCAGACTGTCGCCTTTTATTGGATCGAGGTTCCCAAGGGACTGGGTCATGTCACACAACCACTGCAAGGAGAACGCTCGATTAGTTTGGGGACCGTGGCTGCCCTCCGTATCACTATCTATCGTAAGATGACGATCATGAGCTGGACAACCGGACCACCAGGCACATCAGATCAGCCCCTCCCCAACAGTTCCAAGACCTTCCAATTGCCCTGACTCGACGCCAAAGAATCCTGGTGGAGTCTCCCCGAGCTCTCGTCATTGGACGGAAGTGTGAGGATAAACGAAGACGAATGGTCGCGGTTCCAACTCCACTACCTAGAGATGCGGCCTGTGCCTAGTGTCGACGATTCTGCATGGTTGCTTTTGTGATTCCGACAGACGGGATTTAGGCTGCCTTGGCGTCTCCAAGGGAAGGGTAAAGACAGATTTTTTTCGTTCTCGGAAACCAAAGTACGGAAAAAGAAAGCAAGAGAAAAAAAGAAAAAAAAGAAAAAAAAAGAAACAGCGCAGGATATTCTCTCCTGCAAGGACACAATGAATCCCTGGGTGGCACCCCGGTAAATGATTGTCACCGATGGACCTACGGCCCTCCTTGGTACCCAATCATCGTGGATTCCACGCGCAGGTCTTCCTTGACTAAACAGGAAGACGCTATCAGCACATCTTCTGTCCTCGGGCTCATGCAGATCTGATTTGCTCCCGCCTCTGGTGGTGAAAATCCCGGGGGTTGAGAATTGGCCGTGGTGTGCTGCCAAGTCCAGGTCACACTAGGATATAATAAATTAGGGGGATCGATGCCTCGTCCAGTCCAGAACGACCGATGATTGTTTGTTTTCGCTCTTGTCCGTCTCCCTACAGGGCTACACCCGACCAGAGCCCTTTCGCATCTCGTATGGTCGCTTTTGATATCCTCTGAAATCTCAGCAGTTATGCAAATGACACATCACAACCCAGGCTCATAGTCTCTTCTCTTGCGACCCAGGAATCCCCATGTATTACGCCGTGCCACGACATGTCTCCACAACCGTTTTAAAGAGGCAACTTTAGCTCGACTATTCTTTCTATCGTGAGATCGATTTTCTAGTATGTGAGTCGCGAATTTTCATAGGCGTGAGCCTCATTGTGAATTGCCACAAACATCGTTACACCCAGAATGGATCAACCCCGCCCGTCAATTGGGAGCATCCTCCACCTGAACAATGCGCGTTAAGCTAGACCGGGGCTATGATAGTGTCTGCGCTAGATATGAAGCTCGACTGGATATAGTAATTCGTTTGAAATCCTCTGCGGAATGTGTTTTGCACTTTTCCTGTTCAGATGCACGATGGCCGCCTCGGGCCTTTTTTTTTTTTTTTTTTTTTTTTTTTTCCCTCTTATCATACGATGTCTTCTGTCGTGAAGGGCTATTATGCTGACGACCTGGAACCTGCAGAGAAAGAGAAGAAAAGACGGGGTTATAAAAACCCAGACAGCCAGGCAGTTTCTGCCGATACACCATGTGTGACAGAATCAACCGTCTCCCATTGGAGATAATCATTCATATCCTTTCTTATCTACCATACTCGTCCCTGCTCGCCTTCGGGGAAACATGTCGCTTCAATTATCAATCCCACATCATGAGCCTCCGGTACCTGCGACTGGGTGTGTTTGAAAAAAGAGCCCATTCCACTATAGCCTGCCTCCAAGCGGGTTGGGCTGCACCAGGCCAAATCGCTAGTTGCTTCGATGACGATGATGAAAACGACGACGACGACGACAATTCAAGTGAATATACTGTCGCTGTTATCCATCCGAAGTTTAAACGTATCCGGCGGGACGGACCTAGCAGAGACGATCCGGGGCCAGGCGACTCGAGCAGGCGAATCGCAGTACCCCGGGGTAAGACCCGGTCACGAACGCAGGAGGAGATGATCCGAGCTCAAAACAAGATCTTTTCCCTGATTGTGAATCGATACGGCCCCACCTTGATCAAACTGGAGTTTATGGCGTATGGTCTTGACGCCCGCGGAGCGAGGACTCTAGGGGGTAAGTGCCGGCATTCATTACGGCACCTGGCACTACGCTTCGAGCATCGGCATATTCGAGACGGGGAGATGAACCCAAGCCTCTGGCTTCAACCGGCACCCGCCAGTTCTGTTTGGAATCTACTCATTGGGGAAGGACGCTACAAAGATTTCGGGATCTCCAGCCTAGAGAGTTTGATCTTGGAGAGGTCTGGCGTTAGCCCCTCCCAACTGACCATGCTTGTGAAGAACAATCCTAGACTGAGGGTCATGAAGCTGAGAACTTGTCGTGGTGCACACCCCGAATTTCTAAATTGGCTCGGGGGCATCCACACAGACCCAGTTGAGCCCGGGTCCGGGTCGCACGAGGACTTGGCTCCGGGGAGGAAGTTGACTGTCTTTTGGCTGGAGAACTGTCATGAACTGCTCACGCAGCCCATAGACGAAAGTGTTGAGCTACCAGCGGAGACCTGCGATCTTGGTCTTGAATGGGTCAGAGGCTTGACGAATCTCAGGGTAAGACCTAGCCCTACCATTCTCAATCACGCCTGTGCCTAGGACCAAAAGCTAATATACTTAATACGACAGTCTCTGTCTGTGAAGGAGTGTACAACTATACCCCCAAAATATGCGGAAAGGGCCAACCAGGCTATTTGGAAAATTCCCGAGCTCATCCTGCCGTTTCCCATCAGCTTCCAAGAGCCTCCTGCTGAGGATGATCCCAAGTTATTATAAGGCAAACGGTTTCCCGGTGCATTCTGTTCTTTTGATTTGTTTCTTTGAGCGACCATTGAGCGCGGTGTTTGTGCTGTATTGAAATGAATTATAGCATTGGACAGCGACCTTCCTACGATAGATACCATGCATAACGAGTGAGAAATTGATGATTAATGCATACCCAGTGAATCAAGAACAAGTAATTCCATCGAAGATTTTAGAACTGACTGGCGGAGAAGCCGAGGCGGAAAGATGCTGCTCAGACATCGATTTCCTTCCCATGAATGGTGGCTCCCCTTCTTCACTGGTTTGCACTGAACCATCTTTTCTCCTTCACTGCTCTCCGTTTCACTCACTTTGCATGATGCTCCCCTTAGACGAGTCAACTGCCCCCGAGGCTCGTGAATCCGATGGATGTCCTCTCCACCCCCTTCATCCTCACCATCCATCTTCTTCCCAGCTCACCCTAGATCACGGAAATCACTACCGCATTGTTCGCATTGTTTGAGGGATAGTCAATCGATAACCCTCACTGGTCGAAACCATGCGGAACCTTCACAGATCCGTCTCAGAGCTCTGGGACACGACCGTGAGGAAACTATTTCCTAGACACACCTCTCAGGCCAGTGATCGGGATCGGCGCACTTTCTCTTCCCTGCGCTCGTCCAACACCAGCGAGCACGATGATGGCTTTTACCAGTACTCCCAAACTCTGCCGCCGAGAAACCAGAGAATGCGTTCACACCTTCGCTCATCTGACAGCACCCAAGCGTCATACTGCTCTGCCGTGAGTGCTCATCTCTTCCAACTTCCAACTTCCACCTCTCACCTCCACCTCCACCTCCACCTTTCACTGTCCACGTTGCTTGTGCTGATCAAACTGCAGCTCATGGATCCTATCGAACGCCCTCATCTTCCTTACACTATCGGGTCTCCTGATTGGAATCAGTTCTCTGATCCCATAAGAAGCCTTGATGAATGTCCCACCGAGGACGCGTCCGACTGGCTCTATAGTGTCCTCTCGGTCGTTTCCAAGGTTTATACTGTGGCTAAAATCATCGTTATGATCCTCATGCAGTACGGCGTCGAGGTACGTGAGGCCAGTCACTTAGGGAGAAAGGGAGAGGGCTAATCAGGTTGAACTTACGCACTAGCTGGATGATATGCCCGACGGTCTTCTGTACCATGTTGCGCGCACCGAGGAGGTCATCAGTTCCGATTCCATTGCTGTTTTGGTCGACGCCGTGGAGGGGTTGTATTATGCCCTGTTTGCCAGACTGATCATGGAAATGGCCAACGTTGATCTATGCTCTTGCTTTCACCTGAACCTCCACGGCATGACTAGTAAGGCTTCCTACACCCTGCCAGAGCCCGCCCAGCTGTTTAAGATCCTCCTGTTCTGCAAGCGCATGCTCGAAAATCCCGCCGTTTGCCGGAATAACAACAACGAACTCGTGAGGCAGCACCAGAATGTCTACATTCGCAGCGCCATAAGCAGATTAGCAAGCACCGGCATTTTTCTGGATGATTTGCTCGGATACCGTCGTGATATCATGAATGTGGCCTGCGACAGTTCGTCCGCGTTCCGCCAGAAATGGACTAATGGTCTTTTGCTTTACCACATGCCCCCGGAAGAGGTCCTCATGGTGCTATCGGAAAAATACTTGGCCTTGACTCCCAGGGTGACATTCCAGGATGAATTGCCTACCTCCGAGCTTCCTTTCGTCGATTCCGAACTCGCCGACCCGGAGACCTGGGAGCGGGAGCTGATCAAGGACCACCGGCAAGCAACCCTGGCCAAATTGGAAGGCAAAAGTGTTGGAGACGTTCGGCGCGAGGACGACCGACGCCGTCTGAGCGACTACGTCAGGGAATACAAATGTATCTGTCGTTCCAGCTGCAGTTGCGCCTGGGATTGCACCTTGGATCCGGAACGCCACTGTCCCTGTGCTGAGCGACAGATGCGAGTCCTCATCGTGCGGCGCCGCAAAGGTATTAGTGCGCGCGAGTTCAGCGCTCGCTGCAGTAGTCTGGCCAAGGCGGTTTTTCAGGGAATATCGTGCCTTCGTCGCGACGTCGAGGATCAGGAGATTGCGAGAGAATTTGATCGCGCGCTCCTCCTTTTCGCCGAGGAGATCCAGAAGCAACGAGTCACAGCTGCCAAGGCGAACGGCGTGAAATGCCTGAGTGACGACTGAGCGGTGGTTAGTATGGACTGGAATGGAACGATGAAGATGATGGGTTACGATTTACGAGGTTACGACCGGGGGCTATGGGAATGAGATGGTGACATTCTTATGGGATGACGCGTGACGGCGGTATGTAATAGTCTCTACATTCTACACGAAGTAGAGTAACTCCAGCAGATGGAAATGGAAATGGTGAAACCTGGCGTTGACGGCCGATGCTGTGCACTCCGTAGATGCAGATGCATAGATTACTCAGCGCCTCATGCCGGGATCGAAGGAGGACGGGATTTCCTTTCTTCTCGTCAATCGAACCGCATTCTCAGTTCGCAAACAAATGGAATTCTAGACCATTCTGCACCCGAGGCTAGGAATCCTCCGTCGGGCCATGCAGAAGACCTTCTCGGAGTCCATCGCAACCGCCTCAAATCCCCAACCCCAAATCCCAAATCCCCATCCCAACGGTTTACGAGCCTCGCCCATTCCTCTTAGTCAAACCGGGCGATGACTGGCTGGCCTTCCCTGGTGATCCGCCTCAACTTATCTCAGCATGAAAAGTAGCGAGATCAGATCGCCCCGATCCACGCCGCGGAGAGAGATCCCCCCTGGAGGTCACCTCAGGGAAACCGAGAGACTGCGACGCTTCAAAGATTCGCGGGCATGGTGCCCAAGACGTTTGCATCTGCCTCGACTGCCGCCTTTACCTCCCCGTCCGTATCATCGTCAGCCGCCAAAATAGCCTCGCCGTTACGATCCGGCAACCCACTGTGGACCGCACGCTCTGGGGGACCCAAGACGCTGGTCCGGGGGTACCGCGCTGTCTGGCCCTCCTACGGCATCACCACGCCGGTTCCCGATCGGCATCCACAGTTCCCCATCGCTCGCTGCCCCTTTTACTTCCAAACGGGCTACGCCCTCTGCGCCAAACGTCCCTCGCGCCCCTTTCCCCCTCCCTTCCTCTCGCCGCCGTCCTCCTCCTTTTCCGACCCCTTGACCACCCACTACCTGAGTCAGGATAAGAGATTATCCGTCCGGGGAGAACTCGTCCGAGGCCTGAACAACGGCGACGACGCCGTCCTAGTTGCGGAGAATTTCCTGGCCGTCAACGATGGCGTAGGGGCGTGGGGTACGAAGCCACGAGGTCATGCTGCGTAAGTTCTTGTTTTTCGTCCATCGTTCCATATGCTTGGAATAAGGCCAAACGCTGACCTGTTTCTCGCGGTACTCTGTAGTCTCTGGTCCCGGCTGCTCCTACACTTTTGGGCCTTGGAAGTTGAGCGAGAAGCGAAGGACTCTCTCCACTTACATCCCGTCGATTACCTGCAACGCGCCTATGAAGAAACTCTACGGGCCACAACCTCACCGAGCGAATGGTTGGGTACGACCACGTCGGTCACGGCTCTCCTACACTGCCAGCGCGACGACGCAGGGAACACGAAACCGTTACTCTACGTGACCAACCTAGGCGACTGTAAGGTGCTGGTGATCCGTCCCAGTGAGGAGAAGGTTCTGTTTCGAACCAAGGAGCAGTGGCACTGGTTTGACTGTCCGATGCAGCTGGGCACCAACAGCGTGGACACGCCCCAAGCGAACGCCGTGCTGGACTTGATCGATTTGGAAGAAAACGACGTCGTACTGGCGGTCTCGGATGGCGTCCTCGACAATCTCTGGGAGCACGAGGTCCTGACCATCACGCTGGAGAGTATGCGAAAGTGGGAACAGGGCCGATATGACAACACGGATTTGGACTGGGCACCACCTGCGGTTCTGGCAGAGGAACGGATGGTGTTTGTGGCACGAGAGTTGCTCAAATCTGCTCTGGCGATCGCTCAAGACCCGTTTGCGGAGAGTCCATACATGGAAAAAGCAATCGACGAGGGTTTGGCTGTCGAAGGAGGTAAGTCGTCGCATATTGAGATGAATGCTAGCGTCGTGATGAACTAACGAGTAAACAGGGAAAATGGATGACATTAGTGTAGTGGTCGGATGTTGCAGGAAACGACTGCAGTGATTATTTTTCTATTTACCAAGAATATCCAAGCCATGCGGCCAACAACCCTGATGTACTCGGGCGCGACTCTCTTCGATCGACTCCCGTCTGGTCCCCGCGTGGCATAAACGATCAAGAGCACATCCCAGATGGCCTTATTTCACTCCTCATCAGGACGAAATCCCGACTGCAAATATTACTTGAGACGGAATGCTTTGAATCTATGCGTGTGCTGCATATCTGAATTGCATACTGGGTGACTTTCCTTTTTTTGTTTAGAAAATACGCCTTGCTGGCGGGCTGGTATATCCTATTTAATACTCCTTCGGTACATAGTTAGACATTTCAGCGAGCTAGTTCCAATACACAGCGATTTAATTGATGCGCATCTCTGTTATCGTGGATGTAGATAACGCACAGACCACAGCTAAAGCAGCGCAACTCCGCCCGGCAAAACCAGAAAAAAAAAGTTTCCCATCCACGCCTCCTCCATCTCCGTCGACTCCAACTCGCTAATTCCGCACTCCCTCTCGGTCAATCAATTGCCAAAATGAGGGCCAAACGTTCGAAGAAGTACCGTAAGCTCATGCACCAGTATGAGCTTACTTTCGGTTTCCGTGAACCGTACCAAGTCCTCGGTACGAAGTGCTTGCCCACCATGTCTTCGTGCGACGAGCTGCTAACACGATCGATAAATCCAGTGGACTCTAATCTACTCCGTGCCGTGCACTCTTTCAAGATGGACCTGATTCCGGCGCTGGAGCGCACCCTCCAAGGGAAAGTCAAGCCCTGTAAGTCTTCCGACTCGATCTTTTTCTTTCCCCGAGCACCACGAATCGATTCGGATTCTAACCTTCCTTGTCTTCTCTTCCTCTACAGTGTTGACAAAATGCTCCCTGGAAACTCTCATGGCCGGCCAACCTCTCCACCCCCGGACCAACAATCCCATGCGTCCGGAATGTCTCCCCCCTCCTACGACATTGCCGTTGCGTCACTGCTCGCATAACGAAGACTCGACGCCCATCGACGAAACTACCTGTCTGCTATCGCTGCTGTCGCCGAGCCCGGACGCCAAAAAGAAGAACAAAGAACATTATATCCTCGCCACGGCGGACCCGCCGGGTGCCGAGAAAGCCGCGGCCGCGGCCGCCAGTGCGAATGCCAATAAGGGCGCCGGGCAGAAGAGAAAGCGAGGCGTGGACGAGGGCGAGTTGGCGCTGCGACGGGCCCAGTCGCTGCGGAGACAGGCACGAAGTGTCCCCGGTGTGCCGATCGTGTATGTCAAGCGGTCGGTGATGATTCTGGAACCGATGAGTATGCCCTCGGAGGATATTCGGGAGGGCGTGGAGAAGGGGAAGTTCCGGGTCGGGTTGACCGATGAGGCGATCAATAAGAAGAAGCGAGAGAGTACCGGGGAAGCGAAGAAAAAGCCGGGATTCAAGAAGGCCAAGGGTCCCAATCCGTTGAGTGTGAAGAAGCCGAAGAAGAAGGCCACGGATACTGCTGGCTCGACGAAGCCAAAGCCGTCAAAGGAGGAGCAGCAATCTAAGCATGGCAGCGGAGACGAAGGCGCCGGGGGACCGGACGGCGACTCGGCTCCGAAGCCGAAGAGGAGGCGACGCCATCATAAAGGAGCGAATCGAGATGGTGATGCCGGTGGTCAGGAACCATCGCATGGGTCCGAGGCGGTTGCTTCGGTCGATGTGATGGAAGAATGAGCTCCGTCAATCGGGCGAGGGAAGAAAAAAAGCATTATTTGTTTCTCGTTACTTCGTAAGGCGTTGCGGCTGGGAGCAGAGGCACACCGTCTCTCCATGATCAAGTCATATACTGTACATTCTATATCCGGAATAAGATACTCCAACAATCAAACGACGTGAACCATTCTAGGAAGTACATTTTCCAACACTTTAAAATAGACTTGTCCAATATATTCATACAGCCACCGCGCATAGAATCAAATGAGAAGAGATCCCTCCGTAAACGCCTTGTAGTAATTCACATTCAATCCTCCAATGCAATCAACCAATATACATGCTGCAAACTACAACACTACACCCCAAGCAGACCTAGTCCACCTAGTTCTCGCCCCGCTCGGCAGCCTTCTCGTCTGCCCAGATCTTCTCGATGCGTTTCCGGTTCTCCCGCGCCTGGTCGCGATTCCGCTTTGCGCGCGCATACCGTTCTTGCGAGAGGCATTTGTTGACGTCGCGCTTGATGTCGTTGCAGTTGCCCAGGGCCTTGTGCAGGAATCCACGAGCGTGGCATTCGTCCAATGCGGTCATGATCTCTTCGCAATCTGATTAGGTTGGGTTGTTAGCTTGTGTTGGTATGGAATATGGCGTGGCGGGGGACGGAAGAAGTGTAGATTCTGCGCTTGACGTACTAGCATTTTGCGGGGTGTGCAGATGAGAATGCATTTTTCCTGACTTTTCGGGTGCGTTTTCTTTTCGATTTCGGGAAGTGCTTGGGGTCGTTGGGTTTGATGAAGCTGGAGGTACCTGAACTAATCGCCAGTCCATCCATCTTCGGCCAGTCGAAATCCCCGAAAACCCAATCAAGGCGGTGAGCAGATCTCCGGTTCTGCCGGGCGGAAAGACCGAGCACAAGAGGGGCTGCGAAAGAAAAAAAAAAAAAAAAAAAAGAAAAAAAGATCGAGATTGCGCTCTCGGAGAGACAGTCCATTCTATCCAACGAAGCCTCGGTGAGTGAGGCATTGGTTTGACTTCATTCCTCTTTTTAAATTTGGGGGAGTCAACTTAGATTTCTACTTTTTCTGGTTTTTTTTTTCTCTCAATTTCACTCGATACTTGTGTTTTATCTATCGAGTTCAAAAGTTTACGATTTGATTCAATTCGGGGTTAATTTATTTTCTATTGCCTCTTTTGCTGTTTCCAAAAAGTCCTCACGATGTCTATGATTACTGCTACCTCTTGGGTGCGACGAGGTGTCGCTGCCCAATTCCCGACGAAATATGAAATTGACGAAGAGGAAATGGGTCGCATTTCCGAGCTTGCGAGGATGCAGCTCGAAGATGCCAAGGGTGACTTGAAGGCTGCCCAGGAAGGACACGACGATGAAGACGACGAGATGGATGAGGATCACAAGGAGTCTGGCACAAACGCTACGGAGAAAGACGCCGACAAAAAGGGTGCCAAGGAGTGAGTGTGATTGAATCTCGTCGGGTCGGAAGACATAACTAACTCGATCTGTTTGCTCTTAGTGACGATGACCTGAAAGAATACGATCTGGACCATTACGATAGCGACGAGGTTGACGAGGATGGCGAGAAGATCACCATGTTCGGTAACGTCAAATCGCTGGCCTACCACCAGCCGAACGAGGAGGATCCGTACCTGGTGATGCCCGAGAACGAGGACGACGACGAGGAGAAGGAGGAGTTGCAGGTTCTCCCCACGGATAACTTGCTTCTGGCTGGTAAGGTGGAGGATGAAGTCGCGCATCTTGAGGTCTACGTCTACGAGGACCACGATGCGAATCTCTACGTGCATCACGACATCATGCTGCCGGCCATTCCCCTTGCCGTCGAATGGCTGGACATGCCTGTCGGCAAGGCTGCCGAGGGCCGCACGACCGGAAACTTCGTGGCGGTCGGCACCATGGAGCCCGACATTGAGATTTGGGATCTCGACGTCGTCGACTGCATGTACCCCAGCGCTATTCTGGGTCAGGGCGGCGCAGAAGAGGGCCCCAAGAAGTCCAAGAAGAAGAAGACCAAGGTCAACGAGGAATTCCACGTTGACTCGGTGCTGGCCCTGGCCGCAAACCGGCAGCACCGCAACCTGCTGGCCTCTGCGTCGGCGGACCGCACCGTGAAGCTTTGGGACTTGAACACCACCAAGTGCGCCAAGTCCTACTCCCACCACACCGACAAGGTGTGCTCGTTGGACTGGCACCCCACGGAATCGACCGTCCTGCTGACCGGCAGCTACGATCGCACCGTGGTTGCGGCCGACATGAGAGCCCCCGATGCCAAGGCCCGCTGGGGCGTGGACACGGACGTGGAGAACGTGCGTTGGGATATGCACGACCCTAACTACTTCTACGTGACGACGGACGGCGGTATGGTCTATCGCTACGACGTGCGGAACATCCCGGCGACACCGCAGGAGTCCAAGCCCGTCTGGTCCCTGCAGGCGCACGACTCGTCGGTGTCTGCCTTCGACATCAACGCCGCCATTCCCGGATTCCTGGTCACCGGCTCCATCGACAAGCAGGTCAAGATCTGGAACGTCGAGAACGAGAAACCTAGCATGGTCGTGTCGCGCAAGCTGGAAGTCGGCAAGGTCTTCTCCACGACCTTCGCCCCCGACGCCGACACGAGCTTCCGATTGGCGGTGGCTGGCAGCAAGGGTACGGTCCAGGTCTGGGATACGTCGACCAACGCCGCCGTGCGCCGGGCGTTTGTGTCGCGGATGCCTGCGCTGGAAGGAGAGGTGCAGGAGCGTACCGTGGGACTGCAGAAGGACCAGAATGAGTCGGACGACGAGGAGGGTGGCGTGGAGGCTGGGGCCGACGTGGCCGGGGGACCGGATGGCTGGGAGTCGATGGATGAGGACTGAACGATGCGCGCAGCGAGAACGGAATTGTCGCGGAGTGAATTCGGAGACTCGATTCGGATTGCTATGCATGTACGGAAGATCTGATCGATCTGTTCTAACTATATAGTGCTTGTGTAGTCCTGCCAGCCTCTGAATGGCATGCAATGAAAACGTTGATACCCTCCAGTCACCTGATCCGAATACCTCGAATAGGAATAGATAGAGATCGACATCACACTTTCCGGAAGCAGAGTTCATGTGTCGAGCCAGGATGACCCAATCACAGGACGAGCCGGACAGGGCCTCAACAACGCCGTTGGAGCGGATGGACGAGTCGACAGCCGGATGGATCCCACCACCAAATCACATTGCATAGTGGGTGAAGTCTTCCCGAGCCCACGAACAGTGGGCTACGGAATACTCCGGAGGAGAGACAAAAGTCTCTGAAAGATCGATCGACTTTTCAGCCCTGAGCAAAGTTAATTGCTCGGGACGAAACTGAACCTTCTCCGTAAGAGTCAGGGACAAAGACAGAACCAGCAAATGAAAGGAGTCGACGGCTGAAACTGCAGGTGCCGAGGAATATCCGGCGGACTAGTGATCCCAAGTCAGGAACGTCTCCGGGTGCAGAGCCAAAAAAAGAGGAAAAGAAATAAGAATAAAAATCGATGCATCCGACGGCGGTGATCTCATCATCTCATATTCGAGTCGAGTGACTGTCCGAAAGGGTGCCTCAGGCCGAGAGCGCGGGATTCGAGGACCCCGTGACCCACTCGGTGGAGCCACAAATGCTTTGTCCATCGACTCTTTTGCCCTCCCCACCTTCGCATAGTCTTCGATGCATCGATCGATGTCGGGTCGCTGACCAAATCCAAAACCAACAGGACATGAAAAAAAAAGAAACGAAATGTTCACTGCATCTGGATCCTGCAGGACTGCACAGCTGGACCCGAGACCAGACCGCGATCCTTTCCAAATCACCCACCGATGTCATAGGGTCCGTCCATGCAGCCGTGATCACACATCCTGAGACAAATCGCACGGCATAGCTGTTTCATCCCCACCCGGTCAAGGCTTTCTACAGGCTGCCGCCTTGCCGTTCCTGGCGCCAACTTCGACGCCGTCGCTTGACCAGACCTCCGCGAGGATGATTAGGCTATCGTGATTGCTCTGTTGTCCGGTCGGCGGTTCGACAATTATTAACTACGCGCCAGGCGGAGACCTGGGGGAACCAATTGCCACTCGACTCTGTCCACGGTGAATTTTTTTTTGCAGGAGCTTGGGAACCTTTGGGCTCCGGCGGGATTTCTCCTTGGTCTTCCCACCCCCCTGGAGGGGAGGCCATGAATGTATGAATGTAGGCTCGGCGCAAAAGATGCCGTCGTCATTCGGCATGTGCGAGGGCGAGAGGAGGGGCGGAGAGTTCATCCTACGAGGACAAGAAGGATGCCTTTTGTCCCCGTCCCCCAGTGTTACATCAAATGGTCGCCCAGAAGTAACCGCGTGGTACATCCATCTGTCGAGCGTCGGGGCTTGGCCGTCGGGGGACCGGGATTCATCCATTCATTTACTATCGTGCAGCTGGATCGTAGGGACTAGGAAATAATTTCATGGCTGGAAAGTCACCGGAGGGCGTCGATCACCAACGCGTGGATTAATTAATTATTAAATGGACAAATGAATAAATGATAAATCCCCCTCCGGCTGAGGCAAGACCCTGACGGTGCATCCCATGGATGCATGAATTCTATACGTCTTCTAGTCGTCGTTCTCGACCCGTCGCTACCACGGTCGGCAGGCAGAGTTGGAGAGCGAAAAGGCGAAAGGACAAAAAACCTTGACGGTCAAACGGCGGGACGAACAGGCCGGATCCAAGGGTGGACAAAAGCCCAGGTTGTGTGGTTTTGGGCCAGACCGAAGTTTGACTGACCCTTTCCCCTCTTCCCATTTCTTCCTTCGCTTCCCGTCTTTTTCTTCCTTCTTTCTCTTCCCTCCCTCCACTGCATTCCTCCCTGGGGGATTCTTGCGCAGACAGTTTGATTCACTTCTGCTTTGTTGTTCGCCTTTCCATTCTCTTCTCCTGGATTTGACCATCCTGGATTCTTTCCTTTCCCCCATTTGATTCTTATACTTTACCTATCCCCCGTGGCGAGTCCTGGTTGTCCGCCCCGGTACTTCAGCTACTGCAGCAACTCCCCCTTGAGTCAAGTAACCCACCCGTCGGAGGCGAGACTCTCCCCATCCTTCTCATTTTTCTGCTGTGCATGAAATCAATAAGATAAGGGAACGCCGGAGTCCCCCGTCTCGACATTCATTGTCATTTATTTCGATCCTTGAGAGCGCATCCGACTGGTTATCTGATATCCGGCATTCCGGTCATCGATCTTCCATACCTTCCTTATACTCCACATCCGCGATCGTCGACCACGCATTCTTTATCAACTCCGCAAAAGGCGACGAGAGTTCTTGCGATCGAGGAAACCGGTCGTCTCTAAAAATAGGAAAAAAAAAAAAAAAAAAAGACAAGAAGTACGGTTGCAACATTGTGCGACTTCAAGAAACGTCAATCCCTGCACTACGCTACAAAGAATCTATATTTCTTTCGAGTCCGACCGTCGAGAACTTCTGAGTTGACTCCCGCCATACTTCCGTCATCATGTCGACCCTCACCCGCGCTTTCACCAAACGCAACAAGCGTCCTGAGGTCTCCGCACCCATGCCCTACCGTGAGGGCCAGGTCAAGTTCAACGCCGGTACTATCAAGCGAGGAAACATTTCGGCGCCCGTGGAGTTGTTGTCGACTACGAACATGCTAGCTTACAACGCACCCGATCTTCACTCGGCCACTTCGTCATCGACTTCATCGCTGCAGTCCCCCGATGACTCGGAGTTGTCGTTCTCCCACCAGAGTTTCGGATCGCAGATTACCACCCCGGATGATTCGCCCATCGATTCCAACCCTGTGCCGTCGTATTTCCCCAAGCGGTCGGCCACGGTGACCAGTCACCCCCGCTCGTCGACGTCGACATCCTCGTCCACGGAGGCCCCGTTGGTTCCCAAGCGGGCCCTCTCGCACACGAAGCGATCGCATCAGGAGCTGGCTCGCAAACGCTCCCTATCCCGGCTGTCCCCTCCTCCGTTGAACTCTAGCCGCAGCGGCCCCGCACTTCGAACGACGCAGGACTTTTTCCAGCCCGAGCCTCATCCATTTGGGAAGGAGCTGGAGCAAGTCAACGAAGTGGTGGAGGAGTTCGGCGGTGGACACCGAGTGTTGGACGAAGAGGAAATGCTCTTGCAAAACAAGGGTCTGAAGAAGTTCACTGTCAACGATTACCTGGTGGAGATCGAAGATCTGTATGGCAGCATCTTCGATGATCAACTTGGGCCTATTGGCTCTACCTCCTGGCTTTGAAGTCATTGATTCTTTTTATGCCACGAACACCATGGCGTTTTCCCCGAGCAGGCCACAAGAACTGGATCTTCTTTTATATCTCTTGGGCGCCATTCACGACCCACTAATATTCGCTCTTTGACGATGTCATCTAATCACTTGTCTTTCTATCTGTCTCTATCTCTCACCCCCTCTCTCTCTCGCTTTTTATTTCCTTTATCAGTCTTGCTCTATACCATTGGGAGGATCTTCGTTCCCCTATGTTGTGCTTTATTTGTGACTCCTTTGCTTTTTGACGTTGTGTTGGAATGGGATATGTCAGGGTACATTATGGAAGAGCACATAACGAGTTTCTCGGATCTGTTTTGCTTGTAAGTTCAATAGCGAGTCTAGAATTTCAGCCAGAATGTATGACCCATTCGACGACGGACCGTATTCGTGCCACCTTGGATTGTGCAACCTCCCAAGTATAGACTACAGACTACAACCTACAGACGACGCAGCACAGAGTCGTACAGACAAACCGTAGGGTTTCATCTCAAACGGGAAAGGCTGCGCGTTGGTCGCGCGCTGGTCACGGGTCTGGCAGCCTCAGGCTCCACATGCCCCACAATAAAATTTTCACGGCGAGTCTCCGCTTCTTCACTCTTTGCGCCCGAGTCTCTCTCCCTTCTTCTCTGGCCTCGTCTTTCTGAGTCTGGCTCCCCGGGCACTTTCAACTCCTTTTGTGGGTTAGACTGATAGATCGCACGAGAATTCAACATCCTTCTCTCCCCGTCTGTCTCCTAGCTGTAGCACCACAGCAGATCACTCGCCCTCGATTCGCCAACCCCGCGGTGTCGTGTGCTCTGCTGCTATTTGTGATTACGTTTCCTTCACAATTCCATAGGACAGTACTGTTGCGTTGAAGCATCAAATGACGGGACATTGGGTTCTGTCTCCGTCATCCCCAGCGTTACATCTCTCAATAGAATATCCGACCCTGTCATGGTCTCCCTCGCCACCTCCTCGCGCAGCCCAGCGGCTGCAGTCAGACCGACCAACCCCTCCAAAATGAGACCTGCCACCACGCCAGTGTCCATCCTGAAGAGATCTAAAACCGACAACACCACCCCCGGACTGAAACACCGAATGGAAGAAATGAATCTCTCGCTCTCCTCGTCGTCCGACAGTCCCTCGCCGGACACGACCCCGAGTCCCCGCAAGCGACCTCGAGTACAGTTTGACCTGCGGCGGATCACCTACGATGGCAGAGGACCTGGGGACTCGGAGAAGAGCGCGGCCGTGGTACGGGAAGAGGTGCGCCGCGCCATCCAGCGACACATCTCGGGCGGCGGTAGCGAGACGTATGATCGGGTCAAGGAGATTTTCACGGCGGATCCGCGCAAGCGGGACGAGGACGGCATGCTTGACTTCGATGTACCTACACACACGAGCCTAAAGAACCATCTCCTGGGACTGTTGTCCAACGTGGCGACCCTGGATCGCAGTTGCAACGGGCTCGTCACCGCCGTGCTGAACAGCCAGTGGCTCGGGCGCGATGAATCGTACGTCAAGCTGTATATTCGCTTCCTGGGCAATCTGGCTGCTGCCCAGGGAGTCTTCCTGGGAGCGGTGCTCATGATGCTCGTCAACTACATGGCCGAGCTCCCCGGCGGTGTCGGTAAACTGCCAGGCTATGCGCACGTCGAAGCGAAGGAGCTGTACACCCGGGTTCACATGGCTCTTCGGTATGTGATGGGATTGGTTCCATCTAGCAGCGGGGCCCTGTCGCCGATTTTGTCCCTCCAGTTCCCTGCCACCTCGAGCTCGGCTAAAGCCAATATCGCATATACCCGAAACCTCATCCGGGTCATCGGATATGCTCCTGAACTGCAGGCCGACATCCTGGCGCTCATTACCGACCGGCTTGTCAAGGTTGATGTTCAAATCCAGGTAGATCTGGAGGATATTGAAGAGGAAGAAGAGGAAGGCGTTCTGCAAGACGTCGCGCCTGAGGCTACCATGTACGCCGAGAACGAGGACGATGACGGCGACTTCGACGACAACGACTCGATCCTGAGTGACGACTCGATGGACGGCGAGACGCGACGCATCAAGACCATCAAGGATAACATCCTCAAGCTCGACGGCATGATTGACTCCCTCTTCGAGTACTACGAGCCCCCGTTCACAACGGGCACCTTGGACGACAAGGAAAACGCCCTTGACCTTTTGATCAGCCATTTCGAGACCATCATTCTCCCCACCTATAAATCCCGGCACACGCAATTCATTCTGTTCCATTTCTCTCAATCCTCTCCCTCCCTGGTGGATCGCTTTGCGGCAACATGCATCCAACTTATCTTCAACAAGATGCAGCCGGCCATCACGCGCCAATCCGCCGCCGCCTACCTGGCCAGTTTCGTGGCGCGCGGCGCGCACGTTTCGGGGGACGTCGTGCGAGATGTGTTTGATCTGCTGGGTACACATCTGAACGGTCTTCGCACCGACTACGAGGCCACCTGCCGCGGACCGGATCTTCGCCGCTACGGGCCGTTCTACTCGACGGCGCAGGCGCTGCTGTACATGTTCTGCTTCCGCTGGCGGGATCTGACGACGGCGGCGATGGAGGGCGACAGCGTCGAGCAGGTGGACGAAATGGATACCGACGAGATCACCTTCCCTCCGATGGTCAAGGAGGTGCTGCACCAGGCCGTCCATTCCAAGCTGAACCCGCTCAAGGTGTGCTCGCCGGCGATCGTGTCGGAGTTCGCCCGCATGTCGCAGCACCTGAACTTCATGTACGTGTACAGCATCCTCGAGACCAACAAGCGCGTGCGCATGTCGTCGCAGCGCAACCTCTCGACGCTGGCCGATCCCCGCTTCCACCAAATCGAGCGTGAGACGCGTGCCGGCGACGACCTCGGGTATCAACTCGACGCATACTTCCCGTTTGATCCGTACAAGCTCCCTCGCAGTGGCCGCTGGCTGGAAAACGACTACGTCGAATGGCGCGGCATCCCGGGGCTCGATGACCACGAAGACTCGGACAGCGAGGCGAACGATGGTGAATCGGAAGACGAGATGAGTGAGGATACTGGAACAGATGAGGAATAATTCCAATTCTGACTCCAAAAAAAACAAGGGACATTTTCTACTATTGTTTTCGGATCTTTTGGCAATGCTCAATACCCCCTTAACCATTTGATTGATTGATTCACGCATGACGCAACCATCAAAAAGTGACTGGCAATTTTCTCGAAGCGTGGCGTTTGGTTTTTTTCTCTCTAGGCAGCGATTTGATGTATACTATTGAACGATTTAGGGCTGAATGAATGATCTATCCATGTCAAACGATTCTCGTACAGTCTAGTTCTATCTGCTCCCTCAAGATCTCACCAACAAATCTCCCCTCAGCGCTGGGATCTCCACGCCCAACACATCCCTCTGCTCATCCACCACAAACACCACCTTATCCATCGCCTCCCCGCCATACCGCATCCAATCCACCACCTGCCACGACGCACAATACGCATCCAAACTCCCCTGCCCCGGCAGATCCGACACCGCCGCCCCGTCCAGCGGCACCACGTCCAGATTCACCCGCCACTCCTGTCGCACGAGACGCGTATTCGTGCCGTTCCGTCGCCCCGTGTCCGCCCCGGCCTGCGTCAATAACGCCACCACCTCCTCGGCGGGAACCGCCCGTTCCAGCTCCGACGGATACGCGCGGAACTCGGCGCCCAGGATCCCAAACCCCAGGGCCGTGTACGCCGTGCGGAAGATGCTCTGCAGCGCCGTGGTGATCGAGGTCCCGTTGCGCGTCAGCCGGGTGATATTCAGACCCCCTTTGGCGTCTTGCGTCAGCGTCAGCTGGATTCGATCGCTTTCGGCCTCGTCCTGGGCGGGATTATTCGCGTGGGTGCTTGGGTTGCTGTTGGGAGTAGTGTTGGTAGTGGTGGTGGTGAGAGTGGTGCTCCACTCCCCTGTATACTTGCGCGCCTGACCCCTCGCCTCCTCCTCGATAGCAGGCATGAACGTCCCCAGCACGGCCGGGTACAGGATATTCACCGAGTCGACGGGCCCCGCCGTCATGACGACCACGCCGACGCCGTACTGATCGATCACCCCGATCTGCGTGACGTAGCCGGCCGCGCCGCCCGATTTGCCGTAGATGTCGACGGTGTGCGGGTGCGCTGGCGTCAGGTGTGTCGTGCGCTGGATCTCCCACGGCTTGCCGATTAGGGTGCCGGGCGAGCTGGCCATCGAGGACGGTTTGAGCCATTTGCGTACGTCTGACGCATGGGGGAGGATGGTGTGGTTGAGGATGTGGGCGAGGAGGGTGCTGAGGTCGTTTGGGGAGGAGTATAGCCCGCCGCCTCTGTAGTCAAGAGCTTTGTTTAGTTTTTGATGTGTTGGCTGGTAAAGAGAACTAGGAGAGGACGGCTTACGGTGCGTTATCCCCATAGTCGGATCCCCACGATGACATGCCCTCTGGAATCACGGCGTTGTTGGAGTCGCCCGGGGACACGCCGGTGCTGGATAGATTCAGAGGGGAGATGACGGTCTCGTGTAGTAGTTGTGTGTAGTTCTTGCCGGTGGCTTGCTCCAGGCACAGCGAGAAGAGCAGAAACGAGAGCTGCGAGTAGACCGGCTTCGAGTGCACAGGCACCACTGGGTCCATGGTCTGCAGACCCTGGAGAATCTCTATCTATTCTGTTAGGCTGGAGGGAGTAGGCGGGAGGCGCAGATGTTCTGTGATATCCATATAGACGTACGTTGTCTCGAGCAGGAGTCATGTAGCCCCGTCACGCCGCATTTGGGATACTGCGATGCATTCAGATGAGGGAAACCCAGGCTCTCGTGGACCGGCTGAAGGAAGTAGAATTCGTAGACAACTAGATACACGATGAGCCAGTCCTTCATGTAGTCTTTCTTTTCACGTAAGGGCATAGAAAGAACATACAATTCGGCGGAATCCCCGCGCCATGCTCGACCAGCGCATCCAGCGAGATCTCCTCCCACTGGATGCGCGAGTTTTTCAGCTCCGGAAAGAAGTCCGTCACGCGCGACTGCACGTCCACGCCGGACTTGAGCAGCACGAGGGCCGAGAAGACCTTCGACACCGAGCCGATCAGGTACTGCGTGTCGCCGGTCACGGCGTCGGCGCCCTGCGTGTTGTTCCTCGCGCGGTGGTGGTATTCCCAGATCGGACGGCTGTCTGATCCTGTCCCGTACGGCGAGACCACGACCAGGGAGAAGGAGACGTTGTCTATATTCCAGCCGGCCTTGATGGTGCCGGCGAGGGCGGCGTCGAGAGACGCGGTGAGGTTCTTGCCTGCTGCTTGGACGGGCGTGGATTGAGCGAGATTGGAGGGTCGAGGGAGGAGGGGCCCGTCTGGGGGACAGCCTGGGTAAGAGGAGAGAGGCTGAAGAGAGGGAGTAGATGGGAACTGAGCAGAGACTAGCAGTATGGTGTAGAATGAGAACAAGAAAGGGGCGAGAGTGTTGAGGTGCATGGTGAAGATATATATCTGTATGAATTAGGGCTATCCCGGGTCATGCGCGAAGATTAAGACGCTACTCCAGCATAGTCTACAGACGAAGTAGAGCCAGAAAGAGTATTCCGTTTATATATTACAGCCTGCAGACCGATGAAATACAGCTTGCCACTCGAGATCATCAACTGTATCCACCATGACGCATAACAGCAAAGGCGAAGTTCAAACGAAGTCCGGATCGGGTAGGCTTCGTATTCGGGATCGACGACGCCCAGAAGCATTTACGAGCATCAGAGTTGATCGCGCTTGGCAAACCCTGCAGACAAAGAATAGAGTGCACTCGCCTGCTAGAACAATACACATGTCATTGGAACAATATTAGGACTATCGGGGTGCGATCCAAATGTTGATACACGTCCATATTTATAAACTCATCTAGTACTAGGTACTCTCCACCATGATCTCCGACTACCCGACAGATCTCCCCCCAATGAAATTGCTCCCTTCCGCATCAAATGGATATCAAGCGATACTACAGCGCCCTGGAAACCCGCCTGGGCAATTGGCTGCTCTTCGGCGGTCGTGCCCATCTGGCCTACTACGACGCCAACACCTGGTGGCCCTTCCCCATCCACCGCGCCCTCCTGGCCATGGAAGACCACATCTTCGACTCCCTCCAGCTCGACCGGCGAGCGCGCGTGCTCGACGCCGGCTGCGGAGACGGCCAAGTGGCCATCCACATGGCGGCCAAGGGGCTGCGCGTGCATGCGATCGACGTGTTGGCGCAGCAGGTTGACCGGGCGCAACGCAACGTCCGCCGCGCAATCCGCACGCCGTCGCAGACTCCCAGGCCCAAGGACGACGCGGTGGCGCTGGACATTGTCGTGCGCCGGGACGACTATCATCATCTGGTGACGGTGCGGCCGGCCTCGCTGGACGGCATCTATACCATCGAGACGCTGGTGCATGCGTCGGACCTGATCGCCGTGCTGAAGGAGCTGCGGCGCGTGCTGAAGCCGGGCGGCCGGGTGGCCTTCTACGAGTACGATCACTGGGCAGCGGCGGCGCAGGAGAAGGCGAAGAGCTCGGTCGAGGCGTCGCAGGCCGACGAGAAGGTGCGCGAATACGGCGCCATCGCGCCGGGGTCGGCCGCGCAGCCGGAAAGCCTGGCGCAGAGTCTCGTCCGCGCGGGATTCTGCGACGTGCAGGAGACGGATCTGTCGCGCAACGTGCGGCCGTTGCTGCGGGTGTTGATGGCGGTGCTGTTTATTCCGTGCATGTTGGTGTTGGCGTTGAGACTGGAGGCCTACTGCATCAACACGATCGCCGTCGTGGTGAACTATCGGCGCGGATGGAAGTACGTGGCGGTCACGGGGAGGAAGCCAAATGAGTCGGAGGAATCAAATGTAGCGACAGCCTGAAGTATAGTTAATACAATGATTGTCAAGAATTCAGTGGACTGTCCGAAAGTTCTCATTAGCGGTTCTCCTGCAGGGTTGATGCCAGACGAAGTGGTTGGGCAACGAAGCATAAAAGCAATAAAAGGCAGCCATCCGTCATTCAAGCCGTCGTTTATTCGGACATATGTTCATGATAAGATATGCTAATACACGCCAAAGAATAAGGAAATATGTACAGTCTCTCGGCCAGGGAGGCCTCGTCTGACCCGTCGCTCACGGGTTCTATAATATACAATGCAGCAGCGCCGCTCTACGCCAGAAATCAATCAACCACCGGGCTCGGCCAGGAGACCTAGGCGTTGAAGATGGCCTTCATGTCCGCACAGGCGTCGCGGTAAAGAATGTCGACTTTGTCTTGGTCGCGGAAGGGATTGGGCGACTTGTCCCAGGCATGCGGTGCCTTCTCGATCATCATGGCGCGCACGTGCTTGTTGATGGCCTGCAGCCGACGCACAAAGTGCTGTCCTTCCTTCAACAGCATGTCCCATTCGCAGATGTACAGGAATATATCGTGCGGCAAGGACTCGGCCAGCATTTCGTCTTCGGCTCGCACGGGGGAGGCAAAGGGCGACCGGCGTTCGGCGAGATCGGGAAGATAGGACTCGTCGAAGAGATCGGTGAAGAAGGCCGGCAGGGTCTTATTGGGCATGATGCTCATGGCCCGGCGATGGTCGCGGGATTCCTCAAAGTCCAGGATGGGATACCAGCAGAACAGACCGACGATGTTGATGTCGGTGGCGGAGGAATCGACGAGCTGGTCGGTCGATTCGGCTCGATCCAGCGCCGGGTTGACGACGGCCTGCGACATCAGACTGCGCAGCCGCAGGGGCACGGTGACGGCCAGGTTGCCACCCGCCGAAAAGCCGCTCAGCACGATGCGAGAGACGTCGACGGCCAACTCCGGGGCATGTGAGGCCAGATACTCCAGGGCTCGGACTCCGTCATCGACCGCGGCCGGGAACGGATGCTCGGGCGCGCGACGATATCCGACGCTAACGACAACGGCGCCTACTTCGTCCAACACGGACCGGCACCAGCGACCGTCATCGGTGGCACAACCCAGCGTGAAGCCCCCACCGTGGAAGTTGACCACGACGGGCCATCGGCGACCCTCCTTACGACCCTGGGAATAGCCCTCCGGACAGTAGAAATAAAGGTCGACGTGCGAATCGCCGACGGGGATGGTTCGGATGAAAGAACGACGCGGAGGCCGAGGGGGACCCAAGTCGTGGATGAACATGCCGAGGCGCATGCAGCAGCGCCAGAAGATGGCCTGGACCAACAGCCACCATCGGGGGGAGGGGGAGGCGACCATGGGTACGGCGGAAGACTGACGAGGGTTCAGTTTGTGAGGGATTTTTTTGGGTTTTGATGGAAGGGGTAGGAAGCAATGGAGATCAATTTAATGGAAGGGAGAATCTCGAGAGGAAAAGGAAGACGGAGAAAGGATGGCAAACAGAGGAGACGGAGAGCAGGTGATGGTTGAATGATCCCCAAGAAATTAGTCTGCCGAGAGAAAGAATGGAGACACCAAAGCCAAGCAAAAGACAAGCCGAACGATGGTCAGGGGAGAACCGGGCAGAGCGATATCGTCATGAAGAGCTAATGGAACATTCCCTGGACTTGACTGGACTTGGAAGGATTTCGGGTCTTGCAGGATGACATCACGGGATTCCGCCTGCTTTTCTCTCGTCTTCTTCCTTTTCTTCCGCCGCTTCTTCTTCCTTCTTCCTTTCGATGCTTATTCTCTCTTCCTGATCCTTTCTCTTCCTCTTCCTCCCTGGCATCGGTCTTTGACAATTGATTGCCGTTGTGATTCTATTCTAACCTCTCTTTATCTCTTCCCCTGCGTATTCTTATCCAAGAATCCCCCCCCCTCTATATATGACCCCGCTCGCTGCTCACCATCATGTCCATTAAACGGGCTCTCTCCAAGATCACCCCGACGGTAGGCCAGTCCGATGACTCGTCCGGCCATTCCAAGAGCCTGCCCAGCTCGCCGCGTCGCAGTATCCTCAGTGGTTTCCTGCGCGAGCGCGACTGGGTGTCCTCGTCCGACGACGGCTCCGATGACTCCTCCCAGGGCGTGATGAGTAAGAACCAACAGAAACGCCTGGCTCGTCAGCAACGGCGACAGGAGCGATCGCGCATGAGCGAAGACCGACGTTCCGGCGAATCCGAACGCCACAAGGAGGAGATCGCCGACGCCGCCCGAAACGAGACGCCCGAGATGAAGGCGCGCTACGGCGATTTGCCCCTCATGCAGTCCCGCTCCCGTTCCAACGAAGTCCGCACCCGCTTCGACGACATCTCCGCCGACCTGGTGGGGAAGCCGATCTTCTTCACGGCCCGCCTGCACATCGTGCGTCGCATGAGCGCCAAGCTGGTCTTTCTGGTCTTTCGCCAGCAGCTCAGCACCTTCCAAGGCGTCCTGCATGAGGAGCCCGGCGTGAAGTCCATTGCCATGGTCCAATGGGCCGAACACTTGCGACTGGGGAACATTGTGCAGGTGCGCGGAACCATCCAGGCGCCTCAGGTCCCCGTGCTCGGCTGCACCATTCATGACGTCGAGCTGGCCATTGACTCCCTCCACGTCGTCGTGCGTCGCGAGGAGCCGGTGCCGTTTAGCGTGTATGAGGCCGAAATCCGCACCCCCGAAGAAGACCGCATCGAGGGCCGCCGCAGTCGCATCCCCGACCGCACCCGCCTGACCAACCGTCTGCTGGACTTGCGCACTCCCACGTCGCAGTCGATCTTCCGCATCCAGTCCGCCATCAGCAACTTGTTCCGATTTGCGTTGGATGGCCAGGGGTTCATCGAGATCCACTCCCCCAAGCTACAGGGTGCCGCCACCGAGTCCGGCGCCAGCGTCTTCGGAGTCAACTACTTCCACCGCTCCGCCTTTCTGGCGCAGAGTCCGCAATTGGCGAAGCAGATGGCGATTGCCGCCGATTTTGGTCGGGTCTATGAGATCGGAGCCGTGTTCCGGGCGGAGAACTCCAACACCCACCGTCACTTGACCGAGTACACGGGCTTGGATATCGAAATGGCGATCGAGGAACACTATCACGAGATGCTGGACGTGTTGGACGCTGTGATCAAGAGCATTCTGGAGGGCGTCTACGGCCGCCACCGCCGCGAAGTGGAGATTGTGAAGCAGCAATTCCCGTCGGACGATGTGGTTTGGCTGGAGAAGACGCCCGTCCTGCGCTTCGCCGACGGCATCAAGATGCTGAACGACTCCGGCTGGCGCGACGAGGACGGCAATCCTCTCCCGGACGATGAGGACCTGTCCACTCGCGATGAGATTCGTCTGGGCGAGCTCGTCAAGGCGAAGTACGGAACCGACTACTACGTCCTCGACAAATTCCCTGCGAGTGCCCGTCCGTTCTACACGATGCCCGACCCTGACGACAGCCGCTATACGAACTCGTTCGACGTCTTCGTCCGCGGTCAGGAGATCGTGTCCGGAGGCCAGCGAATCCACGACCCTCACATGCTGGAGGAGAATATGCGCCGGTCGGGCATCGACCCGGAGACCATGGAAGAGTACATGGAAGGCTTCCGCTGGGGCGCTCCCCCTCATGCCGGAGCCGGTGTAGGCCTGGAACGTTTGCTGATGCTTCTGCTGAAGCTGGGCAACATCCGCCTGGCGTCGCTCTTCTATCGGGACCCGAAGAGCTTCCCTGCGAAACCCGATGCCGTGCAGCTGCGCCACCCGGAATCCTCCACCATCGAACCCCCCTGGGTTCGCGACAAGGTCGCAAACCTGGCGCCGGACGATGCGTCTCTCCAGCCGCTCGAGCATCTCATCGCAAACTATGGCGACGCTACCTCCACCTCGTTTGGTGATGAACGGTTCAAGCTCTGGCGCGATCGGGGCACCGGTGCCGCAGTTTCCTACGTGCCTAGCAGCAACAACTACGTCATCATCCCGGGCAATCCTCTCTGCGACTCCAGCCAGTATTCGCGCATCATCAGCCAGTTCTTGCAATGGCTGCGCCGTGAGACCAAGTACAAGCCAATTTGGCTTCTGTGCTCTCCTCAGGTGGAAGGCATCCTGGGAGAAAAGCTCGGTTGGCGCAGCTTGTCCTGCATTGCCGAGGAGCGTGTGGACCCGTCCCGTAACCAGGCGGCATCGGACGGTGAGATTGCACGGAAGATCCGCCACGCCGAGAACACCGGCGTGAAGCTGGTGACCTTGAACCAGGGCGAGATGGTATCAGACGAGATTCGTGAGAAGATCGACAAGCGCCTGCGGGACTGGCTGGACAACCGCAAGGGGACCCAGGTGCATCTGTCCGAGATCCGTCCCTGGTACGACCACCAGCACCGATGGTACTTCTATGCTGTCGACACGTCGGGCGAGATCTGTGCCTTTGTCACCCTGGCCATGCTGGCTCCCACATCGGGCATGCAGGTCAAGTACAGCTTCGATTTCCCCGGCTCCCCGAACGGCGTCATCGAACACATCGTGACCCATGCCATCCAGACCGCCGCCCGCAACGGAGTCAAGAGCCTCACCTTCGGTGCCGGAGCCACCAACACCATGACCCCGGGTCACAACATGAATGGCACCAAGGTGAAGATGTTGCAACACACCTACGAGACTCTGGCCAAGCAGTTCCATCTGGTGCGCAAGAGCGAATTCCGCGCAAAATTGGGCGCCCACGAGGAGCCGCTCTTCATCTCCTACCCTCCTCACGGGCTGGGCTCGAAGGGCATCCGGGCTGTTCTTCACTTTTTCGAAGATTAAGTTGGCACTCTTTTCTTTGGCGGATATGCACTGGAGCGATACCCCCTCATTCTTGGTGAACGATAGAAGATACACCGATGTGGTTGACATGTGTTGTGGCTATTTTGCATTCTTATCGCGTTCTGTTTTTGCTCGATGTTTTCACCTCAATTCCCCCTAATGTTTGGTTGTTTTCGTGTTGATTAGATTCACCATCCCTCCCCTCTAATGTTGTCATGATTTGTACGTGGCCAGGACTGCATTCTCTGCGCCGTGGTCCCTAATTTCTGTTGTATGCTACGAAGATATGTGTATATGGAGTTTCCATTTTGACATAGAGCACGGTCCCACAGATGTTTCATCGTTACTGCGTCTTTTGTTGCATCATCAATAGAAATACAGTTTCGTCTTAATATGGTTACAGACCCAATCCGGCCGATATATACGCGTCGCCGTCTTATCGTTTCTTCTTTCTTTTGTCGACCGGTGCAGTGGAAGCAGCCTCTGCAACCCTGGTGAATTGGCCCAAGATCCACCATCCTAGCACAGCGGCTATACCCCCCACGACAGCCATGTAACAAGCCGTCGGCACCAGCGACTGCGGGAAGACGTTCAGTAGAAACGGGTCTAGAATGATATCTGCCCGCACAGGAGGAACACTCTCCATCAGCGACGAGTCCAGCGAGTAATAGTCCGCCGCGGCCCGGATGCGTAGAAAGAGTACGGAATCGGAGGTGGGAGAGACGGAGCCGGAACGCGGCACCATGTCTTGAGGGGGATACTCCGCCATCCGCGCGGAGGAGTAGACGCCGATGGAGGAGAAGAGGATCGGATCTTCGATCGCATCGGGGACGGTATAGGTGTCCAAGGTGAAATCCGTCGGTTGCTGCATTTGCGAATCCTGGTTAGATGACTGGAAACCGTATCAAGGAGGGAGGAAACCGGAAAGATATCATACTGTAGCTAGCCAGCAAATTCGGACCTCATAGCGTTGGCCGGGAGTGAGGTGCTCCAAGAAATACCAGGAGTCGGTTCCCGGCGAGGCCTCCGTGGGAAAGGACGCATTTAATTGTGTGCGGAGGGCCGGCTTCGCGGGCGAGAGTCGCTGGAGACCGAGGTCGTCGAGGGACGGGTCGACGGCAGGGATCGTGGCGACGGACGGGGCACGGAAGATGGTTTTCTCGACGTTGGCCGTGACACCGAGAATGAGGGAAGGGAGCAGAAGCAGGAAGAAGGACCGGAGGAAGGACATGGTGGGTGGGTAGAAGGTGTTGGAATCTGAGACGAGGGCGGCAGCTCTATATACTAGAATGTCATGGTTTGGGAATGCTGGGTGCTCTAGAACGAGTGCGGTTAGCTTTAGGCACGGATCGAGCAGGGATGACGATGGGAAACACGCACAGTGAATGACGCTCGAGTCTCTCAGAGCAAAAGAGCAGGTGGACGGGGACATTGCCGGTCGTGACGTGCGGCGGGTGGTGCAGATCCAGATGCCGATTTGCGATCCCACCGGATCTCCTGCCATGCCGTCATGCCCCACGTGACCGCCAAGCCCCGGGCGGCGGTGCTGAGTCAGCAGCGATCGCATCCGGCGGTCACGGGCGGGCGTCCACCAATCAGCGGGCGCCCCAGACCGACGCGACCCAAAGAGGGAACGGCGGTTGACAGCGCATGCGAGAGCGTCTTTGTTGTTGTTGAAGCGACCACAACAAATAATAATCCAAAGCATAAGAAGCGGGCATCGTCTGGCCCATCCGGCTTCACGGACTATTTCATCCTCTGGTCCTGCCTGGCGTTTGCTTTCCTGCCATCCGCATCCACCGTCTGCCGAGTGAGTTGTCCCTTCCGCCCGTTTGTTTTGGGAGCTGCCTTAGTCAGGCGCCTGTCCGGTCCCCCCCAACTACTACTAGCCGGAAAGTGAACTAACCAACCAACCCCTGAACCTTCCGTACAGCAGATCGTCTTGGGCACGTACACAACGAATTTTCCCACCGCCTCCCCTCCTTTCATCCCCCTTCCACATTCCATCCTCACCTCCCCATTTTTGAATTCTCTGTTCCTCACCACTCAATTCGACTCGCCACCATGAGAGAAGTTATTAGTTTGAACGGTGCGTGCCCTTTCCCTGCCCGGGTTTGTTTTTCTGGGTCTGGTGACTAACGTGTTTTTTTTCTCCTCGGTACAGTCGGCCAGGCTGGTTGCCAGATCGCCAACTCCTGCTGGGAGGTATGAATCCCCGAATCTCTAGGATCAGCATTCTTCAGGAATGCACTTGGCTTGCGGCACATGGTTTTTGGGGAGGAAAATGGAACCATAGGGGGAAAATTGGTGCTAATCAACCTGTTGTGGTGTAGCTTTACTGCCTCGAGCACGGCATCCAGGTACGTGATTTTGGCGGCCAGACGGCTTCATTCGCTACACTGTGATCGAAATCAAAGAAAACTGACCGCTGGTTTTTTCATCATAGGCCGATGGTTACCTGACCGAAGAACGCAAGCGGGATGACCCCGACCACGGCTTCAGCACTTTCTTCTCGGAGACTGGTACGTTCTCTTTTCAGCTTCACTCGTCTTCCCGTGCATCAATTTTCCATCGATTGGCATCGATTGTGAACCGCTCTGACCGGCGTGATGGGTTCAATCTTCAGGCCAGGGCAAATATGTTCCTCGCACCATCTACTGCGATCTGGAACCCAACGTTGTTGATGAGGTCCGCACCGGCACCTACCGCAGCCTCTTCCACCCCGAGAACATGATCACCGGCAAGGAGGATGCCTCGAACAACTATGCCCGTGGTCACTACACCGTGGGCAAGGAGATGATCGACCAGGTCCTCGACAAGGTCCGCCGCGTGGCCGACAACTGTGCCGGTCTCCAGGGTTTCCTGGTCTTCCACTCCTTCGGTGGTGGTACCGGCTCTGGTTTCGGTGCTCTGCTGATGGAGCGTCTCTCCGTTGACTACGGCAAGAAGTCCAAGCTGGAATTCTGCGTCTACCCTGCCCCCCAGAACGCCACCTCCGTTGTCGAGCCCTACAACTCCATCCTGACCACCCACACCACCCTGGAGCACTCCGACTGCAGCTTCATGGTCGACAACGAGGCCATCTACGACATCTGCCGCCGCAACCTCGGCATTGAGCGCCCCAGCTACGAGAACCTGAACCGTCTGATCGCTCAGGTCGTCTCGTCCATCACCGCCTCCCTGCGTTTCGATGGCTCTCTCAACGTGGATCTCAACGAGTTCCAGACCAACCTGGTCCCCTACCCCCGTATCCACTTCCCTCTGGTGGCCTACGCCCCCGTCATCTCCGCCGACAAGGCCTCTCACGAATCCAACTCGGTCAGCGAGATCACCATGTCCTGCTTCGAGCCTAACAACCAGATGGTCAAGTGTGATCCCCGCAACGGCAAGTACATGGCCACCTGTCTACTGTACCGCGGTGACGTGGTCCCCAAGGAGACCCACGCTGCCGTCGCCACCCTCAAGACCAAGCGTACCATCCAGTTTGTCGACTGGTGCCCTACCGGTTTCAAGATTGGTATCTGCTACCAGCCCCCTCAGCAGGTCCCCAACGGTGACCTCGCCAACCTCGACCGTGCTGTGTAAGTTCCCTCCCTGTTTTGGTTTCCTTTCTAGCTTCAGTTTATCGGGAAGGAAGGGACCCGAGATGAAGCCATGGAGCTAACCCCGTGTGATAGTTGCATGCTGTCCAACACCACCGCCATCTCTGAGGCCTGGTCCGCTCTCGACCACAAGTTCGACCTCATGTACTCGAAGCGTGCTTTCGTTCACTGGTACGTTGGTGAGGGTATGGAGGAGGGTGAATTCTCCGAGGCCCGTGAGGACCTGGCTGCCCTCGAGCGCGACTACGAGGAGGTTGCCAGCGACTCGATGGAGGAGGTCGAGGAGGCTGAGTACTAAACCGGCACTGCCGTTTAGTCGCAAATCGGCCGACGGTGACGGACCATGCGGTCGGTCACCTTTGGTGATGATTTCCCAATGGCTGAACCATTGGGGACCGGCATTGGCCCAGGCTGTCGGAGTGAGTTGCGCAACCGGGGTGGTTTGCAAATAGGAGAAATGCGTTGGCTTAGCACAGACTACTATGTTTTCTTTGATATATGTTTAATATCCCTCAAGCAGCGATGAATTTACCGCTCGTTCGCAAGACCAGACTTTTGCACTTAGAAAATTGTAATTCAAAATTTTTTGTTCGATGGCTGGGTCGGGGGGGGGGGGGGGAGGAGAATGTTACCTTGATAGTGATCATACCTGCGTAGAGCCAACACTCGTGCCAGGCGAGCGAATCTGCCGGGGGAAACGGCGACAGGCGGCCCTCACCGCCCGCATGACGGACCCAACCGCTTCTCCCCTCGCCCAAAGCCTCCGACCCAACAGCTCGTCGCAAGCTCCAGGCAACTAATTCTTTCCTTGGCCGTCCCTCTTCTTCTCCTCGCGCTCCCTCCAGACTCGCTCTCCTTTCTCGTTTTTGATCCTGTCAGGGTTCCGTCTCTTCCCTGCCACCCCCCCGTGCTTCGTGCTCTCCCCCGTCCAGGAGCTAGCGCTTTGGCCATCCATGCCCGTGGCATCTTCTCGATAGAATCGACTACCACCCCCCCGTGCTTTTCGAAAATAAAATATTACGGGCAAGAAAACCATACCTGGAAGGAGGGGAGGAGGATTGCTCCCTCAGAGCTATCATTATGGCTGACAGTGGTGAGTTCTCCCCCTGACAATGCCAGAGAAACCCAGGGTGGATAAGCTCTCAGGGGACGAACTACCCGGCCGGTCGGGATGGCGATGATGAAACCAACGGGACTGACGGATGCGCCCCCTGAATCCTTACAGCACGACATCCCAACCTCAATTTGACACCGGAGGAGAAACGGGTCTTTTACCAACTGTTTCAGGCTGCCGATACGACAAACCTAGGCGTTATCACCGGCGAGGTCGCCGTTCCGTTCTTTGAAAAGACTCAGCTGGCCCCGGAAACTCTCGGTTTGGTACGTGAATGCATCATTCCGTCGAGAAGACCTCTTCTTCTTCCATGCCTCCGTACCGAAGCAGATTCAGCTAACCGAGTGGCTGTCCTGGTCCTGTAGATATGGCAGATTGCGGACCGGGAGAACAGGGGTCTCTTGACACCCTCGGGCTTTGGAGTTGTGCTGCGGTTGATCGGACATGCTCAAGCTGGTCGCGCACCGACGGATGAATTGGCCCTACAACGTGAGTTATTTCTCCGACGCTGCCCGTTTCCGGTTGGCAGACATCCCCCTCAGACCGAACATGAGGTTGACCGTGGTGTGACAATCTAGCCGCCCCTATACCTAGGTTCGATGGCATCGTAGTCGACCCTGCCGCCCCTGCCCCTGCCCCGGCGCGTGAAGCGGGTGCAACTAGCCCACCTCCTGCCCCTGGAACGCCAATTCGAGTTCCCCCGCTGAACCCGGAAGATGTCAATAAGTTTCTCTCGCTGTTCGAGAAATCGGATGTGTCTCGGACTGGAGTCATGCCAGGTGCGTATACCAATTGGTCTCCGGGGAGAAGGTTAGAACTCTCCAACTAAACGGTGCAATGATTTCAGGCGAGGCTGCAAAGCAGATTTTCGAACGCGCAAGACTTCCGAATGATATCCTCGGTAGAATATGGAACCTGGCCGACGTCAACCAACGGGGTGCCCTCGACGCGACCGAGTTCATCATCGCGATGCATCTTTTGACCTCCTACAAGGCGGGCTCGATGAGAGGCATTCCCCAGACTCTTCCACCGGGTCTGTATGATGCTGCCGCCCGACGGGGCTCTACACGATCATCCATCGGCTCGCGGCCTGGCCTTGACGTCCCCCCGGTGCCGGCGATTCCGAAACAGTTTACTGGTCCCCAGCGTACCCAGAGCCCTATCAACCGGCAACAATTCGGCTCTCCCCTTTCGGCCCAGTCGACTGGCGGCGACTGGCTGATCACCCCTCAGGAGAAGGTCCACTTCGACGGCGTTTTTGCGACCATCGACGCGGCAAAGATTGGCATGATCAGTGGTGACCAGGCTGTCGGATTCTTCATCAAGGCACAGCTGCCCGAGGAGACGCTCGCTCAAATCTGGGATCTTGCTGATATCGATGCTGATGGACAATTGACGAAAGACGAGTTTGCGGTGGCCATGTACCTTGTCCGACAGCAGCGTACTGGAAAGGAACCGCTTCCACAGGCCCTGCCCCCGGCCCTCATTCCGCCCAGCATGCGCCGCCCGAGCTCGGGGTACGTTGCTCCCGCCGCTGCTCCCGCTCCCGCTCCCGCTCCCGCGCAGGCCCCGGCGCCCGCCCCGCCCCGCTCGGCTGCGGACGACCTCTTTGGCCTGGATTCACTGTCGGCTCCCGCCCCTCCCGCAGCTGCTCCCCAGATTCCGCAGTCCACGGGGGGTTCAAACGTGCCATTCCCAGTTCCGGCGTCGCCAACCTCCCGAGCGTCCCCGCCGAGTGCCTCAACCACGTTCAAGCCCTTTGTTCCCACGTCTTCGTTCGGACAAAGTATCCAGCCCCAGATGACGGGCGCTTCCGCCGGTGCTCCGCCTCCGGTTCGATCGCCTCCGCCGCCATCCGACGATCTTCTTGGAGACAATGACCCCGAGGAATCCAGCAAACTGACGCAGGAGACCACGGAACTGGCCAATCTGTCCAACCAAATCGGCTCGTTGGCCAATGAGATGCAGAATGTGCAAACAAAGCGCACGGTTGCCGAGCAGGATCTTTCGCAGACGTCTCAACAGAAACGCGATTTTGAGACTCGACTGGCGCAGGCTCGGACGATGTATGAGCAGGAAGTGAAGAACTTCAAGGCTCTTGAAGAGCGACTGAACGCATCTAGGGCCGAGACCAACAAACTACAGCAGGAATTCGCAATGATTGACGGAAGTAGACAGGACTTGCAAAACCAGTATGACCAGGTTTCCGCTGCGTTGACTGCCGACCAGCAGGAGAATGCCAGCCTCAAGGAGAAGATTCGTCAAGCCAATGCCATAGTCGCACAGCTGAAACCCGCACTGGAGAAGGCCCGCTCTGAAGCGCGGCAGCAGAAGGGCCTAGCCGCAATCAACAAAAAGCAGCTTTCCACTGTGGAGGGTGAGCAAACCAAGATCCAAGAAGAGATTGATGGCCTCTCCAAGGAGCAACCGCAGGAGCCAGAGGAGCAGCATGAAGCTCCAGTGAGCGCTCCTGCCGCCGTCGCCAGTCCAGCCGCTTCTACGGCTAGCCAGAACACGAATCCCTTCTTCAAGCGTACGGCAACGGGTTCTAGCGAGGGCCATTCGCTGTCGCCTCAGATTTCTAATGACCAGCAACGGGCGTTTGACAGCCTCTTTGGCCCGTCGTTTACTGCCCAGTCCCCGTCCAACTCGGCCACTCCACCTCCTCCAACTTCATTCCGTGCGGATTCGCAGCCCACCTCGGTCAGGTCTACGTCTGGGGCCCCGACTCCGTCCGTCTCTCCTCCCCCCTCCGCCGCAGGGGCCTTTTCGGAGCCCCCGGCCCCGGCCCAGTCCAGGCAGCTTACCCCCAGCGGCCTTCCATTTGGGGACTCGCAGTCAGCCACGTCTTCTACCATGGTGTCTCCCCCGGCTAGTAGGTTTGGTGGGCCGGACGCCTCTAGCATAGGCGCTGGCTCACAAGCTGATACAAGCGATTCCGGGCCCACTTCGGGTGAAGCTGGGCCTACTTCAGCCCCAACCTTCGACGAGACCGAGGAATCCAAATCGAAATTCCCCGAAGTTCCTAGTCTCGGCGAACAGCCCGTAGGAGGCGCTGCTTCACCCACCAACGATTCCAACCAGCCTGGTGAGAACGACCCAAGTTTCGACGAGCTATTCGGTGGCCCAGCACACCAACGATCGAGGTCTCAGAAAGAAAATGATTTTGAAGAAGCGTTCGCGTCCATGAGACAAGGCAGTGGCCCAGCCAAGACTAATGGTGCTGCTGAATCCGAATTCCCGCCCATTCACGAGATCGATGACGACGACGACGACGATAGCACCGACAGCGAATCGCGAATGGGCTTTGATGACAACTTCACCCCATCATTCCCGCCTCAGAGCCAGGTGGCAACCCAAGCAACCAAGCCCGAGTCCATCGAGCCCTCTCAGTTGGCGGCTTTCCCGTCGCCAGGCACCGCAAGCAGCCCGGTTCAGCCCCCTGCAGCGGATTCTCAGACAAGCCCCCCCAAATACGAGGAAAGCACGAAAGATGAGCCTGAATCCGCAGCACCTGAGTTCAATGGCCTCTTGCCTCACCGGGCGGACCCCACTACTGCTCCGGATGCCCCTCACTCGGTAGAAACTGGCACAGGGGCACCGATCATGGGCGGCGAGCCACAACCCAAGGACGCCGTACCGGCTGCTGACAAGAAGGCCGGTGCGCCGGATTTTGAGGCCGCTTTTGCCGGTCTCAATCTCGCGCCCGCCAAGGAGAGCGACGATGACGATGATGACGACTCCGAGACGCCAGGCCAGAAGAACAATGCTGATTTCGACTTCTCGTTTGATACCCCATCCCAACAGAAACCCACTTCTCCTGGCGTCGGCGTCGGTCCCGCAAACCCCGCCTCTTCAGATTTCTTCAATTTCGACCCCCAGGCTACCTCGTCCCCTGGTGACGCCGCCGCTCCTTCGACCAGCCCTAATGCCGGGGCAAACGCTCAGTCCCACGACTGGGAAGCCCTCTTTGCACCTCTGGATAACGTTTCCACCCCCGGGGCTGGTGCCAACGGCGCCAAATCGGGCTCCGATGAAAGCTCCAAACCCCCAGGGTGGGCTCTGCAGACTGGCACCGAGGATGATCAGTTCCTCCAACGTTTGACTGGCATGGGGTTTCCCCGTGAGGAATCTCTAATCGCGTTGGAGAAGTTCGATTACAATCTTGACAAGGTATGCTCACCCCTTTCGATACCCCGAACATGACCTCGATAAACCAACTAACGCATCGAATCCAGGCGGTGGACCACTTGACATCAAAGTCCTAATCTAAGGATCTACCGTGATGACCCCTTTCCTGTCGTTGTTCTTTCATTATCATTGCACATAGTTTCTTTTTCTTTTCTTTTCTTATTTATTCTACCTTGAGCCTCGCACTCGCTTGACCCCATTTCCTTTTTCTCATCAACCCTTCCCCCTTCTTTTATCTACTATGTACTCGATTTGCATATCTTTATTGTTGCCATGTATATTCCCCCCTGGTACTGTTCTCACCTATCTCTGTCATTGATTGACGGACTCTTCCATGTACTCTACCCCCGACTACGAACCCGGCGACAACGACGGGGAAGACCCCCGAATGGAAGTACCTGGGAATTCTCTTACCAGTCATTTAGTATCAGGACTAGTTTATAATCCACTACCTTAATCTATCGATTTGCGATGATTGGACGGTCTCTTATGTGCGATGATGCCGGGTGTTAAATCCCGCGACTTAATGCAGGACTAATCTGAAATTCTACGGGCATGGTTCGATATCAATCTCACCTTTGGAACAAGATGAAGTACGTATGCAATGTTAATGCATGCTGGTTTTTTTCAAGCTGATCAATAGTGTAACATTGCATCCAGCAGACCAAAGACATAGAGCGGGAAAATGAAGCGCCAATTCCCAACCAACCGGCACAATATTTTTATTTGTTCGCGCTGTTTCATCGATGCAAGAATACTTATATGCAAGTCTAATATGCATCAACCCCGGTGAGAGACTGACCCATTGTCTCTCCCCGTCAACGAAGATTTTTCATGCTGCGTCGATATTCGTTGCATTGACACCACTAGCAGGTATTAGCTTAGAGGGCTAAACCGTGCAGACCGAGGGCGCTTCTTACTAAAGTCTTCTAGCTGGCGCTGCTTGATCGTGTGGGCTCGGGGGCTTTGACCATGCATGATGCGATCAAAAGCCGTCGAGCCTTGCAGCAGATAGTAAAGACCCCCCATGATGCAAAAGACGCCAAACGAGAATACCCAGATGCGTATCACCGCCACGATCGAAGTCTGACCGCCGACAAACCAACCGAAAACGCAGAAGAAAGTCGCTACTAAGTCGACTACCAGAACAGCACCCGCCAGCTGCCATGAGGGAATCGACGACCAAAACGGTCCCTCCGCACGTGTGATGAAAATGAGCCAATTCTCCGTCAGGGAGATCTCCAGGAATAGGACTTCGTCTCGTTTTCCATAATCCTGCACAATTCCTCCGTCCTCGCCCTCTGATATCATGGTGGACAGTGCAATCCAGGTGCCAGTTGCCAACACGATGCCGAGAAGAACCGACATACCCCACAACTTGGGAAGATTCCATTTCACCGGGGTCTTCGAATACGGGGCATTGTCGTATGCAATTGCCAGTGTTGCGATGTCGGCGAAGATGGCAATGAAAACCACAAGCTGCAAATTCAAGCTCTCGTTCATGATGGCGATCCAGAGTCCCAGGAAGATCTCGAGATGTAATGACAGGGCAATCCGATAAACCACGTAGGCGTGCATTCGGTGAAAGATCTGTCGCGAGGTTTTCAAAGCGTCGATGATGGCCGACAATCCCGGGGCCAAAAACACAATATCCGCCGCGGATCGCGCTGCATCTGAGGAGCCTTCGACGGCAATCCCGGCGTCTGCTTTCTTGAGGGACGGGGCATCGTTGACACCATCCCCCGTCATGGCCACCAGGTATCCACGTTGCTGGAGAATATCTACGGCGTTGTACTTGTGCTGCGGAAAGACTTCTGCAAAACCGTCCGCAGCCTCGACGAAATCATAGACCTCGGATCCGGACATGCTGGTTCCTCTTCCCCCAAGGCCTAAGCGCTCCGCATCGTATACGTTGGTTCCTAGCCCAAGCTGCCGAGAGGTCTCTTTGGCGATCCCCACGGCATCTCCTGTCAGCATCTTAATGGACAAACCCAGAGTCTTCGCTTCGTGAATAGTCTTTGCCGTGTCATGCCTTGGAGGGTCTGAGCAGGGCATAATGCCTAGGATTTCCCACTGGCTATGGCCGCGCTTGCGAGCCACGCCGAGGGAGCGAAAGCCACGCAATGCAAACTCGGACACTTTGTTCTTGTACGCCGTCTGAAGCTCGTCCGGAATAGGATGATCCGTTTCTACTGCCCTCAGCACGAAAAGAGGGGCCCCTTTAACGCAGACTATTCGTTCTCCTTGAGGAGACCGCATCACTGCTGTGACCTTCTTGGAGACGGGATCGAATGGATGAAATGCCAGTTTCTTATACTGAGTAAGAGCCGCTTTTGCTTTGGGGTAGCCAGATAGTGCGCGAATGAATGCTTTGTCAATTGCATCTAAGCCTTTCTTTTTGCGCGAGGCGGCTAAGCAGGCCGTGAGCATGAGATCCTCGGGGTCGACACCAGGCATGGTGAAGGGCTCGGACAGGGAGAGTTTATTCTTCGTCAATGTTCCGGTTTTGTCGGAGCAGAGGATCTCAACGCCGGCAAGAGACTCGATTGCAGAAAGCCTCTGCACAATCGCTTTTCTCTTGGCCAAGTAAGCGGCACCCACAGCCATGGTGGTGGTCACCACAGCTGGCAAACCGACAGGCACGCCGATAATCGTAATGGCCAAGGTAAACTCGAGAATTGTGATAATACCGTTAGATCGATAGAACGAGGAAACCCACACCACGAGCAAAGTTAAGACCACCAGGACCAACAAGACAATTCCGATGCCGTTCAGAACTTCCGTGAAGTGGCCTGTGCCAGATGAGGCCGCATGAACCAATGCTGCAGCCCGTCCCACATAAGTGGAATCACCAATATCCGTGACCACAAGTCGTGCGGTACCGTGTTTCACCGCGGACGAGGCATAGCAGATGTCATTTTCATGCTTGTCTACTGCAAGAGATTCGCCGGTTATTCTGGATTGATCCACTTGAAGGGCACTGCTTGACAGCACCTGGCCATCGGCAGCGATGATAGTACCCTAAATCACGTCAGCTGTTGAAGCGATAGAGCGATAAAATCCTGCTACCTCTTCTATCTCCAAGATATCTCCTAGAACAACCTCCGAAGCATCGATCTCCATCAGTGTGCCACCACGCAAGACGACCGCTCTCAGAGCCAGCGTCTTCTTCAACTCGTCCACAATCGAGCTCGCTTGGAATTCTTGAATGAACCCCACAGATGCATTGAGCAGGAGCAGAGAACAGATGACACCAAAATCCACCCAATCTCGCAGGCCAGCCGCCAAAATCGCTGCAGCCTTAATTTTGCCCGAGTCAGCAACAAGGACAACATACAGGAGCATATAGATAGCATACCTCCATGACAAACTGAACCGGGCCCACAAAGTATGACAGAAACTTCACGAACATGTTTTGCTTCTCTTCTTTCATTCGGTTCAATCCATATTTTCTACGGCGTTGTGCAACTTCATCCTCACTCAGGCCAATTTTGCTGTCTACCTCGGGGAAGTCTCGAGATATGCCAGCAGAAGGACATGTTTCGCTCGGACCCGGTCCATCAAGGTCGCTGTGGCCATCGAGTGATCGGAGTTCGTCAATGAGCGTGTCGATGTTCTCGTCCTCGCCATCGTTTTCTTCTTCGTCGATATCGGGCAAAGAGACTTTTTCGTGTGTGATTGAAGTGATTATCTCGTCTTTGATCTCTTCAATTTCCAAGTCATCTCTTTGGACCTTTGTCTTGTGATCTTGAGGCACCCTAGGAGGGGCTGTCTTAGCTCGGGATAGCATAACGAAAAGGCGAAACCCTAGTGAATATGGAATGAAAATGCCGGAGGGTACAAGCTAGAGACTATTCAATAGCGCTATTCAAGGTAAAGGATTATGACGCCGAGACGGAGGGGAAAGGATTGAAGTCCCTACAGGTGAGGGAATACACAAGGTCAGAGACCGGACAGGAAGGAGAGACGGGGGTGGTTCGATGGGCTCGACGCACGGCAACTGCTCCGGAATTAGCCTTTACGCGAGTGCATCTCATAAGATATAACCAGGAAATTCTGTGACGGCACAAGCTTCGGTATTTTGAGGACCTGTAGTCGAGAGTCCTGCTCGAGTGGTAGGGCAGCCGTTCTCACCTGATGTCGGTGCCTCAGGTGTCGAACCGGCCATTTCCAGCGTCGACATTCTTCGGCCTCTTCCTTTCCCTCGTTCCTCCCAACATTCCGGCCTTTGACCACCGCCAACCATCCAGCAACTGGAGCATATGGACCAAGAACTACCTCGGCGACGAGGTCGGCAGAGAAGGCCGCGCGTTCCTGACTCACTGCGCAAGAGAGCTGCGCGAGCGTAGGTCCTCGTTCAATGTCTTCCAACCCGCTTCCACTGACTACGTCATGGGATGCCGACTCTAGCTGTCTTCCTTGTCGTCAGCATAAAGAGAAATGTATGTCTCCCTAGGCTATAGCGAGCGATTCCATATGGTAACACATGTTCATTTAGGCCAAGGCGGCTTGCCTTGTGCACGCTGTCAGCAATACAAGAGAACATGTCGGTTTGAGAGCATTCAACCGCCAGCACCCGGGCCATCGGAAAGGGCCTCCCTACCAAGGTAAATAAACGCCTTTAGTGTTTAATTCTTAGCTTACGTGCGCAAGCGAAAATGAGATGTCGAATCGAGAGCACCAAATGGAGAGAATCATTCAGCATTTCATGGGTGATGTGTCGTTCACCAGTCGGAATCTGCAAGAAATTGCAGATATGCTGGAGAAAGAGCGTGATGACTCCATATCCCAGGATGCGGAATTTTCAGATGGCCAGGCCATGTCGGAAAGTTATTCACTCGAGCCACTATCTACAAGCATGATGCGTATGCACACCCTTGCAAATTACACATGGCCTGTTGTTGATAATGCATCTAGATTATTCTGGCGAATTATCTCATTGGAATTTCTCCAAGGCGATTCGTCGCAGATTACAGAATATTGGTAATGGTCGTGAGCAGCCGGATGCATGTCACTCATATTTCAAATACCTAGCTATCACCTACTGACAGCGACGGCGCAGGGTCCAGAGACGACAAAGGGCTTCTTCCGGGCCACAGGTCTGCAATCCTCCAACTCATTTGTCACGTCATCCATGATGTACTTCCCCCCTAGGGATGTAGCCGAATTCCTGACGGACACATTTTTGCAATTCGCGCAGACCAACTATTTCTATTTCGACGAGACTACCTTTCGGCAGAAGATGAACTTTTATTATACTACCAATCAGCCTTTCACTATCGAAGATACTGGTTGGATTTGCACACTTCTCATGACCTTTGCCATAGGAACCCAATTTGCCTACATGCAGACTAGGCCAACACAGGCCAAAACTCCCTCTTCGGAAGAAATCCCAGACGATCATATTGGTTTGGAGCTTTACAGATTCTCGTGCCGGTTGATTCCAGACATGATTACTATCGCCTCAGTGGAAACTGTCCAGGCCTTCTTACTCCTTGGGGTCTACACCCTACCCATTGATACATCAGGCCTGGCGTACACATATTATGGGCTTGCGATCAAGATGGCCGTCCAAAATGGCATGCACCGCAAGTATTCCGGAGTCTCGTTGGATCCCCTATCCGTCGAGCTTCGAAACCGCCTATGGTGGTCTGCATATTCATTAGAAAGGTACAGAATGTTGGATGAGTTGCTCCGAGTGATGTACGACGCCCCGCTAACATCTCTCATAAATAGCCGGATTAGTATACTGCATGGCCGACCTGTATCCGTATCTCGAGTCGATACTGATGCCGATATGCCTACCGAGGTCACTGGCCTCCGGCCCTCCAACGGTGTCTCAAACTTGCCAAACATAATTGCCAATATCTATTTGACCAATCAATTAAGTAAATTAGCACGTGTTATTCTGCGCTTGCGAAGATGCCCACGAATTCAACAAACCCAACATCTCCAGGAACTACGCACCATCCGCACCGAGCTTTGTGACTGGTGGGCCTCACTGCCTGTTGAGATTCATTGTAGGGATCTCAACCCTAGCGGGCCTCTATTCCGCTGCAATGTGCACCTTGAACTCACCTATACTACCGCTACCATATATATTGGTCGACCCTTTCTCTTTTTGCATCCAGGGCCATCCGCTCGGATGTCCACAGGTGACATTCGTTCTGAAACCGCAAAGCTTCTATCGGACGACTGCGTACAAGCCTGTCTTCGGATTATCGACCTTTGTCAGCTCTTGCAAAATTCTGTAGGCCTAGCTCGGGTCTCGTACACAGAGTTTAGCTCTTGTCGAGCCGCTCTACTGGCTCTCATTGCTCAGCGGCTCATCGATGATTCCTCAGAAAGGCTCTGTAGCGCCATAGCCCGAGGTATGACACTCATCAGGCAAATATGCGTTGGACTTGAGTCGGCTCGCTCGGAAGTGGCCGTAATCGAGGCACTAGAGCGGGCTCGACTACAACTCGACCGCCGTGGTGAGTCTGAGCAGAACTGCGCGCCTTCAGACTCCGGCTATGACCAGTTTCGACGATGGGCCCAACTCTGGCGTGGGGAGCCTCTAACATCCATCTCGCTTCCTGGTCTCGAGCCAGAAAACATCGAGGTCCCTGGAACTATGGGCGATGATATTCCCTCTTTTGATGGGTTCCTGTCTTCTTTCCCTCAGGAGTTGAATGCCTTTGCGTCTATTCCTGCTTCGGATGAATTTGAATTGCCAACAGAGTGGCCTTTATGAGAATCAGCTCAGCCTTGGGGCTGGCTTAGACGAAGCCTTATATATGCCTGAATAGGTAGTTTATCCTAGTCCATGGATGGGGAGCTTGGGTGATTTAATGTCAACTCACACGTATTCGTGGACCCCACTCAGACTGTTTGTTCGAGGTATGAAAGTTCGGTTTATCTTTGCATGGGCCCTGGCATAAGACCCCAGCAGCTGTTTTATCTGAATTTCAAGTCGGCTCTAGAAGCTAGTATCTACAAGAATTCTAATCTTATGATAGTCTATTTTGTGAATTTGTAAGAGCTAATCCTGGCCTTGAATAGTCGGAACCTACGGTGAGCTCTCAAGGGGGAAAATATGATTTGTCAGTCCACTTCGGTGGAAAAAAGAAAGATATAACCTTCAGTTCTATCAACCCAAAAGCACGGACAGCATGGCTCCATTCTAGAAACACCATTGCATTTGAAAAGAGCCAATCCCATACAGGCCTAGAAATACTCCGTGAGTAGCTAGCCACGATGAATGCATTGGATCCAGCAATATGATTCCAGCTGTCTCAAAAAAATAAGACTAACCCTGCAATCTCAAGAATGCGGTCTCCAGGGCTTCAAGCAAGGGCGAGATATGACATTCCTTGAAGATGAGCATTGGGCGCAGACGAATAGTCGAAACACCGCAACTACCGATATTGATTCCCAAGCTCCGCATCTCTTTCAGCAAGGCACTAGAATCAGGGGTGTCAAACGCGATGTAGGTGCCTTTGCCCTTGCCTCGGAGGTTGAGGATGAAGTTCGGATACCGGCTGGCCAAGGAGGCGATGTTGTCGTAGAGTATATTGCCAATGCGGGCCTGTTTTTTGATGGAAAGTGTCAGGTATTGTATATGAGGGTACCATGGCTCTTCCTGTCTTCGAGAACTTACAGTTTCTGAGACTAGATCCTTGCTGAGAATCTCGTCAACCACGGCATTGGACATGATGACTCGGGCAGCATCGCCCATCCAGCTGGATCGCATACTTGTTAGCAAATGAGTATGAGATTGGGGCTTGAGTCATACGTATTAAACTGGCGATACGCCTTATCCGGTCGAAGATTACTGTCACTGAAAAAGTAACCCGCCGTCTGCGCTTTCTTGGAGAAAGTGACGAGGTCCGGTGCGGAGGGCAGATTCCAATGTTCATGAGCCCAGAACTTGCCCGTGGCTCCAAAGCCAGTCTGAACCTCATCGACGATAAGACTCATCCCGCGAGACTTTGTGATGGCTTGCAATTCCTGGAAAAACTGCGGGGAGGCGTGATTGTCGCCGCCCTCGCTTTGGATCGGCTCCACAATGATCCCGGCTACAGGGCAGTGCCAGGAATCGACAATGTGCTTGATTTCCAGCAGACAGCGCGCTTCTTCCTGTTTGTTCTCTTCCTCATGCTCGTCCAATGGGTATTTGAGCGCAGGGAAAGTGGCCTGCGGCCATTTGAACGCGGGAATATCCATTTTGTGCACCGGCTTGGAGCGCGTGGCGGATAGACTAGCGAACCCTCGGCCGTGGAAGGAGTTTTTGAAGCTCAGAATAGCCAACTCGGGGGTCCCGGGCCCCTGGTTATTCATGACAGATTCTAGCTCATGATCAGACCATGGAGTGGAGCCTCGTAATCGTTGCTGATATGCCATGAAAGTGGCCTTGAAAGCCAGCTCGTTGGCTTCCGATCCCGATTGCGCCGTAAAGACCTGCGTGCATCCGCGTGGAGCCACGCGCATGAGTCCTTCGCGCAGAATATTCAACCAGTGATGAGAAGGAAAATTTCCGATCGCTGGGCGATTAACCAGGGCTGAGACCATGACAGGTGACTGCGCTGCCTTGATCAATGTAGGGTTGTTATATCCCACAGGGATCGAGGCGATCTGGGCGTAGACATCCAGATATGTGTTACCATCGACATCAACTAAACTAGATATGAAGATTTATGCTCAGTCACACAGCATAGTAGTCGGCTATGGGATGACTTACTAATTTCCAGAACTTCTGTCATAGTCGATCACCATCTGCACAGTTCTGGCATCGAAGATGGTGTCCAGCTCTGTCTTGGAGCTGTTTGTGAGCGGTCCTGGGACGGCGGTCCGGACAGAAGGACCATTTATCTCAGCCATAGTAGTCGTTGTTAAATGCAACAGTGGCCCAAGATCAACGGGGGAATCGCGCGGTTTAGGGAGTAGTACTATGTTAGATACGCGTTGTTGGAATTCAACGCTTTATATGACCATCTGTTGCAGCTGCGTCACTCGATCCCGGGTAATTCATCAGGCCCGGTCCGGAAATCGGACCCCAAAGATCCGGGACCGTGAATGTGTCAAAATGTGTCAAAATATGCCGGCACGAGTCGAAAGAGCATGGCCGATCTGCCTTCCGGCTGGTCGGGTACATGTACCCGGATGGACGGCCTCGGGGACGGACGAATGCATATAAACCCCGCAAATTTATGCTGATGATAAGTCCAACGACACCATCATCCTAATCATTTTTCTCTTGTCTACCCGGATTCCTTGAAGCTTCAAAATGTCGCAGCTCGCTGATTACCGCCTTCTCTCTTTCGATGTATACGGCACTCTGATCGACTGGGAAAGTGGAGTACTGGCCGCGTTTGAGCCCGCTCTCAAGAAGGACAATGCTCAGTTCTCTCGCGAGCATCTCCTCAAAACATATCATGAACTTGAGCGAGCGCAGCAGACCATGACACCTCATCTGCCCTATTATCAACTACTGGCCACCGTGCACCCCCAGTTGACCGAGCGGCTGGGGTTGAGCAAACCCACCGAGGAGGAGAGCCGCATATTTGGCGAGTCTGTTGGGCACTGGCCCGCCTTCCCAGACACGGTCGAGGCACTGAAGCGGCTGGGAAAGCATTATAAACTGGTTGTGCTGTCCAACGTCGACCGAGGGTCATTTGAGAAGACGAACGCCGGCAGTCTGCAGGGCGTCCACTTCGATCTTGTCATCACCGCCCAAGATGTTGGCTCGTATAAGCCAGACCTCCGCAACTTCTATCATATGTTACAAGCTGTCAAGGCGCAATTCAATGTGGAGCCAAAGCAAGTGTTGCAGACAGCACAAAGTCAGTTCCACGACCACCACCCGGCCCGAAAGATGGAGATTAAATCGGTCTGGATTGAGCGACCAGGAGCTGTGATGGGTAACCTGTCTGAGACGGTTTATGACTGGCGGTTCGATACCTTGGGGGACATGGCTGATGCTGTGGAGAAAGTTTAGAAAGTAGGATCATCAAATGATGTGGCTTGCGTGGATGCTATTTTTTATTCTTGTTTTGCGTTCATGTTGCTATTCCAACCGGACACCTCCTCAGTCACTTAGTGTTTGGAGACAATGCAATGAATTCGAAAGCAACTCCTGTTCTGCAAAGTTGATTGCAAAGTTGATACCAGCCTTTAGGGCTTCCGAAGGCCTCCGGGTACGTGTACCCGAGGCTACGAAAAGCGCCAGAGATTTTAGTTTCTCCGCTTCAAATCGCGAAGACGTGTCGTTTAGTATCCGCCTCCTGTCTCAAGAATTGAAATTTGTCTCAATAGACGGTTCCAGCCACTGATCTCACGCTTCCCTCAGTGAAAGGGCGACCTTGCGAGAAGTTCCTATCCGACAGTCTGGCGTTCGCGCGATACTTGAACGGCTTGAAGGATCCACTTCAACTACTAGCCAGACGACGCTTCATCCATTCCTGCCGACAAGACACATTTCCACTCCAAATGGCTCAATCGCTCCGATTTGCTGATGCACGTCTTCTATCTCAATTAGCTCTCAAGGCCAAAGGCTAACATTTGCTCCCTATGTAGGTTGCTGTGACTTTCACTGCAGACCAGTTCCAGGGCATCTACCGGGGGAAGAGGTACCATGAGCCAGATTTTGGCGAGGTACTGAAGAGGGCTCAGGAATATGGCTGCGAGAAGGTGATGCTAACCACGATGACCCTAGCAGGGGCTCACGAAAATCTCAAGGTGGTGAGGGAGTTTCCGAACGTGTGCACTTTGACATTGGGAGTGCATCCCTATCATGCGGGGGAGATTTACGACGGCAAAGATGGCGTGGACCATTTGCGAGCTGTCGAAGAGCTCGGCAGAACACTTCTAGCCGAAAGTCCGTCACCCCTCGTGGCATTTGGTGAGATTGGGCTTGACTATGAGTATCTAGATCGTGCGGACAAAGCTTCGCAGCAGCGGGCATTTCGTGACCAGCTGGAGTTGGCCACCCGAATGGATCTTCCACTTTTTCTGCATGTGCGCGAATCATGCTCCGATTTTATTGACATCATTCGACCATACCTGCCCAGACTTCCGCGAGGTGGACTGGTTCATTCTTTTACCGGCTCGACGGAGGAAATGCACCAGTTGGTAGACCTGGGCCTGGATATCAGTGTCAACGGGGTCTGCTTCCGAACTGAAGACCAATTGGATATGGTGCGCCACATTCCACTGAAGAACTTGCACCTGGAAACCGACGCCCCTTGGTGCGAAGTGCTAAGCAACGATGAGAAAATCGCCCCCTATCTGGCAAGTGCTCGGTCATTGCCCGCCTCCCGAAAGCATAACAAATTTGTGGCCGGCCAGATGGTCAAAACTCGAAACGAGAGCTGCACCATCGAACGAGTGGCTCTTGTTGTGGCCGGGCTGAAAGGCATTTCGGTGGAAGAAGTAGCGCAGGCAGCATGGAACAATAGCACCCGTATGTTTGGGTTAGGCATTCATGAAGGTTAGAGTCACAGTGATCGGTAGTTAGAGAAACAGAACATAGAATACTCCGTACATCATGAACTCGGATCTTAATTTCGACGTCATTTTTTGGGCATTTTCTTAGAAATTATAATATTTAGAAGGCGTTCCCAGATGAGGGCTGGTTTCCGAACAGGAATTATTCCAAACCCCGGAAAGGACTGTTCAACACGGCCCGAGTGATGGTGCACCGGACCGGGTCGAAGGTCTGAGCAATCACTATTAAAGCCATTCAATCCAATTAGCCATGAAATTTCAATAAGCTCATATTGGCCATCGATTCAGGTTGTTTGATTCATAAACCTTGACAATCACAATAACGAATAAATTCACCATGGAGCACAAAGTTCCCGAGGTATGTCAAGCAAAATATTCTTTCGGATAACACGTTTCTCACTTCTTCCGTTAGTTGAAAGACAAATCTTTGCTTATTGGAAAATGCTACGTTAATGGATCTTGGGTTGGTAGCAATACCGGAAAGACATTTCAGGTCTTCGGTGAGATGGGCATGAGTGACTGGTTCTCGAAGTCCATTTTGCTGATGTCGCATTGACGAATAGATCCTGCCACCAATGAAATGATTGGAACGTGCCCAGAATTTAGTTCCTCTGATACGGACAAGGCCATCAATGCCGCGGCAGAAGCTTTCAAATCCTTTCGAAAGACTCTAGTTCGGGACAGAGCTCGGATGTTGAGAAAGTGGTTCGATCTCATCTTGCAGAATCAAGAAGACCTGGCCACGTTAATCACTTGGGAGAATGGAAAGGCATTTTCAGAGGCCAGAGGCGAGGTTAATTATGCAGCCGCCTTCATCGAGTGGTTCAGTGAAGAAGCACCTCGGTTGTATGCCGATAGTATCCCCGTCTCTGTCCCCGGGAACCGTGTGATTACCGTGAAGGAGCCGGTTGGAGTCTGTGGTTTGGTTACGCCCTGGAATTTCCCAGCTGCGATGATAACCCGCAAAATTGGCCCTGCTCTCGCTGCAGGATGTACAGTCGTTGCGAAAAGTCCTGGAGAGATACCATTTACCGCAAACGCCTTGGCTGAGCTGGCTCACCGCGCAGGTATTCCTCAAGGTGTGATAAACGTCGTCACTGCACTGAAAAACACCGTGGAAGTTGGCCACGAACTTACCAATCATCATCTTATCAGAAAGGTATCATTCACGGGCTCAACGCGCGTAGGGAAGCTCCTTATGAGCCAGACGTCATCCACTCTGAAACGAGGATCCTGGGAATTGGGAGGCAATGCGCCGTTTATCGTGTTTGACGATGTGGAGGACTTGGACGCTGCTGTCTCAGGATTGATTTTGTCCAAATTCCGAGGAACAGGGCAGACTTGTGTCTGTGCCAACCGCATATATGTTCATCGATCCCATTATGACGAATTTGCCGACAAACTCAAGACAGCAGTCAAGGCATTCCGCGTGGGACCTGGTTTTCTGCCAGGTGTCACCCACGGGCCTCTGATCCACCAAGTCGCTTCTGATAAAGTGATTGCGCACATCGAAGATGCCAAATCGAAGGGGGCTCGAGTCTTGGTCGGTGGCGAGCGCCTGGAACATCTGGGACCAAGTTTTATCCCGCCAACCATTCTCACTAATATGACACACGAGATGCTCGTGGCATCCGAAGAGACCTTTGGTCCCGTGGCTGCACTCTTCGCGTTCGACTCGGAGGATGAAGTGATTCAACAAGCAAATCGCTGTGAGGTCGGATTGGCAGCCTATGTCTATACTCGCAATGTGCAGCGAGTATTTCGAGTGGCGGAGGCACTGGAAGTTGGTATGGTGGGCATCAACACCGGCATCATTAGCGACGTGGCCTCTCCGTAAGTACCATCACAAGATGTGTTTTTTGATTGCTTCTGACGTGTAAACACAGGTTTGGTGGCGTGAAAGAAAGTGGATTTGGTCGGGAGGGCAGCAAGTATGGCATTGACGAGTTTGTTCATGTAAAGAGCATGACATTGGGAGGGATTGTGTAGATCAAATTGCGGAGGAGGTTGTAAGGGAGATAGGAGGAAGAGGTTGGAAAGGAGGTAAAGAATAATAGGAGGGGGGTTGGAAGAACAGAAGTACTGGAGGTAACAGTCGCTGCCTGAGGGGACAATCCGAAGCGAACCAAGCAAAATATATAGTAGCAGTTCATGCTGCACTACTACCTGCCATATCGCCTAGTGATGCCCATACTCTTTAATCCACCTCCACCAGATCACCAGGCGACACGACCAACGCAAGTCCTCTACAAAAGGACCTCCATCGAAACCAATAATCCAAAATAGACCCCCAAAATACGACCCTCGAGCACCACTTGAAACTCCGTACAAAGAAGCGAGGCGGGAGGCGCTGACATAAGCAGGCCTAGGACGTCATAGCCACTACCGGACTTTTCAATATCGCACATCCCCGGAAGATCGCTTGCTTCATCTTCCATTGGCCGCAAAGTGCCCGAGGACTTCGAATTTCATCCATTATCGACCTCGGAAGGTCGCTATGTCACCCTAAGCAAGGGTCACGCATCTTGACCCCCCACCACCAGACTATGAAGATAGTTGCAGCCCATCTACGACTCCAGAGCTTCAGCGTCACATGATTATGCTGGACAGTTGACCGATAACGAGGAAGTCCAATCTGTATAGCTGAAAATACTCGCTGGCCATATCCTCCGGCACATATCTCCTCTCCCGTTGATATTTTTTTTCTTGATCTTGTACATACCGTCATTACATAGGAATCATGAATCGAGATATCCCCGGGTTTTACTACGGTCAGTCACCCGGCAGAAGTTTGGCCTCGTCTTGATATTGCTGACCGTTCAGCAGACCCGGAGAAAAACAAGTACTTCAAAATCCAGGCGAGCCACAAAGCCGCGCCCGGATCTCAGTATTCCAAGGATGCTGTAAAACGGAAACGCGTAGACCAGGAGGTTGTTCCCCGAGTACTACGTCCTGGATATTGAAGTGTGCTCTAGCTAATATCAACCTATGTGCGCAGAGAAATCAAAGGAAAATCCATCTATCGAAGAGGCTGACCAAAGAAAAGATCAAGAAAGCCGCTTTCTTGGAAAACCCTCTCCTTGGAATCGGAAGGGAGGTCGAAGGTCGGCCTGTCTCGAAGAGCATCCGCCAAGAGCAACGGGGATTGCTCTATGCAAGCCAGTTTCATCGGAATCAGTTGCATCAATTTGAACCCTGGCCGGATGATTATTCCATCAAGCAAGTCCTGCGCAATAAGCGCTCTGGGATTTTGGTTGCCAGTGCGTTTTCCAACACCTTGCCGGTATTCCGCTGTCTTCTGAGCCACTACTGATTCTCTTCGAAGGTGGCCATCGTGGCGGGGAATCATCAGTCTCGTGAGTCAAACTTCGAATAATGCCTTGATTTCATCGTACTAACCAAAATCCTAGAGTATGCTTTCCCGATTGTGACCAAGAGGACTGGACGTACAACCGTACCATGGAACGAGTGCTCTTCAAAGAGCCATACAGAGTGAGCTTTCAACCAAATACTGAATGATTCACTTTGTTTTCTATGCGCTGACAAGCGTTATTTTAGCTTTCGTCGATATCCCTAAGCCATACAGGGTACATTTTGTAAGGACTTTCTTTCAGTGAATGCGAACTCCTCGTCTTCCGTTCTAACCAATCTCTAGAGCAACCATGGATAGCGGTCCCAACGGCGACTCATTCCTTGCACCTCGAATGCTGCCTGACCCTGATGAGGGTGGCGATTATCGATGGCCACCTTCTTGTATGTCAATACCCCTTAAAGGATGACCAGTCACTTATTACTGCCCTCTAGTTTCGCATCCCATCCGTCTCCGCACAGCAGCCTCGCTATGGTGCTCCGCCGCATGTCCGGAGGGAAGCAAGCCTGTCTTCGCCATCGGAACATCCGACGGCCTTCATACACTCGAGGGCTTCGGGAGTTACTGGGCTCTTTCCAAGAAGCCTTTTGCTAGCGACGTGTTCACCGGGAAACCAATCATGCATCGACGGGTCGATTCTTCTCATGCCCTCGTCAGCAGCGTCGAGTGGCTATCTTCCGACGTGATCGCCGCGGGTCTCAAGGACTCGGCCATCTTTCTCCACGACCTTCGTAGCGGAGGAACAGCGACCCGACTACAGCACAATCATGCCGTTGTGAAGATCAAAAAAGTCGACGAATACCGTCTTGTCGTCGGCGGCTTGAACTCGGTTAGTTTAATCCCCTCCTCGCATCTCCATTTCCCAGATACAATGAAACTGGACACTAGACCCTAACTCCTTTCCCAGCTCAAAATGTACGACATCCGCTTCCCACCCAACGGTCTCCAGCGCAATCCGAACCCTCATAATAAACACCACACCTCGACAACACCCTACCTCACGTTTCCGGATTACACGCCCGATTTCATCCCGGACTTTGACATCAGTTCGGAGCTGGGTCTTCTCGCAAGTGGTACGTCTTAATTCAATGTCGAGTTTCTGGATACGGTCGAGGATACTGACTCCCATTTGAAAGCTTCCGACGAGCGCAAAATTCAGTTGTTTTCGCTTCGCACCGGCGCGCAGGTATCTTCGCCCTTGTCTAAATACCAGTATCGGCACCCTATCAGTTCTGTCTGTTTTGAACCCGGCGATGGATCAGTCCATGGCCCTCAAACCCCCAGTATATTGGTCTGTTCTCAGGATACGGTGGATCAGTGGATTTGGTGATTCCGGTTCTGTCTCTGGAGGGGTTAGTCTCGTCTATATATTCGGAGTCATAAAATAGTCTGGAATATATCGAATCAAATGATTACTCAAGTTGATATCTTCATTAGACTTTCTTAGTATTACAGGATATATCGGGATGCTTTTCAATCCAGCCCACCGGCTAACCATTCTCCGACCTCGACCCCGATGCTCTTGGCCATTTCTCCAATCCAGTCACCGGAGACGTTGACACACCATTTTTCTCCGGCGTCGGCGGTCGTGTTACCACTGCTAGCACCGCCCGATCCCAGACCCATGCGACCACCGCTATCGCGGCCGGAGGCGGGCACGACCAATCGTAGTCGACGTAGCGTGGCAAGCTCTGAGTAGATTGCATCGGAAACGGCGGCCATTCGGATGGGATTGGCCGGGGGGTTGGGGTCGATAGCATGATAAATAGCAATCAACCGTTCTAGAGGAAAAGGACGCGCCGTGAGGATGGTAGATGGGCCCGTGATACCGGCAGCTCCACCGGCGGCAGAGGTGGTGGCGGATGAAGTGGCAAAGGCAGATTCAAGGGTAGATTTCGTGATACGAGTCTTTTGTCTTTTGCCCTTTTTGCTAGGGGTGGCTGGGCCCTGGCTGGCCTCTCGGGCGTCTTCTGCCTGAGCCTGAGATAGGACCTTGAGACGTCTTCTGTGATGAGCACGCTTGTTACGCGCAGAAAGTGAGGAAGAGGAGAATTTGGAGAAGAAGATTGTGTCGAGCCTTTGAGGGATGTGAGAGGATAAGTATGCGGAGGTGAGTATTAGGGTTGCGAAGTATGGCAGGGTCGGGAGGGGAGAAGGGGCGGACACGGCCGCTAAAGACGGTTTCGAGACCAAGCCATTGACAGACGGGTCTGATTCTTCTGTGACGATGTGATGAACGAGAGCGGCTTCGCCATGCTGTCGGAATAAAGCTCGATTCCGGACCAGAAGCCGGGAAAAGTCCCATTCGGCGCCGGTTCCGGGCGGCGTTTCGCCATTGCTTATGGGAGATACAAACTGCGGCCAGAGCTTATCACACATCGACTGAAAATTAGAGATCGAGCCTGCCGTCGGTCCAACCAAAGAATCATAGATGGCCGACACAAAGTGTGGATACAACCTAGAGGCTGTTTCGTCGGAGACGTTGGCAGCCGCTGGTGGCCCTGACTTTAAGATAATTGTGATTGCCTCCTTGCGCGTATACGGTGGGAAGTTGATATGCGGGACACCGGCAGTTTGCAGAAACAAAGGCCGTGGAGCACAGCTGAGGAGCAAAACAACGCAGAGAGACGGAATCTGCCCAGTCAGTGATGTGCTCAACAGACCATGCCGAAGCAGCTGCTCGAAATATACTTACAATTTCGCCGAGCCTTGCCAGCGCTGCTAACAGCGTCGGAGGAGCCTCTCGTTGCTTATCAATCCCATCTAAGACCAAGACGAATTTCTCCGCGCCGTTGCTCGTTGATCGCGACGCCAAACACTGGCTAAGAAGCACGGCAAGACCGCTGACATTTTCACATCGCCCCTTTCCATATTTCTCCCACTCGCTTTGTTGGCCGAGTGCTTCCAACGCTCCCCAGAGGATCTTCGTCAATAGATGGCGACCGGTGATACACTCTGTGCTTCGAATGACGGCATGGGGGACTTCGAGGGAAGATAGAACGCCGCGGACAATGGAAGACTTGCATGTGGCGGAAATACCATGAACAACCACGGCTGGCGGATTAGGGACATTGGGCTAAACGTGAGGCGAAAAATCAGCAAGTTCATCCTGGGGTCAAAGGCCCTTGAGAGCGCGGGAGGGATAGTGGCACAAACATACCGCGAGAAGAGTGACAAGCTGCCTGGTTTGAAGTTCACGACAGGGCCATTGCTGGCCCAGGGACCGAGATATTTCAGTCGGAAGCATCAGCTACAGCGAGAAAGTAGTCGGGATGGAGAGAAGGGTCGAGGCAGGGAAAGCTTGACTCGGAGGCTCCGCGCGACTTGATCTTATCGCCGGAGGAACGCGAGTCTTCACATGCGCAGTCACGTGGCGGCCCAGACCGCCTGCCGTGTTTGTCTCTTGATAAGTCTGTAGTCATTCTATGGAAGTCAGGCCCAGACATGATGTGGAGATAGAGCATTGTGATTGCTAAACGTATGGGTACATCTATTCTACCGAATGCTGTTGGAACAGGCTCAAAATCATAGTGAATGGTAAACCATGCAGCGATCGTCGTCCCAAAATGCACCAAACTTGGGGAAAGGCCAACGCGGAGAAAACCCGCTCTCGAAAAACAAAAGCTCCGGGCTTCTCGCACCTCTCAACTGACAGTCCAATTCTGAGTCCAATGGCCGAGAATGCCAACGCTACCAACCGAACGGGTGCGCAGGTTCCAAGAATTAAGCAGGGCATGGAGCAGTACAAACGAGAAAACAGGAACAGAACAAAATCCATAAAAGCACAGTTTCGGTTCAATTGTCTGGAAAAAAGGCCTGAGATGAGGGGAAAGATGACAGAAAAGAAAACTATTGAGAACATTGCTTCCACCATGGTCACCTTGGGCAAAAGCATCCTAGGATAACTCGGGAGAACTGGGGGAAGAACAAATGATGGGGAGGAAACAATAAACAAAGATTGGGGATAAAACACAGAAGCCAAGAAGAGAAAAAAAGTGAATAAACAAAAACGTTCAAAAAGTTCAAAAGACATGATAGACATGATCATTCAAAGCGTTGCAAGAATACAAGACGTAAGGCATTTCGATCCCTGTATCATGAACTACAGAATATAGCTCATATGAATCCTCCAAGATGCAAACCAATTTGCATAAAAGATAAGAGATCTTGACATGGTAATGTGTTACGTTGGCCGTAAGTCATGAAGATCGTAGCGTCATCTCGAATATGAGTACAGTTCAGGTGCACAACAACCAGCACTCTTTTGACGCGAGGAAAACGCTCAAAAGTATGCATACAGCTGACCCTGCGCACCAAGGCCGCCGTTAGGTTGCTGAACGGTAGGGAACATGGCTGAAGAGTTTTCGCTGGGCCCACCGGACGGGGTGTTCGAAGCGGAGCCAGTTCCCGAAGCAGGAACATAGTTTTGAGCCCCAAACTGGGAGCTGATGGGGAAAGGGTTTTGTTGATACAGGAATGGTTTCTGCAAAGGTCCTGGGAGCTGCGCTGAGTTCATCTCGTTGGGGGTAACCTGCCCACTCGTCGACGCACTTCCTCTCCCAGAACCCTCGGAAGCCATCATCTTACCGGCAATACGACGGCCGTGAGGAGTCTGGCGAATAGACGGTAGAATGGGGCGGATAGAATCCACGATGCGAGTCCGAGTATCGGCGTCCGCGAAATCCATGGCAGTCTGGACGACATAGTTTGCAAAAGAATCACGGAGCATCTTTTCAAGCTCAGCCCCGGCCAACATCTCGTCAATCATCTGGCGGCGGATTTGGAATTCCGCAGTCCGAAGGCATTTTTCAATCACGTTAGAGCTAAACTTTTGCTTGGACAAGGCCGGGATGTTTCCTCGGAAGGTTTGGCACAGGGGCTCAGTAAAGCGAGGCTCGGCCAGATCAAGGATGTACTGCACCACGTAATTGCCGAAGGGATCTTGGACGAGGGCAAAGGCATTCGAAGTGATCTGGGCAATAAGCCGAGCCCGCTGCTCGCCTGAAGCATGATCGATACAGCGCTGCAGGACACAGCATCCATGACGATGGGTTCCGACAACAACGCAATTGCCACCGACGGCGTCATAGATGAACTGGGCATCCTCGGCGGAAAGACGGTTGAGACATTTCTGAATAACGTGATTGCCGTTCAGGTCCTGAACTAACTCGACGACGTGATCCTGCAAAGCATGGATCACTGTCTGGGTCTGTTCGGAAGTAGAGATGAACTCGATCATTTTTTGCAGAGCCCTGGTCCCATGCTGATTCAAAGCAATTTTAACGAGCTGGTGGGCCGCATTGTTGATCAATGCTGTCCGCTGTTCGTCGTTGGAGTATTCAAGCAGCTTTTGGCACAAGTAGTTACCAAAAGGATCAGTCATCAGCTCCACAACGTGCACATGGGTTTCTTCAAAGATCATCTGCACGTGCTCCGGGCTACGCTCCTCCAGTTTCCGCTGTAAGTATCGACAACCGTGTTGATCTTTGCACAGACCATACAGCTCTCCCCGGTAATGTTCAAGGGGGAAGTTGGTGAAGCGTGAAAGCTGAGCAGAGTCACTTTCGGTAGCACGGCGAGAAGAAGCTCCTTTTGCCGGGTTCTCGGCGAGCCGGAAGTTTCCATAAGGGGGGTAACCGTTGTAGGAAGCGTTGGGACTGTAATTCTGCATCTGTCCATTAACTGGAACTGGGGCTCCCATGTAGGTCTGGAGACCATAGCCGTAAAATGGTGGCTGGAAACCAGTTGCCGGGGCAGGCGCAGTGGGACTCGTTCCGGGGGCGGAGGCAGCAGCAATCTGAGGGCCAAAGGGAGCCGCATTGGCTTGAAGAGCAGTTGTCTGGGCCCGGGCACCATTTAGTTTTGCGTCATCCCGCTCCGGAGAGTCACGCTGCTGGCGAGGGGTCGTGGCAGCAGATGGAATGCGTCCCAGGTTGGCATTGTGCTGATGAATCTGCTCGGCGTGCGTTTTGGGGGGCGTGATAGCCGGGTTGAACCCATCTCCCTTGACAGTGGGAAGGTCATTTGTCGAGTAAGAGGACTGGAGGGAGTTAGGTCGGCCCGAGGAAGCATTTGGAGCCATGTTATCCTGGTTCCCCTCCGAGCTGTAAAGAAGATTGGCTTCCAGGGAGTGTCGGGCAGCGTGTTTGGACGGATTCGGTGTGTTGGAGTTGGACTCGTTGTTGGAGCTTCCAATCTGGTCAAGTCGAAACATGTTGAGTGCGTTTTGTGGCATGCTTTGGTGAGAAGTGCGATGCCGACTGTGGGAATTCCAATTCTCCGGATTAGGAGTCTTGGAGTTCGCAAGATCCAATGCGTCTGAGTTTGCGGACAACTGAAGGTATTGTCAGCAACAGGAAAAACCACGGGATGATTAGCAAAGAAAAGAAAAAGAAAAAAACCTACCAAACCCGAGTCGTCTCTACGCGACAGAGTTGGGAATTTGTCGTCAGGATCGGTAAGTTGCAGATAACTCTTGATGTCAGGGGTAGGGATTCGATCCTCTTCTTTGAGAGTGGCCCTATCTTCGTCGTTGAAAAGAAATTTGGCCGCGTTGAAGGATTCGAGACCCGAGTTGTTGGAGAAGCTCGAGGTATTTGGGCGGATCTGCGAACCCAAGCCAGCCGAAGGCATTGAATAGCGATGAATGCTACCAATTGTAGTTAGTATTGATGACGAGTCTGATGGCAGTGATGACAAATTTGATGGGATGAGATGCGGGAAAACGAAGACAATAGGAAAGTCACAATGTCAACAGAGAACTGAAATAGAGTGAACTACAATGGGGACAGGCCGAGTGATTCACCCAGGACAATAGACAAACGATGACATCCGATCTACCCAAATCGGGGCATTCCCTGCCAAATTCCTGGGAAACAGAGAGCAAAAGGACTAGTAGGCGAGCAGACAGGGAGGAGTGAAAGGAAGAGAGGGAAAGATGGGAAGGTGCAAGTGAGAGGAAAGAGGGGAGGAGTGAATAGTGGAAAAGTGGTCAGGTGAATGGAGTGAGTGAAGTGAAAGAAAGAAATGAAAGAGAGTCTATGGGACTTACGAAGGACCTGGGCGGAAAGGTGAAGCAGGCTCCTGGCCAAAGTCTTCCATCTCAGAGTTTCTGCGAGATCCTGGAACGGAGTGGACCGAGAAACGGTTTGTTGGGGTATGAGAAGAGGTATTGTCTGCCTGGCCTGGGGGACTGGTCACCTGCGACGGAGCAAAGACGTTGAAGAAGCCGGGAGATGAAGTGACGCTGGAAGTGGAAAAGCGAGTCGGGCGCGTGAAGCCCCCAGGAAAGCCATTTTCACGAGCATCCGGAGGAGTCGTAGGCTCACTTGCCGGACCAGAAATGCCAGCCTTCGCCAGGCGTTTCGCAAGCTGATCCATCTCAAGTTTTTCCTTCTCGTGTTGCAGATCAAGAAGCTTCATGTCTTCTTCAAACCTCCTCTTTTGCTCTCGCATGTACTCGATGTGCTGGCGTTTCTTTTCGAACTGGGTAGGAAATCAGCTGGGTTTAGGGGGATTGAGGATAAAGATTAACGATATAGTGACAGGGGGGAATGGATGGGAGGCCTGTCAGGAAGTTGGGGGAACGTGAAGCTTCACCAAACGTCCGGCAGACCAGCCGTCAAGGCCCAAACCAGGTGAGTGTATGGAATTAGAGCGAAATACAGGGCTTACCGATGACAGTAAATCTAGCGGGTCCGGGACCTGGGGAGCGGCGCCTCCGAGGTGATTCAGGTAGCTCCATGACGAAAGCTTGCTGGAGTCCGTCGTGAATCGGCGCTGAAGGTTGGCACGAACATCGCCCGACGGACGCGAAAACGCGGACACGAAGTTGGAGTGGCTCGGAGAGAGCGAGGTATAACCGGGGAACTGGGATTCGGACGGAGGCGAACGCGGAGAAGGGAATCGCAGCTCATCGAGGCGTTCACTAAGTCCGTTCTTGAAGGCCATGGTGGACTAAGTTGGCTAGGACGAAAGTCGCTGGACTAGCACCAGATAGGGGCCAAAACGAGTCAGAAACCAGGCATGATAGGACAAAACGGGCAACGGCGCGAGCTCCAAAAAGGGGGAGCGGTATTTGAATATGGGAGAGCAGAGTGCAGGGAGCTCGGGTGGTGGCTGAACAAAAAGAGGCACAGGAACCAGGGAGACAGGGAGGGAGTTGGCGGTTGGCGGTGTATTCCAGATAACGAGCAACGTAAGGGAGTCGGAGAGGGGCTGAGGGGCGGTTTTGGCGGCGAAGATCTCGGGAAAAGGAGCTCGACTCACACACAATGAACGCCTCGTGAGGTTAATTTCTGGGGGCCCAGATGGAGGAGACCGACAAGCAGCGGTTCTGGCAGGCAACGCAAGGGCGATTCGACGACGGATTTGGGCGCGGATGGCACAGCCCAAAGCGCGCTGCTGGCGATGCGGAGATCTGGATCAGTGATGTTGACGGAGCAGGGCTGCGGCGGTACCTACCAACTCAAAACCCTAAGCTCTGCGATCGAGAGCAGGGGGTGGGGGAGGGGAGGGAAACCGATGCAAATATAGAAAAGAACGAGCGATGCGCAAGGAGACGCAATAAGGATAGAATAGCAAATAACAACAACGAAGAAAGGACAAGTGTTGTACAGATAAATGGGGAGAAAACAACGGAAGCGAGCGAGAGAGTGGGAGGCGAGAGGGGAAGAAAGGCGAGGCGGCGGCTGGGAATGACTGGGCGGGGAGGTACCGTCCGTACCGTATGTCCCGTACGCAGGTATCCTTACCGGTATCGAGGTACCTGTAGGAAACTCACGGAGCTCGGGCCCAAGCCCGAGCTCCTTGAGTTTCCTGGCTTCCATTGCTTTTTCTGCCTTCTGATAATAATCATTGATTATTATCGGTCGGTCCCATGCTTCACGGATCATCGGGAGCTAGGCTGACTTCATCGTCGAATTCCTGTCGATTGGGCACCGATCCCTTGGGAGTCGGGTTTGTTGTTCAGACAGGTCCTCTTGGTAAAACCAGTCTCTACATCCTACAGTAATAATGGCCCCTAATCTGAGAAAAAGGCACTCGAGTCTGGAATAGGTACTTCTTTATTCGTATACCTGCACCGAATATAGATACTTTACCTCCCTAGGTACTTGGTACCTAGGTACTCCGTACAGCGTATGTACGTATGTACAGTACTTTGATACCCGCCGGCTCGGTACCTTACCTCCCTAGCAGCTACCAGTTCACCGTGCCTGATGTTAATTGTTCATTAATCCTAGGTAAGGTGGTTATCGACTATCTACTAGCTTCGGCTAGTCCTAGTCCTGATCTTCACAGACGGGGGGGCGGATGTGCCTTCGTCCTACATCCAACACCGTCTGTTTGAGCGGAGAAGCTGATTGCGCTTGGATATCATGACTGCGATGAGTTGTCTGGATTAATGACCGCCCTTCCTGACGGTAAAGATCGGCCCAGGATTGCTTGATCCCGTGCAAGGGCATAAAACTAACAACCAGGATCATCATACGGAGTATTAATAGTGATAATATTAATATAATAATAACGGATTCGATGCTACTGCACGACTTTGTTGGGAGCGAGTGGCAGCTAAACCAAACAGCGTAAGTTATCGTACTAGCGGTAAAGCAAATCTCGCACGGGGGATTCAACCTGGAAGTCAACTGCAGCCTTTCCAGACCCCGGCAGGCAGTCCACCCAAGTAGGTAGGAAGCTTCATCATGGATCGCCGGCTTGAGCTATCTGCTTTCATGGATGACCTCAGCGCGCCGGTCGGGAGCAGTGGACAGTGCAAGGGGGACGACGTGAAATGCTAGGTACCTACTTGGTACTCCCTACTCCCCTCGTACGTGAGTATTATTGACATTTCATGATTTCACAGCCTTTTGTGGGTGTGCCGGTCGAGAGCGTGGGCTCTGCAAGTGTTTCTGCATCAAGTGGGGATTCTTGGAAAAGATGTGACGGCGGATCAGGCCCTAGTCACCGCACGTACCTGACCATAAGAATCATTCGAAGAAACGAGGAAGAAGGAGGGCACCGTCAAATCCCTCCGTCGCGTCATGAACGAGTCAGATTTCCGGTGCTAATAGCGGCTGCGGTCCAAGTCATATCCTCGAGACTACTTCCGTAGCTCGAAGGACCGTTTTATTTTTATTTTTGTTTTTTTTAGAGAGGGGTTTTTAATTATCTAATTAGGTACGATGATGATTGTAATTTTAGGTGCTTGGAGTCTCAGGGATTCGCTGGTGAACCGTGATTCGATCTGGAATTTAGATAGCGTGATCTGGTTACTCGTGACTTCCACCCTCATGGAAATCCCGACCTGGACGGTTACCTTACGCCTTACGAAACCACACGTCCTCGGAGATGGAAACTGGAGGTACCTACGTGTAGGAGGCATGTACAACAATAATACTCAGGGCTGATTATTCATTGTCAATCGTTCGAGCGTTCCTATTGAGCATTGACTGATCGAGTGTAACCCAACGCGACTTGTCCCAAAGCCACCTCCCGTACGACCAGCCTACGAGGTGTGGACGCATTGCCACGCGCGTTCCAAATGGTTCGCGACGGGCCTTTTTGTCCAGGATCTCTGGCAATGCTTCCCACTCGCTCGCGTCCTCTTGGTTTCCGCGGATTTGGACTGGGCTTTGCCACACGGTTTTCATGTTGCATTGTGTCTTTTCCGGCCACGCTGCTGAGATATTGCCAGCAATTATTCCCATTCGGACCGAGGATCGCATCATTTATTTTGGATTTTCCCAATTGTCTCAATTTCCCAGGAGCGGTCGGTCCGTACCAGGGTTCGCCATTATTGGGTGCTGTACGGTGCGGTCAGCGTGGTTCCATGGATCAGTCGACTCAACATCCCGGGAGCGATGATCTCGACCGATTGAGATGTCCCAGTGGATTCGGAGGAGTCCTTCTTTTTTCTAGGGGTGAAAACAGAAAAAGAAAAAATGAACAAATTCAATTCAGTGTATAAAGAAATGAAAGAGAAAAAAGAAAACGAAACGAAACGATGGAAATGAGCTACTCCGTAAAAGAAAAGGCTCGATGAATCCGGTAATTTTCCTCTGCCCTGCCGAAATGCTGATTGGTGCGGCGCCGGAGAAGCGGTGTACAAAAGCCAGACCAGACCAAACCAACTGGCCATGTTGATCCCGTCGCCTTTCCCCTCCCTTGGGATCGAAACAGATGCGCTTGATCCGTTTGTTGCATCCGTCGCCCCCGGTCTGAGCTCATGCCAGGATATCAAACACGACCGCCATGCAAGTCTGGATGTGTCTGTGGGCAAGATCCGGCCTGCGTGACGAACCACGGCGCCGAACCCGCATTGTAGCTACTTACATTCATCCATAGGTACCACCACCACCAGTACAATTCCCTTCTGGTGGTTGCAGAGGGTGCATTGGAAATATTCATTGCTCCTATGTGTGTTTACACTTTCATTCCACGGCGTATCGAGAGATCAGGCCCCAAAATACGTGCTTCTCATCCATGCATGTCTGCTCTTATCCGGTATTCGCTACAGGAGGCTAGGATTGTGTCTTTCTGGGACGCTTGCCTCGCTACAAGTATGGAGATCTTGCAGGCCGGAGTAAATAAGGTAGCACAGCCTCCCACGCTGGGAAGGGGGGTACTGACGAGGTATACATCCATGGAGAGGTATAGACAGGTAGATACCTATCTAGGTAGGTACTTATCTAGATGGTAAAACGTTTACAGATGGCTTGTTCGGCGGAGACAGGGACCTGCTCTCCAATATACGAAATCTTGCCTCACTTCTCTGAAATCTTCGCCGGAGCAAAGCTCATTGCCCGAATGCACACAGCTGCAATAACCTCAAGGTCTGTTCGCTAGCTGAGGAGATCCATCTGGGCCCGAGGAGCGTTTGTCGAGAGACTCAGTCAGTTGCATCCGTCTCTCTACCTGTATTGCCAATTCGTGCGAGCTTTGACAAGGGTTGAGGTTCCAGCAGGATCGACCGCAAGATAGGCAACGTCTTGGGTAGCTCTCGGCTCTCGGCGGTGATGACGGCGACCGAACTTGGTCAACAACTGCTGCACAATCACCGGATGTCGAAGAAGGGCTTTGTATGTGATGCTCCTCGCCCTTCTTGTTTGCAAACGCCGAGCGTTGGAATGTAGGGTCGCACATCGTATTGACTTCAACCTTGGTGATTTCTAATTTCGAGATACCTGAATTTACGGTGGGTGCCTTCTTTTTTTTTTTTTTGGTTTCAAGATAATTCATATTTCTTTTTGTGGTACTACATGAGACACTCCGGATGTCCCTCGATTCTTTGACGTGATAAACTTGAGCGATGGTGTTGAATAAAATACATAGCCACTGCGGGTAGTCAGTACGCTGAAGCGATTTCTTATGCCCGGCCAACTCCGTATCCCAATGGCTTATGAGAAGCGGCGTTCTCCATGCAGCACTTGGAGGAGATCCATACCGATGATATCAACGCTCATTATGCGCCACCTCGGATCAGCCATCAGGCCCCGAATCCAATTGGCCTTAAGGTTCCAGGGGCGGCCTCCGCGTTCGTGGTACTGCCCGTACCGTATCGCTGTTACCGTACCGTACCATACCCGGTAACCATCTGGTCTGACTAATCAGCGCCCCTTCTGGCTTACACTTCCGCTTCCTGTCATCAATCGGTTTCACATTGTTTGCCACTGCCAATCTGGATTTCCTTCCGGAGACGACAGACAATCAGAAAGACATCACGGCTGGGGGAGAATCGCGGGGAAGTTGGAGCACAAGGTGTGGTGTGAAGCTTGCATAACCCTAGGGTATGAATCACTGCTCAGATTATCAATCGCCAGAATCGAAAGGGCTCGCTTCTTTCATGCCCGACAGGACGTGGATCGGCTGCTGAGGAGACCTGATTCGATCAGATATTCGCCAGGTTCGGAATGACAACCCCATACTTGGGGTCGATTGCGCATCGCTGACTGGCTGAGCGGGCCAATATGATTCGCACACATGATCTCCAGCCAAAATGGCTGCGCGAGTCCAATCAATCACACCGGACGCTCGTTTCGCCGATCAATCGAACTGCCTCCCACGTAAGAACTCATGCCTGTCACGCCTCTGACATGTGCAGTCTCCATTCCCTGAAGAAAGTCTGCTCCTCTCCGGATGGCCAACGCTCCGCCTCATTGGCCCCTTCTCTTCACCTGAGCCCGCGATGAAACCAACTGGAGATCCGCCGCCGCACGTGATTTCGTCGCGGGACGTTCGAGGAGATTATTGATTCATGCAATCCTGAGTCTTCAGGATGTCGAGGAATACCCCCCTCCCCGCACTAATTTAGCTGGTCGTCGTCCGGACCACTTGGGTCTGCGACCGATTCCATCGATCTACTCTTCTCGTCGAATGCAAATTTCTCCGAACGGGGACGAACGGTCTCGAATGCCAGGTGGCAAGGGGCTCTGAAGTTGCGGTCAAAGAAAATAGCCCACCGCCAGAGCCATCGTCCCTTGCCCCTCCTCTAGAACGATCTCCCCACACCACATTCTTCCAGGCGTGAACGGAACTGCCATCGAGACCTTTTTGGGCCAATTTGGACACCACTCTCGGCAATTATCGTGGGCGCGAAGTGCGCCTAAGGCCAGCAATTGCCTTCCCACTGTATCTCCTCGTGCTAAGAATCCCTGTCTAGCAAGTTAGTTAAGAGATGCGTACTTATCTTGAGCATCTGAACATTGTTGTTGCCCAACCCCGCAAAGCCAAATCGCTTGGCCCCCTTTTTTATTTTTGGGACTCTGCATTTGGTGATGAGTCGGGACTCGTACGGTGGCCTTGGAAAGGATTACCGAAGGGTCTCATTCCTGGAGGGCCATCCACCATCCCAATTTTGATCCAGGACGACGGGGACTGCGGGAATCAACATCTCTACCCCCGAGAAAGACCGCGGATTTGCTGCCTATGCTGTTGTGGGGTACCCACTGGTACCTAACGGTTGATCAGAGCTTCCGGCTACTGCAGCCATCTGCTATCACGCCAGCAGTCAGTCAAGCCAAAGCGGAGATAGCCGTGTTTGGTGACGCTCGCACCAACAATCTGCTAATCTAGCGTCATGGCCATGATCCCGTTGTGCCCTATCCGCCGTATTTCACAGCTGCCCATCACGACCACTCCCAACAGGTCACGTATTCTTTTGAGCTCTCGACGGAACAATCACTGCAAGTGAGTTGGCCAGTGGGACAGATGTAGATAGCCATTGGCCCATTGTGGCTGTGAGATGGCACTCCCATCGGTTTCGTGAGTGGATACCAGACCCTCGAGCCCTACCTTTCGAGCCTTGTTGCCTTAAGTTACGTCTTCAACGAAGCTTCTTGGGCATCAGACCTTGGCTAGGAATGGGCTGAAAGCAACAGCCTCTGTATGGAGGCTCTTGGTCCGGAAACTCGTCCCATGCTGCAAGTGGTTGTATTAGGAAGGGGATCACTTACATTGAGTTCTGCGGTTGATGCGTTGGATCTCCACCATGACAGAATTGGAGCCCGGCATCAGTCCATGAGACGTCCCGTTAAGGCATGTAGATGCATTCTGCCGCGGAAGCAAGAGAAGTTTCCTGGTCGATGCGTCGTTCTCATGACGCAATTGTGCAGTGGAACATCATGGATAGAATTTGCCTCTTGTGAGATGAGTCAATGTAATTGTGACAGGTCACCTTGAATCGCATTGACGATGAGATGGTATGCTCGACTGTATCGCTTTACATTATCTCGCTTTAGATCAAATGAGATGTGTGCGGCATACGTTGGCATCCACTTGTCTACAAATTCGCTAGATATTCCTCCATCTGGGCTCTTATTGGAGAATGAATGGTATTTTTTGCATGATCCAATTAGGCAGGTCTTCCCAAAACAGGTCATTCATGTCATACTGAATTAATATTTTTGTTATCAGAAAGGAACAAAGGAAAAGAAAAACGATAGTAAAACGCCGAATAGAACGGCCACCACTCTGATACATCCAAAGTGCCCATTCTGCCAGATACCAGTCGCAGCAGGTGGTGGCTACCCAAACAACAACTAGACAGAACCCATCCAAATGCCACTCGGCCGGCCTGGTTTAACAACCGCGTCCTTCGGACGTTCAGAAAACAAGTCTACCTTCCTGTACTCATGCAGCTTGGCCTCGCGGAACTGTAAAATGCGACAGGTCTACGGCTCCTGGCTCTTGTCCAGACGTTACCTTCGGGGACAAGCGACGACGCGATCCGCGCGAGGATCTGGTCGTCGTTAGGTCGCGTCAAGAACTGGATACCATGTTTTATAGTATGGTTTGTAGAAGGGGCTTGACCAGGCTAGTCTTTTTCTCGGTTGTTTCTGATTGGAAATTGGGTGTCAAACGAATTGACCGTAGTCTACTGGTCAGAGTCACTATATTTTGGTCATAACTGGATATTTCTATCGCGTTAGTCTCGCACTTCTCCTTGGTGGGCTCCGGTGGTGTCTTAGACAAAAAGATATTTTAACTGCCAGCATGCATTTCTGAAGGGATAGAATATTCATTACCCAAGCATTGTTGAGACGTCACAGTTGGGACAACCGTTATCACGTGGAAATCAAACTTGGTCTTATTTCACGGTCTGATACCAAGACCTGCTGTGGTCTACAATGCGGGCTTTGATATTTCTCAACATTCCTTTTTGATAAAAGAAAAGCTTACCCACGGAAATAGTTCCTCTGACCCCGATTATGGTGATTCGTGTAGGATGCCTTCCGTCAACAGGGATCACCAGTGGAGCGAATCGCACGAACGTTATCAGATTGTGGAGGTGGAGGTGGAGGTGGAGGAAAGTCAATGATGGAGACCAGGATTTCCCCCGAGATAACTCGACAACTCTACGTCAAGCACGCTATGAAAGCTCGAGTGGAGCCGCGATGGAGATACCCCGTGCTCAAAACGCTGATAAGATATCGTTCTTGTGCAGCCTCTAGGAACGTACAAATCAGCCTGCCATCCCGAGACGAAACTTCGGAGAAATCTCCTCTCTACAAGTTTGATTGCCAATATTCGCTCTCTACGCTGAAATGGAGGTCGAAAAAAAGACGGTGATGAGCCCGGAGCCTATGGCCTCCCCAGATGTGGATATTGGTCAGATCAAGGCTGCGTCGAACGAGGAAGTCGATCCGGCCCTCCAACTGACGCAAGGAGAGGTGATTGAATATACGCCCGACGAAGAAAGACGGGTGCTTCGCAAGATCAACATGACTATTCTGCCGCTCATGTGCTGGGTCTACATGCTTCAATACGCAGACAAGAGCACTCTGAATTATGCCTCGCTGATGGGTATCCGCACCGACACCAAGCTCACCGGTGACAACTATAACTGGGTCTCAAGTATTTTCTACGCTGGCTACCTGGCATGGGAGTAAGTGGGATACGACCTTTTTGCTTGGCTACGATGATGCGATAGAAACTCACCACCATAACGACTTCCAGGATCCCAACCACGTACTTGTTCCGCCGCCTCCCCGTGGGCAAATATGCCTCGTTCAACATTCTTTGCTGGGGCATCGTTCTCTCCTGTCACGCAGCAGCGTTCGATTACAGCGGTCTTCTAGCTGCCCGCTTCTTCCTGGGTTTCTTCGAAGCCACAGTCACACCGGCCTTCGTGCTGATCACCTCCATGTGGTTCAAGCAAAACGAGCAAGCGAAGCGCATGGGCTTCTGGCTATCGTGCAACGGAGTCGCCCTGATTCTTATGGCCGTCGTTGCATACGGACTATCAGCCGTCACGGATGCAGCCCTGGCTTCCTGGAGAATCCTATTCTTAATTCTCGGTCCCCTGACAGCAGTGACGGGGGCAGTTTACGTCTGGTTACTCCCAGACAGCCAAGTCAACGCATGGTTTCTCAACGAACGAGAACGACTCATTGCCATCGAGCGGATCCGAAACAACTTCCAAGGCATCGGCAGCCAAGTCTGGAAATGGGACCAGTTCCTCGAGGCGTTCCAAGACCCCCGAACATACTGCTACCTCGTCTTCTCCTTTCTCATGAACATCCCCAGCGGCGGCATCACCACCTTCGGCTCCATCATCATCAACTCCTTCGGCTTCAACGAGCGCCTTTCCCTCCTCCTCGGCGCCCCGTCCGGCGTGTTCGACATCGGCGGGAAGCTGCTCTTCACCTGGCTCTCGGACAAGTATCTCGACCGCACCCTCTTCGCCTTCCTGGCCATCTTGATCCCTCTGGTCGGCGGCATCATGATGATCGCCATCCCCCTTTCCGCTCCAGGGGGCTTACTGCTCGGCTACTATCTGATCAGCGTCGCTGGCGCATCCTGGGGCCTGATCATGGCCGCCATCTCCAACAACACCCTCGGGTACACGAAGAAAGTCACCGTCAGTGGTTTGCAGATCATCGCGTACGCGGCGGGTAACTGGGTCGGGCCGCAGGCTTTCCGTGCCAATGACGCTCCGATCTACCTGCATGGGAAGATTGTCGTGGCTGTGATGTATGGCGCTAGTGCTGTTGTTTTAGTGGCCCTTCGCTGGGTGAATATTCGGGAGAATCGCCGTCGCGATCGGCTTCTTGCTGAGAACCCGGTCGATGTGGATGATCCTGAGGTCGTGGCTGCTATCGAGAGGGAGAAGTTCTTGGATCTGACGGATTTCCATAAGCCGCATTTTAGGTATGTCTTGTAGCTGGGAGTTTCTTTGGCGGAGGTATTGGTTTGGCTATGGGAATACGAATAATATGTTGGTTTATACAATAGCTTGATAGCAGTGAGTGTGTATGAGGTCTATTCATTTCTTACCTCCCCTATGGACCAACGACAAAGTTAAACAGAAAATGTAGTAGAGCCTATGGATAAAAGATCATGGATGTGCTTAGACCCGCTACCCCAATTCAAACTGCCCTCGAGACTGCGTGGCACCCATGATCTCCTCCAACACCGTCGCCATAGAAGTCCCAATAGCCCAGACGCTTCTGACCTGACAGATGCGTCTGATCAGTCTCACCGTCAAGGACTCGCCTTCCTCGAGAACCGCGGAGAGCGTTTCAGGATCGGGCGTATCAAGATTGGTCAGATCGAGCCCCGCTAAAGGATCGCCGATATTGTGCAGCTCCACTACCACTTTGATGATATTCTTGGCGATCAGCATAGATGGCGTAAAGCTGTTAGGCACTGTGTCGAATGCTTCGAGACTCGCGCGGATCTCCGCGGCCGCATCGCGTAGCATTTGCCAGATTACCAACAGGATGCGGTAGGACGTTGCCGTTGTCCACGGGGCTTCTCGCGATGCTGTGTCGCTGTCACAGACACTGATGATGTTCAGAATATGTAGCAGGTCGCTTAGGATGGTCAGCGTGCCCTGGTCGCTGGGCTTTTGCAGTCGAGCCGGCGCCGATCGTCGGACAGCAACGTAGCTCCCGAGTGCGAGGTGGCTTGACGTTGCTAGCCCGGCCACTAAGCTCATGTCGACAATGCCACCGATCAAGTGGCCATCGGGGTGGCATAGGCTGGCTTTGATCGAGGCAGTCAGGAGGTCGATTGAATTCCATATCAACCGTGGCGAATCGGTATGGTTATGGTCTCGGCTCATGCGTGTAACCGCACGAATAGCGGTCAGTATCTGTCGATTCTGGGATTGGGTTAAGATGTGAAAGCTTGATGGGTCTGGGGGATTTGGAGGCAGTTGGTAGTAGCAGCGGGTGAAGTCTCTAACTAGTAGATCGACATTGTTCAGCACGCATAATGTCGCGAACGGTGATGCATCTAGGGTAGCTATCAGACCAGCCTCGGGCGGCTCAGACATGAGTGTCTGAGTTGCAAGCAATAAAGAGCCCGTGGCATAACATCGAGGAAGGCGTGTATTTCCCTCCACAGCTTGCACGCCCGTCCAACCGTGGATGTCGCACAATCTTTGGAGCCAGATGTGAGCGGTGCTTGCTTCCCACATGGCGATTGAATATGGCAATTCCCAACCCAGCTCAATCGGAGAGATAAGGGGGCGTATATTGCAGAAAGAAAATATTTGATTATCAAGGAAAAGCAGCGCGTAAAGCGAGAGTCGCATTGACTCTTCCTCAATATAATGCAGCCACCGATCGTTTAAAGGCTGGGGCGTGTCTTGAAGTAGCCCTGGCTTGCTACTCATTGTCCACGACCCCGCTTGAGGGAATGCAACAGACTGACATAGTAATCCAAGTTCTCGCACGGCCTGCAGGGAATGATCAGCCATGAAGTGCAAATGTGCTCCGTAATCCCGAGTGTATGCATACATCAACCATTAAAGAGAGCATTCTTTTCGCCTTTTCAAAACTGAGACCATCGCCAACGAAGCCCCCATAGACAATGTGCAGAAGGCAGGACTGCATGACCCCTGTGTCACGGACACTCCTGTAGTCAGACGAGACCTGAATTAAGCAGTTCTCAGGTCAGTTACTGTCCAAGTATCAAATAGAAAGGGAGGAAGCCCATGCACACAAGGTCAACGAGATTTTTATAGCCCTTATCCCATGTAGCTCTCCGCCAATGGTCATTTTCTATCTGCTCCTTCTCCTCCGCATCATTCATGTATAAGCTCCCAATTATTGCCGTAATATTCTGTAGTAAATTAGATTCGGATGTTACTGCGAATGTCGGATAATGTAAGATAGGAAACGAGGGGTGAAAGTTGGCAAAGTACGAGTGTATATAGGTGTTCAGTATGAGGTCGTTTGTACTAGAGATATATTAGCATGCCCAGATTACTCTTATGAATCACTTCATTGAAACTGATGCATTGAGCTCATTGATGAGGTGTGTTCTTAGGGGACGCCTACTGTAATGCTGCCAGAGGCGATGGGGGTTGCTGGTTGTTTTCTATTGAATGAGCTGTATTTTCGGGACTGGATGCGCGAGGCGAGATTCCGGGACTAGCAAGAACTTCAAGAGAGATTGGTATCATATCAAGTCCCAGTCCTAACTGCGACGATTGCACCCATTCGGTAGCTTCACAGACTTGTCCCCGGCTATCGTCCGGAGCAAGGGCGTTACGGTCTTTGCATCGCTCAGTGTGATGCTTGCAGACGTCTCTGAATCCCAGTCAAAATTCAAGTTCTTGAATTCGACAGATGAGCTAGACGATCGACTCACCTGCGAAAGAACCTGGATCGACATATGGGGCATTCGTATGATCTCTTGGTTTCTCCACCATGCCCTATAAGATTTCCATTCTAGGTGAGCTCTACCTTTACCCTGGTAATTGCATATATTGAAGAATTCATTCTACAACATACTGGCTCTCTTATGTCGCTCAAGGTTCTCCTAGAAAGCTATTAGCCGACCAGACACGAATGGCAGGAACTAATGACGTTACACTTTGTGTGAATGACTGATGACAGGTTTCACAAGAGAAAGGATTTGGCGAGCCCATAATGTGGTCGACACTACCAGAAGAACAAAGTGAATGAAGAGAAAAAAGCTGGAGGTTATCGGGTGAATCAGTAGAAAGCGGGGAAGGAGATAAAGAATGGAGCTAACAGAGTACTAACCATCGACTAGCCCAGCTATCGGGGCTCTCTTGGAATTGCCATTGTTGAAGTCTTCTCTATTATCCTTCATGTTCAAGCCAACCGTCATGCCTCTGGCTGGAAATCTTCGCTGAGAGGGCGTTTGAGTATCGCCTCGTCCAAAGGCTGATGCCCATTTTAGAAGCAGATCAAGATTATGAGTAACGTAGTGTGCATTGGATGTGGACCCAATATCGTATTCTACTGCAGCTCTACCAGAGCCAGTTCTTCGATGTTTAGTCGACAGGGAAGAAATGGATGACGGCGAACAGTCATCGACGTAGGATTGCCCAAGACTTGTCCCCAAAGTAATTTTGGAAGATCGCGACCGATGCGCCATTTTCAAAATGCGATGACGTGAAAAGAAATAGACTGATTGGCGTGCAATGCCGATGAAGATCGTCGTGGAAAGTTGGGGGTGGAGGTGGAGGTGGAGGGCGCGATGGAGCTCCATCACGCCAGACTTGACTCTCTCCACCTCTGATGATCGCAGTAGATGTGGTTCTGATAGACTGAATGACGACGATCAGAACAGTATTCTCTTAAGAGCGCTCTGACGGAAATCGTCCATCGTGAATTCCCGCCATAACGCAGTTGAGATTCTTAGGATCTTTCCTAACCAAAACACATATATCAGCTTTCAAGCGTCAGTCTCACCAAAGAAAGCACCAGAATTCTGCAGCCATGGGCTCGATAGGCATTGAGAATGGCTTTGGCAAACGTCCACATACCCCGTCGGCATACACCATCCGGGAAGAACCAAGCGGCGCCGGACGGAAGATCAAGATCATCGTCATCGGGGCCGGCGCCAGTGCCATCAACTTCGCGCACGATGTCGACACGTGTGGCCTCGATTTAGACCTCGTGGTGTATGAAAAGAACCCCGAGATCGGTGGGACGTGGTACGAGAATCGCTACCCCGGCTGTGGCTGCGATATTCCCTCGGTCAACTATCAGTTCTCATGGGCTCCTTCGGCGGAGTGGACTTCTTTGTATGTATTAACATGGCAAGTTTTGGATTGTAGAAAGCTGACTGGAAGATTGTACAGCTACTCCAGTGCCACGGAGATCCTGAAATACATGCAGGGCGTTGCCGAGACGAATGGCCTTCTGAAGTATATGAAGGTCAACCATAGAGTCATCAGTGTTGTCTGGAACGAGGAGAGCCAGGCTTGGACCGTTAGAGTCCAACGAGGCGACAACCCCGATGATGTGATTGAAGATACTGGTAACGTCCTCATTAATGCCACGGGAGTTCTGAAGTAAGTGTCTACCGGAAGATCGGTATCACGCAGCGATTGATCGATCGAATCTCTAGCAAATGGAAATGGCCCGACATTAAAGGCCGTGACACGTTTCAAGGTCGCATGGTTCATAGTGCACACTGGGATGACAGTGTCGAGTTGAAAGGACAGCGAGTGGCCGTCATCGGTTCGGGATCTTCGGCGGTGCAGATTGTCCCCAACATTCAACCCAGTTCGTTGCCCACTTGGACTCGTGGCTCTAAATGGCCGACTAACGGGTAATAATAGTTGTCTCATCGATGAAATGCTTCATCCGAAGTGCATCGTGGGTGACCGCCGGTTTTGCGCAGCGGTTTGCTGGGAAGAATGGTGCCAACTTCAGATGTAAGCTTGTACCTTCAACACAAGGATGTCGTGGCTGTGCTGACCGACTCTAGATACCGAAAAGCAAAAGGGTATCCTAAGAAACGACCCAGTCAAATATCTTGCCTACAGAAAGAAGATCGAATCAGAGCTGAACACCCGGTTTCGGTTTATATTGAATGGTTCAAAAGCACAGGCAGAATCTCGGAAGGTTGACACTCCCTAGCTCGACCATGTTTCTTGAAGACTATCCTCAGCTAACTCATGACCAGTTTGCGGAGGAGGATATGAGAACGAGACTTGCTGCTCGTCCTGAGATTGCCGATTGGATTGTGCCTACCAATTTCGCCGTTGGCTGCCGTCGACCAACCCCTGGCAATGGATACCTAGAAGCTCTGTGCGAGGAAAACGTTTCGGTGGTGACACAGTCAGTTGAAGAAATTACCCCCCGAGGGATCAAAACGACAGATGGAGTCGAGCATGAAGTCGATGTGATTGTGTGCGCAACCGGCTTCGACGTCAACTGGAGGCCAGCCTATCCGACGATCGGACGCGATGGACGAAGTCTCAGCGAGGAATGGAGAGATATTCCGAGCACCTATTTGTCTATCACTGCTCCTCATTTCCCCAATTACCTTAGTAAGTGAGAGAAGGCCTGGTATCCCGATTTCGCTGACATGATTCGTTCCACAGTCTTCAATGGACCATTCGGCCCTTACGGACACGGGAGCTTTCTACCTATCACCGAAACCCTCTCCAAGCATTTTCTCAAAATATTCGACAAGATGTCGACCGAAGGGGTCACTTCTTTTGAGCCGAAGGAAGCCGCGGTTGCGGACTTTGCTGAGCATCGCAGACAATTTATCCCGCGGACTGCTTGGTCTTCCCCATGCCGGTCGTGGTTCAAACAGGGCACGGTGGACGGTGAAGTGATGATGTGGCCAGGATCGCGTATACATTTCTTCGAAACCATGAAGTATCCTCGTTGGGAGGACTACCACCTCAAGTATACCACCTCGAACCGCTTTGGATATTTAGGAAACGGCTTCGCAGCTCGCGAATACGACGGACGTGACCTCTCGTGGTACCTGGGTTTGCTGGATGGAACGGATTCGCAGCCTACTTTGCCAGACGACGATTTCCGCGACTTTATTGTTCAATGAAAGGGCGAAGAGTAGTCACATTGGGATAGAATGACCAAATTAACTTTTTTTTTTTTTTTTTTTTTTTTTTTTTTTTTTTTTTTTTTTTAGAAAAGCACAATAATAAAGAAACAACCAGACCATGAATAGGTGTCCGGATAAATTTATCACACCAAGTGAACGCACAATGATCCACAGCACTACCACTATGCTTTTTGCATCAATGGAGGTATCAAGCTGAGATGCTCTAGTTCTGGACACCACGCCACAGCTTCGCTAACCAATGCTTCTTCTGCCCCCCATTCTCCTGTGCTTGAGCTTGGTTTTCGCTGACAACGACACCGCCGTTGTCCGTACCATCGACCACATTCTGAGTGCGTCCTAAGTAGTAATTGGGCATCAAGAGACCGGCAATCAAAGGAATCACTGACAGACACAAAGCAGCCAGGTACATGGGTCGAACGGTGTTGGTGAACGCCCGAATACCGGCCTCTCGCTTTTCGGTCCCCCAAGCGAACATGGTTCTAGCTTTGGTACCGCTGCTATAGAAAACCGTGGCATCTTCACTCCCAAGTCCCTCGTTTAGCAAATGGCCCATGTAGGTGCTAGTGTACGTGTGAGAGGAGATGGCGGAGCCCACGGAAGAGCCAAGTTTGGTCCAAAGTGAGACTTGCGAGATAATCGCGGCGAGGTCTTGATGCGGTACGGAGGCCTGCGAGGCTACTCGCGTTCCAACGACGGAGCATGCACCACCCATGGCGTTGAGAATCTGAGACATCACCAGCGCGCCCGTGTTGGCATGCGGACCAACGGCCCAGTAGGTGATACCCAAGCCAAGGATACGCAAAGACAGCCCGAAGATCTGTAAGATTTTATACCGGTGGAAGATGCGATGGTACAATCCTGCCAGAATACCGAAAAGGGTGAGTGCTACCGTGGTGATAGCCACAAAGTTGCCCCAGTTGTAGTTGTCCCATGGTTTAATGACAAAAACCCAGGTAGTATAGTAGGTCGAGCGAATATTTCCGCTCACCATGTAGAAGATATCGATAACCACAGCACATATAAAAGTTTTGTTGTGCCAGACACGTCGGTTGAGTAAGGGATAATTAGCCCACCTGACGTCCCAAAAAACAAAGAGGACGAGGATGACGAAGCCACAGACTATCATAGCAATCATGGAGGCGTTTGACCAGCCCCCATCGGCGTCGCTGACAAGGCTGAATGGAAGCAATATCAGGGCAAAAGCCATGCCCAGTAGCATCAAGCCAATGATGTCGATCTCATCGAGAAGCTGCCAGAATGTTGAAAAGCGGTTCTGAAGTGTCGGCCGTTGAATCTGCATAGTACCAGCCTCCACAGCCCTTCTGGTTTCGAGACGGCTGGCTGCAAAAGAAAGCTCGCCTGCTTTCTTGGCCTGGTGGTCTGCGTAAAAGAGAGTGACGATGATAGGAGTTACTAAGGCCGGTGCAATGATACAAAACATTCCATACCCCCATCTCCAGCAATCATCGGTATTGCCAGTGCAAAAACTCGCCTGGATCTTGGAACCAACGAACGGTAGAAAGAGGAAAGGAAACGAGGTCATTGCACTGGTAAACCCACGCCATTGCAGCGGACTCAGGTCACCGACGATGATATCCGTTACCAGGTCGAAGCCAGCTTGCCCCGTCGATGAGATAACACGACCAACACATAGTGCTGCGGCATTGGGTGAAGTGGCCACAACAATATACCCAATCACGTAGGAAACCAGGATTAGAATGTATGCTGTCTGCCGAGAGAAAACGTCGCATATTTTGGCAAGGAAGGGTTTCGACACGGCAATGATGATAGCCTCGGCAATTTCGATCACACCGATGTAGGACTGACGATTGAAGGCTGCTGTGGCATAGACATCGTATGCCGCCGTGGTGGACTGGTCAAGCGAGAAGGAAACGGCAACGGCGAGAATGCAGAAGTAGAGGGTGATTGCGACGGGATGTCGACGACCGAACAGGCGGGAAAAGGCTTCGATACGGCTCACTCCGCTCTGCTGAACATTGTGTGCCTTTTCACCATCTGCCATTCGAAAAGTGATAACATGTTCGCCCTTGGAGTGAATCTCTTGTTTGGTCGGTTCGGCCGATTCAGTCTGCGCTGTAATTTCAGGTTGACCAACAACACCTTTCAAATTTGCTGGCTCCATGATGAAAACAAGAGGGAACTTCAGACTGGTCAAAGAGAACGAGAGTTGCACAGACGGTGCATTTGGGCTATAAATATGATTTCGAGCTGGATCAAACTAAAGGCCACCCACACGTCGTAACTAGTACTTTCATTGGGACGACGATCTATTTCCTTCCGAAGCTCCGCTGAAAAGGCTGCTGCCAAAGTTATCAGATCCGATGACTGAAGGGCCATGGCCAATGGACAGCATTCTCCCTGGAGTTCCGGGAATTAACGGCTTCTCTGGACTCAACCCGAGCCAATGTCTGGCCTCTCCAAATCAACCATGATCAAATTCCTAAACGGGTTATTGAGAGTGGAGCTGTTCGGCGTCGGTCCTGCGAATCAAGGCGAGCATCGGAATCAGATTAGATGCCAAGGCCACTGATTCAGGTCTTTCAGGTCTCCAGGCTGCATTTCCTTCCATCTGAACTTGGCGAAGCCATTCTTGTTTGTCGCGTCGAGTCTAGCGTGTGTTCCAAACGGGAGATTGTCTGCGAGCAAGACTGGTGAGTGTGAAAACTCTGCACGAGGCCCGTTGGGATGGTATGATCATGCTGTCTTTTGATTCACGGGTGTCTAGTGTGCATTCTTTTCGCCAATTGAAGTAGGTGTGGCGATGTTGTGCTTTCTGAACGACAGGATTAGCCGTGCAGCCAGACAAAAGATTTTGCAGTACACTTCTAATTGCCGGCACAAGATACCTACAAAGCTCCCTTCCCCTGCAGAGACTATGACCGTCCCCAGGGCTGGATTAGTTATATTATGTAGTGGATGGTTGAGGGAGTGTCGTGTCGAAGAAGCTTGTGGTTTGGGTCAATTCAACGGTTTCTTTGACAAGATCCAGGCAAGACGCCCACCACCAGTCCGACCAGCGCTCTGTCATTTGAATTGGCAGTAGCTTCGCGGTCTTCGATTGTACTTAACGTGATCCACTGATTCTCTAGTATGCAGAATATGCTGAAACATATCGGTTATTTCTGAAAGTTGAAGCAAAACCAGAGGAAAGAGATTAAACAAAGCCTGGCCGAGGCATATATTATCGAGGAGAAAACCGCAGGGCTTCTTGGATAAGAGTTAAGCGAGGCAGAACAAAACTTATAATACTAGGATTCAGCACTGCCTTTTCAGCTTTGTCGCATGAGTATGACGGTGGGTCAATGCGGTGTCAGCCTTGTGATCTCCACTCCCGAGGGACTTATAATAAGCGGTCCTGGGCCTCTTCGTTCTCTGAACAGCTTTTCTCAACTAAGCGTTCGTACCGGAGACCTCAAGGTGATTTTTTTTAAGTCCAAGGGTGTCTTTTACCGCATTTCCAAGGCAGCGGAAATATGTATTCCCAAGTTCTGGATCAGATAGATGATGACCACGCCTATCTGGGTTTCAAGGCCCTGCAATGGCTGGCATTCTCTACACGGCCGCTATATATCGAGGAACTCTCCGAGTTGAGTGTCATAACTGAAGAACACGCAAGAAGTATCCATCCCGATCAGCGATTCTCGGACCCGCGGCATATCCTTGAATTACTCCCAAGTTCTTTGGTGACCACGACAGACGCTGCGGGGGGTGAAATCGATTCAATTGATTTTACAGAGCAACGGCAGCAGGTGCATTTGGCTGGCCCTGTGAAAGAGTACTTGCTGTCAGAGCAAATTCGGGCGGAGTCGGCAAAACGCTACTCTATCAGCGAAACCAAAACACATGCGTCTATTGCTGCCGATTGTCTCGCCTACCTGTTGCATTTCAACCAGCCCTACACGATGATAAAGGAGGTAGTCCGTTCTTCTGCTCTTCTACGCTATGCGACCAACTACTGGGCCAGTCATGCGAGACTTGCCGGCGCAGACATCTCGGAGATCCTTCCTTTGATCAAGGAATTCTTCACGTCCAAAACGGCCTACACCAATTGGACGGCCTTTCTCGATGGGTTCCGGCCGTTCGATGATCCCGAGCACACCGAGGGCGATCCGTTGACCCAATCTCCAGATCCTCTCTATTATGCCGCGTCGTTCGGACTCCTCGCGGTAGCTCGGGATCTCCTTCGCGACGGAGCCCCTGTTGACAGTGAGGGACCGGCTGGAACGGCACTGGCCGCAGCCTCGTTAGCGGGCGATATTGACATGGTGCGACTGCTCATTGATCAGGGGGCGAATGTGCGATCGGAGGGACCGCTGGGTCAACCGATCAGGCTGGCGGCGCAGAACGGACACTTGCAGGTGGTGGAATACCTCTCGATGAGGGGGGCGAAGTAGAGCATCTTACGAGAAAGAAGGAAGAAAGAAGAAGAAAGACTGCAGAGTAGAAAAGGCAAAAGGCACTAAGCCGCGTTGAGCAGGGGATGACATAAGCGCCCCTCCGGAAATTCATTCGCATCTTTTCCCCTCGCGATAACGAAGAAATTGTGCACCGCATTCTGGCATCACCATGACTCTGTCTGCCGCCCCTCTTATTTGATCCGATCACTTCCCCGGAGTAGCAGTAGGTGCATCTTACTCTCGTGCCAGCCATGCCTCCCCGCAAGAGGCCTCAGGCTGTTGCTGCCAGCGCTCGAGCAAAGGCGTCAGAGGTGAGGCAAAAGTTTCTCCGCACCGAGTCGGTTTCATGCCATTGATGGATCTGAGATTAACCCTCTTGAATTTGTTTGATTAGTCTGCCGCCAATGCCAAAGCAGCCACGGCCGATGCAGCCAAACCAAAGCGTACCCCCCAATCCAAGCAGCCGCCCGCGCCCGAAAAGTCCGCGCCCGCCGCGGAGGAGAATCCTCAAGCGGACGATCAGCAGGGAGCGAAGCAGGATGAGTCGCATTCTACCTACCGCCATCGGGATCCGTTCGATGCTCTTCTCGAGCCTTTCTACTACAACAAATCCTTAACGGACCCGATCAACACCGCCAAGGATAAATGGAACCTGCTGCCGGCATTCCTGAAGGTGAAGGGACTGGTGAAGCAGCACATTGACTCATACAACTACCTCGTCGAAGTGCAGCTGAAAAAGATTGTCGAGTCGGCCTCGACCATCCGCAGCGACGTCGATCACAATTTCTACATCAAGTTCACCGATATTTACCTGGGAGCTCCGCGACGCGCCGACGAACCCCAGGATGTCGGCGTTGCCTTTGATGGATCGTCGGTGTCTCCCCAAGAGTGTCGACTTCGAGACACGACGTACGCGGCACCCATCCAAGTCGACTTCGAGTATCTCCGTGGTCGCCAAAGGGTCAGGAAAATCGGTGTTTGCATTGGAAGAATGCCGGTCATGCTTCGCAGTTCGAAATGCGTTTTGTCCAACAAGTCACCGGCGGAGATGACTGTGCTCAATGAATGTCCTCTGGACCCCGGTGGTTACTTCATTGTCAACGGAACGGAGAAGGTCATTCTTGTTCAGGAGCAATTGAGCAAGAACAGAATTATCGTCGAAACAGACCCCAAGAAGGAGATCGTCCAGGCATCTGTTACAAGGTAAGGCCCAGATTCCGCCCTTTGCATAGGTCGATTGTCCGTTCTTACTAACCTATGCCCCAAGTTCTTCCAACGAGCGCAAGTCGAAGAGTTACATCATTTGCAAGAAAGACAAACTCTATGTGAAGCACAATGTTTTGAACGAAGACATCCCCATCGTTATCCTCCTCAAGGCCATGGGCATTCACACCGACAAGGAAATGATGCTTCTCGTCGCCGGTGTCGATAAGGTTTACCAAGAGGATTTTGCAATCAACTTCGAGGAAGCAATCAAGCTCGGTATCTACACGCAGCAGCAGGCTTTGGACTGGATCGGTGCCCGGATCAAGATCAACCGCAAGCAAATGTCCTACCGTCGAACTCACGTCCAGGAAGCTGTGGAGGCCATCGCATCCGTGATCATCTCCCACATCGAGGTCAAGGACATGGATTTCCGACCCAAGGCCATCTACGTCGCGCACATGGCTCGCCGTGTGCTCATGGCCAAGAACGATTCCTCTCTCGTGGATGACCGTGACTATCTCGGAAACAAGCGACTGGAACTGGCGGGTCAGTTGTTGGCTTTGCTCTTCGAAGATTTGTTCAAGAAGTTCTGCTTTGATATTAAGATGAACGTCGACAAAGTTCTCAACAAGCGCAATCGTGCCGAAGCGTTCGATGCCTGGAGTGTTATGAGTATGCATAGCAATCATATCACCCAGGGTATGAACCGCGCCATTTCCACCGGTAACTGGAGCTTGAAGCGTTTCCGTATGGAACGTGCTGGTGTTACTCACGTGCTCAGTCGACTGAGTTATATTGCTGCGCTGGGTATGATGACCCGTATCAGCAGTCAGTTCGAAAAGACTCGAAAGGTCAGTGGACCCAGAGCTTTGCAGCCGTCGCAATTCGGCATGCTCTGTCCTGCAGATACTCCAGAAGGTGAAGCCTGTGGTCTTGTTAAGAATCTTGCACTTATGACCCACATCACCACGAACGATGAGGAGGGCCCTGTCAAAACCTTGATCTTCATGCTGGGAGCCGAGGACATCTCAACAGTGGGTGGAAAGGAGCTGTATGGGCCCGGGTGCTATACGATCTCAATCAACGGAACACCGATGGCCCTCACTCGCCGCCCTAAGTTTTTCTTGGACTCCTTCCGCAGATTGCGCCGAATGGGCCGGATCTCCGAGTTTGTCAGTATCTACATTAACCACCACCAGCGAGCCGTCCACGTTGCCACCGATGACGGACGAATTTGCAGACCGCTTATTGTTGTCGAGAATGGAAAGTCTCGCGTGAATGCAGAGCACTTGAGCAAGTTGCGCGATGGGACAATGGAATTCGACGACTTCCTAGCCCAGGGACTGGTGGAATACCTTGATGTCAACGAGGAGAACGACTCGCTTATTTCCATCTACGAGAAGGATATTAGCGAGACGACCACGCATTTGGAGATTGAGCCGTTCACCGTTCTTGGAGCTGTGGCCGGTCTAATTCCGTATCCGCACCACAATCAGTCGCCTCGAAACACTTACCAATGTGCCATGGGTAAACAAGCTATTGGCGCAATTGCGTCGAACCAGTTCCTCCGCATTGATTCCATTCTTTATCTCATGGTGTATCCTCAAAAGCCGATGGTTAAATCTCGCACGATTGAGTTGACCAAGTACGATCAGCTCCCCGCTGGTCAGAACGCCATTGTCGCGGTCATGAGTTACTCGGGCTACGATATTGAGGATGCACTGGTATTGAACAAGGGCTCTGTGGATCGTGGTTTCGGACGTTGCCAGGTGTTTAAGAAACAGGTCACCAACCTGAAGAGTTACTCGAACGGCACGAAAGACCGATTGAGTCCGCCCCAGTATGAGAATGACGCTCCTATCCGAAAGCATGCTCTCCTTGAAAGCGATGGTCTGGCGTCGGTTGGTGAACAAGTCAACGCTGGCGAGGTATACATCAACAAGGCTACCCCTGACCAATCGCACGGGTCTGGAATCACTGGCTCGGATGTTGGCCGACCAGTCCAGTACATGCCTACACCTATGACTTATAAACTTCCTGACCCGGCGTACATTGATCAGGTCATGGTCTCCGTCACCGAAAACGAGAACCAGCTCGTCAAGGTGCTCACCCGTCAAACCCGTCGGCCTGAAGTCGGTGACAAATTCTCATCCCGCCACGGACAGAAGGGTGTTGTGGGTATTATCGCCGACCAAGCCGACATGCCGTTCACTGACCAGGGTATTAACCCTGACATTATCATGAATCCCCACGGTTTCCCGTCTCGAATGACCGTCGGGAAAATGCTTGAGCTGGTCGCCGGCAAGGCCGGTGTCCTCTCGGGTCAGCACGGCTACGGCACTTGCTTCGGCGGTAGTCCCGTCCAGGAGATGTCGCAGATCCTGATTGACAAGGGTTTCAGTTACGGTGGCAAGGACTACCTCACCTCCGGTATCACCGGCGAAGCTCTCCCGTTCTACGTCTTCACCGGTCCCATCTACTACCAGAAACTGAAACACATGGTCCAAGATAAGATGCACTCTCGTGCGCGAGGACCTCGTGCCATTCTCACCCGTCAACCCACGGAGGGTCGTTCGCGAGATGGTGGTCTGCGTCTCGGTGAGATGGAACGTGATTGTCTGATCGCCTACGGAACGAGTCAGCTTCTGCTCGAACGACTGATGATCTCCTCTGATCGGCATGAAATCGACGTCTGCGAGCAGTGCGGCTTCATGGGCTACCTCAACTGGTGCCAGCGATGCAAGTCCTCTCGTAGCGTGGTCAAGATGGTCATTCCGTATGCGGCCAAGCTGTTGATCCAGGAATTGATGAGTATGAACGTTACAGCTCGGTTGAAGCTTGCGGACGAGTTTCCCGAGATGAAAGGACGGTAAGGAAAGGATGGCAGGGAAAAGAAAAAAAGGAAAAGTTGGCCTCGGCCTTTGAAAAGTGTTCCAAAAAAGGCGTTTTAGTGGTCAATGTACATATCGTTTGTATGCATAGCGCACGGTGACTTGGTTTGAATAGAGGTCCATGATTTTTGGTCAGGATGTATCTGGAGGACTCTTTTTTCTTTGGCTTCACAGAGTATGCGAGGGAGATTTGATATAAGCATTCCCCTATCCTATCAGTAACATATATCTCAAAAGTCTTATATATCTCTAGACTCGAAGAATCTCTCAAAAAAGAAAGTAACGAAGAAAAAGAAACGGGTTTGGCCAGGGAGCTCCAGCCATCCACAAAAGCCTGCAGACGACATCTTGCATCCAGACGCACCTCCTGACATAGCGTGCAGGGCCATGGCACCCCAAAACCGACCACAAAGACCATCGCTTGGTCGCTGAAGACGCGTCGCATCCACACTCTATACCACATTCGACGACTTCAGATGTTCACTCACCACGCCCCAATACCGCTCGGGATCAGCCCTCATGTGAGAAACATGCGGCGAGCCATCGAACTTCTCCCGCCGAACAGTCCACCCCTTGGACTCCGCCTCGGCGGCATGTGCCTCGATATCCATCCAGTTGACCAGCTCGTCAGCATCGGAGTATATATAGTACCGGGGTGGGGTGTCTTTCCCGCCAGCGCCGCGCACCACGAGCGGATCGTTGGCTGCCTGGCGCGCGATGCTCACTGCGTCCGAGCTGCCGGTGATTTTCCGGGTCCAGTGATTCAGGATCAGGAACGTCCAGAGCAGCGCCTTGCCGCAGATGCGCAGGAGCCAGAACCGCGGCAGAATGAACGAGAAGGCCCTCATTGCGGCGGGGACAGTGGCGACGCCCGGGGCACTGTCGAAGATGATGGACGATATGCGTAACTGGGTCCCCGTTGCTTGGTGATACGCTGCGATCAGGTTGGTGGAAGTGAAGACACCCCCGTTTGAGAACAGGTGCAGGTAGATTGGGCTCTCCGGGGTAGGGAGCGAAGCCTGGAGGGCTTGGACCGCGGGTGAGAGGCGCGCATTTCGCGCCTGGGGGGTGTGATGGAAGAGAAAATCATTCGAGGAGCTGAGAATGAAGACGATTCGGGCCGATGGGGCCAGGCGCTTATACTCGACCACGTATTTGGCCAATGCCCGGGCAGGGGCATTCATCCAGAATGCGAGCACAATTGTCGGCGATTCTGTGCCATTTGGCGTATTGGCATCAGGCTCGGAGATATAGATCGAAGGGGAGAGCTTGGTGAAAATGGCCAAGGCATCATCCGGTCTAGAATTGGAACTCATCGTCGATATATAAGGCTGTGATAGTCGACCCTCGAGAACAATCCGTTGAAACTGGAAGTAAGCGACAGGGGCAAGCGGCGGGAAATATTCGCCGATGTCCACGACTCCGAAGCCTCGGGAACAGGAGGAGGATTTATGCTTGCCGGGTCAAATTCTGGAAGGTTGGAGAGAATGGAGGAAGGCAAGTTCTTGAAGCGCAGTCGATCGGAAGCAACTAATGGCGCAGGTCGAGAAGCCGCCGTTCGGAAGGCCGCAGCCCAAATCTTGCGACATTTTCCCTGCTGCCGTTAGTCACGAATACGCCACAGCCCAAAGCTATTAAATTGCGATCTTGGCTTACTGCTCATTCTCTACTTTGGTCGCAGAACGCGATGGAAGACAAAATGAAACTCCTCATTCAACGCCAGTCCGGCCCTCGCTATGCTCTGATAAAAATCCCACCGGTGTTTTGTTTGTGCCCACTGGTTTTTTAGAGACAACATGGTTGGTATTCGCCAGGGAGAAAGTAGAAGAAGATTGAAAGAAAATAAGGCCATCGACGGAAACGCCACAACTACCATTAAGTCGTTGGATTGCTCGCACAACACTACGAAGGAGTCGCCGAACCCCCCGTGTCCTTCTTCTTCCCTCGAAGCGTCTGTCCGGCGCCTTGGAAGCGTGGCTTCTCATCCTCTACGACCTGTCCACTTTCATCTCGCTTCTTGACAGGCTTGATGGCGTATCCAAAGAACAATTGATTAGGCGGGAGGCGCAACGGCTGCGGTCCGTTGGTTCTTTTGCCCGGTGGGGGATGCTGAGGGTTGCTAGCCCCCGGGGTGGGCGTCGAGGCCTTGGGAGTTGGCGTTTTGCTGCCCTTTTTGGCATTCAAACGGTGTCCACCGACGAGGAAGTTTGACGACACCGCTCGCGCACCTGTCGCGGCATCCGTCGACTCTGGCGCGATGGCGGCGTAGTTGATTGCCTGTGCCATTGTCCCTTGTGGATGAAGCAGCCCGCCCGACGGCAGCTTGCCGCTCACGCCGCTGCGAGGGGTGCTGGTGCCGCTCTGGCGTTGGATTTCCTCGTATCCCACCGGCGGTGCGAAGTCGACTTCCAGGTCGGTCTCCAAAACCGAGACGGCCTTCGCATTGGTGGAAGGTTTTGTTTCCAACACAGCCATCTCATACACCTGGTCGTTATACGCAAAGGTAAACACGTCGCCTTTGGTGAGACAAGAGAAATTGCGGAACGCATTTTCCAGTACGGCTTTAGGGTCGCTGATATCGAGGAAGGACGTCGACTGAGCCTGCAGCTTGATGAACTGACCGGGAGGAAGATCGGTCGACTTGATCTGAACGAGATCACCGGGCTCGAGAAGGAGAGTTTGCATCAACTACACATGTCCAGGATAGTCAGTACAGGCGCGACAAGACACGCGAGTCACCTTGAAGATCCAGAAAAACCCACCCAGTACGGTAAATAGATCTTCCCTTCTTCGGCGATGAACTCCAGCACTCCAGCATGAGTCATTCTCTCGCGAGCCCCATTGTGTAGTTCGAAGAGCATGGGATACGTGATGTGGAGCCGAGTGAGTTTGTCCAGGGCGCTGGGCGGCATAATGACCTTGCCGCCGTGGTTGACATTCTCTCGTTCGGGGCCGGGCATCATCACGACGGGGTAGCAGCGATAGTATTCGTCGAAACGGCGCGTCGCGGCACCAGAACGAAGCATAGACGAGCCGTAAACGCCCTCCATGGGGTCGTCGCCCCAGTAATCCGGACGGAACTGCCGCCGTCAGTATACAAAGAGGCCGACAGCGACTGTATAGTGGGGAACGGTCTTACCATCTTGGGAGCTGTAGACGGTTGCAGTCAAGCTGATCCGCAAAGGAGAAGATGAGCGAAGTTGGTGCCGGGCTCAGGAGAGGGCGAATCGAGATGGATGCTGTCGACAGAACGAAGTTGGGGGAAGGCCGCGGTGGGATTGATTGATCGCCCGCAGTGACGCAAATGTCTCCGCCGTGATTTTCCGATCCGACCCCAGACAAGCTCAGGCGCACCTTTTCATCTCGCACTTGCGACAACCCTCTTTCTGGCCTCCGGGATTCAGTCCGGTGATATTATTCCTTTCGGTCAAACCCAACCCAAACTCCAATGTCCGGCTTTCAACCTCGCCCCAAGCGGGCGGGTGAAGACTTCACGAGAACACACCATGAAGAAGAGGATGCGACCGGAACGTCGTCGAAGAAACCCCGGTTTGATCTGCGAAACCCTTCCACGCTGGCTCCAGATGCCTTAGACGACGATGTTGTTCTGGATGCGGACGAAATTGGCCGTCGCGGGCAACAAGTGCGCCGCAAAGCCGTCAATCTCGATGGGTACGACTCGGATAGCGACAACGAAGGCTTCGATGCGCGGTCTGAGGCCAAGGCCAAGGCCAGTCGCGCGAAACAGGAGGCCGACGAGGATGACATGTTTGCCGAACTGCAAGAGGATTTCGGCGCAGAGGAGGTCGACGGCGACGAGGCCATGCGCAAGAACAAGAAAAATGTGCGCTTCCTGCGAGACGACGAAATCGAGGGCCAAGTCGCCGGGTCGAAGGGAGGTGGCACACTGCATGCGGACCTGAGCCGAGGGGCCGGCGAAGTGGACGTGGACGAGGAGGAGAGCGAGAGTGAAATCGGCGAGGAAGAACGTGCTCAAGTCGATGGGGAAATGGATGAGGAGCTAGGGGCAGGGTCGAAGAAAAAGCATGCGCCCTTGCTCGACGCTTTCAACATGAAGACGGAGCAAGAAGAGGGCAAGTTCGATGATCAAGGCAACTACATTCGCAAAGCCGTCGACCCTGATGCAGTCTACGACACCTGGCTGGAAGGCGTCTCGAAGAAGGACATGCGCCGCGCAAAGGAGGCTGCCGAGAAAAGAGAGACCGAGAGGAAGGAAAAGGACCGGGCCAGCGACAGCGTCCTAGCATCCGATGTGTTGAAAACCCTCATTGTCCACCTCAAGCGAGGAGAAACAATATTAGAGGCGCTGGCCCGGATAGGCAAGGGAGCTCCCAAAAAACCGAAATGGCAGAACAATCGCAACAAGAACCGATCCAAGCAAAAGCAGACCGCAGCGGAAGATGCAGACATGACTGAGGACGATCCCAACGAGACTGCGCGGAAGAAGGCAATTGATGATATTACGGGTGCGGCGGATATCCTCATGACCAGAGGCCAGGCTGACATCTACGATACGGAACGTGAGCTGTTGACGAGGCAATATCGTCGGGAAACAGGGGATGAATGGATTGATCCGCCGGAGGAGGATCCGGCCAGCACTGGCGACGCTCAGAGTCCTGCTATGTGGCAATTTCGTTGGTCTGATGCTCGAGACGGTGGCATCGTACATGGTCCGTACGATAGTGCAACGATGGAGTCATGGAAACACGCTGGTTACTTCGGTGAAGGCGTTGAATTTCGACAAACAACAGACACAGGCGAATGGCGAAGGGACGTTGATTTTACCTCTCAATAAATTTCAAGGGGGAAAGGCATAACTCAATAACCAATGTGTATAGCATCAAGCCACAGGTTGAGGGAATTCGTTTCACAATTATCGTTCGAGCGTAGATACACCCTTTTAATGCTATAACTTATAACTTAACGCAATCCAATTCGAGACCCAAATAATAAATGCCCGTACAACTGAGTTCTGAGCAAAGCGCCAGCATTATCGTACATCACTTGATGTTGTTAACGAAACCTAAGGGAATATAAAAAAAGAAACAAAAAGCATCTCACTATTTTGAGGGGTTTTTTTCCTTCACACGCTCAATCGTCCTGTTTACTCCATTCTTGCTTGCAACATCAGGCCCAATCTGAACCTTCCGCCCGCAGAGCACTTCATGAAATCTCCATGGCGTCCCCATTTGCCGCTGCGGCGGAAAAGTTCACGGATCCCTGATCACCGATGAAGCGTTGCTCATACTCATTGACAAACTTAACACTTCTGGCAGGATCGTAGAACAACCGGTAGCTGCGCTGGACGTCATCAATGCTGACCTCCTTGGCCTTCCGCTTCTGACTCAGAAGGTGGGATGTTGTAACGATATGGCTAGCATATCGGAGATTAGACTCTTGTCCGATTTTGGTCAGAAGTGCCAGCGCGTCTGGGGACAGATCAACCTCTTCCTCCTGGGCTCGGATAGCCAAGATTTGTCTGATCTCATCGGCGGAGTATGGCTGGGTACTGACGATGACCACACGGTCGAGGAAATCAAGAGGCAGACCGTGAGGAGAGTTGTAGGTTGTTCCCCGAATTCGAGCATGACCGCGGTTGCTAGCCATGATCACGATGGGGGCGAGTTCGGCTTCCAAGGCACGGTTGACATAGGAGAAGCATTCAATATCAAGCATGTGTACTTCATCGATGAACAAAACTCCGGGGATAATTTCCGCCTTGCCCTCTTCCTTCCACTCGGCCACCTTGGTGTTGATTTGATCCCGGACTTCGCTCCGGATTTCACCCGTGTCTCCTGAAAAGAGAGCCAAGAACCCTTGTGAACGCGAGTTGATCACGTCAATCTCGTGGAGGCTGACAGTGTGTACAATTTCCTTGCGCACCTGGAGTTCACCCTCAGGGCACTGGACGAATTTGGTATCGGCACCCATGGCATCGTAGTCTCGAGATCGGGCGTAGGAGCGTCCGAGCTTGGTGATCTTGCCCGACGACTTGTCGATAGAAATGATGTCTCCAGCCATCACACGCTCCTTGGTCATCGAATCAATCATCTTCGTGCCCATATCGTAAATCGTCTCCATGTCGGTGGTTTTGATCGTGAGTTTTCCTTGTTTGTTGCCCTGAGCTGGTCAGCATCGGATATGACCTCGGTGAAACAGCATATGATAGCAGAAAAGCTTACTCCCGTAATGCTCCGATCGATCTGAATTTCCACAACCTCTCCCTCAATGATCTCACTCTCCTCCTTAATCCGGACGCCGATCGATTTCCGGAAAGCTTGCGTGAGGGCTTCCGTCTTCGACATCTCCATGGAAAAGATTTCGGATGAGGCGAGCATCGTGAAAGGAACATCCGATCCCAGGGATTGTGCCATGCCCATGGCAATCGCGGTTTTACCGGTGCTAGGAGGTCCCGCGATTAAGACGGCACGACCAGCAATTTTGCCTTCCTTCACCATCTGCAGAATAACTGCAGCGGCCTTCCGGGCCTTTTCCTGGCCCACCAGTCCCTGCGAAGAGGATCTAGGCTGCAAGGAATCCCCATCGACCCCAAGTCCCCGAATATGCGAATGGGCAGCAATGAGGTTCAGACCCCGGAGCTCCTTGGTCTCCGCGACCGTGGAAATTGGCTGGGACAGACATTAGAGAGCAATCGTTGCGCAAGAGGAAAGCTAGAACTCACAGCGGCCATTTCGAATAAGGTGTACAAGGCGTGCCTCTTGCGATGCAGTTCAGCAGCAAAACGGGTCAGAGTGCGAGTCCTGCAATGAAATGGAATCCCGGGCGAAAGAGCTGCGCCCGGCAGAATGGCTACCGCATTCCCCACCGCCCGGCAGAACTGCGCGTTTGCTCTCACTTTGTTTTTCTTTAGTTGCTGGGGTGCTCGTGCTCTCTCCAGCAGCACCTGGTCTCTTCTTTTCCATCCTGTCCTTTCCAGCAAGCGAGCGAGACGGAATTTCTACCCCAGCTTCTGTGCTGCGCCAGTGCTATACTGGAAATGATGCTATATTTGAAGTATTATTGAGAACCAACAGAAAGTGGGCACGAGGAGAGAAAGGAGGGAAAAAAAAAATCCGTCGTGCTCCCCATCCCAGGCAACATTCACTCGAACCTCACTCCCCGTTCACCATCCCCTGGCTGTCACCTGATCAGGTCGCACGATACCTTGCCCTCATCTTCTCCTTCCGAGGGGCGGCAAAATGCAGCCCGAAAGCTCCCTCAACACCCCGACCTCCCGTGACCCCCGCTTGTCCAATGTCAGACCGCCTGTACGCACCTCTCTAGTTAGCTTGCCTGCTCCACAGCTTCCCAATTCTCCGATCCCTCCGAAACCTGCAACCCCGAATGATGTCGACTGTGACGATTTCGTTCGGGGAGTCTCGGGGCTGGTGCGGGCCACCATCCAGGAGAACCAGAACAAGGCAGAAAAGGAGAAGCTCCAGAAGCAAAGGGAGTCAACTGAACGCTTTTTGAAACGTGCCAAAGCCCATCCAAACTTCCCCGCCACGATAGACTTCTATCAACGGGCCCACGATGTCGAAGACGCGGATATCGCACGGGTAGACAAGGCACTGGAGGATTCCACTCGCCGTCAACTTGAGAAGGAACTGACGACCAAATTTCCGTCTCCAGCCTCGTCAAATGGAAAGGTCCCAGAGCTGGAAATGGAGATCAAAGCCGCCAAGACTGAAATTGCACGGTTGATGGAACGAAATCAGTCTCTCGAAACGGCACTGAACAACAAGATTTCTCAATTGGAGACAACGTTCAAAGACCAGTCGATGATCCAAGCAAAGCATAATAGGGATTATAAAGAGCGTCTGGACCATTTCAAAGTGTCGTCTACGAACACAGAGACCAAAACAGCCAATATCACCTCCGAAATCCAGGATCTCACCCAAAGGAGTAAGACGCTGAAGACCAGTATCGACCAGCTGTGGAATTCACAGAATTACACCACTGCTTCTGTTGCTCAGAATGCCGAAAAGATGAAGGTGCAGCAGGAGAAGTTGGATCGCATCAAACTCCAGGACGTCGAATCGATTCGGAAGGATCTGTACGAACTCAAGACACGTGTGCTTTCTTTTGAAAATAGCCATGTATCTGCCGGGCACGGAGGCCAATATGTACCTCATGCTGAACTGGAAAAGCTCACTTCGCGGGTTCAAACGCTAGAAGGAGCACCCAACCCGATGGTAAGGGTCAAAGAGCTCGAGGAGGTAATAAGAGACTTCCAGGAAATACACAAAATGAGCGACGATCTGCACTTTTCCGAAAAGGAGGATATGAAGAAAGAGCTGAACACCCAGGCTACTCAGTCGAAGGTTATGTCCGATGAAATCACACACCTTTCAAATGGACTGCGGAATTTGGCTCAGTTGAACCGGACGCCTCCGGAGATTACGACTTTGAGCACCTCTCTCGAGCAAACCAAACAACTCCTACAGACCGTCAGGGTAGGGTTGCATTCACTGGAGACTAGGTACAACAGTCTCACAACCGAAACGGTTGTTAAGAACATGCTTGGTGCAATGCACGAGATGTATCCGAATATCAATCAATTGACGGAGCAGACTAACAAAGTCAGAGGCCTCATTGAAAAGGAATTACCTCCGGTTTTGGCTAGGGTTGATGGCATGGACGAGAAGCTAGAGTCCCACATTAGCTCGATCCAAAAAGATAACAAAGCGCACGCCGATGAATTAAGACGTCTGAGGAATGATCATTCGGCTTTGTCTCAGTCCGTGGTGCCTCTCTGGGACCGATTCAAATGCGTAAGCCAGATAGCCACCCGCGAGGAATTCCAAACGCTGCGAGACGGTCTTGATTCTTTGGTCAACAGGGTTTCCAAGTATCCACCTGAAGACCAGGTGTCTACTCTGGGGGATTTCGAGGTGCTTCGGTCCAATTTCAAGGTTCTTGACCAAACCATGAGTGGGTTTAGATCCAGCTTCATCACGCAGCTGGGTGGCAAAGCAGACGATGACATAATGAGGCAGACAGTGGACAAAGCACGAAATCATCTCATGGGGCGGATCACGAGCATTTCCACTCAAATCGAAGAATTGAACAAAAATCTTGATGAACTGAAGGCGGCGGGAACAAACCGCCTCCAGACCACATCCGAAGAGAGCGAGGCAATGCGAGACAACATCAGCCAACTTCAAAAGTCCGTGCTCGAGAAATATCAACGTCTGCGCAAAGAGCTAGATGATATCAGAGAGACCATGGAGTCACATGCATCCGAAAAGTCACCGCCAGCCTCCGCTCAAGAAGATCCTGCACCGCGTTCAAAAGACCGAATACGGACACCTAAGCAAGAAAGTCCTGCCCTCGATGTGGCTGCAGTTAGGGTCGATGCGGAAACCAGCCCAGCCCTTGCTCTGCGGGAGCAGAAAAAGAAAAAGAAACGGCCTCGCCAGTCAAGTCTAGCCAACGAAGAGAAGGTCTCGGCGCCTCCGTCCGAATCCTCCGGGTCTTTCTCATCCCCAGCTCCTTCGACACCCGGAGCAGATGAAACGCCCGAATCCAGGAAGAAAAGAAAGAAGAAGAAGAGGAAGGTGAACAACCCGGACAACCCGTTTCTCATCGATTAATACGAAGTCTTGTACATCAACTTCAGTCACCCGTGTTTATTCTCATCCGGTCTTGTGGCGGCATCTGATACCACCCAACCCATGGCCTCTCTACTTTGGAATAGCTTGGCCTAGCTTGTAATTTCGGTTCCTATTTCGTTTTCCCCTACCATCCTTCTCTCTTTCGGGTCTTGTCTCTTGAATGTATCTATTGTTGTTCTACATATTTACCGTGTGTAGTGAACGACGAGCCTCGGTATTGTACATACGCGAATTAGCAAATGAGCGCCGCCCTCATAGTCCTCATCGAATTTATTACTTTTTCCAATCGTCTCATTTGGTTTCTTCTTGGCATATATGCGAATAAGTTTCTAGGGTGTTTCTTGCAAGAATTTCACAACAACTAGAAGCGAGCAGAGGGTTAGCTGGATGGGACTTTCTACAGGCCGCCGACGCTTACCTTGTCTGAAAGCTTCCGGGTTCTCCGAGATCAACCAGTGGCCCGCCTCCACGTCGGCGATTTGAGAACGGGGGAAGAACTTCCTGATGGCGGGGATGGTTTCATTGCTGACGTATCGACTCTTCGTGCCTCTGACGAAAAGTGTCGGGCCTTCGTACGTGACCTGGCCCGGTTCCTGGTACGGGAAGTCTGCCATCTGGTCGAGGGAGGAGCCAATCACTGACAGTGGCACGCGGAATTTCATCGTCTTGTCTTCCTCCGAGCGGACCAAGTTGGTCAGGAGAAATTGGCGAATGGGCAGAGACTAGAGGTCATGAGCGGGTGAACATCGTTGGCATGGCAGGACGTACCTCTTCGTAGCCTTGGAGGATCTTATCCGCGTCCGACTGCTTGGTGACATTCTCGGCCTCGACATGCTGCATGCCTTGAACATACTTGCCAAAATCACTCTTCAACGCCGCATTGACTGGCGCATTGTCGACGGGAATCAACGCCGAGACCAAGCCGGGGGAATCAAGAGCAACTGTCATCGCGGTTTTGGCACCCCTATCGCGCACGTTAATTGGGATTCTATTGGCAGGGTCGAGCTGAACCGCCGCGATCATCTATTCCAACATACATAGAATGCCCGATCAGGACGCACTGGTTCAAGTTCTGCTGGTGAATGAACTTGGTGACATCTTCCGCCATCGCCGAATAGTTGTGCTCTTGGGCGTGGAACGACTGGCCATGGTTCCGAAGATCCTACGCATGTCCGTGAGCAGGGATGGGCAATGCAGGTTGACATCGGTGGAGTTCAACGTCCACAGGACACGCACCAGCGTGAAGATCTGACGATTGAGATCCCGTGCCAAGGCTCTGCCAGGATGAATTAATTAATCTGGTTATTACAAGGGGGAAAACGCCGGTCTCACGAACACATACCGGCTAATGCTTCGATTGTTCTGTTTCGAACCGAACAGACCGTGCAGAAAGACGATCGGACTGCGGCTGGCCTCCTCCTTTTCTGGTCCGAAGACCTGGAAGGACAAGTCCGACCGGAGAATGCGCGAGGTCGAGAAGGAGCGGACGGACGAGGCGCCGCGAAGGGCCAGGCGTGTGGATTGCATGATGCTACTGGGGAAAATGCCGGGAGGTGGATTCTTTGCCACTTTCTACGGGCGCGTCCTTCCACGCGTGACTAAGCGGGTCCCTTTGGTTTGATCTTCTACTTCATCTTCATCATCATCATCATCTCCTTCCATCCGGAACATCTTCAAAATTGTACTTATTTACAACTGAACGTGTCTTCTACCCTAACAGGATCGGCACTTTCTCGCAGAGATACTCCACCACCGCGTCGGGGCCTCGTTCTACCTGCAGCCCCTCGGGGATGGCATGGAGCTTGATGTCTGGTCTGATTTCCCGGGCGATGGAGTGGATCTCGCGAGCCTGCTCGTCGGACCACATGGAGGCGCTGAACTAGGGGGGTGTCAGTCGCACTCTCAGGCTTCGAGAATCAAAGCGATCCGCCTACCAGAACGTCGGGCATGTGCTCTTTCACTTTGGGAGCCACTTCCTCGATCTCTATATGATCGTTAGCATCTCGGTCCCCATCATACAGGCTGCGGGGGAGTCCTCATACTTTCGCAGTTATCCACATGGATGATGGTGTATTGGTCTTTTAGAGCTTCCACCACTCGCCCGATGAGTCGTTTGGCTCTTTCGGGCGCGGTGTTCACGGTGACTAGACGATAGGGACCTTTGGGGGCGGACATGCTGACCAGTGGTATTGAAGAGAATTGAATTGAACCTGGAGGCCATGCAATCCAGGGGTCTTGTCGCCGTTAATAAACGGGGAGCAACTTCTCGGACGGGCATCCCCACGATGTCGACGTGGGGAAGCTTGCCGAACTTCCTCCGACGCGCCCACTTTCCCCCGCTCAACCCGTCGGATATCCCGCGAGGCATTCTGGCAACAAAACATCTTCGACCCCCGGTCTTCTCGAGTTTAATCAATCGCCCTGTCTCAAATACTTCGGTCGATCTGCAATTAAGTTGCGACCACAGCACAGATGTCTCAAATCGCGTCCACTTTCTCGCGTACGTGGTAGTCTTTCAGACGCTTGCCTCATCCTCGCAATCCTAGAAGATATCTGACCTCAAGCAGGCCTTGTGCGCTTCAGTCCCAAGTCCAACCCGTCAAAGATCCTGATCGGAGAGCCGGTCGACCCCAAAGTCGACGTTGGGCTGGCTCTCTATCACGGCAAGGACGTCTCCGTACGACCCTTTTCTGGGTCATCCGTGCTCAGCCCAGGTCAGAAGGCCGAGTCGACAGAAACGATCGGGCGAATCCTGTCGCCATTGTCGCAAAAGGAAGTTGGCTCGATTCGATGCATCGGGTTGAATGTATGTTTGAACTGCAGCCAGGCGCATTGGTGCGAATATCCTGAACAAAAGACCCGCTACTGAACGCTGAGAACAGTACACCTCGCATGCCGCCGAGATGACGTTGGCCATTCCCGACTTTCCAACCTTGTTCATCAAGCCATCTACCTCTCTCGCTGATCCCTGGCCTGCCCCCACCGTTCTCCCCAAAATCACACAAGTCGATAGCACCGGCGACTATGAGTCAGAGATGGTGATCGTGATTGGTCGCGACGCCAAGGATGTCAGCGAGGACGAAGCATTAGATTACGTCCTGGGCTATACGGCAGCCAACGATGTGTCTAGTCGGACCTCGCAGATGAATCAGAGCCAGTGGTGCTTCTCCAAGGGATTCGACACGGCCTGCCCCATTGGTAAGTCGCCTTCTTCCATTTCTGCATTCCGTGCGCCACAACGCTGATCGTCTCAACCTTATCAGGCCCGGTTCTCGTCTCCGCTGCACAATTTGCGGACGCCAGTCAGTTCCACATCCGCGGACTGAAAAACGGCAAAGCTATGCAAGACTGTCCTCTCACGTAAGGAGTCGAGCCCCGTCAATACGCACGCAATGGCATTCAAGCTAATGCACCCAAACAGAGACCTGATTTTCAGTGTCCCCAAGCTGGTCAGTTTCTTATCACAGGGCACGACTTTGCCTGCCGGAACCATCATCTTGACGGGCACTCCTCCCGGCGTCGGAGCGGCGAAGAACCCCAAGGAGTTCTTGAAGGCGGGCGATGAGTTTGCCGTCGAGTTGCTTCCCCACGTCGGAACCCTTATCAACAAGATTGAAAACCAAGCATAGAGAGACGGGATCGAGATGTAATCTACATGGAAGCCATAAAGCACAGTATTTCTCACGGTGTTCCGGGATTCAGTCTTCACGTCACAGATGTGTCATCTATAGTCGAGTCATTTAGACTATTTTAATGTACCGTATGGAGAAGAGAGATACACGCAAGGGGACGTGGTGAGCATCGCGACGCGCAGTACTGCGTACTCGTTGACCGCAGACTTACCTCCCCACAAATCCCCACGACGCGCTTTCCACATCCCCACACTCGTCAGGAAAACTGCTGCTGCGAGGTAGAATAAGTCAACCCGACATCGGAATTGCGAAAGAGGGACAGGGAAGGAAGAAATAAACAGCTGGCATGGAGTAGAACTGTAGAAGTCTGTCAAAATAGCCCCATCATGTCGCATGAGTGCCGTGGATATAGATTTATCCCGGGCGGCGGAGGCCTTGTCCGTACTCTATCGGTTGCTGAAGACGTTTGAACAGTACATGCATACTTCCACTGCACGCAACGAACAGATCATGTATTCCTTGTGTATCGTAGTGCAGCAGAGAAATACTATTAAGATTCAATTTGCATCTTTACCTCCTGTGAAGAGAGAATGCAGATTGCCGGCCTTGGGACCGACTTCCCGAGTGAATGGGCCCCGATCGGGCCGCCGTCTGGGACTAAAAGACTCGAAGTGGTCTGACTCTTCGCTTTCCCGATCGTTTGATCTCGGATGGGTAAACTCGGAAACTCGAAAATTCTTCTGTGGATTCCGTGTGTACGGTGGTTTTTAAGTGGGAGTGTATATAAGTAATTTAGTCGGGGCCGGGCTTCGTGGTTTTTTTTTTTTTTTTTTTTTTTTTTTGATTGAGTTCTGGTGTCTATTCTCCTAGCACGCTAAATACAGCTTCAAATTTACTCTCTCGATGCGGAGTCCTTCAAATCAAATCTATTCTATATCCTTGCTCTGGTGAACTCGATTTCTACCTCCGATCACGCTAATTTTCTATTTGCGAAATATCAATTTGGAGGCTTACTCGGTGGCCGGACGCCATGATCGCCCCATCCAATGCAGGAGGATGGTTGGAATCACACTGACACCCACGATGAGAGCGCACCCAACGCCCGAACTAGCTGCAATGCCGACGGTTTCGAACATCGGAGGAAACCTAAATGGCCGTTAGCGATGGATATACACTGACTCGGACGCGACGGAGACAGAACTCACCAGAAAGGGCCCAGAAATCCCCAGATCTGACGGACAAACGTGATGAACACGCCGACGCTGGCAGCCTCTTGAGGATAGCAGTCGACGGCATAGGTGATGAGCACGGTCGTTATTACCTGGTTGCCTCCGGCTCCCAGGGCGATGCCGACGATCGGGGCCACGTTCCAGTGTCCCTGCTTGGCCTGCTGCGTGCATACAAGGAAGACAATCAGGCCGACGATGGACAGGGCGAAACCGATATAACTGAGCCAGAGACGGTGCTCGGGCTCGGGCTTGTTTTGGGTCTTCTTAGCCCGCCGGTTCATCCAGACGTCAGACAGCGTGCCCCCCACCTGCTCACCGATGAGGGATCCGATGATTGGGCCTAGAAACTGGAGACCCAGCTGCTCCGTGTTCAATTCGAACTTTTCCTGAAGCAACTCTGGCACTTCCACGGTCGCCAGCACGTTGCTCAGGCAAAAGACCATTGCGTATGCTGCGGCGGGGATGATCACGGAGGGATACATGACCATGGTCAGTGGCTTGACGAACTCAAACCAAGAAAATGGCGTCGGGTCAATACGCCTCAAAAGCACATACTCCCTCATCCATGGTGGTTGTTTCGGATCGACGTTACTATCAATGTAGCGAGTTTCCGGGCCTAGGAAAAGATACAAGATGAATTGAACCCCGTTGACCTAATCAAAGAGCAGAACACGTTAGAAACCGGCCAATGGCACAACGAAGGCTTATAGGGATGGATATTACTGACGATTGCAAGCACCCAATAGATCCACTCATAGCCTGCGCGATAGGCAACGAAACCAAAGATAAAGGGACCGCATGGGATTCCCAAAGTGACCAACAGGGTCCACACACCCATATACCGTGCGCGGTCCTTCTTGAAATACGTCTCCATCACCACCGCACTTCCGATGGCTTTTTTTATCATGTCAGCGCAGTTCCTTCCTATGAATTGGTTGAAGTGGTGCCTTACCGGATGCCGGCGAGATAAAAAATGCCTGCAAGGCTCTACAGGCAGCAGTTGACGCATAATCAGTGCTCTTGGCGCATCCTATATTGCAGACGAGACTGCATATCAAAGAAGTGAGGAAGACGGGGCGACGACCGTAGCGGTTGGATAAAGGCTTCCAGAACAAAGGTGCTCCGCCTAGGATGGCAATCTGAAGCGAGGTCAGATAACTGGCTCTCTGGATCGAAACGCCATATTCTTCGGAGATTCTGTTCAACATTCGATTAGCCAATGCATGGTCCGACGGTGTGCAGGAAGCGCCTCACGTTGCATAAGCAGGAATGATGCCCGCCGCAGCAAACGTTCCCATACACGCGTGAAATGCCACCAAAACAAGGTTGGCCAATTTCTAGAAGAGCACACCACATCGATCAGCCTGGGTCATAAAGTAACTCATCACAATCCATCGTTATAGGAGACTAACCTTCCATGACGGCCAGTTGTAAGGATCAGCAGGATCCAGGCTCGGGATAGGATCGAGTTCCAGCGTGCCATGTCGTTCCATCAAATAATCTCGATGTGCTTTCGAAAGACGCGAGGCCACGATATCAGCATAGGTCGTAGGAATGCCGGCCTCCGTGCTTTCTACAAAGTCAACGCCGACTTTGCCTGGCTGGGACACGTCCGGGTTATCGTCGGCATGGGCATGCCTTTGCATCTCCATCGATGCAGTCATCGTGCTTTGCGGAATCCTCGTCCGGGCGGCAAATGGGAAAGCAGATTCTTTGAAATATGGACGACTGAAATATTCTTTCTGTATACGACTATCCGTACAAGGATCAAGGAGGTCTGGGGGTATAAGCAGGAGGGAAAGAAGGCCTCGCACAGTGCCTAGAGAGGGTACGCCATTGCTCCTTCATGCAGTCAGACCTTTCTAGCCGAAGACCAAAAGACTGATTAGGCCCACACGGATTTGGACCGGTAGGAGGGATTGGCCTATCATGTACGCGGGAGTGGCTCTCATCCCGGGGTACTCCCAGACACTGACGACTCCCCGGGCACAGTTGGGGCAGGAATTGTCGTGGAGAACATGCGGAGGGCTCTCCACAGCCTCGTCGAGTCACGAAGACGACAATGGTCAGGGCGCTCCAGAGTCTGTCATTCTGGGATAGTTCGGCCTCCGTCGATTGGACGGTCCAGAAGTCAGAGCCACAAACTCAACCTCGTCGGGAGAAGGATTGCCGACGAGCCCGAAGTCCGGTTCCGATGGCCAATCCTCTCGCTAAGAGCGTGGATAAGTCTTTTGGAGTCGAGGCTTGTCCATGGAAAGCAAAAGCCCTGCGTACCATTCTCACTAGCCCCTTGGCCACAGGTCAAGTCTGCTTGAGGCAGGCTTCCCGAATGAGTCGGGATATCCGAGATCTTATTCGGGAACTCGGGTTAAAGTCGCGAGCCGTTGTCATTTATTGTTGCTGCGTTAGTAGATGTTTGGCGTGCGGAACTCGGAGATGCCACGGGCATTTGAAGTCCGAGGAAACCACAGTCCAAGCAGAAAGATGCACGGAGTAGACGGGAGGACGTCGAGATCCCGTTCGCGACAGCCGTTCCTCACGTGCCAAGACGCCGGTTGCCACGCGCCCCACAGAAGACAGAAGGCGTCCTCCCCACAATCCCCCGTCCATCAAGTCAAGTATCGCTTCGGCTCCCCCTGGCTGTCCCTTCCACCTGCTGATTGATGCCTGTTGTGTTCGGGGTTTCGACACTGGCGGTAATCAACTCGATCCCCTAGATTGGCGCTGGACATTGTCATGCCACAAACCACCACATCCCCCGGGGTCAAGACGCTGGTGTGTAGAGTCTGTCAGAAGGCCTTCTCCAAAGCGGAGCATCTAAGAGTAATCACAACTCCCGTTCTTGCTTGCCTTGGTGGAGACCTTGCTAATGTCCGGCATTTAGAGACATGAACGCTGCCGTAAGAACGCCCTGGGATTTGCATTCTCCATGTGCAGCCAAGCCATTAGGCCCAAGCATCGATCTGAGAACGCTGATAATGTGGTGATCAAGATACTGGCTCAAAGCCGTTTATCTGTAAGGAGTGTGGTAGGCCATTTGCCCGGCAAGATGCCCTTACTCGCCACGAGAAACTGCATGTTCGCGCTGCAGGCCCTAAACATGCTCGAGAATCTCCAACGCGGCATACTGTCGCCCAGCCGACTTCCTTGAATACTCTGCCAAGTTGGGATACTATCAAAGTCCCGGCAGAGCCCCCAATACTGACCCCTACCCCAACTCAGTCATGGGAGACTTCACAGTCCGACCACGATTCCGGGCTGCATCAAACGGCGTCAGATCTTGATTTTTCGCTGGTATGGCCCGATTCCGAGGACCTTTTCCAGAGTATCATGTCATCGGACACCACGGACCAATGGCAGATGCCCCTAGGTGCTCTACCATTTCCGCCTACGGTGCAGGATTCCAATGCAATGTCTTTTGGATCCCCCAATTCGTTTGACGACCGTACCTCTTCTATAGGTGTGATCCCCTTTGGGGGCAGCCATGAGGCTGTACGGGATGTCACCGAAATGGTGACGAGTTCGGTATGTAGGCTCGGGCCGCTTTATGATTCTTAGCTGAGACTAATCGTTCTCGTTAATAGTCGTCTAGCGTAACAGCTGCGATTAAGGCAACCTCGATCACCTCGGTATTTCTAGACGAGTGTTTGCACATGTTTTTCGTTCGATTCATCCCGACCTTCCCCGTACTGCATCGGGCAACTTTCGTATTCCGAGAATGTACGCATCCTCTTCTTCTGAACGCTATGGCTCTCGGCTCTTTGTACCTGGGTCCTAAGGACTCGGTTGCGAAGGTAAGTTGCTTGCTATAAAAGGAAAGAGACAATATCTCATGGTGCTCAAACAGGGCGAGGCATTGTGGCGGCTAGCCCACACTGCAGTGGCTACCTCGGTATAGTCTTCACCTCTTAATTTGGCCATTCCGTCATGTTAATGTCCGTAGTGGCAATCCCTCATCACACATCGTGGTCCGTACGATGCCTGCAAAGGCGTTCAACTTCTGATCACTGCCCTTTTGGGTCAAATATACGGTGCATTGTCCAAAGTAAGCGGACCACACGAAACTCTGACTCGGAGCATGCGCTAATAAGGGCTTCGATATAGAACAGGGTCATTCGCACGACTAGTCAGGTTTTCCGTCCGCTTGGATTCTTCTGGGCAAGGCATTGTGGCATGCTAGACTGCGCACCGTTCTCATTAGAGAATCTTCCTTTCCCCACGGCTTCAAGTGCCGAGAAAGAACAGAAATGGCGAGTATGGGCTGCAAGAGAGATTCAGCAACGGGCATTGCTTGCATACCATGTACTGGATGGCCTCGTCGCCCAGATGTCTGGGGACGGCGCCTCCACGCGGCACGTTGCCAATCCACTCATATTGCCCAGCAATGAGGCGGCCTTCGATGCCAGCAGTCCTGATGAATGGCTAGTACACATGCGCTCTCACACGACAGATCAACCGTCATTCAGGTTGATCTTCCGCTCTCTTTTCCCTCCTATTGGTAGCTTCCGGTCCCTTGACTATCAGTTTTCGGCCTTCGCTTTGCGGGTTGTTCTCGAAGGTTTGCAGTCACTAGTTTCGGACTCCGATGACAGTGATCTGGTTGCCGTTGGTGTCCCCAGCCGCTCAGATGTGAAAAAAGCGTTAGCCCAGGTCCACGAGACCATTTCTATGAGCATTCATCTCTCAGCCCCCGAAAGGCTTGAGGTTCTTTTACGCTGGCACACAATTTGCTTGGACACGATGATCAACTCGACCGTGCTTTGCAGACATGTTTGCTCTCGCTTCGACGTCGCCCAGCACGTGTCCGGCGGTTCTCGTACCATGAAACCCGGGTTCGATATGGCCAAATGGGTCAACACCGAGGACGCTCGGCGTGCTTTGTTGCATGCTATTGCAATTCAGGACATCATCGAACAATTGCCTAGAGGCCGAGCTCATGTGATTCATATGCCCAGCTCTCTTTTCGCGGCGGCAACTATCTATGTTGTCTTCTCCCTCGCCGGTGTGACAAACGTTAAGCTACCACGTACCATCGTTTGGCCAGATGCCCTGCTTTCGCAATCTGACTTTAACCTTGGATGTGAAAGTACAATACCATCGGCGCTATCGGAGACAAGGCGCTTTGTTGAAGAAGGGAGGACAGACTCTCCGCCAGGCATGGGTGCAAGCCGGAATTTACTCTACGAAATGAACTCGATGCAGAAGTTGTTCCGCTGCCTTATATCACAATGGGGAATTGCCCATGACATGGAGGAAATCGTTGACAAGTGGATTACACTATGTCATTAGATACTCCCTTGGGGCCTGGCCTACCAACAACAAGGATTAGGTAGCTGAAGGAATAAAGAAGAGGCCGGGTAATTTGACCTGTATCGTGTTCAGCCCAGCATAAATATAATGTGATTTTATTAAAAACATATGACTAGTGACTGTGAATAGTTCCTATCCTAAATATTAATTTATCAAGAGTAAAACCTAAATCGCGCGAGATATCTACGAGTAAAATACATAAAATCCTATCTAACAATAAATCACCCTCTACTAACCATATATGAGTTGAGACTCTGTAAGGAGAATACAGAACTGAAGATTCAAGTATATTGACCTTTTCTATAACTTGAAAAAGAAAATAAGAGAAGCCAATGTTGCTGGAATTAAGTTAACACATGTGTCCACGCTGACAAAAGTATGTCCTACTGGCTAGAACTCTCAACGCTTCCAACCTTTTCACCCTTTCCCCTTAAGAAGTTTTTGTCGTGGGGCACGGGCTAATCTTGCATTACTGGTGATTCGCTTTTCAAAGCAAAATGAACCTGGAAGAACATGGGCTTAGATAGAATGAGATATGGCGTAGAAGGTAGGAGCTCGAACACATCTTGCTTTTTCCAACCACTAAACAGTACATAAACAAATCAGCTTTCCTTCCTTGCCTTTTTCCATAGATTGGCCAATTTCCTTCGGATGGAGGATTCTTGACGTGAAGAATCCAACCCATTGTACCTAGACTCTGCAGAGGATATTCTACTAAGGAGTCCCAAATATTTCGAACTATCACGTCCAAAAACGATCTCGACGCCATCACGGGCCCGATAGTAATACAGAAGAGCTTCGTCAAACTTTCCTAGCTTCACAAATACATCAGCAATATTTTCAAGCGTATTCAAAGTCGGTACGTAGGTCGCAGCTAAGCCCGGCCCTAAAGCCTTCTCGTAACCTTGCAATGCTCGACCATACATTGCTTCCGCATCGCTGAGCCGGCCTTTCTCTGAATAAAGTTTGCCCAAATTGTTGACGGTATCTAGGGTTGACATATGTTCCGGCCCCCATGCGTTCTCAAACCCTTGCAGAGCTCGATTATACATCGCTTCTGCCTTATCGAGCCGGCGTTGGTTTATAAAAACGTTGGCTAGGTTATTCACAGTATAGAGAGTTAAAGGGCTTTCTAGTCCCTTTGCCTTCTCGTAACCTTCCAGTGCCCGGTTGTACATTGATTCTGCCTCCTTGAGCTGGCCTTGCTCTGCATAGATGTTGCCTAGGTTATTGACACAGTTAAGCGTTGACGTGTGTTCCGGTCCCCACGCGTTCTCGTAGCCTTGTAATGCTCGAATATACATGGCTTCCGCCTCACTAAACCGGCCTTGTCTTGCGTAGAGGTTGCCTAGATTGTTGACTGGATGCAGTGTTAAGGTGTGTGCCGGTCCCCACGTGTTCTGAAAACCTTGTAGGGCTCGGTTGAATTTCACCTCTGCCTCATCAAACCGGCCTTGGCTTGCGTAGAGAAGACCTGTATTGTTGACTGTGTTGAGTGTCGATGTGTCTTCTGGTCCTAATGCCTTTTCCTTGCCTTGGAGTGCTCGATCGTACATTGCCTCTGCCTTATCAAGCCGACCTTGGTCTACATAGAGGTAGCCTAGGTCATTGGCTATGTTGAGCGTCGATATGTGTTCCGGTCCCCTCGCGTTCTCGGATCCTTGTAGTGCTCGGTTATATATTTTTTCTGCCTCCTCAATGCGGCCTTGGTCTGCGTAGAGAATTCCTAGGGAATGTAGATCCTCTATTATCTCTTCTCCAATGCCTATATTCCTTATTGTTGCTAGGCATCTGTCCGTATGAGCAATAAGCCGCCTTTGACTGAGCCAGAACTTGGGCTGATCTTTCAATGGAACATGAGCTGCCACGCATTTGAGCGCAGTATAAGCCATGTCACTATCAAACTCTTCATTAAGCACATGTATCATCCAAGAATGGACGCACCCATGTACGCTGTATCCTCTTGATTCCACTTGCTGTGACACAACAGACTGATCAGCCTCAACCAGCCCGTGACTGCACAACAGCCTCAGGCTGTCGTGAAAAGTAAGCTTAGTCTTCAGTATTTCCCCTAGCCATTCTGGTCTGTATGGCCCGCAATCCGCTAAAAGCTCGTACCACAAGTCTTCATGATCGAAATAGGCCCATTGTCGAAGGAGGATGGCTGCAACTGGGCTCTGCTTTTTGATATGGACATAGGAAACATTCCAAGTTGAGTATAAAGTTTGGTCATATGTCGGTAGATGCGGTGTGTCTTTGTGTAATTGCTGCCATGAATCACGATACAACTGGAGATACTCCGTGCAAGTCACTGATACTTGCTCTAAGTATGCACCAGCAGTCGCAAGGGCGAGGGGAAGTCCATCGAGCCGCTTTACGAGATCGTTAGCAGCCGGGTCTACTATATTTTAGCCATTTGAAACTAACAGCAACCAAAAGGGCTCACCTTGTTTTAAGCGCTCCCGGCCAGAAACAGACATCAAAATCTCCAGGCTATCATTCATATCTTCGAGCTTGCATATTTTGATAGTCTGACCTAGCTTTACCCTAGAAGACCGTGTAGTCACGATGATAGCACCATGGTCAGTCTCGGGTAGATACCTGCGCAGATCGAATGCCATCGTGGAGTCTTCATCGGCACAGGTGTGGCTAACGCGTTCCTCCTTATTGTTGCTCAACAAGGGGTTGTCATAGTTGTCATAAACAGCCAACCAATTATGATTCATAGGCTCTTCCAACCACTGTTTTACCGCTGCCACCACCTGATCTAAATCGCGGCTCTTCAAAGCGGTTGTCATGTATGTGATGGACGGATGATGGCGTATAATCCAATCCGCCACACGAGAGAAACTTTGCTTTAGTGCTGTTTCGTCTCTGGCGTTGAACCATATTGTCGCCGAGTACTTAGAGGTATTCGTGGTATATCGCTTGGTATATGCGATGGCTAGCTGTGTCTTGCCAATTCCACCTAAGCCGTGCAGTACGGCAATGCGACGCCCAGCAGTGCCTTTGAAAACTTCTTCGATTCGCTTGAGCTCATCCTTTCTTGCAACGAACTGTGGTGCTTCGAAGATCCCCGATAAATTCAACGGGAGCGCGAAAGTAGTAGCTGGTTCGGAATTGCTGAATCATAAATAGTAAGCCCTCCCACACGCCGTTATACAGTATACTGTCTTCTTGGTCAAAACAAGGGGGTGATTTACCTCGGCATCTCTTCTATAGGCATCTCTATAGGCAGGTGGAAGAATAACTGTCTTGCATAAGCAGCAGCCACCGCCGCTGCGTAGCAGTGCCAGACGTCATTCTTGTGCGAATCGCAATAGTCGGATATGCCTCGAATAACCATACATGGGAAATCGACAAGAGCCCCTACCGCTTCCATCTCAAAGCATAACACCTCATGCTCTTGCGCCAGACTATCTCTTTTCTGGGCATCTTTGATCACTAGCTCCCCAGATGCTATTAAACCTCTATGTACGGCAATAAAGGGGTCGTCATCTTCTTCCATCGGTCGCTCAATACGCCGCTTCGGATCACATCCGCTCTCTTCACACGTTAGCCCGTTCTGCCGATGTCTATAGTCTGGTTGGTAGAGGTGATCATTCGCAAGGCCGGGAAACTTAAAATGACGAAGACTCCGGCGATTAGTTTGTATCCTCTGGGTATTCTCCCAAATCGGATCATGATCCATTCGTCGACGCTGCACAGCCAACTCTCGAGCGGCATTGAGGAGTATTGTTGGCGGAGGTGCAAGGACACCCTTCCGTTCAAAGTGACCGGCTCGTGCCTTTCCATGGTCATATTGTATAGCACCAGAATGTATACCTCGGGGTTCACTAACCACGACATGCCCTAGACGGATCATTCCTTGGTCTGTTCTTGTCGGCACACCACCCCCAATCCCAACTAATAAGCCGTACTGAAGGCGCGGGAAGCTCAGTCTCATCTGGGTGACGACAGCGGCTGCAGAGCAGTTCCCTGTCTTCGGAAGACCAGCAATAACGATGTTGTGACCGTTGATGCTGCCAAGATTGTAGACATTTGAGTCACCGCTAGGTTGCGGTAGAGATAGGTGCACCTCGTCCAACATCTCCATTGCTGCGATCTGTTCCACCTCCAACGGACAAATCCACCCCACCCTATAGGCATTGTGCCTCAACGTTCTTGACGACATTGTCGGGCGCAAGGTTCTCGGGGCTCTTCACGGGAGGTTTAGAAAGAGGTATTTAATAGAGTAAAAGAAAAAGCAGTCGTATGTGTAGGCGTACCAACAGCCTTCAAATTGGATCATGAATGGCAAAGATGAGGCACTAAGCGCCGGCCTTTCTGAGCTCCGGGGTGGAATCAGTTAGCGAGGCACCTGAATGAGGCATGGTGGAATGCAAGGATCAACTGAGGTCAGGTGATGGATTATTTTGTAGATTTCACTCTATCCCAAAGGTCAAGGGGTTTGGCAGTTGAGAATCCCGAGTAGACGATGGAGTTTTAGTTCAGAGTTAAACAAGCGACAAAGGCCATAGCAAAAGTTGAATGGAATATCAGCCACTGCTCTATCAATCGATCGGCCCACGTGCCCCCCACCTGATCTCCACCTTTTCTGCTCCACAACGCAAACGTCTAGATTTCTGCTTTACTACTACTCCGTACGTACCTCCATCGGTGTCTCAGTCGCCAACGCTCTGGACATACGTTGGCCCGTCATGCAGATGTCAACCGCGTCGTATGAGACTCCATGGATCCCAAGCCTGCAAATGCAGGGGGCTTGAGGGCAGTCTTTGCTCCCACTTGCGCGCCTCTGAGTAACCCTCAACCTCCTTTGTTCGGAGGCTATACTTAGGCTTTGTCAGGCTAGCAGAGGAGCAATTTGCTCACAGCAGCCATGGACCTCCCCACGTTCCGAAGATTTACAACGTCTACTTCGTCGCAATTATTGCGACGGTAGGAGGCATGCTGTTTGGTTTCGACATTTCGTCCATGTCCGCCATCATCGGAACGCAACAGTACATTGACTTTTTCGACAACCCCCACGGCGTTATCCAGGGAGCCATCAATTCTGCACTGGCGGCAGGATCGGTGTTTGGTTCTCTCATCGCCGGGCCTATCTCCGATAAAATTGGCCGCAGACTCAATCATGTTTGCCTGTCTTTGGTGGCTGGTGGGAACCGCTATCCAAGCCGGTGTCTCGGGATTTGGCACGCTGATGGCCGGGCGTGTGCTCAACGGTGTTTGCGTTGGTATCACGGCGTCTCAGGTGCCGGTTTACCTGGCCGAGATTAGCAAGAAGGAGAAGCGTGGCTCCATCATCGTCATCCAGCAGCTGGCCATCGAATGGAGTATCTTCATCATGTTTTTTGTCGGCTACGGGTGCTCGTTCATCGAGGGTCCGGCCTCCTTCCGTCTTGTTTGGGGTCTTCAATTCGTCCCGTATGTCATTCTCATGATTGGTTTGCGGTTCCTGCCCCGATCTCCTCGCTGGCTCGCCAAGGTGGACCGCACCGAGGAGGCGATTACAACGTTGGCTCGCATCCAAGCCAACGGCGACGTGCACGACCCTCTTGTCGTGGCCGAGTGGGAGGAAACCACGACGGTCCTGGCTGCGGAGCGATCTGCGGCTCCGGGTTGGCGTAAGTTCTTCTATAACGGTATGTGGCGTCGTACGATGGCCAGGTTCAGCGTTCAGGCCTGGCAGCAGCTCAGCGGCGCGAACGTGATGACCTACTACGTCGACATCTTCCAAATGGCTAAGTAAGTTTGCTTCACTCGTTCATTTCGTGTTTCGCTCGGAAGAAAAAGGAAACAAAAACTAACCCCTCTGAAGTCTCTCAGGAAACATCCTACTCATCTCATCCGGTATCCAATACGCCCTGTTCATCATCTTCACATCCATCATCTTCTTCTACATTGACAAGACCAGCCATCGGAACCTCCTGATGTACGGAGCCATCGGCATGGCCGTGTGCCACTTCGTCGTGGGTGGCGTGCTCTCCTCCGGCGAATACGTCCCCGGCGGCGTGGACGGCAACCTGCAACAAGACCCTCGAAGAGGCCCGGGAGAAAAACCTGCATGCCAAGGACGTGGGCCGGAAGACGGAGATGCAGACCATCGAGACGGTCGAGAAGGGACAATGATCGTCGGTATGCTATATATATATTTGGTTGCCAGGTGACGTCGGGGGTAGATTGACACGGCATGGAGGATTTCGTCGGTTTATGCTGCAGGAAGAGGGTCTATATCCGATTGAAAATTGGTGTGTACATACATGAGATCGAGAATATCTACTACACGAATGATCAAAACGCATTTGTTCATGCAATTAATTAAATCCAAAATTTGCCGAAATGGTTCATTCTATACAGGCAACTCGAAACAAAACCAAACAACATATGTCGAAGAGAGTAAATAACGCAACGAAAATGCAACACATCGGATCTAAATGAAGGGGTATCTCGAGGCAATCTGATGCACATGGAGAAAAAAAGAGAACAAAGGCTGAAAGACATGAGAGATGAGAACAAGACGTTGGGGAAGAAACGAGGAACAAATGCTATGTGTGAGAACGTTAAAAATGAAAAACGACAGTAGGTGAGAACATCAAGCTGCAGCGTTGTCGGCCTCTCGCATTTTCAGGACGGCCTTAGTGATCGCAGTTGCAATGTCTCTCAGCATATCCCTCATGACAGACTCCGGCTTTGTAGCCTGTGCTTGCTGGCGGGGGTCACAATCCCCAAAGAGCGGAGCCAGCCCGCCCCAGAAATTGCCAAACGCAAAATCCACCGAGTTCTCGACTATTTTCAGGTGATTTTGTGGTAGTCCCGTGGGGTCAGATACCGGAGTCTCCGACGGATGACTGCGAGGGGTTTGACGAAGGCGACGAGCCGGTCGATCATTCGCCTCGTCGTCATCATCCCGCGGTCGCTTGTTGGTCGGTTGGGCAAACTGAGGAACGCCGGGAGCAACGGGAAGGGGACTCTGCGTGGTGCTGGACTCATCCGCTCCGGTCGGATTGACACGCCTCTGGAGAGGCGGATGCAGGTTCATTGCGGCGGCGTGGAATTTTTGGCCGATTCTATTGAGAGCCATCACGGGGTTGATGGCTTGAGCGGGTCGGTCGGCCTGCGGAGAGCGGGAACGTTGCCGATAGGAAATGGTGGCATCCCGACCGGGCGACCGGGATCGGGACTGGGACTGGGACTGGGACAACAATAGGCGATCGTCGTCGGCATTGACCCGACTCCGACGGGAGAAATCCATTCGTGATTCACCCCAGTGCAGCGGAAGTAGATCCATTTCGACCAGGGACGGCAGACCCATCACCCAATTGACGACCCGCTGGATTTTTGCGCCATGCGGGACTTCCGGGGTGCGGGTCAGTTGAGGGTTAGGCTTGTCAGCCTCGCGGGCGTGAGCCTTCCGCCAGATCTGATCTTCGGCCACCTGGTACGCCTCGTCCTTCTTCTCTATGCAGTCCTGCGGCACTTGTTTCTCGCACTCCAGCCAGACATCCACCTCGTCGGCGACGTCGTCCAGGATGTCGCAGTCGGGGTACTCCTTTCGACGGACGCACTCGTCGAAGACGGCCCAGAATTCGAGTCGCTTGGTGACCAGGGCGATCATGCGTCGGCGGCACGACTGCCAGGAGTAGCGGCGACCGGTGGCTTCTTCGAAGGAGGTTGCGATGGTAATCCAGAAACTCTTGGGGTAGGCTTTCGGGTCGCAGCGGGTCATGGCACGGCGACAGATCTTGACGAGCCGCAGCTGTTGATCGGGGTCGAGTTGGAGACCGCGACCGGAATAACTTCGGCCATTGTCGAGGACGAGTTTGGCATCCCGGGACACCAGGGGCTGCTGGGGGTTGGGCGGTCGAGAGGCGGCGGGTGGAGGGTTCGAGGTTGAGGGGGAGGGGCCGTGGGATTGCGGTGTGAGATTGGGGTTAAAACCGGGGTGGCTGGTCGGCCACGTCGGAGGGCGGCATAAGGAGAGATGATGTTCCATTTGCTCCATGAGTGGCAAGGGATTAGAAGGAGGGAGATGGAAGACGGAGGGTGTCCATGGGAGGAATTGGACCCCGGGAGAGGGATGTGGGAGAGGAGAGGGAGAAAAGGAAAAGGACGAAGACAGAGAGGAGGAGAAGAGAAGAGAGAGAGAGAGAGAGAGAGACAGAAAGACCGAAAGGCGGACGGGAGAAAACGAGAAAAGAAAAAAGAAAAAGAAAAAGAAAAAGAAACCCGCGGGGCACGTGATTTGGGCAGTCAGGCCAGCATCGGTCGCTGGGAGGCAAATGACAGTCGAATCTGCGTTGCCTCCGAAAATCCAAAACTAACAATCCAAACGGTCTCGATGGCTCTGCAGGAATCCTTTGAGGGCGAAATGGCATGTTGTGGAAGGCCGCAATTTCCGATCGCTGGATGGACTCGCCCAATATTACCCGATCGGGGGGCTTCGCTCGTCCTGTACGACTCCCCTGGCATTCATCTTCTACTTTCCAAACTCTCCATGGCATCATCGATTCTACGCCGGTCCACGACCACTCTGCGAACCAAACGATCCGCTTGGCAGTTCCGAGGATCGAGCTCGCATTCCGGAACTGGTTCGACCTCCATTGGTGAACCCAACAAGGGGGCGTCGATGACTGATCTTTCAGCAATGACGGAGCGGATGCCTACTCTGCCTCGTTTGGAGTCGGCTTCCCCCGGTGGTCATTGGGAAATTGCCCACGGCATGCTGCATCCTGCGCCGTTTGAGCCGTCCCGTATCTAGCATCCAATTGATCTTCCAACTTGCTGCGTCTACGCAATCACAAGACCCCCGAAAGACGATCTTCATGTCGTCACTTGCGACGTCGTCCCCGCTTCTGGACGCAGCGTCCTCCATAACCCAAGAGAATGGCGCCCGCCATCGCTTCGTAGTCGACATCTCGCCCGAATGGACCACGCAACAGTACGTTCCCGTCAGCTTCGGGTGGAAACACCCGTCCGTGAGCTTGCCTGCCTGACCTATTCCGAGAATAGCTCCGTTCTAGGAGGCTTCCTGAACGTCATGGCCCTGTCTGCCACGCGAAAGTTCCTTGCGCAGGAATTCGGTGACGCCCAGTACCCGGATCCCATCCATGCCTTCGTGCAGTTTTTGAAAATGGTGCCCCCGGGCCTGGTTTCCCTGTGTTGCACTTGTCTGCGAGTATCCTCGCGACAGTGCGTGGTGAGGGTTGAACTGGCCCAAACGAAATCTCTCCGTCCGCCGCGGGACCCTGCTTCGACTTCGACCGCAGAGCCCGCCGCCGTAGCAATTGTGACCTATGCCGATCTATCCAAAGAGCACGGCCTGACGCAGACAGCCGCAAATCCGACGATTCCGAGCCGATTTCCAGACCGAGTCCGGGATTGTGCAGTCATCGACGACCCCATAGTCGATGCAACTCCCGTCACCAGCAAACTGAACTGGGTTGCGCCACGCGCATCCAACGGGTTATGGGGCCACCGACTGGGAGGCCACCAGCGCGAGGTGTGGATTTCGTTCCGGGACGGATCAGCCATCTCGGATGTTCTGCATCTCGCGTTGCTGTCTGATATGGTAAACGCTCGTCCCTTGGAACCTGTAGACATTTCTCTAATCCCAAAGATTAGCCCCTGCAGCCACCCGCAACTCACGAGCCCAAGTTTTATGAGCGGTACGCTCTCTTCACGCTGTGCCTGTCCGTGGAATTCAAGAAACGACCGCATCCGTCCACGCAATGGGTGCTTGTCAAGTCAAACTCGCACACGGTCCGTAACGGTCGATACGACGTGCAGGTGCAGATTCTGGCGGAGAATGGCGACCTGCTTGCCTTGAGTCATCATGTCCTGCATGTTTTCGGGTTGCGAGCCCGGGAGAAGGCGAAGATGTGAATAGAGAGGAAATGCCATCACGCCATCATTACGTGTAATTTAGCAGATTAAAAACAATCTAGTCTTGGTAGATGGTCATTAAATACTCTTTGTTTTTCTTTGGCCTAAAATCGCGAAAAGGAGGACAGAATTGTACAGCATGGCCGTAGGGCTTAGGGCACAGGGCTAGGGCCGGGGGCGTGACTCCCAGCGTCGAGCAGCAGACAATCCAAGGGCTGCAATCTCAGGGACTGCGTTTCCAGTGGCAATTGTGCATTGCATCTGGGAGGTCTGGCCAGACCGCACCGCGCCCCACAGAAGAAGACAGATCAATTCGAAGGAAATGCAGATTGCCCAACCCGACCAGTATGTGACAGGTCACCAATCCTCCCCGCCAATGACATTCCCTGCACCGCTAGGTGAATTCGAGGAGACACAATGCATTGATTGCAGGCAGACAATCCCAGCCCACTTTCCAGGATCCCATTTGTTATGTATCACCCAGGGGGAAGACGAGTCTGCGCTAAAAAAGAGAAAAGAAAAAAAAAAGAAAAGGATGATGATGGAGAAGAAAAAGAAGAGAAAAAAAGGAGATTGGGAAAAAGAGGAGAAAGAAAGAAAGAAAAAAGACGAAAATGACAAGGTGATCTGGGGAAGAAAAGAGAAAACCGCAACCAAAACTTTGAATGTCTCCCACTATGCCGTGCCATTATACAGACTGTCATCCATGTACATGGCGTCCATGGAGTAGCCCGCGGGGTTGGGAGGGAATAAGAGCCCTGCCTGGTGAAACAGATCGGTCAGGACAGGGTGATCCAGAGGCGTGTCACTTCGGTTCAGACCAGTCGCGGGGGCCGCACTTGGGAATGGTTGATCGATGCGATCCTCCCCGGAGGGCTTGACGCGTCCAAACGTACTGATCGAGTTTTCTCGATCTTCGAGCTTGGGAAACATGGCCCCGGCGGGCTGGACAGGCTGAACAGGCTGGGCAGGGACGGGCGCGCTGACGATCTCCACATCAGCCACGCCACTCTGCCCCCAGAGAATGTCCGCAGTTCCGTTCGTGGCGTCCTTTTTGATGTCGGCCTTCTTGTTTTCGTCATCGGAGGTATCTCCGTCCAAGCAGATGGCGTCCATGGAGCTAGTTCCCCGGTTGGCCGAGCGAGCGGCACCGCGTCGGGTGGGGGACGTCAGGTTCGATAGATTGGTATCTTTCCTGCTCCTGGTCGAGGGCGTGTTTTTGGTGATGCCTCGACCGGTACGCGGGGTTCGAGGTGTCGACACGGCCGATCCTCGCCCTCGGGGGACCTGCGTGATGCCGCGTTCGAGAGCTTCGGTCTTGAGCTCATCGGCCATCTTGCGATACCGTCGGAATCGGCCTTCGATGGCGTCGTAGGTGGCTCCTTGTCCGAAATAGGTGGCCATGCCTTGATAATCCAACTAGTCCTCGTCAGTTGATTTGTCTACTTGGATGTAAGATCGAGGTGGGAGAGAAGGAGTATACTTTGATCCCGGGGTGGGCAGCAATGAGAGCCCCAAAGAGCCGATCGGTCGACTCCATGTTCTTCCAGTTCACCATGACGATGGTTGGGTAACTGGCAGAGACCAGATTCTTGGAGGCAAAAACTTCAAGGAAAGATAAAGAATGGATGGGGTCTGGGGATGGTATTGTAAAAGAAAGAGAGAGTTGGAAGCGAGAGGTGAATAACCAGAGGATGTAGAGAGAAGGCGTTCAGAGCCAGAGAATCTTTAAATGGTGTCTCAGCGAGGGCGAGTCTGGGATCCACGCATGTCGCGAGAAGTCTGGAAGGTCCCGGGGTCCAGGAGATACCAATCTTTGCCCCTCAAAATGACTCGGTCTGTATCGAATTTCCAGGAGCCCAAACCGTCGACAGGATTCGATCGCTACAAACGACGGGCGTCAGCGGAATGCGACGTCGAACATCCGATGCAGCATCCCGGCCGGCTGGAAAGATCGACGGGTTCAATCCTTCGGGGAGATGCAGGAACGTCGAAGTGATGCATCAATCCTTCCTGGCTGGCAGTTGTGTGGTACAGGGAGTCTGCGCCGTTTGAGCCTTCACTGTTCCGAGACATTCCCAGAGAAGCGGACAAACGCCGTCTGGCATCTTCCATTCACTGCCCCCTCGCCCTCTCTCTCTCCCTCGAACCTGACCCATCCCTCCTCTTTTCTTTCCTCAACTCTTCCTCAATCTCTTCTCCCTCTGACACCGCATCGATTTCCCTTGACTCCTTACATTGACTACATCTTCTACTCAAACAATCGCCAAGATGCCCATGAAATGGACCCCCGAGAACGACCAACTCGTAAGCTCCCTCTCCACTCTGTCTGAACTCTTGTTCTCTCTCTCTCTCTTTTCTCTTTCTTTCTTTCTTTCTCAGACTCGATACTGATCTACTCAGCTTCTCCTCAAAATCTTGGAGACCCATGACCTCTCTGTCGACACCAAGCGAGTGGCAGATGCCTGGCGTAAGTGTCCCCACCCCCCTCATACATCGTCACTGAATATTCTAACTGTTTCCCAGCCATCAACGAGGATAGCGGCAAAAAGAATGACCGTCCCACTCCTCGAGCCATCACTGAGCGTCTTGTACGCATGCGCCAGATCGTCAAGTCCACCGGCACCGGCACCAGCAGCACCGACGGACACTTCAGCATCGGCAAAGGCACTGGCTCCGCTCCCTCCACCCCCCGCAAGCCTCGTGCTTCCGGTCTCAAGACCCCCTCGACCTCGGGCAAGCGCAAGCTTTCTGGTCTGGGCGATGCCAGCCAGAATGCCCACAGGCCCGTCGAAGAGGATGACACCCCCACCCACAAGAAACCTTTGCATCCCACCCTGGCGGGCATGAATCGCAACGGCAATCCCGACCAGGTCGGCGTCACCTTGAAACTCGAGGTCGATGACGATGAGGGCTTCGTGGATCAGTTGACCCCCTCGCCCAAGCGGGTACGCAAGGCCAGCACCCTGCCTCTGGGGATGGTGAGCTACAAAGAAGAAGACGACGATGATTTGACCGTGGAGAGCTCTTCGGAGTATACTCCTGACCAGGTCCGCGAGGATGATGATATCTATGCGTGATTGCTTCTATTCTTTGGTTTCTTTCTTGCTCTTTACGTTTGTGATTTTGGTGGATTTGCTGCTTTCATGGAGATCTCGTTGCACGAATGGGGGTTGATCGTCTACGAGAACCGATGAGGGTTGGTTTTTGTATCAGCATACGATAGTTTTTGTTGAATTCACCCAACAGTCAACGTTGTGAACGCGTTTCATAAAAGAATCCCCATTGTTCTTCAACCCCTAAAGCCGAATGCCTCCCCTAAACAACAGGATCAAACTCATCCTTCTCAAATGCCATCCCACGTAATTTCAACTCCCATCTTTCCGGATCCAACAGCAACCTAAGACCAAACCCCAAGTAGAAAAGAATCTCACCAAAGCAAACACTTTGAGGAATCAATCAAGTAAGAACCGCCCTCAAGCCTCAGTAAGGGCCTCGCCATTTCCCTCCGCAGCCATGTCTTCGCCATCGGCTTTGGCCTTCTTGGCAACGGGTTTGTTGACCTTCTTGGTGCCGGCAGGCCTTCCTCGCTTTCTCTTCTCGGGAGAAGGAGCGGGAGAAGCAGCGGCAGAAGTCTGCTCCGCCGCGGGGGAGTCGTTCTCGCCGGCGTTGGCGGCCTTCTCTTTGATGCGCTGGATGCGATGCTGGATCGCGCTGACGGTGCACTCTGAAAGACTCGCGTTAGTGAGAGGATCGACAAGAGCTGCATGAGTGGGGGGAAAGGAACAGGATGGCGTGACGCGGCTTGACTTACCAGTGCCCATGTGCTTCGCGATGGCAGCGGTGTCCAGCTTTCCAGTCATGGTCTGGAGGATTGCCACGAGCAACTGAAGGGTCAGTCGTTGTTGAGGTTCTTGCGCTGGGGGGAAGGACTTACTCTCGCATCAGCCTGGTCGTTCCAGTTCATAGGCATCTTGAATGGGTAGCACGTGGATGTGTGGTGGTCGTAGATAGGAAAGAAGATATGGATGTGTGGTTCGTAGTTGCGAGCAACGAAAAGAGTCGAGAGACGGGAATGTCAGGGGAGGTGGGTTGAGGAAGGGGAGAATTCAGAAAGAATGGGGTTTTTGTAGTAGCAAGTGAGGTTACGCGGGCTCTCCCTGCGCAATTCTCAGGTTCGCCGAGACTTGAATGAAAACTGGGTAGTGACTGTGGCAGTCAAGCGCTAAGAAGAACCGCGGTCTGCAGTGTTTTGAGGTGAATCGAAGCTGTGTGCGGAACCGTGGATGGCTGGATGGGATTTTCACTCGGATTGAGCAAATATCTCTGGAGAGGATGGGGTTTCAAAAGAAACTATGGCAGCACTGAGAAATAATTGCAGACAGCGAACATGAGCCTAGGGTCAAAGAGGATAAAGTCAGAAAGACGTCAATTCAGTTGATGCAGAGGAAGCTCTTCCAGGTGGCTCCCACGGAAACGACTAAAAACAACTCAGAACTAGAGATGCACAAAGGGGCTTTTATCTCCTTCTTTTCCGACGACAGTTAACGGAACCTGCAAACATTATATTTGTAGTGGCTTTATCCCCATTATGTTGACCACAACCCCACAATCAGACGCCCTGGGTCCTAAGACCGGGCGCTCTCTCAAACACAAATTTGTTGTTCTCTTCTGGGTGGTAGGAAGAGAAGTAATCATTATATAGAAGCTCATCACGGCTTTTGTGTGCGGTTTTCAAGTCATCAAATTGTCGAAACACATGTCCCAGCGTTGTATACAGTTCGCAATAGGCAAGTCTAAATGCTAGTAAGCGGAACATACTCGGACCTATATGCGTCTAGGACAACATACATCATTCCAACGCATTGTCTTGATCCTTTTCCAAATGAGAGCAGGAACCTTTCCAAGTATCGGCTGTGGTCGGCGTCCAGCCAGCGATCCGGGTCGAATTTCTCGGGTTCTGGGAACAAGTTCTGGTCGTGGTGCATGGTCCACGAGCTCATACTGACAACGGTCTATGTAGGTCAGCCACTGATCATGTATTCTTCCAATCCGGTGCCTCGTTTGACCTACCCCTGCTGGCACTTGATAGTTGTTGAACTCGGCGCCAGGTTCGGGAACGACCCGCGGAAGTCGGCCAATGACGCCAAAGGATAGTCTGAGTATCATTAACTACAGAAAATTCTTTCTGCCAATCCAGGAGGGGAATTACCGCAGAGCTTCCTTGATAACGGCAGTCTGACGAAGATCCACATTAGCTCTTCTTCTCAAAAGTACGGTCCGCACATCCCTCACCAGATACGGTAGTTTCTCCAAAGCCACAAAGTCCATATTTCCCTTCGGATCCGGGAACGACTCTTTCAGCTCAGCCGTCAACCGGTCATAAATAGCCGGATTGCGCACCACGTTGTACGTCGCGATCGTCATGGCATTGCCAGTCGTATCCGACGCTGCGGCCAGGATGATATAAACTTCGTCCGTGAGATCGTTCACCGTCGGTACCACATGGCCCTCTGCAGCATCGGGGGAGAGAAGCTGATGGAAAACAGTCATGCGCGGCACCTTCTCGCCTCGGTCTACTGCGTCTTTGACCCGTTGAACCTGACGACGAGATCCCTGTGGCCGTTAGATCAGGGCACTGGACCAGCAAGAAGGCGATGGTCTAATATAGCACGCACCTGTTGATGCACCATTCTTCTCATCAACGCCCTACTCGTTAGCTTAGCTAGCCAGAACGGCGTACGGACTGCAACCGCCTGCAGCGTTGGGAACTGCTGAAAGAACCAATACGCGGGTCCAATATCCCGCATCATATCGAAAAAGTCGACGCCAAAGTGCTCATCGTCCAGAAAGCCATAACATTGATCGAATGCATAATCGGTGATCACGTCGATCGAGATAGCCCGGAAGCCGTGGTGTAAGTCGATGCGGCCCGTAGATTCGAAGGCCCGCTGCATGCGAGATACCAGCTTTTTAGCTTTCTGCTGCACCATACCCTCCAGGTCGAGGACCCTCTTGCGCGAGAAGAATGGGTTTAATGCCGCTCGTTTGATGCGGTGAAGGTCCGGGCTTGCCGTCGTGAAGGTAGACTTGTCAGTGCCGAAGGCGCCGTAGAAGATGGGATCCTTTCCGTATCGTGACCCTATGAAGTATATTTTGTGGCATTGTTCGGGGTCACTGAGGTGAATTTCGTTCGGATTGATACGGACTACTGGACCTGATGAGGGCGTTAGATACGTATCCATGAGAGAACGGCGAACGGAGGCCCGCGTACCATACTTCTCGTGGAGCCTTTGGGTCTGCAAATACATGTGACCTCCATGCATATTATACCAGAAGGCGTAGAGGTAAGACGCCCTAGCAAAAAGGGGACCAGGAACTTTGGCCAGAGGATGGAAAAATATGCGATAGACCACCACGCCAACGCCGCGCAGCACGATTGCGACCGTCAGGGAGGCTGCCAGCAGCCGCAGCACATCTAACCAAGTCATGTTTGATAGAGTCGAGGCGAGCGCCATGGTCAAATCTTCAACGGGATCTTTCTTTCGAGATCGCAAGAGACCAGATCAAGTGATGGATTTGTCAATCACAATGCTCAACGGGAGCCAGAGAAGATGGAGCAACACCATGTCCCATTGACGGGGGTAGTTCAGGTCCGCCATAATAAGACTTCTAATCCCGATTCACACGCAAGACAAGACAAGCCTAAGACAGGTGGGTAAGACCCCGCAGCGCATTGCTGCCATGACAGATGACCGACCGCCGGGGAGGAGGGGCGAAAGCCATCGGGATAGAACTAGCGGTCTTTGGCTGTCCGTACGAGATAGACCATGGTTCTTTTTCTGGCCACACAGGGTCACGAACGGCGAAGATCCCCAGTTTCCGCAGAAGGCAGCGTCGCATTCGGCTAGTTTGGGCCCGACCGGCAGAAGAAGGTTGATTTGGTGCTAATAACCCGACGGCTATCCAGTGCATCCAACTGGTAGTTAGCAGGATGTCGCGTTGCCTTCTCTGCTCGTTCTGCCATGGGGCGCAACGGTCCCATGCCAACCACCGTTTCGTCTGCCTTCCTGGAGAAACAAGACCCGGTGGCTTGGGACTCGTTGCAGAAAACGCCCTGCCGAAGCCAAGGTGGTTACGAAGGGATCCGTGCGAGGAGTGGAGTCGAAGGCGAATGTGACGACACCATCGTCTGGCTAAGGTTAAATTGCACAATCGTTTTGTTGAGTAAATACATGGGTAGCGGCATCATGTTGGGACGAAAAGCAATAATTAATGTGCGAAGTTAATAAATAGTCCAAATCGTCATCGTCATCGTAAGTAAATAACATGCATGGCGACTCCTTCCCGCCATCCCCGAGGCGAATCATGGGCCTTCACAAAGTACCGACGGGCTTTTGGCCGTACACCCCGACTCTGCCAAATGAAAAAAAGAAGTTAATCCGATCGGCATTCATTGCCTCGCCAATCATAAGGGAGTTAATCGAAAAAACGAGGGGGAGAAACGTACACTTGGAAATACGAATGAATTTCGGGGTCTCGGAGGCCTTTGCGCATTTGGGCCAAAAAGACCTGCACCTCCGTGTAGGACCACTAATGCAGAGTCATTCGGTCAGCAAGACATCAGATAATCAGGAAATAAAAGAAGAAGAAGAAAAACTTACGCCCATCACGCGCGTCAGTAACGCCATGGCCCATCCTTCGATCCCCTGCTCGCAATGGATTTGGTTCCACCGACCCAGTTTCCTCAGCTTCTTATCCGAGCTCCAGGGCCCGATCGGCAGCTTGAATCGTCGCTCCGTCACGTTTTGAAACCCAACGTCCTGCATGTATCCCCGGGCCAGGTCGGCGATACGAAAGGTCTTCCCAAATTTTTCCCCGGCATCGATGAAAATCTTGGACCAGACCGCCAGGACATGATCGTCGGTCACGGTGCCGTCGTCGGAGGTAAACTGAATGGACATCTCCAGCTGATCGAACCACCCGCCGGGTCGCAAATGTCTTCGTTCCTCATCAGCCACGCCGCCTTGTTGTTTTCCAGATCACGACGGGGAGGGGGATGGGTTTACTTTAGAGCATTGCGATAGAATTCGGGCCAGTCCGAAATCGCCCCGTACAAGGACCGCACGTGGATAAGATCAAAATGGTTCTCCGGGTAGATCCACGGCTCAGACGCGTCGTCGATTTCGAATCTGAGGTTCGGTGGGACGAAGCCGGGCTGGATAGGGGACAGATCGGTGCCGATAACCTGGGCGGATGGGTATTCGTCTGCAAAGTCTCTGGGCAACGTCAGCCATCGGGGCAATCGTTCGCAATCGACGGAGCTCACATGGCCCAAATCCCGGTTCCGGTGCCCACATCGAGTGCTGTCTACGCGACCATTAAGAGTGAGCAGCTGCCACCGCCAACCATTGCGAGATCAGACCGACCAACCTGGATGTTTCTGTTTATGGGAGCTAGTAATAAGCGATTATCGAGAAGCATGGTGAACATGTGATGGCTGAATACCCATGTCAGTTCATTCCCGCACAGAACGCACAACGCAGGGGATGTTGAGCACGGCTTACGCAATATCAAGCTGTTCGTTCTGCTTTTCATCATTGGGGCCCCTGGATAGGAATCAGTGTGACGTTTTGTTTTTTATCCGAATGTCGACCCTAGAAAAATGAAGAAAATAGACGAATAGAAAAGAAAACAAAAAAGCGCGTCGGGCGGATTTACCAGTAGGCTCCATCCTTGTAGGCGTGGTATCGTCGCCCATTTTCAAAGCGATAGGACGTAATCATCGAATTTATGGAAGTCGTATCACTCGCGCTGGCGAAAACGCGGATCAGCACGAGCTCCCTTCCGTATACGACCGGGGAAGCACGCTTACAAGTCCTCTGCGAAGTCCGAGAAGGGGTCATCCTCCTCGTCGGCCTGATGGGGAATTTGGGTTAGTTGTCGGGACCGTCAGGGGCAGCAGGAAACACGTACGGAATCCGAAGCATCGCCGTCGGCAGTCTCTTGAATAATGGCGGACTGCGGGACAGAGTGGGAGGCGTCCGCAGGATTGGCGGCGTCTTGCGCCCTGGGCAAGGAAGACATGACCGCCCGCCGGGAATCGGGATTTCGGAGGGAGCGAACAACAGTTGGATGGTCCAGAAGAGGGCAGAGTGCCACGAAAGATCGAAATCAATGAAGCCCGAAAGGCAGGGGGCGGTGGTGAACAAATGGTGGTGATGGAGTGGGTTATCCGGCGGTCGACGCTCGGAATCGAAACTCGGGAGGGACTAAATGGCCCCATTCTTATGCGTTTGTTCGTCAAACATCGACCGAGAACTGCGGGAAGCAGCAAGAAGCAGCGGTCCATGCGGCAGTCGACGTCAGGCTTCAGATGGTTAATGCTAATTAGGGTCGATTTCCTTGCAGTCCCGGGTCAGCTAGTGTCTTGCTTGTCCCGAAACAGGATGGTTTCTGGCCTACCTGGTCGCTGACGATAGTCTTGGATTCTATTGAATCTGTGAAATAGCAGAGCGACAGAAAAGAAAAGACACCCCAACGGAACTCGCCTTCGTCTCCTGGACTGTTGCACACCTCACAACCCCCGCCCCCACACTGCAACGTAATGGGGTCGAAATGTTCTGGAATGCACTCATAGGTGCCATGTGGTTTTCTATGTAGGAGTCGCATCCGTGCAACGATTCCGCGTTTGTGCCTCAGGCCACATGGGAAGCAGACGAAACGAATCTGGACTCCCCTGAACTGATACAACCATTAGGAATTTCCGAGGAGTAATTCCCATCCCTGTTCCCTTTCCTTCCCCCTGCCGAATTTTGCTTCATGTTTTCGCACCGCAGAATCCCCCTTCAGAGCATCCGTCGTTGAGAGCGAGGACACGCTGAAATCATGAGAAGGTATACAGCAGGGGAGAAGGGGCAAAGGGGGGAAAGAAAAAGGAAAGAAAGTCTCGATTGCTGGTATGCAGTGAGAATCCAGGAGAACGCAACCTAATGCAAATGGTGTTGGATCAACAACGAATCGGCGATACACCTATCCAGAAAACAGCCAGAAAGGGTGACCCATGCCGTGACAGGCAGATAGGCAGATTCCAATGCAACAGATCCTCTTGGCTATGGGACAGACCAATCCCTCGGCGGAATCACGGCGCACAGAAGCTGTGATGGGCACATCCTCAGCCTCGCTGTGCCAAAGTGCAGGCTCACTGCAGCCGAAGCCTCCACCGCCGATGATTGGGTCCATCCACTCGATAGGATTCCGGCCCGTGGCAGTTGGGACCGTCCGTCTTCAACCGTTCAACGTCGTGTGCATCTGCGAATGAAAAGGACGGAGGAGGTCTGCGGAGTATCATTCCAATGGCTTATATATCATGGGGCCTTTCGCTTCCTTTTCATTATCTCGCTTCGTACTCCTTGTGGCCGTTGCGATACCGCTGTCCGTTGGCGGGGCAAACCGGGTGGAGCACCGCAATGCCTAGTGTCCATCGTGGGTGGATATTGTCTCAAGCAAGTCCCTCATGATGGCTGTCAAGCGCTTGTACGGCGTAGTGCCGCCATTCTGGTCCAATTGAAAAGCTACGTGGTGCAACCTACGCAATCGACCGGATTTCCAACATCTCCGTACGCCAAAGCCAAGAGGGGCCGGAGGGGGGGAAGGATTGCAACAAACATGCGCAACCTGGTCATTATTCAGCGTAAAGCCGTCGGAAATGCTCAACCTGTCAGCCTTATGCCCATGCCAACGTCCTTGGCGTCCGTCATGGCAGACCCCAATCCCCGTTATGGCGCAGTCGGGTTGGTCCACCGACGCCCTCCGACAAAGCACAAAGAAGCCGCTTCGGAATGATGCATCGGTTTGTCCTCGCACATGACTGTAGGTAGCAGTGCGTGCTCCATGGAGGCCATGAAAGACCGTCGAATCAACGGAGTTCCGCCCGAAGACACGCAATCGCCATGGGAATCCCGGTGACAGGCCCCAGACCCTGGCAGATGGAGGATTGCCCCTCCAAGATCCACTGCTGAACTGGCTGCCAAGAGCCTCCATGGATACAGGCCGAGTGGGGGATTCGCTCACCAGCCGCATTCCAAGCCAATCTATCCTCGTGCTACCCTTTCCCCCCGGTGGCGCATTATTGCTGCTGCCTTAGACTAAAAAACAAAAGAGGTGATGAAGGCAGACCTGAATCGGGATCCTTGTTCCACCTTCACTGGCGAATCCCCACTTCTCCTGGGCCATGCGCGCGATTCAGACAAATGATTCTAGGCCATGTGTATATTGTCCCAATGGCCGTGGGGAACTGGGGGGTGTGTCCCACTGAGTGAGCACTCCGGCGGCTATAAAGTCGGTCTCTCGTGCCCTTCTTTTCGGTCTTCTTGCTATCCCTCATCCTTCAGAACTATACACTCCACCTCCAAATCCATACATCTCAATTGCACCGCCACAATGAGCTTCCACCACAGCGCAGAGGACATCCAGATTGAGGACAACCACATCTTGGTTGCCAAACTGGCAAATGAGGATGGTGAAATGCAAGACGCGTCCATTGACCTGGACGAGTTCATTGGAAACAACGACGGTGTGTCATCTCTCTCGCGTCCCGCAAAGCGTGGCCTTGTTCTAACTCTGGATCGACAGGTTCCTTCGAGTGGGACGGTCAAAACTTCTCCGAGACCGCCGAGGACGTGGAATTCTCGATCGAGGGAGACGGCGAAGTGCCCGTGCTGCGGGCCAAATTGAACAACGCGGAAGGGGAGCAAGTCGAGGCCGATATTAACCTGGGAGAGCGGGTTGTGAACAACAATGGCGCCTTTGAGTTTCAATAGTCCATAACATTTATCATACCGTGTCCGTGGGAAGCGAAAGCCACCTGTGTTGAATCTACAACCTACGAAGGCCCGTTGATCTCTGCGATTTGATGTAACTGTTGCATTTGGTAAAAGTGTAGGGAGATTCGTCCATAATAAGCGTCAGCTCATGTCAGAAAACACATAACAAGTAAAATACCTCCGACCGAATGACTCCTTGGGCAAAGGCAAAGACACCTGGCCTACCCCGAGTCCCATCGCGCATCCCAGGGGGGAAAGAAAAATCAGAATACTCCATCCAGCCTCAACTCCTCAGAAGTATCCCAGTCCCACCCGTGTGTATTCTTGTGTACAGCTGAAAGGCGTGAGTAACCCGATGTAAAGAAAAAGACGAAAAGGAGAAAGCAAAAAACCCGCCCGCATTTTATTATTGCAAAGACGCCCCCCTTCCGACCGATATAGAAAGAAATAGCAAAGCAAGCCCTAACAACATTCACGACCGTGTCACCATGCATGGCTGGTGTCCCCAATATCCACGTCATTCCCGTTCCAGTCCTCATCACCGCTTAACTCGTCGTCGAGAAAATCTTCTTCGTTGAACTGGGTTTCGGTCGGACGTTGGTTGTCGATCCGGACCGATACAACGTCACACATGCCCTGCACCGGAAGCCGCCTCTGATCGTCGTCTCCCTCGCTGGCTGTTCGACTCAATGGACTCTGATCCGTATTGATCTCCACTTCGGAAAGCTTCCGCTGGGCCAGGCGTGCGCTTTTGCGCTTGGATGGCGTTGAGATTCCGCTTGGCGGTGCATCGGACTGAGTAGCAGCTTCGTCGGTTTTGCCCTCGTCCACGTGGGTCGTGGAAGGCGCAGTCCGCGCAAGGGTGCGAAAGGCTGGGTTGGGAGGCGCGCTTCGTCTGAGGAACACCTTCTCCAGGTTCCCGATCCACTTCTCTCGGAATGATGCGCGGTCGCGCCACCCGATCTTTAAGATTGCGCTAATCATCAGGCGGCGTAGATCCCGCAGTTCAGGCGCCGCGTCGATCAACGAGGTGAAAAAGACTCCAGCAGTGCGGTCGTCCCACTTGCGCAACTGCACCAGCTCGATCTCTTGCAGCGTACTTGGCCAGGTGGGCACCTCCGACGGGCTGAGTAGTTCCCGGAAATGGGGTTCCACGTCATGGTAACTGGACCAGTCATGCATTGAAATGTCCATCTTGAATTTTTCGAGGCTCTGGCATGCCTGGGCCAGGATCACAATGAAAGACAGACTCAAATGCCGGTTGTGACTGAGAGTCAGTTCCCGGAGGTGCTGACCATGAGTCGCAATAAAGGCGCTGAAATTTGCGGTGGTCACGTCGTCGCAGTTATTGATGGTAAGCGAGACAAGTCCTGTCGGCAGGTTAGGCATCAAATATTCATTGATGATGGAACACTCTTGAAATTCCAGATGCCGCAGGTGCGGAAGTCCTTTGAGGGCCGTTGCAAGGACGACCTCCCTTTCATCAGACTCGCTACACGACTCATCGCCATACATGTCCTCACAGGCAATGTGCAGCAACCTCAGTTCCGTGATATTCTGGAAGGCGGGTTGAAGGTGCTTCGCCATCATGAGCGGCAGAAGCCGTTTGGTCTCCATGAACCGGCTATTCCAATCCCAGCTACGCAGCCTCATCGACGCCGATTCGATGGCCGAGAAGAGACTGTCGGGGTATATCCATTTCGAACGAGTGATCTGCCAAGCAGGAAGGCCAACCATGTAGTCGTCACTGTGATATAACCGAAGTCTTTTCACTTGAGGCGTCTTCTCGATCAACCTTGGCAACTCGAAATACCCCAGTGTTGGCCCGCTCTTGTATAGCAGCAGGGTTTCCACATCCACATGAAGTTCTCTTATTTTGTTCGCATAGTTAGTCGAGAGGGATTGCTGTGGACAAGACAATAGAGTCAGCAGACTATGGGTCTTGGCGGCCGGGAGCAGCGGTGGGCACTGATAGAGCACAGCCAGCGCAGGTTCGTTGAAGGCATGACAGAGGAGGGAGACGTTCACTAGCCATTGCACCGAGCTGTGCCTTCTAGTAGCCTTCTCCTCCAATAATGGATACGAGGCGAAGAAAAAGATATCGAACAAAACATGATATGGTAGAGTCTGCCAGGGTGGAATCACACCAGAGCCTACAAAGGGAGGTTCATCCGTTTCCACCTTCCTCTTTTTCTTGAGTGATCTGCCCAATTCCAAGTGTCGCTTGCCGGTGCTTCTTTTGGTCCCTTTGGTCTGCGATCTGGTTTTCACGGTTTGCCTGCGCGACGGTCGGGTCTGCGTGCTGCTGCTGCGACCTGCTGGTTCGGGAAACGGAGAGGTGAACTGAGTAGGTGTTTCGACCGGAATGACCGCCTCCGGATCTTCTGGGATCGACCCCTCGGAGGAGTTATCAGTAGAGTCTTCGCGATAGGAGACGGGCGCACGGTGGGAATCGCGAGGACGGAGGGAAAGCGACGGTCGCTCTTCGTCCGAGGCGAGGTTGTCTTCATCCGGGTGCTCATCTGAACTGCTTGCCTCATGATATGACTGAACCTGGGTGCGACTGGAGCGGACGGGGCGGGAGCGTCGAGAGGCGCGGTGTTGTGAAGAGTGAGCCATGGCAACGGGGCTTGCTTGCCCTACAGACGGAGAGGGAGCGCGAGAGGCGGATTGCACATGATCTTCAACGTGAGCCAGCAAACGATTCGAGATGAGGAGCAGACGTGAGAGGTTTGATAGGGGGCTTTGGGGCTGGCATAGAAAGACGAGGGGTACGTCGGGTGAATGTGAAGAAGGGTGAAGGAGCAACAGGACTGCAGTGAAGGCGGACGAAGGAGCAGAGCAACGATGACGACTGGAAGGGAGGGTTTATCGATAAGAGATGAAGATTGCCTGATTCTGCTGGCGCTGCCTGCCTTACGGGCCAGGCCGGCCAGACTTGCCCCGAGGCGGCTAGTGCCCCACGTGACCACCGGCCAAGGCCCCAGGCATCGACTCCCCCGCCCTGAGGCGCCGACGCTAAACCGCGAGGGGCATCGAGGAGCGTCCCGAAATAGAAACAGTCAGCTCCTCCCAGTCTATCATCGGCCTTTCGTTTAAAGCGCCCGCCGTCGTCCAGCCACCTTCTCCTCTTTCTTTCCCTCCCCTCCCCTCCCCCCCATCTATCCTGCGGTGATCATGGCGATCGGGTTTTCCCATCCAGGACATATCTCGTCTTGGGCTGTGCCTCGCCATTCTATCCGTCCATGTTTACTGTATGCTTCGTTGTGATTCGCATTCGCATCTAAGTACATATCTGCCGTCCAGTCGCCTGCGCTGCGTGCTGCCGCTGCCGTCAATTGATGCGCTCCATTGGGCTGGTCCCCCGTTCCGTTTGATTTATCTCCTTCTTCTTCCTTCTTCGGCTTAGCTGTCCGGCGCTATTGATCCGCATTTGAAATTGGGCCTGGTTTCGCAGCTATTGATGATACCCGGCTGTGGTCACGGCGCTTATCGCTCGACCGGTGATAGCTCAGCTTCTATATCTTGACGGGCCTCCATTCCGCACCGCGTCGCGGTCCTCGCACCATGGAAGGACCGTTTCCCAATGTCATGAATCAACCGGACCGCAATGAATTGGGGAACCCCCCGATGGTCATCCAGCAGTATGCGAGATATCCGCCCACTCTCGAGCCCGGGATGCACAGCGCATCCTCGCTGGGAAGCGCTCGCAGTCGCCTACCGGCCTCTAAATCGCCTCCGCTGAACCGCAAAGCAACCCCTCGCAGCTTGCAGGCATCACCAACCGGCGTGCGATCGGGTCCTCCTCCCCCGACAACCGCCGCGCCGCCCGGACCCTCGATGTCGCCCCCGATGTTCGACCCTCTCCGCCAGAGACAACCGAGAGAATCAATGGATCAGCCGGAATCTCGATCGTTGCCGTCTCGCGAAATCAAGGATGACACCATCGACGATGCCTACGTGGCGTTTATCTTCTACTGCAATCCCAACGTTCCGCCGTCTACGGACACCAGCGAGCTGCGAAAAACATTCCGATCGCCTCCCCGGAGTGACGGCAAGAGTTTCAGCATATTCACCTTGTGGGAACTGATTCGAAAACTCGACAATAAAGAACTCAAGACCTGGATATCCTTGGCGACCGAACTTGGGGTAGAACCCCCCGTGATGGAAAAGGGCCAGAGTACGCAGAAAGTGCAGCAATACGCGGTTCGTCTAAAGGTGCGTCTGCCGACCCTCCCCTCCTCCTCTTCCATGCCGTAACTAGTATTCTAACGCGCATACATCAGCGCTGGATGCGAGCGATGCACGTCGATGCGTTCTTCGAGTACTGTCTTGGTCATCCCCATGTCTACTACAATCAGATCCCCACCAACAACGCAGTTGTCAGCGACAGTCGTGACGGGGTGCCATTGGAAGAGGATCTGGCGTTGCGAGCTCTTGTCCCCCAGTGGAAACCCAAACGGGGTCGGAAACGAGCTGAAGAGAGGGATATAATATTTGACCGGGTTACCAAACGGCCCTCATTAGACACCTCCGTTAGCATCTTACACCCAGGCCCGTTCCCGGGGCACTCGGCGACCTTCCCTCCAAGTGCCATGCCGTTTAGCGCCTTTCCCGAGGAGATCGAGACGCACGATCCGTGGATGGCCGCTCCCTCTGCATTTCCGACCGCCGGGCACCCCGACTCGTCTGCTGCCCATCACGGGCCCGATCCCCGATGGAAACCCCTCGAGCGCGATGCGTCGCCTGCCGGTTATCCGCAATCGGCCATCATACCCCGGCATCATCATCCTTCCGAAGTTTACATGACCTCCACCGAGCCACGGTCCGCAGTGACCCCGTCCTCGGGTGACAAGCCACGTCCCAAAAGACGGCACGGCCCCGCCGTGTCTTCCGCGTGGCCCAACAACAACGGTTCGTCCACGGGCAAAACTCGTGGACGACCCCCGAACCGGGGAACCGTCTCGGGCCCGTTTTCATCATTTCCTGTAAATCCCAATCGTGCTGATCCGTCTCAAATACACCAACCCACTTCGAGACCTTCGCCTGCCATCCTTCTCGACCACGATGCTTCTCACCGGTTCTCCCAGCCTCAATATCAGCAATCACCGACGCCGTTCCCTGGCCCTCGACCAAACAAGCTGCAGCTTCAGGTGCCGCATCACTCGGGCGCGCCGGTACGCCTGGCCACGCCTCCGACCCTCATGGTCAACGGGATCAACAACCCACCGGGCCCTTTGAAGATCGAGGGCAGTCAACGAAACGGGGCCTCCGCCCCGGCTCACGAGATGCACAGCGCGATTGCCCCTCATCCTCAAATGCCCATCGCCCGAAATGGCCACTCCAATGCGGATATAATCTCCGACGATGCGGTTCGCGTATTAGCGGGGGAGTTGCTGAGGGCCAAGGTCACCGGTCGCCCAGCTCCCCTGAACGCCGAGGAGGCCCGCAACTTGGCCGTGTCCGTCGTGACAACTTTGACATCGTCGTACTCCCACGCGCCATTGGGGTCGCCGGTCCTCATGGCCGTTCTCCACCTTGGACTTGGGCCACATTTCGGTTATCCCGGGGTCATGGAGAGTGCAATGGTTGTGCATGTGGAGCTAGCCCCTGGGCCTCCTGCGATCATGGCGGGTGCGCCTGGGCCTGGTGGTGCCTCGCCAAACTTTGTGTACAGCGTCTCCCACGAATACAAGCATGGCCTTCGATTTACGACCAAAGTCACCTACGGCGATCTGGCTGTCGGCAAAAGCGACAGCAACAAACGCGAGAGCATCTCTCGAATTACTGATGACCTCGACAACAGCATCCCTGAGGTGGACAGTCTGACTGACGCCGAATTCGAGGTAGACGGGGCCGACAGCAATGCTTCCGAGATGACCTGGAAGCAACGATACATGAAAATGCGGGTGCAACTGCAGAAGAAGGAGCGCGCATTGTCGATTTACAAGCGTAAAATCATCGATTCGGTCATGGCAGACATCTAACACGGCTCGGCCTCTGGAGCAGAGGGGGGGCGGTCTTGCCATTGTTTTGGGAGTGAGTTCGTTGTCGTTACTCGCATAAACATACATGCCTTGATACCCCCACTTTCCTGTATATTGCTGCGATGTGATTCTATGTACTTGTTCAACTTGCTGCTTTCTTCTTTCTTTTTCTTTCCTGTTTCTCTTTTTTGGCCTGTGTACGTGAGTCGGAATGATGGCCCTACTGTTAACTTCAGTTCTTGTTGGATACCCTTTGAGCGATCTTGACCGTGCTATTGGGATTTTATGTACGCCATTTAGAGCCTTGATCTTGATTTGATTTATCTCAGCATTGGTTTGACCTATCGGTTTGATCGCATTACAACCAAGTAGCCTGTGTTTCACCAATGTGACCTGAAGAACGAAAGAACAGAAAAGTAAGCCACCGAAAGTGAGAGCCTAAAACACGCTCGCCATGGCCCAAAGTCCCGAAAACAACCAACTAAGATCAGAAAATGAAGAAACTCTCGTAGTGGTTGGATCTTCGACCGAGAAAACTCATGCGTATGGCTCGTCAGGCTCCTGCTCACCAGAAACCCCCTTGAACTGTACATCGCAATCATCAGTATTTTTTACCTCGGCACGAAGGGAAGCACCAGCAGTACTGACCAAAGAGCCATTCTCCTCGTCGTCATTATCATTCTCGCGCTTGATATCTTCGTCAGACTCATTCTGCTTGAGAAGGTCCTCCGCGCACATCACGGCCGCCTTCTTCATCAGCTTCGTCTTCTTGGGCGAGCCCGTAGAGTCTGCTGCCTTTTTGCGTTTGCCGCCAGAGGCCTTGCTCGGGGTGGTGGTGGCGCTGTTACCGTCGGTGGACTTCTCAGGCGACTTTCCAGAGCTGCTGGCCGCGTTTCCTCCGGAGAGGCTGATGTTGTTCGACTTCATGAGTCTTTCATAGCGTTTGGCGCTTTGAGTCGTTAGTGGGATGTGTACTTTACATAGTTCGGGGGTGTTTCTCCAGACCGGGAGAGGATGGCTGCTAAGGTACTTACGCGGCTCCCTTGGAGATGATTTTGCGTTCCTCCGCAACTTTGTCGAAGTCAATCTAGAGAGATTTATGAGTCAGTGTGAGATCGATCGAGGGACCTGAGTGGAAAGAACAGGATCCTGTCGTTGGGAAGGGGGATTCTCACTTTTCCGTTGTTGGAGAAGCGAATGCAGCTCAGCAGGAAAGCAAACTGCTCTTCGACAGTGATTGGAGCCATGCTGACTGAGTTGGACTGTTGGTATGGAGGGAGAGGTTTGCGATTTGGTGGTGGAGAAGGATAGAGAAGTGAGAGGGTGATGAGAAATATCTCAACGATCAAGAGATGGATGAAAGGTGGTTGAATGGAGGGAGGTGAGTGAGTAGACAGAAGAAAAGGACTGCCCACTAGGAGAATGTGCTTTCAGTGACTGGACGCTGGTCAAGCTTTGGGTGGTGCGATGGGGGTGAATGAAAGGAAGGAGAGAGCTGGTCTTGCGTCGTGCTCCTGATGGCCTGGTTTTCCGATTGGATTCAGTTTGGCTTTGTTTGCTGGGGGCAGTGATTGAGACTGGAACTGGATGCAACTGCTTTGGCCTTCTTGCTGCAAGAGATGTCCTTGGTGAGCGTCAGGATCGACCTCCCATGTCGTACCTTGAAGTCATCCAGTCAAGGCATTGTTGCTTTTGGTGACTGTGATATTCTTCAAGGCTTCAATGACTGTACTTCATCAACTTGGCTCCCTGACTATTTCTATTCACTCAACCCTTTTCAGATGGCTCAAGTATCACGGTGTGAATAATTATCTGTCTCCAAGAGCCTTGCCACATGCCCCACCCTCCATGAATCGAGACGTAGTTGATCATCAAAAAGAAAATAAACTAGAAGAAATAAGAACGGTATATCATTCATTCAGATGGCTAGTCCTGTTACCCCATCCCAGGCAAAACACCGTCCACCCCGAGTCTCATGTCGCAGGCCGTCAGTCATTAGCACTGCTGCTGCAGTTTCTTGGCGGCTAGATGTCCATCTCGTCAGCTAAAATCCTAAGTCCTATTTTGGGGGAACGTCTACTCACCATCCTTATCCCCTGCAGGGCACGAGGACGCGCAGTTCTGCACCTGGCTCTTGAATTGTGCGTCGGAGCAAGCGCACGAGATATCCTTGCAGCCGGTTGCGCTACCAGCCTTGGTCAGGCAGTTTTGCTGGTATCGTTAACAAGTCTTTTTCCGACTGCAGAGAGGGGAGGGTAACACACCAGGCACGAGCCGGACTCTGCAGCTGCGGCAAAGGAAATCAGGACAGTAAGAGGGAGAAGGATGGAGACCTTCATTGTGTTGCTGGTTGGGCCGTTTTGTAGGAGTATCTTTGGAAATGCGAGCGAGTGCGTAAGTTGCGATCACTGAGCAAGAAGAAGAGAGTCTATTCGGCTTAAATAGATTGACCCTGACCATATCCTCTATCCAGGCCGCGATACTCCGTAGTACATCCGGCAATCCAGAGTCGAGTCGATCTGCACCTCCTACATCATCGCGGCAGTCCGATCATTTCCAGGGAAGGGCAAGGGCCGCCTGTCAGGGCAATGATGTGATTCCCTCGACTCAGAAATGAAGAATGAAGTTGTTGATCGCCAAAGTCAATTGCCGCCGCCGCCAATCGCGATGCCTCGGTGCCTGCCAAACCCCACCGGTCCAATTTTGGGTTCTTCATCGTGGAAACTGCTATCGACTTTGAAAGCTGGATGTCCACCATGACGTGTCCCTTGACGTTGCTTCCTCCAAGAGCTCGGATTCGTCCGGCTTGGAGGGGGCGTCTTTGCATCTGGCGTTTGCAACTCGTTCCTCGAGGGCTGGTGGAGAAACAGATCCAACGCGCTTCCCGATGACGGGCCAATGGTTCAGAAGATTGGAGGAAGATGGACTTTCTTCGCTGGCCACCAGATGGGCAGATGGGCAGGCAACGTTGCCATTCGGCCTGCCTCGTAACGTCGCTTTCCGTGTCCAGCTCCTCAGCTTCCCAGTCTCTCTCTCTCTTTTTTTTTTCTTTTTTTTTTCCCTTCTCTGTCTTGCCTTGGGCTGGTCATCATTCAAACAGCAATGAGCCACGCCGGAATCCGGAGATCTTCCGGAGTCGTTTGACCGTCTACGGGGAAGGCTGGCGATCGTTAGCATATTACACGGTTGCACGACAAGCAACAAACGGTAGCCAGGTCAGAATGCAACGGAAGCAGGCACCCTGCACGTACGTAACGGTCCTGCATAATATTGATGCAGTAATTTCTCCTCGATTTTTCTTTTGGTCTCGGGAACTAGCAGAGGGTGATAACAGGCGCCGACGCTTCGGGTGGTCACTTGGTGGAAGGAGAACTGAATTGGGAGAGAAGACGGCGGCTGGGGAATTTCTCGAGATGGGACATGGGTCTCGTTTGCCTTTCCTTGGTCTCATTCTGTCCTTTCAGGAAATATCTACGTTTTGTTTTTTGTTTTTTTTTTTTTTTTTTTTTTTTTTTTAAAAAAAAAAAAAAAAAAAAAAAAAGGATAAGCATTTACTCCATGTGCCATTCGCTATGAAGAGTCGACTAGACGTACACACGCCATGTCAGTGCGTCCAGAGCCCCGGTGAAAACAAACAGAAAAAAAAAAAAGAAAGAGAATAACGAAAATAATTCCGGGTTCTTCAATGACTGGACAGGACGGTTAGCTGCGAATTTCCGCTCTGCGACAAGGAAACTCACAGGAGTACATCCGTAAACGCACTTGACTCAGACCTTGCGAGTGCTGCGGATTTTGGTGTCGGCCTGCTCCTCTTCCTTCATGACGCGGTCGACGGCATGTAGCAAATGGGAATTGATGCCTTCGTTCTCCTGAGACTGGGTCGCATTCTGGGAATTCTCGGTCTTGAGTCCCTTGGACTTGGAGGCACTGGCGGGGATAGGCTTCGACGACACTTTCGCGCCCTTGCGTCGAGTCACCTTCTTCTTTGCAGAGGGTTTGACAGATGCAGCCGGCTCGCCGTCCTCGGTGGACTCGGGGAACGTTTCCCCGGAATTGGCCGCGGTTGCAGCCCTGGCCTTGCCATTCGCCTTGGTCGTAGCAGCAGACAGTTTGTCGTCGCCCTTGGCGGAGGCGTTGGTACACTCCAAGTTGGGGAAGCCGTGCCGCTTTCGCAGCAGTCTGAATCGGTTGGCAACGGACACCACGTTGGTGTATCCCAGGGCCTCGCCAACTTTAACAAGGTCAACCTGGCCAGATCAGTACTTGTCGGTGTCAAGGTGCCAAAGTCAAGTCCAGTTCAAACTCACCTGCTTGTTGCTATCGAGGTTCTTGACACACTCCACGATAAATTTCGCATCCTGCTGGCTCACCTCACCCTCGGGGGTGGTTGTGGATTTTGCGTTGGAGGTCATCTGGATACGCTGAAGTCACAATTAGTAGAGCTTTTGGATGGACATCAATGATGCCAGCGAAAAGTAACCACCAGCTTCTTACCAGTGAGAAGTGATTGTAACGGAGACGGTAGGTGATCGATGTGTCACGTAGAAGTGGTGTGGTGTGGAAAGATAGATGTGATGGGGAGGAAAAGAGAGGCAGATGTGAAGGAAACAGCAACAGATGCAGAGGGGGAAAGGATTCACTTGGCCAGGGGAGCTAATTTATTGTGGTTTCCCGGTGCGCTTATGTCGTCGACACAGCTAGTGATCCCCAGTGATAATTGTCATGACAATGAAGTCCGATGTATGGCAACTGAGAATCAAATCAGACCTCTCATATTCCCACGGCAAGGATGTAGCCCAATGAATTCAGCGCCGGGTTACGGGGGTTGATCTGGGCGTTAAACTCATTAATTCATACGGCAGATACCGGTCTAACATGATACTGTCATAAAGTCATTACAGAAACACCAAATGCAGGACAAAAAACATCATTTCCGGCTTTCCATGGGTCCTCCGTCCATGCCCGCAACGGCCGTTCCTTGATATTCGACCTCGTCACATTGTGAAGGAATCCCAGCCTCGTCGGTCTTCTCCACCTTGACAAGCACGTCGTCAACTCCTCCATGATCTTCTGGCTCGGCTTTGACGGGTGTCCAAACATGGCGGGGACTAGGATGCTGCCCATAGTCCATTGGGGACGGACCCAGGAAGCCGGCCGTTGGTGCATACATCCTCAGGTCCGACGGAGCCACAGTCACCGGGGAGTACGGAATGGCGGACATTTGGAGAGACGTCGTTGGCAGCATCTGGGTCGTGGCTTGGGGTATGTCTGCCAGGGAAGAAAGTCGCTGCCCGTAAGGGTCGGCCTTGATGAACGGGCTCGACTGGTAGAGCAGGAGACCGGGTTCCTGCTTCAGCTCCGACTTGGGCTGCACGACATTCTCCTCCAGCTGATTGTCTGCCTTGCACGAGCCGTTCTTGGACTTGTTGGGGGTTTTCTTGGCTCGGGGCTCTCGTGGTTTGGACGCAATGCCCTCCATCTGCTGCCGAAAGCGAGAATAGCGCATCCGTGCCGCATGACCGTTGGAGATTTCGAGTTGGGAGGCAACGAGGTTCCAGTCAATCTGTGGGGGGGAGGAAATCAGTGTCTATGGGGGCAGGAAGCTGGATGGAGTTCACATACCGACTTCAGATCCAACTGCTTGATGATGGTGTAGAGAAACTTGGCGGTTGGACCGTCCGTTGGCATGGCTCTGCTGCGGCGAGGAGTACTCATGGCTGCGGCGATAGGAAGAGGCAATTTGAGGTTGCACTGGCTGGAATGGCGTAAAATGACAGGATGCCTGCTATGGGAAGGTGGATGGAGGAAGATGCACTCCGTTGCACAGATGCCATCATATATAATCTCATTCTGTCGCTCCGAGCAAATGATAATTGGTCCCCCGCGCCTTTTGGCAGGGATAAAGAACTACAGACCAGCCCAACCGTCCAGAGGAACAAACAAGCGTCCATTCGTCGAAATGTCTCAGAACGCCGGACGCGTAGGTAGTATCCACCGCTCTGTAAATCGCCAACAAAGAATTTGATGCCCAGCAACAGTCTGACTATCGTCACAAAGATCGGCCTCCCATGGATGAAGTCCGTCACGTGGGGGCCGATGCCCTGATTTGTTCTCCGTGGCAGAAGACGGGGTCTCCGGGGGGATACTCTTTTTCTTTTTTTTTTTTTTTTTTTTTTTTTGCTGTTTTCCTTTTTCCCTGTGATCCTTGCTCTTGCTCTTTTTTTTATTAGATTTTTTTCTTTTTTTATCCTCCGTCATTTCCTCCCGTTTCCCTGTGCCGGACAGCCCCGACCAATACCAAACGATCTAGACCAGACAGGACAAACAGACAAAAACGTACGGGATAGAAAAAATGGAAGGAAAAAATATGAGACATTCAACATTCAGCAAATGTAACCCCACACACGGGAATTGGCAGGGAGAAGGGGGGGAAAGAAAAAAAGAGAGAGAGAGAGAGAGAGATGGTACCTGCCTGCAATTCCGGACAGGTCAACCTTTCGACCAGCTGCATCCCAGCCACCGCATGAGGTGATACAGGTCCCATCGTCCTTTGCTAGCAGTTTGGCCCAGTCGAATTGGCACAGTCAGTCCTGTCCAGTAACTATCGGGACCGGGGAATCTCCAGCTAAGCTTACTGCAGGATATCGGCCGTTGCGCCCCCAGAATTAGAGTAAACGGAATTCTCTTCCAGCCCGGGCTGGAACAGAATATCTCCCTCGACCGCGAGAGCGTTCATTTTCCAGGACTAGGCACGTCAGTCAATTTTCCGGAGGTGGATCCATCTTCATGCAGCAACTCGCGCGCGCAAAAAATGACAGCTCCAATTATTCCGGCCTCGAGTGCAGGAGACAGCTCCGAATGTCCCACGATCGATGTGGCTCTGTATCGGAAAACCGTCCAGCTTGTTCCGGTCAATAGACTAACGGGCTCTTGTCTAGTCCTGCCGCCGTCGATCGCCGCAAATCGCCGATGCTATAGGCTCGGATGTTGTATAGATGGCTTGGATGCAGCACTCCGGCCGCATACCCACATGATGCAGCTTTCTTCGGACAGGGTTTGCGATTGCCTCGTCTCGAAAGCCCCATGGATTTTTGTTTCTTCCTTTTTTCCCTTTTCTCTAATTTGATCTGGCGTCTGACTTCGCGTCTCTACGCGCCTCCAAGACTCTTCTCGCGTGCCTTGATGGTATAAATATGGCCTTCTGGACCAGATGAATCTTCCTTCTTCAAGCTTCTCAACATCCTCTCCTTTCTCAAGTGTTCCTTTTTCTCAATTGTCCTTGTTCAAGAGTTCTGCGCATCTCAATTACTTTTTCTTTTTCTTTTTCTTTTTCTTTTTTTTTTTTTTCTCTGGCACTCTCCATTCTATCCGCACTCTTCCTCCGCTGCTTAGTTTCTTTGTTTTCTATTTCCCCTTTTCCCTCTTCTGATCATTTACCTTGCCCGCATCATGCCCCGCGCGCCAAAAACACCGCGGAATCAGAGAGACGCGGGATCGAGCTCGACGCGCACGAGGAGACGGCCCCATTTTGAATTCGGATACAGCGAAGACAGGCAGATTCTATTGGCGTATCTGTCGCTGGTGAGCGAGAGACCGGATATGAGAGAAGTCTATCGAATCCTGGCGAATGAAGCATATTCACTGGGTCAATTGAAGTATACCACACCCCCTTCCCTTCAATTGCCCCCGTTTTGTGCATCCAAGTCCATTGCTAATGCGTTTCAATTGCCTGCAAACAGAAAACAAGTCAGTTTCCTTCATGAAATGTCTCGTGAATTGCGGAACGATAGAATGCAACGGAAAGAACACTCTCGGTTGGCGGCGGAGGCTGGAGATGAATCTGATTCCGATTCAGGCACCGTCATCGAGGCGCCGACCCCCAGCCAGTCCAGTGAAACGTCGGTCTCCATGACGCCTGAAACCCCGGCTTACTCGCGCCATCACCAGGTCCGGGATGCCACGCCCGTGGGCCAGCGCCATGAGGCCCGTTCCACTGGCCGGCGAGGACGAGCTCGTGACAGCGGACCGGAGCCCCGGCGAGGGGTTTCCACACACAACTTGAGAAGGCAGACGGTGCGTGACAACTACCGTTCCGCTCGCGATGTCGATGACCGGCCACGCGGTAATCGGGAAGACGCCCTGCCTCCGAGGCAGCCTTTGCGCGGACGTCGTGAGAGCGCACGAAGCTCCCGGGACCAGGGACGGAACAGATCCTCTCCTACTCCCGGCCCGGCCTTCCATATCCCGGTGATGCAGCTTCGTCCGATGTCCAGCCGCTAAAAGGGGGTTCAGGAGGAAGACGAAAGAAGGGGGGTTTGCAGTCTGGGTTTCTGGTTTGTGTAGAAGTTCAGGGCATTTCGGTCGTTTTCTCTGTCTTTTCTCTGTCTTTTCTCTGTTCTCTTTTTCTTTGGTTTTTGTCTTCGCTTTTTTGTTCGGTTTTCTGTTCGGTTTTATCAGTCGTTCCGATTGTTTCGGTTTTTCTTGGGGTCTCTTTTCCGTTTATCGTTGACTCTGCTTCTCTTGCCTTTTTTCGTTGTTTCGTTCTTCTTTTCTTGTCGGGCCTTTTCGGGCTTTTTCGGTACTCAACCTTCAGTAGGTAGTCTCAGATAATAGTCAAAATAATAGTTTGGTTTCGGGGTAACTGATCGGATACTAGTGGATGATGTAGTAGGTAGTTTCTGATAATGATCATGTGATTATTTGTCTAGTGTAGTTGATTCATAAGAACAGTCATCATAATAATTCCATGCTAGGTAGTGGTTAGTAGGTGCAAAGAAATTGAGTCCAAAAAATGGAAAAAGAATAATGACAAGAGTGGGACTCGAACCCACGCCTCTTGCGAGAGTAGAAAACACCAACTTGATTGGTGAAGCTTTGATTCGCTTGAGTCTACCGCCTTAACCACTCGGCCATCTTGCCCTTGTGTGTTAAAGAAATCTACAATACAGAATTATCACCCAAACACTGCATGATACCGAGTTGCGGATTGTTCGCCGATGATTGTATTTGACACCGCAGGAAAGCCTCGCGGGATCTTCAAATGCCAGCTTCTAGCTGTAGATTGAGGTAGGCAGAGAGTGCGGGTGGTAGAAGCGGCGCCGATGTGGCGGGACCGGAGGGGTGTGGCGATCGCCGTCTCCATTACTGCAGATGAACCGATGAACCCCACGACATTACTCAAGATCGTCTTCACCATCCTCAAGGCCAGAAGTTTTTTTCTCTGTTCCGCGCTAACAATGTCTTTGGTCGCGGTCGGGGCATGCTACGTCGACACAATTCTAACGTCGGTTGGCAACCACTCCCAAAGACGTCGGTCCACGAGCTCATTTGATCCAGAACTCCCCATTATCCCGGAGAGGATGACAAACTGCGAGCTTCAAGCATCTCACGTCGGCGCGGCGGAAATTGTCCCAACTCTCTCGAGGTCCTCAAACAGTTGACGGGTCAAGGCGCCTCGGCGGCAGGGGTCTCGCTTGACCTTGTTGCTGTACTGCCGGCCAAGTCCTCAATTGCTTCCCAGCAGATTCGGTCGGCCTTAGAGCCCCGAGTTCGCCTTGACCATTGCATCTATCGGGAGGAGTTCAATGAACCTGCTTCCAGCTACATTATCAAAAGCCAGTCGTCCGGTAGCAGGACAATTGTGAACTATAATGAGCTGCCGGAAATGACAGTCAACGAATTTACGCAAGTTGCAGATGATCGGGGATCGAAAGCTGGATGGTACCATTTCGAGGTACGTGACTTCCAAGTAGGACCCATTGATCCGATCGAACTAAGTCATTCTCCAGGGTCGGATACCAGATGTGATTCTCGCCTGTATACGCTATCTTCGGGAACGTCATCCATCGGTTCGAGTCAGCGTGGAAGTCGAAAAGCCTGGGCGACCAGGTCTACAGGAACTAGCAGCGGAGGCTGATGTTGTGTTTTACTCCAAGAGCTGGGCTCAGGTACTGAACCTTCATTCTTTGGGGTAGATATCTGTGAGACTTTACTAAGAATGCAATGCCAGGGAAATGGATATGGGTCAGCCGAAGAATGCCTGAGAAAGCAGTCACTGCTCACACGCAATGCGTAAGATCATCGACTCTTCATTCTGAATCCCCATGCTAACCCACGCTGGCACAGATCCTTGCTCTTCTGCACATGGGGTCAGGATGGGGCCATGGCTCTGGAGACAAGCACTAATAACGTTATTCATAGCCCGGCATATGCAGCCGAGGGTTTTCAGGTGGTTGAGTAAGTCCATGGAAAAGATTTTGCTCCTAGTAACTATACTAACAGAAGCAAGCCCTGTTGGCGCCGGTGATACGTTCATAGCCGGCATGCTGTACGCCCTGATCTGGCAAGGAGATAATTGGGATGTTTCGAGAAAGCTTGAGTTCTCCAATCGAGTGGCGGGGATGAAAGTTGCCCAAGAGGGCTTTTCTGGCCTGGCAAGGGCTTTACCCAGTGTCTAATCACTACTGGGGTAATCCTACCATCATACTGAAAATCGAATACACTTCCTTTGTGTGCGCTTTGGTTTATCTGATAGAGAGGATTGCTTTCATGCCTTTTTTTTTTCTTCTTCTTTCTTTTTTCTTTTTTTTTTTTTTTTTTTCCCCGGACTATATGATATATTTATTGTCTGGCTGGGGCCCGAAACTATAGTTCTAGGTTTTGTTGTAACTGGGCGTTGTATACCTGATTAATCCCGTTGCAAAGCCCCAGTTAAATCTTTTCATGACACACTGTACTGCTTTCATATAAGTCACTACACTCAACACCAAACAATAATGGCTATTTGCCCGCTCTACGTTCAAAGCACCGTGAGATTCATTTGAATGCCTCAGGCTCCAATAAACATGCCCGTGTCTTAGTCCTTGATAGGCAGGCGGTGGAGGCGACAGAAAAATATTCTGCCAGAACTTTAACTTTTTTTTTTTGGTCTCCATCGCTGGAAGCTCTCCGGCGCGCAAATCTCATCACCAAATTTTCATTTTCGAAGCCGCTCGACTTCGCAATTCACAATGGCAGCGGTGTATAATTCGGTTTCCAAGAAGCAGGCTCGGCAACTTGCCAAGGAGCAGGATTCGGCCGAGGAGGACATGGAAATGGAGGATTTCCTCGGTCCTGACGACTCCAGTGACAGTGATGAGGATGAAGACGAGGAGGAAGACGAGGATGCTTTGAGCTCGGCCAAGAAGCAGCTGGCCGCAGGGTTCATGCCCAAGACACGTGTGCTTATGCTAACCTCCAGGGGTGTCACTCATCGGTATGGATCAAATTTTGCTTACCGTGAAAACTACCGGGTTGAGTTGCTAACTGTGCCACCTTTTAATCAGCCATCGCCATTTGCTGGCAGACCTCGCCTCTCTGCTTCCTCATACCCACAAAGAAACCAAGCTGGATACGAAGAAGAAGACCGCCGGATACAACTTGCTCCTAAACGATCTCGCCGATCTCCACTCATGCAACGTGATTTTCTTCCTCGAGGCTCGCAAGCGTGGCCAAGATTTGTATCTTTGGCTTTCCAGACCCCCCAACGGCCCGACGCTCAAATTCCACGTCAACAACTTGCACACGATGGGTGAATTGAACGCCGGATTCAGCGGCAACTGCTTGAAGGGTGGCCGTGGTCTCGTGGTTTTCGATCGATCATTCGATGAACAAGGACCGGACATGAGCAAACCCGGAAACGAATACCGCGGGTTGGTTCGTGAGATGTTGCGCGGCGTGTTCTGCGTTCCTAAGCGCGGCGTGAAGGGAATGAAGCCTTTCGTCGATCGCATTATCGGTATCTTCGGCGTGGACGGCAAGATTTGGATCCGTGTCTACGAGATCAGAGAGTCCGAAACCGGGGGCAAAAAGACCCTGGAGGAGGGCGAAGAAGCCAAGTTGGCCCCCAAGAGCAAGGACGGCCTGCCCGAAGTTTCTCTTGTCGAGATCGGACCTCGCTTTGTTCTCACGCCCATTGTCATCCTGGAGGGCAGTTTTGGAGGCCCTGTCATCTATGAAAACAAGGAGTATGTCAGCCCGAACCAGGTCCGCAGTGAGATTCGCATGAGCAAGGCGGCACGCTACTCCAAGCGCAGGGATGTGCAGACGGACCGCCTCTCGAAGAGGTCAGACTTGGGATTAAACGAGGGCCAGCGCAAGCCCGGTGCCCTGGACAACCGAAAACTTTTTGCATAGCTGGATTCTGTCGCTGCTTGATTTCTTCTGTTCTACTTTCCTTTCTGTTCTAGGTGTTACGATACTTGATATCCTGGAGAATGTACATGTGATTGATGCAAGAACCACTGTCATGATCTTAGAGTGGCTCACTGGCTTTCGAATCAACGGTTAGTGTCGGATTAATTAAATGCGCCTGCAAGTAATTTATAGGATTTGAAACACCAAGCAAATCACATTCCATGCGTTCCCATTTCTCGGCTTCTGCCGCAAGGCGATACTATCACTTTTATTAAGCCAGGGATGATCATTAGATAAGCCGTTCCTTTTAAAGGATCCCGTCATCCGCTGGGGTGCTCTCCACCTCTTCCATCAACCATTATGGCATCTCCCTCGGTGACCAGCCCATTGCGGCTGCTTGTTTTTGGTGTGCCTTTCAAGATGCTGCTCGAGTTTTGCTTTCGCGATTTCAGCTCCGTTGTGACCAGCCCCAAAGGTGGGGTCTCGACTTAGGTCCGTCCGTGACTCTTGAAAGTGTTGTTGACAAACGACGTCAGCGACGCTGGTTCCAATTAGCAACTTTATAGACAGACCCCCTGAATTGAACTTGTGATATCTCGAATACTTTCAGACCAGACTACCTCGAAAAAAAAAAAGCTTATCTCGGTCTGTATACCTGGGTACATTGACTAGGTGTTGCCATAGCTGACCTGCGACCGAAAGTATAGTCACAATGCCGCTCGACTTCCTGGCAACGGAGCTGCTGCTCCATATATTCTGCTCTTGTAGCACACTATCAGACGTACTGAACCTGTCTTCGACCTGCCGACGATTTCGTCACGTTTACAATCGATCCAACAAATTGCCCATCCTCGCCGAGATTGCCGAAGTTGAATTTGGCCCTTTGGATGAGATCATCCAGATCGTAACGCAAAATACCAGCCAACCAGCCCACATATTCCGATGTGCTCCCATGTCCGATTCCCTTTTCAAACAAATTGTTCCAATTGGGCGTGTTGCGCAAAAATGGGAGGCTATCTACCCCGTCAAGAAATGGAAGGCCGATTACGAAAACCGGCGCTCTCTGACCGATGACGAGCGTTTCCGGCTTCGCCGTGCTGTCTATCGCTTTTGGCTCTATCACCGCGCATTCCACACACGGCTGCATGATCGCTTTAGCCGCACCCTGCGCCATGTTGTCACCGAGCGTGCCCAGATTCTGCATAACTGGTCTACCGCAGAACTGGCCGAGATCGAGGACCTGCGGATCGTCATCTCTGATGTTGTGCAGCACCATGTGTGCCCGAGCAATGGGACCATCCAACGCAAATTTCGCAAGCGTTATCCGGAAAGCAACCATCAGTTGACATTCAACATCCACCTCAACTACCCTGCCAGCAGCTCGTCTTTCGACGTCTTCGACGGGAGACCCAATGCCCTTGACCAATACTTCCATACTACCCACCCGGGCAATTTCGCCGAATCATCTGCGAGATACCGATCCAAGTTCCGAAATGACTTTTACCACGACCCGGGATTTGAAGGCTGGGGTGATGAGATCCCGCACTACTACGTTGTGCAGGACATGATGAAGCTTGACCCGGGCCAAATCCTGTGGCTTCGTGAGCATGCACCTTTGAAGGAACAGGTGGAAGCGTATGTCCATTCCTTGGGGGAGTGGTTCTGTAACAATGGCGAGACGTTCGGAGAAACCGCGGAGTGGGTGATGAACGAGAGAGGCGAGGACGTCGAAGAGTTCCGAGCCTCCATTGCAGATCGAGAGCTTGGAATTGTATGGGATTAGTTGTTCCACGACTCCAAGGTTTCGGAATAAGACTTGTGCTCTTCTCGTCAGAGCTCGCTAAGCTCAGACTATTGAATTATATCTCTCGTGGCGATGAACCTAGTGGCGGTTATCTGTCAACATCAACGCTTTGATCGATTTGAGGACCGTCGAGTAAACTCTACCGATAGGATAGATAGAGTCTAATTTGAGGAATGGCAATATAACAATATACTCGGCTCGATTACACACCCCAAAGATGTATTACTAGAGAGAAAAAAAAGCAAGATCATCCTCTGGCACGACTACATCATTCCGCATTCCTTCCGACCGGACCGACGATCTGGAAGACTTGGGAATATTTTTAGTCCCAACCAGTAACCAGTCTCTCAGGAATCCATTAATCAGACTTTTGCGCAATCCCCCCAAGTGAACGGAGGAAAAACCCCCTGATCGTCTGCGGGACCGCCGAGCGAGACTAAGGGCGCACCGCGAGTCGGGAATTTGACGGACTCGACTGGGGCTCTGAGCGACTAAAGACGAGCTAACGGAGGAATCTGGGCAATGTCCAATGGGCGTCGTCCCGGTGGAGGACTTCGCGCTGAGGGTACCTAAGGTAGTGGAGTGGAGACCGACACTATGTGGCCATCAGGAATCCATGTTGCATGGCCAGGGGTCCTCTCGCTGGGGACTTTTGGGGGTTAGCTGTTCGTTTGGCGTCGGTTAGCATGTTATTGTAGAGCGGTGCAGCCTGGTTCTTCGGGGGACAACCGTAGGCCCGACGATGTCCAAGCTCGAGCAAGAACGACAAAGTACGGAGGAGTGTTTGCCAGGGAGTCGGAAGAAGAGTCTGGACTTGGGATCCCCTACGTGGACATCACGACTCGTGGTGCCGTGGGGCTAAATTTAGCTCCCCGCGGCTTGGATTGTGGACCGGTCGGCTGGAATGTCGATGCTCATTTTAGATTTCCATCTGCCAGCGCCAGTTCAGCTTCCAGATCGTTCGATCGAATATTCGACGGAAAACGGAGTCGAATCGGTGACGGCTCTGGAGGGCGGGCATCGAGTCAAGAAAGAGGTACAGGGAAGCCCGAAGCCGTTCCTACTACGAAGTGACCGGACGGATCTTGACCACATCTGCTCAAATTCACGGCGTCAAACCACGTAGTCACATTGAAAGACAGATGCCGACAACCTGTACAACCTGTTCAAACCCAGATTCATAAACCAACCGGAGTGAAATAACCCCTGAAGGCCGACAAGCAGCAGAAACAGAAACCCAGACACAGCGCATTTCCGATACCAAACAAGACAAGCGGGTCATATCAAGGAAATTCAATTTCATAAGTTAGGGTGGTGGAAACAATAACAGAATATAGGAAATGGATGGGGAAAGGAACATAAAGGGGAAGAGAAAAAAAAAAAAGACAAAAGGAGAAAAAAGAAATAGACGAAAAATGTATCCGGGATGACGATGTCCAAAAGCATCGCCATTCAATATCCCTGTATGCCGTTTTCCCAACAACGTCCCTCTTGTGTATCATCTCCGTGGAGGCTAAGCAACAGACGAGTAAGAAAGATCAAGACCGTTCGATTATAACATCACAAATATAAAAAGTCGTTGCGGTTGGCATGGCCGTCCCCTCTAACAGCAAACATCGTGTTTTTGTTTTCTTATTTCGTTTTTCGTTTTCGATTTAGCAGCAACCCTGCTTCGCCTCGGGATCCTGCGACTTGCTGATCTCCACCACTGGGCGACGCTCGCCAAGGGCAGCCTGGCCCGAGTCACCGCCGTCGATGGCTTTGCTGGACACGATACGGTAGATTTCTGGCGGCACGTGAGCGACGGGATCAAGATAGGGAGAGGAAGGGGTGTAGCGAAGAGATCTCACCTGTGAGAATGTTCTGGAAGGCAAGTTCAACGTTGCTAGCATCGAGGGCAGAAGTCTCGATAAACGAAAGGTTGTTCTCGCCTAGGGATCATCAGTTTCAAGGGCTTGTTCAGACCGCAGGCGAAAGGGGGAAGGAAAAACAAGGAGGAAAAGGGTCAAGCATACTGGCAAACTGCTTCGCTTCTTCCGTCGGCACAGCCCGCAGATGTCTCAAATCACTCTTGTTTCCGACCAGCATGATGACAATGTTGGAGTCAGCGTGGTCGCGAAGTTCTTTCAGCCACCGGTTGACATTATCATAGGTCTGGTGCTTGCTGATGTCGTAGACGAGAAGTGCGCCCACGGCGCCACGGTAGTAAGCAGACGTGATGGCGCGATAGCGTTCCTGACCAGCAGTATCCCAAATCTGGGCCTTGATCGTCTTGGAATCGACCTGGATCGATCGGGTTGCGAATTCAACACCGATGGTGGACTTGGAATCGAGGTTGAATTCATTGCGGGTGAATCGACTCAACAGGTTGGATTTTCCAACACCCGAGTCTCCGATCAGCACCACTGTAAGCGTGGAAAACCACCGTCAGTTAGTGGGACGGGTCGACTGAGGCCAGGTATGCCGGGGAAGGGAGGGCCTTGCGGTGACGGCGCGGGAGGAAGTGGCGACATTACCTTTGAAGAGAAACTACCGGAGAAAGGAATCAGTTGTATGCACTCGACGGACGTGGGTGTTGTCAAAGGGGGTAACTCACATCATACTCGTCGTTAGCCATGAGGGGTGGTTGTGAGAGCTCACAAAGCTCTGCTTCAGGGCGAGGATTAGGGGGTTTGGGGGTTCAACGTGGCTGGTTTGAGACTGGCGGAATCAAGCAAAGCCGGCAACAGTGTGCATTCAGCTGAGGCCTAGGGAGGGGCACAGCAACGTCAGTGAGGTGGCAAGATGAAAGAGACAAGAGGAAGCACAGCAAGTGAGCAGAGCCAACGGGGGGTGAAGAGAGGGAGGGAAGGGCAGCGGGCAGAGCAACGGAGGAGAACTCACAGCGCAAAGGGACGGGGATCACGGCGAGGGCAGGAGGGAAGATAGGAGGTCATCGAGATGCCCGTTTGGCCCGACGGAATCCCTGGCGTCGCGCGGTGCCGAGTGCCTGCCCCTTCCGGCCTAGCGCCGCACGTGATCTGCCTGCGCCCAGGCCAAACAAAGCACGGCGGCCTCGTTGCTGCGCGCTGGAAAGCCTGGGAAGCAGTAACCTCTGCCATCATGCCAGTCGAGGCGGACGACGACGTCGACAGCATCTCCACGACCTCGACTTTGTCCAGTGAACAGGAGTCTGAATATGAAGTGGAGCAGATCTTCGCCGAAAAGCGATTCCCGGATGGCATCAAATATCTGGTGAAATGGGCCAATTACCCCATGTACCGATGCTCCTGGGAGCCGGAGCATTGCTTCAATACCCCCGGGGCCCTGTTGGACTGGTGCCAGAAGAAAAAAGACGTCCAGGAAGGCAGAGAGGCTCCGTTCGATCTCGACGAATGGCAGAACCAACAAGACGCCCGGGAGCAAGCTAGAGCCCAGCGACGCCAACGGAGAGAAGAACAAAGAAGGAAAAACCGGATTCGTTCCCAGAACAAACGAAATCGGGCTGCTCTGGATGCTACGTCCTCTCATGCTCCAACGTCACGCATCGCAGCAACCGCCGAGAAACCGGACCTGCACACTCGGGCCCAATCACCACCGTTGGGTCAACGAGCAATGAAAACGAGTCCTGCAACATCTCCTCCTGTCCTCTTTGGAAATAGTCAGAAAAGCGCCAGCCTCCTACGACTTAAGGAACCCTCTAATGGCAAGCCCGGTAAACATTTCAACTTGTCAACCAGGTGGCGCTACGAGAAGGCAAAGACGGATGAGCCTGCTCCTAATGCAAATCAATTGGAGCTACTTCGGCCGTCGGAATGGCATTCTCGACCACTTGCTAATGCAGCGAAAACCGGTCCCATTGAGGGTCCATCTCAGACCGAGAAAGCGGGCGAGTCATCGAAGCGAAATGACAGTAGTGTCCCGAATGTCCATGTTCAAAATCCTCAAACCTTGTTGATGGATTCCTCTGTATCAACTGAGCCCTCATTCGGCCCCGGCAAGCCACCACCCCAGCAAGGAGATTCCAGCAGAAACTTGGGCCACTCGGGTGATAGACAAGGGCCGATTCCAGCGATGCCAGAGGGCGAACCACTTGTACCCCAAAGGCTGCCCGGTCCCCTGAGTCATGTCACATCAAATCGTAGATTTTTTAATCCTGGCGAGGTGCTGGTTGAGTTGTATTATGGACCGGAGAAGACAGCAATCGGATCAGCCAGACTCTGCGGTCTCACCCCGGCCACCAGAAGCCGAATCCTGTATCGCAAAACACAGTATTCGGTAGAATTGTGGTTTCAGCATCTTTGTACGCTCGACGACTATGATAGACTTTGTCTCAATGTAGGTGCGGTGTGGAGAATCATTCCATTCCCTCCCTCCTCCCTTTTGCCTTTTCTCTCCCTGTTGGCCATCGTTGTCCCGATTTGGTATATTTTGCAGCTAATCAGCAATATCTCCCTTTCAGACATTCAACCAAAATTATTGCACCGGTTGGTTCGAAGGATTCAGGGATACGGAAATGAACATATCTCGCATGGCGCAGGATCTTCGTCGAAGGGACCTGTTGGCGGTTTCTATTCCTGCTCACGAATCGCAGAACGTTTTACTTGCTTACCCTCCCGGCTCAAGGGACTTTGACTTCCTCCAGACCAAATTCAGAGGGCGCGCAGGCTTCTCTCTTTGCCTTACAGCGAGAAGTCAACTAGGCCCGATTGAACGACTCAACGGTCGTACCAAGAGGAACCAAGCATTCACAACGATTGAATCAAGACCGTCTATCCCTGGCCCTGTGAATGAACACCCGTGCCCGACTAAAACGCAAGGGGAAGCCTCAAATGGTCGTAATGCAGTTGTTCCCGAAGCACCCGTTTTGCCCCTTCCCCAAGAGCCACACACGAGCGACCCAGCTTTAATCGACAAGCCGCACGAGATGCAGGGACCACCCACTGTGAACCCAACCCTATCACCCTCGACCAGATTTTCCGACGGCTTTGGAGAGCCCATGGACCTTGATCGACCCACTCCTCCCTGGATGGCCCCACCTAGCACTGTGGCTGACACCGACAATGAGCAGCGCCTTTCTAATGACCAGGAAACCGTCGGGTTTGACTTGATCGACTGGTTTAAGAGGCAGTACGGGGTGACCTTCTCCATGTTACTCGACTCCAAACAAACTGCCGGCTTCTACGTCATGTACCCGGGTCATTTTGGACAAGTCGACGCGCAGTCCGACGCGCAGTGTGAGATATTGATGGCATTCCTACAAAAGCACACCACACAAACCTATTCCAGTCGCCAATCCAAAGACTGGGAGACTTTCACCTTGATGGAGCGAGGTGTGGCCCTGGTACGTTATGCATTCCTCGATTGACTGACTTGAAGTATATTGATGGCCGACCAGTTTCACGAGAACTTTGTTGATTTTGACACCCTGCCCTCATTGAGTAGCCTCCTTAGAAAGGACATTACCTTTTGGAGCTTTTCCTTGCAGGCCCCGCACGATTATGCCGGTCACCCAGCCCACTTCCATCGTATATTTCCGCAAGGCAATGTCTTTCTATTGACAGAGGACGCGATGCTCGCAAGACCGGAGAGGACAGCCGCCTTTCTAGCCTGGTTCCGCGACAACTTGAAGAAAAAGTTCCCTGGAACTTGGAAACTCATGGTGCGACCGAACATCCTGGAGTGGGTGTTAAAACAGTTTGACAAGCAGCATCCGTCCAAACGGGGAATGTAAGTTATCGTCTTTCTCTCCAAACTCGGCTTGTGGGCACTCACCAAACTGACTCAGATGGATTGTAATTCACCAATTGATCATGGAACTCGGCCTTTCTGCCAATGCAGACGTCAGCCCGGAAGTCGATATTGTGGAGAATGCCGTTATTTCGCCGAATCTCCCATCTTATGGCTCTTCCGTGAACGACCAGAGGCCAAACAATGCTAGCGGCTTGACCGAGGAAACAAGAAGAGCGGACAGGCTTGCCGAGTTTTTCGCGGGCTGGGCCCTTGTTCAACGACATCAATATCGACGCTTTTTCCTTATTTCTGGAATCGAACCGCTTGACCGCTGGAAAAGATGGAAACACGTGATCACCGACCAACATTACAGAGGTGTTATGTCGACTTACAAAATTGATTACGGATTCTACTGGTCTAAAATTCAAGGCCAAAAGGGAGGGACCGCCACCGAAGAGAGAATCCAAAACACTCCTCTGGCCTACACCCCACAGACTCCTAGAGCGAGTGGATTTAGGTCGGAGCAGCCCCTGGCAGCAACTTCTACGACATACAACTACCCGCAACCATACCAGTGAATCTCATGGAAATCTCCCATGCACTTTTGCTCTTCCTAGCGTCTCATTTTTGATAGCGTTCTTATCTCGGGGTTTATTCAAAAGTTATTTCGCAGCGATCAATACCCCATTGGCGATCCTGAAAGTACGTCTGGGGTACAGCCGGGGGTTTTTTTTCTTTTTCTTTTAAAAAAGTCTCATGAATCTCATGTATCCAGGAATACAAAGATAAAAATGATTGTCAACCATTGAATGTTCTAGTTAAGGCACCTTGAGATCTCTAACGCGACAGAGCAAGAATGGAATAACTAATATTCGCTAAACGTAAAAAGAATGATAGGCTAGACTAAGGTCAATACTAGCCTGACGTGGTATAACATAAACCAGATCATAGAAAGCATATGCTCCTGTACATACAAATAGGAAACCATTCCCAGGGCTGACAGCCACCAACTAAGATCCCACCGCGCGCTTTCGATATTCCCGGAAGTTCCAGACGGGAGGTTCTTGCATGGAGGGAGACTGGGCCTTGGTCTTCCACTTAGCCTTCTCCTTCTTCTCCCGACGCAGTTTTTCCTCCCACTGGCTCTCCTCCGCCGCAATCATGGAGTGAAAGCGTCCGCCCTGCCCTCGGGCAAGATAGATGGGCTTTTCGCTGCGCGCGGCGACAGCTTCGGTGACTAGGACGAATTTCACACTCGACCCGGGGGTTTCGAACATGGCGTCACTGAGGATGGTTTCCAACTCGGTGCGAAGAGCACGTGCCCCGGTTCCCATTTTGAAAGCATTCGCGGCAATCTTATGTAGAGCAGGGGTGGTGAATCGCAGTTCAATGCCCGAGAGAGAAAATAGCGTGGTGTATTGAGCTTGAAGGGAGTTGCGAGGTTCTGTGAGGATCCGGACAAGAAGCGGCGTGGATAATGTAGAGAGAGCAGCCGTGACCGGAACACGGCCCACAAGCTCAGGAATGAATCCGTAGTTTTGCAGGTCGGTAGGGTTGAGAAGGTCCAAAGCATTGAAGTACGTGGGCTCGCTGTCAGGCGACTCGGAGGTGGCCGAACTGAAGAAAGGAAGATGCTTCTTGTACAACGCTTCTTCTTCCGAGCCTGGGAGGATGGGAACCGGTTGATTGTTTGTATGATCGGACTCCTCAGAGTGTCCACCGGGACTGGATTGTGAACGGACTGGTTGGCCGAACCCGATCGAACCGCGCGATATCCGGTCCATAATCATCTTGTGCAACCCAACAAATGCGCCCGAAAAGATGAACAAAATATTATCGGTCCGTACGTTGTAAACCTCTCCCTTCTGGGGGACGTTCCCGCCATTGGAAGGCGAATACGGCGAGTTTCCTAGCGGGCTGTTTGATGGGTATGTGTTGGGGGCGCCCCCAACGCGAGGGGCGTTTCTCTCCTGTTTTGCCTGTACTTGGACGGTGGTGCCTTCGATAATTTTGAGAAGGGCTTGCTGCACACCTTCTCCACTAACGTCCTTTCCGTGACTGACTTTCGCAGCGGCGATCTTATCGATCTCGTCCAGAACAATGATACCCCGCTCAGCTTGCTCGGCGTCATAGTTGGATGCGGCTAGAAGTCGGTGAATGCATACCTCTGCATCCTCTCCGATGTAGCCAGCCTGCGTGAACGGAGTGCAGTCGGAAATACTGAAGGGAACCGACAAGATCTTTGCCAGGGTTTTTGCCATCAGTGTCTTTCCGACGCCAGATGGCCCCAGCAAAAGAATATTGGATTTCTCTAATTGTAGTGGCGACGTAGCATCGAGCTCGGCGTCGGGGGAGGCCGAGGAGGACGGCGGGTGAAGAGGAGAGGCAGTGGTTTGTTGCTGACCTGGAAATTCATCTATTTGTGTCATCAGCCAACGCACACTAGACAGACAAGCATAAGGGGAGAGAGAAAGTCGGGGGAGTGCTGGGTGGGACAAAGCCTACCTTCTACCGGATGATGTTCAATTGCCTCCCTCCGCGCGCGCTTTGCCAGAAGTTCTGCTGCTTCTTCCTCGCGCCGTTGAAGCTCTTGCACGCGCTGATAATGGTTATACACAGCGACACTCAAAATCTTCTTGGCACGATCCTGTCCAACCACAAACTGGTCGAGGTATTGCTTCAACACTTTGGGCGTGATCCTGGGAGCTCCGAAGGCCGGAGCAGACGCCAGGGGCCCGGTCGTGGGCAACCCAGGCTCATAACTACCGCTCCAGGGCTGGCTTGTAAAATCCGATCTATTGAATTGAGATGACGTGGGAAACGTCGCGGAAGAGCTCGACAGTTCGCGATAAGTGAGACGATGGAATGACTGCGGTGTGCGCCGATAGCGGAGGGCACAGCGCTGCGCCCCGAGAGGTGCTCTGGGCCGTGAGGGCAGCCGCAGCATGACCAGCAGCGACCGTGGGACTAAGAATATGTCCGAAGGCGAAGTAGACGGAACGCGATTTAGAAGAAATCAAATCCAAGAGGGCTTGGGAAGGATGGGGCGAGACGGAGTTGGAGAAGCTGAGGATCCCCGATCGCAGATAAGATGCAACGCGACCCAAGCAAGCTTTCCCCGCAGCACGTGATGCTTATCGGCCGACGATATCCGCCGTCGCCAGCACTTCCTACGCGATCGAGGCTTACAGGGAAAAGACATCACAGACTGACCTGGCGAGTCTGGGACAGGATGTGGCAAAGAATATCTATTTGTAGAGGTGCCATCAAGGGAGGGTCAAATTGCCAAGCGCTGTAAAAAAAGACTGGTGACAATCTGCCATTGGTCCAAGTAACCAGCCGTGCGCCCCTTGCCTGTTCTGCAGAACGTCTGCGGAGACATAGGGCATTCTGGGGACACTGGTAACTAATCCGTAAAGTCCTGCCACCTAGCGAGTCCCGACGGACTTACGCGACTTGAAGTCGAACTGGTGGGGCTCCTACTGGCATCCCGCCTACTATTGACAATACCAATGCCGTTGGAGTGTCCAAAGTAGAATTTCCCAAGCAGGCGTCTCTCGACACTTGCGCCGTAGCGTCTATCCAGAGACTTGGACATAATGAGGGAATCTGGCTTTTTCGTCCACCAGGCAGGCTGGGGGATCTTGGGGGGATCTTATCTCGGGAACCGAGTCGCTCTACTTGTTCGCCTTGAATGCCGGCTGATGCTCCATGGTCTGAGAAATGAAGCTCCTGAGGGCAGCCCATCGACTGGAGCCGGCCCCGGAATCACCCTCCGAACCTGCATTTGTTGTTGCGGCCGCCTCCATGCCCGACATCTGGGCCATATTCTTTGCAAAGCGGTCTCTCTCGGACTTTTCCAACTTCTCTCGTCGCTTCATGGCTCCTGGCTTGTGCCTGAGGGTCGTCTGCTTGATCACCTTGACTTGGCTATCGGGGTCATTGAATTCATCGGCTTCGGGCAAGGCATCGGCCAGCGAGTCGAGGTTGGCAGCCAGTTTCTTGGACGACCTGCGACGCTTGGCTGATTTTTGGGAGTTCTTCTCGATCTTCGACATGAAACTGTTGTGCTTGATCTGGCGTTTGTCCTTCTTGGTCGTGCGGAATTCATCGCCAAAGATGCCGGACTGCGGTGCGGCGGCGGCGGTTGGCTTCTTCGTGGCAGCCTGCTTCTTGACGGATCGGATGGGAGCCTGGACCCGGTCAGAGTTAGCACTGGGCAGCCGGGTGCAGGACGGCGGGGGACGTACCATGACGATACAGCAGTCGAGGTGGCGACGCAAGGGTTGAGCAGACGAAAACTGAACAAATTTGCCTCGGGAGCCAGAATTCCACGGGAAGCGGCAGGCTAAACCGCGGAAGGCTTAGCGCCCGGGCGATTCCCGTGCGCGCAGCGACTCACCGCCCACATGATCGGCCTCCACCGGCCGCTGGGGCCTCTCGGACTGCAGTGGCGCGGCTTCCATCACCGTCTTTTCGTCGCCTTTCTTTCTGCAGTTTTCGTCGCTTCCCGGCTGAAGGAGATCCACATTCACGGGGATCCAAACCCACCTTTTCGTCGTGCTCTGACATCAGAGGGACCACCCCGGAACCGGGACGAGAAAGTTCGCCGTGAATGCGGTTCCCGGTGCGCCTTTTATCTCGCCGCTCCTGTCCTCCTCGCTCGTGTGCTCTGCATCTACCTCGGCCCCCCATCTTCGACTACGCTCTGTCTTCCCGAATCATAAGGGACCTGCACACCCAGTCAATCTGCTCTAGTGCTCTTAAAAACCCCCCTCTTGCACCCCGCCGCTTCAATTCCTGCTCCTCTTCCAATTCCCTCTACAACCCGACAAGCAAAATGACCACCATGAACAATCTGGCACCCTTCCAGCGCAAACACAAGGTCACTGTGGTTGGCTCAGGAAACTGGTATGTTCTGAAACTATGTTTACTAGCCTCGGTCGACACCGCATTGGCAGGGGAGCCGTCTAACGTTCGACAGGGGCACTGCAATCGCCAAGATTGTCGCCGAGAACGCCGCCAGCAATCCGTCCATCTTCGAGAAGGATGTGCAGATGTGGGTGTTCGAAGAAAAGGTTGAGATCTCTAAAGACTCCCGTCATTATAACCCCTCGTCGCCCTTATGTCAGGGTCCCCAGAACTTGACGGAGGTGATCAACACGACCCATGAGAACATCAAATACCTGCCGGGCATTGCCTTGCCCACCAACTTGCATGCCAACCCTTCCCTTGTGGATGCGGTTCAGGACAGTACTATCCTTGTTTTCAACTTGCCCCACCAGTTCATCATCAAGACTTGCGAACAGATCAAGGGCAAGATTCTGCCGTACGCCCGTGGAATTTCCTGCATCAAGGGCGTGGATGTGCAGGAAGAGGGAATTAGCCTGTTCTCCGAAACGATCGGCAAGATCCTGGGCATCTACTGTGGTGCACTCTCTGGAGCCAACATCGCCAGTGAGGTTGCTCAGGAGAAATGGTCTGAGTCGAGTATTGCCTACGATCCTCCTCATCTAGACTCCAAGGCTCCTACCCCCGATCGCTCGCCGTCCTCATCTACTACCGATGTGGTCCACTTTGAACACCGTGATGTCTCGGGCCAATTCTCGCGAGTGAAATTGCGGGCACTCCCCACCGAGTTTGTCCCCATTGACCACGATGTTCTGAAGTCGCTTTTCCACCGCCCGTATTTCCATATTCGAGTGGTTAGTGACGTCGCGGGTGTCTCCCTTGGCGGTGCCCTTAAGAACGTCGTTGCGCTTGCTGCCGGCTGGGTCGAAGGCATGGGATGGGGTGACAACGCTAAAGCTGCTGTGATGCGAGTCGGTTTGCTAGAGATGGTCCGATTCGGCGAAAAATTCTTTGGCGCAACCTTCGAGCCTCGGACCTTCACGGAGGAGAGCGCCGGTGTTGCGGATCTGATCACCAGCTGCAGCGGAGGACGGAACTTCCGCTGCGCGAAGCTCAGCGTGGAGAGAAAGCAGCCGATTGAAAAGATCGAGGAGACGGTCCTCAACGGTCAAAAGCTGCAAGGCACCTTGACTGCCTTTGAAGTCAACAGTTTCCTTAAGAAGCAAGGCCAGGAAGAAGAATTCCCCTTGCTCACCGTCGTTTACCGTAAGCACCTCCCACTCCGGCGTCATCCATTGCAACTTACTAATTGTGCTGTAGGCATTCTTCAGGGAACCATGTCGGTCGAAGACATCCCTTCTTTCATTGAGCGGTAAATAGGACCTCATCACCCCCCGCCTCTTTTGTTTGGGTTGTTAATTCAGGAATTTTCTGTCTTTCCTTCTCTAACAGCAAACCGACCTCCACATCTCACACTTCTTCGACAGGGGGCAATGGTGGTGGCCCGCGTCAGGCGGTTCTGGGCGCCCGATTGTAAATGCTACGGATTAATGTCCTGTGATGTTTTGATTTCATCGTGATGTTCTTTATCCCCTCTTTTTCGGAGGGTCGTCTTTTGGGGTACAGCGTTATTTATACACATAGACAAACCACCATAGAAAGGACAATGGCGCTATTTACGTCGCTTGAATTGGATGAATGCCAACGAATCTTTCTCTCTCCCTCTCTTTCCAAGGCCAGTCAGTCTACGCCCGATCTAAAAATAACGGGAGGGAAGGGCCCAAGCTCTGGTGCCAGGCATGATGTCAGGTTTTCCTGCGGGGTTACATGGCACCCCCTCAGGAACAGGGAACTCCTCCCTTCGCCCTTATCTTCCAGCTCTTTTTCTTCCTTCGACTTGCTTGCTTCTTTGCTCGTCCTGCGCTTCAATCCCCACGAGCACATATTCTTGTGGGTTTCAGCTTATCCGCCAGCGGTATCATCTAGTGTTCGGGTAGCAAGCACCATCTGGACCCGAGAGACCATCACCATCTCTGCCAATATTATCCGATCGATCGATCATCGACCAAAGCTCATCGGAGACGAGAGATCTGTCTATTCGGCTGAATCCATGATGTCTGATCCGCAAGAGGTCTATCTGCTCCCCTTGAAGGATGATGGCTCTCCCGATGTTCCCGGCGGCTACATTTACCTGCCTCCGCCAACCAACCCCCCATATTTGCTCCGGTTCGTCATCGAAGGAAGTAGTTCGATTTGCAGAGACGGATTGCTGTGGATAAATGTTCCTGAGCCTGGAAGATCCTTTGACCGCTCTGTCTTCCAAAGTTTCCGGTAATAAAGATGTCATTCCGGTGTCGGTTGATGACGGAATGGCGCGATTGCTGAAACGATAGTAGATTGCACCCGGACTTCAACAAGAACATTCAGATTGATATTGCTATCACTTCTCCGGGAGCTTTCGCCTTTTACACGACATTTTCTCCGCTTCCGGCTTTCTCAGTCTCCCCTATCGCGACGGCTGCAACCGCAAGAACGTCCACCCATTACATCGATGTATCCCCGGCCCTGACCATCAAGGGCCAGCACCTTCCTCTCAATGCCCTTTCAATCTTTTCGGTCATTTCCAAGTTCATGGGGAAGTATCCCACAGATTGGGAGAGGCAAATCGAAAGCATCAGTGGCCGCAATTACAACATGATCCATTTTACGCCTTTGATGGAACGTGGTGTTTCGAACTCTCCTTACAGCATTTACGACCAGTTGACCTTTGATAAGGCTTCATTTCCAAACGGAGAGTCGGACGTTGCCCAATTGGTTTCGAGAATGGAAAATGATTATGGCCTCTTGTCCCTCACAGACGTGGTTTGGAACCACACGGCAAATAATAGTCAATGGCTTGAGGAGCATCCGGAAGCAGGTTATAGCGTTGAGACGGCTCCATGGCTCGAGGCTGCATTGGAATTGGATAATGCTTTGCTGGAATTTGGCCGTGAACTTGGTTCCCTGGGTCTTCCCACGGAGTTTAAGACCGTTGACGATCTCTTGTCCGTCATGAACGTGCTGAAAGATCGTGTCATACACGGTTTGCAGCTATGGGAATTTTACGTGATTGATGTGAAAACCAACACCCAGGCAGTCATGGAAAAATGGAAAAGCTCGGATAAGATAGACTTGACGAGCGAGCCATGGTCACAGTTCGATCTCGTTGATTACAAGGATTGGCCTCTCAAGAAGCAGGCCAACTTCCTCCGTGAGCATGCGATACCAACACACAAGCAGGTCCTTGGGAGATTCGAGCGCAAAATTGATGTCAACGTTGGCGCGGCTGCCCTGGCGGCACTTTTCGGCACCAGTGACCATACAGAATCGGATGCTACCGTCGAAGGTACCCTGGTGGCCATTCTCGATGAAGTGAATTTGCCTCTCTACAAAGAGTACGATGAGGATGTCTCCGAGATTATGAACCAGCTCTTCAATCGTATCAAGTATCTCCGAATAGATGATCATGGACCAAAGCTTGGCCCTGTGACCGATAATAACCCAATGATCGAGACCTATTTCACCAGACTACCTGTCAATGACATCACCAAGCGCCATAGTTCCAAGGCACTTGCCCTGGTGAACAATGGCTGGATTTGGAACGCTGATGCAATGCGAGACAATGCTGGTCCGGACTCCAGGGCATATTTACGTCGGGAGGTGATTGTTTGGGGCGATTGCGTGAAGCTGAGATACGGGTCCTGTCCTCAAGACAACCCATTCCTATGGAATTTCATGACCCAGTATACGCGACTCATGGCGAGATACTTCTCAGGCTTCCGCATTGATAACTGCCATTCAACGCCCCTTGTGGTTGCCGAGTACCTGCTGGACGAGGCTCGAAAAATCCGACCCAACCTTACAGTATTCGCTGAACTTTTTACCGGCTCCGAGGATGCCGACTACATTTTCGTCAAACGACTTGGCATAAACGCCCTTATTCGAGAGGCGATGCAAGCCTGGAGCACAGGGGAGCTAAGCCGACTAGTGCACCGTCATGGCGGTCGTCCTATTGGAAGTTTTGATGTCAACTTGCCGTCAGCAGGTAGTAGCCATGCAATGGCCTCTGCGAGTCCCGAAAACGCGCAGGAGAGTATTTCACATATTCGGCCTTGCCCTGCTCAGGCTTTGTTCATGGACTGTACTCATGACAATGAGACGCCATCGCAGAAGCGGACTGCAAAGGATACCTTGCCAAATGCCGCCCTGGTCTCGATGTGTGCATCGGCGATAGGGAGTGTTATGGGCTATGACGAGATATATCCAAAACTAATAGATCTGGTCCACGAGGAACGACTGTATTCATCCGGAAAACCAGAATCTTCCACCCGGGATGATCATTCTTCTGAGAGTGGCATTGGTACTGTGAAGACTCTCCTAAACAGACTTCACACCATGATGGGGGTAAACGGATACGATGAAACCCATATCCATCATGACGGCGAGTATATCACTGTCCACAGAGTACATCCCAGAACTCGGAAAGGTGTTTTCCTGATAGCGCATACCGCATTCCCTGGCCATGAAAGCCAGCCCCCTTTGGCGCCTACCCATCTCACTGGTACTCAAGCAAAACATATCGGGACCTGGCTGCTGGAGGTGGATGCGACTGACAAGACGAAAAATGAAATACTAGCTGATAAATCACATTTGCGAGGACTGCCCAGTGAAGTTCGCGAAATTGAGGGGACCACCATGGAGCATCAAGGAAACGATACGATCATTTCTGTGTTGAGCCCTTTCGTCGCCGGATCCATTGCACTCTTTGAAACCTCCATTCCAGAAGCCGAACACTCGACGGGTCTGGCTAATTACATCACTGAAGGTGCTGAGCTTGCGTTTTCGAAACTCAGTCTTATCGATCTAAACTTTCTACTCTACCGTTGCGAAGCAGAGGAGAGAGATTCTAGTGATGGTCAGGATGGAGTATACAGCATCCCCAACCACGGGCCTTTAGTTTATGCCGGGCTTCAGGGATGGTGGAGCCTACTTGAAAACATTATCAAGTATAACGAGCTCGGACACCCATTATGTGATCACCTACGACAAGGCCAGTGGGCTCTTGATTATATAGTGGGACGCTTGGAGAAAGTTGCTCAAAAGGAAGGATACGATGCGGTGCGTGAACCTTGTGCGTGGCTGCGAGAGAGGTTTGACGCGGTCCGCAAACTGCCAAACTTTCTTCTGCCGAGATATTTCGCCATCATTGTCCAAGTTGCCTACAATGCGGCTTGGAAGAGGGGCATATATCTTTTGGGGAGCAACATCCAGAAAGGCCAGGAATTCGTGCATCAACTGGGCATGGTTAGCGTGCAGCAAACAGGCTACGTTAACTCTGCATCTTTGTGGCCGACAAAAAGAGTACCAAGCCTCGCAGCTGGTTTGCCACACTTTGCCACGGACTGGGCAAGGTGCTGGGGCCGGGACGTCTTTATTTCTCTTCGGGGACTTTTGTTGTGCACCAACCGATTTGATGAAGCCAAAGAACACATCGTTGCCTTTGCCAGTGTGCTCAAACATGGCATGATTCCTAATCTTCTGAGTAGTGGGAAGCTTCCTCGCTACAACTCTCGAGACTCGGTGTGGTTCCTTTTGCAGGCCATTCAGGACTATACAAAAATGGTACCAGACGGCCTGCAGCTTCTAAAGGAACAGGTTCCACGAAGGTTTCTACCATATGACGACGCCTGGTTTCCATTCGATGACCCGCGGGCGTATTCTCAACATTCGACAGTTTCCGATATCATCCAGGAAGTCTTTCAACGCCATGCTAGCGGCCTTTCTTTCAGGGAATACAATGCGGGGCAGGAATTGGACATGCAAATGAAGCCGGAGGGTTTTCAGATAGATGTGACTGTCGACTGGGAGACAGGATTGATCTTTGGGGGTGGTCAGTCCAACTGTGGTACATGGCAAGACAAAATGGGGGAGAGCGAGAAAGCTGGGAACAAGGGCTGGCCTGGGACACCACGGGATGGTGCAGCCATTGAAATTACCGGCCTGGTTTATAGTGCCCTGAAATGGGCCGCTGGTCTTCACCAACAAGGCCTCTATGATCACGACAGGGTCCAGATACGAGATGGCGAATCGATCACTTTCGAGGATTGGGCTGGAAGAATCAAAAGCAGCTTCGAACGCTGTTACTATGTGCCCGTTGATCCGAGTGAGGACAGTCAGTACGATGTCGACACCAATATCGTCAACCGCAGAGGCATTTATAAAGACCTGTACAGATCTGGGAAACCGTATGAAGACTATCAGCTTCGATCAAACTTCCCCATTGCCATGACTGTATCACCGGACCTGTTTTCCCCTACCAGAGCCTTGGCTGCTCTTGCTCTCGCCGATACTGTGCTTGTCGGGCCGATGGGGATGGCCACGCTCGACCCGTCTGATTTGAACTATCGGCCCAACTATAACAACTCGGAAGATTCAACTGATTTCGCAACTTCCAAGGGTAGGAATTACCACCAAGGCCCTGAATGGGTCTGGCAGCGGGGTTACTTTCTCCGAGCTTTCCTCTACTTTGACCTGGCTCGACGAAGGACGCCCGAGGAACGAACTGAAGCTTATCAGCAAGTGACTCGGCGTCTGGAAGGATGCAAACGGGCTCTTCGAGAAAGTCCCTGGAAAGGTCTTACAGAACTGACAAACCAGAGTGGAAAACATTGCGCAGACTCGGTATGTTGGCACGATCTGTTATCATGATTGCCCATGTTGTATTCGTCAAGGCTAACGTTTTCTTTCTTTGTTTTTACAATCTTATAGTCACCGACACAGGCTTGGTCTGCCGGGTGTCTGCTCGATGTGTATTATGATGCTTTACGCTATTCCTCGTGAGAATCGTCGTGTAGATAGAGAGGTAGTTTTTGGATAGTCCGCGGCATAGTTAATTATGTAGCTGAGTCAGCAGAGTGCACAACTCACTGCTTACCCCTTTGGGTATCGGCGAATGCGTTCGTCGAAAAGGCCCAACTCAATCAAGCTTGGACTTTTCCTGGCACAATTTTCGGTTCATAAGGTACTGCTCTTCCCTCTTTGTCGCTTTCTTGGAGTATTTTCCTTTATAGGTGTTCCATTCACGTTTCCTCTACCCCTGCGACGCGGTGCAACAGGTTTCATACCTCTGACGTCAATTATTTTGGAACTTGCGCATCATTTCCGCGAAAAAAACGCCCAGCGTGCCCATATGCATCACCAAAGGCGTTTTTATTGACCCGAACCCAAATTATTCGACTTATAATCGTGCCTTATCGAGAGACATGTCTCTCACCGAGTCTGCCGCGACAGCTGCGCTGTCGGTCGCAGCTGTGGTGAGTGACACACCAGGGGGAGGTCACCAACCGCGGTGGGACGATCAAACAAGAGGTCAACGCGACCTTTATACGCAGCTTGTGATCAGCTTTGCAGTGGGGCTGTCGGCATTTCTTGCTTTCTGTGTGAGTTTCAGAACCAAATCTACACCGTCAGGAGGAGTGATCTAACCATGTGTCGAGTGAACAGGTTTTGCGACCGAAGTGGACAGAACTGTACGCCGCACGCAGGCAACAGTGTGGCGCGGCCTCGCATCTACCGGAGCTCCCTGATAGCTTCTTCGGATGGATACCGGTGCTACATAGGATAACTGAAGAAGAGGTGCTACATTCTGCTGGGTTGGATGCGTTTGTTGTGAGTGCTTTGTCTTCTCCATGGCTATACCGAGCCAATATGTCTGACAACAACACGCAATCTAGTTCCTATCCTTTTTCAAACTTGCGATTCGACTTCTGTCCGGAGTATTCGTGGTAGCCTTTGTGATCATCCTTCCCATTCACTATAAATGTATCGGCAAATCCGGTGTCCCCGGATGGGACGGCGACGATGGGGACGCTTTTGATGGGGACAAGGACAAGAAAAAGCTCATATCGGCTCCTACGTATTTGTGGATGTACGTGATATTTCCATACATTTTCAGTGGACTGGCCATCTATCTGCTCCTCCAAGAGACGAACAAGATCATCAGCATAAGGCAAAAGTACCTCGGAAGTCAAACCAGCACCACGGATAGGACGATTCGATTGTCTGGCATCCCCAAGGAGATGGGGTCGGAGGACAAGATAAGGGAATTTGTGGAAGGCCTGCAAATCGGGACGATCGAGAGCGTCACATTGTGTCGCGATTGGCGCGAGCTTGACCGTTTGATCGACGAGCGACTCAAGATTCTACGCAAATTGGAGAGGGCGTGGACAAAGCACCTGGGGTATGAACGGGCGAATTCTAACATCAACGCTCTACCCTTCGCCGTACACCAGCCGCGAGGTTCGAGCTTGGTGTCAGACGGAGACAGTGATCGGATCCAACTTCTTTCGGAGAGTGCACGGGCTCATGTCTCTGACTACGCCTCAAAAAGGCCGACGATCCGCATCTGGTATGGGCCATTCAAAATGCAGTACAAGAGCATCGATGCGATCGACTATTACGAGGAGAAACTGCGCAGAATCGACGAACATATCCGGCTTGCGCGGCAGAAGGAATACCCACCCACCGAATTAGCTTTTGTTACCATGGAATCCATCGCTGCCTCCCAGATGCTCGTTCAAACCATTCTCGATCCTCATCCCATGCGTCTTCTTGCTCGACTAGCTCCTGCTCCGGCTGACGTTGTCTGGAAAAACACGTACCAGCCACGCTCGAGACGAATGATGCAATCCTGGTTTATCACCGGGGTTATTGGGTTTTTAACCATCTTCTGGTCGGCTCTTTTGGTCCCCTTCGCATACCTTCTGAACTTGCAGACGCTCGGCAAAGTATTCCCTCAGTTGGCCGATGCCCTTGCCCGGCATGCTCTTCTGGGATCGCTTGTTCAGACTGGATTGCCGACTTTGGTTCTCTCGCTGTTGACCGTGGCCGTCCCATACATGTACAATTGTGAGTCTCCCTGCTTCGTGAAGAATCCCAATCGGCCATATTCATTCTAACTGCGTCTCCAGGGCTATCGAATCTGCAAGGAATGATGTCGCGTGGTGACGTGGAGTTATCGGTCATATCCAAGAACTTTTTCTTCTCGTTCTTTAACCTATTCCTCGTCTTCACTGTTTTCGGAGCAGCCACGACATTCTACGGCTTTTTGGACAGGCTGCGAGGTGTGTTCAAAGACGCGACCACCATCGCGTTTGCACTGGCCCAAACATTGGAAGGTTTCGCGCCCTTTTACATCAACCTCATAATCCTGCAAGGGGTGGGCTTATTTCCTTTCCGACTCCTCGAATTCGGCAGTGTCGCGCTGTACCCCTTCAACTTTCTGACTGCGAAGACACCACGAGACTACGCAGAGCTGTCGACACCCCCCACTTTTAGCTACGGATACTCTATCCCGCAGACCATCTTGATCCTGGTCATCTGTGTGGTCTACAGTGTGTTCCCCAGTTCATGGTTGATTTGCCTGTTCGGCCTTGTGTACTTCACCATTGGCCGGTTCATTTACAAATACCAACTGTTGTATGCAATGAACCACCAACAGCACTCGACCGGGCGAGCATGGCCAATGATCTGCAACCGGGTCTTGGTTGGATTGATGTTTTTCCAGCTGGCCATGATCGGCGTCCTGTCCCTGCGCCGAGCGATCACCCGATCACTGCTTCTTGTGCCCCTTCTCGGTGCAACTGTGTGGTTCAGCTATTTCTTTGCCAGAAGCTACGAACCACTCATGAAATTCATTGCTCTCAAAAGCATTGACCGAGATCGCCCGGGAGGTGGAGATATTTCCCCTTCGCCGTCGGCGACGTTCTCACCTCCGTCTGGTCTCGATCGCGATGCTCTCCCGCCCTGCTTTGGCAGCCAGGAACTGAATTCCAGGCTCAGGAAATATGTCAACCCGAGTCTTGTTGTGCCGCTCAGCGAAGCATGGCTCCCGGGACACGGGACGCCGAATAACGTCGTTTGAAGTGCTGGGCCATCTTGGGCCACCCATTTCTGTCTCGACCGCAGCCAATTCTGGGCTGTTCTCAATATTTCCTTCCATATATCCAAGTATAGGATCTTGTGATCTGCGTTGCTTTCTAACGACTTCTCTTTTTCTCTTCTTCACCGCTGGCCATGCCAATGATATACGACGCTATGCTATCTCGAGATTCCCCTGATACCTACCATCCTGTCTTTGTTTTCTCGACGTCTCCGTATATTGTATATTAATAAGACTGCTTTCCTATGTTCGGTACCCACGGGCCAGGTTATCTGCTTTTCTTTTATTCTTTGTGTTTATTCCCATAGATATGGTTTCTATAATACATTGTCGGCTCCACGGCTCAATTACTACGGGCCATGGAATGTTTTAGGGATGACTCTATTGATGAATTTAAAAGACATAATTCCCTGTTTTTCAGCATTGTAGAGTAAATCATCAGCCGCATAAGCTTGGCTCCGGTTGGCTACACTTTTCAAGAATCCCTGTCCAATTTAAGCATGCTTAAAGTTTGCGTGCCTCTGATAAACCTGGCTATCCCTGCTCTCAAATCCGAAATTTTCAAGTCCAAAATGTAACCGTACTTTTCATTGTAAAATCGCTATCATAGTCAAAGCCCATTGGAACCATTAGAGAAGAGAAGAAGTAAAGAAAAAAGGGTACCCGGAATATTAAGGTAGCTAGGTTCGTCGAGAACCGTCTATCAAACCCCTGGTTGGCTCCTATTTTAGGCGGCCAATTTCTCTCGGCGAGCACGCACGGCCTGCGCCAGGTTCTCCAGCACGGACTCGGTGTCCTCCCAGTGAATGCAAGCATCCGTGATGCTGACTCCGTATTTGAGACCGGCCTTGCCCTCGGGCGGCACCTTCTGGTTGCCTAACAAAAGAAAAGGGTTAGCTTGTTCGAAGTCCTAAAACACAGATCCAGGTGACAATCCAAACTTACCCTCGTTGATATTGCTCTCAATCATGACACCCATGATCGCTGTCTCGCCGGCAGCAATCTGCTCGGCAAGAGTGGCAGCCACCTTGGGCTGGTTCTTGTGGTTCTTCTCGGAGTTGCCGTGGCTGCAATCGACCATCAGGCGGGGCTCCATGCCCTGCGAGGTGAGCTTGGCCTTGGCCTCGGCGATGCTCTGTGCGTTGAAGTTGGGTCCCTTCTTTCCGCCGCGAAGGATGACGAAGCAGTCGGGGTTGCCGACGGTGCCGACAATGGCGACGACACCAGGCTTGGTGACGGAAAGGAAGTGGTGAGGATGCTTCACGGACCCAATGGCGTCCACCGCGACGTCCAAGGAGCCATCGGTGCCGTTCTTGAATCCAACGGGGAACGAAAGACCCGAGGCCAATTCCCGGTGGACCTGCGACTCGGTGGTGCGCGCGCCCACGGCGCCCACGGAGAGACAGTCGGCCAGGAACTGGGGCGAGATGGTGTCCAGCATCTCACTCGCAATGGGCATTCCCTTGTTCGTCAGGTCGACGAAAAGCTGACGAGAGGTCCGCAAGCCCTTGTTGATCTTGAAGCTGTTGTCGATGTCTGGGTCGTTGATGAGACCCTTCCATCCAACGGTGGTACGAGGCTTCTCCAGGTAGGATCGCATGACGATCAAGAGTTCGTCCTTGTACTTCTCCTTCATCTTCAACAGACGGTCGCAGTATTCGAGGGCCATTTCGGGGTCGTGGATGGAGCATGGACCAATGACAACCATCAGGCGGCGCTTGTCGGTATCGGTACCGTGAACGACAGCGATGGCCTCCTCACGACCCTCCATGACCGTTTTCCGGGAGCTTTCCGTCAAGGCGATCTCATGTTGAAGGAGGTTGGGGGGTGTGAGAGGGTTGTATCCTCGGACTATAGACGGGGTTCTCAATTAATAAATGAACCAGAATCAACACTGGGTTGCGGAGACATACTTCTCGAGTCTTCCAGATGGGCTTGATCGCCCACATTGGGGTTCTCAATGAAGAACTGCAGGATTGGTTAGAGAGGGGTGGTGATAATAAGGGTGGTTGAGGTTCAGCGTTGACTCACAGACATGGCGGGGAAGAAGAGTACGGAGGGGTAACTATGAGGGGAGATAGTCGACGTGGGAACACAAGAGGTCGGAAAAGACAAGGTGATTAAAATATTCTCTCTTGAAAGGAGACAGGAAGGGAAACAATGAATGAAGAATTGAAATGACCTGCCTGTTTTTTTTCCTCCCAGTCTTGTCCAGTCCATTTCTTGGGCTCCGTACATCGGCCGAGGAGTCATCGGCCATGGCACGTGATTCCGGTGAGGGCCAATGAGTGCCTGGGTGCCTGGGCCCCGGTAATGTGATCGGCGCAGCGCTGATTGGCTGCGGCGCGTGTCTGCATGTTTGCGTCCGTCTCGTGCTGCTGACGGAGTACTTCCATGGTTTGCATTCGGAAAATTGGGACCAGTAATTATGATTCTTGTTTATTTCTCACGCTTCTGTAGAACCAGCACCTAAAGATACACACCCGAAGGGTTTTGTCCCACAATAAACACCCTCTCGCACTAAGAACAGTACTATTGAGGTCTCGGCGCACAGATGTGACTGTCCCCCGAGCCTGTTCGGTGTTCGGGCGAAATAACTCTCCTCCGCTTTGGACGCCTTCTCTCCAGACTATGAGTCACACACAAGGATGTTCTCTTTCGGAGTCGTAATTCGTTCTCTTTCAGGCGATTGATCAAGGTCTCGCAGGTATCTTGATGTTGCCGTTGGATGATGTCAATGTGTTCCTCACAAACGCGGATTCGTTCCTCCTGTCCTTCGACAAGCCGATCAAGAACAGAATTGCATTCTTGGCGATACTGCTCCAGAATCTGACCAGCCATCTCCCGTTCATTTTCTAGTTGGCGCGCCAGATGCTATCCAAAGTATCAGCGAAGCTAACGCACACACGCACAGAAAGAGAGGGGGGGGGGGGGGGGGGAGACCCGAACGATGTCCTACTTACCCTCTTTGTTTTCATTGAAATCTTCTTCACACTCTCTTGGAGAGACATTGACGGCTTGGCCTGATGGATATTGCTTGATTGTGTTGCCACACTGACACTGGAGTCTGTTAAGGTCTTGCCATTGTGATCGCCAGACAATTCACTAGGCTGGCTCCCTCGCATCTGTTGACCTTGCCCTGTTCCTAAATCACGTTTCTCTTGGCTGCCATCTGTCCCTAGGGTTCTATCGATACTCTTAGGCGGTCTGCTGGGATGTGATAGACAAGAGCATCCTTCGGGCTCTCGTAGACATGATAGAAAAGTTGGAACGTTCCTGGGCTCCGCAATAATGGATTTTCTAAGATTTCCATCATCAGGTTGCACTTCTTGTGCCTCGATGCTGAGGCATTTTGAAGAGAAAACCGGGCGGTCGGAATCGGAACAGTCTGTCCATCTGTAAATTGGACTGTTGGTAAAGGCCGCTACCGTCCTTTCATCAAGTATCGGCGTCCAATTTCCAACAACGGTGGATGTTTTGCTGGGTATTTTGCCAGACTTCTGGCCAGGAGTTGACCGACCAAAATCACTTTCAAAGCCAGGTGGTCCCTCAGAAAGCTCTTCGATACTTGCATCGTATCCCGATTCATAGTCAAACGATTTCATGAACATTTTAATCTGGCTAGGTTGAATCCGGCGAGTTTTATGTGTGGCTGGCTGGCTCTTGATTCGCAGTATACTCTTTGGCCTTGCTCGAGATATCAACATCGGGCTCCCATGACTATCCACTATGGTTTTCCTTAAGCTTGAATCCAAGTCACCGGGGAGGATTTCCCCGTCTTTTCTCGTATCATTTTGTGGGAGCGTGCCGCTTGTGAAACTAATGCGTTTCTTTCCAAAAAGTCTGGCTAAGCTTTCTGCATTGAAATCGGGCCCCATTTCAGGCATATTCAACTTGTCTGATTCGCTCTCGGGGATTTCGACTGCACTGGTTGGCGGAGCTTCAAGTTCGGTCATCTGTGGCAGCTCAGGCTTTTGAAAGGCTGCAGCAAGCTTTTCCCCAATTTCTTGACCTCTACCTTTAACCCTTTCGCCGACATCTCCTTCGCCTGATTTGATGTCCGTTCTTCCATCAGACATATTCCTGCGCTTTCGAGAATATGTAACAGTACCAAGGCCTCTTTTCTTCGAAACACTCGGTGAGAATGAATAAGCCGATCCGCTTCTCTGGGTGCCCTCCCTGTCAATGTCACTATTGGACCGAAAACCTTCAGCCAAGTTAGTAGACGCTCCTAGGCTGGGTGTGCGAAACTCTCTCAGTGTACTCTGTGGATGAAATATCAACGATTTCCGTGTCCCAGGTGGTGGAGCCCTGGGCTTCCTGGCAAACAGATCCGACCCCTTTGGGGAAGACGTGGTTTGGTCCGCTTCACCAGTGTCATAACGGAAAGGTATCTCATGTCTCTCAGGGTGTACTAAGTTGCTTTTTTCAGATTCAATAGAGGTCGAAAACTCAGTCGCCGGAAGACCTTGGGCCTTGAAACGGTCACTATGTTCCCCCAGGCCACTATGTTTCTCGCTCGCTATATGATCATCGCCTAAGGTACTGTAGCCGACTTTATCTGCAGTGTCAAGGCGAAGTAGAATTGACGATGGCTTCCGAGTAATTGAACTAAATATTGTCGAACTGCATGTTTTGTGACTTTTCTGGATTTCTGCATGTAGTACCGTGAGGTCACTGCTAGAAGTTAATCTTAGTATCACCACATCCAGATACTGTAGCTTCCCATCGATGGAAATGGATTTTGATTTCTCGTAAAACAGGTCCAGACAGGTCTTCTGACGGTCAATACGATCTGCGAAGCATTTGGACAACCGAATGAACTCAAGGGGAACTTCAATATATTTGAAGGATGGTGTTGGTAGCCGATCCACAGCATGTACTATTCTCAGGCAGTCGGATCCAAGCGCAGCGAGGATGCTGCCTTCTACCAGAGTGTTTGAGTCAATACTAACTGATTGGAGGAGATAACAGGGAGGTGTGGGGGTAGTATTCCTCTCTAAGCCCAATCCCAATGTACTGGACAAGTAATTGTCAATCTCATGGGCATAGGTGTGAAACGATTGCACTGAATCGGCGGTCTTCTTATTAAGATGCTTGAAAAAGATTGCTCTGTGCCTTGTTTTATCTGGAGACCACACAAAGACTCCGTTTACAGCAAGGGTTTGAATGATAAGACTCGCAAAAAGCCTCAGGACAATGTCGGTCTTCCGGGATAGCATTGGGACAATCCTAAAGTGACGGCGTAAGAGCGATTCTCTTAAAAAATATTCGATATGTCGTACCTAGCCAAAGAGGCATATATTGACCTAGGAAGTAAGGCACAGGTCTGGCATTCTAATAGCACCTGTGCTAGCAATTTTCCTGTCTATGACATGTGAGTCTCACCCCCATTTTTCATCGTAATTGTTGGCACTTACCAATACGCGAAACCGAAGCTCCTGTTTTTCATCAACGAACAGACGATGCAGGGATAATATCAGCCTGTGCTGCAGATTCTTGGTTCTTCCCTCGCTCTTCGGTAGGCTACGCTGACCACCTGTGGACGAATCACCCACATTCTCGAAAATGTCCTGGCCGGAGTTAGAGCACTGAGCCTGAGCTGTGGAAATCCATTCTAACCAACAGAAGATGGAGTCCAGCTTTTTGACCAGCCTCGTCACCCGAATCGAGTAAAATGCATGATAAAAGCCTCGAGAAGGTTGTATACAAAGTCGTTGAAGAGTCTCCTTTCTCCTGCCCCAATATGGATATAACCTGCAGCAGGGTCTGTCCGACGAGGGGAAACTTCGAACGCAACAGGGTGTTCACCAGCTGGCTTTAGAGATAGCACGACATTAGCCAGTAAACCATAAATGACAAATTCCCAGACCCACTCTATTGCGTAAGTTGACTCCCTCGCATCCTCTCCTGTCACAGGAATGCCCACTTGTGAAGCCAGCACTCTCATGCACTGTTGTTCGAATCCTTCACGAGCGGTTGATACAGAAGCTCGAGACATCCTGCATCTAGGAATAGGTAGAGAGCGAAACGGAGCCGGTGTGGTAAAAGATGTGGCATCGGAGGGGAGGGAAAGGATGGAAGATGTCCCTGAAATGGTGGAATCACATGATGGCCCGTTGTTCTGCCTTGACGGCCTGAGGAAGGCCCCGGCGTGCTCGCTGCCTTCCTGGAAAGAGCGGCCATCACAAGGGCTTCCAGCCCTGTCTCGTCTACAGTACGTTTCGAGGACAGAATGTTGAGAATATAGAGGGTTTGATTGACTAGTACTACTAGGAGTAGGTAGATGACAGGTATATTATGCCTCCCCGAGCTAAGCTACTGACACTCTGTAGTTAAAATGTGATATTATCAGGCTCACTACGTCTCCGATCCAACACAATTGTATTTGCCCAGACCTCTGGCTCGACTTATTCTCCATCATGCTCAAGGGAAGTCGGCGACGATGCGAATGATGGCGTCGTTGTAGTCCATATCAACATTGTCTTCACTGGCGATCTCCCAGGACATGCTCTTGACGTTGTAGCCCGCATCGTGAACAGTTTGAGTTGTCGGGTTCAGGGCCAGTGAGTCGGTAAAGGTACCGGTTGGGCCCTCGCTGGAGTGCTCAAAGTTGATGGCCAACGTGCGCATTCGACTGCCGGTGATGGGCTCGAGGCTGACTCGCGAGTTGTCGCTTCCTCCGTGCAGGGTCAACGGCTTCCCCTCGCCGTTTCCTTGGAAGACATACTGGGTCGTTCCGGTGACATCCTTGACCGTGACCCGTTGGTGATAGTCCGCGTTTGTTGTGCCAGTAATACCGATTTTCGCCTCCGCAGGGATCGAGACCACCACGGGCTGCTTGGCGTTCACCATGTTTGGGTTGGCAGACATCTTGGTTGATTGGGTGAGGAAACGGGGTTTCGAAGGCTCGATGGGCTTGGTTTGAATTTGAATACTCGAATTAGGGCTTCGAGCGAGCGGAGGACTTCGGGAGAAATTTCAAGATGATGGTGAGAGATTTCAGAAGCACCAAAGGCGTCCCATGAGGGCTGATATATACTATCTCACAATGTCGTCTTCAAAGGCAAGCTCAATCGTCTCATCCCCTCATTTCCTCCGCCCTTCTTGGAGGAATACTGTTGGAGCCACGTAGAGCACGAGGTGGTGTGAGCATCACCACCGCATGCATTTCGGGTCAGAAAGATGACTATCTGGTTGAACCGGTCCAGGGACTCTTTCTGCATGTGGCGATGCCTGAAGACAAAGATACCCAAGGAGGGACTGCTCGCTCTTGTTTCTGTCCGGTTTTGGTGGCTCTCTAGTTCAATCGGATCCCCTGGATTTGGCAAATAGCCTAGCAGGCTGCACGATGCGTGCCATTCTGTCCTGATAGCCACATTACGTATCAAGTTCCAAATGAGCACGACGGCGTGATAACCAGGCATGACGGACCCAGATTTGACGGACGGGTTATATGTACATCCGCGCATTCCGACCACCGATGCGTCTCGAGGGACAAACGAAGGAAAAGCGGGGGATCGTCGAGGAAAATGACCGCTCAGAATGCAAATAATGCCTCATGTACTCCGTACGTATGGACATACCTCATAATCCATCCTGGCTATATCGTCTGCAAGCCACATTCGGTGTGGGGGTGCCGGGAGCAACGCCCTATGATAGGGCTGATTCGACAATGGTCACGGTGGTTGTGCAGGTCGACATGCAGCCCAGGATGAGGTGTCCGTCGAGGGGTCAAAAAGGAGGGGTTTCGTCATTTTCACTGCCTCCGCGATTAACGCCGGTATTACTTGCGTTGCTCCCTGGCAAGCTCCAGGCGAGGCCGGTGCCGATCGATGCCAATGATTTGAGCACAACCTACTCCGTACAATGCTAACCCCCATGACGGCACTCAAACGGACGCCGCCCAGGCCAATGATGGCGACGCGATCGTGAATTCCTGCTTTGCCTGCATGGATGATGGCGCCGCTTTCGGTCTGGATTTCACAGCCCAGCGGCGATAATAACCGCAGCTCTTCTTTCGTCTCAACCAGGCCGGACACGTTGATTATCGAGTTCTCTCGAGCGATCGACCAGCTGGAGAAGCTCGATTGGCCGAAGAACTGACCATAGACGCTGGGATGTCTCCGCGTCGATGACGCTTCCGGGAAGACGAGGTTGTCGGGCTCAACCTCGAAATTGAGGGCGTTGAACTTCACGCAATGCGCGGGATTTCCTCGCCGACATGGCTCACAGCTTGCGCAGGCAGAAAATGGCCGAATGACCGGGTCCCCAATCTTAGCCACCTGGACTCTCTGCCCAACATCTCGCACATACCCAGCACCTTGCATTGACATGGTCAACTCATGCAGTTCTGTGCTTCATGGCCCATGACACGCGGACAATGAACCCCAGGGCCATTCACTGCGCCCGCGAAATGTAGATCGGTTTGGCATATTCCCGAAGCTGCAGAAGAGCAGAAACTTGGCCGGCTTTGGTTTCCCCGGGGATGCTGTACCTCCCCTCTCTCTTTCCATCCCCAAATCTCAAGTAGTCTGCTCGGAGAAGGTCCTTCTACTCATTTGCACTGCGGTCTCGATATGCTCTTATGCCCCTAAACTCCTCAACTCCTTCAGATAACAAAAAAAGAAGAAAAAAAAGGAAAGTCTTATGGGAATATGCTCTATCGTGAAACTGCACTTGCTTAACCTGCCGTCCAAGTCGAGATATGCCAGCACAGTATCTTATTGCATGAAAGTATTCTGGCACCGGCTTAGAGTCTGACAGTTCATTGGTTCAATAAAGACGTTGATTCGTTCCAACGATCTAGAAAGATCCGGGAGGCAAAAGATGACGGATTAAAAGAATTCAAGGGTATCTCTAATGGGAGCAAACATGCCAACGGCGTGGAGAACAAGATGGCATGACATGACGCTATCGATAATCCGCAGGAAGTTCAGCTATTGGACGATCTTGTCGGCTCTCTAGTTCGGCCACTCGGTTGCTGTCCAGCTCGGCCGGCGAGATTTCAACGCTCTTGGAGGGCCCCGACACGAGAATTGCCTCGTCGGCTTGCGGCCGTTGGCGTCGCATTCGTCGGATCAAGAACCATGAGAGGGCTATAATGATTGCCGCTCCGGCGACGCCTCCGACGACGCCGCCCGCAATGGCGCCCGTGTTTGTATGGGAAGCGTGCGATGAGCCGGTCTTTGTGGATGATGGAGCAGGCGAGGTAGAAGTCGGCGCCGACGTGCTAGAAATTATCCCTGCAGAATGAATGGATGCGCAATCAGCTCAAGCCATTGAATCACGACTAGAAAGATGCTGACTTACCCGTAGCAGAAGCGATGATACTCACCGCAGTTTCGTCGGATTGCAGCTTATACCCAGGGATGCCACAGCCGTCGGATCGTCGTCTCCACCTTTCGCAAACCCAGCGCTCCTTGGCAGCAAAAGTATCCTCCATTGAGATAGAGATCCCAGGTACTGTTGGCGCAGTGAGGGTTTGCATTCAAGGCATCGTCACACGGCTCTTCGCTGGGACAACAAGCGACGTTGTCGGCATTTGGGCAGTAAGAGCCGTGGGGGCAAAAGACACGAAAGGGAGATACAGTTGGGCCACAGTCTTTCTCTGTCATCCGAACAGCTGCCATTCCTGCGGATGGCCCATCCAATGTTACTAGCCTTCGACATGTTCGATTTGAAAGGGCGAGGAAGACACTGGTAAAAGGCTCGCGTGAGTGAGGGATGCACAAATTTCAAAGGATATGATCCGAGAAATGCGAAAGTGGCATCGATCCCAGGGTTATCCAACTGATTTGTGGCCATGCAACGGTCTAAATTCTAGGGAAAGGGTCCAAAGGCAGGCAGCGATTGGGGGGCGGATCTCCACCATTGAGGCGATGATCGCAATGCTTTATGTCCCTCGATTGCTACATTCGGTATCGCGCGTGAACCATAACGATCCTTCTATGACGGCGGCAGTTTGCGGCGTAGGATAGAGCATCATGGATCATGGAATTCGAGGTAAGGTCTCTTACAGCCTCACCAGTTTCCTCTCAGGGGTCGAAAGGTGTCGATTAAGCCGTTAGATCCTGCCATTTCACACTGGAATTGAAAGCTAGCTTTCCGGCTTTTGTTGGTCTGAGTCTGAGCCTGCGAGGAGGAACAAGTGGTGACGATCATGGGGCCAAAAACTCATCCTTTGAGCCTCAGGCGTCAACGACCTGCAGGAGATATACGCCGTATATGGAAAGCTGGCATCTTGTTTGGAACGACAGATCTATCAGAATATTGGATCTGTGATGCTGACATTTCTAGTGGTGCTACGGGGTAGCTCTGGGCTGACTCTCGAGGGCACCTATGCGCAACGTCGACGATGGTTCATTCATGCGATAAACAATCAACAGGCCTAATCAACAGGTAGGCACTGACATTATCAAGGTGTTTTTCTCCCAGGATTTTGTCAGCATTATGTTAGAGTTGTACATACATTTACACACCATAGGCCCAGTCGAACAATGGCATCAAGAACCAATGCCCCCCGGAGACATCCAAGGCTACCTCTTAAACCAGTAGCTCTATGATAGTATTCTGGAAAACATGTTTGCGGCGTGTATATGTCCGACCGTGTAAGGTTCTCCCTTTGCAGGCCTGCATGAGAGTCGTGATTTGTTGGCATCATCTTGTTTGTCGAAATATCTCCATCCTTGCATCCCCCCATTCCTCTGGACCTCAATATGGCATTGATGAGCACCGTTTGCAACAACGGTGAGCGAGGATTCGCTGCTGGGTGCATATGACACGCTGCAGTATGACGGAAGTCATGCTCAGGAATAGATCGAGCGACGACCTATAAGTCCATGACCGTCGCCCTTCTTCCCCGCCTTCTTTTCATTCCCTTGGCATTTACCCGAGTTGACCTTCTCCCATCCCCTCAGAATGCTGTCTTTTATCTCCGTCTTGGGTGTGATGATCATGGCGATGGTCATCGCGAAACTTCTTTCTGTTGGCCATCGTCCCAAGAACTTGCCCCCCGGCCCTCCCACATTACCCATCATTGGCAATATTCATCAGGTACATACACCCTCCCCGTTCCACCCCGTGTGTTGCCCCGCCACTGCATACCGGCCCTAAGGTTAGGTCAATATAGATGCCGAGTCGTGATGCACACGTCCACTTCGAGAAATGGGCTCGCGAGTATGGTCCAATATACAGCCTGATGCTGGGGACAAAATGCTTGATTGTCATCTCCAGTGCCGAAGCGAGCAAGGAACTTCTCGATCGCCGGAGTAAGATCTACTCGGACCGTCAAGATATGTATATCGGCCAGACATTGTGTAGCGGTGGCCTTCGCGTCTTGATGATGGTGCGTAGTCGAGTTCTGTCCGGTGCCTTCAGCCGTTAATGAATGATAACATCAACAGCGGTATGGACCAACCTGGCGAATGGTACGTTTCGCGTCAAGGACACCGCATGGATCCTCGTTGGGTAACTGACATGCATCACTGATAGTCCCGGAAGCTGACCCACGGGTTACTGAATGTCGTCAGTTCGAAGAACTATATACCCTACCAGGTGCTGGAAAACAAGCAAATGCTGTATGAATTCTTGACGCGGCCCAACGGATTTCTCAAGCACATCCGCCGCTACTCGAATGCGCTGACCACAACGATGGTCTATGGTTGGCGAACGTCCACCTACGAGGATCCCAAGATAAAGCAGCTTTTCGAGGGCGTGGCGGAATTCGCGGCCTTGACACAGACAGGCACGGCAGCAATCATCGACTTCTTCCCTTGGTTGGGACGATTGCCAGATTCTCTGATCTCTGCGCAGAAAAAGGCCAAGGCGCTCCACAAACGCGAAAAGCCACTCTACCTGGGCCATTGGCTGCGGGCTAAAGAAGAGATCGAGGCCGGATGCATCAAACCCTGTTTCTGCGTTGGGATGTTCGAATCTCAGAAGCGAGAACTATTCGGCGATGACCAGGCCGCCTATATTTCGGGAACGCTGCTCGAAGCGGGCTCCGATACGACGTCCAACACTCTGTACGCCTTTGTGCAGGCAATGCTCCTGTTCCCGGACGTTCAACGCAGGGCGCAGGCAGAGATAGACCAGGTTGTGGGACCGGATCGCCTGCCGGTGATGGATGATCTGTCCAAACTGCCATACATCCGTGCCTGCATGAAGGAAACCTTGCGGTGGATGCCGACCGCCATTCTCGGCGCCGTGCCTCACGCCGTCACGCAGGATGACGAGTACATGGGATACCTGATCCCCAAGGGGGCGGGGATCCTGCACAACGTGTGGGCCATTCATATGGATCCAAAACGTCACCCGAAGCCCCGTGAATTCAACCCCGACCGGTACCAGGGCGACGAGCAGAGCCTCCACGATGCCGCGACGAACCCGGACGCTGCACAACGCGATGTGTTCACTTTCGGTGCCGGACGTCGTATCTGTCTAGGCATCCACGTGGCTGAGCGTAGCTTGTTCCTCGGCATGGCGGGGATTCTATGGGCCTTTGAGATTTCCCCGGCACAGGATGACATGGGACGGCCAATCCTCCCAGATGCGGACCGGCTGACCCAAGGGTTTGTATGTCTGCCAGAGCCGTATCCTGCAGAGATTCGACCTCGGACGAGAGAGAAGGCCGAATTGATCCGAACGGAGTGGAAACGAGCAGAAGAGGTGTGTCTGGACAGTAAGACCAAACAATGGCTGGATGCTGCTGCGGAGTAGGGCTGGATCACTCGGACGTCCTGGTTCCAATTAGAAATTGGTAATGTTGTTGGAGAAATTAACTAAGTGCTCCGTACTCCGTGACTCCGTGACTCCGTATACTCCTTTCCCAGTCATGATAGTGTAAGCAGCCCGGATGCGACTCCGCTCCGCTCCGAGCCGTCACGGCCACAATGACAGCGCCCCCCGGACCAGGGAGTCTACCAATCCCGAGCCTGTCCTCCGGGCATATCTCGTACGAGAATAGTTGACTGGCTGGCTAAGGTAGGTGATAAAGCGCCGCCTCCCTTCTGACCCGATGGCTACTACCTCATCTCTTCTTGATTGATCTTTAGGCGGCTCCTTCAGCGTCAAAAAATGACAACGCCCTATCCTGACAGTCTTGGCGTTGAAGACGGCCCTCGCGCCTCTCGCAACGTCGTGCTGGAGATCCTCGAGAGACTATGGGAACTGATTCCCTCGCCAGGCTCTTCCGACGCTTCCTCTCGCGAGACGCAATGCCGCCTCCCCAAGACAACGCGGGCCCGGCGACGAGAGTCAATCGCTGAGACGTCGCTCGACAAGGACGAAGCCCTCGTCGAAAAGGTCCCCTTCTCATCCTTCGCCGCCGTCGCTATTGCCCAACCCGACGAAATCGTCTCCCCTGAAAAGAGCGTCCTATACCTGGCCTACGGGTCCAACTTAGCTGCGGAGACTTTCCTAGGTAAACGAGGGATCAAACCGCTCTCGCAGATCAATGTCGTCGTGCCGGACTTGAGATTAACATTCGATCTGCCCGGTCTGCCGTACGTCGAGCCTTGCTTTGCGGCAACGCGATATCGCCATACGGTCCCCGATGAATGGGACGAGGAGGCTACCGGCAATAATGAGATCAACCTTGAAACCGCGGAGAAGACGCCTCTCTCCTCGCATCGAGAGTCGCCGGCCGACAGACCCTTGGTCGGTGTCGTGTATGAGGTCACCGTGTCCGACTACGCGCGCATCATAGCCACGGAGGGCGGAGGTGGCGGATATCAGGACATCGTGGTCGACTGTTACCCTTTCGCCGACCCTTACAACCCGGCCGACCCGGTCCCCGACACGCCCGCTACCACCCCGTTCAAGGCCCACACCCTTCTTGCACCGGTCGAAGAGGGCGAGGGTCATGCTCGGCGTCTCCTGTCCCGAGTCTGGAGACCGTTCCTCTCGCGATCGAACCCTCTGGTCCGCCCTCATCCTCTGGGCTACGCGCAACCGTCTCCTCGGTACCTCAACCTCATCGTCACGGGTGCCGCCGAGCATAACCTTCCCGTCTCCTACCAGAGCTATCTGTCTCAGATTCAACCATACCGGGCGACGACCACTCGCCAGCAGATCGGCAAGGTCGTATTCCTGGTGGTGTGGGGTCCGTTTCTGCTTCTGACCGTCGCTCTGTCGAAGACGATGGGCGGCCCCGATGGTCGCAGCCCGCCGTGGGTGATCAAATTGGCCGATCTTATAGTCTTCACAATGTGGAGTTCCTATGACTTGGCCTTTGCGAGGGTGTTTGGGGACGGCGAAAGGACTGTCAAAAGGTAGGTCCGGGTTGAGGTGTCTCACATCGCTCGAAGGTCTCGCGGGGGCCCAGGGCACAAGAAATAGCTTGCGCTTTATACCAAAACAAACGCGAATAGTCAGTACATTAGGCCCAATAAATACATATATCACCACATCCAACATCCACATCGCATGCTCTATATCAAAAGAATTTGGCTTTTGTAGATCGCGAGAACACTCCCCATCGCACCACGGGCGCCAAGTCCTACCACCGAGAAAGCAGGCACGGCAACAAAGGAGATAAGTGACATTGGATCTTCAAACAAGGTTTTAAAGGAGAATAAATATCTAAGATACAGATACAGGTGTCCTGAATAACATCTAACAAAACAAGTAGACCATCGAACATAAAGAAAAAAGGGGGGGTGTGGCGGACGAAAGGACGGCGACAGAACTCCCAGCCTGGAATTGGGGACGCGCATTATTCAATAGCCGTCTTCGGGCCCCTTCCCATTTTGCCATTCATATAGTCCACCGCGGCACTTTAGCGCCGGGAAACAGGGGGGCTGTACACAATCTTTCGTGTCTTGATGGGGGACCACTTGTAACGCTTGACCCAGACGCTGACGGCGAACAGACCGGTCAGAAGAGTCAGGGCCTTGACACCCATCTTCTTACGGTCGTCCATCTCGGGCTCGGCAGCCCAGTTGAGGAACTCAACGACGTCCTTGGCCATCTGGGAGGTAGTGGCGGGGGTGCCGTCCTCATACTCAACGACACCGTCGAAGAGAACACGGCCCATAGCAATAGCTGCAGGGAAAGATCCGGGTTAGACAAGGATCCAACAAAACGCGAAGGGCTCCAAATCACGGTCGGGACATACCAGTTCCGGGGAAGTAGGGGTTGAAGTTCATGCCCTCCTGGACGGTGGCACCGGCAGGGGGCTCATCGGGGTAACCGGTCAGAAGACTGAAGATGTAGTCACAGCCACCGTGGCGGCCCTTGACAATCAAGCTGAGATCGGGGGGCAGAGAACCGGCGTTGGCAGCGCGGGCAGCCTCCTCGTTCTTGTAGGGGGCGGGGATGTAGTCCGACAGCTTTCCGGGGCGCTTCTCGATCTCACCCTGGTCGTTGGGCTCGGTGTCGTACTCGTTCTCTTCGGCAAACGCCTTCATCTCGTCGACGGTGTGCATAACACCGACGAACGAACGCCAGGGCACACGGGTCAGGGAGTGGCAGCTGGCGCAGACTTCACGGTAAACCTGGAAACCACGGCGGAGACTGAGAGAAGTAACTGGTCAGTAGGGAGATCACGACCACACAAATCCGCACAAGTCGGCAACGGAATACTCACGCGGCGTGGTCGAAGGTCTTGGTCCACTTGGCATGTTCCCAAGGGTAAGCAGTCGGGTGCAAACTTGAAATCCAGACGTCAGCTTCACGGGCCTGGTTTGATACAGCCGGGTTGATCGGAGCAACGGAGGAGACTCCCATTGAGGGCCATCTCCGAAATTCTCCCCAGCGATTGACTCACCCCTCTTCGGCGGGCGTCGAGGCGAAGGCTTCCTGTCCATAGAGATGGTAGTACCAGGCGGCCGACCCGATGGCGGCGGCGGTTGCGACGGAGGCAGTGAGAGTGAGCTGGAAGGGGGAGGCGGATTCGGCGCCGGCGGACGAGGAAGACGCACGCTGGATGTAAGGTTAGTATTATGCCCTTTCGACGAAGGCCACAGGCCATTGGCAACGGATTGGGCTCGTGGATGGAGGCCAATGGGGGGAGAGGGGGGCGGAATGTCGGGGGGAGGAGCGTACCGTGGAGGTCTTGCTCAAGGTCTGACGGGCGACAGCCCGGAAGGGCACGCTGCGCGAGACAGTACGTGCCAGCATACTGACAATATGAAGGGCCCTCCGATCGATGGGAAAACCAGAAGGCACGATAGCCTGGAAAAAGCGGAGAGGGGAGGGGGGGGTGGAGGAGGGAGAGAGCAGGAGAGAGTGCTTTCAGAGGTGAAGTCGAGGATCGAGTCGAACGGTCAAGTTTCTCTTGGTTTGGAATTGCCTAAACCCTCGCGCTGATTGGCCCGCCACGCGGCTCTAACTGTCTTCGGTCAAACCCGCGACTTTTCGGAACAACAATTTTCGATCGCCTCCGATCGCTGATGTCGACCCGCGACTCCTCCAGCCTACGCACATCTCCGGGCTGCTCCAACGAGTCCATCTTCGCCCGACCGACTCCGTACGACCTGCAATCCATGTCTCCACCACCGCTCCTCCCTCAGTCCCTCCTCCCGTCGGCCGTTGTGGCGCTCGTCCCAGCCCCCGTCTCTTCCGTTCGCTGCCGTCTCCTGTGTGGCTCTCACTGCGCTTCCGCCTTGGCCTGCCTTTCCGACGCAATGCCCATCCGCAGCGCCTGAAGGGCCGCTCGAATCCCACATCCAGCACTGCCTGGGCTGTACATCACCAAGGATAATGCAGGGAGACGCCGGATGATCCGGCCGCTGAGGCCCTGCGGAAGACATTAGCAAATCACTCGTCTCCCACCCGCTGACCACTCACCACACTCTCGGCGGCGGCGTCGGCCATCTGCTTGGGAATTGCATCCACAAAGATTTGGTAATGGAGGAGCATTTCGTCAAAGGCCGGTAGGGCGAGACTCTCCGCGGGCCGCTCCACATATTGTAGAGCCGTGAAAGGATCCCCGGGACTCTCTTGGATCACGTCAAACGACATCCCCTTGATGATCCCCCGGCGACTCAGCTCCTGCAGGCACTCTTTGTAAATCCCATAAATGGTGCGACTGGACAGGTGTGGAATAAACTGTTTGATGTCGACTCGGTCCAGAAATGCTTGGTCCTGCTCAAGAGGACACGGTCAGGTCAATGCTCACAGACATCCTGTTGACCGGTTGATTCCCAGGAAGACCTACTAGAGCAGTAACCAAATTGCTGGTGCAGATCACAATCACATTGTCATACTTTTTGAGTCTATCAAGCCCCGTGAGCAAGGCATTGACGGCGCGAACTGCATCGAAGGGCTCGTTGCAGGCCAGCGCCCGTTCTCTCCGAGCTGCCAGCGTCTCTACCTCATCCACAAAGACATAGACGAACGTATCCTCTTCTGCCTCCAGCAGGAGCTCAATGCCTTCGAATGTCTTACTCACGATCTTGCCACTTTCCCCGAAGAATTTACTGCCGAGGGAGTGCGCATTTAACTCAACCAGTTTGCTCCGAGGGTATTGCTTTCCGAGCCGGATTGCCAGCTTTTGGGCGAGACCCCGACTAACATCGGTCAACTTTCATTCCTTTCATTTTGCACCAGGCAGTTTCGCCCAAACACACCAGAAGCTTGTTTTTCCGGTGCCCGGAGGCCCCCATAGAAGAATTAACCTGTTCCAGCTAATGGTCCATTGGTCGAGCTTTTGGGATGAGAAAGACACTGATAGAGGTTAGATCGAGTCCATGCTTCCTGGATCGAGACTGAATGCTTCACCCATCCTGGTTATTGCGCGGATGATTGTAGTCTGGATTGGCTCGTCAAAGTGCAGCCTGTCCACATGTTCCGGGTCAGCACGAGAAGGCCCAGTCCGTGTGCAAAGCAAAGAAGAAAACCACGGAAGTTCATACGACTCCCAAAGCCCGTCCAGCTCCTTGCATGGCAGTGTCACGACTTTCGCCATTGATGTATCCTCACTGGTATTGATGAAATCGTCCGTCGTTTGGGAACTTTCTTGCTCGTAGGGCGTGTATAGTTGGTATGCCTGTACATCGAGTTCCACTTGGTGAAGCCAATATGCCCCTGATTCTGTATTTCCTCCTGCGCAGTCCGTCACGAGGACACAATCCATAAACTGCCTGTGTGGTCCCCGGAAGTTCTCTACTCGCCCGTCAGTAGTCAAGTTGACGCACTCTATCGTCACCAGTCTCAATACCAAATGCGGTGATCTCTTGTCCCAGTGAAAGAACCACGAAGTTTTCGGCAAGCCACTGCGTGACCTCATCCCTCACCTTTTTCGACCTGAGCCTCGTAGTCCTCGACGGGATGTAAATCGAATTACTTACCAGATCTGTACGGATGATGAAGCCGTCGCCATTGGTCTTGACACGTGCTTCGACATGGAGAACGGGTTTGGAGGCAGTTTCCGTGCCGCTAAAGCAGTCCATTTTTGCTACCTCACGGTTATGGTCGAGATGCCAGCAGCATCCTGCCGAGAGGGTGATGATCGGGAGAGCAAGAAAACCGCATCTGGAAGGACGGGCGAGGCCCATGATTCTCCCCGTGACCCCGAACCTGAGGCAGGCCATCCGCCGTGGAGGGACTCCTCTTGAGTTGTACATACTAGATACTATCCACCTACATCTATACGTTGATCGTTGATCGTTGCCATCAAGAACCTTAACATTAGCCCCGATCCTGATCAACAGCCGTCAATGACCCAGAGTTTGCACATCGCATCGACGGAGTAGATATAATATCGTGAAAAGTCCTCGCCAGCGTCAGAGCATGATATTGACTGACTTGGAGGTACCTGATGTTTCATGCCAACACTGCGACCGCTCTGATTCGCCCGGTCGGAATGGGAATTCTGCCCGCCGATCGTCGATGCTTGATTTTCCGGGGTGCTTCGCCCCTTCAGCCTACCTCTCGAAACCCTTACACTCCGCGCCCGGGTACGTACTCCCGAATGATGCGGATACGGACGATTTGACCGGAATTCTCGATAGACAGCCTCCAATCAACCTGGTTGTGCCGGACCTGCCCTCTTCGATTCGTTCACCTGCCCCGCGGAAAGCTAAGAGTTGACCGCTGGGGGATCAGCCAACCCACTGCGTTCGATTTCGACCAAGAAACCCTACCTCCCGATGCAGAAACAGCAGCGACACCATGTCGAAAGTGAGGAATGGACCAGGGACTGGCGGGAAACCGCGCAGAGATGTACTGGCTTCACTCAAGATGGCATCCATGGAGGAATTCTCCAGGGCTGCCCTCCCAGCAGGTAAGCCTAAGACCAATAATGCGACGCGAGCGAGACGTCTGACCGGTGTTAGAGATCATGTCTTCGATTCTTGATTACCTCTCCCCCGTCGATCTCATCCGAGCAGCGCGGTCGTCGAAGCTTCTCCGCGAAATGGCATATGACGATACGAGGTGGGTCCAAAAGATGAAACTCATGGGCTGCTGGGATGAGCTGGAAGCGAGAAAGCATGTCGAGGAAACCTTCGGAACGATTGCCGACCTGGACAGTGTCAAGCATCAAGAGGAGGTCGAGCAGGTAGGGCGGATATCAGACTCTGTCGGAGGAACCGAGCCGAACCCTACAATCCATGTGGGCTCGCTCTCCGATGGTTTCGACCAGATCAATATGAGCAACTCTGTTGCCCCTGATACATCCGACACGTTGGATAGGGACCCTGTTCTGGGAGCATTGCAACTGGTCAAGTCCGTGCGCGGCGAAGCACGCCAGGAATATGGCAAAATACATGCTGCACTCGCGCCCTTCTACAACGATATCGTCACCGAGGGCGCCTCATTTGATAACTTGGTATTTAAGAAATACACCGATCCCCTGCACCAGGCGCGGGTACTATCCCAGCTGCAGTCCTTCGTCAAATGTGACTCAACCGAGGGCTGGCGTACCAGGGTCGAGCAGCTGCATTCCGCCACGGCGATGTTTGAAACCGCAGCTACAAAGGAGTTCAGACAAGGCTATGAAACCGAAGATATCGATGGTCGAATGCGACAATATGCCCATGTTCTCTTTACGCTGAACGGCGGGGCGTCGGCCGTTGAGCTTTTCATTCATCACAATCACCTCGTCACACGACGGTCGGACTTTGGCAAGGTGGCAGATTGTATCGACGTGTCGACGCCGCAGGTGAAACTCGAGCAAACCCAGGCCTTTTTCACCCGCCTCAGTGTCGCCTACAATGAAGAAGTATCGATAATCAATCGTGCTTTCCCTCCCTCGATAGCGGTAGCCTCGCCGTTCATCGAAAAAGTAGGACAGGGTGTGCTGTATCCTTTTCTGACCGCAGTATTTGATGAATTGCATCGAACCGACATCGAGTCCTACCTTGTGGCCATCTCCGGGACCTTTGCCCAATGCATGAACTTCTCGGATACCTTATTGCCCATTCAGAATTCAACCGACAATTTTGATGATTTCCTGGACCATATAATCGGCAAGGTATATGAGCCACACATGGATCTTTACCTCGCAGAAGAGCTGGATCATTTCCGGAAAATATCCGAGACCGCGGTGAAGGATTGGGATAGACAGCTTTCAGAGCAGGCGGCTTCCACCGAATCATTTCTCATGTCGAACATCAACCGGCAGGCGGATAAACGGGATTTCTTGACGTCCTTCAAGAAAGTGATCATGGCACCCGTCAACATCCTGCCCAGCTTCTCGAGCACCAAAGCGAATGAGGCCAAGTCAGACCAGGATTCGGTCGTCGGCGATTCGCCTTCAGCGCTCAAGAGTCCGAATCGATTCTCAACTATCGCCTCGCCTTCTACTCCCCCTACCACGGAGGCTCCGACGACCGAGCTTGCAGCCAAGGCAGCCATCATGAAGTCAAAGCTAGAGGGAATTAGCTCTCTCTTCAGCATCGAGGTTGCATTAAGCCTCGTCCACACAGCTAAATCAGGACTGGAGCGAGCCGCCCAGTTTGTTACTCTGGGAGGCGAGACGGGAGCCGCTGTGAAGCAGCAGTGCGAGGCCATTTTCGTTGCTTTGGTGCGCATACTGGGCCATCGACACCTTATCTTTGGATTCAACAAGGCCGTGGACCATCTCTCAAATTATCGTCCTCGCGAGCAAGGGGATCGTGACCAGTCCGGAGTCGAGCCTTTGGTGACCTTCCTGGAGCTGGTGAACGTTGGCGATCTCATCCTTCAAATGATCGATGTCTTCTATGAACAGGAGCTGATCGGCTCCAAGCTGACTGACCGCAATGACTTCTTGGATCCGGCGGTGAAAGAGAAGAAGAAGTTCGAGCAGATCCTTGACGAGCGCGTTGCTGCCGGCCTGAACAAAGGAATCGACGTTCTAATGGAGGAGGTCGACTACATCCTGGCCACCAGGCAGCTAGCTACGGACTTCAACCCCAGTGTGTCCACCGACCCTCACCGAAAGACCATGGACGTGAGTGTCACCGAAGCCGCGGCGGCGGTAGTTGACGTGGTATCGTCGCATACGCGGATGCTTGTGGGGAGTACGGACAAAAGCACGCTGGACGTCTTCAACCAAGAGGTTGGGCTGCGGCTATTTACTGCTCTCTGCAAACACTTGAAGCGCCAACGGATCAGCGTCGAAGGATCCTTGAAACTGATCAGGTAAGCCCCTTTGACGCGACTGACACGGGACGCTGCTGATCGACTCTAGCGACATGAACCACTACTTCAAATTCGTCCAGACCCTCAAGAACAGCGAGCTTCTGCTCTACTTCAAGGCCTTCCGAGAGCTGTCTCAAATCTACCTGATCGACCCGTCCGATGCCAAGGAGCTGGCCACGATCATTGCTGACTCGGGTCGCTTCAACGGAATCTGGCGAGTCGAAGAAGTGTACGAGTTTGCCGAGCGGCGAGCGGATTGGTATCAAGTGAAACGAGACGTGGAACGAGCGATGTATGGCATTGGCTGCAATGTCATGTAACGAGAGAAGCCCCCAAAGTACGCCTGACCGCAATACCCCGTATAGTATCGAGGTATACTTGTTATGTACATAGAAAGAGAAATACCCCTGACGATGATGAGTGCTTCTTGACGAGCGTAGAAATGTACACACTGATTCCCGATTGGAGAGATGGGGGACTTTGGGGATAATTGGATAGTCTGAAGTATCCAAGACCTTGAGTGACGTCAATCGGCGGCTGCTGGAACGATCTCGTCGACTGCGCGCATCCGAGATCCTCTCATCGTCCTTCTCCCTGCTGGCCAGCGGCTAATGCGCGACAAACAAAGCTCCGGGCTCCTTTTGTTTGTTGCAGCTGCAGCTGCAGTTCTATAATTAACCCTTGTCCCTGTTCCGGGCTCTTTCTGTCAAGACCTCCCATCATCTCTTCAGATATATTCCGGACACCTCACGACTTCAACAGTATCTGCAAAAGTAAAACCATACGACCCCCTTTGAAAATGCTTATCGATGACGACGGACCTTGACAGTATGGCTTCTTTCCCGTCGCGCGCATGCCCGATCTCTTTCACCCTCTTTGTTCTACACCTGTTCTTCGCACTCGGACAGGCACAGGACGTCGTCAGAACAACCGTAATCGTAGTCACCGTCGCCTCCACTGCAACTCCAACCGTACCGCAGCCTGCCTCTTATACGTCGCTGGATGTCTTTAAGGACGATGTCCTCTCCGCTAGTAACGCCTACCGGGGCGCCCACAACGCAACGCATCTGGTCTGGAACGAAACGCTGACAGCATATGCTCGCGACTGGGCAGAGAAATGCAAATGGAAACACTCAGTGGGCTCCCCCCCCCCCCAAACCTCGAGCCTCCCTAACGGATAATATAGCACGGTCCGTACGGCGAGAACCTCGCCTTCGGATATCCCAACGCATCGGCCGCGATCGCCGCCTGGGGCGACGAGGTGCGACACTACGACTTCCAGAAACCGACCGGGTTCACCGAAGAGACCGGTCACTTTACGCAGCTGGTCTGGAAGGCGACGAGGCAGGTCGGATGTGCGGCGGTGGATTGCGGATACAGCGAGGACGGCGAGGCAAAGGATGCCTCGGGGCGATACCGAGAGGCACAGGGTTGGTATGTCGTGTGCGAGTATATGCCTCCCGGGAATGTCATGAACGCTCCGGAGGCCTCGGGGGGCCAGAATGGCCTGTTCATGGTCAATGTGCAGCCGTCCAGCACGTACTCGGGTCCATCAACGACGGAGTCACCCTCAGATCGTCCGGCTACGACCACGGCCACGACCAGCGGTGCAGGTGCTCGGGGGTGGGAGAGTTACGGCTGGACTGGGCGCCTGGTGATGCTGGGAACGATGTTGGCATGGCTCACATCAGCGTGACGATGACAAAAAACATATCAGGGTGGTTAATAGCCGGGGATTAGGCCCGACAGGCAGAGGGTGAAGAATGTACTCTACTCACTACCACCAAGGATTGATTCGAAAAGAAACCAGGAAGCTAGAATTGACACGCATAACTGACACAATACATCATCTGCCGTTGCACAGTGGCCGGCTCATCATTGCCTGTCATCTCTCATGCTACCAACACCGCGCACATCGAATTCCCGACGGGAAGATATGCAATACAGATCTATTCACTTTTTTTTTGTTTGACAAGTTCCAGGCATCCTAGGCACCGAAACCAAGCCAAAAGACCGAGCTCAAGGGGGAAAATGGAAAGGGGAGGAACAGAAGATCGTGGGAAAGAGAGCAAAGACTGCCCCAGAAATGAAAAAAGGAAAAAGAACGAGGATATCGACAGACAAGATGCAGAAATGAGGAAACAGGAAATAGAGAGTAGCATTAAATACGGAAAGGAAAACCCAATCAACCAATGACTTCCTCGTTCTCCTCGATGATCTCTTCCACGATCTCCTCGACCACGGTCTCGCCCTGGTCTTCCGTGGCCGGAGGAGCATCCTTGGCCAACTTGGGGTCGTCGACATCCTCGGGCACACCGTAGACGTCCTTGTCCTCGGACAAGAGCTCCTTCTCCCGACGCAGCCAGGCAACCCATTCGTTGAGGACACGCTTGCGCTTCTCGACAACGGCGGTGTTGGCAATGTCGACGGCGTACTTGTCCTCCTCGTCGAACTCCTTCGAGTATTCCCGGAGGTTCTTGCGCACTTGCTTCTGCTCCTCCTTGCTGAGGAGGGTCTTGGGGCGAGGGCGCCAGAGGAACTGCTTGAACTTGTCGGTGGGGTTCTCGGAGAGGGTTTGACCGGAGAAGCTGTGGATGTTCCAGCCGTTTTCCATCTAGAAGCATTCGATTAGTCGGCGTGAACCTGGTGGCGGGGGAGGAGGAAGAATTAACTTACGGAGTGAGTCCACACACTCGCACTGCTGACGAGGTAACGACCCGTAGGATCCCAGTCGATATCTGTGACACCGTAGTGCTCGACGGTCTTCATCAATTGGAGGTTGGCGGCCAGATCCTTCTCGGCCTCGGACTTCTCGCCCTCAAAGTCCATGTCCCAGAAATCGAGGTCGAAGTTGGTCTGCGAGTGGACGGTGGCGACGACGACGAAACGGCCCTTGGGGGACCAGTAGATGGCATTGCTGGTCTTCTTCTCGATGGTCCGCACCAGCTTGAAGTTGCCGGCAGAAACACCCTTGCGCTCGGGAGCGAAGAAAGAAACGGCGGTCTTGGGGAGAGCGCCGGAGCCGCTGGGCGCCTCGCCGGTGGTAATGAGGACGAAGCGGCCACCGTTGGGCTCCCAGGCGAAGTTAATCACGGTATCTTTGAGACTGTCCACCACCTCGACGGGAACACCCTTCTCGCGCACCCGGAAAATCTCGAGGTTCGTCGCCATAGACTTCTTGGATTTGGAGTGACGGTCGACCTTGACACAGACGTAGGTACCCTGGGACTGCCAGTGCAGTTTCACATCCGACACGTTGAACAGGTTACGGGTTCGGATGATTTCTTTGGATGGCACACTCATCATAGCAACGCGAGCAGGGCTGCTGCCGATTTCGGGCGTCCAGAAGCAGAGCAACTGCTCGTATTGCTTCACGCCTTCCCGGTTGACCGTAGCGGGCGACCATTCGAAATCCGAAACCCCGTCAATCCGGACCGAGGTCTTGCCGAGCAAGTTCATCCGGGGCAGCTCGTAGATCGAGATCGACTGGCCCTGGAGCATACGCGCGACATACTTTTCATCGGCGGACCACTTGAAAGCGGGCCACTGCACCTTCTTCTTCGGCTCGCCATCGCCGGCGGGGCCGGCAGTCAGGTCGTGGGACACGAACGACCGCAGCGGCTTTCCTGATACGATGTCCCAAACGATGATGTTCTTGCCGTCCTCCTCGTAGCTCAGGACGGACGAGCCGCCTTCTTCGACCTGGATCGGGCGAGCGGACCAGGTGGTCAGATAGCTCTCACCGGGCGAGAACTCCACCAGCTGCACGAATGGGTGGGGGAACTGCTTCTGTTTCGAAAAGGCGGGACCACCCCACAGCTGCACACCCTGAGGGTGGACGGACGCCAGGTAGGTACCCTTGGGGGACCACTGAACGAACAGTTGCGTCCAGTGGGCACGATCGACAACGTTCTCGGGGGGGTTGCTCTTGTTGTTCCAGAAGACGCCGACCTTATCACCACGGTAGAGGGCGAACTGGTCTCGGGCGTTGGCATCGCCCAGCCACGACCGCAGGTGCTCCTTCTCCTTGAAGGGCTCGATGGTGGGAGGCTTGTATTCTTCCTCGACACGTCCTTCGCGGCCAAAGCGGTCGATATCCATCAACTTGTTCACGGCGAGAGTGTGCTTCTTATCGAGGGGCGTTCCATGTAGGTGCTTAACTGCGGCGATGGCTTGTTCGGGGGTCTCGTATTCCACGAAGGCGAAGCTGGTCGCAAAAAAAAAAAAAGATACACATTAACGATCCCGGACCTCAGCCAGCGGTAAAGCCGAATACGTACCCTTCGGACATGTTCTTGTCATTCAAAGGCATGAAGACTGCATCTTCGGACGTGTGGCCGACGGTGTTGAGTTTCCTCAACAAGAACTTGATGAGCTTTTGTCTGCTCTCTTCCGGCACGACGGGGAGACCGTCGATCACAACGAACGTATCCAGACCCTCCTCGAGCTTCACTTCATACTGTTCCTTGAGATCTAGACATCGGAGGCCCGGGTGGTCAGCGACGAGTGGGAGGGGCACGGGCGGGAGAGAATTCTTTCGCACTCACCGGAGAAGTCAATCTCCTCCTCCTCCTCTTCGTGGAGGTCCTGCTCGGTCAAAGTGTCGAAACTGGGCGCCATGATGGACAGGCAGCGAGGCGATGGAGGGGGGAGAGAGAGGGGGGGGGAGGGGAGGACACGAGTGGAGGGCAGGGAGTCGCAAGATGGGGATTCTCGAGAAGGGAAGATGCGGACTGATTTTCTGCTGGTCGGCCCCGGTTTGGCCTGTTTTTAGGGCAAAACGAACAAATCGACGCCGCGCCTTCGTGTGTGCGCGGGCTGAGTCAGGGCTGAGTCAGCATCACAGCCTCAGGCATTGATTGTAGCAGCCTCAGGCCCCCGTCCAGTGACCGCTGACTCAGCCGCCCCCGGTCTCTCCCGCCGTCTCGCCGACTCGCGCCATCACAACATCCAATTCAATCCGATTCAATTCAATCCGATTCAATCGCAAACCCCCTTGATTCTGCGGGTGATTGTTGCTGGTCGTTGCGGGCCGGCTGTCTTACCTTGTCTCCTTTGTTCTTTCCTTCACTCTCTCCTCACTCGTCGTTTGCGTCTACTTCTCCCTCCCCATCTTGTCTCTCGCTCGCGCCCTCTCCCATGCCCCGCCGGTCCTAAGCGCCAGCGCTACGCCCCGACAGATCTGGACGATCTTCCCTCCCATCCACCGCCGCCGTGACCGGACTCTCGCTCCCCAGAACTTCGCCGACCCGTGGCCTTTGCAATTGACACAATCGCAATCGCTCCCCTCCCGTCCCGCCAAATCGACAGGAGCGAGAGACGCTCGTGAGCAACCATGTCGCGTAAGTTCCGGCCGCGCCTAAACCCGCCGACCTCGCTCTCTACTGACATCATTGCCTTCGCGCCCAGTCTCCCCCGACGCCCGCGATCAGTATGTACCGATCATTGACTCCATCCTGGGGAAAAGCGATCTCAATACCATCTCCGAAAAGCGCATCCGCAAAGGTCTGCAGGAAGTGGTCGGCCATGATCTTACTCCGCAGAAGGTCTGCTCGCCGCCACCCGTCCTGTCGCAATCCCCGTCTCCCCGGTCCCACTCGTTGCCGACGGTCGTGACACGCAAGGCTAACACGGTTTTTTCTTATTCCTCTGCTCTAGGCTGTGATTAAGCAGCTGATCATGGAGAGGTTTGACATCTTCGCCGAGCGGGGGGGTATAGGTGCTTCGCCCGAGACCAGCGCCCCGGCAACCAACGGCCACGGCAAGGATCCGGACTCTGTGACACCACCCGTCGAACCCTCATCTCCCGCGCAGTCGTCGGTGTCGCAGAAACGCCATGCGGATAGCGAGGAGCGTTCCGATCAGTCGAGCAAGTCGCCGCCGGCCAAGAAGAAGAAGCTCGACAACGACGTTGACGCGGATGCCCTCTTCGCTGCCAAGCTCCAGGCCGAGGAAAACATGCGTGCACGTCCTACGCGAGGCTCTAGCACGCGCAAGGCCGCGCCGACGAAAAAGAAGACCAAGGCGAAGACGTCCAAAAAGGTGAAAGCGGAGGACGATTCGGACCTGGACTCAGGGTCTGACAGCGGCAAGAAGGTCAACCGATCCGGCGGATTCCACGTAGGCTCTATCTTTCGCAAAGACCAGACAAGGTCTCATGGCACTGACCTATCCTCAGAAACCCCTGACGCTATCGCCTGCCCTTTCGGCTTTGCTGGGTGGTGAGGAAACGGTATGGAACCCCTCCCCTTTTTTCTTTCTTCTTTTGGGATTTCCCTCTTCTAACGACCGGTCCAGCTTTCTCGACCGCAAACGGTGAAGAAATTGTGGCAATACATTCACCAACATGATCTTCAGGATCCTAGCGACCGGCGGCAAATCCGGTGCGACGACGCCATGCGCGCGGTCTTCAAGCAAGACCGCATACACATGTTCACGATGACCAAAATCCTCAGCCAAAACCTGTACAGTCAGGACGAATAGTGCCACTCCTTTTTATCCGCGAGGGCTGCCATGATACCCGGCCTTCGCAACCCGGCGACTCCTTGCCCTAGGCACGCCGTTCACAATTTACGACTTTCTGATATCTTCCAGCACCGCATTTGGTAACCCGGCGCCTTCTTTTTGGTTTCCATGATCCCACTTTGCACCTATAGTGTTTATGTTGTATTTTTCTTTTCTATATCTCTGTGCTTTCCTTTGTCCTCTTTCATTGTGAACTGTCTTTTCTCTCTCTCTCTCTTTTTTGTTGATTCATATCTTCTTCTCTCCAGCGGGAGTTGGTGTTGCCTTCGAGATCGGGGCGATGAACGTGTCTAGAACGGTCCGTTCAGGGGAACCGTTCATTTGGCATTGCATAATACTGTCTTCATGGTATATGATACAGGTGATTCTTTTTTTTTTTTTTTTTCTTTTCTTTTCTTGTCCGTGATTTACTTCCAGATCGTAGGTAGGATATGACGGAGACTGCGGAAGGTGGCAGCCATGTGTTCTTGACCCGCGACTAGTCAAGGCTAGTCATCGTGAGTCAACGAGATGACGGAGGAGAGCGGAGGAGAGGTACGCAGTAGTTAATTAGCGTCGTAAGGTCGCAAGAGTTGGCGAGCGCCACGAGAAAGACAGGGCTGTTCGCTGTGGGCAGGACTGAGGGTGATCACTAAGCACCGCCAACTTTTTCGCCCGCCTTGTCTTTCTTTCCCTTCCTCTCCCTCTCCTCCGCCAGTCTTCACACTCTTCTTGTCTTGGTCGCAAAAGGTCTCCGAGAGCGTCCGGCTCTTCTTCTCTTCTCTCAGCGGCCTGCGCTTCCGCGTCCGTTCTTTCTCCCCCAGTCCTCCATTCCTGCAATTCGCTGCCAGTTGCTCCGATCAGCCCTCCGTCTCCACAAAAAAACCCCCCCCCCTCCCCCAAAATGTCTGACGCCCAGCAATCGCAAGCCTCGGGACCCCAAGGTCCTAGCCGTGGTGGTCGTCGCCGGGGCCGAGGAGGAGCTCGTCAAACCGGACAGCCCGGAGATTCGCCCAGCTCGACCGATGGCTCCGGTCGGGGAGGGCGATCCAGGGGCTCAGGACCCCGCCGAGGGGGAAGTGGACGCGACAGGCAAAACCACACCGGCGCCAAAGCTGACGCTCCGCAAGAAAGCGAGGCGCCTGCGTCCACCGCACCAAGCGCAGGAAAGACCAAGCCCACCCCCGAGGCGGCGACCGACGATGCGGATGACGGCGAGGTCTGCTTCATCTGTGCGTCCGCCGTCGAGCACACCTCGGTGTCGCCGTGCAATCACCGGACTTGCCACATCTGCGCCATCAGACTGCGAGCGCTGTACAAAAACAAGGCCTGCGCACATTGTCGGGTACGATCACCCCGTCTCCCCATAGCGTGCTCAAGGCCAGTTCCGGGCCCAATGCTTACGTTGGCTTGCAACAGACGGAATCCAATTACGTGATCTTCACGGATGATCCTGCAAAGCGTTTCGAGGACTTCACCGACAGAGACTTCTCCCGGAAAGATGATAACCTGGGCATTGAATACGAGAATGATGAGATCTTCGAGGATACGGTCTTGTTGCTACGATACAACTGCCCCGACACCGGCTGCGACGTGGCATGCTTAGGCTGGCCCGACCTGCATCGTCACGTCAAAAGCAAGCATGGCAAAGTGATGTGGTATGTGAAGCAGCGCCTCCGCTCATTGATAACTTTGCAGAATACTAATCATCGCTCCGTGATCTAGCGACCTTTGCACTCGCAACAAGAAGGTGTTCACCCACGAGCATGAGCTTTTCACGACGGCCGAGCTGCGCAAGCATGAAAAGCATGGCGACGATGTGCCGGGCGCCGTGGATCAAAGTGGCTTCAGGGGACACCCCGAGTGTGGATTCTGCCGTCAACGGTTCTACGGAGACGACGAACTCTATGCTCATTGTCGTGATCGCCACGAACGATGCCACATCTGCGACCGACGGTCTAGTACTCGCCAGCAACAGTATTACATCGACTACAATGCGCTTGAAGATCATTTTCAGAAGGACCATTTCCTATGCTTGGATAAAGAGTGCTTGGACAAGAAGTTTGTGGTGTTCGAGTCGCAAATGGACCTGAAAGCCCATCAGCTAGAGTGCCATCCCAACGGACTCTCCAAGGATGCCAGGCGTGACGCACGGGTCGTGGATCTTTCGGCGTTTGACTACAGGTCGCCCTACCAGCCCCAGCGACAACGTCGTGGTGCCGGTCGAGGACGCGATCCAAACTCCGATGCGCTGCCCGTATCCTCCGCGCAACCACTGCGAAGAGACCAGATGGCCTACCAGCGACAAATGGCTATCCAGAGCGCGCAGTCCGTGTCCACCCGCAGCTTTGGGGGTCAGCTCTCGCGCAACGACACTCAAACCGTGCACGCCCCGGCTCGCTCCGCGGGCGCGACTCCTGTCCCAACGCCGCCGGCTGCGTCCACCCCCGTGGCCGAGATGGAGCACCTCAGTCTGACAACCGACTCGGCATCGGCCAATCCTCAGGAGCAGGCCCGGCGCATGCGCCACGCCGCCGTCATCGAACGAGCCTCGAACCTCTTGGCGAATGACCAGACCAAGCTCAAGGAATTCCGCGCCAGAGTCTCCAGCTTCCGCGCCTCGACCATCTCTCCCACCGAACTCATCGACGCCTTCTTCTCTCTCTTCGATACCTCTTCTAGCGAGCTCGGAAAACTGGTCAAAGAGCTCGCCGATATCTACGAGGATAGCGGCAAACGGAACTCCCTCTTAAAGGCATGGAATGACTGGCGAGCCATCAACGAAGATTACCCGGCCCTTCCGGGACCCGGCGGCGTCCTTCCGGGCATGTCGCCTGGCACGGTCAACGGCAGCGGCGTTGGCGGCAAGCGCGTTCTTCGTCTGAAATCGTCAACTGCGCAGTCCTCTCGCTCGGCCGTTGGCCGAAGTGGTGCATTGCCATCCTCCGCCTCCTCCGCCAATCCCTTTCCTCCTCTCTCCTCCTCCGCCTCTCGTTCGGCTCCTCGTACCGCCCCTTCTTCATCCGCCACCACCCCCTGGGGCACGACGGCTGCCGCCCCGAAGCCGTCCTCCAGCGGCGCCTCGTCTCGACCGGCCCCGTCCTCGACGTCGTCGCGCCCTGCGAACCCTAGAAGCACCGAGGCCTTCCCGGCTCTCCCGGCCGCTGCGAAACCCAACGTCCTCATGGCCGGTCTCACGCGCGGAACGGTGCGCTGGGACAATCGCAACCCTGCTCCGGTGAATGCCTGGGCCTCGGCCTCGGGGGGCGATGTCGGCCCCGACGGCGCAGAGTTTGACATCGGGGAGTCCTCTGCTGGCGGGGGTAAGAAAGGGAAAGGGAAGAAGGGCAAACAGACGCTGTTCCACTTCGGTTGATGGTGTATCTAATCATCTCTCCTTGCTGTTGAACAAAAGTCGCATTGTGTTTGGTTTAGCTTCGTACTTGAGCGATTAGAATAGATACACTTATAGTTGAAGGGGGTGCCTCCGTTTGGCCAGTAAAATCCAGCAATATGTAGAATTTTCGATGAACCAGAACAAAAGTTGAGCAGATAATACGCCGCATCCGTTCACAATAACACATGGTACTCAGGAATCCATTGGAACGATATTCGGGAATCATGAAACCGATCCATTGCTCATCTATGAAAAGATGTCGGATGAAACTTCAACGCCCAGCACTTGTCCGTCTGACGACGAGGTTGCAAAAGTCAACATTTCGTCTGTCGACCCATCGTTAAATACTTGTATGGAGTCGGATGGAAGTCCGTCGTCGGAATATTCGAACGGGCTTCCCAGTGCAATCGATTGACCTGAACTGATGAATCCCATTTCGAGTTCTTCTTGGTCGGAATAATCGTGGTTGTTACTACCGCCATCATCATCGAAGTCGGAGTCGGAGTTGTCCTCTCCTGCAATAAATCCATCACTCTCTTCGATCAGGGCATCATCCTCTTCATCAATCGCGGCCATACGCAATGTGAAGTCGTCCTGTAGTCTTTGGAGCCATTTCCTCAGCATCTCGCCTTTAAAATTTCCACTCCGGGCTTGAAGGAGTTGTTCTCGGAGCGAAAGTAACAAGTTGCGCTTTCGAGCCACATTCAGTGCCCTCGAAGACCCGTGTCGCCTCTCTGAAATCTTGCTCAGCTGTTCAGAGACCCTCCGGGCAGTCTGAAGCACGACAGACGATAGATCGACCAGTTTGGCCAGCGTCAGACCATAGAACTGGCTTGTGTTAGGACCTTCGGCAATCTTGTAAAGCATCGTCATTTTAGATGCATCGGGCAATATCTCCGCTGCTAGATGGAGACTGATGACGCCACTGCGTTGGGCTAGGATAGTAGCTAGGTCTTGAAAATGAGTCACAAACCAGACAAGCGCCTTACTTTGTATTAAGGCTTCCGCAATTGCGATGGCGATGCACAAGCCGTCGGTGGTGCTAGTGCCGCGGCCGAGTTCGTCGACGATGACCATGCTACGAGGCGAGATATTTCGAAGTATAAACGACATCTCGCGCATCTCCGCGGCAAAAGTCGACACGTTTGCCTCTAGATCATCGGAAGTGGACACACGAGCAAAAAGCTCGTGGACAATACGAAATGAAGCGTGCTCTGCTGGAACAAAGCAGCCAACCTGTGCCATGACGGTCATTAGGGCCAAGGTACGAATGTATGTGGACTTTCCACTCATGTTGCACCCGGTGATGATCTGGAACCGAGATTGCTGTGTCGCGTAGGCATCATTAGGAATGAACTTCTTTGCGTGGATTTTCTCACGAATTGGGTGGCGCCCATCTTTGATAGCCAGGGTGTCGGTCAGTTCAGGGCGAATGTAGTCATTGCACGTAGCGAGCTGCGCAAATGCGGCTAGCATGTCGAGCATGGCTATTGCTTCGCTTGCTCGAAACATTTTGGAGATTCCAGCACAAACGTCTCTGATTAGCTCCTGGACCGTCTCGTCGCTCATGTTGACCACCTCATTGTGCGCGTCTGTAATCTTTTGGTTAAGCTTTACGAGGTCAAGAGTCTGACACTCAATGCGGTTCTTTTTGCGGTACACATTGATGAATATTTCCGGGAGTGAATCCAGCTCTGTCGCCTGGAAGCTTACATAGTATTGGCGAGCTTTGTCGAACTTCAAATCCAGGTCAACGGAGTGAGTCTCTGCGAGAAGTTAGATTTGAGTGGAGCCGCCGGTTGAAGCTTTGGTACCTGAGAGTTTTGCTACGAGCTCTGCAGCGTCTACGCTCGCCTCCTTGTATGTTTGTCTCGCAACGTCAAGCAGAGTGTTTACTCCGGCCTGGTGTAAAGAAACTCAATCCCCCTGCAGCGATAAAAGAAAGAGGCAGAGAGAGTAAGCAACCCAACAGGGAAAAGAACCCCACCCTACCTTGATACAGTAGATACGTTGATTTCTGAGGTCTAGTGGCTTTGATTGATACGTGATGTGGTCATTGATTGTGTCTTCAATCATTTGTTCAATATCTCGATATTCCACTGGGGCACACAGCTACGGCAAATCAACCTGTCAGTCTATTGCATACTTATTTGGTGAGCCAATACCTCTCTGATAGTCAGTAATAGACTGCTCTGTGCCGGTGCGAGTGCCTTGTACACGGGCTTGATCGAAGAAACGCATGTCTTTAACATGATGACATTATTCACGGACTGCTCGAGGTATTGGAAAGTTTGTTTGGTAGGAACAAGAACGAGCTAGATTGTCAGCAAATGCTTACACCTGGTGGAGCCATCAAATAACCCACCGATGTGAGGACCTTGTCCGCATCGACAAATCCCTTTAGGGCTGCATGGGCGTGTTAATAGGCCAGTGGTGAAGAGGTACAAGCCCAGTTCTCTGCAGACCTTGTCTAACGGATGCGAACATCTCTTCCTTCGTGGACAAATCCTCCACAGCGTCGTATCTCGCCAATAACTTCGACTCTTCCGTCGAAGGTTGCAGGAGATTGGCTCGAAGGAGTCTTGCACCCATGGGAGTGAGGGTCTCGTTAAGGAGACCATATAGGTTCTCCTTCGACTTCCTCAAATGGAGATTTTGAATCAACTCTAGGGAGAAAATGGTGGGCAGATCGATTGACATCGATCCTTGGGAGGGCTCAAACCGTATTCGAAGGGATTGCGCCATAAAGACCCTGTTCAACTCGAGCTCAACATACTGGATTACCTACACCATGTTAGGTTATTTGGTTTCCGATGTGACCCGGGCACCCACCGCAGCAAAGCAGCAGGCGGCGAAGTAGTTTCCCCCGAACGTGATCTTGATCGATTCAATATCCATTGGAAAAGCCAGTCGATCTGCATACTCAAGGCAGGTCTTGTCCGACCAGAACTTGCGGTCTAGAAAAGTCAACGTAGTATTTGGAACATTCTCCTCAATAATGTAAAACAGTTTGGATTCTTTGGCAGTATTCATAAAAAGGATCTCTGTCGGCTCAAACACTCCGATCTTCGTCACCGTCTTGACATAGGTCTGGCTGTCACATATCTGGCACAGAGCCGTCTCTGCAGTCGAGAGATTGACAAAGGCAAGACCTACAGTCGAGGAAATGCCGCGGGATTCGCTAACTGCACAGATAATGTCCTGGGTTGCCACGCTGGTCGCTGTGGTTGTGGGCCTCGTAGTAGTCCTGTGGAGTCCACTGCTCTGTCTGGAGAGGGGAACGAACGAGTTGCTGGTGAACCCCGGGGACGCCATCGGCCGAGGCATCCTGGGCTCGAGCGGACAAACGATGGTTTATGGACGAGCGCAGGGGTTCTAACCCGATGATTTTGATGGGATGGATCAAGTAAAGAAAAGAGGGAGGGAACGAAGGGAACGAGGGGGATAAAAGCATGCGCGGCCGAATGCGGTTTAGCGCCGATCCACCTCCGCGATAAGTTTTCTTTTTTTTTGGCGGACCAGAAGTGATTGCCTTCATCCTTTTCAATCCCATTGGCAAAATGGCGACCCTCCTACCTCCCCCGACCAAGCGCCAGAAGACGGAAATCGCCGAGAAGGCTCGGCTGCAACAAGAGATCCAGAGCATCCCGGACAATCTGGGAAGCATCCGAGTGCAATTCTTCGACCAAGCAACCGGGTCGACCACGGGCCCCGCGGTGTCAGTGCCTGTGGCCGATGCCAATGTTAAGAATCTCGAGACGCTCCTCAACACCCTACAAGGCAATGTAGGTACGCAGTGAAATCTAACTGGATGGTCGATTCCTCCGTGCTCACAAGTATGCTTCTGCAGGAAGATGATGAACGGGTACCCTATCGGTTCAGTTACCAATCCGAAGACAAAGACAATCAGACAATCGATATTCTAGCAGATCTCTATCACTCCCTCCTACAGCCCGGGGTCAAAACTACCGAAGATACCGTCCACCTGTACTACACCCCGCAAGCGGTTTTTCGAGTCAAGGCCGTGTCGCGCTGCTCGGCGTCCATCGCTGGTCATGGCGAAGCTATCCTGGCAACATCTTTCTCCCCGGCCTCTTCGTCTACCATGGTCACAGGAAGTGGCGATGCCACCGCGCGGGTTTGGGACTGCGACACCGGAACCCCTCTGCATACGCTGAAGGGACACACCAGCTGGGTTCTGGCGGTCGCCTACTCGCCCAACGGGGCCCTCATCGCGACGGGAAGTATGGACAACAGTGTACGACTCTGGGACGCCAAGAAGGGACAGGCATTAGGTGGACCGTTGAAAGGACACGCGAAATGGATCACCAGTCTGGCATGGGAGCCATACCATATGCAAGAGTCGGGCCGGCCGCGCCTGGCGTCGGCATCCAAGGATTCCACCGTCCGGATCTGGGACGTGGTCTCCAAACGAATCGACACCGTGCTCACGGGCCATAAGGGCTCCGTCACCTGCGTGCGATGGGGTGGAACGGGGAAAATTTACACCTCTTCGCATGACAGAACCATCAAGGTGTGGAACGCCCAGAACGGAACCCTGATCCAGACGCTCTCCGCGCACGCGCACCGCGTCAACCATCTGGCTCTGTCGACCGATTTCGTGCTTCGAACCGCCTACCATGACCACACGGGTCAAGTACCTGCCACGGAGTCTGAGAAGGTGGCCGCCGCCAAGAAGCGATTTGAACAGGCAGCCACGATCAACAACAAGATCGTGGAGAAGTTGGTCTCGGCCAGTGACGATTTCACCATGTACCTGTGGGAGCCGGAGACCTCTAGCAAACCGGTGGCGCGGCTGCTGGGCCATCAGAAAGAGGTCAACCACGTCACATTCTCCCCCGACATGTCCTATATCGCGTCGGCAGGATTCGACAACCACGTCAAATTGTGGAACGCTCGCGACGGAAAGTAAGTGGATTCCCACATAAACCGTTTAGATCCATAACTGACATTTGATCTACAGATTCATTACCACATTCAGAGGCCATGTCGGTGCCGTCTACCAATGTTGCTTTTCGGCAGATTCTCGGCTCCTAGTATCCTCGTCCAAAGATACCACGCTCAAGATCTGGAATTTGCGCACCGGGAAGCTCGCCATGGACCTCCCAGGGCACAAGGACGAAGTGTATGCGGTGGACTGGAGTCCGGACGGACAAAAGGTCGGCAGCGGCGGAAAAGACAAGGCCGTCCGGATATGGAGGAATTAATGTAGATACGAAGCAATAGAAAAAATTGCGATACCCATGTAATGTTTATATTGCAAAGTTCTATTTTTTAATTCAAATTTTTATTTTTATTTTTTTTCTTTTTTGGAGAATTCGAAGCTAGAGCGTTCGGGTACGTTCTTCAAACATAGACACTAGGATCAAGTACGACGACAATCGCTTCCCGAGATTCAATCAAACTACCCCAATATGATACACATCCACCTAGTCATACTGCGCACTCATTAATGATATCCTTCGATCCCGCAAGGTTTCAGATATATTGCCATGCAGCGGCAGTTTGATTGCCGGTAATAGCCATAGCAGAGAATCCCAGGCAGTCAGCCACGTCTCCACTGGGAACCGTGGCGTTCTGAATGGCGGCAAAAACCTGCCATTTCTCGTCTTCGGTGGGACAAGCCATGAAGCCAGAGGCACCCCAGCCGTTGAAGGTGTAGTGGCCCATGTTCTCGCCGGGCTCATACTTGAATGGGCCTAGAGCCGAACCGGGAGGGATATAGGCCGAATGTGCCTGTGTGAAGCTCAGGGCACCGTCGGGGTTGACGTAGACTTGTTGGCCGCCGGGGACCATAACGTTCTGTGATTGCAGATCTTGTTAGCGTTGGGATCTACAGGCGAGGAGAGGTGGCTGGTTTATGTGCACATACAAGGCTGCCGCCACCGGGAGCGAAAACAGTCGATGTGCCCGGTGGGCATCCCTTGCCTTCGGGTAGGGGACAGTATGTCGAAGGCTGTCCTCCCAAATAGAAGCGTTGTCCCGCAGCGTTCATGGGGAGGAGGTGGATGGGGGAAGCCGAACGACTGGACATGACGCCGAAGGCAGGGTCAGCATTTTGAGTCGGGGCAGCCGCTGCCAGCAGAGGGAGCACGAGCGAGACGAGAGAGGACTTCATCTTGTTAAGAGATCCGAGGTAGAGAATGATGGCTTGCGCAGCTGGATGTGAGTAGAACTGGGAGGCAGCGCCCTCTAATATTTATATTCTCACAGCCTTAGGACATCGCTGAATCGGACGGATAAATGGGTTACATTCGTATTGCTAACCCCTCGTAAATAATTATAGAATAGTTGCACATAACCCAGGGACCAAATCATGAGGAGTATCCGGGGCACGGCCTATCGGGAGCGGCGTCAGGAGATTGGTGCAGTGCATAGTCAACCACTAAACTGAAACCGCATCGAAGGGCGCAGCGATATAAGCGAGACCGACAACTTCGTGCGGAGAATTATGACGTTGTGTTTGCGGAGAGGGTGAAATGGCTGGAGGGGGGTTGATCGGCAGCCGAGTGTCTCACTTTCCGAGACATTCGATAGGCAGCTAAAAGCACCCTCCAGTGAAAGCCGGAGAGGGATGGCATCACCAGGCGTGGCCGAGACAAACAACCATCTGCCTTAGGCGCTTCCCGGTCTCAGCCAAGAACCCACTCGCTGTAGACCATGGAGAAGTCGACTTGATGCCACATTGCTATGAAAGGTCCATCCGAGGTTCGGGTTCCCAGAAAGGTTCCATGGCCAGGCGTTTTACAGGGGAAGACACAAGAGGACCCAAGGTTGGTGCCGACGGGGTATCCGACTGTCTCCAAACCCAAAGTCGAAAAAGACGTTGCAGGATAAGGCCCGCCGTGGATGGAAATGTAGGAGGTGGAAGGTCCCAAGCCAAATTTCTCGTTGGATTCTCTAGCCAGCCTTCTCGGCACATGACCGGTCATGTGCGCACGGAATGGAACCACCAAATGAAGTACATGAGAATTATGGATAACAGGTGAAAGGAAAAAAAGCCGTTTTAGAGCAAGGACAAAACAAAGGGGGTAAAAAGCACAGGAGGCAAAGAGCAACCAGAACCCCCCAATACACCGGAATCCAATTATAACAATACAGCCCAGCCATCTGGAAGAAGAATCACCCATCCATAAACACCGCCGGGCCAAACCCGATTTCCTGACCCCTAAACGCGTCAGAAGAACATAGGAGAAAAACACAAAAGCAAAACACCCTCCAAGCCAAAATACCAAGAAGCAAGGCTTGAACGCCAGTCAGCGTTTAATCGTAATCGTCCCCGTCGTCATCGTCGTTGTTGCGCCCTCGCGAGCCCTTGACGCCGTCCTTGCGAATCGGAATCTTGATGCCCTGAAGGGCGAAGCATTTACTCAGCGTCGTACTCTCAATGACACCAGGGAATTTCTTGGCGGAGAAAACCTGGAAGGGTTCGGAGAAGACGGACGCCAGGACTTTCGGAGAGCCATGGTTGATCACGGTCACTCCGTTGGAGTCCGTGCCGACGTTGACGAAGCTCATTTTCAGACTGTACAAGAGTCAGTACCAAACCCAAGAGGCCAAGCCACGATTCAAGAGAACGACTCACCGGAAGACTCCCTCGGTCCTCACACTCAGGTCCTGCAGAATGAACCACACTCCAATTTTGTTGTCGGGGTCGGTCAGCCGAAAGGCGCTGGCACTCAAACTCCCGATGAGGTTTCGCGTGAACATCCCTCCAGGTCCGGCGCTGACCGGCTGTGCGGGAGAGATATTCGATGGCGGCATGTGGCTGCCGGAGTAGTATGGTTGGTAGTAGGGGGTCTGCGTATTGGCGCCATAGGCGTTTGGATACTGAAGTTGGGGGTTCCCTCCGTAGTAATTGTTCATGGGAGGGAATGGGACCGGCTGACCGTAGGCGTTTTGTGGGTATTGCGGATAAGGATTCTGAGGAGGCGGCGGGTAGGAGGAAGACATGGCCGTGGATATCGACGGCGAGGTAGCCGAATGTTTCACCAGGTTCACCTCGTTAGTTCCGTCCGCGTTCCAGAGGTCTACCATGAGGACATAGAAAGACGTGTCGAGTTCGCTAGAGGGTCCGGTTAGCTCGAATGCCCTTCCGGCGCACCAAAGAGGTACATACTTAATATCGATCTCCTTTTCGGTTTGTGCATCTCTGACGATGAGACGAATGCAAGGCGGGGGTGTGATAGGTCTCCGGTCCTAGATTTCAAAGTTCACGTCAGAGAGAAAGCTCGTTCAGCTCCGGGAATGATCACCGACCTTGTCACCAAAGCCACACATCCGGGCGCGAACCGGCTGCTGTACCACTTGAAGGGACCAGGTGCGATTATTTTCGTCGATGCCTGAGAACGGCACCAAATGACTTGACGTTTGGATCGGGCCGGCGGAGCCTGGGGTCGGATATGCCGACGCTGGGGGAGGGATTCGATCCATGGAGAGAGGTGGCGGGGGCGGCGGGTGCGTTCTTTCCTCGAGCGCATACATGGCGCCTGACTGTCCAGGGATTCTTAGGGAATTTTCGCAGGAAGTACGGGTCGAGATCGGACAATTGAAAGTCGAGGGTGGTGGAGATTGGCGCACTTCACAGCCTGAGCATTGACTCTCCGGCGTAAAGCAGCGCACAGGGCGAAAATGAGGGGTTGGTCTGGGTCGCAACCGGAATGACGAAAATCTTCTTTCTGTCCCGCGCGACCTGCGCGAACCCCGTCGAAGCAGCTAGAAGGCCTCGAGAGCGTAATATCGATGCGACGGAGCGAGACGGAGGAGCGAGCCCGTTGCGAGACGCAATCTCTTTCAGCCCGACAGCTGGGAGGGACCAGAAGGTGGTGGAAGAGGGGAGCGAGAGTCGCCGGCGAAATTGTCGACAGCTGAATCGGCCCGGACGCAAGTCAGAGAACCGGAGCAAACCGAGGGCAGCGCACGACCTGCAACGTCCAGAAAGTCCAACGGCGAGCGGCGCGGCAGCGATGCGAATAGTTCGAGCAGGAGAAATGACGATCGCCTCTGGGCGAGCCGTAACGAGAAGCTGTCAAACAGCGGGAGATTCGCTAGGTCTTCCACGGGTCGCCTCCAGGACCAAAGGTTCGCTTCGAGCAGCCACGCTTTAAAATTCGATCGAAGATGCTTCCCTTGATTAATCTTCCAGTCGCACCAAGGATATCAAATAGGGGGAAATAGCAGAGACGGGTGGAGAACTGGAGAGTTGAGCGCTCGCACCAAGGTTGAAAATGGGAGGCGGAGGGGGGAAGTGAACAAGCGAGAAGCGAAAGTAATCTTTTTTTCTTTTTTTTTTCCCTGGTCGGGGATCAGGGAAGGTGAGGGGCCGCTGGTCACGGGCGGGCAGAGAGAGAGAGAGAGAACGCGCGAGAGTTCCAGACCCCCGACAAATCATGAGCTCATCTCTCCCATTCCCCGGCTTTGCCTTTCCTCCAGTTCTCTGTTCCTCTTTCTCTCGTTCTTCTCAATCGCTATGCTTTCTACGTTGCTAGCGAGTCGACTTCCTACCGATTGAGAATGATTCCTTCCAAATTTCAAATGATCCTCCAAAAGTACTACGACTCCAGTGACCACGTAATGACTTCGGGGATTGAGGAAGATGTGCAGCCTCACGGATCAGGAGAGGATCCGCCCGGCGCAGGAACTGGCGACCCAATCCCTCGGGTTCGCTAGTGTCGGATCTAGTGTTGGTCCGATACAGGTCCATACCTAGCACCTCTGCGTACTGAGCACAGTGGTGACGCTTGCGATCCGATGCAACGAGGTTCTCCGTTTTCGTCAGACCGTTTGCGGCATCGATGCCTTCGCTGCCCATCACCCACCGAATCAAGTGTCAGGAGGTGTCTCTATTTATATCCCTGTCTTCATCGACAGTCAAGGCGAGTCGAGATACGTGACACATAATACGTGATACGTCGGATGGTCAACCAACGATCGGCACTTCCTCTTGGCGACCACTGTGGATATCTAGACACTCCCCCCCTCTCTTCTCTCTCTTTCTCGTATGAACCCCCCTTTTCTCCGTTCCCAAAGACGGGCGATCCGATTTCAAAAGCACCTTGGTCCATCACCGGCCCGTCGTCTGCCGGATCCGTGGATGTATTCTGACTGGATTGCCCAAGGATGAGCACGGATTAGAATGTCTTCGCCTCGCGCCGTTTGAAACCCATCTTTCGTGTCCGGTTCCTTTGTCCAGCAATAGACCCTAAGCAATAACAAATGATCTCTCAATTAGCATCTATACATCAACGCTGCGCAAGCTCATCTTGGACTACACGGAAGGCAAGGTTTCTGAGGAGCCCTAAGCTGTTCACGCGGGACCCCTTATCAAGAAGCAACTGTCATAAGCTAAATGATGCTACCTGTAAGGAGTAATCATCATCATCATAACATCTCATCCCACCCCAAGAAAGAAAGATCTCGCAACCCACTACGCGGCTTTGCTAAAACGAATGCGTAATTTAATACCTTCGGGGGCACAGCAAATAAGCATAAACGAGGAAGTAGTTGTCGCTGGTCGATTCTTTGGGCGAGATGTTCAGCCGGGTGCTCTTCTCGAGCCATCGTTGAGGTCGCAACAGCTCGAAGGTTGTGCCAGGGGATACTTATCGACTCCGTGCACTAGGATGAACGATGCATTGCGTCGAGGCACAACAGGTCGAGAACACGTCGGCATCTCTTCATTTTGAGGTAGTCGGAGATATTATCCAATTTTGGGTCGGGAGTGCCATGATCTCATTCTCGTCGTTAACTGCCCACGGCGTACGGCGGAGTCGCTCGGCCTTGAATCTCCCCGAGGCTTGGCTCGTTCATCGCCAGTACAGAGGGACAATATGTGAGCGAGAGAAAATTAGATTAAACGTTGCATCGCTTGTCTTGGTCGTTGGCTCCGAACCATCTCCAGGGCGCTTTACCCGGGGGAAAGCGGCATGCGACTCCCGGCAAAGAGGCGGGGGCCCGGAATCCTGGTAACTACCAGCAGTGGCTCTTTCTAGGCGTATATGCCATCTTGTCGACGGTGACGGGGGGGCGCTAAAAAATGACAAGCCTCTCGCCCGGTGTTTACTTAACACTCAAATCGCCGTGATGCAGCATCGCGTGCCAAATTTATTATAAGTTCATGATGAATGGGATCTTTCAGCCCTTCAGGACCGGCCCGAGGGAGTAGAGCGTGAGCTAAGACAGTCCAGGAAGAACAACCATATTCAAAGCCGCATCGGAACACCCACCACGAATCCTGCGGCGGAGGGGGGGAGAGCACGGACTCTGGACTCCAGATGATCCAGATCAGACGGGGGAAACAGACAAACCACAAACAGGACAGGAAACATGATCCCGGCCATGGCGAACCCTTGCTCGGGTCCAGATCCCTAATTCGGCCCGGTCCATCGGACACGGACTGAATCCTTCGATGGCGCAGGTGCAGTTTCCAGCAAACCTCCTCGGCGTCCGGGTGGACAGTCGACGAGCACTGCATTTGCCCTTTGCGGTATATGGTGACGATGGGGCTCGCGAGCACTGCAAAGCACCGGAAGCCATCCCATCCCCGACCAGGGGGCAGGGGTTGGTTATTGATTAATCAATTCATGACTGTCCAGATGGGGGCCGGGGAGACAGGCTGATTTCGAAATTTTCGCACCATTTTCACTCCTTCTAGAATAGTGGGATTCGAGCTGGTTCCGGGTTCTAGGTTCTTGGTACTCCAGACTCCAGAGTAACCCGGAGAATAGGAGGATTGGGATTCAGGAGTTTAGGACGGGCACTCACAGGGAGAGAAGAGGGAAGGGGGGGAGGAAAGGTGGGCAAAGTGGTGTGCGCTTCGACACAAAAGGCAGTCCAAGCAAATAAACCCACGCGGGTCGAGACGAGATTAATATTATTATTATTATAATATAATTACTTACTTACGCAGTACTTACTAGGTAGTATCCTGGTAATCAAACTGCATGGCCCCCAACCACCCCCGCCGGCCAGGTTTCACGGCAAGGATCTTCTGCTCCATGAATCGTACGCAGTACATACTACTCCGTACGTCTTCCACGGAGCAGACTAGTACGAAGTATAGAGTCGTGGGTCTGCTCATTTCTCCATGGAGGAAATGAAGCGTGCAAACCAGGGAACCACACACTTCCTCCGGCCACATGGCTCGCTCCACTGATGAACATCACCAACTCTGCTGCGGCGGACGGAGGGCCTGGCAGAGACTGCGCGTCGACCCAGTTCGGGATATGCGCAGGGCACTAGTCGAGGACGAGTAAATAGCAAATACTAAAGACTACCTTACGGACTACTGCGTACTGCGTAGTGCGTAGGTACCTAGTCTAGTCTTTACTACCAGCCAACCCAAGACCTGATCTTGCCCCAAACGGCAAAAGCAGGGGTCCTTGACGCCGGGCCGCCTTCCCTCGCCGGGACTAGCGCCCTCGCAATGGCTCCGTTTGCCCCTCAAGGCTCTTGACTCTTGACTCTTGACTCTTAAGACTCCGTGTTATCGTCCTCCCTCCTTCCGAGAATGGATCCCCCGGTCGAGTCTGCATTTACTGATTTAGTCATGACGTTGAAGAACAAATGCTGTGCAGACCCACTCGAAGAGATGGAAAAAAAAAAAAAAAAAGCCCACGCATTCCAGCGCTGTCGGTTGGGAGGCTGACGGAGTTGCCCACTCGGGGAAGTAAACGGTCGAATCATCGCCAGCATGGAAAATACTGGACCCATGGATCAAAAACCCCCGCCGGCAAGAAACACGACAGACACCACGATATACTTTGTTTGACAGGACGCCAACCACCCGGAGCCCTGTCACTCTCCGCCTATTTAGCTACTTAGCCCGCTTCGCTCCAGCGTCGTGCTGGAGAACAAACTCCCCTCCGCCATTCGACGCCATCCCCTGAAATGCGACCAAGCTGGAAGACCCCGTCGCGAAGCGGGTGTTTGGAGTGCAGGGACCGGCGAATGAAGGTATAGTGTTTTCGTCGTTTCATCCCCCCCCCCCCCCCCCCCCGCGACTTTGGGGGCCTCGGTGCCTGATCGCGGCATACCCTAAAGTCCTCCTGTACGAGCTACTGAAGTACTCCGCAGCACCGACGGGGTTCGTCGTGATTAGCTTTGCTCGAATGCAGAGAGGACATCGTACATGCGTCGCCCCTCGCCGGGCTTCTCACTTGCATTCTTTGCTGACCATTTCCCTCCAGTGCACCCGGGAGCTACCTAAATGTTCTGGTTGCATCCGCCACAACATCTTATGCCAGTATCTGTCGTCCACGCCCTGGCAATCTCCTTCTCCCTCGCCTAGATCGTCGCCGTCGATTCCCGACTCGCTGTTCTTCGCTGAGACGACCGATGACCCCATGGCATCCTTCGCCCACCACTCGCTTCCTGAAGATCTCCATACCCGCGAGCTGGAGCTCATGATGCAATGGTGTACGGCGACCTACCGCACCATTGCCCGCAACGATGCCGTGGAATGGATCTGGCACGCCGTCGTTCCGCGCGAGGCAATGCGCTATCCGGCCCTGATGCACGGCATCCTAGCTCTCTCCGCGCTCCATCTGTCCTTCGCCAATGGCAGCAGCACGAAAGACGCCTATCTGCGACTGGCCCAGGCTCACCAGAGTCTGGCCGCCGTCGGCGTCACGACGAAGGCCGCCGGCAGTCCCAACCTGGCCGACTGCAACGCGACGTTTGCGCTCTCCAACCTCATGATCGTCTATTGCTTCGGGTGTGCCCGCATCATGGGGCCGGTCAAGGACACGCCTGTGCTGGACGAGCTCTGCCGAGTATTCCAGTGCGCGCAGGAGTCGGCCGACGTGCTGGCCGTGCTTGTCGACCGGGTCAGTCAGGGGGAGCTTCGTTTGCTGCTGGAATGTGACAATTCCCAGCCCAAGATGCCTGACACCTCGCGACTCGCCATCATGGCGCTGTCCCGGTTGAATGCCAGCCTGGCCGCTCGGGATTCTCACCATGAAAAGGCCATGTACGACGCCATCATCGACCACCTCGGTCACTCACTGGATAAGCTGGCGCGGGGGGGCGAGGTTATGGTCATTCTATTCCACTGGATCTTCAATCTGCCGTCGCGATTCTGTGATCTGCTCAAGGAGAACCATCCATTTGCCTTGGTCATCCTGGCCCACTACGCCGTCGTCATCCATTCTCTGAGGGGCAATTGGTGGATGGGCGACCTGGGCACGCGAGTCATCGAGCAAATCGGACGAAGTTTAGGGGCCGAATGGAGATCCTCGATCGACTGGGTGATAGACGCAACGGGCTGTTATATCCCTCCCCTATGAAGGCTCTGCCCGTCGGTCAACAATTCCACGCTTGACTGATCGAATCCAGCACCGTCAACCCCCGTCTCAACGCCGGTCGGCATGCCACCTCGAATGTGCGATGCCTCCGCCGGCCGGCGTGGCCCGAAAATGGCATTGCCATGCAGTAAAAATGGGTCCGTCCGACTATCCATTACTGGTAGCAACCGTTTCTCTCTTTCTACATCCCCGTCCCGAGTGTATCTACTGTGCGGTACGGCCGGCTTTCAAGAGCAACGGCGCTCTATCCTCTGCCGCGATCTACAGTCCGATCAAAGTCACATTGATCTGCACCCGGAGGAAACGCTTCCAACAAGGCGGGCGACGAGGTACCACCTCTCTTTTCTTTTCGGTCATGGGAAAAACAGCCTTGTACATAAGCCTACTATTTCTAGTGCCCGCAAAAAGTCTCTGGGTGTTTCGCGGAGATGCCCATGACTGATGATTAGTTAAATCACTTTTGGTTGCATGCTTCCTAATCATCAGCCCGGCTAGCTCAATCGGTAGAGCGTAAGACTGTACGATTCTCCAATGTTCACTTTTTCATTGTTCCCAGCTAACGTTCCCGAAGTCTACACCCACAGAAGTTTATCTTAAGGCTGCGGGTTCGACCCCCGCGTTGGGCTTTACTTTTTTTTTCTAGTTTCATCGCCCAATTATCTTTCTTAATTCACGGAGTGTACTTAGTTAATAATAATATATATATATGTTCTTATCACCACTAACGACTATCTACACAAGACATATTTGTATAATCAACAAATAGGCAATTAAAGGAAAGGCCATTACTATCTATATATCCACGAGAGTCTTTCTATAAGAAAGAAAACAATAACCGAGAGAGAGCTCAGAGACGGTTGGCTTGGTGTCAGCATCTTGCGGCAGTGTCAGATGATTCATTCCTGGAAATATTCCCTTTGTATGGCATTGTACTGAATACTCACCAAGATTTCATTCTCTAGAATATAAAAAATCGAGCGAACGTCAGAAGGGGTCGTAAACCAGTCCTCGTCATCATGCTTTGGTACCTCAACCGAGATAACCATTCATATATTTATCTGACCTACATAACGGAGCTGACTACCACCTACTGCAAAGTACTAAACTTCCAAATCAACATCATCCGGCGCCTTCTTCCGCAGGCCATTGGTTAGTTATGGGTATTGGTATTGATTATTAGAAATCCGACTGCATCATTAAAACATTACGGCAGAACATAAAAGAACAAGCCAGCCGCGCAGGAACAGACAAAATACTACAGCAGGCATCTCATCCAAAGAGATAGCCGGTATGTTAAAGCACCGCCAGCGGCACTTTGGCCCGTGAAACCAAGTACACTGGACCTTGGTGTTTCTCGTACCGCGACCCATCGAGAGATTCCTATCATTCCATCGGGAAACGAATGAATACGACATGCGCAATCCAGATCCAGATCATTGCAAGCCTTGGGCCAGTCGAGCCCGATCCACATTAGCTCGAAGAAGATTCGGCGCGCTTTTCACTGCCTTCGCGACGCTCGGGCTCCTTCAGGCGATCTCGGGATGCGGTACGAACGCGTCGCAATTGTTCCTCTTGCTCGCGCACCTTCTTTTCCTCCTCGGCGCTAGGGATGAATGCGTTGGCGGCACCGCCTAGTGGATCAAAGCAATTCGAGGTTAACGGAGAAACATTCGACACGGGCCATGCGGAACGAAGAACAAAGAAACATACCCCGTCCGGTGTGATGCGGAGCGTCTTCCACGCGCAAAGGTGGCGACTCCACGTCCTGCATCTCGCGCGCGAGCTCTGGGTGTTGCGGATCGTTGACCACCATGTTGCCCGATCCACCGCGACCGGTGGTAAAGACGTCTTGTTTGATCGTGGGGGTGACAAGGTCTTTGGGCGAGGTGCGGGTTTCGGCGGAGTAGATGTTGCCTGTCGACGAGTAGCTGTCAGCTTTGGGATTGACTGCGAGGCAGAGCAAAGACGGCTTTAGGCTCACCTGCGCCTCCGCGACCGTGCGAGATATTTCGAGAGCCTCCCATCTTCACGGGTGGAGGGGTATGCGATCGGACAATACACAGCGTTGTCAGGATGTGGGGGAAGACGGTCGCAGTGTGTACGGCGGACGTCGGAAAGCGAAGAGGCAACGGTGTTGAATGCGAGAGGACAGAACAAAGACGAGTCGTGGAGAAGGTAGGGAAAAAAAAACTTTTCGAGCTGGATCTCGTGAGGGAGGGCAGAGAATCTTGGGGCCAAGATTCGATCCGAGAAAGAAACGACGGCAGCTCGTTCGCTCTTGGCGCACGTTTGCGGCCGCTCACCTTCTGCTTTCTCTTTCTCCCATCCTCCCATCCTCCATCCCTCCCTTCCTCCCTTCAAGGCTGGATAGCCTCCCCGACTATCTGACTGCCCTACGCCGGACACACGAATGACTCGTTATCGGTGGGCTCCACCCTGGGAAACAAATCTTTTCTGGTCTCCGCAGGTCCCCGTTTGGTGGACCCATGGCGACGGATCGATTCTACGCCGGCACAACTACGGAATAGTCCCATCGGACGAGGAACGGAGCCATGGAGAATATAACAATAGCATTCATGTCACACGTGCCGCAGCAATTCTACGAAAGTTGCTGAGCCTTCATTCAACCATCCTTGTTGTTCCTTCGTAAAGTCATCGCAAATTAGTCACGCCGGGGCCTGGATATCGGCGGTATTTATTGAAACCAGAAAGCCTCCGTCACACCATCGAGGGGCAACCCTTGGCTGTACGCTCTTTCAAACTCCATACTCCATACGCCATGTGCGCCGCGCACCGCGTATTCGCCTTTCCATTTCTTTTTGTCTTCCTTATAGGAGGCGGCACCGACATGTTGCATCAGAGGGGGAGAGATGGCCAGGCGATCGTAGAATTGCTCGTTCCCCAGTCTTTCAATCACGGTATCCACCGCTTTGGGTTGTCGCGCGTCCTCCATTTCCTCTAGCCGGTCTATGAGGTCCGGAATCGGAGCTCGGGGGAAGACGAGCGCCTGCGAGCAGCAGCCGTTGCGGTTCATCAAATGGATGCCGGGTTTCATGGGGCGCATGGTCACTCGGCCCGACATGAAGTACAGGCCGATCATGAGTGGCACGCAGACAAAGCAAATGACGGCCAGGAACTGGTTCGATAGGAGATGCTGCGACGCTCGAGTCTTTCTTCTCACATATAGGCCCATGGAGGCGACGAGAGAAACGACGGCCACGCTCCAACCTAGATAACTGAGCCAGTGTTCAGAGTTCCACCCGAGGAATTTTTCCGTGTAGAAAAGTCGCAGGTACAGCCAGTCGTTGAGCAGACCGGCCCGCTTCCACTCGTCGATTCTCCGAATACTCTCCATTGTCTGGCTGTACCATGATTGGTGGGCCAGCACGTCATCTTCTAGCATCATAAGCCATTTAGCATCTGTGTCTTCGTAGCACGACTGGAGCGACAGCCGATAATCGATGAGAGACTTTTTCTTGATGTTCCCGGTCTTTTCCAGACGCCGCAGTGTCTTTTGTTGCTTGCCGAAATCCTCGTACGTGAGAATGCGGTCGACGGCATTGGGAACCCAAGGCTGTTGATAATCGGGGTGGTCGGTCGTGTTGGTGAGCGCGAATAAAACCTGGACGGCAAGTGTAGAGCGCTGATCCGGCGTCAGGTGGTCAAGGATCGAGCCGATCGTGGTGTCGAGGTTCTGCTGCAGGGGCCGCTTCACCGTCACGATGCCGACACAGACGTCGACATTGCGAATGGGGGCGCTTCGATTTCTGGCGGGCAGCGCTGACAGTTCGGCCGACTGGTTTAACGTGGACAGAAAGCGGAGCGAGTCCTCGATACGCTGCAGGCTGTACTGAGGGCGATAGCCCACCTTGGGTTGGAAGAAAGCCGAGCCGGGGTCTCGAGCGGAGTTAAAGCGGCAGAGGATAAGGAGGAGGAGATAAAGGAGGGAGAAGGAGGCTAAGGACAACCTTTGCTTCTTATTGAGGAACCCCATCTGGCCAAGGGCATAGTGGAAGAGTTGACGACGATGGCGAAGAAGAAGGGGAAGAAGTAGGTAGAGATAAGAAGATGCGATGCGCAGCGGCGGGGCGGGAGGACCAGGGACGAGGGACTTGGGGAGAATTTCGCTGTGAAAGAATCATCGTATATTATTATCAGCAGCATATTAATAGCAGTGTTCACCGGCCCGTAGCTCAAAGTCAAGCCTCGGACTAGACCCTGACGGGCAATTTCTGCTGCCCACGCATCGTAATAACGGGGACCAGTCCTGCCCCTTCGGGTCTAGACCGCGCGGCCGGTGGCACAATCAAGCACCGGCGGTGGGGCGCCCGGCAGCCCTGGCCCGTATCAAGCTTTGCTAATTGGTCCACCCAGCCCGCCCGGGCCCGGCCATTGGCCGGGTTTCATGCTTCTGGCACACCCATGGATGCCTCATAGGGTGATCAATCGCCCGGGAGGCTCGTACTCCGGAGTACCTCAGGCACCGACCTCCCCGTTACTACCACCGGATCAGTATACCTTATCTTGTGTCGGGTCTCGAATGATCCCGAGCATGGATACTCAGAGAGGCTGATCATCGTGGAATCGGAACATCAATCATCAATTGCGTACGTTGTTTTCAAGGGTTAAAGAAGGGGGATAAAAACAGGGGAAAATAAAAATTAAAAAAAAAGAAGAAGAAGAAGACAAGGAAACAATAACCGGAATGCTTCGTACTCGGCCATATAACTTGCCTCAAGCCAGAATGCCGCTTAACCGCCCTGCCTTTTCTCCGCAGCTTGCGGGGTTAGCCGCACTACCGAGGTTCCTCCACCCCGGGGAATGAATACTGAATAGCCATATCAACCATCCTTCCCCTCACGTACCTGGATTGCCTGCCAGACAGCATTGAGCATCGAGCATTAAATCCGACTTGAGTACGAGAGCAACTGGGTCACGCCATAATGCCTCCAATCCCTTCTTCTATCATGATACCCACATCCTATGAATCTCTACCCACAACTCACATCAAGCTTTCGCATCATCCTGCTGGAAGCGCCTCCGCAACTCCCGTTGTAATCGTCACCCTGAACCGCCCGGACAAGGGCAATGCTTTCACACCACAAATGGCGGAAGGCCTAGAGAGGGTATTTGCCACGTTTGATCTCGACGAATGTGTCAAGACGGTGGTATTGACCGGCGCTGGGACCTTTTTCTGTGCCGGCGCAGACCTCGACATCGGCTTTCGTAGAGGGCCAGAAAGAGCTAGCGATCATCGAGATAGGTATATTGGACTTGACCCACGGAGCGTGGACCGAAGAGGACCATGAGTAATAACCAAGCCTATCTAGTGGCGGTCGAGTTGCTTTAGCTATTCACAGATGTCGCAAACCAACCATCGCCGCTATGCAAGGGTCGGCGGTCGGCGTTGGGATGACCATGACCTTACCAGCCGTCATCAGGTACCTTGTCCTCCTCGTAGGAAGGATTTTGTGATGCCGCTAATTTCGGTGCCCCCCGCAGAATCGCCCACGAGAAAAGCAAGTACGGTTTTGTTTTCGCCCGGCGCGGAATCACCATGGAGTCTTGTTCCTCCTACTTCCTCCCTCGTTTAATAGGATACTCTCGAGCCCTTTACCTCGTCTCCACCGGCGGGGTGTTTCCTTCCACGTCCCCTCACTTCAATGGGCTGTTTGCCGAGTCATTGCCCGAGCAAGCGCAAATCCTACCACGCGCACTGGAGTTGGCAGCTGAGATAGCAGAGAACGTCAGCCCCATGGCTTCGGCTCTCAACCGCGCCTTGGTGTGGCGTGGGCCGGAATCGGCTGAAGAAGCGCACTTGTTAGAATCCAACATCATATGGCACATGTTTGGCTCCAAGTATGTCACCCGTTCTGTCTTCTCTAGGCCTGCAGTTGCCGAGACTGACGCTCTTCCAGAGATCAAGAGGAGGGCGTGAAGGCCTTCTTTGAAAAACGAAAACCCGATTTCAAAGCTACATTGGAGGAACATGGACCGGCAAATTATCCGTGGTGGTATGAGGTGCACATCGACACGAAACCGAGGGCTGCGAGGGAGCCGTCTAAATTGTAGATCCCATCGTCTGGTCTTCATTGCCGGAGGGAAGCGTCTCTCTCCGCCAAATCGTTCATTTTTCATTCGGCAATTCACGTGCAGTCGCTGAGGTAGTACACATAAATACTCATACAAGAAAAATATACCAGCAATGGAAAAGCAGATAAGAGAATGAAGTTTGTTATACCAGGGATGATATACGCAGGTTAAAGTAGACCCTATCATCGACCACAACCCAATGTAACCCTGGCCTTTAGAGGATGAAGCTCCGTCTCTTGCGGTTGTATGCCCTTTGATCCTTCAGCCATTGCCGGTATCCTTGCACGCTGCCGATCTTCTCTCCGTAGTAGTCGGGAACTGGGTTTGCGATCGAGTTTGACGAAGGGTCGACACGGAACCGCTTGATCCGGTCGAAGAACTCTTTCTCTTTCTATTGAGTCATGGACGTCAGTAACCGGTATGCCCCACGAGGACCGACGAGACTTACCACAGCAACCGCTGTTCTGTACCTCCGGTAGACCAACCCCCAGACCGCATTCCCCAGGAAGGGGCCGATGAGCCAACCCGCCGCACCACATGCGGCCGTTGCCATTCCTAAGACAACGAAGGGGTCCAAGCCCATCACCTGCGCCCCCATGTGTTCCAAGTCTTGCGTCGAAAGAACCTGGACGCCGATGACCGTGCTTGCCATGGACGAAACAATCGAGGAGGCAAGGGAGTATCTTCGTCGCGAAGCGCGGAGCTTGAAGAACGAATTCCAATCTAGCTTGGAGGCCTCATGCCGAGATGCATCCGAGATTGTGGAGTTGGCTCGCAAGGAGGCGGTGCGATAGATAGTCAAAGAAGAGGGGATTTGGGGCCGAGCGGATGTCTTCAAGGTGTTGGTGCTGGTTTGAAGGGCCTTGATATGAGCTGCTGATGTACTAGCGGAGCGTGCTTGAGAGGGCACGGAGGTGACGTGATACAGCGCGGTTGATCCAGTAGGACAGGTGAAAGGTGCTAGAACGGACGAGGGGAAACGAACACCCAGTGCAGAGCTGCGTGCCGGAGCACCGAGCGAGGCGAGATGCATTGCGAGTGAAGACGGGGGTTGAATTGTAGGTGGTAAGTCGCCAAAAGGTTGCGGGTTTGCTGAGGTTGAACCGCCAGCCCGGGAGGAGCTACGTCCGGATTATGTAAGCACTAGTGGGTCACGAGCATCTCCGAGTGAGGTCATTCGCCATTCTCCCTCTTCCCCTGCTTTCTACGTCGTTCATGCGCTTCGTCCTACCACCAGAACGACCGTAGACTCGTTGGTCGACCATAAGGGAGACTGCACTGGCCAGTATTATAACCCAAAGCACCAGGCATAGGCTCGTCATGCTACGTTCCCAATATCATAAACTTTTGCCGGTTTGGACAGCATGATCTTGACCGTAGGCATTCCGTTCTCCTCCTTTGCCCTGGGAAATGTGAGAAAAATAGTCTATAATGGTCTATCCTCGCTTGCCGGGCTATGGATTTCTCTCCTCCCGGCTGCTTCCAACCTCCTACCGGCGCACTCCCAAGGGAGTCAATATCTAGGAAAATTCACAATATGGTGGCCAAGTCTGTAGCGCCTGAATTGAGCAGGGCATCTATATGATATCTATCGAAAATAGAGGGGTAAGTACGGGATAGACCTGTCTATAAATCAACGGCCCTTTTCATGGCCCGGATGCCTTTAAGCAGTTCACGCGGCCATAGAGCCACTTGAGCGTTGCGGTACTGAGAGCCATCACCGCGGCACTTAACACAAAGAGTCCCACGCGACCCTCAAATGGCACTTGCTCGAAGATGGGATACGGATACCTGATCAGTCGGTGAGCCACTGGTGCGTAGAAGCTACATTGGAGAAGCGGCCACTTACCATCCATTATGAGCAAAGCAATGTTCAATCCAAATCCAGTAACCAAAGGCAATCGTGCTGGACAAGCCCAAGGCTGGTACGATGGTGATGGTCCATGGGGGGGACAGTAGTAAGAGGTCGATCAAGAGAACGATGGAAGGAACCGCGTGAAAGCTCACGTCTTGAGTTTAGGCTTGACGTCAGGATTGGGCTGTTAGGGCTCTGGAGGGATTAGGCTTACCAGCATGTAAAGGAATGACGGCCCAGGTAGGAATCACCAGACGTTCATCGATCTACTCAGCGGTCAACACACCCGTCTAAAAAGCTCAATCAGGATCGTCAAAGTGGCGGCTGCTCACGAGGCGAAGACTCCAATACAGAATGCTGATGAGAACTTCCATGGGAGCGCTGCACATGGAAAAAAGGTTCTTGACCAGGAACAGCCGAGCTGACAACGTCACATCCGCCATCAAACCAACGGCGAAGGTAAGAGTCGACAGGGCCAATCCAATAACCGTCAGGTACTGGAAGTGCCACCCGTACGCTTCATTGCTGGCAGGTCGTCAATATTTCGAGAAATCTCCACCACGAGATCAAGACAGCTTACGCGCGATTAGGATTGTCATGCATACTGGGATCGAATAGTTATTAGTCTACGGTGGCATGACCCGGGCAGGTGATGACAACACCTACAATTTGAAGGACCAGATAAAACTGCTTAGACCAACGAGCTGGAAAGGTTACGGAGTCAGTCACGAAGCAAACGAGCTCCGATGGCGAGCCAGTGACAAGTGACGTACATGGACCAAGGCCGACAAGCCTCTCGAAGGACTGGGGACTCGCTGCAGGGGATGCCTCCTGACGAGGGAGTGAGGGACAGCCATGGCTCAGCGGGGATCAGAACTGCAAGACAGGAGGAGGACGCGAACGAGCAGGCCAGTCTGGAGAGGTGGTGGTGATTGCAATGAAGGTATCACCAGGTCTTCCGCGGCCTCCGAGCGGCCGGAACAACTGCGGGGCCGACGGGCCGGTGGCTGACATAAGCGCTCCACACGTGGACGGCGATTGAGCGAGACGGCCGAATCGGGCGCTAGCGTTATCGCGGTTGTTATCGACTGGCCCGCCGTCTCCGCTTCGGCGGGACTTAAGTAGGTACTAGAAGATGTCCTTCTTCCTATCCATCCATCTACTCGTCCATCGTCACTCCATCCCGGAAGCCAAATAGGTCCTCCCCTCGGCGGTTCCCGTTTGCCCACCCGGTACCGATGAATCTCCCTGGTTCTGCTCCGCTCTCTTCATAACCGAACGTTAATGTATCTAGTATAGGTCCTTGTTTACGCCAGTACGAACGGCCACCGCACACCGTTTGCCTACACGTAGGTCTGGAATCGTCCAAACTGTTTCCCGCGTGGATCCACACCTCGATGAGCGCGAATACCAAGTGTGGGTGCCTCGTCGATTATCGCTTTCTCTCTTCTTGGGTCAAACCCTCAACCCGCCGGAAAAGGCCGTCAGCCCGCTGAGAAGGATTGGCCAATCTCGTAAAAATCGACTGGATTCCGTCTGCATGGCGATCTTGCACTGTCCAATCCATCGGAACTCCTCCATGTTCCGAGTCGGTGACTCGTCCTATCGCTACATCTGTTTTTCATCGTCCTTGTATCTGGCCAATCCACTCTGAGTTTCCATGCCTCGCCCTCGTCGGCCAGGTGCTCCTGAGCCCAAACGTAGGTCCCGCAAAGGGTGCTGGTGAGTCTTTCTTTGGCCCAATAACCAACCGATTCAACTCAGAGGCTGATTCGGATCTAGGCCCTGTAAAGCACGCAAAGTGAAATGGTCTGTGACCGCCCTCTCAACCACTTCCGCAATTTACTAATGTCTACTTGCAGTGGAGAAGAAAAACCGGTCTGCCTGAATTGTCGGCGCCAGAATGAACAATGTGACTACAGCATTCGGTTAAACTGGGGAGGGAGGACAAAAAGAAGCCTTTCAGTGGATTCTCCAAGCTCTCAATCCAGTGCTCAGTCCGCCCAATTCTTCTTCGCTCTCTCGCCCGCAGATGCCCAACTGGACTCTAATGATGCCATTCCGCTCGTTGATCCCTTGAATGTCGCAGATGGGAATAGTGTACAAGACCAAGACATGGATAATCTGCTCTGGGGACCTGAACTTGTGCAAGAGACGACGGCGGAGACATCTTTTCCTAGAGGGTTACATGGTATCCAAGAATCCCCGGTTGTCCATGAACAGTCATCTAGGGCCCCTCATCGTACGGATGACAAGACACCAGTAGAGCTAAGTTCCTCGTCCCCGGGTAAAAATGTCGCTGCTTCCTGGCAGGCCATGTGCCAGGCCCCCTTGTCCAACGAGATAATCCCCGGGCATCAGTCGTCTTTTGCACCGTCCATGGACGCCGAGCCTTATACATCTCCCGCAGACACAGGCCCAAGCATCGGTTCTTTAGCCATTCTAAACTGGTCCCCTGCCACAGTATCGCAGCCAATCTCTTTTCTTCGGCAGTCCGCCGACATACCGGAACCATCTATATGTCAGTCACCAGTCGATCGTGACAAACACAGACTTGCCAACAGGTGTGATGGTCATACACGGGACTTTCCCAACGCAGATGTGACTGATAGCTCACCCAGTTACAGCAATCAAAGTTCATCTAACCTTGAGTTTCTCTCGCCACATTCAAGGAAACAAGATTGTCTCCCGCCATCTACTTCAACCCAAAGGGACTCGACCTTACCGGCTAACACGCCTGCGTCTACAGAAGATCTCTTTGCTACAACAATGGATGCGCCACCCTATACTCCCCACAGCAGGGTTAGCCAGGGATCAAATGCGCCTAGTGGCTCTACTTCCTCTGAAAGGAAGTGGCATATCTATTTGACGAGCGTCACGGATAACTATGGACTAGACTGCGGCCGTCCCGATCTGGATTTAAACCAAAATGATGATCACTCGGCAATTGACATCAATTATGCACTAAGCTTGGTGAATCCCCAGAATGAATCTCCTTCCGACACGAGTGTTTCTGGCTCGTCAGAGAAAGATGCTCAACCAGCATGTTTGAAATGCACTAGCTATGCCTACTATGAATTGCCTGTCCCGATCAACATTCCCCGGTACCTGTCTCCTCTCCCAGTCACTTTAGTGCAAACCCCCGTCAACCTGATGTACTTCCACCATTTTCTCAACCACACTGCCAGGATGTTGGTCCCTCACGACTGTGGCAACAACCCCTTCATAACTGTCTTACCAAGTAGTGAGTTTCATCTCCCCGGTCTGTATTTCAATATATGCTGACCAGCCAGTGGCGATCGGCGACTCCAACCTTTTGAATCTGATGCTAGCGTACTCTGCCAGCCATCGTGCTAGATACTTGAAACATCCAGAACCCGCCAACAGGATTGCACACTGGGTTAGCAACGTCTTTCCCGCACTGCGCCTTGCGCTGGAAGATGCTCACAAGAAGACCACGGACAACCACCTCGCCGCGGCCATAATGTTGCTTTCCTTGAAGATTGTATCCCCTAGCACATTCGAAGTACCCATTCCTTGGCAAAGCCATCTCAAACTGGCTCGTGACCTCTTTCTAGCACGTAAAGAGCAGATGGTATACCCTGGAAATCGGGTCGGCGCGTTTCTTACTCGCTGGCTAGGGTATATCGATATCATGGGCACTTTGTCCTGCCGCCACAGCGAGCCTCCATTGCTTGCATATTTCTCCTCGTTGAATACATGCTGCACTGGCGAAAAGTACGACGAATACTGTGTGGACTGTTTCACAGGTTTTACGCCTCGCACCGGTCTATTTCTGATGCGCCTTGGCCAGCTAGTGCATCAATGCGATAATGAGCAGTTTGACGGGGTCGGCACTTTTGTCTCCGAGTGGACGCCTTCAGCCGATACAATCTTTGAGGCGCAAGCTCTGCTCGCCGATCTCGAGGTACTTAACATGCACGCGCATGCTAATGGGAGGCATTTCAAAGATTCGATGTCTACGGACATTGTAGCTATGGACCAGGCTTTCCGCTACGCAGGGTTGGTCCATCTTCAACGCCGGGTCCTCGGCATCTCTTCATCTTCACCAGCGCTGAAGAGGGCCCTTGACAAGCTTTTTGAATCCTTGGCTCAGATTCGCTCGGGGTCATCTGCCGAGGTTGGCGCCGTTTTCCCACTGTTCACTGCCGGGTGTGAGTCTCAAGGCATTGAGCAGCGGACAGAGATTCAATCTCGATTCGAGCTTCTGGAAAGTACGGGGTTAAAGCAGGTGAGCAATGCGACGGATGAATTTACAGCTCTTGAATGACTAACCCGAGCTAGATCCAAAATGCTCGCACGTTAATGCAACGGTGCTGGAAGGAGGACCGGCCATGGATTACTCTGACCCAAGGAGAATTCCTGGGGTGATTCAACAAGTCATTCGCTCCTGTCTGCGTTTTGAGGCGTTCTTTTCTGGCAAATTGCAGTTGGTTCTTTCGTGAGACACTTGACGGGTTCTACGGATACAGTGCCAAAAACACATAAGACTACCATGCATGCATCGTGCAGCAAAGGCGCAGCGGTTGCTTTAGTCAATTAACTTCGTGCTTTCTTTTGTTATTTCTTCAACGGCAAACAGTCGCAAATGACTCTCTGTAGGGGCTTGAGTCTCAACAGGATTCTCTGCACCTCTAATCTAAGACACAACGACCCGTAATCCGAAACATTACTGTAGGATCAAACGGTTCTCTTGGATTTGGAGCCTTCTAATTGTTTCTTTCTCCACTGAGCGGCCCATGCCAAAGCCTACTGGCAAACGAACATTGGAGTCAACTTCGTCCTACCAGGCTGATCCTCCGTTTGCTAAGATCCACTTCAACGCCAGTTCATGCGGAGGTCACCTTCATTGCCCTCTCGCCAGCTCTTACCATTCCATCACATCAACTTGTTTTCTCGGTCACTCGGGTTGTTACAGCCCACCTGTGCAGGTCCAGCTCCAAGTGCCAGAATACGTGCCTCATCGGTCAAGTTAGTCCTATACAAGCCCACGGCCAAGCACCACGTATCTCCCGGGTTCCGTCTCCAGACTCATTCAACCCAGTCATTGTTCAGAAAGGCCAATCCAGTAATCTCAGAGTTGTTTCACGTCTCGCTCTTGCATGCAGCCGGCTTGGTCCTAAAGTTTCCAACGAAACGTCGCCCAACATGGCGGGGCGTAATATAACCCCCGACAGTAATTTTGGCATTTTTTACGGCCTGCTGGTCCTTCTTCTTCTCCTTCCACCTCTTGTCATTTGTATCCTCTACCTGTCATCGCGTGTTGACATTCACCTCATCAGCATGGATGCCTCAAGGGCATCCGAGCCTGATGACCACGTCAACAGCAGCGGTAGCATCCACTCCAGTGCAGACGAGGCGCCTCCTTCTCCCACATCACTCCCCCTCTCCAACATCTTGGACAGTTCTCTGGACGATATTCACATCCCCATTCTCCAACCCGTCCTTGTCCGCCCCGACGCCAGAGTCGTGGAGGTTCGCGTCAGCATCCCTCCGTTGGCACTGCTAGACGATGCTCTAGAAGACTTGGGCACACCAGCATTGGAGCCTCAACGAGTGAGTTCTACACCCGTACGTGTCTCTCCAACACAATCAACTCCACTGAATTGGCTAACGCGATTTCGCTTTTGCTCGGAAAGGCCATAGTCAAGCTGAAGGACAGCAAGGGCGCCAAAGTCATTCCGTGGGATGGGACAATCCACTGGGCGCTCAAAGGCTGCAGCATCTTTGAGAATTCAGACGAGGAGTTGAACGCACTCACCTACCGACCCAACCTGCTTTCACAACAGCCGATTCACGAGGTCTGGATATTTCAGTATGGCATGCGGTACATTGCCTCCACCCAGGAGAAGAACTGTTATCGCACCGTTCGCATTGAAGGCCTTCCAGCCGACATGCAACTCAAGCAGATCCTGCCCAGCATCTCCGGGGAAATCTATTGTGCTCGTTTGGTGGATACCCGGTCGATAATCGGATCCAACACGGCCATCGTCACGTTCGTTTTGCAAATCGACGCCGTGCGCCTCATCCAGAGCTCAAAGAATGGGTTGGACCTAGGTCTTGTTTTGGCCAAGGTTGTCCCGGTGAACACTCCGACTTATCCCATGCCCGTGGAGATGGAGAAAAAGGTGTTTGAGAAGAACTACACGCGCTGCCTATGTGTGTACGGTGCTTGTGGCTTTCTGAGGGACACTATCTCGCGCGTTCTTATGAAATCCCGCCATGCCAATGCGCTCGAAAGTATTGAAGAGGGCCACCAGGCGGGCGAGGTTTACGTGCGGTTCCACTCGATCAAAACGGCGGCAGTGGCATGTGAGCTTCTGAAGGGACACCCCGGTCTGTTCCAGTGTCAATTTCGATTCCTAAAGCAGTCCTGTGCTCAGCCTCGACAGCCCGCCATGAAGGCACCGCCACCTGAACAGTCAGAGAGACGTGCCTGCGTCGGAATCTGGGATTAAGGCCGGTTACGTTTGGGGTTGATGTCCTCGGTTTGCGCGATCCGTTGTGTTTCTTTTGAATGTGGTTGTTGGACCAACGGGGCAGGCTGCATGTATTTAAATCGGGAGATTTACTGGTGGTAGTGATCAAACCACGCGTTGTTGCGAGATCTTCATGAACAAATAAAGGGGTTAAAATTAAAAAGCAAAGGAAAGAAAAAGCATCGTACGGAGTAAGTGGAAGAAGGAACAGAAAGAGAGAAAAGAGAGAAAAAAGAAAAAAGAAATCTCCCCGACTGGGAGTCGAACCCAGGTCTCCCGCGCTTGTTCTCTGAATGAGTGACAAGCGGAAATCATGACCGTTAGACCATCGAGGATTTGTTGAGAACGGAGCCTCGATTCATGTTACAAGAGCCTACAAACCCAGGCCCGGCCATCAAACACATCACCACCCCGCGGGGAACAGGCTTGGCACCCCCAATGGGGTCGACGCAATGTCAATCACTTGCCGTTTTCTACAGCGCCATCATCACCACCCCGGCCTCTTCGTGGTACATTCGTGGTGTTGCGCCAACGATCTGCTCGTGCTTTACCCCGAAACGGCAGTTCTCCTCACTATTCCCTGCCTTTCTGTTGGCTCGTCTAACTATCTGCCGCTTACCCCGGCCCTGAGGATGAGGATGAGGAGGATGACGGTGTCCCTCATAACCGACCGCGGACTCCCATAAATTTCATCCGTTGCCCATCCCCAAGTGCCCATCTTTGTGTCATCCGAATTGTCGATCAATCCTCATCCAGTGCCCACCATCATGGCAGACGAGAAACCGGCCGCCGAGAGCCTATCGAAGCCCTCCGATATGGAGAAAACCTCCGAGTCGCATGAATTTCCCCCCAAAACCAGGCTCGATCTCTTTGAAGACCCAGACGAGGGACTGAGTGAGGAAGAGAAGGCCAAGATCGTGAGTCCCGTGGGTCGCATTCTCCGAAGACCGCGATAATGCTGATTCACCCGCCAGGATCGGGCCTTACTGTGGAAGCTCGACCTGCGACTGATCCCGTGGCTCAGCCTGCTTTACCTCATCTCATTCTTGGATAGGTGATTTTGTCCGACTGGTACCCTCCGTGATTCTTTTCTGTCGCTGACGCCTCGCCGTCAGAACCAACATTGGAAATGCGAAGCTTGCAGGTCTCCAGGAGGACCTAAATATGTCAAACAACCAGTACAATGCCGCGCTGACCATCTTTTTTGTTTCGTATTCCGTCTTTGAGCCTTTGACCAATGTTTTGCTCAAGCGAATGCGACCCAGTATTTTCATTCCCATCATCATGGTTCTTTGGGTGAGTGTATTCTTGGAGATGTTTCGCTGGACTCCGCGGATGCTAACCACCGGTGTCAATCGTGCAGGGGATCTGCATGACATGCATGGGACTGGTGCATAATTACGCCGGGCTCATGGCAGTACGTAATGCCCGACCCCTTATCTCTCCGACGATGCAAAACTCGGGGCTACTTGCCCTGGCGCTTTCAAACGCCCGCTTCTAACGCATGGCATAGGTGCGATGGTTCCTGGGATTGACGGAGGCCGGACTTTTCCCAGGTGTCGGATACTTCTTGTCGTGCTGGTACAAAAGATCCGAGTTTGGCGTTCGCATGGCCATCTTCTTCTCCGCTGCCGCTCTTGCAGGATCGTTTGGAGGCCTTCTGGCGGCAGCCATTGCTCTGATGGATGGAATCGGGGGGAAGGCCGGCTGGTCCTGGATTTTTATCCTCGAAGGACTTGCCACGATCATCGTGGGGGTGCTTTCGTTCTGGATGGTCTATGACTTCCCCGACGAAGCCAAGTTTCTCTCGGAGACGGATCGCAAGCGGGTGCTGCGCCGGCTGGCAGCCGACCAACAGGCAAGTGCAGAACACGAGCAATTCAAGATGGCGTATTTCTGGAATTCCCTGAAGGATTGGAAAACGTACACGGGCGCCGTCATCTACATGGGCGCGGACGCATGTTTATATGCCTTCTCGCTGTTCGTTCCCACGATCATCAACGAGCTAGTAAGTTATCGCACCAGAACAGATCACCGTAGCAAGATAAATTGACCGAGTTTAGGGTATGGCATTGGCGCAGTATCTAGACCGCAGCCTGAAGTGGTCCGCTAACCGGAAGTAGGGTATAAAGCAATCCACGCTCAGCTGCTCAGTGTGCCTCCGTATGCTGCAGCTGCCGTCGTGACGGTTGCCGTCGGGTTCATTGCCGATCGGACACGCCAACGTGGGATCTCTAATATGCTGGTGTCGATCCTGGGCATTGTTGGTTTCTGCATGCTGATCGGGGCCTCGTCGCCGGGAGCGCGCTACGCAGGCACGTTCCTAGGCGCAATGGGCATCTACCCAGCCATTTCCAATACCATTTCTTGGACCAGTAACAACACCGAAGGTGAGGCGTGATCCCATGGAGGAGTCCCGGGCGGCGATGGTCCAGGGCTGACAGTCAACCCCGCGAGCAGGAGTCTACAAGCGAGGAGTTACTCTCGGTATTGTCATCGGTTGGGGCAACCTGAACGGCATCGTCTCGTCCAACATCTACCGGGGCGAAGACGGGCCCAAGTTCTATCCGGGGCACGGCACGGTACTTGGGTATCTGGTGCTTTTCTTGTTCGGTGGGTCATTGGTACAGTATATTTTACTGCGACGGGAGAATGCAAAGCGACGGCGTGGGGATCGGGACCATTGGGTAGAGGGACTGAACCAAAACGAGATCGAGCTCCTGGGAGACAAGAGACCGGACTTCATTTATACGCTGTGAGGCAGGCGCATGCGCGGTCGACGGGCGGGGTCTTTTATAGCGAGAGGATTCAAGCTGACGATCAGGGTTCTCCGCGCGAGTGCGGGACAAATATAGAGCTAGGGACATTGATGGCAACTGTTCTTGGGTGACAATTCCTCGTCGACGTGATTCATAGACTCGTAACATATCTATCCACATAGACCCAGCCGGGGAGGGGGGTTGCTGACCGCCGCCTCTAGATCGATCTTTCACTCTTCTTCTCGTCGGTACAGATTCACGATGTCCTGGTCCTTCTTGGGGCCTTTCACCACATGCCGACTCGACCAGCTCACCACCTCTCCGGAGTCGGGGCGTATGCGAAACGCGTAGGCCGTGTGGTACATGTCATTGATGCACAGGTGGTTCCCTCGCGCCGTCACCACCGTGGTGAAGGTGGCATCCGGGGGCGGAATGGGCGCCAAAACGAGCGGCGTTTCCGTCGACTCGGACGCGGGCGCGGCGACCTCGAACTCGTGGAAGAGATAGTCCGGCTCCTCGTGAGCGTCCTGCGCGTCGGCCTTCTGCACCTTGGCAAACCATACGCTGACGCGCCCGGACTCGCTCATGCGCCAGATGTATTTCTTGGTGAAGCGCAACCCCGAGCCCAAGCCCAGGATGGCGGGCATTTCGCCTTCCTCGCGATAGACCATGTCCGCCGTGCCGTCGGGCTGCTGGTCTAGAGACGGCGCGCGCAGGGGCCTGAAGGTGGCGGTGCCGCGGAGTTCGCCCTGGATGTCTTTTGCGTTGGTGCTTTTGAGGATTCGGACGAGTGACCACGGTCGCGAGGATCGGCCGAGGGAGGTGAAGATCTGTGGTAACAGATTGGAGGGCATTGTAGGCGCCGGGTCGGTGGACATCTTGGGTGCGTGCGGAGGGAGAGAGAGAGAAGAAGCCAAAGACGAGGACGAACGGCGGGTTTCTCCGGTGGGTCACGGGATCCACGCCCTCTTCCTGCCCGCACCGACTACTACTGCGTATATATATCTATCTACATCTACGAACCCGCAAGGCCGTCTGGCAATTATCCGGGGGCATTGCATCATCTCATGTCACCTCATGCGCCTGCTACTTGCAGACTAGAAGACCAAGTCCACCAAGGACTGCCGTGGCTGGCTTGGTGAGTCTGATAAGCAGAGACGAGGTGAATGACCATGGTAGTGAGCACGCGCGTGACACATTCCTGCCCCTGGGTTGTTGACAGGCACCAGTAGAACAGTGGCCTGGTGCCAATAGCTGACGACGGCGCCATGGAGGGATTGGGAAAGATCCATTCGTGGGCGAGAGTCCGCCACGCTTTCGGCGCGACGCAACCGGCAAACGACCGTTCAGGCACTAGTCGGCGCACATTCATTTCTCTCGAGGCTGTTCATGGCGGCAGGAAGCCAGAGACATTCCTGCGATCGGCGCATGGCTCGGATCTGAACTCTTTGCATATCTGCATCGGATCGCCACCACCGGATCGCCGTCTAGAGTAGACGCTCTCCGACGTAGAGGAGGCGAGAAGAGACACAGTCCCAGGCTATATCAAGTTCGAATACAACCGCAATCTCCCCGACGCCGCAAGCGGAGCAGCCCAACCGGACGGAGTACCGGGGACCTGCCATTGTCAGCCCCCGCCCAGCAGCGACCGGGTACCAGGTACTTCGCAGTGAACCGGCGAACCAGTCTGGACCGTGCAGAGGCCCTTTTCCGTCGCTTTTTTCCCTCGTTTCTTTTCTTCTTCCTCCCTCCCTCCCTCCCTCCCTCTCTCTCTCCCTCTCTCTCTCTCCGTGCATCACAGTCGTTTGGACCCCTCTCTCTTTCTCTCGCTCTCTCTTTGCTTCCACTTCCCTCCCCCACCCCCCAGTCTTTCGTTTATCTTCGTCTGTTCTTCCTTAACCCCCTCCTTCCAGCAATCCCACCTTCGCCGCCTCTTGTGTCCCTGGACGATGGTGGGCCGTCTGTGAGCTTGTCCCGGTCTCCACTTCAAAGCCAGCCAGTCTCCCCCCCAATCGTCCCTCTTCACTCGTCGGCATGACACGTTGGTCGTCGCCGACCGCGAGGTCGACCTCGCACGTTCTCTCGCGCTTCCTCTCCGTCTTTGTCCTCCTCCTCGTTTTGGCCTCCGCCGTTCTCGCTGCCGACGACACTTCCCTCTTGCCCTCCGCCGCCTCCGATTCTTTCCCCCAATGTGGCCTGTCATGCTCCAACCTGAAGCAGGCCCAGAGCGGCTGTGTCCCTCCGGCCGCCCCGGCAAACGGCCATGCGACCTACGTCTCGTGCTTCTGCCAGTCCAACCTGCTGTCGAACCTCCACAATTCCGCCGACGGTACCTGCGACGACTCGTGCTCCAGCGCTTCCGATCGCTCGTTGCTGCAGAAATGGTATAGCAACTACTGTTCCTCCGGAGGGAAAACCACGACCGCCTCGTCGACCAAAACCACTTCGGCCCAGAAGGACTCGGCCACCTCGACGAGCACCGCCAAGGCCAAGGCCCAGAATGCAGACCCCGCTCCTCCGTCCTGGTAGGTGACCTTTCTGTCCTGTGCTTGAATTGCCGGAGAATTGTGTTGTTGACAGCTGATGGCGCAGGTGGTCTTCCCATTACCAGTGGATCATCATGGTAATCGTGCTCATCATCGGTTTTGCCATCATCACCGTGCTGGGAGTGTGGCTGAAGCGGCGTCACGATGCCAAATATCCCAGCCTCTATCATGCCGCCGGCGCCGGGAGCACCGACAGCGGTCTGCTCTTCAATCGTGCGCCGAATGCCACCCCCAGCCCTGCACCCGGCCAGCCAGGCCCCCCTCCGGGCGCCTGGGCTGCAAGTCAGACCCCGGGCCAGGGACCGCCCGCCGGCTATGTGAACCCGGATTCGGTCGCTGGCAGTTCTCGCACGGAAGTCGCCGTTCCGCAGAGTCGGCCGAGTCGAACGCCGTCGCGCTTGCGAAAGGCATCGCAGCCCGCGGATGAGGGCGATGTCGAAATCCGCGAAGTCCCTCGCTGATAATGAAACCCCTTTTGACGTTAGATAATCCCTTTTTGTTTTGATTCTGTTTCTATTCGAATCCCACTTCTCCGACCGAAACCAAATATTCCCCGCCTGACACCGGATCCCGAACATTCCTTCTCATGTCGAGATCGCCCGGACGCTACAGCTCCTCCATATACAGCGCGGATCATCTACGAAACTGTCTCATAATATTTGCCGCTACTCACTGGTTTCTACTACAACCTTACCTGCTAATCTTGCATATATCGGGCGTTGCGTGTCTCCGGTTGGCTTTTGATACGATCTATCGCGTACAGCTACTTCTGTTCGAGTCTTGCGCGTGAGGGCTGTGAATATCCTTCTTTATTCTTGGCGCCTTTGCTTCTTGCTTCTAATCGTGTTGATTTTATTGTATGTTTTCTTTTTTGCCGCGAGAGAAACAACTCCCGGATGTCGGAGGTGATTGCTTTGCTGGCTCGATGGATGTCGCTGACTCGATATGAAACATAATGAATTCTCGGAGGCTTGGCTTCCCGTCATACTTTTATATGTGGTTCTCTCTGAACAATGAATCCTCAATCAAGGCGGGAAATGACCACAAAAGCAAGGAAAGATCACGTTGCCGATATAGCTGCACAGTATATTTTACAAAGTAGGCCTTGGGATCTATAAACGCCGGCGCAATAAATCTCAACATTTCCATCATTATCGTTGGTAAGAAGTCTAGGCAGCAAGGGTCTCTAGGTCGAGTTAGGATGTCACGACACCGTGATGCTGACAATCTTAATGTCATGCTCCGGTTTTTCCTTGAACGTTTTCGTATTCTCGATCTTGTGCACGATGTCGAGACCCTGCACGGCGCGGCCAAACACCGTATGCTTGTTGTCCAGCCAACTCGTCTTCTCCGTCGTGATGAAGAACTGACTGCCGTTGGTATTGGGGCCCGCGTTGGCCATGGATAGCGTGTAGGGCTTGTCATGCTTCAGACTGGAAAACTCGTCCTCGAACTCGCCGCCCCAGATGGACTCGCCACCCGTGCCGTCGCCCATAGGGTCGCCGCCCTGGATCATGAACTTCCGGATCACGCGGTGGAAGATGGTGTTGTTGTAGTAGCCGTTGCGCGCGTGGGTCACGAAGTTCTCGACGGCCTTAGGTGCGGCCGACGGGAACAGTCGCAGGTGGATGTCGCCCATCGTGGTATGCAGAATGGCCGACGTCCCCAGCTCCTTGGCCTTCTGGGTGGCTGTTTCGCGGCCGCTGGCGGCCTGCGTGGGCCGTTCGTTCTGCACGTCCCGCGAGGACTTGGAGACCTCCACCTCGTTGGTGAAGAGGTAGAACCGTAGCTTGGCGAAGCCCGTGCTGACGAGAATCGGGTCGCGCTCCTCGGCCTCCTGGAGGAGAGGGTTCGAACTGGCGGCCATGGAGACGGTCATCACGCCCTTCCGCTGCGGTTGTCCCTGGTACATGGCGAGGTTGAGCGCCCGGAAGGGTTCGTCCTTGGCGTAGACGCGCACCACGCGGTTGGTGTAGGTGTTGATGCACTTGACACCGTACAGCGAGCCGTAGAGAATGAAGTGTCCGGACTCGTCGAAGATGACGTTGACTCGGGGCTGGGTGACGGGGTTCTCGAGTTCACGCTCCACCGCCAGCCGACGGCCGAACTCCAGCTCGTCCAGCTGGTAGATGGCGGTACCGGCCTGCTGCATGTCGGTGATGGTGGATAGCGACTCGTCGTATTTGCGATGCAGTTTGCCGCTGGCGAAGTCGAACACTCGAACCTGGCGGTCGGGGAAAGACATCGCGGCGAACTGCTCGCCGGAGGGGGAGATGGTCAAGGAGGTCGGAGTCGATTTGGACTTTTTAAATTCGAACAGGTTGGTGGATGACTTCAGCTCAAACACATTGTCGGGCTTCTCGAAGGAGCCATCTCCGGCTCGCCAGTATTCTATCATTCCCGATTCGTCGGCGGAAACCACGCAATCGTAGGCATCGTTGAAGGCAATGGCCGCCACGGGGCTTCGGTGGATGGACTTGACGGTATGCAGGGGACTGACGTTCTCCCCACGCCCGTCAAAGATCTGAATCGTACTGCTCCCTTCGTCCGTCACCGCCAGCAGCGGTAGTGATGCGCCTCGGCGATGGACCCAGCAGACGCAGCGCGGGACGAATTCGAGAGTGATCATAGCGAGTAGGTCTGTGACAGCGCGTCGTCCGTTAGTCCCACCCTGTTCTGCCTAATCAGGCTCCACAGACGTACCAAAAGTGATGACGTCGAAAATCTTCACCGTTTTATCGGCCCCTGTCGTCGCAAAACTCCTGCCATCGGCGCTGACGCTGTCGCTCCTCACCTCGCCGTTGTGGGCGCGGAACTCCTTGACAAACTCGACGCCGACCGCCATTTTCTTCCAGAATTTGACAAAGCCGTCAATGGACGAGGTGATCAGGAAGTCCGTGTGCGGCGACATGGTCACGAACGACAATTGGTCCTTGTGCATGAGCGATTTGGAGTATCGCGGCGAGGCGGGCAGGGCGTTCACGTAGACCTTCTCGAAAGGGAGCTTCCGTCGCTTCTTTTTGGGCGCATCGGCAGAGGGAAGGGCCGGGCCAAAATCATCATCGGAGGATGAGTCGTTTCCTAGAGGCAGGCAGGCAGGTCAGCATGAGGGACCAGGTTCTTTGCGCAGCGAAGCGGCGGAAACGCACCGTCGTCCTGGGCGCCATCGACGGCGGAGTGCGGTCTCTTGGACGAGACGGGTTGCGAGCGATCGTCCTCGGCTGCCATGGTAGAATATAGAGTGCGGTGCCGGGTCGAGAGGGAGATCGAAGGAGATGGAAGAGAAGGCGAGCAGCGGCCGTCGGCGTCGAGGCGCAGGCGGTCTGCGGGAGCTCGGGCCACATCGCGAACTTTTCTGGACGTCCCGCCATCACGAATGCTTCACTTCTGCTCTCCTCTTCTCCCCTGAGCTGCTTCATCCCCCCAACCCCCATCCCCCAACCGACGGAAGCCATCCTTTGCAGTTCCTCCAATCAGTCTCTCATCATGGTGCGTGCCTCGATGTCTCTGGCCTCTTGCTCTCGTTTCCGCTGACATTTTGCAGGCGTCCTTCGCCAACCCCACACAGATCTTTGCGGACGATGTCATCGAGGAGAAAGGAGAGAACGCTCGTCTCTCTGCCTTCGTCGGTGCCATCGCCGTTGGTGACCTGGTGAAGAGTACTCTGGGCCCCAAGGGAATGGACAAGATCCTTCAGTCGGCGTACGTGAACCGGTCGAGATAGCATGCGGGGCACACATACTGACGGTGCCATCAATCTAGGTCGACCGGAGATATCCTCGTGACCAACGATGGTGCCACGATCCTCAAAGCGATTGCGCTCGACAACGCCGCAGCCAAGGTGCTGGTGAACATCTCGAAAGTCCAGGACGATGAAGTCGGTGACGGCACGACGTCCGTCACCGTGTTGGCGGCCGAGCTGCTGCGTGAGGCCGAGAAGTTGGTGAACCGCAAGATCCATCCCCAGACCATCATCGAGGGTTACCGTATAGCTAGCCGGGCCGCTCTGGAGGCTCTGGAGAAGGCCGCCGTCGACCGCAGCGCCGACATGGAGTCGTTCCGTAAAGACCTCCACTCCATCGCCCGAACCACCCTGAGCTCCAAGGTCCTGGCCCAGGACCGCGACCACTTCGCCACTCTCGCCTGTGATGCCGTCCTCCGTCTCCGAGGCTCCACGGACCTCAGCCACATCCAGATCATCAAGAAGGCCGGAGGCAAACTCAGCGACTCCTACCTCGACGAAGGCTTTATCCTGGACAAGAAGATCGGTGTGAACCAGCCCAAGCGTCTCGAAAACGCCAAGATCATGGTTGCCAACACCGCCATGGACACGGATAAGGTGAAGATCTTTGGTGCGCGGGTAAAGGTCGAGTCGACGGGCAAGCTGGCGGAGCTGGAGAAGGCCGAGCGTGAGAAGATGAAGGCCAAGGTCGAGCGGATCAAGTCCCACGGTATCAACTGCTTCGTGAACCGCCAGTTGATCTACAACTGGCCCGAGCAGCTGTTCACGGAGGCCGGCATCATGTCCATCGAACACGCCGACTTCGACGGCGTCGAGCGACTTGCCCTGGTGACCGGTGGTGAGATCGCCTCGACCTTCGACCACCCCGACCAGGTGAAGCTGGGCCAGTGCGATGTCATCGAGGAGGTCATCGTCGGTGAAGACACCCTGATCAAGTTCTCGGGTGTGGCTGCGGGCCAGGCCTGCACCATCGTCCTGCGTGGTGCCACGGAGCAGCTGCTCGACGAGGCCGAGCGCTCCCTCCACGACGCCCTGGCCGTGCTCTCTCAGACCGTCAAGGACCCTCGCGTGACGCTGGGCGGTGGCTGTGCGGAGATGGTCATGTCCAAGGCCGTGGAGCAGGCGGCGCAGAACACCACGGGCAAGAAGCAGCTGGCTGTCGACTCGTTTTCGCTCGCCCTGAAGCAGTTGCCCACCATCCTGGCAGACAACGCCGGTCTGGACTCCGGCGACCTGGTGACGCGACTCCGACAGGCGATCAACAACGGCATGACCAGCTCTGGACTGGACCTGCTGTCGCCAGGAGGCGGCATTGCCGACATGCGTGAGTTGGGCGTCGTCGAGAGTTACAAGCTGAAGAAGGCGGTGGTTTCCTCGGCATCGGAAGCGGCGGAGGTAAGAAACTCCCCTCGGTATCCCAGTATTGCAGACTTTGGCTAACAGGTATCAAACGCAGCTTCTTCTGAGAGTCGACAACATCATCCGGGCTGCTCCTCGCCGACGTGAGCGGATGTAAAGAAGCTAGGAACGACCATGTGAATGATATACACCTCCTCCCCCCCCCTTTTTTTTGTTTTTTAGATCGGGCCGTAATGGACGGAGCCGTCGGTTCTTTATGATTATTTCCCCCTATAGTCTGGATCCTAGCACCCGAACGATTTCTTGCCTGCGCTGGAGGGAAGCGAAGGGCGAGCTCTCTGTTCGGAGCGTAATCACCGTGCGATAGACCCATTGATGAGACAAAAGCATGCTATGAACTGTTCATTCCGTTGGTCGGATTTTCCTAGGCACGAGTGCATAACTGTAAGGGTTCCAAGTCTATCCGACGCCATTCTCGTATTTCCCAAGCCTCCAGTCCCAAGTCCCAATCCAATTACCAGGTTTCAGTCTAGAGGAATTCGCCCCAAAGCATGCGTACCAATGGAGAGGCCCAAGCCGTCGTGTGTATCTATCTACCCTTGCTCCCTTCTATCACCAGATCCATGCCACCAAATGTCGCCAGTCGCGAGACGCCTCTTTCGAGGGCGGGGGTAGATGGCCCTCCCATGAGGACATGGACTCGCCAGCCACCAGGTTTCTCGGCCTCATGCCTCGACCGTGCAGGTTACGAAACATGTAGACGCCGCTGCCATCCATGCCGGAGCTCTCCTCGACGAACTGGCAGTCGCGCAGGTTGCGGAACAGCGCCGTCATCAGCGGCGTGGTCTGGTCGGCGCGGTAGTGTTTGCCCATGACGCGCTTGACGGCGTCGGTGGCCTCATAGGCGTGGTAGAAGGGCACAGTGGAGACGAGGTGATGCAGGACGTGCGTGCCCACGATGCCGTGGAAGAGATGCTTGTCAACGTCGAAGCCGCCCAGCGTGAAGCTGCGATCAATCGTGGCCGCCGCTCCGCGGGCGAACGACCACTGCGAATGGGCGAAATGGGGCAGCGTGCCGTCGGTATGTTGCAGGTAGGTGATGGTCACTGGGGAAGAGGCCCGTGAGAATCGGTGCACCAGAGAGAGGGAGAGAGAGAGGGAGAGAGAGAGAGAGAGGGAGAGAGAGAGAGGGAGAGAGAGAGAGGGAGAGAGAGAGAGAGAGAGAGAGAGAGAGAGAGAGAGAGAGAGAGAGAGAGAGAGAGAGAGAGAGAGAGAGAGAGAGAGAGCCAAAGATGCTTACCGATCCACTGGTTCAGCCAGAGATAAGGGATCCCGTAAAAGACGCAGACCGTCCACAGGTCAAAGAGCCGGACGGCATAGAACAGCACGACCGACATCATTAACACCCCGATGTCACTCAGAAAGATGGAATGCAGCTGTGACTCTGTGTACAAGGCGCTGTCGGCCCCAAACCAGTAATGGCTGTGCTGAGGGAAGCCGGAGGCTCCTTTCTGGCCGCTCAAGTTGTCCAGCATGTATAGAGGCCAGCCGAAGAGCTGGAACAGCAGACAGTGCCAGAGGGTCACCAGCGGCACGTCTTCGGTTAATTCAGCCGCACCGATGCTGTGGGGGTCGACGTCGCTGCCCATGGCGGTTCGTGTCCAATATCTGAGCAATCCCAGCGGTTAGCAGAAGCTCTTCAACGGGCTGTCCTCCAGGACGCAAGCAAAAGCGACTGACTCTCGACTGTGCGGCACGTAGACCGTGTCTCGCTGCAGGTTGCCCGTGGCCTTGTGGTGACGAGAGTGCGAGATCTTCCAGCTGTAGTAGGGCACCAGCAGAGAGGAGTGCAATAGGAAACCGACGGCATTATTGAGAGTCTTGGAACGAGAGAAGGCCCCATGGCCACATTCATGAGCCAGGATCCAGATCCCAGTCATGACCATGCCCGCGGCCACCGTATACAGACCGTAGACGACGCCTCGCAGATAGAGGGAGGGCAGAAGGGGCGTACAGACGTAGACTCCCCAGGCCAAGGACCCGAGCAGGACATAGTCTCGCACCACGTAGCCCATACTGCGGGCAATCGACGGCCGAAAGCAATGGGCGGGGATGGCATCGTGGATCTGCTTCATGGTGAAGGTTGGGACTTCGAATACGTTGCCATAGAGGTCCACATGGCCTCGCCCCGGGTCCTGCGTCATCGGGATTGCCATGGAGGAGGTTGGAATACCACACTTTGACCATCGCTCCAGGCGAGCACACGCCCTTCTTAAAGCTGGATTGTGTCGAGTCAGTAGAAGCGGATATAATTAGTATCGAAGTCGGACCCGGCAGTGAATGAATCACGCCAGGAACGTGTATGCGTGACACGATTCCACTCGTCCAGCAGCCCATCCGGACGGTATGCTATCGCAGTCACTCCATGGCCAGATGTGACGCCGAGCAATGAGTATAGAGGGATCAAGCCCAACCGGGCCGAAGCTGACGTCCGGACAGTCTGGTCAGCACGATCCTTCGCTGCCGTCAGCTTGCCACGAGGGCCTGATAACCAGCCCTTGGCTGATCGGACGCGGAGTCAGACATCACTGGCGGTGGTTGCTCGTGTCAGATTCACGTCTCTCGGATGCTAATGGCGGTCTTCATCGACGTCGTCATGCCTTGGTCCATCCAGGCTAAAGGCCGTTGATCGCGGACAATAAAAGCCTCACCTTCGACGCGAACTCTCACCCACCCTCCGACCATCTCCAATCTGCGCCCCCCTCCATCTTCCATCCTTGCTATTCGCACGAGATCACAGGGACACCATGAGCCGGATCCTGCCCGTTCTGCTAGTTGCCTGCGGGCTCTTCTCCTGCGTGCGGACCGAAACCCTCCCCGTCTGCATTGTGGGCGCTGGACCGGCTGGACTGAGCGCGGCGGCGGAGTTGGAGAGCCAGGGCTATCGCACGCTGACCCTGGAAAAGCAGAACGCCGTCGGAGGTAAATGTCAGGCCGTCTACCAAAAGTAAGTGCTCACGGTGGCAATGGAGGAGGAGGAGGAGGAGGAGGAGGAGGAGTCATGGTCATGCATCCCGCTCACATCTCCCCCGACAGCGGATCGTTCAGCCCTCTGGGTGCCTTGATCTTCACGCCCCCGACCTATCGAGAGTCTATCCGGCTGATGCTGGACACCGGCATGAGTTCGGTTCCCTTTATCTCGGGGGAGAAGTGGCAGTATAACGTCAGCAGCGGACTGGTCTGGGCCAAACCGGCGCCGCCTCCCCAGCTCTCGCAGCTTCTGATGACCGAGGTTTCTCGCTACATCGACTGGTGGAACAAGAACTTCCTGCTGTACAACGTGGCGTCGGGCTATCGGGTCAGCTTCCTCCTCCTTCCCTTGCGATCTGCAGGAACACGACTGACGAACAGGCGGCGAGTAGCATGGCATCCCTGCCGAACTGACCATCACGGCGGCCGAGTGGCTGGCCCAGCATGGCTATCAGACCCTCCAGGCGGTCTTTGTTCAATCGATGGTTGCCTATGGCTATGGAGACTATCGTCAAGTCCCCATCGTATGGCCCCGTTCCTGTTGTTGATCCTTTGGACGCCGGTTGACCCCCGTTAGCTCTACGTGCTTCAGTATCTCACCCCCGACATACTCTTGACACTCCTCAAGGTACAACAAGGTGTAAAGATCGACATTGCAGGTAAGACCGAGTGCACTCAGCCAATGTTATGGCGACGCTGGCTAATGTCCTCGAGATTTTCACCAGGTCCTGGAGAAATTCGCCGCCAAACGCATATCGGGACCCATCCATCTCAACACAAGGATCTTGAAGATTGGTCAGTATCTCTCAGAACCATGGTACTGGCGCTGACGCTGAATATATCATAGATCGAACCGGAGAATATCCCGTCCTTACCTACCGGTCCAACGGTCAGGAAAGCCGCACGCAGACCTGCGCCGCCGTCATCCTTGCCTTCCCTCCCACCCTGAGCGCACTACAAGCGGCCAATTTGGATATCTCCGAGGATGAGCGCGAAGTGTTCGACCCCGTGGGGATCAGTAGCTTCTACTCGGGCGCCGTCAGAATGTCGACGCCGCATGCCATGACGTTCGGCGCGGCCAGCGCTCATCCGGGACTTCCCCCGGATGCCACAGGAGACCCCGTCGTCTGCACGAAGCTGCACGGGGATCTCGAGATTGCCATCACCTCGTCATGGGGCCCCTATCGTGGCAGCCTCACCAAAGACGAGGCGTATGCGCGCCTGAAGACGACGCTCTCCCAATTCAACAGAGACCCCCGAGATCCTTCGTCCGCGGCCGTGCCGATCACGGATGTAGACGTGCTGGCCTTCCAGGAGAACGAGTACTTCCCTCACTACGACCCCAAGCAGCTGCGAGAGGGATACTACGGGCTCTTCGAAAGACTGCAGGGACAGCGCAAGACGTACTACGCGTCGGGATTCAATACATTTGAGCTGGTGGAGTATGCGATTCGCGCGGGACAGGATATCGCCCGGACCTATTTCTGATGGTAGAAATCGATTAAATTAGAACTGGAATTGGATTAAATTCTACGCACATCGCTGCATCATCTCGTATGGTCTACCTCCCGATTCTCCCATCGCCTTCCATAAGAAAGAAAACACCCCTGAAGGAGTCCTTCGACCGGGGTTTACCGCAGCACACTCTTTTTCAACCACGCATGCGCCTCGCCGTAGATCTCCTCGCACATCTGCTGTCGCTTGGCTCTCTTGGCCGGGTTGCGTCCGCGGCTGTGCGTAAAACCGTGCGACTGGCCCGTGGCCAAAGTCCACTTATAGGTGCCCTTCTCGAACGGTGCCTCCTGGTCCTCCTTGTCCTCCAAACCGGCTAGGCGATGAATCATGACTTGCGACTCCAGGCGCAGCATATCCCACTGGGCGCCAATCATGTAAATCCAAGGCGGCAGATCCTCCTGCCGGGCGTATTCCGGACTCAGCAGGGGATCGCGGCGGTTCTGTCCCACGCGCACGTAGCCCCAATCGAGCCACCAGGACGCCTCCTCGAGATTGTCCTTCGGTCCGCTCGTATACGGCCTGGACGCCAGCTTCTCGTTGGGGGGGTGGCCGAAGTCGACGATGGGGTAGTAGACCACGGCGGCCTGCACCAGCTCCTTCAGAGGCGGCAGTTGGGCCACCGACAGCGCCAGGTTGCCGCCGGCGCTGAATCCGCCAATGGCGACGCGTGCCCGGTCGATAGGCAGGGACTCGTCGTCCAGGATGGCTTCCACCTGCGCCGCCACGTCGTAGGTGGCCGTGGGGAACGGATGGAGAGGCACCTTGCGATAATCCAGACTGATGACCAGCATGCCGGTGCGAGACGCCCAGGAAGAACAAAACTCGTCGTCAACGGACGCATCGCAGAGGGCGAAGCCGCCGCCGTGGACGTTAAAGTAGACGGGGAGCAGCTTCTCGCCGGCACGATAATCGCGCGGATAGAAGATGCGGGTCTCCAGCATGGCGCGACATGCGTAGCGCTTGACCAGCGTTGGCTGGGACCCTGGCGAGGGCGGGAAGACCAGGCGCAGGATGAAAAAGTAAGTGTTGGCGAGGAGCTTCAGCAGCCAGAGTCGCAAGAAACAGTTGAGCCGGTGCAGAAATGGCATGCCGACCTTGGGCAGCGGCTCGGGATAGTCGGCCGTGCCAGTCGCCATGATGGTTGCGGAGGAGGAAGTTGCCGAAGGAGAAAAAAATGGAAGAGAAGGATGAAGAAGAAGGTGTTGACGGATGAGATTGAGTCGAGCGATGGGCACCATGGATTCAGTTGAGGACGCTACCACTGTTAGTAGATGGCCCGGAGGAGGTACTTTTCTACCAGAAAACTCACCGACGCCCACAGAACGTGAGGCAAATGACGGGCTCTGCCTTCTCCAGCCTTAGAGTCTTCCTTCTTCTCTCTCTCTCTCTTGGCTAATTAGCGGCGCAAGGACTCGTCCGATGGCAAAGACGCCGAGATTTGCACCAATTCGCGGCCACGGAGGCTGACGCCTTTGTTGAGCGCAGGCACTGAACCGTTGAGCGCGGGATTCAATTCCTTCGAACGGGTCCGATCGTCACCTCGTAATTCACCTTGGCTCGTCAGCGCTTGTCTGCTGCCCTTCTCTCGCGGAATTGCTCTCCTGTCACCCACTGGATTCCTGCCTGACTGTGTTCTGCCATGGATCTATAATTCCCGCGCCTTGTTCTTGGGTGAATGAATGGCTCGTGCTCTCTCCTGACGATGACGATTGCTGATGCTGTTGCATTCGACAGCGACGCCATGCAGGGGACTGCAGACCAAGGAGGTCAGCTTCATATGTCACACTACTGGGCTGGAGAAAACCCGGGAAATCATGCAATTTTCTGACCACCATCAAGGGGAGTAACACCGGCGAGCCATGCAGAGCCCGGTAAGCACTTGCAGAATGAATTGGCACCAAATCATTCGACACTGGGAACAGTGAATGCGGCTGAAGTACGTGGTCTGCAGTCTCTCTCTCTCGCTCTCTCTCGGACATAATTAGTACATGCCTACTTCACCTGGGCGGGAATCGGATTCACCCAGTTTCCTTCTCCATCAGATTCAGCAATAGAGATTATCGCGCCCAGCATGGGATCACGGATCCCCCAGAGCGCCGGAAGGACAATCTCCGGGCTGACCTCCGGTGAATTCACCGAGTCCTCGCTGGAGAAGAAAGTCGGCGGCGATGTCGAGCTCGATGCCGAACCCCCCCGGCCCAAATCGCTCAAGTTCAAGCTCACCGTGCTTTTTCTGGCCATCGTCACATTGATCGCCTCCATGGACGCCGTCATCGTAGGCTCCTGTCTAGTAGCCATTGCGGAAGACCTGCACAGCAGCAGCGTGGAGTCCTTCTGGGTGGGCACCTCGTTCCTGCTCGCCCAAACCGTTACCATCCCTCCTTACGGCACCACCAGCGAGATCTTCGGTCGCAAAGGGCCGATTCTCATCGCCACGACCATATTCACCTTCGGCAGCATTCTTTGCGCAACCGCTCGGAATGTCGGCTGGCTGATCGGAGCCCGCGTGGTCCAGGGCATCGGGGCCGGCGGCATGATCCAGCTGGTCCAGGTCATTCTCTCGGACATCTCCACCATGAGTGAACGCGGCTTATATATGGCTATCGCAACGTTGGCATGGTCGCTGGGGACCAACATGGGCATTCCCATAGGCGGCGCCATCGGCTCGCGGACTACGTGGCGGTGGATCTTCTATATCAACATCCCTACGTGTGTGCTGTGTATCGCCGGATTGATATACTCGTTGCAACTGCAGCAGGATGCTTCATCGTTCATGAAAAAGTTAGGCATGCTGGATTGGACCGGGCTGGGAGTGTATACCTGTGCGTCCACGCTGTTCCTGGTCGGTCTGACTTCCGGCGGTGCCTTGCATCCCTGGGATTCGGCAGCCGTGTTGGTGCCCTTGATACTGGGCTCTGTTCTCTTCGTGGTCTTCATGGTCACCCAATGGCGGGTGGCAGCTAACCCTATGATGCCCCTGAGGATCTTCAACGACCGATCGGCCATCGTTGGCTTTGCCACGAGTTTTCTGCACGGATTGGTGTTTTGGTGCGTGACGTACTACATGATTATCTTTGTATGTATCCTAATGGGAGTGTTTCCGTTCTGACTACCTGCTTACTGCTCTTTTCCTTTTTGTCTTCTCAGTTCCTCGGAGCATTGCAGCATGGCGTCCTGCACGCCTCCCTCGAGACCATGACCTGCATCGCATACTCAGCACCCGCGGGGCTCGTGGCCAGTATGCTGGTTAAACGAACGCAACGATTCAAGTACATCATTGTAGTGGGCTGGGCACTGTTGGCAGCGGGAATGGGTAGTAATGTAAGTTTCTTTTCCCGTCAGACGAAGCTGGCGGAACTGTTGCACTCTGGCGTCGACGGCGTTGACGGAGGACCAGATTACCATGCATCCCGACAGTAGCAAGGCCATGCTCTACGGTCCTCGCGTCCTCGTCTCGATCGGCGGCGGGCTCCTGTTTCCAACTCCGTTGTTTGCCGTCCAAGCGCGGCAAAATGGCGACGACGTCGGAATCGCGACCAGCGTGCAAGTATTTATGCGCAGTCTTGGGACTGCGTTCGGGGTCGGACTGGGCGGAGTCATCTTCCAGAACCAGTGGACGAAGGAGGTAGACCATGCAATCCTGTCGGGAAAGATCCCCTCGCAGCTGAGGCTGGGAAGCCACGTTGCTGAGATCGCATATCAGACGATCCGGGAGTTCCCAGCACCGGTCCAGCAGGAGTATCGATGGGTGTATGCGCGTAGCTTGACCACGATGTGGTATGTGATGATGGGCTTGTCGCTGGTGGGATTTGTGGTCAGCCTGATCGCCAGGAACGACGAGATTAAGGGCGGCTTATCGGGGGCGCAGAACTTTCAGGACGACTCGAAGCCGGCGGATGTGGAGGCAAGAAGGGGGCCAGAGACCTGCGACTGATCTGGACGTTAGATGAAAATTTGGGGAAGGCTCCATGAGAATAGACCGTGTAGACTGACCGAGTTGCTTGGGCCAAAATGTATTCATTGATCCACCGTACCTGAAGTTATTCCCAGGGTAGATCGAACCGGGGAAATCTCTCCGATTGGCGCCAACAGTTGCCAGGATCGCCCGGTGGAGACAAAAGACCGGAGACGAGCGATCGGCTGCAACGCTAAAAAGTGCTTAATTGTCCGGACCCGCGAAGGGAGCGGGGTGGGGGGCTGGCCTGGGTCCCAGGGATGAATGGGATGAATGGGATGGATGGGATGGATGGGATGGAAGAAAGGCAGTGAAGCGTCATGGAGAGGAGGATCATCCCTTCCTCAGGCAAGGGCCGTTCCTCAGGCACCTCTTCCATCTTCACCCACGTCAACTTCCCTTCCTCTGGAGAAAGAATCCCCTCGTTCCCTGCCTTTGTACCACCTGGCCACCCCATCCGTTGGGCTCCAGCCTTTCCTGCGGGAAATGACCGCCCTGTCCATCACTTGAATCCATTTCCGGCCTCTCATTCCCAGGACCTCCACTTCCGTTTTCTGCGAACCGCCGTGACTAAACCGCCCGACTTCGACGCCCGCGGCGACAACCATCTTGTTGAGTCGTTGGCCCTGTTCCCCTGCGAAGAAGCCCGCTATCCGACCGGACCTTCCCCCTCGCTTTCCCATATCTCTACGCTGCGATCCTAACCACCATGCGCTATCTACCATGGGCGCCGTTGTTGACCGTCTTGCTGGCTGGCCAGGCGGCGGTCTCCCAGATCCAGTTGGATGTCGGCGACCCTAGTAAGCGACCTGCTACCTGCTTCCATGGCTGCAGCCGGACCTCCCCTCGAGGCTTTCTAGATTCTCGGACCGGTGCTGACGAGACTCCCTCCTGCTGATAGAATCGATCAAGAATGCGGCGGCGACATCGGCATACAACATGATGAATAACTACCACGGCAACGAGTCCGGCCAGATCCCCGGCAAACTGCCCGATACCTGGTGGGAAGGGGGTGCGATGTTCATGACGTTGATTCAATACTGGTTCTGGACGGGCGACACCTCCTACAACGAGGTCACCACCCAGGGCATGCTCTGGCAGAAAGGCAACAACGATTACTTCCCAGCCAACGACAGCAATTTCCTCGGAAACGACGACCAGGTCTTTTGGGGCTTGGCCGCCATCACCGCGGCCGAGTTGAATTTCCCCGAAGAAGACGGACAGCCGTCGTGGCTGTCGCTCGCCCAGGGCGTCTTCAACACGCAAGTGCCGCGCTGGGACACCAGCGCCTGCCAGGGTGGCCTGCGATGGCAGATCTTCCCCTATCAGGCGGGATATACAACCAAGAACGCCATTTCCAACGGCGGACTGTTCCAGCTGGCCGCCCGACTGGGTCGCTATACCAACAACGAGACCTACACCGAGTGGGCAGAGAAGATCTGGGACTGGAGTGCCACCACCCCCTTGCTCAAGATGGACGAATGGACCATCGCGGACACGACGACCATGGAGACCCAATGCACCGACCACGGCGATCTCCAGTGGACGTACAACTATGGGACCTATTTAAGCGGGGCCGCATATATGTACAACCTGGTAAGTCTTGTGTGGAGGCCGCCGGAGGACGTGCGGAGGGCCGGACTGACGAGAGCTAGACGAACGGCGGAGTAAAATGGAAGAAGGCCATCGATGGCTACCTCGGCACCACGCTGGACAAGTTCTTCCCCAAGGAGTTCGGGGGCAACGTGATGTCGGAAATCTCCTGCGAGCCGAACATGATGTGCGACCGCAACCAGGACTGTTTCAAGGGGTTCCTTTCCTCGTGGCTGACCTTCATGACCACCATCGTGCCTCATACGGCCAACCAGATCATCCCGAAGATCCAGGCTTCGGCCCAGGCGGCGGCCAAGCAGTGCTCCGGGGGCAGCACGAAGACCCAGTGCGGACGCCGTTGGCACCAGGACAGCTGGGACGGATCCAAGGGGCTCGAGCAGGACATGAGCGCGCTGAGCGTCTTTGCGTCGAGCATGATCACGCACAAACCGCAGGGCCACTCCCCGTTGACGGCGGACACTGGGGGCACCAGCAAAAGCGACCCGACAGCGGGCTCTGGACCTCAGAAGCAACCGAACACTCCCCGACCGATCACGACAGGCGACCGTGCCGGCGCATCCATTCTGACGGTGGTTGTCGCCGGGGGCTGGCTTGCCGCCGTAGCATGGATGGTGTATGGCGGGTGACGGGTCATGCCAGTTGTGGAGCACCGACGACTGAACCATCCTTGGAATAATAATGACCAGTTGCCGCTGGATCCCTTTGCAGGTTCTTGTCTTTTCTCTTTTCCCTTTTTCTCCCCCTCTGGTTCTGTGGAGGGGTCTCACGAAGAACTGTAAGCTATATTGCTCTGGTAGTTTGGATATCAATTGGGTCACGGCGTTGGGGAGTTTTTTTTTTTTTTTTTTTTTTTTTTTTTCTGTTCTTTTCTTCCCTCTTTTATTGTGAGTCGAATAATAATGTGCAGCGCAGGTGGTACAGGCCGTGAGCATACTCCGTAGGCATTGGATGGATGTCAGGGTGGATGCATTTCCGGAGGACTCCATTGTGCGACGATCCGCCCGCTACTGCCCGTCGGGGAGCGCGGGAGATCCGCCGTATCGCCATTACGCCGGAGTGGTTGGATTGTTCGCATTTTGCCTGCCATTCCCGTGACAGTCGAGGAAAAAATAATAATAAACAAATAACATCTCGACCATCTGATATTTACCTTTCCTAGGTACCACCGACCTGTCGTAATTGAATACGGTACGGATACCAGACGGAGTGCGGCAGCGAAGACTGGCGCTAGTCCCGATGGGGACGTCTTTCCCTTCCATGACTGCCCGTAATACCGGGCACTCAGCATGATTACTCCGGAGTAGAGATTCTTCTTTTGCCTTCCACGGCGGATCCACCGTCTTGCCACGCCCGAATTAATGGATTAATTACAATCCCTGCCGCTGACTGCCTTCTCCCTGGTTTTCGGCCCCTGGAAAGGCACGCCATCACGCACAATCTTCCATTTCTTTCTCTTCTCTCTCTCTCTCTCTCTCCCCCCCACCTCTCCCTCTGCATTCTCTCGTCAACGGTCCGTTCGGCTGTAGTTTTCCTCACCTTACCGGTCTTGCTATATTCTATTATTGCCCAACCATCTGTCGACCAAACATTGGCCGAACGGGTGACGGATTCTTAGCCTCGTCGGTCTGGTTCTGGTTCGGCTCCGCTCTGTGCCGGAACCACCAGCCGTCAGCCTTTTCCACCCACTCTCTCTCTCTCTCCCTCTCTCTCCTCCCACACAAACTCCCAATTCCGTTTGCTCTTCCCGTCCTCTCTCCCCCCCCCCAACCTCCGCCACACAAGGGGAAAAATAATAACGACAAGCCAATCTTCTTCTCATGGGACGCGGCTTGTCACCTCCCATTGTTTTCGATCAAACTCTCGCCCTCGTTTGCCTGGCCCGCGTTGTAGTCCTCCAGGATGCGGTGGCGGCTGCCTGGCGCCCGTACGACCCTCCCCGCCAGCGTCGCACTTCTTCTGCTCCCCGTTCTCGTCGCTCCGCAGCAGCTGCATGAACGCCATGACCGTCCGTCCGCCGTGTCCGTCCCCCTCGATCCGACCGGTCATCTCCCCGAAAGTCACCCCCCTCCGACGTTGAACGTGAAGTCCAACGATGCGAGCGCCCTAGCAACTCTGGCTCTGGCGGGCTCCGGCCGCGCCGTCCGAGCCCCTCCTGCCCAGGTCAGCAGTCCTTCTGCCGGCCTGGCTCCGCAGCTCCATGCGCGGTCCTTGCAGGACTGGGAGGTTGAGGATTTTGTTCTGCTGGCGACCGTCGACGGTTCCATTCACGCCCGAGACCGCAAATCCGGTACTGCCCGTTGGGCCCTCGAGGTCCCCAGTAGCCCCATGGTCGAGAGCATCTATCATCGCCAAAACCGGTCCAGCTTCGACCGCTCCCAGCCCCAGGATGATTTCATATGGATCGTCGAGCCCAGCCAAGGAGGGAGCATATTTATCTACAGCCCCGGCCCCGACGCCGGCTTGCAGAAGCTCGGCCTGTCCGTCAAGGAGCTGGTGGACGAGACCCCTTATTCGGGAACCGAGCCTGCTGTCACCTACACGGCGCGGAAAGAAACCACCCTCTACACCATCGACGCCCGCACCGGTACCATATTGCGAGTCTTCAGCTCCCGCGGCCCGATGCCCGCAGGCCCGGAGTGTCGCAAGGTGGACGGCCTTGACGCCGACCCCGAAGAATGCGAATCTCCCTCCGGCACCTTGGTCCTGGGCCGCATCGAATACGCGGTGGCCATTCAAAATACCGAAACCGGGGATCCCATCTGCACTCTGAAGTACTCGGAGTGGTCGGCCAACAATCGTGACATGGACCTCCAGAGTCAATATTTTCGGACGATGGACCAGAGCCATGTCTACAGTATGCATGACGGGGTGGTGCTCGGTTTCGACCATTCTCGAATGGAGCGGCCCCGATACACGCAGCGTTTCTCCTCGCCGGTGGTGCGCGTGTTCGATGTCGCCCGCCCGATCAACGTCGACTCCCCCGAGACCGCCACGCCGCTGGTGCTCCTGTCCCAGCCCCTGCAGCCTCCGGACCCCGACTACGGCTCTCTGGATGACCGAGACACCCGCGTCTTCATCGACTGCACGGATGCGGGGGGCTGGTATGCCATGTCCGAAGAGACTTATCCCCTGGTGACTGGACGGGCCAAGATGGCGCAGTGCTATGAAAAGGATTATTTTCGCCGTGGCCAACCCCTGACGAGCCTGTCCTCGAATCAGCAACGCGATGCCTTGACCGGGGTTCATTCGCTCAATGGCCCCCGCATCGTTCGACCTCATATCCCCAGTATCTCGGGCTCGTCGGGGGAGCGCTCCAACGACACGCCGCGCGACCTGATCCGCAATCCGTCCGAGCTGGCCCTGCCCCCGGCCTTGCGTCACAGTGCCATTATCCGCAAGAGCTGGGACAACGTTGTGGACATCTTTGTGACCATGTTGCTCTTGTTTTTCGGCGCCTTCATCTACCTCAATTCTCACCACATCCAGGAGCTGGCGAAGCAGAAATTGGATCTCAAGAACATCATCTCTTCATACGGACAGCCATCCATATCCACCCCGTCTACCCCCATTATTAGCAGCAGTCCGTTCAAAAGCGACAGGAGTCCTGCTCGACCGGTGCCTAACGTAACCGTCGATGTCAACGTGCCGGAGGAGCAACAAAGCGGCGGCGATACCACGCCCAAGCCGAGCAAAGATCGCAACCTCCTGGCGGCTGACACCACCCCTCGCGTCCGGATCAGGGAGCCCTCGCGAGGTCCCGACGGCGATGAGGATGTAGATGATCTAACACTGGACGACGCCGACAAACCCAAGAAAAGACGCCAACGGGGTCGTCGCGCTGGCCGAAACCATCGACGAGGGAAGAAACCGAGTGCCGACGGGGACGCAAGGGAATCGGCCGATCGGGCCGGGGATGAAACGAATAACAACCTTCACCCTCCTCGGTCGGAGGCGGACACTCCGTTGACTCGCACCGTTTCCAATGAAGTCGTCGAGATGGACGGCGTTCTCCAGATCGGTCGGCTGAAGGTCTTCACCGACGTTGTGCTGGGCCACGGGAGTCATGGCACCGTGGTGTATCGCGGGTCGTTTGACGGACGCGATGTTGCGGTCAAGCGGATGTTGGTTGAGTTCTACGATATCGCGTCTCACGAGGTCGGCCTACTCCAAGAAAGCGACGACCACAACAACGTCATTCGTTACTTCTGTCGGGAGCAGGCGACCGGGTTTCTCTACATCGCCCTGGAGCTATGTCCCGCGTCCCTGCAGGATGTCGTCGAGCGGCCGTCCGACTATCCGCAGCTGGTGCAGGGTGGATTGGATATGCCGGACGTCTTGCGCCAGATCGTATACGGCGTCCGCTACCTTCACTCCCTCAAGATCGTCCACCGAGACCTGAAGCCGCAGAACATCCTTGTGGCGATGCCTCGCGGGCGCACGGGATCTCGTCTCCTGCGACTGTTGATTTCGGATTTCGGTCTATGTAAGAAGCTCGAGGACAACCAGAGCTCATTCCGGGCCACCACGGCTCATGCCGCGGGGACGTCTGGCTGGCGAGCTCCCGAACTCCTGGTGGACGATGACAAGGCCCCATCCGCCCACAGTGTCGACTCTCAGCACACCGAATCCTCGGAGCCGGCGGTGGTGGATCCGCAAACCAACCGACGAGCCACTCGGGCCATCGACATCTTCTCCTTGGGCTGTGTGTTCTACTACGTGCTGACCAGGGGCAGTCATCCGTTTGACAAGAACGGGAAATTCATGCGGGAAGCGAACATCGTCAAGGGTAACTTCAATCTCGATGAGCTGCAGCGCCTGGGTGATTACGCCTTTGAGGCCCACGACCTGATCCAATCCATGCTGGCCCTGGATCCTCGCAGACGGCAAGTCGCTCCACTCTCCCCCTCCAGCCCCCTCTCCGCCGCCGACTGAATCCAGCTAACCCGTCGCAGGCCGGATGCCAGTGCCGTCTTGACCCATCCGTTTTTCTGGCCTCCCTCGGAGCGGCTCAGCTTCCTCTGCGACGTATCCGATCACTTCGAGTTCGAGCCGCGGGATCCGCCCTCCGATGCGCTTCTCTGCCTGGAATCGGTGGCGGCACAAGTGATGGGACCGGACGTGGACTTTCTGCGCCTGCTGCCCAAGGAATTCAAGGATAACCTGGGCAAGCAACGCAAGTACACCGGGTCGAAGATGCTGGACCTGTTGCGAGCTCTGCGGAACAAGCGCAACCACTACAACGACATGCCCGACCACCTCAAGGCCTTCATCGGCGGCCTTCCGGAAGGGTACTTGAACTTCTGGACGGTGCGGTTCCCCAGTCTGTTGATGAGTTGTCACGCCGTCGTTGTGGATTTGCGACTGACGCGAAGCGACCGGTTCAAGCGGTACTTTACCGTGCCCGAATGATTGGGCGGGGGTTGATATTTTGGGGGTGGGGGGCTGGGACATTTTTTTTTTTTTGCATCTGGGACATGTTTTGACAGAAACGCTATCTATTGCCTTCGAGCGACTTGTGCTGTGTTGTAAATGTAGATCTGGGCGTAGTTTCCCGGCCAGCCGGAAGTACGGTTGATCTCCGACTCGACAGGTTAAACGGCGGCCGACAGGGGAAAGGGTGGGTCCGCCGTCAAACGTCCGGCGGTGAAAACGCGTGCTTCCGCGTCGCTGCCGACCAATAATGGGTTTTTCTCTCGCTCTCGCTCTTTCCCTTCACCACCAAAGTTGACAGGTCTTCACGACGACTGTCACCCTCCGGGGTCTCGATTCATTTGATTCACTGCAACCACCCATCTCTTGTGTTACTCCCCTCATTCACTCCGGGATCCCCAGCCCCTTCTCCCTCATCTCTTCCTCTTCTCACCTCTTCCTCTTCTCCTCACCTTCTTCCTCATCTCCTTATCTTCTACTGCGTCCCCCCGATCTTTCCTCCCTTTTCTTCTCCATTGATCCATTGATCCATTGATTCATTGATCCATTGATCCTCGACCCGGATTGGTCTGATTCCCCCACCATATGAGCACTCTCGCTTGATTTTTTTCATCTTTTCCTGCTGCCAACATGGTTTTTTTACGTCTGACCGTGAAGGTCTATCCCCGCGACCAACTCCAGTCCTCCTTTCTCTCGCTCCGCTCGACCCTCGACGACCGCGACCGTGATGAGCCCAACCGAAGCTCCTCTACTTCGGGGAGTGGGAAGCCAGCCAGCTTCATGCTGGTCCTGGAACATCCGGAGGAGATAACCCTGCGCCGGCTTTCGAGCATGATCCAGGCGAAATGGAAAAAGCTCAGACCTGATGTGGAGTGAGTGAACCCCCGTTTCTCTGCCGCCCTCGTCGTCCTGTCTTCTTTCCATGTTGGTCCTCGAATACCCCGGGGGATTATTGCGTGTCACTGGGCCTACGTTTGACCTAGTCGCTAACAAATACGATGACTTAGGCCCCTGGAGATCAAGAAGCTGCTGGATGATTCCCACGACTCGGAAGACCTCGACGCGGATATGACGGTTGCCGATGTGTTCGTGGACAATGGCCGAGCTCGCGCAGATGGATTTGACCAGCGCGGCACCGTTAGGGTCATCCAAAGGCCGGCCCCTTATGCTCCCGTACGCTTCCCCTCGGTCACTCAGGACTGGGACGCTGCAGGAGACATGTTCGAGCGGCAGCTCAGAGCCAAGAAGCAGACTGTTGAAAAATTCCCGGCTATCCTCGAAGAGTCACAGCGGACCCCCGACTCCGACCCCTACAACTACCGCTGGCGTGCATCGTCTGTCCATGGCCAAGATCATGTCAAACAAGGCCCCATTCCCTCTACAGAGAGAGAGGAAATTCCAGGGTCCCCCAAAACTTCGGCCGGCAAACCTCTCCTCGATGAGTCCAACGTAACAGCTCGTCGGGAAAGCACGGTTGCGGTGACCCCTCGGCAAAAGCGCATGCAAAGCCAGGAATTGGGCGATTGGCCTTCATCAGCTTCAATCCCGAGGCACCAGGGACAACAATCCACTTCAAGTCCCAGATTTACCGAAGCCCAAGCACTTACAAATGAACCCTACTTGTCCTCGCCAGATCCATCTTCTGATGAACAGAAATCAGAGTCAACGCCCACTCAACGGAAGGTCTCGTCCCCCACGGGGCATTTTCCCGAGTCAGCCCCGACCGATGATGCAACCCAGGAGAAACAGACGAGCAAAACCGACGATGAGCACGACGACGAGCACGACGATGAGCACGACGATGAGCACGACGATGAGCACGACGATGAGCACGACGACGAGGAAGGCTCCGGCCATGACCAGTCTGCTAGAGACAACGGACTCAAAAAGGCCATGAACCAGACAGAAGAGTATCGTGACGGGGATGGTGATATTACCATGATGCGCAGTGCTTCAAACGAAAATGAAGAGTCGGCTGCAACGCCCCGTGACGATGCTGAAAATACGATGTCAAATGAATCAGCAGAAGCAGAAGGTCCTGTTTTCGCTTCGAAACTGGGCAAGAGAAAAAAGAGCCCACGAGATCTTGAGCCGAATAAGGAGCCGCGCCTGAACCAATCAACTAGCCGTGCTACTCCGTCGCAGGAACCCGACCGCAAGAAAGCCAACTCCAAGCCGCTCGGGACCCCCACAACTAGTCCATCGATGTCGCGAAAACGAGAGGCGCCTCCGTCCTTTTCCAGATCCGCTCGTCACCTGAGCTTTTCCGAAGAACCAGATCGTCATAAAAAAGGTCTCGGGCTCGGTATCACCAAAAGTCCACCAAAGAAACAGCCAGTGTTTTACGATCTATCACAGGATCCAGTGGAGACCTCTCAGCAATCGCCTGGTGACAATGTGCCCGCGAGTAGTGCGCCTTTTCCTCGTTGGGGCTCCGTGTTCCCACCCCATTCGACACCCTCCAACGCATCGGCCCTTAGTTCAGCAGAAAGGGTCAAGCAACTGCATTCTGCACTCCGCAAAGGCTCACCATCCGGGAGACCATCTGAACGCCGGTCGGTGTCCTTTGCAGATGATGACCTTTCAATCGTAAATGCCAGGTCAACGCCAAAGCCGACTCCTAGGAACACCGCCAAACTGCCTGTCAATACTTCATCGGGTAGGGGACGATCGAGTACCGAGTCTATGGTATTTCCCCCTAATATGTCAGTAGAAGCAATTGCAAAAATAGAAAGTGAGGCGGAAGAGAAAATTGCAATGAACAGGAAACAAATCGAGCAGCTGAGGGACAAGCTCAAAGCAGCCGATAAGCAAAACCCAGACAGCGAGTATCGACAGAAGCTGAATGACGCCTGCAAGACTTTAGAATTGATCCAAGGGAAGAAAGCAAACGGGAGCAGGGCCAAAACAACAAAACTCTCTGCCAAATACGAAGCATTACGACGCGAGATTGAGCAGATCGAGGCATCCTCGGAAATATTCCCCAAAACCATGTCTCAGGAGAGGCCCACTGACGATCCCGATCTACCGTCGATGGCAGCTGTACATCGGACCAGTACAACATCTCGGTCCACTGCGGCCAGCCGTTCGGTTCCTAAGCAGCCTTCTCTTGAAGAGACTGTTGTTGTTTCATCTTCTGACTCTGGGGTTGAGGGCCAACGTGCGCGGGATATTGCAACTACCCCGACTGGCATCAAAAAATCGACAAGCCCATCGCGGGCGGCACTGCCACATGTGTGGTCGAGACGGTCGAACAGCTTGCAGGCGCGGCCTAGTTTGAAAACGCTGAAGTTGGACCAGGAGAGAGAGCAACGGGAGAAATCGCAGCCCAAACGGTCGAATGCCCGGCGTCGTAGCGGAGACATGTTCGACGGACCGTCGGATAGCGATGGGAGCTACAGCGAAAGCGAGGACAGCGACAGCCACCCTGACAGCGACCCTGACAGCGGTGATATCCAGTCGAGTGGACAGGTGAGAAAGCTAAACGCTGGAAAACGCTGGTAGTCGAATTTGCGCTCCTTTCGGTGTACATTTGAATCAGTCTTGTTCTACCAGGGTTTCATGCACTGTGTAATGACTGCCGGCAGCTATGTTAGGTCTTGCTCGGCAGCTACTTTCCAAGCACTCTGCGGGGTCTGCCAGATGTATTTATCGGTTCCATTAGTGGTAGCAATGTGCAATTAAATGGCGTTTGCTGGCCTATGTTCGTTCTTTTTTCACTGTATATTGGTATTTGAATATTTGGCCCTTGCCCTTTCGGCCGACCTACCTACTCTTTTCCTTCCAGCCAATCCTGTGGCAGCTCTTGCACCGTCAAATTCCAGCCAAACTGATCCTCGACCTTGCCCGCCTGAACGCCCTTCAGCGTTTGTAGTAGTTTCACGCAGATATCGCCCCCGCTCTGACCATCCGCGCCGCAATCGAAGGTAAACTTATCCTTGCGCGAGCGCATTGTGATGCTTCGAATTGGCACCAAGGCGGCCGCTGTCCCGGCCGCGACTACTTCACTGAAGTCTTTGATCTCCTCATACGCGATGCGACGTCTCTCGACGGCAAAACCAAACACCCGCCGGCCAATCTCACACACCGACTCAGCAGTCACGGAATCGATCACATTCTTGCTGTCAGGCTGCACTAGGGTCACTGAACCAGAGATGGGATCTTTTCGTACCCCGATAAAGGCGGATGTGGAGAATTCATCGATCTCCGATCGCGTGCGGCTGTCCAGATGCAAGGTTATACCGAATCCTTCTGCTGCGGCGCGGCCACTGTGACGCAATACCGGCGCGTAGTTGCCGCCCACCTTAGCAGACCCGGTCCCTTCGGGGGCAGCGCGATCGAAGTCTTCGAGGATGAGGGCATCTACCGCATGGACCCCATGGTACACGCCGGTGGGCATAACAAATACCACGAAGGTGTACTCGTCCGGCGGACTGAGACCCAGCTGCGCCGACGATCCGAACAGCAACGGGCGGATATACATCGCCGCCCCAGTTTCATGCGGTGGCACGAACTCGGCATTGGCGGCCACGGCCAGCGCCACGCATCGCACGAAAAGGTCCTCAGGCACGGCCGGCATGGAGACAAATTCGGCGGAGTGGCGCATGCGGCGGGCATTGCGGTCGGGACGGAAGATGGAGATGGATCCGTTCGCGTGTCGAAAGGCTTTCAGACCCTCGTAGGCTTGCTGGCCGTAGTTCAGGCCCGGGGCCATCCCATGGATGGGGAGATGGGGAGACCGGACAAACTTGGGAGCAGTCCATTCGTTGCCGTTACTGCGAGAGAAGTGGCATTCCACATGGCCATTCACTCCAACGCAAGCAGGCGAAGTCAGCCAATGCCGTTAATCCGAGCAGAGGCAATTTCTCGACTTACCGTCGCGAACTTTGAATCCCACATTGGACCAGTCAATGGTGTTGGTTGGGGCCGGAGGGAAGTCGACGGAAGCCATGGAGAGGAAGGTGGGTGGAATGATGGACTGGATCTGATGGCAAAGAGGTGGAAGAAGAGCAGAATTGATGGATTTCTTTCCCGAGGGGGAAAGCATGACGCACGGGAAGCGCTAAGCCCAAGTGAGTCACGGATCCTGCCTTTTCCCCCGCTCGCTCTCTCTTCCCCTCTCGTTCTCCTTTCCATCTTGCATACACGCTCTGCGGTGGATGCAATTCCCACGCCTCAACCCCGAGGCAGGATGGCGTGGATTCAGGCTGGTGGACGAACCCAGTAGGGCCCACAAGTAACAGCCTCGGCGCATTGTACCAGCCGACGCCCGCAAATACCACGAAGTAGACGGGAGAGCTGGGTGGACCCTGTCCATTGTTGACGAGCGTGACCAAGCCATAGCATTCGGACGGGTGATTTGAATGCACCATTCAGGCTATGGAGTGCCTTGACTGCGGTCTCGGACAATGCCACCGCCAATATGATGAGGCCGAAGTGTGACGAGAGAACGAGTTGTCGGATACATCACGCCGGCGTCGTGAGGCCCGGGCTGCTGCCTGGCCTATGTTTCATGGTGGAATGCATATCCTGCAATTATCGTCCACCAGATCCCTGATCGCGACGAGCGTGTTGGAGGAGAACAGCCATGGGAGATCTTGCGATTCCGGGTTTGTCGCACCACATCGCCTTGAAATTTCCCCCTTGCAATCGCCGTCTCCACCGGCGATCGGGTCCTGACGTCACGCATCGACATCGATCCCGATCGATGCAACCGGGAATGTTATTGCATAAACTCCCCACTTTGCTCCAAGTGGTTGGTCTGAGTCTCTATGTCTGTTATATAAAGTACTCACACCCCCTCGCCATGCTTAGACAATCTCGGTCGTTCCACCAACTGATTTCTCTAGACCGACGCATCCTCTGCTCGCTCTCTCGTTGCATGCGTACCGTTATGCCTCCTCAGAAACGAAAAGCCGCGAACAATTCCAAGGGCGCCGGAGATGCCAATGACTCCCACCCGGTCGCCAAACGCGGCAAACCGGACCTGACGCGTCCCCACCCCCATGCTCAGCAGACGGAAGAATTTGGCATCGTGTTGCGCGACTTTTACCCCCCTGAGATGAATAACGAACGCTGCGCCGCCTACAATAACGGCACGCTAGAGCGCCCGATTGAAACGTTGCAGAAGGCATATGAGGATACACAGGAGGAGCGGCAGGCTGTCCAGCCCGGTAGAGCTGTTGTACACTGGTTTAAATCGGATCTTCGCTTGCATGACAACCGTGCGCTGCAGATGGCCTACCAGGTGGCGCGCGAGCATGACATTCCGCTTCTAACACTCTACATCTTGTCGCCGGAGGATCTGACCGCGCACTTAGCCAGCCCAGCGCGCGTGGATCTAACCCTCCGCACCCTGGCTCAGCTTCAGCGAGACCTGGGGGAACTGGACATCCCCCTGTACATGGAGACGCGCCAGAAACGCAGTGGGATATCCCAGCGTATCCTCGATCTGTGCCAGGAATGGGGTGCCAACCACCTATTCACGAATCTTGAGTACGAGGTGGACGAACTGCGCCGCGACGCCACTCTGATCCGGCTGGGAGCGAAGAACGCCATCAAAATTGAAGCGGCCCATGATAGCTGTGTGGTCACACCCGGCCAGCTGGCGAGCCAGCAGGGAAAGCAGTACGCGGTGTACACACCGTGGTATCGCTCATGGGTCGCCTTTTTGAAGGACAATCCGGAGTGCTTGGAGATGATCGACGAGCCCGGGACCAACCCGGGCAACGCTCGCAAGGACTACCAATCATTGTTCGACTGCGAAGTGCCTTCTGCCCCTGATAACAAACAGATTTCTGTCGATCAGCGTACGCATCTGCGCCAACTATATCCGGAAGGAGAGCACGAGGCGCTCCGCCGGCTGGAGGCATTTCTCGACGACAAAGTCCGACAGTACGACGACGGACGGAACATCCCAGCGCAGCAAAATACGTCCGTTTTGAGCCCGTACTTCGCGTCCGGGTCGCTCAGTGCTCGAACTGCGGTCGCGAAGGCGCGCCAATCCAATAAAAACCAGCTAGATCGTAACGATCCCGGGACCATGGCCTGGATCAGCGAGGTGGCCTGGCGTGACTTTTACAAGCATGTCCTTGTCCACTGGCCGTTCATCTGGTTCGTAGTCCGATCATTTCCCGCCCCGTTTATATTTGAATTGGCTGCTCTGTATAACCCCCAACTAACTGCGCTAGTATGAACAAATGCTTCAAGCCCGAATTCACGAATATCGAATGGGAGTACGATCACGACCAGTTTGAGGCGTGGTGCCAGGGGAGAACCGGCTTCCCCATCGTTGATGCGGCCATGCGACAGCTGAATCAAGATGCCTGGATGCACAACCGCTCGCGCATGGTGGTCTCCTCGTTTCTTTCCAAGGACCTCATGATTGACTGGCGACGTGGTGAGCGGTACTTCATGGAGAATTTGGTCGACGGCGATTTTGCCTCCAACCACGGCGGCTGGGGATTCGGATCCAGCACGGGGGTTGATCCCCAACCGTACTTTCGGATCTTCAACCCGTTGCGCCAAAGCGAGCGATTCGACCCGGACGGCGCGTATATCCGTCAATGGGTCCCAGAGTTGCGCGATATCGAGGGTGCCGCCATCCATGAGCCTTATAACCGGGGCGCGGGCAAGATCGCGCAACAGAACGACTATCCGCGGCCCATTGTTGACCATGCCACGAGTCGGAACCGGGCGTTGGATCGGTACAAAAAGGCCATCCAGGGGCAGAGACAGGCGTCGTCTCCACCGAATTGATATAAACGGCGTTGGGGGGTTGGGCAGAAACGACATCAACAAGGATAGGCATGGTTCATGTATAGGTAGAATGATTCTCGATCTCCGTGTCTGGCGCAGATCTTATCCTCCTTATGACCATCGAATACAGTACCATGGCACATCGCTCTAGTCCGCAACTAGTTGTAATCGCGCCTGTTGCCTGCATGACCGACCAGGATGTTCCCAGGGGGGAGGGATCTATAGGCTGCTGGCGCGTCTAGCTGAGCGACGTCGTCCTGGCGCCGCTCGCCGGGATGTGCATGTACTGTACAGCAATATACTCCCTAGTGAGGAGGCATACTACGCAGCAGTTGATGGTATACAACACACACGTTCCTTCACCCCGGAAATCCAAGGCCGCCGCATGACTAATTTTAGCGTGCGGAGAAAGTTTGGCGGCTTTTCCCCCCCGCGATTCCTTCCTCCTTCGCTCTCTCGCTCTTCTCCCAATTCCTGCTTCTTCATCCATCCCTCTGCCTCATGATCTTCTCTTGATCCCCCGCCGCACTTCTTGGGTTCGTCGCTTGCCTGTCATCCTTCCTCACCTCCCCCTCTCGTTGGCACCGCTGCTGACTGACTTCCATCTTAGCCAACGACTCTCCTGGCTCCTCTACAGCTCTCCCCCTCTACCTCCGTCGCCCACGCACTCCTCCTACCCTGTCTCCTTGAATCGCCAATGTCGACGTGAAATGGATTCAGCCCAGTCGGCGGAGGTACCATCAGGCAGTGCCCCGGGGACCTCCGACGACCCGCCAAACGGCCCTGCCAAGCGTCGATGGAGGCGCAACCGCATTGCCTGCGACTCTTGCCATGCCCGTCGCGTGCGATGCGATCGCGCTTTTCCCTGCTCCCGCTGCCTGCGCAGTGATATTCATTGCGAGTTCACTCGGGAACGTCGCAAGCGGGGCCGCATCGCTCGCACCCGTCAAGCCGATCCTACAGATGCCACCCACAAGCCGGCCGTCAAGCCGCCAACCCGTCCCCAAGCCGCTCCTGAGCTTGCTGCTGCCACCCCCCTACCCAATGCCTCTCCTTCCTCCAGCTTCCAGCATCGATCGCCGGTGACCAATGACCTCACCGCCTCCGCCGCCAGTGTCGATGAACGCCGGTCGCAGGCGGACACCTCCGTGCCACCCCGGCGATCCGCGCCCGGTCCCGGAGTCAACGCCACGGAGGAATGGTTGTCCGCCGCACACGTATCGCCTAGCTCGTACGATATTCTAGGCGGCGCGGGGGTGCATGAGGGCCCGTTTCCTCGGATGTTCGATCTGTGGAATGGGGTTGACCTGACGGATTACAATGGGAACACTCCTCAAGGTGGGAAAGCCGCAGGCCTGCCTCCAACGCCCGGCGTGTCATCGACCGCATTGAAGTATCCCGTGTTGGACCCCTTGATGCCCTTTCTAGATGCGAACCTGCCCCGACGGTTGGTGTTCGATCTGTTGGAATTGTATTTCACCAGCGCTTTCTCTACCCACATGCATCCTGTATGCCACCACATCCATTGCTATGTCCTGCGTAAGGCGTCCTTCTTGTGTCGGGACTTCCCCCGTCCCAGCAGCCCGGCCCTGTTGGCGAGCATGCTGTGGGTGGCGGCGCTGGATGATCGGGCCTTTGCGCTGCCCATCTCCCCGCCCCAGCGGAAAAAGATCTGCCAATTCCTTTGCGCGCTCACCATTCGGTTGCTGCGGCCGTTGATACACGTTTCATTCAAGGAGCAAGGGGGGTCTCCGGCTAACGACCCGACGTATGCCACTGTTGGCCAGGAATGTCCTCCTACTACGGTCCATCATCCCTTCGAAGGAGGGGGGGACGACCGCGGATTGGTCGGGCCTGCAGGCTCCCTGGACGATGTGATCACCTACATCCATGTGGCCTCGATCATTTCGTCCAGCGAGCAAAAGGCTGCCAGTATGCGATGGTTGGTTTGGACTCACCCGACGTCTATATCCAGGTACATTGCTGACCAGTTTACATAGGTGGCATGCGGCGTTTACCCTGGCGAGAGAGCTGAAATTGAATCAGGAGATCGAGGTGATGCCGCATGTTGACGGCCAGACGGAAGGCTCGAGCCCATCGTTTGACTATTCGCTGCCCGGCTGGAACGGAGTGGACACGGGCCCCTTGTTCGATTACTCCAACCCGGCGCGACCGAGTCTCAATTGCGTCTGCGACCGTGGCCGCGATGCGCAAGGCACCATCTCCGAAGAACATCGTGAAGAACGGCGCCGTACGTGGTGGCTGCTGTACATTATGGACCGGCATCTCGCCTTGTGTTACAATCGTCCCCTGGCCCTGTTGGATGCCGAAAGTGAAGATCTTCTCTTGCCGCTGGATGAAAGCTCGTGGCAAGCCGGCAACATACACAGCAACAGTCCCAAACCTGACGGACCCCAATGCGTGCTCTCGGGAGATAAGAACAAACGACGTGTGTTCCCCAACTTCGTCTGTCACGACCACTCGATCTTTGGCTTTTTCCTACCCCTGATGACCATCACCGGCGAATTGATCGACTTGAACCAGACGCGCAATCATCCCATGCTCGGCGTGCGCCTGCTGGGAAAGGATGTCTGGGAGGTGCAGGTCAGTGAGGTTCTGCGCCAACTGGAAATCTACAAAGCCAGCCTCACGACCTTCGGAGCCGCTACCTCGGAGCCCGAGGCGTCGTTGTCTTCGACCTTCCCTTCATCTAAACCGGACCAACCGCCTGTCTCCGAACCTAGCCTGTCGCAGGCGTACTCCTGGCACACGCAGACGGTCGTTTCTTATGCCTCTTATCTCGTACACGTCCTCCATATTCTTCTTGTGGGCAAATGGGACCCCGTTTCTCTCATCGAAGACAAGGATTTCTGGACCTCTTCCCCGGCCTTTGCCTCCACCATCTCTCACGCCCTCGATGCTGCGGACTCCGTCGATCAGATTCTTCGCTTTGATCCGGACATCAGTTTCATGCCGTACTTTTTTGGCATTCAGCTGCTGCAGGGCAGTTTCCTTCTCCTACTGATAGTTGAACGGTTGCAGAAGGAAGCCGGCGAAGGTATTCTGAACGCCTGCGAGGTAATGATCCGTGCCACAGAATCCTGCGTCGTGACCCTCAACACCGAATACCAGCGCAACTTCCGCCAGGTCATGCGCAGTGCTGTCGCCCAGGCGCGTGGACGCCCAGTGAATCACAGTGAGATTCGCCACCGACGCAAGGCCGTCCTGGCTCTCTATCGATGGACCCGCAAAGGCACAGGGCTGGCCTTGTAAGCGTGTCTACTACGCCTATGCTGATCTTCGGCTTCCTATTTTCCTATTTTTTGTTTCTTCGAACCGCGTTTTTCTTTTTTCTTTCTTTTGTTTCTACGGACATACTTCAGGGGCTCCCGAAGACTACTTTCGCTGCTAACCTGGTAAATAATTGATGTGCCTACGGCGGGTTATGAAATGCGTGATATGTATATAACATCTGTACAATGTGACTTTGTGTGGTTAGACCTAGGCGTCGCACCGGACCCCCGAGTCGGAGTTTGACATGATGAGCCCAAGCTACCCCCTCTTTCGCTGCTCTGCTCATCCTCGTCCTCGTCACAGAGCTTGGCTTTGCTGCCATATTTACAACCTCCAATCGACTATATCCAGGTCTAGATATATAGCAACCTCGGAATTTACAACCTCGACTCCCTTGCCGGGGCAAAATTAAACCCCTCGTCCTTTCCAATTGCCTTCACGATATCATCCACGCTGTTCAAGATCCACGTATTCCCCTCATCGCTCGCTAGCCACTTGGCCGCCTCTTCGCTCTCGACGTCATTTACCCACGCCGAGTCCTCGACAGCCTTCCGTAAACCAAACACATGCGATAGCACCTGCGGTCCAACACCCGTCTGGGCACGCAGACACGCAATCGCCACAATAGATGTCGCCAGTCGGCCCACATTTGCCCCCGTTGAGCGCTGCGGATCAGACAGGAGAGCACCGTAGTTGAAGTGCAGGATATGCACGGGGAGATCCGGATGCGCGTCGTCCAGCTTGCGGTATAATTTTGACTCGAAGGGCCGGTAGATCGAGTCCCAGAGATCGAGTTGATGAGGGCCTTAAGGCTACTGGAGAGTTTTAACATGTTATAAAGATATAACTGTGCTAATATTATCAGGTGCGTTATGGCCCGGCAGAGAAGCTAAAGTATGAAGAGTGAACTAATAGGTATAAAACCAGCGATGATAAATAATAACGGCGAACCTCCATCACGTGTTGCCCACGATCGGTGACAGAAAAGGGCCGAGTGTGGAGAACACCGGCAATCCTCCTGCCTCCATACTCTATTAATCTATTTATGATAACTACACCTGCGAATATACCTCAAAGCAAAGCATTCCCGGGTCAATCCCAAAGGTAATATGCATGATGACGTGGAAAGCAGTTACTCGGACGTATACTCGTTTTCAACTACGGCAATAATAAGCGCATCATGTCTTAGATTATTATTTTAGGCCTGCGGATTGGCTCTTATATCAAAATCCTGCACCTTTGGCCATAGACAAACATCTTTGAGCGCAGAATCTGCGACCTGGAAAGCCTATGTTGAAGCACCAGCAATTGAGGGGCCGATGGTCATTCCAGGGGTGCAGATGATAAGCAATTGGAGTGTATATAAGAACATGTTTAGTTCGCATTGCCTCCAATGATCAACCCAGTAAGCGTATGATCTGCCTCCGTTGCATAGGACCGGGCCCGAGCCATACTGGCGAATCATGCACCGTTTCGGCTGGGGCTAGCATTCCTCTTCAGGGGCAAGTTTTGGACGAAGTACTCCGTGGGCACATCGGAACAACGCATGCACACGAGAACGGGATGGCTCGTGATCCGGGGGCAACAAGGTCATGGCGCCGTATAGTTGAGGCTCGGCAGACCTACCAGCAAATCACCGGGTACACTTATGTGGATATATCGGATATTCAGGATCTGGGAAGGAGGATCTCCAGCGACCAAAGGTCAGTCTACTTGGTGATCAAGTTCGTCTCCACGTCTGGTCAGCCCGTACTCCGGCCTGTCCGTCCGTGGGTGAGATCGACAACGATGGACCCATCTCCAATGTGAGACTGTCTCGAACTCAGAGCCGACCGGTGGGTGTGGAATGCCAGAGAATGCATCTTTTGCCGAGCAGATTGTTCGCCAGGCCTATGCCGCCCAGAAGGACGTGACTAGCCCCAGGGTGTAGGGGATTCGGTGGCAAACCAAGGGCTGCATCGTAATCTTTCCCAGATAAATTGGTTCGATATCAGCCGGGCAGACTCTGGGGAAAACGGGTTGTCAATCGGCAGAAAACCGTGAACTACCCCAGACCACATCCGGGCCGAGACAGGCGGACGACTCGGTTAATTTCGGGCCAACCGAGAGCGAGTGGCGTGGCGGAGATTTTCAGGGGAATCTGGGGAATCGAGGCAGGCTCGGTTAAATGACCGCCGCTCCTCTCCACATGCTTCCTCCTCGACCATACGGTTCCAAGTCCACTCCAGATACTCCATGGATCCTATTTTGCCGATGGGCTCCGGTGCCACGATGCTGTCGGTTCTTTTGCCTCCTGCCGTGCGTTGTGCAAAGCAAGTCACTTGCCTGTTTCAGGATTCGGCGGAGACGGCGAAATGAAATAAAGGCGTCGCTTCCCCGGACTTTCCGGGTTGGTTGTTTCCCACTTCAGATCTATGTTCTTGGTTTCTTGATCCTTGATGGTGAGACAGGAGTGAGCCGAGTTTTGCTTTAGAACCATACTCTGTGCCAGGATCCTCCCTTGCTTTAATAGTTGAGCTCGCCTTGACTGTGCTGCCCGTCGCACGACTGATTATCCTCCCGGAGTGTCATGAGTGTTGGCTGGTGATTTTCAATTCAATTCAAGTCAAGTCTCTGTTCGTCAAACCCGCGTTGTTGCGCCAACCGATGAAACATTGCTCCGAAATGGCCGATGGCACTCCTCCGTTCGAGTTCCCGACGTGGTCGCTGGATGCGTTGGACGCTCCGCACGCCCTCGGCCTGGACACAGGCTTTGTGAACGAGGAAGAGCTGCAGCAATGCCAATTTCCCGCTCCAGGATACGACGGGATGGCGGCCCAGCTCCTCTTGGGCAATAACCCCGGGCCAACGCCCATGGAGCAGCAGATGTCGGCAAAGACGGACAATTTTTACGACCCGCTGACCAACTACGCGCCGACGGACGCGGATAAATTCCCCATGTACGCTAGTTAGTCCTCATCACGCACGCAGGGCACCGGACTGACTGACCGAGGGACTTTAGATTCCCACATTTCTACCCGCTGTCCAAGGACCCCCTCTCGCTCGATGACTTGTTACGATCCACCTCGCAGGTGGCCACCGAGCGCGCGCTGTACATGAACAACGCGACACTGCAACAGCAGCCCATGCCCGTTTCGCCCTCGTCTTTGCTAGACCCCAGCGCCTCCCCCGGCACTAGCCACGGATCGTACAGTGGAAGCGATGATGGCTGGGAATATCATGCACAGATGATGGATCTTCCCGAGGCATTTGCGGCGGCGGCTGCAAGTGACGACGACGAAGGCCTGACTCCGCTGGAAATGCCCGACGGTAGCACTCGCTTCACGGCCAATTGGCTGCCGGTGGATCCCCAGGGTGGATTCACCATCGGCTCGCCCGAAAAGCCTCGCTCGGCCGGTGCAGGTAATCTCTTCGACCGCGAGTTCATGAATTACCACAAGGAGGCCTTCATCACCACCGACGCCGGTGTGTGACCATGATTCCACCGCGACCAAGCAATCCAAACCAAAGACAAACGGGCCGACCCTTCGACTCTGCCCGTGGAAACCCATCCCCCAGACTGCGAGTCTGGCCACTGACCACCCCGTTCCTTCAAGAGACCGTTGGAGACGGGTCCCGGTTGGTCGGGGTCCGCGATATAACCGACTTGACCCGGGCGACATCGGTCCCAGCCCTCGTCGCGGTAGAACCGCGAAAATGGGCCCATTATTGATGGGGACAGATGCTACTGCACCAAGGGAATCTTGGGGGGTCTGCTGAACATGCAGACTGCAAGCAGCAAGTCTAATCATTTCCTAGTGCGTCAATAGTGCCAAATTTGTGAGCCACCACGAGCATTGCTTTGAAATATCCATGTGTTCCTGAATGTTACCAAAAAAAAGAAGAATAAAAAAAAAAAAAAAAAAAAAAAAACCAATAAACAGGTAGACGAGGGCGTTCCGCTCTCTCCCAATCCCAAAAGTCCAAATGTGCGGAAGACGCCTGTATCCGATTTATCATGCCCGAATCCGACACCAATGCCAAAATCGCTAAATCTGAAAAACAATTTGATATCCAACCCGGTAATTTAAAAACGAAGAAAGAAAGAAAGACCAAGGCCAAAGCCAAACACACATCCTCATTTGTACTCAGGCTTGACGGCAGAGGAAGTGCACTGGTTCGAGAATACTGGGAATTCCAGCTTCTTCCCGATGTAACGGAAGACCTCGACTAGGAATTCCTTCTCAATCATGCCATCTGCAAACGCATCCAATGCCGTTCGTAGCACAAACATGATCCGCGACACCAGACAACCCGGGATATTCTGGATGTAATATTTCATGCTGCGACAGATGTTGCAGGCAAACTGGTATCGCTCCTGCAGTCCCAACACACTGACTAGACCACTGTCCGTGGCAGAGATGACCAAGCAAAACGCCCAGTAAAAGCACATGGAAGTAGCAAGCAAGATATCAGGATACTGTAGAATTGTGGCGGTGGTGGTATGCATCGTGCTGGGGTTCCGGCATCTGAATACTGGGAAGCCGTCTGCCGTCTCATCGTCCAGTTCCTCGCTGGGTGCTCCAAGTGGATATGTGTCGGCATGCACCGTCTTCCACGAGTTTAAGCGGGCCTGGAGGTCGCCAGCTTGTTCCCATATCGCGGACTGCATCGCTACCAGCTGACTTGGGGCCGTGGTGCCTTCCTGTAACAGGGCCATGAACTCGTCAATTCGATAAAGGTACCCGGGAATATCGACGGCGATATCCAAGAGCCGATGTAATATATCTTTTGATGCGGCATCATCCGGCCAAGGGACGCTCAGCCACTCTTTAGACGCCATGAAAGTTGGCTTTCGATGCACGAGGGCGGCGGTGATCTAACATCGTGAGCAACCGACCTAGCTGACAAGATCGTGAGGAAGATCCACCTACCCAGTAGAGTCGGAGATCGACAAATAACGACCGCTCGATGCCATAGCGGTGCCGGTATGGAGTTCGCGTGCGGAGAAGCTCGAGGCCTCCGAGTTGGTGCCTGAAGATCGAATCGCTGGAGCTTTGTTTGAAGGCCTACATAACGATGAGCACGGTCACGGTCAACGGAGGCGTGCCAACGGACCTCAATTATGGTGGCCAGCAGGATGGCAACCAGTACTTCGGTGGAGTGACTCTGCTTTGGGTCGTACAAAGCATTCTGCAGTTGTCGCAATACCCGAACATACCGCGAGTGCCCGGCAACCTCGACCGACAGGTTTCGGTCCCTGCGACCGGCAAACGTGAGCGACGCCGCCTCAAAGGCGTTACATATAATGGGCGATAACATTCGCATTTCCGAGGCCTCGCGCAATGCAATGGTCCCACCATATTTCGCGTGATCTTTGGGGCTAAAGTTGCTGATCAAGCGTTCGACGAAGAGATCCATCACAGCGGTAGCTAGAGCCGGGTCCGTCAACTGTTTTTTGGAGTGTGATAACGAAGAGGCTGCGCCAGATGCTGCAGTGTGGTCAACAATCGTAGAACTGGACCTCCAGCTTTATTCAAAGCGACGGCACGTGGAGCGGTGGAATGGGTCGGGAAGACTAAGAGCGAAAGGATGTTCGCGTACAGGCTTGTTGCGACCAAGAATCACCATCTTTGTCCAACACTCGAGTCTCCGACCGCTCAGGAGGGGAACCTTCCGCCAGATCCGGCGCGTCCTCGATTGTCTCGTCATCCCCGTCGGACCGGATGCGATATAGGCCGCCGCTACTCTCCTCGTGCTTTATGGGGGGCAGGTTCGCAAGGCGGCGAGCTTCGTCCAGCTGGCGCCGAAGGCTGTCACAGGTTCGCGTGAGGTTTTCGATGAGGGTGGATTGCTGAATATAATGCCGGTCTTTCTTGCTGGTGCCATACTCGCACTCCGACGGGGTGCCTCGAAGACAGCATGCCCCGCATGGCTTCACTCTGTCGCACTGCGTTGGGATGAGATGGATTAGCCACGGGCAAAGTGTGGTCGGGCGCAAGGGCAACGCAACGGGCAGAAGAGGATTGACGCAACGATGTTCTCACACACTCTCCAATCTGCCGCGTATGAGACCAGGCGGACTTGGCAGGTTGACCAACCTTGACTTTGCGCTTGTGGCAGTTCAAGCACGAATATGTGGGTCGGATCTTCTTTCGCGCCCCGATTGTGAAGCCGGAGGAGTCGTTCTTCGGTCGGCCATCGTCGGGATAATTGCTCATAGCTGCAACAGGGCCGGCGCGGAACAAGGGGGAGGAGGAGGTTGCTCGTGGTAGTTATCGAAAGACCGATTGTCGATGACAACTGGGAAGGGGGGGGGGGGGAGAAGATGAGGAACAAAGTCGTTGGCCACTCAAGAAGTTGGACTTGGGTTGAACAGTGCACAGTTGGTGGGGGGAGTCCAGCCGGATTATTGGAGAAGCCGTGAGTGAGAATGACGACTCGATCCTTTTCCCTCGACGTGATCCCGATCCCACGGTTCACCCGAACCCTATGCATTAGCAGACCGCATTTTGCAACGACCTGGGCGGGGGATGGAGATGCCGTCGCACCACTGGGGACACTTGAGGCTGGTGACATGTCAGAATTGAGGCATCCGTCTCCGCACATTTAAATTGCGCCAGGGGCTGGTCCATTCCTCCTCCCTTCCCTCTCCGCGCCGTAATAGTATCAATTCCCTTCGGATGCCTTGCATACGTTCCTGGACTCCGAACTTTCGCCGATGTTCGACAGCGGGAAGGAATCTGGCTCTCGACTGAAACATTTGAGGAGCCTGCAGGGATCGGCAGGTTGGTTTTCCCGCATCCTCGCGAGATCGTCGTGGCAGTGCTTTATGTGGAAAGGTGCTGGGGAACCTCATCCCCCCCTTCAGACATTCGTACCAAAGGTACACATGGCATTATTCAAAGAACCAAGTTACGCTGAACTACGAAACTGTAAGACGTGCCCCGATGACGGTACACAGTCGGTGGAACTACTGCTGCGAAATTGCAGGGCCAAGTCGCGCGAACGACAATGTATTTGGCTAAGAGTAATAGTCTAGTTGTGAACACTGGCATAGACCAGGCAAGCGAATAAATACAAGTGCCCATCCAGTCAACGGGACTAATGCTCGCAGTGGGAGCGAGGGGGTTCAGGTGTGTGGACCGTTCCCCGTAGCATTAGTCGCAGGAACGGAGCCGTCGAACTTAGAAGCCAAAGGCACCGAAGAAGGGAAACTTGTGCTTCGACTCAGACTCGCCAGTGGGAGCAGGCGAGGGCTGACCCGCCGGGAACCCCGAAGGGGTGCCGGTGGGGATGGGGACGGGCACGGTGATGGTCTTCCAGCCCCAGGAAACGTTGCTAGGGGTAGGGAACGGAGTGCCCCAGGGACCAGCCTCCGACTGGGCGCCAGAGTCGGGAGCGAAGCGCTTGGCAACGGACGAAGAAGAGGCAGCCGCGGAGCTGGACGGGACGGCGCCAGAAGTCGCGGCGGCGGAGCCACCGACGGTGGCCGTCGCGCTGGCGGAGCTGCCCAGCTTGCCGATACCCGCATGGGCCAGGACGTACGAGGAAACCTTGCTGGCGGGCTTGACGGTGACGTTGCCCTCGCCAGTGGGCCAGCCTGAGAGAACCGACTCGTCACTGGCGGACAGTTTACCCGAGTCGGTCAGGACGTTGGGAACACAGGCGCGGCCCAGCTTAGAAGTGCAGGTCGACGCGTCGCTAGAGCTGGCGGCAAAGGTGGAGCCAGGGTTGCTGTCGTCCTCAAAGGGGGTCTTGACGCTTTCGAAGACATTGCCTTCGATCAAAGCGTTGGTGTTCTCGCCGACGTCGAAGGCATGGCCGGAGTTCTTGGTCCAGTAGTTGTTGTAGGCGTGCCAGTGGCTGTTGAACTCGAGCTTCGGAGAGCGGCCAGAAGTGTGATGGATGTAGTTGTTGGCGAAGGTGACCTGATCGCCCTTGCCGTATCCGAGCCTGGTGGATGATATTAGCTGGCGGGAACAGAGTGCTGGGGCTTTGAGAGGTAGGAAGGCTCTGCACTTACACGCTCCAGTAATGATGGCCATCGCAAGAGGCAGACCAGCTAGTGCGGCCGTCGAATTCACTGTTGGAGATGGTCACGCTACCGCCTATCGGCAGGATCAGTATCTGTCATCGAAGAAACCCTGTCCAACAGGGGCCAGGAGGGAGAGAAAAGGATACTTACTAGACTTGTATCCAGACACAAACATTTGGCGGCCAACGAGGTTGACCTTCACATGGTCAATCCAGATGTTGTTGGTGCCATCCAAAGTGATGGCATCACCGCCCCAGATGTACTGAGGGTTGAGCTCGGTGATGTGGAGGTTTTGGATAATGACGTTGTTCACACCACTGGTGAGACGCAATCCCTTGCCACGAAGCACGCCCGCGCTACCGACGCCAACAATGGACTTGTGGGAGGCGACCTCCAGACCCTCGAGACCAGCGTTGTCGTAGGTACACTTGGTGGTGGGATAGTCGCCGCACCAGTCGGATCCGTCGGTCTTGATGGCGTTCTGACCGGAGCTGCCGCAGCTGTTGGAGTCGGGGATGCAGCACTGGCAGTCAGTGCAGGTGTCCTCGCTACCAATGAAGTTGAACTCCTTGTCGATCAAGATCACCCGAGGGGTGTCATCCGAGAGCCAGGACTTCAATTCAGCCAGGTCGCTGGGGGCGGCAGCGGCGGCGTCACCACCGCCAGTAGTACCGCTAGCGAATCCAAAAGGAGTGCCAACGACTCCCTTGGCCTGGGCAGAAACACCCAGTAGGGCAGTGGCTGTCAATAGGGAACGAAGAAAGGCCATTCTAGAAAGGTTTCCGGGAATGGTCGGAAGGAATGAAGTGAAGTTACAAAGAAAACAAGCGAACGTGAATAAGTCAAAGGAGGAACTGAGCCAGCAGTCAATGAAAGGAACGTGTGAGAGAAAGACTAAAGATCGTGGATGAGCGAGTGGTGAGGATTGCTGTTGTGAGAGGTTCCTGGCATCTAGGCCGGTTATATAGGATATGATTGTCGAGTGTACTCTGCCTGAGAGTAGTACAAAAAGATCACTGGAGTTCCAGGGACCAGAACAGAAGCCTCCACTCCACGCGTCATCAAGCTCTCCCGCGCGGAGTCTGTCGGAGATTGATAACCGTCTCTTATGGTGAAACGGATGAGTGGATGCCTAGCAGACTCGATTCGGACGTTTTCCACGAAGCGCAGTTCTTCCGCGTCGATCACTTGTTCTTGGAAAGGTCGAAGCCCTCGCCCTGGAAGCTCGCAAGCTCACCTAGCCCATGGTCGACAAGTGGCAGGATGAGACAATTCCATTGACGATCGGTCCTACCCGGACCGGGTTGGGACGTTGTTGGCGGAGAAAACGTAGTGATCGTCAGGGCGTGGTGACCCGTGGGATCCACGCCCGATCCACCACCAGAGATTAATCTCGTCCCAAAGAGCGCGCCCATCCCATTCCGTCCGTGAACCTTGCGCGGTCAAGCTTGATCTGGGTGTAAGTATACCAAATCACGGAGTGGGCAATAGCGGTTAGAGAAGACGATCACTCTGTGCCGGTTTATTGCCGGGCAATCAATCCACCACAGTACCAGAGCCACTGGACACGAGTCACGATATTAAATGCATATTCATCGCATGCGCGATAATTTCGATCCGTATACCGCTTGCGTTGTCGAGAAGGTTCCATGACTTCGAATGTATTAAACCTTGGTGATCGGCAGGCTGGCTGGCAAACGATAGGCCTCATGGCCGCGTATGCCTTGAATTCCATTCTCCTACTCATCAGACCATCGGCCTTGCAATAAAACATTCCCGCGCATCACACCGTGAAAATCATTAATACGTCGTATAGGCGTAACGTCAACGCTTCCAAGAGAGCGACAAGACTGTTTATCGGCGCAAGGGTGTCGTGGCGGTGAAAGAAATTGACGATCCCATCATCCCAGGCTAATAGGGTTGTTGCCCTTGGATTCGTGCAGGCAGAGTCGGCGTCACGGGTCACTGCTCCTGGTCAGTTAACGGTTCTGCAAAATGGGTTGTCAATATTCGAGCCCATCATACAGCTAACATGTGAGCTCCTGACCTCTTGCACGTCTATCTAATCGGCCTCTCCCTATCATCAGAACACCTCTCTTGAAGTTACCGTCGATGGTCGTGGGTTCGCAAGTCTCAAAGAACTTTTCTAGACTCTGTCCACTTTAAACTTCACCCAGCGCAAAGACCCGTCCGATAGATAGCCATAAAGTTGTCGAAGCTGATTGGTTTGGACTAGATGGAGTCTAAAGCGCCTAGGTACTATTGTAACATGGTTGGTGTTCAAGTCCAGTTGATTGAACGATTCATTAATCAGCCAAGGTGCCTGAATTATTAGTCGATTTGCCATGCACGCTCACTAACGACTTCAGCACAAAGCCTATAGCGTCTTCGAGAATCATAACCGGATCCCGAAACCGAAAAGTACGGATTTCGACCCATCAATGGCTCCTCGAAGCGAGACGAGGTAGCAGCAGGCAACAGAGATCCCGACAAGCCTATTGGCTGCCAGATCCCTGAGAGTATGGAGTGCTGTCAAGGTCCTCAAGACTCAGCCCTACGACCGACTCCACAAAGAAAAATGGAAAAGACCGGTCGTAATTATTTGGGAGCTTGAGCAAAGCTTGTCAAGCAAGCTATGTGAAGGCATACCGCCAGGGAACCTGAGTCTCCACGTCCCATGTACCAGCGAGAACTCTTTCAATTCAAAATCACCTACAGCAAATTGAGGGGACATTCCAGGTATGAGTGGAGAATTTTTATAGAATAAACCGGGCACTGGGCCACACAAGGCGAGAGGATCTGTCTGCTTATGGTCAGTGCTCATACAACTCGTCGGCTTCGAAATAGACGGGTCTACCAGCGTACAGGCTATCTTTCGGACCCTCTCAAGGTCCTCATTGCTTTAGTATAAAAGTCCTCGTCCCAGTCAAGTATCCTTCCCCGTATAGACAAATTGCTTCTATTTCTTTACGGGTCGGCACCATGTCATCCTTCAATGCCTCTCACGTTGATCTGAACACAGCCAGCAAGGAGGACGTGATCTGTTACCTCTCGTTGTCAGAGAACGATTACAACGGTCACTTGGGCGCTCGCATCTCCTCTATTTTTGTGATTTTCGTGACTTCGACAATTTTGACACTCTTCCCCGTGATCGCCAAGCGGGTTCCCCGATGGAAGATTCCCTACCACGTCTATCTTTTTGCGCGATACTTCGGTACCGGCGTCATCCTAGCGACCGCGTTTATCCATCTCCTCGATCCAGCTTACAAGCGCATTGGCCCCAAGACCTGCGTGGGCGTTTCGGGACGCTGGGGCGACTATTCTTGGTGCGCTGCCATTGTGTTGGCATCCGTGGTGACGATTTTCCTGCTGGACCTCGCCGCCGAGGTGTATGTGGAACGCAAATATGGCGTAGAACGCGAGGACGGGACGACCAACTTTTTTGTGACGACAAATTGCCACTCCAACGCGGGGACGAGAGCCTCCAAACCCGACGAGAGTCAAAGCGAGGCGACTTCGGTGGCCTCTGAACAAGCTTTCCGCCAGCAGTTCGCTGCTTTCCTGATCCTCGAGTTCGGCATCATCTTCCACTCGGTCATCATCGGGCTAAATTTGGGGGTCACCGGTGACGAGTTTGCGACTCTCTACCCTGTACTCGTCTTCCACCAGGCATTTGAGGGGCTGGGGATCGGGGCGCGCATGTCGGCTCTGCATTTTGGGACGCGCCGGTGGCTCCCGTGGGCACTCTGCCTGGCGTACGGGCTCACCACGCCGGTTTCCATCGCCATCGGGTTGGGTGTACGTAACTCCTACAACCCCGGGTCGAAGACGGCATTGATTGTGCAAGGAGTGCTGAATGCCGTCTCGGCTGGAATCCTGATCTACAGCAGCTTGGTGGAACTGCTGGCGCGAGATTTCCTCTTCGACCCGGAGCGTCCCAAGCGCCGATCGCATCTCGGGATGATGGTGGGATGTACGTTACTGGGGGCAGGCATCATGGCGCTAATTGGCAAGTGGGCATGATAAAATGGAGGATGGAGGATGGAGGATGGAGGGTGAGGAGAGGAAGTTCGGTACCTTAGGCACTTCGTACGACGGTGGGGCGGAATGGCGCTAAGGTAATACTGAGTGGGGGCAGGAAGAGTTTGCATTGTTTGTCATGCTTGCCTAGGAACTATACCATCTACGGAGTTTGTACGTATACCTCCTGTGCATCGGGTCCCGAGCCTGAAGTATAAGGTGTATCCTATTGTGATTGCCTAAATCATGCACGTCCAATGCACCTTCGGCGTCTCCCCCTTCTCCCTCCCTCCCTCTCTCCTCCTCCACCTCCCTGCCCCTGCTTCCCCCTCCCCCATCCCCCAGTGCTGCAGTCACCCAGCAGTATGGACTCATCCCTAGTGTCCTCTGTGGATTCTCAACTTCATTTTCTCTCATGAAAGCTTATCTAAATCCCTACTTGACTCCTAACGCCGTCCCCTCCCCCGAATCATGGGGAAACCCAACCCAGATGCCCTGAAGCCCGTTCTCTCCCTCACCGACACTCTCGATACCATCGAGCAAACCTACAAGGAATCGAAGGTCATAGTGGTGGGCTGCTTGGCCTCGTGGACACTCTGTCGCCTCAACTTTGGCTTCGTGTGGCTGGTTCTGCTGCTGGCTGTCTGTCGTACTCACTACCAGGTCTCCATCCGCCGAGTCGAGCGCACCATTCGGGACGAGCTTCGGCGGTACCACGGGAGCAAAAGGCTCCAGCAGGGAGAAAGTGTCGAGTGGATCAACGTGGTCCTGGGACGTGTATGGCATCTCTACGAGCGTCGCATCTGTGATCACATCGTGCGATATGTCAACGCCGGCCTCGCTCGACCGGGCAGCGAGACACCCGCCCAGAAGGTGACGGTCCAATCGCTGGCCTCGATGGATCAGCCCCTACGGTTCTCCAAGTTTACCATCTATTCGAAACCGGAGTCTCCCAACTTGATCCTCGAGGGTCACTTTCGCGTGGACCTGGCGCCACCTTGGATCTGGGACCCTCGCCACCATCTCGTAGAGCGATCCCACGCGGAACCGCTCATCGACATGACCATCGTCCACAATCGGCAGGACCACCGGCATCACGATCTCTTGGTGCAAGTGAAGCAGTTTACGGGGATGGGGACGCTGCGGCTGGAGATTGACTTTGAGAGCGCCGAGCCCCGAATCCACCCGCCGCAAATCGAATTTCTTGATCAGCCGCTGATCGACTGCACGATGCGTACGGTCAGCCAGCACCATTTCCCCTTCCACTTCGCCCATCACGTCGACTGGCGCAAGGTAGTGGGTATGCAGATCCGCGAGGGGCTGGGATGGGCCTGGCATCGGCCTCTGCCCCTGCCCTTCTTCCACAAGCTAGGGCAGCGTCTGGTGGTACGGATGATGACGTGGTGGTGGCAGTTCCATCGAGCTTATCACGACTAGGCAGGAGGCGATCGCTTTACCCGAGAGTCACGGCCGACCGAGGAGAGTATTCCTCCTCGTCGTGGCGAGGAGGATTGGGTCAGAGTGGATCCCGTCTGCCCCGTAGGGCTGAACTAGCAGTCCGCGGAAAGTCGAAAACAGTGTTGCCTAGCACCATCCAAGGACCTTGGCCCTCGGGGCTTGGAACTAGGGGAGGTCTGCAGATTCAGAACACAAATTGTTCCGATCTCCTTGCGTCATTAATATCATCACCCCACCGGTGCACCTCGCACACCGACACTCCACTTGCCCACGATGCCGAGTGATTTGGTCAGGGTGTTACAGAGTAGGGTCTTGAAAATACGTCATGTCATATCGATATGTATGGTGCAGCATATTTGCTTCGGTCGGTCTACAGCGAAATACTACTACTAGGTTAGCGAGGGAATAATTCGTCGTTAGCACTATCGTTGATCCTAGTAACTGTGGCGTACAACCCGAATTTTTTTAAAAAAAAAAAAAAACAAGATGGTATTGTATGTTGTGTAGACAGCCCCGGGAAAATATATATCTCACAATGATGTCGTAATCCTAAGCATCAAAGAACCATCATGACTCTGCTACTCATGTACACTCTAGCTACCCTTGACTAGGAACACCCTTCACATTGCAGAATTCGATAGCAGCCCGATTATTTTGGCCCTGGACTCCAGGAGGAATTGGTTTGGAAGGTGGTGAGGTGCCTGGGTGCCTGAGTTTAACACTTGCCGAGTGCCGATCGGGTGATTGCTTTGAGGCCTGGCAGGAGACATGGCCTCATGCTCCCTCATGCTCCCTCATGCTCGGTAGTATTCCATTTCAAACGCCTGTCTCCCCGTACGAGGTCGACCAGCTGGGACGGGAATCACGTGGTCATTGATCACGTGCCCCCCGTGACACGGGGTCGTCTCCGGTTCGGTGGTCGCCGCGACTCCATCCATTCCGCCGCTCCCTCCAAACAGGGACCAAGAAACCCATGGGTCTCCCTCTTCCAGCTACAATGTTGTCACCTGCAGCTACGCAGCCGGGTGAGTGACCAGTGTGCCACAGTATCTCACGCTCATTGCTCGATATTCTGCAAAAGACCTGCACCACTAATTAATATCGATGAAACTAGCGAACCGTCCCCTTAGTCTAGCTTGCCGGCTCGTCGAGTACTTGCTTGCCATTCATTCTCGCACATGTCATACCGGCTCTGCAGGGGCAAGATTAATGGCTTTAGATCCCCAGCCCTCGGCCAAATGCGCTGGATGACCGACGGACATTCTCCTTTCTTTCCGCCGATCGGTGGGAATAAAACTGGGTCCATCCGAGATAAAAGACTGTCTCCGGTCCCTCATAATCCCCCGTAAGGATTGGTTTTCCCTTCCAAAAATCGCCCGTTGCTTCAACTGTTCGACGCACTCCGCCGCAGGAAGCAGTAGACCATGCGACTCTTTTGCCTCGCCGGTATTCCCGGCACTCTAGCGGCCTCGTCAGGTCTGTTCAACGTCCTCTCCTTCAACGTTGCTGGTCTCCCCCCGATCTTCAACAACAACGACGTCCCCGGAGATAAAGCTACGAATTCCGAAGCCATTGGGGCCAGGTTTGCAGAGTACGGCTACGATGTGATTCATGTGCAGGAAGACTTCAATTTCCACGCCCATGTCTATAAGACCGACAACCATGCATATCGCACCGCCACTTCGGGAGGCGCGGGGTTTGGATCAGGCTTAAATACCCTGGCTAATTTTCCCTGGATCGACTTTGAGCGGATCAAATGGGATACCTGTTCCGACGCCTCGGGCGCCGACTGTCTGACGCCAAAGGGATTTACAAGTATGCGCTTGCGCTTGGATGAAGGTGTCTACGTCGACTTTTACAATCTGCATGCGGACGCCGGGTGAGCACACTTCCATGAACTTGTGTCACCCCCTGAGCTTTCAACTAAAGTTTGTAGATCCAACTCGGCCGATGTTGAGGCTCGAGGCGCCAATCTGCAGCAGTTGGCCGACTACATCGGCAACAACTCGGCTGGGAATGCCGTGCTGGTCTTCGGCGATACAAACGCGCGGTATACATCGTCAGGGGAGAAGATTCGGGTGTTTGAGAAAGAACAGAGTATGAACAATCCTTGGATACAGTTGATTCTTAATGGAGAAGAACCGAGTCAGGGCATTGATCCCTGGAAGTGCGACAATCCCACTCCGAACAACACCTGCGAGACGGTTGATAAGATCTTGTATGACGCTTTAGGAAAATCATATGTTCGTGGGCTGACAGAGACAGTTATCGAGGAAGCCGGGCTCTAAGCCTGGACGCTAAATTCTGGAATTACGAGGATGCCAAGTTCCTGTCCAACAACGGCACTATTTTGTCCGACCATAATCCTATTACCTCCAACTTCACGTGGACGCTCTCGGAGACTTTGCGCCCGAGCGATCTCTTTGGTGGACCTCACGGGTAAAATTCATCTGGAACATACCTGATGGCCGAAGGAACTAACAGTCTATGATAGCACTTGGTTCAATGATATGCCCTCGTTGCCTAACTCTAAGACCCAGAGCAAACCAAGCAACATCTTGCTGCGTGGTGCTAATCGTCTGGACGGCGTTACACTGACCATGGCCTCGGGAAAGAACTACACGCACGGCGGCACCGGCGGTGATCTAGTCAAGCTGGCCTTGAACGAGGACGAATACTGGATACAGAGCACACTGTGCCAGGGCAAACACAACAATCACACGCGCATATTCTACCTGCAGGCGGTGACGAGCGTTGGAAACAAACTGGAGGTTGGCACCCAGACGGACGATTGTCAGGAATTCAGGGCACCCCAGGGCTGGCAGGTCGTAGGCTTTTATGGCCGTGATGGCGACGAATTAGATCAGCTGGGATTTATTTATGGATTGCAATAATCCATCAGAACGTAGACTGAGCATCAGCCCCCTTCTGCACGGCGTCTAATTTCGGAATTCGCGCCCTTTCTCTTCCGCTTATCAAACGTTTGTGAACATGTAACCAGAAGTATCCTTATTACAGATAGTTTTCGAAATCAACGAGTCTTTCCCTTGGCTACTTCTGCTAACTTTGGGTCTATTCTGCCGCCGAAAAGAGCACGGATCCGATGCAAGATTGCAGGCAATCCGACAGCTCAAATGCCATGTGACAGTCCAAACCACGGCAAAGGAGAGGGGCAGAAGATGGATGATTCGGATGTGCTAAGACGAACGGAACGGTTTTAGTGTATCAAGGACAGTCGGCCGTGGCGGAAGGGGAAATGAAACCGCGAGATTCTTCGGCGGCACTGGTATACAGAAGACGATTCACGACAAATAGCTTCACCGGCACGAATAGGCCAGGATGATCCAGGTCGTCTACCTACGAAGGGGTAACTCTTCTGTTTCAGGTCGCGGCTGTTTTTGATGCCGAGGGAAGCACCATGGATCTGGCCATTGCTATGCTGGAGACGCAAGTCTCACCTTTGTGCACTACGTTTGTGATCGACTGACTGATATTCGTAGCGAAACTATGACCACCAACCACACCTCCGGTGCTTGTCACATTCCGATCAATATCTGCGGTAATCTACCGTTCTTCAGGCGATGCTAAAACCGGCGAGGCCACTAACTTTGGCATTTGTCTTGGGAGCGAGGATCACTACGACTTCAATGTTGAGGTTGCTCGCCATAGAAATGGACAAAATGGGCTGGATGACCCGATCACCGACGGCATCGCCAGTAAGTACTGGCTCCAAAGAAGACCAGAAGCGAATAACACCGATCAACCCCAACAGCCTACGAGAGCGCCATTCGATGGATCCAGGCGCAGGCCCGCTAGGGTCTAGGGGCTCACATCGGGATTTAATCAAGTCATTTGTTTAGTTGCATTGCGGAAATCAAACATAGACGTGTTCATGCAACTCGCCTTTTTCTATAGATTCCGTGTCACCCCCGGTTGGATGACCTCTAGCATTTCGCACAGCTCCTGCCAGATCTTCTTTTGTGCTGTGTCCCCATCCTCGCTGCGCACAAAAGCCGACAGCTCGTGTGACGCCACAAGGCAATTGCTCATATAGCTGCCGTGCGTCTCCGAGCCAGCTACGATTCCTGTCACTAAAGTGCGACTACCTACCTCGGTTGACCGGGCCAAAAAAAACTTCATGATCGCCATGCTCATACCAGCGTCGCGCGAGAGCCGAGAATGACAGAGCCCCGGGTTAACCATGTTGATTATTACCGCGTCGTCGCTCATGCGAACGATCAACTCGCGCAGGGCTAGAATCTCCAGCAGTTTCGAAGTAGGATACCGTTCATTCATGTCGGTGGCTCCATTGTCGTCCAGAGCCTCGAAAATGCACTCCTGTCGCCATTCGGGGAAGGAGGTGAAGGCATGGGCCTCGCTAACGACTACTGTTAGATGCGGTTTGCGAAGAGGAGATCGACGTGCCGTTTCGCGGAGCTTAGGAAGGAGTAGGAGTGCCAGGAACATGGTGTTGATGACATTGACGGTTATACTAAGCTCATGACCCTCGGCAAGCTGGAACTCCGTGGTTGCAACCGCGGCATTCTCGAGCACAATATCGAGACGTGGTAGAGCCTGAGCGCGATGTGCAAAAGCGATGACTGAGGCGTAAGAGGCTAGGTCGAGGGGCCAAACTTCGCAGACTCCTACTCGGCCGGTGGACTCCTCGATCGACCGACGGGCTTCGTCCCCGGAAAGAACGTTGCGCACGGCAAGAATGACCTTACGAGCACCAAGACGGGAGATATGACGGGCTGCCTCGAGACCTAGGCCGACATTGGCACCGGTGACGATGGCGACTTGGTCCGTGAAGGAGGCGGAAGGGGGCAGTGAGGGCGTGACCATCAGCTGGCTGCGGAGGAAGCGAAACATGGCGATTGGAAGGAAATCGAAAGAAGATTGATTGTGAGGACTCGGAGCAACCTGAGGTGAATGGAAAAAGGCATTATAGTATTATTATTCGGTGTAGTTATACTAGTACCGAACTAGGCATCTCACGCGTACGTACCACGGCTGGTCTCCGTCTGCGTTAGTGCTTATCCTTTGCCGAGTTGGACCCACGAACCCGAGCATGCCTGCCCTACCTTACGCTGCCCTGGTCTGGTCCTAGTCTCCAAAGCCGCGTGTGCACGAAGTAGTGGGTTATTTGTCTCGGTGACACCACGCCGTCGGGCTGGATGCCCTGACGTCATACCGGAACTTCGGGCTTTTCTTGCTCCGGCGACTCGGCACGTGCCATGACTTTCCTCGCGTCCTCCGCCTCGCTCTTCCTCTGCATCTCCGCCCTCCCCTACGTTCCCGACCAAATCGCCGTATTTCAAGGTGCTCATGGTAGCGGGGAGCTGGCTAACTGCAGGATACGCAGTGAGGATCATGGCTGATTGACTGTCAATGGACCCTTGGAAATACGAGCGGAGCACCATGGTCAGTGACGAAGACCGGTATGGGACGCGCGGGTGATCCATCGCTCTTGCTCGAATCACCTCCTCCAAAGCAAGAAGATCCGCATTGATCTGCCTTGCCTCTTGTTTTTCGCCGGCTGTTTGCTTGGGGCCCAGTTCACTCTTGTTGTCGAAATACTCTGACCCTGCTAAATCAACGAAAACCGGCTTGCCTCCGATGCAGGGGTATTGACGAGACAAGGTATGGAGGATCTCGGTCTCGTGCTCTTCTGCCTGTTTGACGTTGGTCTCGAACTTGGTCTTTTCTGCCTCCGCGGTGTCGATGCGCGCCTGATTGAGCTTGTATTCGGGATTCGGACGGTATCTTCCATCTGGCGTCCTCACAATAGCTCGAGATTGCTCCTCGATGTAGACATCAGTGGCGTGTTTTCCCACCGGCACCAACTCCGATTGTCGCTCCTCCACAGCCTCCCGCACCTCGAGTAGCTGCTAGGCCACGACCTCCAGTTCCAGAATGGAATGGGTTCGAGAGCTTTGATCATGTACACTCGACGAGCCAACGCTGTGATATCCCAAGCCGGTTTCAAACTCTCGGCGCATGTCCTCGGAATTCCAACAGGCTTTGGTTGTGATGGGTCGGACATGGACTTTCCCGTCTCTCAGCACCTCTGTCTTTCCTCGAATGTACACTTTCCCATTAGAACCCTCCTGAACAAAGCATTCGCATCGCCCGTTCAAGAGATCAAATGCACTGTCCTTCCGCAGTTCAAACATGCGGATCCCGAGTCCGAGTCTTTGCGTCATGCTTGCTGCTGCGTCAATAGATTCCAGTTCACCATTCAGACGACGGGCAGCAGCCAAGCAGAGGCCGAATTCCTCCGTCTCTTCGAAGTTGTATCCGATCATGGTATGTGATTTACCACTGCCTGAGTGTCCGTAGGCAAAGAAATTGCAGGCTCTGCCACGAAGAACTTCGGGCAACGTTGGCTCGACAACCGAGTTGAAGACCTGTCGGTTGCAGTGGTTTTGTTGGTATATGCCGGTGAAGGATTTTCGGCTTTTCCAGGATCGATCGCGACTCGACATCGCAATGTCGTTGTGGATAGGCGCAGCGATGGAGGGGTCTAGCTAGTAGCGAGTTACTGTCCCCTTGATTGGAGGTATACTCGATCTCCTCAGTTCCGATCGGATCGGAACCCAGAGGTCTCCATCTGACGAAGACTTTGATTGCTGCCATTCTCCATGCAGTGACTGAGAAGAAAAACGAAAAATGAAAACCACGGCAGGAACGAAGGGCCTGAGGAGCATTGTTTAGGAACAAGAACGAGTGCCTCTCGTGTCCTCCACCGCGAACCGCTCCACTCCAGGCGGAGGATTTCGGACTTTCGCAAACTACTTGTTTCCGGCTACTCTAGAAGTGTACCGAGCGAGGTTTTGGTCCCAGGGGCTAGGGTCCCTTTGACAATATATCATGCTCCCACGAAGATACCCCGAGTTTCTTATCCTCCACGCCACTAGTTTCAGCCCCGACAGAGATCACCACCTTAAGAGCATCCCGCTGGGATGCCGCCTGGAACGTCTCATACGCCTGCATCATGTCCTCAAACGAGAATCCTACCACCTTGATTAGCATAGCCCGACTAAAGTATAGGGCGGGTCAACACCCACGGTGCGAGATCAGAACCTCCGGATGGACCATCTGTGACTCTGCCATCTTTATCAGATCTGGCGTTGAAACGGCATCCACCAAGCGCGTGCGCAGGCCTGCAAGACAGTCAGCATCATGAGATCGCTTCCAGCACAGGCTCATAGGGGAGTCTACAGATATTTCGATTCCACAACCGGTCGAGATGAAGATCACATTTACTGCCAAATACCCCCAGGCTGGCAATCGTACCACCCGGCCCAACCAGCATCTGTGCCAAGTCGAAGCTCTCCTTCGTCCCAACAGCCTCGATCACGGCATCGTACCCAGCCCCACCATTAACGCCGATCGCCGCCCGGACTGCCTCTTCCAACCCTTCTCGTGAGCTGAAAGTGTGAGCTGCCCCGAGGCTTTTGGCGATGCGCAGACGCGACTCGCCTCGGCCGATTACCACCACTTGCGACGGGCCGAAAAGCCTTTGGACCAACATCAACGCAGCCAGACCTATAGGCCCGGGCCCAACGATAGCGAGCGAGGATCCGGGCTGCATGGCAGCGTTGAGCACTCCACACTCATAGGCCGTGGGGAGGATATCGGAGAAGGTGACCGCGAGGTCGCTGGGAATGCTGGCAGGTAGAATATGGAGAGAGAAGCTGGCATGCGGTACGCGAACGTACTCGGCCTGCGTACCATCGATTTCGTTGCCTAGAATCCAGCCACCCGTTGAGCAGTGTGAAGTCATCCCCTTGCGACACGGCGCACACATTCCACAGGCCGAGATACATGAAATCAGCACTCGGTCCCCAACTCGCGGCCCGCTGACGCCTGCGCCGACCGTCACGACAATGCCTACGCCTTCGTGGCCCAAAATACGGCCGGGCGTGCAGGACGGAACATGGCCCTGGAGGATGTGCAGGTCGGTTCCGCAAATGGTGGTCCAGACGAGTTTCACAATGGCATCGCCGGGTTGCAGAATCGTGGGCATGGGCCGATCCTCGATGACAAAGGAGCCAGGCTTTTGATATACGACAGCCTTCATGTTTGGCAACGTTGATTGATGAATGGGAGTGGTTGAGGGAGCGATTCAAAACCAGGGGGCATCGCGAGATGTTAAGTATGGCCGGGTCCTCCATATCCCCTGTTCGTTGGAGTGCACCGGATGCGACTCTGACATGCAGCTTGCATTGTCGTTTCCACTGGCGCGACTCGCGATCCGTGGTGGCGATGCTCGATGACCAATAGGCGCTCGAGGGTATTTTTACCTTGTCTCTAGGGCCACGACCACTACGATGCAGTCGGGCATGGCGCAAGGCCTCGACCGTGATGGATCCAGGCACTTAAGGTCGTAGAGGTTGCATGTATTAATTATGTATAATCCTCATGGGGTGACAATACAGTAGACGGAAGACAGAATTCAGGGAAGGAAAAACCAAAAAGAAAGCTGAAGAGAGGAGCGAAACACCGGCACCCAAAACAATTCACAGGGCGCTGATCGAAATACGCTTGGCGCCTGCGTTGCCATTGAATAAGGCCGAGCCGCTAGACTGTCGCAGATGATTCTGGTGCGCCGTCGGCTCCTCGACGTCCAAACTAAACCGCCGGGGTCGCTGCCACATCCCAAGGCTTTCGTCGGCCTCGGCCGCCTCAAGCTGCGAGGAGGACAGCCCAAATTTGGTCGCAATTTGTTGCACCCGTTCCTGGGCGGCCGCTGCATCAACCGCGCCACTTTGACCCTCTTTCGACAGCCGAGCCTGTGCATGCTGAAGGAGCTCAAGGTGTTGAGTCACAGCATCCACGGACTCGGCTTGATTCTCGTCGCTATTAAGCAGCTCGGCCAGTGCGGTCTCGTGGAGCGCCGCCGCCGCCAGATGATTTCCCGATGCCGTATACAGGCCCGACAGCAACTTCGTCATTTCCAGCGTCACTGGATCGCAGTTTCCCCACACCTGGCGGAGATTGTAACAAATGTCCTTACCCAGCTGCGTCGCCAAAGCCGCCTGACCACGGCAGAACCGGGTTTCGACCAGCCGCCGGCCAATCCACACGACGACAGGCAACGACCAGGTCTTCTGCACGACGCGGGACGTCCACAGGTCGGTGAGTATGGCCTATGCGTCGTTAGCACCACTCGGTCAAGGGGAGCAGGGCAGGCGGTACAGAATCCACTTACCTCGAGATCTTCAAACATTTCATGCTCGCCCAAAACCGTGACGAGATCATTTAGTTCCGAGAAAGGCAGCTCCGAGAACTCCAAAGGTTGCTCTTTCGCGTTGGACATGATCTCCTGGAGCAGCATTTGCGACTCTAGAGCCATGGTTGCCGAGACTGTGTCGTCCGAACACTTGCTGGTCTGATAGCCATTCAGATAGAGACAGATCTTGATGGCTGTGAAGATGCTTTCGGGAGTTTGTAATCCCTCCGTCAAATGCACGAAGGAATGGAAGACACCTGTTACGTCGGCAGCGTCTTGGAACTGTGAGCGATTGCAAAGTTCCCGCACCATGCTGGCCGTGGATGCTACAATGTTAATGTTGTAGTCCTTGTGCAGTGATTCTCGCCAGCAAAGATTGTAGAACTGATGAACGGAGTCTTTCTTTCGTTGCGGCGAGGCAACGGACAGACTGTTGCAAAAGTACTCATACAGCTTATCGTGAGTGTTCTGAGCCGCCGCCGCCCGTTTCTGATCTACCTGCAGGCGATGCAGCTTTTCGCCTGCCGCCAACGTGGGCACGAGATCGTGACTAGCCAGGCTCTGTTGGAAAGAGTTGTATACTTCACCTTCGCGGAACAATTCACTGAGGATCTCCTGCGAAGTTCGCTGCTGGCCAAACACCTGCTCAAAGGAAGCCACAAAGACAGCGGGGCGGTACTCATTCAAAGACTGTCGCTGAGCAGCTGGAGTCTCATGAACGACCTGTTGATGCATATCATTGATCAGCTGGTTACCCTCGTCGACATAGCCACATTCCAGATAAATCTCAGCTAGGCGGTGGGCACGATCGACCAAAGCATCGTGATTAGTAGTGACATGGACAACTTCGTCGACGTGATCTCGGAGCAGAGCAGCTCCCTCTTGACGTGATTCAGCGCTGCCTTGCTTCGCACGCATATTGGCGATGGCTTGCAACCATAAGAGCGTGTTGGGAGCGGATAGGCCTTGCTGCTGTTTGGCCATAGTCAACTCCTCGTTGTACAGGGAGTAGGCATCCCTTGATGTGTTGTTCTGCCGGATGTAGAGCTGGGCCATTTGATGCTTGATGCTAATGGGCAAGGGTTCGGACATGTCGGATAACCCGCGCGAGAGCTCGGACGCAGAGACCCAGTCGTTGGTGTTGAGCACCTGCTGGTAAAGATTGACGGCCTCGGTGTGACGTGCGCTGTTGGCACATAGGGCAGCCAGCGTGAGAGTTGCATCGCGCGTCCGTGGGCTGGTAGCGCCGTAGAGCTTGCGGCATAGCTGCTGGTGCTGTAAAGCAACCTGGTGGCGTTCGTCACGAGTCCCCTGGATAGTTGAATGCTCCAGGATAGCCATGTAACCGGCGTAAGTCTTCGGCAGTAGACCCTCCAGCAAAGCACGGTCGTAGCCATCCCTCTCATCGAATCTCACCAGTGTTGGCCATAGATGGCGGTAGACCTCCAGCGCTGCGTCCCACTTTTGCTGCTGCTCATACAGCGCTACGAGTGCGACAGAGGCGCGTACGCCAGAAGAACTAATCTTACCGTCGCGGATGCAGGCTCTGTATATATGGCGATAGCTATCCTCAGCCTCGCTGCGACGGCCCAAGCGTAAAGCTAAGTCGCCCTCGTAGTAGCGTGTGTCGATAGTGTGTTTATCATGTTCACCAAGACGCGAGGCAAAGAAGTCACTAACTTGATGCAGAAGAACAAGTGCCTTTTCGAACTGGAAGGTCGTCTCGTAGAATTCCACTACAGTCTTCACAACCGTGGTTACCGAGGGAACAGCAACCTGATCCGCAGTGATGGAGGCCTTGAAGGCATTGCCATAAACAACGGAAGCAGTATGAACATCCAATTGACGGAAAAGACAGTAGGCATGATCCAAGGCGAGGTTGGCCATCGCGGGGGCCTCGTTCGATTGGAATTTGGCCTTGGACTGTGGGTCTTCAACAGCGGGCCATGCGTGTTGCAAGACCGCTAATGCGGCCTTGCTGCCCTCTGGCCATTCTTCCGCGCGGATGTGCTGTGTCGCGAGGTGATGACACAGACCGAGAAGAGGTAGGGTTCGTTGACTGGTGCCGGCCGATGCAATCGAATCGATCAGGCCTGGCAGCAAAATGCTCTCTTCGGGGGAAAGAACGCCGATGTTCTCGACCGCTGTCCTGGATGAAATGAGGCTGCTGGCAAGGCCTTCCGCGAGTTTAACGGCTTCAGGAGAGTACTGCTGACCCGTCGCACGATAATACTTCCATACCTGTAATGCCAGGGCGCGGTCCATGTCGACAAGACCCATGTCGCGGGCTTCCACCCGTAGTTCCTCTGCACGCTGAACCATCTCCGGTGACTTGACTCCGCCGTCCTCTTCCAATTCTGCCGAGAGTTCGCGCAGGATGGCGGTTGCCTCATCGGGACGACCTCGGCGCCGCAGGAACTGCGAATAGTAGAACGCGACTTTGGTTCTTTGGTCCCACGAATTGATGGGATCGATGTCACGTGCCGAGAGCCCCGACCATAACCGAGTCAGCACTCCTTCGGCCTTGACGGCTTGGTTGCTCTCTTCATACATCTGGGCCAGACGAAGTCCTTCTGAAATACGACGCGGGTCGCTCACGTCCATCGACCGCAGCATGGTTTCATATTTGGCACGAGTGAGCTCCAACGCCAGTTCATCAGGAGGAGTAATTGTGAAATGATGCATAAGGAATTCGGCCGCTTGCATGGCTTCGGACGAATGAACCCCATAGGTCGAGACTGTTTGATGATAAAACTGTTTGGAGACACCATACGCCGACTCCTTCTGATCGCTACGCTCATACGACGTCACCAGGCGGTTCAGGTATTGCAAACGTTGAGTGAACGTGATGTCAGAGGAGCCCCAATTTGCCAGGGTCATGTCCCGTAGCGCATCCATCTTCATGCCAGTGGAACGATCTGCATGGCCTTTGCCCTCCGGGGAGGATACCAAAAGCTGTTCTAGATCCCGGCTGATAGGGTTTGTGGGTCCGAGAAGAGCCCGGCTGCGAGTCCAAGCATCGAAAAGGTGATCATTGGCCCAGGTTGCTCTGGCCCGATCCGCTGCACGAGCACTTAGGATCAGACTCTGAAGTAGAGCATGAGAATCGTTGCCCAGGACTCCACGACGCACCACAACGGACAGTCGATATAGCTCAACAATGCTCGAGCGACTGAATTGTGATTCACGGTTTGTAAGTTCCAGCTGAGCAAAGATAACCGAGGTCGGCATGGCTCGGCGGAAGGGGCCCGTAAATGATAGCTCGCGGTTGGATGTAGCAATGGGGGAAGACAGCATATGAGACAGCCAATAACGTGAGGTATATTCCAACAACTCGTAGGCGTCCATGTATCCGTCGCGGGCGCTCACACCCAGTTTGTCCCAGGCGACGACAACCTCGTCGGAGACCGATCGGCGTACCCAAGCTAGCGAGCGTATCAACAAGTCGTAGTGGGCTTCAGCTAAGGTAAACGGAACCACCTGGCTCATTATCGCCCGCGCTTGAATGTGTTCTCGGACCATGGGATGTCGGAAGGAGACAAACCCGTCCCGGACAGAAGTAATCCGGGTTAGTGGCTGCAGGACATCACGATCGATATTTGGCGTGCGAGTAGCTACCTTAAGCGACTTTACATCAACTGCAAGTAACTGTTCCACTTCTTGGATGCGGAAGGGGCGCTCTGACGCCGTTAACCACGCGAGAACACTCTGAATGCCCATCCGGTGGAGATTAATTCCGTGCAAATGCCGGTCAATTAGATCCCCAAGGGTCTTGGGAGCATTCTTGATAGCGGATACCATTTCTGAAAACGAAGACTGATGTCGTGCAAGTTCGAGGGCTAGCTGCGCCCAGACAAAACAACCTTGAGCACGAGGAACAATTGATGTTGATAGAGCTTTGGTTTGCAAGCTGTCCAGACCAGAAAAGGCTGCATCAGAGGCCATCGTGTCCTCCACGGCACCTTGCAGGTCAAGTTGAGTCAAAGAAGCACTCATTGTAAGTTGATGAGTGGTGATGGTGTCACGGACTGGCATCTGCGAATTCGTTAAAGGGCGGCTGAACACAATCAGCTTGGAAGGCGTGTTACGCTCCGAGACAGCGTCCTGTAGACGATGGAGAAAGGAGTCGACTGTAGTATTTGGGGGTTTAATCTGATCGATCCCATCCACTACAAGCAAGAAATGAAGATTCGACTGGAGCGCCGTCCGCATGGCCACCCACAGTTGATCCTCCACCTGGGGATCTGTGGCTCCTGTTTCAGCCAATTCGAGAGCCTTGGTAACCGCAGACAGGATCGAATCTTGGGCTTTTCGACTACTGACACAGTGATCAAGAATCTGTATGAGAATGTTCTTGAGGATGCTCAGCGTCAGGGTGGTAATGGGCACGTCCGACCTGATTGCGACGGGAACGACACTCCAAATGTCAAACTCTGGCGAGACCTGAAGCTTTTCCACAGTCCATTGAGCTAGTGCACTCTTTCCTGAGCCTGGGTGACCCGTAACCAGCATGAGGTTACGACGACTCAGAGTGAACGTAGTTAAATGGGGGTCAAACCAGGCAAAGGAGCCGTCCGTCAGGGAATGATTGTGGCCATCTAAGAACATTTGCAGTGGACGATCCTGAAGCTCGAGAAATTGATAGACGGCTGCAAAATCGGCGACCGACTGATCTTCCGGTCCGGTCGAGAGCGCAACTTGTGACATCCGGCGCCAATGAACGGTAAATCGGTTGAAATAGCAGAAGAAAGACCCGTTCACGGCCTCGCCTACGGCCTGCCAGTTCTGGCTACGCACCCCTTGGCGGTACTCCATGCTGATGTGCATGATCAATTGGAGTAGATGGGCGTATATTTCGGCCACTTCTTGTTGAAGAGATCGAGAAGAGTGAAAAGAACTCTCTTGTTGTAAAAGCAGCGAAATTCCCATGGTAATCCGACCGTATTGTCCGAAGATGCTGTCTAACGTTTCAATGTGATCCATACCCATCTGAGAGTGAAATATTAGGTAACTGATGCACCGGCAAGCAGAGAAACAGGGGGACGCACCTCGAGGAGCAGCAGAGTCGCTCCCCAAATCATCGTGGCGGCCTCGTCTCCGCCATCCAGAAAACCAGTGACCGAATCTCTTAACGAGGCAACAGCAAAGGCCAGGCGAGATGCCCGGCATAGAGCACCATCAAGTCGGCTTCCATCGGGTGGCATGCGGCGAAGCCTTTCGGCGGCTATGGCATCGAAAAAGACATCAACTGTCGACGATTTGGCCTGGACCTTGTTGGCTGGGATGTCGAGGTGTGAGGGACATTTGTGCGAGACGAGATCTAATGTTTCCCGGAGCACGGGGGGCGAGCTGATGCCGCCGTTGACAGCATTTCTTTCCATCTTGACTGAGGAAGACATGCTGCTACATCGGTTGTCAATGAGGAAGAATGTGACGGTGCTTTCATGGAACACAATTGACTTCGACAGCGATAGGCGACCGTTATATGATATTCCGGCCCAGCACACCATACGGCGAAGGTATTCTCATGGGAAGACCTCAAGGATCCGGGTCCGATGCAATTCTGACATCACGAGTCGTTACCGCAGTATGGATTGGTCGCCGGGTCGTCATTGAAGCTCAAACACGGTGCGAACCGTGGGTCGCCGAAGGTTATCCTGGATGTTCGTAGGCGAGAGGTATAAGCATCGAGCCTAGATTTGCCGAAGTCATGGTGTCATTTGAGAGCATGATAGAAACTTTGCTCCCGGTTGAGTCTCCCCGCAAGGCGTCATTGGCATAAGAGCTTAGACGTCGATGACATCACCGGCCATAGCTCTGCTGCTTCGAGAGAAGACAAGGGATTGACTTCATCTGCATGACATCGGTACGTTGATGAATTGCGGGGGCGGTTAGGGCATTGCAAAGAAAGGGTAATGATGATGATGGCGATGATTGCGATGGAGGATGAGGATGCTTCCGTCAGCAGACGCGATGGTCACGGGCTCGGCGTTATGCACCCCACGGCATAGCAGATGACTCAGCAACATCCTTTTGTGCGGGTGACATAAACCACCTCTCCCGTGACTGGGATCTCCTTGCCTATCGACGACCTTTCAAAATCATAGTTCCTCATCAAACCCAGCGAGCGGGAGACAGACTTTGGTCATTCCTGACACATCATTCCACAGAATGATCATGATAAGCTGCCGTCTGCTCTGCAGATCGAAGAATAGCAAGCCCGTGGCCCACAGGAGCTGATCGAGGCTGAAGCCTTGGTGCGCTTTTGGAATCGCCACTACTGCGCAGCGCGCCTCCATATTCAGAGCAAGTCCCGTACACCGAGATGTTTCCCTGAGCTTCAGTTCCTTGGACGACCCTTGTCAGCATAAGTACCAAGCATGCAGGCGAAACCGTACCTGCGCAGCCTGGCCCAATGACGGGAATGTCGTACACGTCTCGCGGGTGCCTGGATTTTGGCTGTGGCGGTATAGGCACAGTGCCAAGTTCTGTTCAGCCATGGCGTTTGGTCGTCGCCGAAATTACATGGAACCAACTGCCTGCTCGGGTGCTCGTCGAGTTGTCTAAACACCAGACTTCAGAGCTCCACTAGATCTTCTTCCCGTGGGGTCATGGTACGGATGGCATCCAAGCGCATCTGTTGTAGTCGAGAAACAGACGAGCACCGTCACGAAATTGGGATGGGAAAATAACTAGGTACTCCGTGCCTGCAGTTGCGTTCGGGGGCAGACTGCCCCTTCTCCCCTTTTTCCTTTTCACTTCTTCGTTTTCTTCCCTGGTTCTGGCAGCTATTGACGTCATGAACAGGGTAAGGTTGGCTTGAAGCACATGAACCAGGAGGAACCAGATCGGTTGACACTCACCTGCCACAGCCTCCCTGATCACGAAACGAGGTTACACCGACTCATCCCGAATAGCGTACGGAGTAGGATGCCCTTTTGCCGATCGGCTCTGGGCAGCGTCGGGCGGAGATCTTGGCGGAGGTTGATTTGATCAACCAGCGACTGGGCGGACGTCTTGGCGAGAATGCCGCGGTGGCCGGTTGCTTGCCAAGAGTGCGGCATTGCCAGCCCTATTGGGTGGCCAAGCTCTGTTACGTTGGCGTCTCATGTTAAAGGGGAGGGGGCAATCGCCATGGGATCAGGGGTTTGTTGATCAGCAGGAACTGTGCTGCCTGTCCGGCAGGAGGCTGCGAGCAAGGACACAGCGAAACCAAACTAGAAAGACAAAAAACAAAAAAAGAAAAAAAAAAGGAATCCCGAAATAGAAAAACGCGTGCAGGCTTGCCCGGCATGCAGGATCACAGTACCTATCCATCATCCCGTCTCTATCTGCTGACGGTCAGGAGATACCTTTCGGTCGTCTCTCTACGTGGCATGTCCTCTTATCAAAACCATCTCGGCTTGTTCAGTTTAATTAAATACACCCCTGGCGGTCTCTTGGAAATTTGCGCCTTGCAATCCATCTTGTGCCTACGTTCCATACACCCGGAAGATGCCCACGCTGGACGTGAGTGAGTTGAATGTCGTGATCGCAGTCCTTGGTACGTTCCTCGTCGCTTTAACCTCGGTATACGAATCCTGACCAGCACCGCAGGGGGTTTTATGCTCCTGTACGGCGTCATTTCTGTCAAGATAAAGCGCTTCTGGTATTTGGGGGAAGCTTGTATGAATCACCCGGCCCCTCGGCACAAATAATTTTGCTCAACGATATCTAGTGCCGGCAGTGCTGGTGGGAATCATCTTGGGTCCCGCGGCTGCGAGATTGCTGGATGCAACAGAATGGGGTTCCGCCGTCAAGGATCAACAGGAGGCAATTACTCTGGTGCGTGGCCAATCCCATCTTCTCCCGGTAAGCTGGGTGGTTGGTTAGATCTCTAATCAATTCCTAGGGCCTTTGCCGTGTCGCCATTGGAGTGCAGTTAGTGATGGCTGGCTACCAACTGCCAGCCCAATACCAGCGCTACCATTGGAAGGAAATGTTCATATGCCTGATTCCTAACATGACTCTGATGTGGCTGCTAACTTCGGGTTGCGTGATGGCTTCCATCCCCGACATGCCATTCGTAAGAGAGCACGATCTACCATGACATTAAGCAACCCCAGCTAACTCCACTCGGTATCCTCTAGGTGTCTGCTTTGGTAATCGGCTCATGCGTTACTTGCACAGACCCGATCCTGTCCCAGTCTGTAGCGAAAGGGCCGTTTGCCGACAAATACGTGGCGCGCGAGCTACGTGAGATTATCTCCTCGGAGGCGGGCATCAACGACGGTTTCGGGTTCCCGTTTCTTATGCTAGCCACGTACATCATGCGACATGCGCAGGGCGACGTCGGTGGGTCTCACAAGGCTCAAGGCTTGTCTTCCGATCACCTGATGGCAAGGGCCGGCGACGTCGGCCGGCAAGGTGGAGGTGTCGGTGAAGCGTTGGGAAACTGGGTAGTGGAAACATGGCTCTACTACGTCGTGCTGGGGGCCGTGTATGGCGTGGTGGTTGGATATACTGCACTTCATGTGTTGCGGTTTACGCTGCGACGGTCGGTGGCGACGGCATGGCTTCCAATGATAGAACACTAACGACGATGCAGGAAGTGGATTGACAGCGAAAGCTACCTTCTTTTCCCCACTGCACTTGGGGTAAGTAAACTTCCAAGAATACTGATCTCATACAGCCTTCCACTGACCATCTGTGAAATGTTTCCATAGCTTTTTATATTAGGGACATGCGGTTGCATTGGCACCAACGATTTGATTGCCTGTTTCTGCGCTGGCAGCGCTCTGAACTGGGATGGAGGTTTTCTGGCGGAGACCGAGGCGCGTCATGATGAGGTCAATGCTAGCATTGACGTGCTGCTCAACTTCGGCGGGTTCATGTACATCGGCGCCATCTTTCCATGGGGCGAGTTTCACCAGCCGGACCTGACGGGTATTACCTATCCTCGTTTATTTCTACTAGGGGTGATGGTGTTGCTTCTGCGACGCATCCCCAGCATATTGCTCCTATACAAGCTCATGCCGCGAGTGTGCAAGAACTGGAAAGAAGCCCTTTTTATGGGGTATTTCGGACCTATCGGTGGGAGCCCATCGCCTGGCATGCTACATAACGAGAAACGTCCCGCTGAATTATTGCATTTAGGAATCGGAGCCGTGTTCTACGTCGAGCATACTAGGCACCTCTTCCCCAAGCCCGGCGAGGGTGACGAGGTTGAGACCCAATTGATGCGCGTCATTGGACCGAGTATGTGCACCGCCATTTGTTCGTACCTAAATCTCTGGTAAACTGATTCTTTCCCAGCGGTATACTGGCTCGTCTTCTTCTCCATTTTTATCCACGGGCTTTCTATACCTGCCCTTAACGCCATCTATACGGCAGCCGGCGTGCCCCCAGTGGTGGACCCGTCGGGTCCGGCAGAGATCCGACCATTGTCGGCAAACCAAGCTCTTCCCAAGAACAGCTATCTGAACGCCAAGCGGCGGTCAATCATGCTGTTTAATCGCTTCTCTCGTGCGAACTATCCCGGAAATCTGGGTTGGGAGCTGCCGTTTGTTCACGACGACCGACATGAACAATCTGGTGCCCCCAACCCCCCTACCTTTCACCTGCAAAGCATGGGGCATCACATATAGCCTTTTCAATCCTGGTATGACTTTCAATTTGTATATAACTTTGCGGTAGATTCCAACGTTTCTTGCGATTTGGATTCTTGGCATTGGTACCTTACTCTCCTGTTAGGGGGGACAATCACATAGAGATAATCAATACTGAATGAAGTCCTGGATCTGACTAGTAGGGATGTTGCAAAGGTTGCGAATCGTCACCGTGCATCTCAGACCTCTAAGACGACGGGAGCCAACTTACAACCGTTTAGAAGGCAAAGTGCCCACACCATGAGACGCGAATTTTCGACCTCCGGGGAATCGACCGTAAAATCCGACTGGCAACATCGGCTGCTAAATCGTGATGAATACTTTAAAAAAAAAAAAAAAAAAAGGCGCAGTAGCCAACCTAGCGCGAATTGCCCGGCTGCCTTGCGCCCTCCAGTGGCCCCCGCCCTTTCGGAGATAGTCCGAAAGAAGTAATTGCGAGTGCCAGTCCGGTCCGGAGCCTCGGATCAGATAAGAATTGCCGATGCCGTTCTCGCCAATAGAAGGGCTGGGCTTAAACCCTTTGCCGCCCGGCCGTCTTATCAGATCAAATACTTAAAGGGGCTGTTGCGTCCTACCGGGCTCTTCTCTTCATCTTCTTTCTTAGACTCAGTCTGCATTACATTAAACTCCAATATCATCCATGGCGAGTATTCTCCGCAATATCATCGTCGTGGGAGGCTCCTACGTGGGCAAGGTAAGCGCCCTGCCGTGTCATTTCATATACTCAGTGGTTGTAACTTACTCATGTCATCAGACCACCGCTCAGGAGTTGGCCCGTGTGGCCCCGGAGACGCATCGTGTATGGGTTTATTCTGATTTGAATATCTAGGTGATATGGCAACGTAGCTAACGCAATCGTCACTAACCGACCAGGTCCTGTTGATCGAGCCCCACAGTCATTTTCACCACCTCTTCACTTTTGTAAGACAAGTACCACAACAATAATGGCGATAACCATAGTGCCATCGATCCTCTTCTCCACTAACCTTGAGCTAGCCCCGTTTTGCTGTTGTGTCCGGCCAAGAGCATAAGGCTTTCATTCCCTATACCGGTCTCTTCGCCCGTTCGAGTCCGACGCGGCATGTGGTAATCCAGGCCCGTGCCATTTCTGTCGAGCCTGAACGGATCCTCCTCGATCGTGAATGGCAGGGATCGCGTCATATCAACTTCGACTACCTAGTCGTGGCGACGGGAACACGACTTGCGCAGCCGGCTGGTATGAAGCACGACGATAAACTCTCGTCCGTGGCCTACCTACAGAAGCACCAGGCCGATGTGCAACGATCCCGGTCCATCCTCATTGTCGGCGGAGGCGCTGTCGGGGTGCAGATGGCGACGGATCTGAAGGAATGCTACCCGGACAAAGAAGTCACCGTGGTGCAGTCACGTGCGCAATTGATGCCAGGGTTCCATGAGCAGCTGCACGCGCTGGTCAAGGAGCGATTTGACGAGTTGGGTGTCCGGTGTGTGCTTCAGAGCGTGCGTTTATCCGGGTTGACATGGCTGACTGCATGGTAGATTCGTTACGGGCTTGCGCGTCGTGGTGCCGGAGGGCGGATTCCAGAACGACGGACATTCATTCGAAGTGCAACTCACCGACGGCTCGCGGATCTCTACCGAATTCGTTATTCTGGCAACCGGACAAACACCAAACAACAGCCTGATTCGGGGTCTCGCGCCTTCGGCCACCGAGTCCCTGATAAATCCTCTAAACGGCTTCATTCACATCCGGCCGACGATGCAATTCCGAGACCCCCAATACTCCAAGCTCTTCGCTGTCGGCGATATCGCAGACACCGGACTGCGCAAGGCGGCTCGTCCAGGTTCAGCACAGGCAGCAGTTGTTGCAAAGAACATCCAGGCGATGATTGAGGGTCGCAACCCGGAAGAGGCATTTCCGCGAATGCCGGCAGCAATTCATCTAACTCTGGGCATGGTGAGCCCCTCACCCCTTGCTTTCCCGGTTATTTGCCCGTTGACCATCGCAGAAATACAATGCCATCTTTCGAAACCCCAACGAGGCCGAAGGACAGACAGAGCCGACTATCTTCAAAAAGGACGAGTAAGTCGAGGGAGAACTGCCGCGAAGCAAATGATGCTAATGCTGTCCAGTGGCCAAGAGGATATGAACGTGGAGGGCTTCTGGCAGAGGTTGGGGGTGGAAATCAATAATGCCAACCAATACCACCTGTGAGATCAATGAGTCATGATTCTGCTGTTCTTGGTAGAGTAAAAGCGACCGGTGAATTGTGTATACCCGCTTCATTTAACCGCGCACCTACGCTTCACTCAGACCCTCTCCTGATGTTTCATCTGAAAAGCGTTTTCTCTCCCTGGATTGCGTTCTTTCCCACAGTCAGTCCGGCGATGCTACTGGGTGAAACAGGAGCAATCTTGCCGAGGCTACAACGAAGGTCGGCATTTGATATGGATGCCGAACGCCCCAAAGTTGGGTCGTGTTCTTGGAACGATGAAGCCCGGGTTATTGGCCAACTCTTTGTTTCAGCATTATTCTGGTCTCGTTCTGTAACGGAATTGCTGCACGGCGCGTTTTAGGAATCGGCCGAGGTGTCGTTGACCTGCTCATAGTGCCGAGAGGCCTTTGCACTGGGCCGAGGAGATGACATAGTCCTTGTAGAATAAATACACGGTCCTGCCTTGAAGTTCTACGAGTTCCGAGTAGTTAGAATTTGACTCCAAAGTCCATCGGTTCCCAAGGAATGCTCTGGTACGCCATCCTTGCGCTGCTCACGGCATGGGGTCCAAGTCACGTCTCATGCCTGACCTCGCTGAGTACAATCAACGAATCCACCTGGGATGCCTTCAATAGCAGTGTTTCCGGTAGGCTGCGCAATGGAAAACCCATGCTAGCCCCATGTTACACCAATTTCAACGGCCACGTCCAGCTTCCTGACCACCAGGAGTGCTCTGCACTGCAGTCGCATCGATCGGATAGTGATTTTGTCTCGAAGCATTTCGGCGGTTACCAGAATGTTAGCCCTGCCTGAGAGGATGTTGCACTAGGGGAAGTTGCTGACAATTCAACAGGTGAACTGGGGTTCCTGCCAAGCAACAGGACAGTCTTGTGCATTTGGCTCGCTACTGAATCCAGACCTGGTCACTCCGGTGACGCGGCGGTGCTCCCAGGGCAGCGTCCCAGCCAAATACCTGGAAGTACACACGATCGAGGACGTGCAGCGAGGGTTAATCTTTGCCAAAGAGCAGAATGTCAAGTTGGTGGTGAAGAACACCGGCCATGATTTCAAAGGTCGTAGCTCGGCACCAGATTCGTTTGCCTTGTGGTCAGCCTGTCTCTTGTCCCACACTCTTGGAGTGATACTTAATGAGTCTATTTCCCTAGGACACATCGCTACCAGCCCCCAATCAGGTTGCAGAAAGACCTTGTCCCGGAGGGATGCTCGTCGGCCGTGGGGGATGTGATTTCTTTTGGTGCGGGCCAACAGTTCCAAGGAATTTACGAATTTGCCCATGCGCATAACTACCGCGTGGTCGGAGGCACGTCGAGCAGCGTTGGAGCGGCTGGGGGCTGGATTACCGGCGGAGGACACAGTATGCTGTCCAATGAGCTTGGTAGGACGCAAAAGGTTTCGCGATGTTCGAGGAAGGGATAAGCTGACCGACGGATGGCAGGTCTCGGCGTGGACAACGTTCAACAGCTCAAGGTCGTACTACCCAACGGGACTTAGGTCACGGCGAACAGATGCCAGAACCAAGACATCTTTTTTGCCCTGAGGGGCGGCGGAGGAGGCACGTTTGGCGTGGTGATGGAGATGACCACCCTAGTGCACGACGAGAAGCCAATGCAGCTGGCCCAGGTGTCTTTAGCCAGCCTCGATGCTGCCAGCGCAAAGAGCTTTCTCTCAATATTGGTGGCAAACGCGGATAAGTGGGCATCCGAGGGCTGGGGAGGATATATCTCGCCCGGAGTGCTGGGAAACCATGTGTCGAACCTGGTACTGGCAACCTCCATGCTCAATCACTCCGACGCCCAAGCGTCCATGCAGCCAGTACTCGCCTTTGCACGCCAGAGAGGCACAATCGGGCAGGCGAATCTCACCACGGTTGACAGTTTCTTCGGCATTCTCAAGGGATTTGCTGCAGTCGCAAAGCTCGGACAACCCAGCGGATCGCTCGCCATGTCGTCTCGCCTTGTGCGGCGCGACTCATTTGTCGGGGACAACAACCAGCGGCGGCTCTCGTCGATTCTCAACGACATTCTGACCACAAGCCAGGAGAGCGCCTTGCTGTCGATCTCACCGTTGTTCATTAGCGTCACTGCGCCCACAATATACTCCAAGCACCAACCTGGAGGTCCCGGAGCGGCATCGGTGACGCCTGCCTGGCGTGACAGCCTATGGCATGTCATCCATCTGCGTCCGTTTGACGGCCTTGTCACACAGCCTAGCCTTGTTAATTGGATACGGCAATCTACTCACGATGCTCTCGGAGCCTTGCGGGACTTTACTCCAGACTCAGGGGCCTATCAGAATGAAGCCGACCCGTTCGAGCCGGACCCCATCCGGGCGTTCTGGGGCGAGAAGAACTACCAGCGCCTACTTCAGATAAAGAAGGTGGATCCGACCAACATGTTGACGGTGCATCAAGGCGTGGGGTGGGATCAAATGGACGAAAGGTATCAATGCTATCCCGAAGTCTCGCCCTGAGACATGGGCACCGCGGACATTTGGATGAAGACTCCCGCGAAACGTAAAGAGGACCTAATCTGGACTGAGGACCCAGTTCGCAGAAAATAGCTACATGCTCGATTATGCTTGCAAGAAGCGCTGATGTTGGCTTGCTAATGAAGCATAATCGTAAACTTGGATTTGAAAAATGAATAGTATGGCATAGTGAATAGAATCAATGTACTGTACAGGAGTATGGCCCCATCCTGGGTTTCATTGGGGCTCTTTAGAGGATGGCATGTGGCTTTGCAGCAGTCCTCTCGAGGGTTGTCGCGGTTGATCTAGTTGGCCGGCTTGCAAACGCCCTGCTTTGCGTTTTCCTTTTGCTGTTATGAAATCCATTAGTCTAGTGTCTCGATAAGCTGGCTGTCTATGAAATTTGCATACCAAGCAGAAGCCTCCCTTGTCGCAAACGCCCATGTTTCCATCCTTCGTACAAGGGGCACCGATCGCGATCTTTGTTTCAAATCATTAGCTCTCCTGTCGAATTGAACAGGGTGCTCGACTGGGCCTTTACCGTCTTTTGTTTGGCGTCCGCCCCGGGCACAGCAAGGGCAGCGCCGATGAGGGTGAGGGTGGTGAGGAAAGAGATCTGCATTATTGCGACTAAACAGAGGAAACGGTAAAAGGCAAGGAGGATTGAAGGAACCGTCGTTGAGCAAGTAGTTCTGTTCTGAAGCGTTTACTTGGGAGGTTCCGAGGTATTTATCTTCTCGCCTGGGTCCTTGAATAGCCAGCCAGGAGGGAGGGGGATTCGGTGTCTCCTATTCAGCGCTCCACTGCGCCCAGACGGACTTACGTGTGTCGTCAATAGTATTCAGATGATTGCAACGATCTTCTGCCCATCAGCTACCGTCGTCCCTCGGGTGATGTCGTGCGCATCACCCTGCCGTATTCAGAGACCCGATGTAAACCACTTTCGCCTCCCACCCAATGCTTTAGTTTCTTTTTCTTCCTCCCCCCTCCCTCAAGACATGGTCTTTCTGTTGAGTTGTGTCCTTTCGTATCATCTTCTGACAGCAGAACGTTTCGCTGTGCAGAAAACCCCCGGGAGTCACGGGCGGCCGGAAGCGCCTGCCGACGATCGTCGCACGGTGGAGCAATGATGGTCATCCCCTGGATCTTGGCCGACGTAACGCACGCCATGAAATTGTCTGGCTTCTATTATTTCTCGGATCGGTGATCCACGGGGTATGGGCTGCGCCGGTGGAGCTTGACTGGGGACATTTCCAGGTTTTCAGACCCTGCAAGAACGCAGAGTGGACAACCATGGTTTCGGTTTGGACGATCTCTATCCCCTATGGTTATTGCCTCACCATAAGGCTTATCAATACCCGCAGCACACACAGGGAGATACGGTGGTTCGGCTTGGGCTGGTCGCAGACATGGATGCACGTCACTATTCTATTTTCGGTCGGGGATTGGGACGTCTCAGGAGCCGCGGGTTGCGTCGAGAGACTCGAGGAACTGCATGCAAGGCGACGGCGTCCCAGACTCGTTGGATGCTGGCCTCCTCCCGTCGACATCGGGGTCCTGGGCATGATTCCGCACGTAGTCCTCTATAAAGTTGCGCGCTACATCGGCCCCATTCACCCCTGCCGCCTTATTATCCAGCAATAGCCTTTCCTCCTCATACGCCCGGACGGGGTTATAATAGCCCATCAGGAGGACCGGGACAGTCAGACCCTGCGCGCGCGCGGTTCTGACAAGCTGCAGGATACAGTGGATGTCGACACTGTTCTCGAGGGCTTTGGCGTTTGACTGTTGAATAACCACGCCGTCGGTGAGTAGATCTGTAAACGGGACCCCAAGCCTAATAATATCTTTACTCTCTTAATTAGAATCTATTTTCTAGGAAGTTCGGAGCCTTGCGAGTACATATCTGCGCTACCGGCCTGCAGGCCGAGCATGATTCCCGGCATCCCTTCAACGGTGGGATATCCGGCTATAACGTAGGTAATTAAGGCTGCGCGGTTTTCTGCTCTGCATTTCTGGAATACTTTTTGGAATGCCTCTATTGTGCTAGGATGCAAGTTTGAATATACTAATAAGATAATTTAATTGACGAGCGAGAGCAGTAAATAAGAATAAAGATTTGATAAATATATAAGATTAGGGGAAAGGGCGTCTGCAGATAGACTTATCCCCACTGCATGCTGGCCAGGTAGGAATCTCGGGACTATGAGTAATAGAGCCTATTAGGCTACTACTATGGTTCGCAGCTCGGTGTAATCTGAGGTCTACCTTGAATAGTAAAATTTATATATTCTCTTCTAGTACTAGGTGTGATTTGAACCGCTTATGCGCCTTCTTCGGGTCGTTGAGAATCTAATCCACCCTATCTGAATCTATACTACCTGACTAAGGCTGGAAACAACGTTTGTTGAAATACCAAATCCATCCCATCCCGTAGGGATCATGAGACAAGAGCATAAAAAAAGGATATTATAATATTTATATCGGGATCATCAACACTACTAACTATCTCATTCATCGTCCCTTTCACGCACTAAGACCCAGAAAACGAGCGCCGACAAAGCAAGGACAAAGATCACAAGAAGTCAATCTAGGTGCCGTGATAGAGCTTGCTCTTGATCCAGGGCATACCGACAACGGAGGCCTTGCGGAGTTTATTCCGTACGAGGATCCCGACCTCAGTGCCCTTCTTGTGCATGCCCTGCTTGATGTAGCCCATGGCGATATTAGTGCCGTCGAGCGAGGGGCTAGGCAGGCCCGAGGTGACGACACCAATCTGGGTGCGTGACTCGTCGTTAATGTCGACGATGATGGCGCCCTCGCGGGCGGGAGAGCCCTTCTCGACGGTGAAGCCGACGCGGCGCTGGGAGAGGGTCTTGGAGGGGGAGGCGATCTGGGGGAGGATGGCGGAGGAGCCGTTGAAGTTGGAGAGCGGGGAGGTAGGGTCGCGGCGGTCCTTGCCGACGACCCAGCCGAGGGAGGCAGCGGGGGGTGTTTGCGCAGTGGAGATGTCGTTACCATACAGGCACATGCCGGCCTCGAGGCGGAGAGAGTCGCGCGCGGCGAGACCGGCGAGACGCACCTGCTCAGGGTTGGAGAGGAGGAGCTCGGTAACTTGCGCGGGGAGCTCGGGGTGGCCCGTGAAGGGGATGGAGATCTCGAAGCCGTCCTCACCGGTGTAGCCCGTGCGGGAGATCAGAAGGGGATGCGCAGTGGGCGAGCCGTTAGGCAGGGTGAGATGGAGGACGCGGCAGTTGCCGAAGTAGAGGGTGCTAAGGTCGGTCTCGGGCCCGTCGCCGTGGATGTGTGATTGCAGGGCCTGAGCGGCGAGGGGGCCCTGGAGAGCCACGAGGGCACGGTCGCTGAGGATCTCCCACTTCAGGCTGTCGGGTCCGTGGATCTTCCTATAACCGTCGATCTCAGCTTCCAGGAATGCTAGGTCCTCGTCGCGGCGACCGGCGTTAGTGACGAAGTAGAAGGTATCTGCGGACCGGCGGGTGATGATAAGGTCATCGATAATGCCACCGGTAGCTTCTTCAAGCAGACAAGACAGTGTCGATTGGTTGTCCTTGAGCTTATCAAGGGAGGACGGGGTGACCTTCATCAGGAGCTCCTGCGCACCAGGGCCGCTAAGCTGGTGTTGCACCCTGGAGGAATTGGGTTAGACACGCTGAACTCTGCGGTATAATTAATAATGGGAAACTGGAATACGCACATGTGGCTCACGTCAAACAAGCTTGCCTTCGCTCGGGTCCATTTGTGACTCTCCACATGGCTGAGGTCGGAGTACTGCAGGGGCATCGAGTACCCCGCAAAGGGCACCATCTTCGCACCGCGGGCGGCATGAAGATCGTAGAGTTGCGTCTTCTTGACAGGACCCGAAGAGCCGGAGGAAGCATACCGAAGACCACCGGTGGAAGCTACAGAGCTCACACGGGGAGAAGGGCGGGCAGCGAGCGGGGAGCGGAGGGCGCGCGGAGAAGCAAGCTGCCGCGGGAGGAGAGAGGAGCCATTAGCAACGGCCGAGGTGGTTTGGGAGAGCGATCTGGGTCCCAGGAGGTGCAGACCTCTTGTCAAGGGCCGTACGGCAGACATAATGCAGTTCTGAGGAGTGTAGAGGATGATTTACAGAAAGAAAACCGTCGGAGCACCGCGAGGGTTGAAGAGCAGACGGTCATGCGGAGATAGCGGGAAAGTCACATGGCGATAGGCCAAGCTTCCCGCGGGCAACTCTTGTGCCGAGGATCTTCATGATTTAGTAGTGATTTAGTAGTATCCAGTTCAGTTCTCGTCCGCTAGAACTCGAGTTCTTCCACCTCCATCCCGCAGTCAACACATGTCTTAACTCCAATCCCCGTCTCGGGATTCTCGACGGACCGTCCCCATTGATGGACATGCTTGCGACTGTTGCCTAAATCATCTCCAAAGCTTCCTCCCGCAGCACCCTGGCGATTCCGGCGATAGGCATCCACTCGCGTACGCTTCTTGAGGTCCTGCAACTTGGACTTGAATTTGTCCTCCCGTCGGCGTTTCTTGACATTCTCGCGTCGTTCGAATTCGGCATCCAGCGCCTCGGCAGATCCCCATTTCTTCGCGGAAAAGGCGTATTCCTCGACCTGGAAGCGTAGGAAAAGCATCATGTTGTTCCACGTCGATTTATGGGGGTTTGGGCGCTCTAAATGGGGCAGTAGTTCTTCGTCGCGCAGCTCAGCTAAAATCAAAACAAGCCGTCAGTCAATTTCTGTTATCCGGAATCATCCAAAGGCGGCCCTGATATCACTCACGATCAGTTAGAAGATAGTCTTCCTTTGCCTCCGTCTTGGTTAGCAGGCTATACTTCTCCGGGTATTTTTCTTTGCAACTATTGCAAATACAACATCGCAGCGTTTCCTCCCACTTCCAATCAATCTCCAGGTTCCCACACTCCCGACAAGCCTTCTGCTTCGCCTTGTCATCCAGGACACTCAGCCCCGGTTCAAAGGGCCCCGTCCGATTTTGACGCAGGGAAGCAAGTAACTGCTGTTTCTCCCACTCCTTCTGCGTCATGTTGGCCGGTTTTTGCTCCCCTTTCCCATCTCGCACGTGCAGCTGCCGATTATAAGGATCATCCTCCTCCGTCAAGAATCCTCCCTTCGTATCAGTCATCTTGCTGAAGTCGTAGTCGACATATTTAGCGAAACTTCGCGCAGGCTTGATGGCGTCGAGGGGACGATTCGTCGCATCGGCATTCGCACGGCCATCTCGTAGCGTAGCAGGCGTCTCGGATGCCGTCAGGTTAGAATAGGATCGCTTTACCCCTTTGGCTGACTGTCCGGCGCTGGCAGTGGCGGCCCGGGCCTGCTCGGCTTCTCGTTGCTCACGGATCGCTTTCGCTTTCATACGGTTGATCTCCTAGACAGATCGCTTCCTCTTAGTTGAGAAGATACAGCCAACGTTCCGGGCGCAGGCCACCTACTATCCGCCGTAACTGTTCCGGCGTAAGTGGCGCTCGAGGCAGCTCACCGGGCTTTGCAGCCTCGGGCTGAGGCGGTGGTGTGGATGGTCTGTCCGTTCCCATCATGGATTTGTCTTGTCGCAGTCTAGAGTCCAGCGCAATGAGTCTCGAACGTCGGTTGAGGATCGACCAAGAGGCGCGTTATCGATACGCCACTGCACGTGATGATAAAGGTCGGCTCGGCAGGAACTAACCCGTTTAGGACGTCATCAATGCGCGATTTCTCGCATACTTTCGATCCGCCTGTACAGATTCCTGTCTCAGGATAAAGATTAAAGTCTGGTTCTCGGTTCTCAATGCGTTTTTTTATAAACCCAAAATAGCCTCTAAGAACAGGAAATGAACTTCTAGTTTTAAGATCCTCAACCTCTCGCTATGATGCAAAACTACGTTTTGAATACAAAGGTGACTGGAAAACCGATCCAAGATTTTGATAAATACCTGGTATCTCGCACCGATCAAAACTCCAACAGGACATAAATATTCGTTAGTCTGCACTCTATCCAGCCGAGTCTAATAGCACGTCTCCAAAGAGGGGAGATCACGCCTCGGTCTTCGCATCCTTGGACTCCTCAACAACAGGCATGGGGACAGGGCCACCGGGTGAGGTGGGAAGACGAGCAGTTAAGACCTCAACGCCGTCTTCTGTCACCAGAAGAGTGTGCTCAAATTGCGCGGATAGAGACCCGTCGGCCGTGGTGCTGGTCCAGTCATCGGGCCACGTGCGATCACGGTGGGTTCCGATGTTGATCATAGGCTCAATCGTGAAGCACATGCCGGGTTTGGCGGTACCCACGGCCTTGTTCTTACCATAGTGGGGAACGTTGGGAGCGCAGTGGAACAGCTGGTTGATACCGTGACCGCAGTAGCTCTTCACGACACTGCAGTTGCGGCTCTTCGCGTGTTTCTCGATCACATTTCCGGGGTCCCGGAAAAGCATGCCGGGCTTCACCAGCTCGATGGATTTATCCAAGCATTCTCGGGAAGTCTCGACAACACGAACGGCGTCTGGGTTCGCAAGGGCCTTGTCTCCGACATAGTAGGTTTCGTTGAGATCACCGTGGTAGCCGTTGTGATACAGGGTCACGTCGATGTTGATGATGTCGCCGTCCTCGAGAGGTCTTTGGTCGGGAATACCGTGGCAGATGGTCTCGTTGATCGAAGTGCAGACGGACTTGGGGAAATGCACGTAGTTCAAGGGCGAAGGATAGGACTAGATTAGGTTCAGTATCGTCACATCGTCCTATGAGTACATCTGCCATCAGAGTGGCCGATGCCGGCAAATCACTTACCTCGCGTTCTATGCAAGCATTGTGCACCACCTCGTCGATGTGGTCGGTGGTAATTCCGGGCTTCAATTCCGCCGCGGCGATATCCAAGACCTCACGAGCCAGGCGGCAAACCTTCCGCATGCCCTCCTGCTGCTCCTTGTTCAAGATGGTGATATTCCGCTGGCCAAGGAACTTCTGCTCCGAGCGAGGGATGCCGTCCTTGGCATAGTCGGGATGGGGAATGGTTTTGGGGATCGTTCTCGTGGCAGACAAGGGGTACACAGGTCTCAATGATCCGGCGAAAGGATAAGAGGGGAAAGGATTAAATTGTCCCGTTGCTGGATCTGGTTCAGAAACTACCTTCGGAGGGAATAGGTTGGTGAGGAAATTACTCTTCGAGTTATGGAGGGTCTTGTGCTCGCCCTGTATTACCGGTGGTTAGCAAGTACTCGGAGTGGCAACACGGGGAACACACGTGAGCCCGAATGGTCACGCAAGGCCGCCTACCCAGCTCCGCTTGAAACAGTCTTGCGAGCAAAAGAAGCTATCATTGCCCATCTTGAGACATGTCGGACACTGTAGGGTCCCGGCAGCTTTCTCGCAATTCACCCCCATACATTTCCGTGGCGCAGCCTCGGTAACCATTGTGAGACAGTAAGAAAATAAAAAGTCAAGGGTCCAAGGGGGGTTCGTTAAAGAAAGGCAGGTGATTAAGGCGGATGATTGCGACTGGAGGGAAAAAACTAGGAACTCCCCGCGACCTGGCCCAATTACCAACGGGGCTAACCGCAATTGGAATGACCCGACGCCCAAGACGGCTTAGCGCGGAAATCTTATCGCGCTGATTCAGCGTTATCGCGTTTCTTATAGGCGCGCGGCAGAACACCACATCGTCTGCCGATTCTTGTAGCGATCTTCGCTCGCTCAACAATCCATACTCCGCAATACTCCGTGTTCTCAAGATATTCATAACCGAAACCTCTAAATTTTTGTACCACATCATATCATAGCCATACCTACATGACACAAAACCACATTACTCTGTGCTCAAAAATTAATTTTATCTAACAAAACCTATCCAATCCATTCCTTTCCTTTCCTTTTTCCGCTTAAGCACGGCTGAGAGACTCGCCCTCCTCGGCCTTCTGGAGGCCGTATTTCTTGAGACTATTATCTGTTAGTTGAATATTGAAGATAAGATCGAATACAAGGACGTACCGGATCGACTGGATGGCAACGAAGCCGGTCGTGTCGGTGGGCTCAAAGTCCTCCAGCGAGTCCATGGAGGCTTCCTCGGCGGAGTAGAGCTTCTCGGTGTGGCTGGAACGGCCGAGGACGTAGGCGTTGCCCTTGTACAGGCGCACGCGGACTTGGCCGTTGACGCGCTAGGATCGTTAGCATCGAAGAGAAAGCGGGGGATGGGCTAAGGCTACCTTCTGGCTGTAGACGAGACTGTTCTCGATGAATTCACGCTCGGCACTGAAGTAGCTGCACGATGTTAGAGGCGTTCGCGACATAGAGCATTATACTTACTAGCCGTTGTAGAGCTGGATGGACCAGTTGTGGGTGACGAACTGGTCACGGAGGGCGCGGACCTGGCCGTCCAGGACGAGACCTGCGATAGTTAGATTCAGCTACTCGCACGGCATAAGAGAAACTTACCCTCCAGGTCAAGGTGGGCATCGCGCAGGATGGTCATGGCGGGGGCTAATCTGTTAGCTACCATATCTTAAGACTCAAGGTGTCTAAACCTACAGTCGTAGCAGCCGCGGCTCTTCAGACCGATAAATCGGTTCTCAACGATATCAATACGGCCGATGGCGTGGGTGTATCCGAGCTTGTTAAGGGCGTTAAACAGCTCGACCGGGTCGGTATACTGCTTCTCAGGGGTAGTGACCTTGACGGGGATACCTTTCTCAAACTCAATGCTGATATCGGTGGGCTCGTTAGGGGCGTTCAAGGGGTCGTTGGTCATGGTCCACATGTCGGAGGGAGGAGTGTGGTCAGGATCCTCGAGGACACCTGAAAGGTTAGACGCGTCGATTAGATAAAATGGGTAACTTACCAGCCTCGTAACTGCAGTGGGCAGAGTTGGCATCTTACTAATTAGCATTATTCAGACAAACGGGAAGGACGGACTAACCCATTGACCAAGGCTTGGCCTACAGAATATTAGCACAGTTCATCAGATCATGAATTGATACATACCTTGGTAGAGGTGACCGGGATGCCGGTCTGAGCAGCGTAGTCCAGCAGGTCGTTACGGCCGGCGAAACGCTTGAAGAACTTGGGATCACGCCACGGGGCGATAATTTTAATGGAGGGCTGAATGGCGTAGAAAGCCAATTCGAAACGGACCTGGTCATTACCCTTGCCAGTGGCACCGTGTGAGACGAACTGACAGCCTTCGCGCTGAGCAGCGCGCATCTGAGCGCGAGCGATGACGGGGCGGGCCAAGCTGGTACCGAGGAGGTAACGGCCCTCATAGATGGCATTGCACTCTGACTCTGTTATTACCACTCTTGTGTATCAGAGGATGGCTCTTACGGATGGCGGGGAAGCAGAGCTCGGTGACAAATTCCCGACGGAGGTCCTCAATAATCATCTTCTTAGCGCCAATCTTTAGAGCCTTCTCTTCAACGGCGGCCCAGTCCTCCTCCTGGCCGACGTTGCCGAGGAAGCAGACGACATCGTAGCCCTCTTCTGTTAATCGTTAGCGGAGGATATATTGGCAGCGAGAGGGAAAATACCGATCAGCCAGCGCAGAATGCAGCTGGTATCGAGACCGCCTATGGAAATGGTGTTAGTCAAGTTCTCCAGGTCAATTGAGCCAGTGCGGGGCAGACGTACCTGAGTAGGCCAAACAGACACGAGGCTTAGCGTCGGACATTGTAATGGATGGATGTGGAGAGGAGTAAGGAAAGAGGAATGAGGAATGAGAGTAGACCAGGACGTTCGGAGAAATGAGAGGGACGGAAGGAGAGAGGAATAGATAAAAGAACTGGCGGTGGGGTCCCCATGCGGTATCGGGACTGACTCACGTCCCGTGACTCACGCCGGGGTCGGTGCACGTGATACTTTATGCTGAGTCAGCACTCGACTAATCGGATTGCAATGGGCGTTGACGCGCGGTAAGGGAAGAATGGATTGACCGGCGGTGGGACCTGGCAGAAAGGGGACTTTAACACCCCGGCGCCTTCTCAATTCTTATCTAAATCATCATCATCATAGTTGAGGTCGGTTCTAATCTCCAGTAGAGGAGTTCGAAGCCTTACAGAGCTTATCCTTCGTGTTTCGTCAACGCCGGATGACTCAGCCGCAGTGGGACATCACCAGAAAATGTCAAGAACTTCGATCATGCCCTGAATGTCTGCTCAAGGCACAGATACATTACCTTCTACCAGAAATTTGAGACAAGTTCAATTTATCCAGCGGAAAGCTAGCGTCGCGAAATTTTGAGCTCAGGGTTGGATAGAATGCTCCAACATAATGGATTTCAAATGCAGTAGCTCTGGGGCCGAAAGCCCAACACCAAGGAGTTAGCGTGGGATAGTCGGGGTTAAGCCTTGGATGGCCGCATGCTAAGCATTCGGAGCCTTGCCTGGGCGGATATACCGGCGATAGCTCTCCGGCAGGCGGCCGTAACCCTGCCATCTTTCGCTTCATCATGCCTATAAAGGTCTGGCGGAAGCCTCGAGTACATGCTTTGATTCATCCAGCTTCCCTTTACTGCTCGACTGTTCATCGCCACTGCCATTGCATTGCTGCTCTCATCTTCGGGATGACCTCCAACGCTCCGTCGCGCTGCTGCACTGTCGGCTTTCTTCACGAGGGGGAAGCGAGAGGGGAGATCCGAGATATTGGGCATAGTAGTCCATCCCCGTTGATACGTCTTTGACCAGACCTGACTGACCGGGACTCTAGTCTCCGCGTACTTTGCGTATCCCCCCAACCTTTCGACCCAGAATGCGATCCTTATTCTGACCGATGTCATCGGGCATCGTCTGATCAATGCCCAGCTGATCGCGGACCAATTCGCTGCCCAGGGCTACTTTGCGGTGATGCCCGACCTTTTTGCCGGGGATTCGGTCCCCATCAATCGCCCCGCGGGGTTCAACATCATGGATTGGGTGCAGAACCATCTGCCACCACAAACGGAGCCCATCATCGAAACAGTGCTCGATGAGATGCGTGGCAAGCTAGGTTGCCGGCGCGTCGGAGGCGTTGGCTACTGCTTTGGTGGTAAGTACGTGTGTCGCTATCTCAAGCCTGGCCGGCTGGATGTCGGATTTATCGCGCATCCCACCATGGTAGAACCCGACGAGCTCCGGGGAATCGAAGGGCCCCTCAGCATTGCTGCTGCCGGTTAGTTGGATTCACGCCCTCAAGTTTGTCCCTGTCGTTGCTGACATGATCATCCAGTCCGTGATTTTGTTTTTACCCCAGCCAAACGCCACGAGAGCGAGGAGATTCTCGATGGACTAGAGGTGCCGTACCAGATCAATACATTCTCCCATGTGGAGCATGGGTTTGCAGTACGTTGTGACATAAGTCAATGTCGCCAGAAGTATGCAAAAGAGCAAGCATTCAGCCAGGCTGTATCGTGGTTTAACAAGTATCTCGTGGAGTAATAAAGAATCTATTCTATGAACTAATATATACATCCTTTATCTGATCTTTGTGAGTTGGTCAGATCAGTTTAGCTGTATTGAATACGAATAACTCAACAAGCAGGTTGTAGGGCCTGACACAGTAGCTGATCTACCTTATGAACCAGTGGTCCTGCCTCCGCCCGTGGATATCGAAATCATACGAAATCGATCGTCATCGATTTCTCGCTCAATTCAACACTTGAGAAGGCATAAATAGGACCTGTAGATAGCTGGTATTGAGGTCTTCAACACCTTTCGCGGTGACTGTGCCTTACACGCACCGAGCAACTTCACATCGCGCGAGGATTGCCAGACGGACAGTAGACCTAATTTCTCCAGGATTTTCTTAGGCAGCCATATTCCTGGCGAGCCCGAGGTAGACAATATGATATGCGGATTGCGATGGGATGAGTCGAAGGCGGCAGGGATGATGTAAAGAGAAGAAGAAGAGGGGGGAAGAAAAAGGAGAAAAAGGTAGGGGAAGTTGACTAAAGTAGTTAATCTTACTTTTAAGATCTGCGGGCTTTCTATAGGGCTGAACTACCTGTCTGGGTCTAGCGCGTGTATGCCTGTACGTATTTTATGTTCTGTATGTATCTGATTTCTGCCATCTTCCATCCTCTGGGCTTCATGATGATTCTCGCGAGCGGCTCGTCCCATGGTTTGCAGCGGCATCTACTCCGTAATAATGACCACAATACCTACCTCATAATGACTGGCCGATCACCGCTGGTGACTCATAACGCTTTTCAATTCTTCTCGCACTTCCTCTACTTTGTTCTTCTCATCTACTCCACATCTGGAGAAACAAGACCTCCACTCGCAAAATAACTAAAGTATACTATCCTCCATTCCCCCTTGTCTCTCCCCTAGATTATCTACCAACCCCTATACCACACCACAAGATGCGAGCTTCCTCTCTCGCCGTGTTTGCTTGCGTCTTACGCCAAGCTGCTGCTGCTGCCTTGATGGCTCGTGGCAGCCTAAAAGAAACCCCCAAAGCCAGCGAATTCGCGGCCGATTCTACTATCCCTGTTCTGCAGCTCCAGTCGGCGGCTGCAAGCGCGAGCGACGAGGCCGCGTTTTATCCCCTCAGTCAAGATAATCAGGGAACAAAGTCGACGATCTACAAGGACTGGTCGACTTTTAGCAAGGTGCGTACTGGCGAACAGTCTGTTCTAATCTACTAGTACTGATATCTTTGAATAGGGATCTGCTTTCATGTGGATCGCAGACATGGATGTTGACTGCGATGGACTAGACTACGGTTGTAAGGGCAACCCCGACGGTCTTCCTAAGACTAACTGGGGTGCTCTGTCGGCTTATCATGTCCCTTTCATTGTTGTCCCGGATGATTTCATGGTGGTTAACCAGCATGATCTTCCCGAAAATAACGTTGCCGCCGTTATCTGCAACGGGAAAATGTATTATGGAATTCTGGGAGATTCTAACGGTGACACTCCCCTTGTTACTGGAGAAGCCTCCTGGCTGATGGCCAGAACATGTTTCCCGGATGATAACCTGGATGGGAATAAGGGTCACTCGGACCCGGATGTCATATGTACGTGCCCTTCGTCTGGTATTTAAAGTATGATGACTGACCGATTAATTATAGATATCGTTTTTACCGGTAAAGACGCTGTCCTTCCCAGCAGCGCAATAAACCAGAACTATATCACCAATTTTGGTACTTTGAGGTCGATGGGTAATAAGCTTGCATCCGACCTCGTGTCAAGCCTGGCTCTATCGGAAGGAAATTCCAGTACTTCCTCAGTCACTTCGGGCACATCAAGTACCACTACCTCTACTTCCAAAGCACCTCCGACCCCTACCGATGCCACTTGCTCGGACTGCGAAGGTAGCCAGGAAAGCTCCTCCTCATCTCTCTCCCCACCCTCTTTGACAAGCCTCCTTCCGACCAGCTCGTCATTGGCTAACGTGGGAAACTGCTTCAAGGAACCGTCTGCTCTGATGGTGACAGCTGTGCTTATGGGCTGGTTTGCATCGATGGAACTTGCACCCCTAGTGATGCCAATGGCGACGATGGTGATGAGAACGATGAAGGTGGCGAAGGTAAATCAAACTAACAGATACGATGACGCCTGACCAGCTGCTAATCAGATGGGGTGTCAAGGAATGAGAGGCTATGACGACAACGGTGATAGAGATAGCGATAACAACGACGACGACGAAGAGTGAATCAGATCGTGATATTGTATGTGTATATCCTAACAATCCGACCTTGCGGCAAATGTTGACCAGTTTCATTTAAATTTCTGTTAAAAGAAAATTCAGAAAACGAGACATCACAATTACGACGGCACCAACCAGGTTGCTTCTAACCTTATTCAAATAAGAGAAACTAGAGAAAGCAGAATTTCATGTTATGCTATTTCTTTGGGAAATATCTGATGGGATTGGGAGGACTCGGGTGGAGCAGGACCTTGGATTTTGGGCTTTTGCTTTTGCGATATACCCGTTTTACTGTTGTATTTAGAAGATTCTTGCTTGGAGGCGTTAGCATCGGAAGCTGCCCGATACTTTGGAATTCAATTTGGCTACAATCAGCTTCGTTAGCAGCCCCACCAGCTGTGAAGCACGGCCATTTGCTCAATGATCATCGATTTGGAAGTAACTATAATTTCAACGTAGTGCTTCTTTTACTCCTAGACTAAAATAGTCGTAATTTTTGGGTCCTCTCATCATTACAGCAATGTCCCCAGAGGGATTGAGGAAGGCCCTTGTATGTTAAACTGGTTGACCGTCAATACTGCCATTCAAAAACAACAACAATCTCAACGCGAATTGAAATTTTGAAATTTCTCAACGACCACCACGCCGAAAGGCTTCAGACTCTGCTAGTTTGCTATTCACTCCAGCCGCTATTAATTAATCTCTTTTTTCAAGGGGCTTTTTAAGATAATTAGGGCGAAAGTGTCGTGGCCCCTCCTTTTCCGGGCTGCCGACCAGGGGCCCGATATCACAACCGCATAGTAACTCCAGTTAAGTAACTTAAGCCTTACCCTCTGAACTGTTGTAGAGACAGAGATTATCCGCACTTATAATTAACAAGTACTAACTATAACTTTAGGGGCCACCCTGCAGCGCCCTACCTATGATATTATAGTAAATAAGATTTCTATAAAGTCCTTCGGGGACCTTACTGACCCCAAAGAACGCGAACGAGTAGCTATAACGCTGCTTAACAAGAATACCGAGATATAAAGACTATCCAGCCCGAAGATCAGCCATATTGTAAGGCCCTTGTGAGATATAATTAGTTCTGAATCATCCTTCGCGGATGATCCGGCTAGTAGTGAAGCGGGAGAACAAGGGGGATTAGATAAGCTTGTACATAAATAGACGCACAGCAGCGATGCGGTAGAAGTAAGTTTCTTGACACCTCCAAAGACCCCCCTACGTTCCAAACACCTAGACGAAGATAGGGCCTTACCCTCCTCCGCCGCAAGCTCGGTCGAACGGAATCTCATGAAGTGGCAACTTCTGTCCTGTTCCTGTACAAGGAATCCCTCAACCAGTAGCTGAGTCAGCGCACAAGGAATAGTTAGTTAGTATCTTCCCTCGGGGGGAAATATATTTGTCGTGGCAGTATTTACTATGCCATCTATCAAGTTCGCGTCAAGTCTTCTCCGCGAGCCAGTAGAAAGCAGGGTGATGATTATTTGGCTAAATATAACACGAAATATTATTCCGACTCGAGACATGGCATGATTTGGCGCTTCTATATTCTTCCCCGGGTGGTTTGGACAGATCCCCATGCAGCCGGCACGTGCGGAGAGAAGCCCGGATGATTAAGCAGAACAGCAGCCGGGCCGGAAGAGCAACTGACTAATGAGCGTTCAGCGAGAACAGCTGATGCGGAAGGAACGGCCAGGTCACGGGACTGGAGTAACGGGGAGGGACTTCCATCTGATGAATGGATGATCCCGCCTGAACCTGCGGTAAGGCAGGCGGTCAGGCCGGGGTTGACAACGCTGTCGAGCTGACTGGCAGGATGGCAAAATATGCCTCAGGCAGGCAGCCCACCCCGCCAATCCCGGGGAGGCAAAGAGATTTTACCCGTGCGGGTAAAATCTACTCCGGCTGCTCCCCCGCACAGGGAGTCTGGCGCTGCACGTAATAATAATGTCAGGGTCGCGGGCTGGCAAATGATCTTCCTCCCGCTGCATTTCGGCTGTTCGAGGCTTGGGGATTTCCCCAACCGCAACCGCCTTCGCGTCGGCATGTACCAGCGGTTCCCTTAACCTTTGCGATCACTACTGTCTCCCCCACAGCCACGGGTAGCCGAATTTATTTGCCGTCACCGTCACTGGTCCTTACAATTCCCTGGAGATAACTGGCTTGCCACGGCCCCGTCAGGTTCGCATATAAAGTCCTTCACAATCCCCTTCTGGGACACCTTTTTTTTTAAAAAAAAAAAATCTACATCCTATCCCAGTTACCCCGGACTTTTCTCTTTTTAACTCCCCGTCAACACACTCTTATACAACCACACACAATGTCCACCACTCGCGAATTCGACCCCAACTTCACTCCCTATGTGATCAATTCCATGGGCCCCAAGACTCCCGAGCGCACGCGCGTGCTGCTGGGTTCTCTGATCAAGCACATCCATGAGTTCGCTCGCGAGGTCGAGCTGACGCCCGCTGAGTGGATGCTTGGCGTGGAATTCATCAACTCGATTGGCAAGATCAGCACCCCCATTCGCAACGAGTGCCACCGGATCTGCGACGTTATTGGTCTGGAGTCGTAAGTTCAATGTGCAAAGTTTATTTTGTCAGAGACCAGTCCAAGCTGACCATGCTAATTTCAGCCTCGTCGATGAAATCGCCAACAAGATCGTCACCGAACAGGGCGTCTCTCCTACCTCCAACGTCATCCTCGGCCCCTTCTGGTCGCCCAACGCCCCCTTCCGCAGCCTCGGCGACTCCATCATCCAAAACCCCAACCCCAACGGCCAAGTCACCTACATGCACGGTGTGCTGAAGGACATGGAGACCGGCGCGCCCATCGAAGGCGCCGTCCTTGATATCTGGCAGGCCTCGGCAAACGGACAGTACGATTTCCAGGACCCCAACCAGACCGAGAACAACCTGCGCGGCAAGTTCCGCTCCAACGAGAAGGGCGAGTTCTGGTGGTACTGCTACCACCCCACTCCGTACTCGCTGCCCACCGACGGCCCCGCCGGTGTGCTGCTGAACCTGATGGACCGTTCGCCGATGCGCCCGGCCCACATCCATCTGATGATCACCCACCCCAACTACGCCACCGTTATCAACCAGATCTACCCCAGCGACGATCCCCATCTTGACATCGACTCTGTGTTTGCCGTGAAGGATGATCTTGTCGTGGACTTCAAGCCCAAGACCGATGATCCCAAGGCTTCGTTGGATCTCGAATACAACGTCAACATGGCGCTCAAGAAGCACCACCCGAACCCCAACTCGGCGCCCCCGGTGTCCTCGTTCGAGCGGCACAACAAGGCTGCAAGCCAGAAGCTATAGAGGGTTGATAGAAGGTGGTTCTTGTTGATGCATTTTTCTTACTGTACAGGTATAGCATTTGTCAGAATTTAAGCGATTTTCGAGAACAATAATTGTTATCCAGCGTTAATCTCTAATATTGACCGACTTCTTGAAATTAGGCCACTTCCTATCTTATTATCACCTTTTACACCTATCGGAAACCCTCCAGGCCGCAGGTTTTTATACACATCGCGTGGCTTACCCACCTCTCTGCCTAACAGAACCGCAAATACTCAGCTTTAGTTATTAAATTCATAAACGGTAAACCCCAGGCACGCCAATAAGATAATCAAGAAGGGGACTATTTAGGATAATAATATCTAGACTACCCTATTATAAAATTAATCTACACGTATTATTATTACTTTAACTACTAGTAATACAGCTTCATAAGAATTATCTGTTTAAATAAGCTTACTTATAGTCTCTACTTCGGTGTTATGGGATAGATCCCTGGGGCCTGCAGTACTCGGCTGACGCATCAACACACACAAAACCTTTGCGCACCCGAGGCCCCCTTTCTGAACACCAGTTATTCCTTCTTGTGTATATGGCGAGGTAGACCTTAGCTCAAGGCTATCACCCCTAACCTTCGGGGACTACAAGACCCGCGGATGCCCGGAGTAGGCTAATTATAGCCAGGGGCGTAAATATATAGGCTGTAAAAAGATATACACTGCTTAGTACCGAGGGTATCTAAGATATGTAATAGAGGCGGAACGGGTGCAGGCTGTAGTAATTTATTAACAGTCTTTTTATTATATCCTCCCTTATCTGTAAGACTTTCAGTACACCACGGGTAGCGACGCGGTGACCTCTAGCTCTCATCCAACAGTGGGGGCCTCCAGGGCCCCCTCCAGCAATCGGAGGGATCGGTCTGCCAGCAGACCAGCCGCACGAGACCGCTCTACAGTGGGTTGAAGGTGACCCTTTCTAAAAGGCTCCTAAGCCTCCTATACTAGAGAAATAGGGCAGTAATCAAGCTATCTGGCTATTGATTGAGGGTTTCAAAGAGGATTCCGTGTGTAGGAACAGGACAGAAGTTGCCGGAAGTAGGGGATTCCGTTCGACCGAGTCAGCGGAGGAGGGTGGCCTTGAGGGCCCTATCTTCTCTAAGGTCTGCAATGTAGGGAGCTCTTCGGAGGTGTCAAGAAACTTGGATTCTACTGCATCGCTTCAGTGCGGCTTTTTATCTACAAGCTTATCTAATCCTCCCTGTTCGCCCTGCTTAACTATATCTCCTTAAAAGCACTGAAGTAGAATATAACTGGCGGCTGGCCCCCTCTATTTAAAGGACCCGGCGCAGGTGTAGTGGGAAAGTAGAGTAGCCTATGTGCTTGCCCTTTGGGAGATGCCCTTCCTGTGTATTATTAAAGGCACGGAGGAGGTAATCTGGGCTTATAAAGAGGCCTGCTGGAGCACGCCTATGAGATAAATATAATATTTAGATAGGAGCGGCTACTATAGGCAGGTAAATATTGCAGTAGTCTTGATCTGAGCTAGCAGGATTAATAAGAAGTATTTAAATACCGAGCGGGGCTTTACAGTGTACATGAGTAAGCTAAAAAGGGCCCGAATAGTCTTGAAAATATGTATTACAGCTGTTTCAATTATGATCTTCGCGGACAGCCAAGCAGTAAATAGTAATTCTTACTATGAAGAGCCCTGGTCGCCCCTTGGGGCAGTACGCCTTGTAGATTATTTACAAGAGGGTTCAAGCTCTGCGCCAGGGCTTACCAGAGACAGATAGAAAGCTGCAGTAGATCCCCGCGCACATTGGGGTTGAGGGGAACGAGCGGGCAGACGTGGCCGCAAAAGATGCGGCGGTCAAGTTAAGATCTGTGGGTTCCGCGGGGGTGCGAGCGCGGGGACCAATCATACGTCTCGCAGCTGCGGCAAAGCGGGGTATTCGGCAGAGCCTCTGCGAGCAGTGGGCGAAGTAATAGGGGAGGCAGAAAGTAGGCGAACCCACGTGGCGGTTACTGCCGGCCCTGATAAGTAGAACCTGAGGCTGTACGAGCACCTCAGCAAGCCGCACACGTCGATTATTATGCGATGCGCACCATGAGGATAGGATTAAGGGCTAAGACACTTCCTCTACAAAATTATGACGTAGTTATGACTTACCTGCAGGTGATCTGCTATATTACTAAATATATGCAACAAACTAGCCTACTCCAGCAGTTCCGATTCACCCAATTCAGGGATGAGGAGGAGGCCCTAGAGCTCAGCAGCCTATTAAAAGGCCACGGACCAGACAACCAAGATGATGGTTATATGGAACTTTAAAAGGAGGAGCAGAGGTCTCGCACAACCTCCGGGGACATACTCAGGGATGGAATAACTAAATAAAGGAATATAGAAGGAGCAGAGTGAGGCGTGGTAGACACATAGCAGGTGTGTGGTAGCTGTAATTTAGTTGTGTTTTGATTTTTTATTATCTATTATAGCTATGGTATTTATGTTTGGTGTTCAGAAGCAAAATCCTGCTTCGCTGGAAAAGCACCTGTATAGCCTGTTACTTTGATAGATAGGCTTTATCGGGTTAATAGAATTTTGATAAATTGATTGATTGATTAATCGCCGCGAGAAATTGAGTGAAAAAAGGACTCGGGGCATATGCAGCCCGGCATAAGTGTGATCTAATTGAAATAAAAATATATAACTAATAATTAAAAACAGTTCTTATCATAAAAACTGATTTACCAAGAGTAAACCCCAACTCCCAAGTCACGCGAGTTATCTAAGAGCAAAATATATAAAAGCCTGGTATAAAGGGGTTCTGTGTGGACTGCTTACAGTAGGGAATCGGAGCAAGGGCTGCCACGCAGGGATGAAGCCACGTCTCGATGAACTGTCTGCTATGCGGAGGGATCACCGTGGATCCTGGCTATTAATATAGGGGTTGAATGAAAGAAGAGAAAGAACATGATTGATTAAACTACTAGAATCAAGGAAGTTATACTAAATATATGACTGAAGTAGACAGGCGATGGCCAGGGGGAACCGGGTGATCTGCTAAATATAGATCACGATGTGAAAGGCAGAATCCTTTTATAAGATCACATCATTCGGTCTCGCATTCTATAATTGACGGTTCCATCATACAGAATGATCATTATGCATCATCGTCCACGTCGATACCCAACTCCAGTGCAAAAAGAAGCACAGTGGAGTGGATCTTCGTGGTCAGAACGAACCAAACAGCAATCAGTCTGTGGTACTTAGCGCTTGCGCCAACTTAGTTACGTTGAACATCAATTCATAAAACCAATAGAAAGAGATGAAAAGAAGAGAACAGGAGAAAAGAAGAAGAAGAAAAATTAGGCCTATGGCACATTTCTAGCCAGCATTATCGCACACACTCATTGGGTATACTCTTTCTGCAGGAGCTTCGCGATGGTCTGCAGTTGGATGTTACTCGTTCCCTCATAAATGGCGCCAATCTTGCTGTCGCGGAACATCTTCTCGGCGATGCCTTCGCGCACGAATCCCATGCCGCCCATCCACTCGACGGCGGAGCCGGACACGCGACCGGCGACCTGCGAGGCGTACAGCTTGGCCATGGCGGCGTCCTGGACGAAATCCTGGCCGGCTTCCTTCTTGCGAGCCGCATTATAGACGAGAGCGCGCGCCGCGGCAATCTCGGTGTAGGCTTGGGCCAGCTGGTGCTGCATGCCCTGGAAGTTACCGATCAGTTGGCCGAACTGGCGGCGGTCATTCCAGACGTAACTGTGATTGGAGTTTAGCATTTCGACAGGATAGAAAGAGAGGGAGAGAATGAAAGGGAAGGATCTTACCGAGCAGCGTTCTCCCAAGCACCCAGGGCCAGACCGGTCATCTGGGCCGCAATACCAATGCGGCCCTCATTCAGCACGCTAATGGCATACTTGTATCCCTGGCCCTCCTCGCCCAGCAGATTGCTCTTGGGAATGACCACATCATCGAAGTTCAGCACGCAGGTGCTACTGGCCCGAATGCCCAACTTCTTCTCCTTCTTCGCAATCGAGAACCCCGGGGTATCCTTCTCCACAATAAACGCCGTAATGCCCTTGTACCCCTGGGCCGGGTTCAAGTTCGCAAAGACAATAAAGATGCCGGACTCCATCGCATTCGTAATCCACATCTTCGATCCATTAATCTTATACCCATCGACGGTCTTCTCAGCCTTGGTCTGCAGCGCAAACGCATCCGACCCACTCGCCGGCTCACTCAGACAGAACGAGCCCACCGTGCCGGTCGTCAACTTCGGCAACCAGGTCTTCCTGGCCTGGGCATCCCCGTACTTTAGAATCGCCGTGTTGACCAACGTATTATGCACATCGACCAGCACGCTGACGCTGGGGTCGACGCGCGCCAGCTCCTCGATCGCCACGATCGCCGCCGTGAAGTTCATGCCGGCGCCGCCGTACTCCTCCGGCAGCTCGATGCCCATGAGCCCCTGCTCGAAGAGCTGCTCGACGATGGTCCCGTCCATGGTCTCGGCCTCGTCCATGTCGCGCACCTTCGGGCCGATCTGCTCCGCGGCGAACTTTGAGACTGATTCGTGCAGGAACGTCTCGGTCTCGGAGAGCAGCGAGATCGGCGTCGGGGTGAGGTGCGAGAGGTCCGGGTCTTGCAGCCGGGTTGTGGTGGAGAATGTAGAAGTGCTATATAATTTCCTCTGTTAATAACTACGATCTAGATAATAGAATAGGTTGATCACGAACCATTGAGCCAATCGGTATCGGTAGGGAAGCGGGCGTCGGGCGGCCGGACGGAGGGAGGGAGCAGTGCGGGACAGAGGCCGCAACGCACGGGTGATAGACGCCATGGCGAGGGAACAGACAGAAGAGGAAGAGGAAGAGGTAGACACAAAAGTAAAAGCAAGAGATTTACACGAGAGAGGAGAGAACAAGGAGGGACGTAAGCCGTTAAGAATGCTGAAAGTCGGGGTCGATCAAGTCAAATCACAAGGGCGCCGAGGGAGCCTCGGTTAACCGCGGCTTCGTCGCGCTTACGTAAACCATCCGTCTTCCTGCCGATTCTCTCCTACATTCTTATTTCTTTACAATCTACTCTTGACGGATCTGCGAAAGAAGATGCTCCATCATTTATTCATTCATACCTCCACCACTAAATAAGGCTTAAACACCTGCGCCTGCAAGTAATAGCCACGGCGGAACCCATGTCGAGACTGGTTATGGCTAAGTCCGGATGGCTGTTTCTTCGATTAATAGCGCGTGATCCCGTCAAGAAGAGATTATCCTCCTTGTTGTCGACAAGAAAGCAAGGTGTAAATGGGGCCAGCAAGATGTGGTTTAATAATGTGAGTCCGTATAGCTGCCAGAAGGTGAATGATTGGTATTCGCAGTGTTTGTAGTATAGATAGAATAGAGTTTAAGTATACAGCCGGGTAAAGTCCTATCCAGGTAGTAATAAATATATCCGCCAGTGCCCTCTAGATAGAACATTATAGATTTTACTGATGATCGTATAATACTTAAGGATAAGTATTTCTAATGATATTTGATTATATTTAACAGCTATATAGGCACAAAATTAATGTTTTAGGATAAAGTTGATTCACTAAAGCTACATATATTTCGATCGGGAAAGCTAGCCACCAGTATTAAGTGATGGAGCTACTTATCAATAATAAGGTGCCGTTCAAACACCAAGACTAATCGATCTGCATTTAGCCTATTGCGCAGATCTGTTCACTAGTCTTATTTAAGCTATTATCAGATATAATCAGGTGAGCAGAGATAATTCAACGCTGATTAGTTAGGCAATACAGCGCTTGCGAGGACTTGCAGGCTCTCATCGGTCCTCATAAGTGCATATAAATATGACTAAGGCTCTAGTATCCTGTACTTAAATGTTTGATTTTCCTCTGCTGCTAGAGGGGATGTATACGATCTTCTTGTAGGGATTCGGAGGGATCTTGCCAAGAACTTGATAGGGATCAACTAATTCAAGGTGTCACTGACGATCAGGATCTATTTATACATTTTATACACTATTGCCCTTTCTTACTGTATCAGACTGCAATAAATGTAACAAAGTAATATTTATAGATCGGCATCGGCAGTTGCAGCAGCCGCTCAGAAATACCAGCCAATCAGCGGGCACCGGCACGACTGCCGGCCAGCGATGCCGCCCCCGCATTCCGAGGCGGCGATTAGCTCTTTTGGCTATAACTTCTTCCCTTTCGTTATTTCCCCGGTTTCTTTCTTTTCGCTCTTTCCGGGGATCCCAAACTATGCTTCTCTCCTCCATCTTCTCCCGCTCGGTCATACCTGTAACTTCAATCGCTCTGTTGTCTCTCCCCGCCCAGCGCGCCTTCTCCCACTCCGTCCGCTCCAATATGAAGCACCATCTTATGGTTGGCACCTGGACCCCGCCAGGCCGCATCTATACCGTCGCCTTCGACGATAAGGCCCTCACGTTGGAATTGGTCAAGAAGACCGATATCCCGGAGGCCGAGCCCATCTCGTGGATGACCTTCTCGGTAGGTTTGCCAGGACATGCTGTAATATGGCAATTACTGATACAGACCGTAGCACGACAAAAAAGCCATCTACGGCGCCGCCATGAAGAAATGGAACAGCTTCGCCGTGAACAGCCCCACCGACGTTGTTCACCAGGCCTCGCACCCCGTTGCTGGACACGGTACGTCCCATCCCGTCTCCTTCAATTCCACCTGGAACCCAACCCCCCTTTTAACCAAATCCACACAGAACTCGCCGCCAGCGCCGACACCAACACGCGCGCCATCTTCGTCCTCGCCGCCCACAAACCCCCCTACAACGTCTACGGGAACCCGTTCTACAAATACGCCGGCTACGGCAACGTCTTCTCCGTCGACGCCAACGGCCAGCTAGCCACCAACGTGCAGAACTACCCCTACGAGCCCAACACCGGCATCCATGGGATGGTGTTCGACCCGACAGAAACATACCTTTACTCGGCGGACCTGCAGGCGAATAAGATCTGGACGCACCGCAAGGACGAGCAGGGGCAGCTAACCCTCGTCGATTGCCTGGAGGCCCCCTCGCCGGACGATCATCCGCGGTGGGTGGAGATGCACCCGAGCGGGAAGTACCTGTACGCGCTGATGGAGGCGGGGAATCGCTTGGCGGTTTATGTGATCGATGAGCGCACCCATGTCCCTGTTTTCACGCATATTACGTACCCGTTGCTTCCGGAGGGTGAGTTCATCTAATCTTTGGATCCAACCCTGTATCAGACTGACAGACTGAATGACTGACTGACTGAATGAATAAAGGCCTCCCCCCTCGCAACAAATACCGCGGCGATGTGACCTTCACGACGCGCAGCGGGGAATACCTCTTCGCGACGACGCGTAGCAACCACTTCGACGTTACCGGGTACATCACGGCATTCAAGCTAGGCGCCAGCGGCAACATTGAGCGCCAGCTGTTCATCCACCCGACGTCGACGAGCGGCGGGCACTCGAACGCGGTCAGCCCGAGCGATTTCAGCGACGAGTGGCTGGCGCTGTGTGATGACCAGCTGGGATTTGTGGAGATGTATCGGTTCAAGAACGAGACGCTGTCGCGGGTGGCGCGCGTGGATATCCCTGAGAAGGGATTCGGGATGAATGCGATTTGGTATAATTAATGATGGGAATGTATATAATTTGGGATAGAGGTGAATATTGGTTGATGGGTTACATGCTCAATTATTCCGGATTAAAATTTGGTAGGAAATATCTTCATAAAGATTCATCCGCTCCATCTTCCATTCAAGGTAAATCGTACTCATGGGAGAAAGTAAGACTAATAAACTGATACTATAAAGAGTTAGTTCTTTCTCAAAAAAAAAAAAAAAAAAAAAAAAAAAAGAAGAGAAGGAAAGAAAAAATAAAAGGAAAAAAAGGTATGTTTATTCTTTCTCCATCCACAAAATACTCTAATGAAGACGCCTCATATTTACCGGCGCCGACATGGTTCTCATTAAAGATCAACAAATTACAACTAATAAATTCTAGTTAACAATGAATCAAAAGCATGATACCACATTCATCAATCCAATGAACCGTCACATTCCAAATGCGACCGACGCCATGTGCCTTGCCAGCCTTGCGTACTCGGCCAACCTATCGCAGTCTCCGCTGGCCATATTGCTTTTTCCATGCTTCAGCTAAGCGCCCTGACCCTTCAGGTACAGGAGTGGCGTGAGCGAAACCCGCCCGGGGAACAGGAAAACTGGGGAATGGCCATTAATTAGTTATTTGTTGTTACTGGACGGAGTAGTAATGCCCCTTAACCCGGCTTGGTGTTAGACTAGGGGATTTAATTCCACGTACATCTATTTAGGAAGCGGAGGGAGAGGAGGAGCTAGTAAATATAATGGAGGTTTTAAGGATAATGAGGAGATGAGGAGAAAGAAGAATCGCCTGATATTAAGGAAAGAGAAAGCCCCGCGCTCGGTGGTATGTGAAATCTTGTTCTTGCATCAAACTCACCTTTTACCTGCTTAGTAGTGTAGTCGATGGCAGTCGCTGGCATGATTCTTCCTGTGATGAACAGAATATCTGCAATTATGCTGTCAGATTCCGCTACAGAGAGACTCTAGTGCTAATCGTATTAGAATTTATCGCTACTAGTATTCTCGCTATGAATAGACTATGATACCCTCGAACTTTTGGCTTCGCTTCCAAATTAAACATTCGTGTAAAAAAAATTGTGTAATTTTTATCTCCCTTTTTCCCATCCTTTATTTTATTTCTTTCTTCCTTTCCGTCTTCCTACTCAATCTTGCCCTTGTTGACAACAAATCCCTCCAGTGCCGAGATGGCAGCCCATAGACGATTCTCTGCCTCGGGGAATACCAACGACCGGTTACTATAGAAGACCCCGTCACTGACCTCCTCGGGGTGTCGCGGCAAGCAGTGCATGAACTTCCAACCCTCGTTGGCACCGCCCCGCTTGGCAAGCTCCGGGGTAATCTGGAAGCCCTCGAAGTCCTTCAACCGCTGGATCTTCTCCGCCTCCTGTCCCATCGAAATCCAGGTATCGGTCACCAGAACATCGGCGTCCTTGACTGCCTCCTCGGGGACGTTGGTCTGGATCAGCTTTCCGGGCTTGGGGGCAGTCTTGCCCGCCTCCGCAATGATCTGCAGCATCGAGGCGGGGATCTCGTACCCCTTCGGCGTCGCCACGGACAGGTCGACGCCCATCTTCGCCGCGGCGATCGCCATGTCGAACAGGACGTTGTTGGCGTCGCCCACCCAGGCGATCTTCAGCCCCTCCAGGCCCAGACTGGTCAGGTGATGGGCCTTGGGCGTGAAGTTCTCGTAGATGGTCTGAAAATCGGCCACCGCCTGCAGCGGGTGGTAGGAGTCGCAAAGTGCATTAATCACGGGCACAGACGAGTGCTTCGCGAGGTCGGCCACGTCCGCGTGCTTGCCCACCCGGGCCACCATGCAGGAGACCATGGAGGAGATGACCACGGACGTGTCGTACAGAGACTCGTTCACCCCCAATTGAATGTCATCCTTGCCCAGGAACATCGGATGACCGCCCAGCTGTACCACGGCGCCTTCCGTCGAGATCCTCGTGCGAGTACTGCGCTTGCTGAACATCATGGCCACGGTTTTCCCGGTCAACGAGCCGAGCAGGTTCTGGGGGATGGAGCCGGACTTGATGGACCGCTTGTGCGACGAGGCATTGCGGACGAGCGCCGCGAATTCGGCGGGGGAGAGGTCACCGACGGAGAGGAAATGACGAGGAGCGAAGGGCGAGGTGGGAGGCGTCGCGTGAGAAGAATATTGGCGCACAGCATTGAGAGGGAGTCGCTGGCGCAAGGTGCCGCTCCGAGCGACGGCCAGGTTGAGACTCATGGTGTGCGATAACGGAGGTGGAAGACAGGGGAGTCAGGTAGATAGATAGACAGATATACAGTTGGGTTGGGTTGAATTGAATTGAAAGACGGTCAATGGCTAGTTGCCAGAAATGCAAGGGGACTCGATGCAGGGCCGAAATTGCTGAAGAATCGGTGACTCAACAAGCAATCGACTGTTAGTTCTGGGGAGTCACAACCGGCGAAGGGAATCCTGACTAATGATAATTCCGTGAAAAGAAGATCCATCGGCCTCACCGCCTTGTCCCGAACAGGCCTAGCGCTGTCCTGCCGATCCCTGCCTAATCCAGTGCTTTGCGTCAACCATCGCCTGAGCGTTTCGATCCCCGCCACCCGGAGTGCCTTGATTAGGGGGGTATTGAAGATCAGAAAGAGGATAGGGGAGATAGTCGACGTGGGTAGGGGGTTGCTGAGGTACCCGGGGAGCTGAATCCGGGTCTGTCGGTTCATGCACAGCTGACCACTGCATCAGCCAGTTTTTCATTCAGCCCTGTCCACGTATGCTTTGCTCATTCCTATGTTCCTATGTTCTTCCATCAATCATTATCATGAATTTGTCCCTTTTCTTAAAATCTTTTTTTTCTATCTATTTTCCTTTTATTCGCATGAACAGGGCCGAGGAGAGTACTATGGTCATATTCTTTCCAATGATGAGATTAGTTCCGAACGGGAACCTCCAACAGCTTTGCTCAGTCAATTATCAGTCAGTATTAACTTTCCAGCCACTTATGTTCAAAACCACCAATCTCTACGTTTTCCGAGTTCCCATGCCTTTCAATATTTGCAGGCGATGCTATCACAAAAGGCGGTGGGAATTAGCAGAATAGCTATCTTCACGTGACGAGGGTCGCCCGAAAAACTTCCCTTTTCATTGTCGAGCGGGACGTGAATCATACCCTCCTTCTCGCGTCCAGAGCTTTCGCAGACAATCGCAAAGCCTTATTTCAGAGGCGTTCTATTTTCTTCCATCGTACACGCCAATCCGACCTATTTGCAGCCTCTAGAATCACCCCATCTCTCTTTGGCAGCCTTTCATTTCATCCCACCTTTGTCCCGCGGGGCTTCATTGACTCAAAATGCCGCATTCGATCCCCGTACCTGCCACGGGCTTCCAGGCCTTGATCCTCTGTGGGCCTGGTGTCTCACTGAATACCTTCACCTCGAATCCGGAAGAGTACCCGAAATGCCTCATTCCTGTCGCCAATCGCCCAATGGTTTACTACCCGTTGGATTTCTGCAAGCGATCAGGAATTACAGGTGAGTGAAAGCGCCCAGGCGAAGTTCTTGCGATTACCACAGACGCATAGACTGACTGGTTTAGATATTACACTGATCACTCCTCCTTCTGCTGTCGCTCCTCTCCAGGCCGCTCTACAACAGAACCCCTACCTCACGTCTCTCTCCTCGCCTTCCCCGACAGTCCTCGCCCCTAAGGTAAGGTGAAGTCGGTCATTGCGGAATTCGCGAGCTAACCAAACCAGGACCTCCAACTTACGTCCGGAACTGCCGAAATCCTCCGTCTGCCCGAGGTGCAAGCTTGCATTAAATCTGATTTCCTCCTTCTCCCTTGCGACCTGATCTGCGAAATCCCCGGTGAATCGCTGCTTGAGTCATGGATGGTCTGGGAGGGGCGCAATGCCTTCGGTCCGAATTCCTTGGGTCCCGGAGGCGAGCATGGGGGCCCTCGGAGTGGTCTGAGCGTATACTATCAAACACAAGGCACGGAGGAGGATGTCAAGGGCGGAGTTAGAGACTTTGTGGCTGTCGCGCCTCTCGAGCAGGATGAGGTGCCCGCGATTTCGCGATACGAGCTTTCCAAGCTGGCTATGTCGATGCCCATGGATACCGTGAAGGAGAGGCTCGAAGAGGACAAGGGTTTCCTTGTTCGTCATTCCTTGGTGGAGAAACACGCGCAGGTCAAGATGCTTACCAGCTATCGCGATGCGCATCTTTACGTGTTCCCCTACTGGGTCAAGGAATTGGCCCTTCACCAGGACAAGCTACAATCCGTCAGTGAAGATCTCATTGGCTACTGGGCCAAGTCCAGGTGGCAGCGCGGGCTGGCGGAGAAGCTCGGAATTAATCACATTCTGGGAGGCCGGCAGAGTGAGAATGTTGATGACAACGGGAGCGTTAACGGCCAGGTTTTGGAGGAGGAAGATATTGATCTCCGGGGAATGAGCACCACCACGCATGCCTCATCGGCACACAAGGACACGGAACAGCGCACGAACAACCCTGAGTCGGATTCCACGGCTGGTGCCCAAGAGACGGTCGAAGTCCCCCCTATTCTCGCGTATATGCAGAAGGAATCCACGCCATTCGTTCGCCGTGTTGACAGCTCCCGTGTCCTTCTGGCAACGTCCCTCCGTCTCGCCAAACTAGAATCCATCGAGGAGGTTGGCCGTACTGACGCCTCTCCCTTCGCACACAACCAGAAGATCGCCTCCCCGGAAGGTGTCGCTCAGCGCTGTGTGGTTACTAAGGCCGACTGCCTACTCGCTCCTAACGTGACCGTTGAAGAAAAGTGTGTCATCAAGGAGTCTTGCATCGGCACTAACACGAAAATCTGCAGCGGCGCTCGTCTCACCCGATGCGTCGTCCTCGACAACGCGGTGATCGGCGAGCGCTGTGTGTTGACCGGCTGTATCATTGGGAAACGCAGCAAGGTTGGACGCGAATCCGTGCTTAAGGACTGCGAGGTCCAGGATGGTAATATTGTCCTAGACGACACAGACGCCAAGAATGAACAGTTCATGATCTTTGAGGGACTGGATGAGAATGAGGATAGTATAGATGTTTCTGAGGAGGACAACTTCTGAGTTAATATCTGTAATACTGCCTTAGGCTTTAATATCTGACCTCCCCCTGTTTCCTATATAGAACCCTAATGATATCAAGTTTTGTTTATGAAACTTGTGAGCATCATTAAAATAGATGTGAATTAGGTACGATTTGATTAAAATGCAGATAGTTTATGTTCAACTAGCTCGCCTTGTATTGTCCAGAGTTGTAGATAATTAGACAGGTTTATGTAAAAATTACAAGATATCAAAAGGCTTTATGTGAAGATGATACTGTAGAAAGTAAGGAAAATAGAAATTAAAACCAAAAATCATGAAGAAAGCAACTTACAATTTGTTGTCTAATCTAGATAAAAAGAATGAGAAAAGGTTTGCAGGCAAATCAGCCAAAGTTATAAAGAATAGATCTTCTCACTGTTTGAACAAAGAACCGAAAAATGACGTCTTAAACCCACACAACAAAAGAGATAAACCTCTAAAAGAGACCAGTCCTTCAATAGATAGGCTTCTCTGAACATGTTCCTGATATTACCACTAGACCAAAACCCCAAGCAGGGCAATGGGTAGTCCTTGCAATATCTCATATATCAACAGCTTCATCGGGTTAACAGAATTTTGATTAATTGATTGATTGAAAGCAGTTCCTATCCCAAACACCGATTCACCAAGAGTAAACCCCAAATCGCGCGAGTTATCTAAGAGCAAAATAACAAAAGCCTATCTAACAACAAATCGCCCTCTGCCAAGTATACAGGCTATCGCTCTTACGACTTCACCAGCCAGCCGACAGCACCAGTAACAGCAGCAATCATGATAACGGTCAGGATCCAGGCTCCGGCGCGATCAGCCGTTTCGATAGGCGAGGGTTCGGACGGGTCCGAGTCCCCGCTGGTCGGGATCTGGGTTTCTTTGGCGTCTGGGTTATCGTCGATGGTCTTCGGTTGTTGTGTCTTAGAGACCATCAGGTTCGCTGTGATACCACCTAGTGCCGCCATTTGTACCTCCAGCCCCTGCACGCCGTCCCAGGTCGTTTTCCCCCACGTTACACCACATAGGTTATCCGATTTGCCCGAACACTGCTTACCGATCGCCTCGGCAGAACCGTGCAGCTTAGGCAGGATCTTCTCACGGGTGGATGGTACCAGGATGGCCGTGAAAGCCATCCACATAGAGAGATAGCCTTTAAAACAGAGCTGGTTGCGGTCACAGGATAGGATGGGCTCGCAGGCGACTTCAGACATGACATTACCGCCGTATTTCTTCGGAAAGAACTTTTCTATGGACGAGTCTAGCAGGCCGTTGACCCGCTCCAACCATTTGTCATTGCCGTTGGTCTTCGCGGCGTGTCAGCTGGTAATACTATGCCGGATGACGAGTGCAAGGGGAAACTCACATGGTTGTACATAAATGCAGCGCCGGCTAGATAGGTACCGTAGTTGTAGGTCCACTGGTTGTCTCCGGAATCCTTACAGTTCTTCTCATTGGAAGTAGAGTCGGCGATATACCACTTCTTGGTCTGCAGCAGAGGGGTAGTGGCCGACCAGTCCCAGATCTTATCGGCCCAGTCGGCGTAGGTCTCGTTTTTGGTGAAGCGCGCCAGGCGAGCGGCCAGCTCGAACAGGCCGCCGTTGGAGATGGCATTCTTCATGGTGTAGCCGGCTTGGTAGGGCCAGATCTGCCAGCGAATACCACCGTCGCAGGTGCCCGTGTCCCAACGGCCGACCTGCATGTTAAAAACAGCACGCGCCAGCGAGGTCCACGAGGGTTTCCCGTCGACCTCAGGGAAGCCGACCTCAGACGCAGTAATAGCAGCCAGGCCCCAGAACATCTGATCATCATTTCCCTGCAGATTACGGGTTAGTATTTTAAGGACAGGACGGCAAGATAATAGGAAAGCGGGGGCACACATACTAGCCACTGGCTAACATTATGGGAGAAGAAGTCGTAGTTCTCTCCGGACTGGAACATGAGATCGTGGGAGACAATCTTATTCTGAGAGTCATCGCCCGAGGCTTGCCAGTACTGAATTAAAGTCATGAACATGCTGCCAGCGACATACCAGGTGTCAGTAAGCTTGCCGGGGATGCCCTCAGTCTGATTCTGCTCGTAAAACTGCATCATAGGCGCCACGATGGACTTGGCTGCCTTCTTCAACGAGTCTGGCGGCGAGAAACATTAGCACAGCCGGTGCATATCTACATTGGGGAGTGGCCTACCATCGTTAGTAGCGACGACACTGAGGTCGGATAGGGCCGGCTGGGCCTGGAGCAGCAGCAGGGCTGCCCCGCATAATTGACGGCCGGACAGAAGACGCATCGTCCGGGGGGGAAGGGGTGGGATGTCTAGGCTACGGGGAGGTCAGGCAGGTATGGAAGAAGGAAGTCTTTCTCCGCAGACCGACCGGCGTCGAGGGGAGAAGAAACCAAAGCGCAACGCCGCCAAATCATCAATTTTAAGGGGGCGTCTGGCCCTCGGCGCCAAGCCTGCCAATGCCTGCCTTGGCGCCCAACCGGCCAATCCTCCGTCGTGCCGCCCCAGCCGCCAAGCCGTCGACTGGGCCAATCAGCGCGTCGCCCGTCAGCACTAGGCGGCCGGCGGCCGGAAAAACTAGCCCGATGCGGTCCGTTGTTCCGCGGTCGCCCTCGCCTTCGTTCCGCGGCATCGCGATGGACCGGGGGATCTACAGCCTACAGGGACACTCTACTGGGTCTACTCACATATTCCGTACATACGGTGTAGTGCTTCGGACAACCAGTCCAGCATACTCGACAAAGTACGGCGTACGGACTGCCGCTCTCCAGCAAGGGCACAGGAGACCGATCACACAGCCCCCAATCCCCCAGCCTCCGATGGCTTGGTCGGTCCTTCCCCGCAGCACACTGATGGGCTCTGGTGTCCCTCGCTTCTCGCTCGAGCCGGTTGCTGGACGACCGACCGATGGACCGAGTCCCCCACCCCGCCCACATGCGATGCCCGGAGACACCAGGCGAACGTCCATGGCCTGTAGGTACTACTGGTTACGGAGTATACGGCGTAGCGACGGGTTCAAACCACGCTCCGTTGCTAAAAATAGACTGTCGAGGGATGTCCCTGGTTTCAGCCGCAGTGGTGTCACGTGATCAGGGGCAAGGCAGCCGTGTTCCGGGCGTCAGTGCCTCAAGGATCAGGCAAAATGCATAACATTATGCATGGCATAAAACATGCAACATGCGCGTGGATGAGGTAACCCGGAATGGCCGAATGCGGAAGGACCTGTCGGCCTCAGGCAAGAAGGGGCGACGGACCAATCAGGAGGCCAGGCCGGGCCATGGTCCCGTGGAAAGAATTACATAATCCTTGCAGCATTCGACTTCCGCCCGTGGCGCTTCCTCGATCACTCCGTATGTACGCTGCGAATCCCCCGTCCTTCACCCTCTTCATAAACCCCCCGTGGGACTCGAACTCATTGTGCCCAGCGTTGTTTCCTCCCTTTCCTTCCTTTTCCATTCAGATCTTCCAACGTGGCGACTGGGCGGAGACGCTCCAGATTCACGCCCAAAGCTCCAGATCACCCAAACAAGCCACACCGCTTCCCGTCGGCTCTCTCGATCATACCACGAATCGTGCAACACGTGCGGCTTCTAAATGCAAATCACCTAATGGCCTGGCTAGCGTGGTCTGCTGGAAAGTTGCTCGGGCGCCCCTGAAGTATTATCCCATTCGAAACAACTCAGAACTGCGTCCGTTGGCCGACCTATCACCGGATTTCCCTCCCGCGCCGGCTGCGGGTTTCTCGCTGGGGTAGTAAGGTACAGACAGCCACCTTTCTATTTCTTTTCGTCTTTTTCTTCTTGATTCTATCGTCGCGCGCCTTGCCACTCCCCCCTGTGGCTCGCTTCGATTTGCCCTACATCCTCGAAATCCGATTTTCTTTCCGCCATTGAAAAAACACTGCCTATCGCCACACCCTGGTCACTGCTCTGTTGGTCTGGCCTCTTATATCTGATCTTTTATCGTATTGACATGGCAGTGGGATCCCAGGCAAACATTCCTACGCCAAGAGGTGCAAAAACCTTCTCGAAGTGTGGCTGGTCGACTGACATGGAGATTGATGAAAAGGGCGACGTGGAAGTGGCCGAACATAATGGATCGCAAATACATCCGGATTCTGTAAGCAGTGGCCCGACTTCAGCACCTTCTCGCCGGAAACGTGTGTTACTCTCAACGGAGAGCGCGTTCGTTGGAAATGTCCTCCCTTCGCTGGTCCAGCATCCCGAAATCGAGCTCCGATTGATCACGGACGAACCGTCGGCCCTTCTCTCAGGAGCGAGCAAAGTACCTCACTACATGGATACGGTCGATAGCCAGACATTTGAAAAAAAGACGGGTGCTCGGAAATGGTTGAGAGCAAAGGCGGCAGAGCTATGCGACTGGGCTGACATGCTCGTTATCGCTCCTATTGATGCTGGCACATTAGGATCGATGCTGTCGGGCCTGACGAATACATTGACGTTGGCACTTCTCCGCGGTTGGATATCGACCAAACCAGTCGTCTTAATACCTGGCATGACCGTCTCGGAATGGCACCATCCTCTAAGTAGTAGACAGCTAGGGGAAGTCAGTCAGTTTTGGCCATGGATTCATATCGTCACGCCAGTCTTAATGAAATCTACCGATCCGGAGGAACTGGTCCAGTTACATTGGGATAGTCTGAATGAAACCCATGAAACAATTGAAAGGACCCTAGGATTATCCTTTTCGCAAGTCGCCATTCCCTCGAATATCCCCCCGGGGAATTCCTTTGAACAGTCCGTCGCATCGGATACGATATCATCCGGAACCACTTCGCTGTCAACATTACGGCATCTTGCAGGTCGTTCCGACAAGCTTGAACACGGCCCATCTGCACTGCCCATAGAATTGTGGCTGAACATTTTTGAGGACCAATTACACGATTGGGAGATCGCCAAAGCTGTTGGCATTCCGACAAATCTGCCTGTACCCAAGGAATGGCAGAACCACCTATTGAAGATGTCAACTCCGGCATCTTTGGAGTATACGATATTGCGCGGATCTTTCGGGGCGATTAAAAAGCGCATTGACAGTCTCCCACGATGGAAACCCATATCCGACCTATCATGCCATCTCATCTCCAAGTTCTCACGAACGGACATCCTCTCCTATCTCACAGAGAATCATCTTGATTTGCTTTGGACGACTTCTCGCCTCACTAACCTCCCCTACCGTGCGTCTGCGATCTATGGGAATCCTAATATCTTGACATGGTGGCGTGATGCGCCTGAACTCCCTAACAAAGAATACATCGCGGACGCGATGGACGGAGCCTCTCGCGCCGGCTTTGTCAATGTCCTCGAATGGTGGAGGACATCCGGCCTAGAACTCCGATATACGGAGCGGGCACTGGAGTCCGCCAGTGCCGAGGGCCGCGTTAACGTGCTGCAATGGTGGAAGGACGCCTCGGACAAAGCCCCTCCCTCCAACCCAATCCCTCTGAAAGTCGGAAAATCCGTCCTGCTAGCCGCTCAATCCGGTCGCACCGAATCTATCGCCTGGTGGGATGCTTCGGGCATCCCCTACAGTCACGCCGAATCGGTGGCCCGCATCGCTAGCACCCACGGACACGTCCACGTCCTCGATTTCTGGTACCGTCTCAAGGGCGCCAAAATGATTTTTGACTGTCAATTGCTCGTGGGTCCGACCAAGAACGGCCACGACAACGTGCTCGAATGGTGGCGACAGAGCGGCCTACGTGTAGAATTCAAAACCTGCGATATTGAAGAAGCCCTTGAAGACGCTGACCCCGTCTCCGGCGCAGAAGGACGTGTCCGACGCTGGTGGGCCCGTAACGGCCTCAATCTCGGTGTCGGGACCAGTGAATGGATGAAAACGAAGGTGCTATGAGGTAGACGCTTTATTGCACATTTAATCTTGTGCATTGTTTGCGAACACCTCGTTTGATCTTAGAATTAATCAATCAATCAAAATTCTATTAACCCGATGAAGCCTATCTAGTGAAGCAGAATTCCGCGAACCGTACGCCTTTTATATAAATCCCACAAACGTAGTAGACAATCAAAAAGCAAAACAAAACACAACTAAAAAAGCAGCTGCCACACGCCCGCTACGGGCCTCCTCCTCCTCTTTATCCCGAACTAGGCGAATCGGAACTGCTAAAGAAGGCCAGTTTACTGCATATAATTATCGACGTAGCAGGTTACCTGCCAACCAATCAACCAATCAATCAATCAATCAATCAATCAAAATTCTATTAACCCGATGGAGCCTATCTATTAAAGCAACAGGCTATACAGGCGCTTCTCCAGCGAAGCAGAATTTTGCTTCCATACGCCATATATAAATCCCACAATCACAGTAGACAATCAAAAAGCAAAACACAACTAAAAGCAGCTGCCACACGCCTGCCGCGTGTCTACCGCGCCATCTAGAGACGCCTTCGCTCCTTCTACGTTCCCCTGTTTAGTTATTCCATCCCTAGGTGCATCACTGGTAAGAGGCGAGACCCTCGCCTCCCCCTAAAGTTCTATATAACCATTGTCTTCGTTATCTAGTTTGAGACCTTCTAAAAAGCTGCTAGGTTCCGGGGTCTCCTCCTCCTTATTATCTCTAAATCAAGCGAATCAGAATTACTGGAGGAGGCGAGTTTGTTGTATATATTTAGTGATATAACAGGTCGCCTGCGGGTGATTTATAACTATGTTATAGTCTTGTGTATGCTTATATAGTCCCTTAATCAAGTTGAGGCTTCCTATAAATTTCCTGCGGTAGGTAGTGTGCAGCGGGTATTTTAAGAGGATATGTTCCGGGATCTGGGACCCTAGATCATATTAGCATTTATTTAAGTTAACCTGCTTAATTTTATAGAGGAAGTGCCTTAACCTTATTTTTATAATACACATCTGCATAATAATCGACGTGTGCGACTTATTAAGGTGTTTGTATTGCCTTAAATTTTTCTTATCAGGGGCAGGCAGCAGCCATCTTATGGGCTTGCCCATTTTCTGCCTCCCCCATTACTTCGCCTACTACTCGAAGAGGCTCTGCCTGACGCCCTGCTTAGCTGCAGCCGCGAGGCGTATAATTAGTCCCCGCGCTAACACCCCCGCGGGACCCGCTAAGTTTAATTTAACTACAGCATCCTTGGCAATAACGTCTGCCCTCTCGTTCCCCTCGACCCTAATATAGGCAGGGATCCATCGTAGCTCTATATCTACCTCTGATAGGCCCTGGCGTAAAGCTCGAACCCTCTTATAAATAGCCCGCAGGGCGTACTACCCCAAGGGGTGTCTAGGGTTCCTTATAATAAGAATCACTGCCTGGCTATCCGTGAAGATTATAATTAAAGCAGCCGTAATATACTTCTCTAAGACTATTCGGGCCCCCTCCAGTTCGCCCATATATATTATAAAGTCCAGCTCGGTCCCTAAATACTTCTTAACAGTCCTGCCGGCCCGGATTAAGACCACTACAGCCCTAACTTATCCGCAGTAACCACTCCCGTCCGAATACCACACCTAATGTGTATAATTCCGGCAAACCTCCTTATAGGCCTTAACCGCCTTCTCTACGCCCTCAATAATATACTAGAGAGGCATCTCCCACAAGACAAGCATATAGGCTACTCTACTTTCCCACTATACCTGCCCTAGGTCCTTTAAATAAAAGGGGCCATTTATCTTCCACTTGAGCGCCTCTAAAGGGTTATAGCCAGATAGTTTAACTACTACTTTATCCTTTTAGTACAGGAGCCCTCTAGGGAGGGTTCCTACTAGCCCAGTCTAAATTTATATAGCTATTTCCTGAATAATTTGTTATATCTAAATACATACTAAAAAGAGATGGAGTTCCACCCTTAAGACTACACCCGCGGTGTTCCAAAAGATGCCGTAATTAGTACCACGGCGCGTATTTAAACTCGCTCAAATTCATTAACCAGCTAATTCAGTTCCTCCGCCTTGACCCTACCGCTATAAGGGCTGTACCAGACAGTTATTCTGTATAGTATCTAAGAGACTACTATTACTAAATATATTCTTCTTATAGCCAGCAAAAAGGTCCCTTAAGTAAAGCCCAAGATACTCTAAAAGGCTACCAAACTACTGCTCGCCTTCATCACTGCCTTAAAGCGGTAGGTGCCGAAAAAAAGAGTCTTATCCAGCCAGATTCCAAGATATTTCGCTTACTTAACTGGCTGAATAATATAGCCAGTTACATAATCCTTTATAAACAGTTAATCATGGCCCAGGGGTTCCTCCTAGATATCCTAGCTCTCGGGATCTTCCTCCCCCACAGGGGCCACATACTCTGCCGGTTCGCTGCGTTCGACTCCTAGATCGGGGTTTAAGGGGTTTCAAAAATAAATTAATTCAAACTTGTCAGGTGCGAATTTCGACGAATAGCACTTAGACCAGACCGCAGCCTTATCTAGGGCCCTCTCTAGCAGGCATTGATTAACCACATGGCTGTACAAGATGGCCAGGGTGCACGCATCATCAATCTACCCGAACAGGACTATTCTGCCGCCCCCTACAGGGGGCCGCATCTTAAGCACTTCGACCCCCGCCACCTGGAGTGCTCTAATCAAGGAGATATTAAAAATTAGAAAGAGGATAAGGGAGATAGGGGACCCCTGCGAGATCCTAGTTAAGGTAGGTAGAAAATCACTGAGGTACCCGGGAAGCTAAATCCGGGTCTGTCAGTTCGAAAGAAATAACTCGAGCCAGCCGGCATAATAACTGAGCTATACCGTACGCAGGTTATCAAGCAGGCGAGCGTGGGAGATGTTATTAAAGACGCCTGCTATATCCAAGAGTAGCATACTAACCTTTAGGCGGCTCCCCCACGCGCTAAAGATATTATTAAGTAAGAGCTAAATCAGATAATTAACCAAGATACCTTTCCGGCCCCCCAGGTGGCCCTTCGGGAGCAGACCGTATTCTTCTAAAATATACACAATCTATACCGCCACTACCGCCTCCAGGATCTTACCGAGGGTATTAAGAAGGGCGATAAGGCGGTATAATTTATTGGGACGAACTCCAAAGAGAATGATGATAGAATTGGATGATCTCTCTACATACATGAGGTGGACCATGGCTTATATAGCCATGATCACATGACCTGCATCGCGGAATGAGCCATGCAACTCCCGGAACCTACCGCCAATGTAGTGGGAGGTTCCAACACACCCCCTCAGGGCAAAATGAAGCCAGAAATCGCCTAAAATAGGGAAACAAAATAGGGGGATACATGATTTAATCAAAAAAGGGAAATAAAACAACAAAATGAAAGCGGAAAACGATCCCGAATGAAACAAACACCCCACTTAGGGAACCACACTCCGAAACCGTAGATATCCCATAAAACTTTGTCAAATTGAATGAATTAATGGCTTCACTACCACGAGGATGCAAACCAGAGTCACCTGTGGGTTCCGTCCCCACGGTGGGTTGGGGATCGCGTCATCTCCGTGGAATAATGAAATGAGATATCTAAACGGGGAACTGCATCATGCAGTCGCAATATGAAGGTGTAAAGTCGCCTGCTTGGTGTAAAGTTGCCTTCTTGGTGCCGGCGGGTCTTCCTCGCTTTTTCCTCTCGGGAGGAGGAATAGGAGAGGTCTTCTCCTTGATACGCTGGATGCAGGGAGACCTAGACCAAGGCGCCGAAAAAGGAGGAGTAAACTAACGAACGAACGATCACGGGTGGATTGAGCACACCCGCAGTTCTATTAGGGTGTTATTGAGGATTCGGATCTTTCTTTTTTGTGTTTGATTTGAGCAACCGAATGCTGGCCTGCTTGTATTCGTGGATCCTGCGTAGGGAACTTGTACTTGTGAATTTTGCGCTCCCTGCGCAGGAAGGAGGATTTTTAATTTATCGAAGAGTAATAAACAAACTTAATAATGGCGGCAAAAGCGGAGGCCAGGCGTAGACAAGGGAAACAGGTTGATAAAATGCCGTGACTCGGATTTAAAACCATGTCGGAGGGTCTGGGTGTACTGGGGCCCGACGAAGGGTCTGATTGTGATTCCTTTCGCCGAGCCTATAGTGGATTTTTCTATTCTGTGTTTGCGAGAGTAAAGAACCACTGTCTAAAGGTAGAGAGACTGAATTATCCCACATAGGGGACGGAAAAACGGAAAAATGGAGTAAAATATCCTTTTCTGAGATGAGCGAGTGCCTGAGGGGCCAGAAGACGGCAGGATGTCCTCGCAGAGGTTTAGCCCACGATTATATGTATGGCTAGTTAGGCCAAAACGCCATAAGTATGGCTTGAACGAAAGTATGTATGGTCAATTAGGCCAAAAATGAGGAGATTGAGGTGGTGTAGGAGGAAGAAATGGGGATGGAGGGGGGGGGGGGGTTAATTTAATCGATTTCATACGGCCACCTGCGGTGAATAAGGAATGAATGAATTCACTGTGTTAGGCTATTTTAATGAAAGATTTGGCCAAAATTCGCCGAATTTTATGAGATTCATTGAATTTATGGGTGGCATGGCCAACACAGTGTAAAATGCTATGCGTAAGGTCTAAGGCGAAGGAGGGATCGAAATACCACAAATTTTGTTGGATCTAGGGGTTTAATTAGGCCGTTAGCGGGATTCTGATTAGTATTGACCCTGGAGAAGGTGATAGCTTTCTTTTTGAACTGATCCTTTATGAAAAAATACCGATTATCAAGCCATTTGGTGGTGGCAATGTAGCCAGATTTCTTGACAATTGTGGCCGCATTATCTGAATCTGTAGAGATGATAATGGGTGAAAGTAGGTTATTAGAACTAGAGGAATCCTTCTAAATTAGTAGGGTAATGGCCAATTTCTTAATCTATAAGGCTTCCTTTACCGCACGGTCGAATGTAATTAACTCGGCGATAGTAGAAGATGGGGCCACCATGGTCTGCTTCTTCGCGGACCAGGAAATAGGGGATCCCGCATAAAAGATGATATATCTCTCGGAGGATTTACCATCTGGATGATTCTGATGGGCGGCGTTAACGTAGACTTTTATACCCCTTCTCCCGGTCCTGTTCAATGGAGCTGCCCAGGAATCTGGTGGGTTCCCCTAAATGTTTGCTTTTGAAGGATGAGGAGAAGTTATTCTAAAAAGTGTTAATTCCGGACGTTGTCTTTGCTGCTACGATAAAATCATTAATGTAGGAGATGATAATCTCGATTGAATCTTCCGTAGGACGTAGATAGAGGCAAGGGTCCTCTGTAAAAGAATGAAATCCTATGGATTTCAACTTCTCATCCACCGTATTGTTCTAGAGATGACCTACCTGACGTAGTCCATAAATCGCTTTGCGTAGACGGTAAAAACGCTTGCCTTCGGCCTTAAATCCCACCGGTTGAATCATATAAATGTTTTCCCGGTCCATCTTGGAATGCAGGAAGGCAGTGATAATATCAAACTGTTCTAATTTAAGGCTATGGATCAATATGGCAGTCAGGGTTATCTTGACTGTAATATTAGAGACGACTGGTGTATAAGCTGAATTAAAATCAATTCTGATCCTCTGCATGTTGCCGCAAGCCACCCATTTAGCTTTAAAGCGGAGAATAATGCCCTCTTTGTCCTTCTTGACGTTATAAACCTATTTCTTGTATAGAATCCTGGACCCCTTTTGCTTGGTTTTGGAGACAAACTTAAAGGTGCCCTTGTGGTATAGTTTATCGTATTCAACCTTCATCGCAGTAAGCCATTTAGAGGCAAATGGAGAGTTTAACGCCTCCTTAAGGGTTAAGGGAACGGAGACTTTGTGAGCTTTGATCTTAGAGTTAGGAAGATTTAAATCTGTGAATAGGGAAGCCGGCAAGGCACCCCCTGAGAACCTGATCTTTGAAGAATCAACCATATTGGGGTCCTCCTTCTTCTGCCCCTTCGTCGATCTCGCGGACGTACGTGTCGGTGAAACGGAGGATCTTGTGGATCCCATTTTAGCTGGAGAGGTGGATCGGGAAGGGAAAGAACCAGGGACTGTGCCTTAGAATGAAACCGGGGGGATAATCATGTTATGAATTGCTATGGCATGATTATTATTATTGTACTCCGGGGTTTCAACAATCGAATCTATGGGAATAGGATTGATCTCAGGGGCTGAACTAATTGTTTGCTGGGAAGGACCAGGCGTAGGGGTATGAGAGACTGTGATTGCTCTGTCCTGAATGGACGACGTATCCGGAACCGCCTCAGGGTCCATCTGAATAGGAATCCCCGGATATTTGACCGCTGCACCCCCTTCGGGTTCAAGCGGTTTATTAGGATCCGTTCGGGATACCGCTGGAGTGTTGTTATTATGGTCCGAGCCATATGAATCGCCCTTATTGAAGGTAATGCTCTCTGACCTGTAGATCTTATCGTCTGCAGGACACCAAACCATATAGATGTGATTATGATCGCCTTCATATCTAACCAGATAGCTAACCCTCGCTCTAGGGGCCATCTTTTCTGACCGGACGCGATCCTCAGTAGGGATATGAATATACGCCCTGCAGCTAAAAATCTTCAGATAGTTAAGGGACGGGTTCTGATCAAGAACTTTGTAGAATTCGCGCCATTTCTGGACAGGATTTTTCGAACCACCATGGGGAACAAGGCGATTAATGATACGATAAGCTGTTTTTACCGCAAAAGGCCAGAACCGGGTAGGGAGGCCAGAATTGATCATTATCGCGCGGGCAGTTTGATTGATGTAGCTGCCTATTCTTTTACTTCGTTTATTTGGTTCAGGGGTCCGGGGAGGCGTGACGTTAATCTGGATGCCTTTATCTTTGGCCTATTTCTGAAATCTATAAAACTCCCTGCCACCATCGATCTGCCATCGTTGAATGTGATGGTGAACCTAAACCCGATGGGCCTTGTTGAAGAGAATCATCTCTGTAGATGCAGCTGCCTTTGTGCGTAACATACGGACCTCTGTGTAAGCCGTCAAGGCATTGGTCATAATAAGGTAGTATTTAAAATTATTATATCTAATTGGCTTGATCGTTTGAATATCTGCATGCTAAAGTTCTGATGGACTTCCTGAATCACTGGATTGGGGAATGCGAGAAATAATCCTCTTAGCTTTCGCCTCCTTACACGCTTCACATGTTCCCTTTGATCCTTCAATGGTGGTCTCTGGGTCTGATGTAACGGTCGATTTGAGCTTTAAATCCCCAGTATGACCTAGGCGGCGGTGGAGTGTCATTATGTTTACCGCTGTACCCGAGTAATTAAGGATCTGGCGACGCGGAAGGTTGATCGTGAGGAGGAAGGGGAGTCCCCCTTTTGTATAGGAGAACCTAAGGACTTCATCCGTATCCTAGTGGCGAAGCGTCTGGTTCCGTTGATTCTACTATATCTTTATCGACTCTTTCGCCCGTTCTATCGCGAAAAGACCGAAATCAAGGCTAAAGATGTAGAACGCGGGGACCTCATACACAACATGAGTCCCATCACGCTGATCAAGTCGGATAGTTACTGAGCTATATCCTTTGGCCACCGCATCCCGCCCCTTAGATGTTTGAAATCCATAGGGGGAATCGTCTGGACCATACTCCGTGTAGGTCGTGAAGCTGGATAGATCGGGAGTCATATGATTCGCGGAGCCATTGTCGATAATCTAATGTTTCTTGCTAACCGGGATGGATGATACTGCCTGCCCGGAGAAGTTGAATGTGCCCTCAGTCTGCTGAGAGGCAATCATCTGCGGATTATTGGATTTCGGGGCCTTCTTTGGACGAGTTCCACCTTTCCATTCAGACGCTTACATGCCCTCCACGGGCAACCAGTCATCAGGACAGATATGAGGGGCAAGATAGAAACAATTCGTCGTTTTGTGGCCACGAATTTTGCAGTAGGCACACACCTTGTCGACCATCTTCTTGTCTTCAGGAAGATTCCGCCATTTTTCGGCAAGAGTGTAGTCACGCATACCGTTCTCTGGCTTCCGGGGAGGGTAGGTGAACGAGGAAGAAGTATTCTCAACAGGAGGAGCGTTCGTAGGGGAATTCTTTCCCTTTCTGCCCTTTGCCGCGGGTGCTGCAGAGGAGGTGTTGATAATCTGGTTCGCTGAAAGGACCGCTTCATCCGCGATCTTCTTAAAATGGGACCACTCCATTGTAGTAGCCATATCATCCTTCAACGAATGGTGGGTTAGGTCGTAGAAAACAGGCAATTCATTTCGAATGCCATCGAGCAATATGAGGGTCGCCATCCACGGGGTAATGGGACAATGAATGGTCGAACAAACTTCAACCGCTTGCTGAAAACCCTTTATGTAGGCGGCGAGCGAATCGAACTTATTCCTATCGCAATGAATGGCGTTAAGAAGAAGCGATTCAGACCTCCTACTGCCGGAGCCAACGCAGAGACGACGCAATTCATCCCACAGTTCGTCAGCGTATTCGGAGGCGCCAGATGACATCTCGACCTGATTGAGCATGTCATCCGACAATTGCTGCTTGATCCAATAAACCGTCCACTCTGAGTGCTTGAGCCAGATCTTAAAGTCCTCTGCATCGTCAATCGAAGGACGAGGAATCGAGCTATCAAGCAGCTGAAAGTAATGGAGCGGTTTCAAGACAATTCGCACTCTGTTGCACCACATGTCGTAATTCTCACGGCCCTTGAGCTTCCGCTCTAACCCCTCGATCGTGGGAGGGTTCGAAAGGTCAAGTTTGAATGTACCCTGCGGTCCATAATCAATCTGATCCCTAGGGGGGACCACCGCAGCACCGATCTGGCCAGATGGAGAACTCATCTCGAGACGCCTTTAGAAAGGAACGAGGTGATAGAGGTGGTTGACAACGAGACATTGAAAAAAAAGGAGGAAATTGAACAGCTCTAAAAGAGTCAATCAATCAATCAATCAATCAAAATTCTATTAACCCGATGAAGCCTATCTATTGAAACAACAGGCTATGCGGGCGCTTCTCCAGCGAAGCAGAATTTTGCTTCCGAACGCCGTATACATACGTGTATATATAAATCCCACAATCGCAGTAAACCATCAAAAAGTAACACACAACTAAATCACAGCTGCCACACGCCTGCCGCGTGTCTATTGCGCCATCTAGAGGCGCCTCCGCTCCTTCTGCGTTCCCTTATTTAGTTATTCCATTTCTGGATGCGTCACCGGTGAGGGGCGAGACCCTCACCCCCACCCCTAAAGTTCCATGTAACCATCGTCTTCGTTGTCTAGTTCGAGACCTTCTAGAAGGCTGTTGGGTCCCGGGGCCTCCTCCTTCTCTTTGTCCCTAAATTGGGCGAATCGGAACTGCTGGAGGAGGCTAGTTTGTTGTATATATTTAGCGATGTAGTGGGTCGCCTGCGGTTGATTTATAACTGCGTTGTAGTCCTGCGTACGCCTACGCAGCCCCTTGATCGAGCCGAGGCTTCCCATAAGTTTCCTGCGGTAGGTGGTGTGCAGCGGGTATTCTAGGAGGACGTGTTCGGGGGTCTGAGACCTTAGATTATACTGGTACCTGTCCGAGTCGACCTGCTTAATCTTATAAAGGAAGTGTCTTAATCCTATCCTTATAGTGCGCATCTGCATGATAATCGACGTGTGCGATTTACTGAGGTGTTCGTACTGCCTCAAACTCTTCTTATCGGGGGCAGGCAGTAGCCGTCTTGTTGGCTTACCCACTTTCTACCTCCCCCATTACTTCGCCCACTGCTCGCAGAGGCTCTGCCTGACGCCCCGCTTAACTACAGCCGCGAGGCGTATGACTGGTCCCCGCGTTTGCCCCGCAGAGCTTAATTTGACCGCAGCATCTTTGGCAGCAACGTCTGCCCTCTTATTCCCCTTAACTCCAATGTGAGCAGGGATCCACCGTAGCTCTATATCTGCCTCTGGTAGGCCCTGGCGTAAGGCTCGCACCCTCTTGTAGATGGCCCGCAGGGTGTATTGCCCTGATAGACGGCCAGGGTTCCTTGTAGCTAAGATTGCTGCCTGATTGTCCGCGAAGACCGTGATCAGAGCAGTCGTAGTATACTTCTCCAGGGCCATTCGGGCCCCCTTTAGCTTGCCTATGTACACTGTAGAGTCCAGCTCGGTCCCTAGGTGCCTTTTAGCGGACTTACTGGCCTGGATCGAGACCGCTGCAGCCCTGACTTGCCCGCAGTAGCCGCTCCCGTCCGAGTACTATACCTGCCTTGTATGGTTCTGGCAGACCTCCTCGTGGGCCTTAATTGCCTCCTCTACGCCCTTAATAACGCACCGGAGGGGCATCTCCCACGGGGCAAGCACGTGGGCCACTCTGCTTTCCTACTGCTGTCCCGGGTCTCTCGAATAGAGGGGGCCAGTTGTTTTCCACTTGAGCGCATCTAGAGGGCTGTAGCCGGACAGCTTGACCACTGTCTTATCCCTCTGGTATAAGAGCCCCCTAGGGAGGGTCCTTACTGGCCTAGTCTGGATTCGTATTACTATTTTCTGAATGATTTGTTGCATCTGGATGCGTACCGGGGGAAGGTGGAGTTCCACCCCCAATGTCGCACCCGCGGTGTTTCGAAAGGCGCTACTAATAAGCACTGCGGCGCGCGTCTGAATTCGCTCGAATTTATTGACCAGGCGGTTTAGTTCCTCTGCTTTGGCTCGCCCGCTGTAGGGGCTGTACCAGGCGGTCACCCTGTACAGTATCTGGGGGACTACCACTGCTAGATATATCTTTCTTATGGCTAGCAGAGAGGTCCCCTAGGTGGAGCCCGAGATGCTCCGGAGGGCTGCTAGACTGCCGCTCGCCTTCGCCACTGCCTTGGAGCGGTGGGTGTTGAAAGAGAGAGTATTGTCTAGCTAGATTCCTAAATACTTTGCTTGCTTAACTGGCCTAATGATATAGCCAGTTGCGCGGTCCTTTATAGGCAGTTAGTTGTGGCCTAGGGGCTCCTCCTGGATGTCCCAGCTCTCAGGGTCTTCCTCCCCCATGGGGGCCGCGTACTCTACCGGCTCGCTGCGTTCGACTGCGTGGTCGGGGTTTAGGGGATTCCGAAAATAAATAAGCTCAAATTTATCGGGGGCAAATTTTGATGAGTGGCGCCTAGACCAGACCACAGTCTTATCTAGGGCCCTCTCCAGTAGCCGTTGGTTTACCGCGTAGCTATAAGAGATGGCCAGGGTGCACGCATCGTCAATCCACCCGAATGGTACTGTTCTGCCGCTGCCCCCCACAGGGGGCTGCATCCTGAGCGCCTCGAAGCCCGACACCTGGAGTACTCTGATTAAGGGGGTGTTAAAGATTAGAAAGAAGATAGGGGAGATGGGGGACCCCTGCGGGATCCCGGTCGACGTGGGTAGGAGGTCGTTGAGGTACCCGGGGAGCTGAATCCGGGTCTGTCGGTTTGAAAGGAACGACTTGAGCTAGCTAGCGAAGTGGCCGAGCTATACCGTGCGCAGGTTGTGAAGCAGGCGAGCGTGGGAGATGTTGTCAAAGGCACCTGCCATATCTAGGAGTAGCATACTCACCTTTAGGCGGCTCCCCCACGCGCTAAAGATGTTGTCGAGCAGTAGCTGAATCAGGTGGTCGACTGAGATGCCCTTCCGGCCCCCCAGGTGGCCCTTCGGGAGCAGACCATGTTCCTCTAGGGTGTAGGCGATCTGCACTGCCACTACCGCCTCTAGGATCTTACCGAGGGTGTTCAGGAGGGCAATGGGGCGGTACGATTTAGGGATTCGGTAATCCCTCGGGCCCGCCTTGCGGAGGACGACCGTCGTCGATTGCTGAAAGTACTGGGGGTTGTGGCCTACCTTTAGGCAGGCGTCGAATATGGCTGTGAGCACCCTCATGAAAGCGGGCACCTCTGCGAGCCAGTGCCACACTTTATTAGGGATGCCGTCCGGTCCGGGGGCTTTGTCTGGGGGTGCCCGGTAAATGCACTTGCGGACCTCGTGTTGCTGGAGGTCAGGGAATTCGAGCTGGGGGGGTAGGGGGGTCGAATCGATATCAGAGAGGTCCGCTGGGGGTGGTACGGGGAAGAAGGCCTTCTGGAAGGCCTCTACCTTCTGCTCTGCGGTCTCTGCGGGGCTGTTGTTGGTGTTCAGGGTTGGTATAAGCCCTCCTCGGGCCTCCCGGTCCCTCGCCCACTTGGCCATCTATTACATGCCTCGGGGGCCTGAGCTAGTGATTGATTGATTGATTGATTGATTCGTTCCATTATCCTCCATTTCGGCACCCGTACAGGGCCACGCTGGAGTTGCGGTGGCAGCATGGCACACAGAATCCTTAGAGTATTGCCATGCCAGTTGCCTGCCTTATATATATATATATATACATATATATCTGCAAGGTCAAGCTGCGTAGTCAACATCGTTAGGGATCCCACGTACCGCCAGCACTACCGCGAAATCAAGAATACCTGCTATATATACAGGCGGATACAGAACAGGGAATCATATAGCCAGAAATAAGACAGTTAAGTCAGCTGCGTTCCTGGATCTCGCCCTTGGCCACTACCCGGGACCGCCGCGATCCCGGGCCCTTCTGCTGCCCCCTGCGCTGGGGTCCCTAAATCCTCCGCTCTGTGGTCCGCTCCGTATTGTTCCTCCACTCTTCCTATCTCTTGTTCCTCCGCCTGGGTGGCCTCCGGCACCTCCTCCATCCGGCCTTCCTCCGTGACCCGAAGGCGGGCCATCCCCTGCAGGTAGGGGAGGCGCCCCGTGGCTAGAAGGAACCGGGCGGTTTTAGGGGCGTGCCGGGGGTCAATCAGGGCGTCCTTTACCTGTTGCGGGTGGGTGGTGTAGTCGGGGCCCCAGAGCCTGCGCCGGAGGTCTGCGTACCTCTCGCACCGCAGGGCGTGGGCAGCAGTCTCGTCCGCCCTCCCACACGGGCAGAGGGGGTCCTCCGCCCTGTTGATCGTGGTAAGGAAGCGGTTGAGCCCGATCTTACCCGTACGCGCTTGGAATAGCGCGCTCGCCTGCGGGGCGGAGAGGCCTTCGTACCGCTGCAGCGCCTTCGACCGCGCGTCGAGCTCGGGGAGGTATTGCCGTAGGTGTCCGCCGTGGGCCGCATGCCGCCAGGTGTTCCTCCATTCTTCCTTAATGTATTCCTTGACCCACGCTCCGGCGGCGGAGCGGAGGTGCCAGGTGTTGATATCCGACAGGCGCGGGGCTGGTGGCCCGGGGGGCGCTCGGTCTCGCCACCCGGTGGCCCTCTTGGCCGCGTCGTCTGCCATCTCATTGCCGGGGACGCCGAGGTGCGCGGGGATCCAGTAGAACGCCACCTCCCCGGATCCCCCGTACGCGCTACGGCGTTCGGCAAGCAACTCGATGATCTCCCGCACTAGGTACTGCCCCGAGCCGAGTCCCGGGGAGATCAGGTTACGCAGGGCGCCTTGGTTGTCCGTGTAGACTTCTAGGGGCCCGCAGAGGAGGGGGTGGTCCCGGGCTAATCGGAGGGCGAGAATAATCCCTGCTAGCTCGGCTGCGGGGACCGTGTATTCCCGCTCCGTCCCCATATAGGCCATGGAGCGGACTCCATGATCGTGGGACACCGCGGCGGCCCCTATCTCCCGCAGGCCCCCGGGCACCCGCTCGATCCCTGAGCCGTCTGTATAGAGGCGCGCGCGCTGCGGGAAGGCGATCGTGTGGATTTCGTGGTGAGTAATCGCGAGGTTCTTGGACGCCTCGATGCGAACCAGGGGGGGTTCCCACCACGGGGCGACCGGGTAGGGGATGCGTGTCTCTAGGGCGAGTACGCCTATTTGCGCCTCCTCTAGTACCGCAGCGGTATGCTCCGCCGCGGTGGCCAGCAGCCGGTTCGGGTGCTGCGTGCGGTGGGCGGCCAGTTGCTCGTACAGGGGCGAGGAGGCGAGGCGGGTGAGGGCATGTAGCTGGGTCTGCTGAAGCTGAAGGTGTAGGGGCAGTAGGTGTAGTTCCGCATTGAAGGCGTCTGCTCCGACCAGTTTGAACCCTCCGGAGATAACCTTACCTGCCCGGCGTTGGACTTCAGTTAGGACCTTTAGGTGCTTATCGAAGGCCTGCACCCGGCCGTGGGTCCTAGGGAGGTGCCAGACTGAGGCCGCGTAGGTAATGATCGGGACTACGCAAGCGAGATAGATATGCCTGCGCTCCTTAGTGGTCACCCCCCAGTTAGACCCGCCCAGCGCGCTGATCGCCTGCAGGGCCTTGGACGCGCGGTTCTCCACGTGTTCCACCTGCGGCCCGAAGGAGAGGCTCTCGTCCAGCTGCACCCCTAGCAGACGTGCTGAGCGGGAGGCTTGCACTACCCGGCCCCCACCGAGGTCCAGCGGGGTAGGGTCGGCCGGCTTGGGTGGGGGTCCCCGTGGCTGCCTCTGGGTAGAGGAAGTGGACGAGCGGGAGGAGCGGGACGAGCAGGAGCGGTTGTCCCAATCAAGGTCCCCCTCGCTGTCGTCCGACTGGATGTCCAGCGGTATTCTGGGCCTGCGGGTACTGCGCTTAGGGCGGTTCGCGGCTGCTGTCCGCTCTGCTGAAGGCCCCCGGCTGCCTACTGTCCTCTTGCGTTTCCTAGATGGCCGTACCGGGCAGTGGTGGTGGACTACCTGAAGTTTGTCAGGGGCGAAGACCGACGCGTGGGTGGTCGACCACGGGACGCAGGTAAGCTGAAATTCCTGCTCGAGAGTGCGGCAGTTCTGGGCCTCCGAGTCCCCTACCGCGATAATAGTAGTGTCGTCGATATACCCGATATTCTGCGTACGGTGGCTAACCATCATGTCCGCGTTGTAGAAGATGTAGAGGATCGGGGACAGAGGAGACCCCTGCGGGATCCCGGTGTTGACTCGGGCCCTAGGACTGGTGTGCTCGGGTAGGACGAGTATAGTATATCGGTCTGAGAGGAAGGATGTGATCCAGTTGATAATCTCTATCGGGATACCGCGTTTGCGCAAGTTGTGGAGTAATCGGGGGTGGGATACGTTATCAAAGGCCCCTGAGATGTCGAGGTAGAGGATCGATACTACCTTATTCTGCTTCCACGCGGAGTGGATGATTTCCACGACTGTGTGTAGAGCTGCGTCCGTACCGCGGCCGCGCCTACCTCCGAAGTGGTTAGGGGGGAGTAACCCGTGCGTCTCTGCCAGATAGCTTAACCGCGTGGCCAGGATGCTCTCTAAGGCCTTACCCACCGTGTTAAGCAAAGCGATCGGACGGTAAGCTTTTGGCACGCTGTAGTCAGGTTTCCCGGGCTTGCGCAGCGCAATTGTACGTGACTCCCGAAAGTGCACTGGGCAGTAGCCCTGCCCTAGGCACTGTCTAAGAAGGTCTGTCAGCAACGGGATAAACTCCGCGCAGTGCTCTCCCAGGGCCTGAAGGACCCGGTTTGGGATCTCGTCCGGCCCTGGGGCTCTATCGGGGGCGGGCCGGTCGATTGCTGCCCGTACCTCCCGCTCAGAGATAAGGGGCGTGTGAATAGGTAGTGGGTATACATATCCCTGTAGGTCGGAGAGGTCCGCAGGGGGCGGAGCGGGAAAGAATACTCTCGCGAGCGCCTCTGCCTTGGCCTCCGGGACGTAGTGGATAGTATCGCCCACCCGGAGCGGCGGGGTGTACGCCTGCACCCCTCCGCCCCCTTTAGCCGCCCGGACCAGACGCCATAGCTTGTCTGTGCTGCCGCTAATCTCCTCCACCCGTCTGCGGTAGTTGGTCGTACGGATGCGCTTCATAACC